TGTAGAATGCTTTGATCCACGTGATGAACGACCCTACAAGTCCCTATAAATAGTCCTATTCCCCTGAAAGCAAGAAAATCCGCATGTACCTTTGACAAACCTGAGGATGCCTGGTCAGGCAATCCCACTCCTTACCATCCAGTCCACTGCTGGCACATCTCACGTGGCAGAGATAATCGAGTCCCAGATCCATGTTGAGCGCAGCACCGCCAACTTCTTCTCCATTTACCGATATGCCAACGCCTCGCAGTTATGTATGCTGTGCGTATCAGGATGTTGTGCGGTAGCCGCCGGTGCAGCAATGCCATTGGTGACCGTCGTGTTCGGCGCATTGGCAGATGAATTCATCAACGGAGAACACCATACATCGCAGGAGATTCGAGACCAGGTCCAGCATCTCACGCTCTTCTTGGTATATCGGTGCGTGCACTTTCCAAATCCATGTTCTCTTCTTGTTATCTGACACAACGGGCCAGCAATCGGGTCATTGGTCACCACCGCTATTAGCACACTAGGCTTCAATTTCATCGGAGAGCAGATAGCCCGCCACCTGCAGCAGAAATATCTTTCTTCGGTTCTGCAGCAGAACATGGCTTATTTCGATGTAGTCGGAACCGGGGAGCTCACATCCCACATAGATCAAGATATGAAATGGATTCAAGCTGGCATCTCGCAGAAGATGGGTGACCTTCTGTCCGGCCTGTCCGGCTTCGTGGTCGCCATTATCTGCGCATTTGTACGGAACTGGCGCTTTGCAGGGATCATGTTATCCCAGCCGATCACTTGATTCTACTCGTGGGATTGATGGGGTATTGGCTGAGTGTGGTGCAGCAGATGGGCTTGGCTGAACGTGTTCAAGCGGACAATTTAGCCCAGGAAGTATTCAGTGCCATGAGGAGCGTTATTTCTTACCGAAGCCAGGAAAGGTATGCTAAGAAGTATCGAAAGGCCTTGGGCCGCCCAGCGGCCTTGGACTTCCGGGAGCGGTTAATATTTGGAGTGATTGTTGCGGGCTCTTTCATGACATTGCACTGGGGAAATGGGCTAGGTGTATGTCAACCGCTTCCCTCCACCCCTGGTTCGATCTGAATGCGATGCCTGCTAATGCTCCTCCAGTTCTGGCAGGCTGATCACCTCGTCCGTCAAGGGCGTTGCACCATATCAGAGGCTTTGACTATCTTGTATGCAATGTCTGTTGCAGGTGGGATGCTATGCCAAGCGTTGCCATGTGTTGTTAACGTCACCCAGGCTCATGCGGCAGCCAGTCGCGTTTTCTCAGTCATAGAGCAGGATTCGCCTATGATTTCGATGGTAGGTACTGGGAAGACATACAGTCAGGTCCGAGGGGCAGTCCGGCTAGAAGGCGTACACTTTGCGTATCCTTCGCGACCTGAGCGGACTGTTTTGAGAGGCGTCACTTTCGACGTGCCTGCTGGACACACAGTAGCCTTGGTGGGACCATCAGGATCAGGAAAATCAACCATATTTGCCCTTTTAGAACGGTTATACCACCCACTCGGTGGCCGCATCACTCTGGAAGGTGAGCGGATCGATGAGATGGATGTCTCATGGTTACGGTCTCAGATCGGATATGTCGGCCAAGAGGTTACTCTGTTTCGTGCATCAATGCACGAGAACATTGCGTATGGGCTTCCCAGAGCTGCCGCTGAGGTGTTTCATGACAGTTGTCTTTTGCCTTTGAGTTTCGGTTACTGACTCATATGAACAGAAAATGGACGCATCTGCGATTCGAAGCCTAGTTATCCAGGCTGCTGAAACTGCTCAGATTCACTCGTTTATTGAGAATCTGCCCCATGGGTACGACACCCTAATTGGTGCAAATGAATCGAGTCTCTCCGGGGGTCAGAGGCAACGGATTGCTATCGCCCGTGCCATCATATCTCAACCAGCAATTCTACTGCTGGACGAGGCTACAGCTGCCCTGGATAGTCAGTACGAAAAGGAAGTCCAAGAAGCTCTCAGCAAGGCTGCTTCAGAGCGAACCACCTTGATAATAGCCCATCGGCTATCGACAATCCAGAATGCCGATATCATCATTGTGATGAAGGACGGTCAGGTTCTAGATCAAGGTTCTCACTTAGAACTAATGGCCACATCCACAATGTACCAAGAACTAGTGAGACAGCAGACACTCCGATCATGTTACCGATCAGAGGACGGTATTGCTAGCCAGCCACCAACCCTAGCAAACATCCACAAAGAGCATCTTGGGGACATCTCAGTCAATAGCAATACCCTAGAGACGCCAGAAGATGCTCCACTGCCACACAGCAATAGCATCAAGCATGTTTGGCATCTCAACAAGCCAGAGTTGCCTTACGCTACCGCAGGCGTCATTTTCAGCGTTTTAGCTGGAATGACATATCCAATCCAAGCGATCTTCTTCGGCAACGGAGTCATGTCCATCATTAGCCCTAGTCTGAGCACTGGCCGACACAACGTTCGCTTTTGGGCCCTATTGTATCTTGCTTATGGTGTCGTTGTGTTTGTGGTTTATTGTGTACGGGGATACTGCTTTGCCGTGTCTGCATCTCAGTTATGTCTTCGAGCTCGTTCCCATTTGTTCAAAGCTTTGGCCCTGAAGAACCTCCCTTTCTTCGAGATTAAAAATCACTCGACTGGGGCCTTGGTGAGTTTCCTCTCATCTGGAACTCCAAAAATCACCGGTATTTCGGGAACCTCATTGGGACTCGTGGCCGAAAGTGTTGTAATGCTCGCGACAGGAATTACAGTTGGATGCATCTTTGGATGGAAACTTGGTCTCGTCGCGACAGCAACGGTCCCAGTGGTAGCTGTCTCCGGCTTTATGCAGTACAATATTGTGGCACATGTCCAGAAGCACGTCAAGCGTGACACCAATGCCGTGGCCGTTGCACATGAGGCATTTACTGCCATCAAGACAGTGACTGTCCTCGGTCTGCAGAGGACCATCAGCGAGTCCTTCCAAAGGGAAAGCCAGCGAGACAGCCAACGCAGGTACTGGGTTGTATCTGCCATCATATATGCATGCACCACTTCTCTTCGCATATTAAGCATTGCTTTCGTATTCTGGTACGGAGGTACTCATCTTATCGCAACTGGCGAGTACAACGTCCAGCAGTTCTTCATTTGCTTTGCAGCCACGGTCTGGGGGTCCCAGTCTGCGTCTGCTCTTTTCGCACATGCTCCTGACATTGCGGGCGCCCATGCCGCTGCTGCTCGACTGGAGGAACTAATGCAAACCAGCAGCTCAGAGCTCTCCAGGCAAGGCAAAAGCGCATACACCAAGGTACCAGACACAACCGAGGATATTGCACTGCGACACGTGAACTTTAGATATCCGGCCCATCGGTCTCGACTAGCATTGAACGATGTAACTCTCAACGCCCCGGCCGGTACCTTCATTGCTCTTGTTGGGGCCACAGGCAGCGGCAAAAGCTCGGTGATCAATCTGCTCGAGCGCTTCTATGCTGCCGAGTCTGGAAAGATAACGCTTGGAGGTAAGTCTATTGGGGAGTATGACCTGAATAGCTATCGGGGACACCTGGCCCTGGTCGATCAGAACCCTTGCTTGGTTGGTGAAGACCTGCGTGAATGCCTGCAGAGTGATGAGCGAGTTATCTCAGACGAGGAGATCCTGGCCGCTTTGGAGGATGTCGGATTAGCCGATTTTGCGGTAAGTGACTCCATAGCACCCAATGCAGCCGTTTCTTTCTCTGTCTTCTAACCGTGCGTTTGTCAGCTATCCCTCCCTCAAGGCTTAAGCACCCCGATTCGAGCCAACGGATCGACACTTTCCGGGGGCCAGCGTCAACGCATGGCTATCGCGAAGGCTCTTCTATGCCACCCAAAGATCCTGTAAGAGCATTTGCCATACACAGAGATTGCTTTCTGACTCGCCTTCGTAGTTTACTTGACGAAGCAACCTCGGCGCTGGATCCGACCACAGAGCACCTAGTTCAAGTGGCACTTCAACGCATAATGAAAGGCCGAACAATCATCGCTATTGCCCATCGATTCAAGACAATTATCGATGCCGATGAGATTTTGGTCTTCGATCATGGGCGAATCATCGAGAGGGGAACCCATGAGCAGTTGATGCAGACGGGTGGGAAATATTGGCAGATGGCTAGATTACAGCAAGTGATGGGGGAAGGTTGAACTGAGCTACCGCTAGGATGTACTGTGTATGTCTGTTTTGCACTGGATTCAAAAGAGTCGTCCAGTTCTCACATAACTATCATGTGGACTTTCTAACAAACGGCGTATATCCTGCAAAAAAGGAAATAAGACATGTAGGTACAGAACTCCATCAATGCACAATTAATTTGGATCAGAGCATTTTATGCACCATCCGGATATTGTTTCCCGCCGGCCAAGTATAGGTACAGTCCCAGTGAGCATAATCCGCTTACAATCCAAGCATAACCCCTAGCGTCAATCGATACCGTAAGCACCAATCCGAACCAAGAAACCCAAGACCCTGCGCATAATCATGTGACCGACCGGCGTCTTGGCAACCCGAAACCAGACCAGTCAAGTGATTCTGCCTGAGGTCTGATCCCCCCCATACGAGTACGAGCGGAATCACCGGATGCCCTGCCCCTTGGCAGACATGTCCTGGTCCTTCCTTGGCTGTTGGGACTTGGGACAACTGTAAGCGCTTACCAGGCCTTCAAGTAACAAGTACAGTACTACTAGCGACACTCCGCCCTGTAGGCAACAACCAATACCTGCCGGAGTAGGTAGTTGATAGCTCCGAGATTGGCAGGGTCCTGGTGCTGTGCCAAGAGGCGTCGGGGAGAATGGCCTGCTTGGGTTTGGCCGTAAGAAACGGTCGGTGGAGCCCAGCGAGCCAGGGGTGACCTTGGGTTCTTCCGAAAAGGGGTTCGTTACCGTATTGGCTGGAGGGGGCGGCTGTATGGCTGTCGTATGACTGTCGCGGGCGGTATCCCCCCTTCCTCCTCCTCAGAGGCTCACTGGATACACTTGAGACCGGATTGTTTCATGTACACGATAAGATTCTGACATATTGCGGAGTCTATTATCTTTTGGCCCTAGGATGGGGTAGGGGGGAGAAGCTGGGGGCGGGATGGGTATGGAACATGGAGTAGCATTTGGAAGGATTCCGGATCCTGTGGTGGTGTGTTCACTGTTCAGAGTGTTGTTGGTTGTTGTTAACTTGCTTGTCGATATGCAGGGCGTAGGGCAGATGTCGGCCCTACGAGATGCGTGGTGTATCTACTATCTACCTAGTATCTATCCCCTCAGTCTCGGCAGATAGGTATGCCAATCAGGAAGACTGTGAAAGTACCTTGGGCTTGCAGGAGGATCGGGATCCGAATCGATGATTCGTGCCAGCGCAGTGCCGTCTGGTTTTAGGGAGCTTCGAGACTGCATGTCATCATCTAAGATCACTGCGATACCATCCGGCCTCCGAGCGCCCTGCGGTAGTACCTCGGGAGCACACAGACATCACGACAATGAGATTTTCAAGGTTGTGTAACTGTTGCACGGATAGCAAGCGCCATCTGGATCGGAGCTGGTGACCTGCAGAGTGCAGAGGCGGTTGACCGATGTAGCCCTATGATGGTGATGGCTGAGGACGGCGGTATGGTACGGAACCAGGTGGTACGGGGGGCGTTCCGGTATGTAACCTGGCTGGGGCAGTGGAGAAAGCAGACAGGTCGGGAAAGATGGCACGCGAGGCCGACTGCTTTCTGCCCTTCCTTGAAATAATCCGTCCAAATCAATCAATAATTATTATGGAGCGCTGCCCGGTGGATTCTTGGGTGGTTGCCTAGGAGCTGTCATGGTCCGAGGGGAGGAATTTGCTTTCTGTTTTCCCGGCAAACAGCAGTCCTTGTCTTCGTGGGAATGAGTGCTGGCATGCCTGTGTTTCAGCACCACCAACCAGCTCCTTGTCGTCATGGGCTGCCATCCTTGCCGATCCGGCCTGCAGACTGCAGAGCGTCAACCCACGGAAAGGGTCCAAGGCCTATTCCCAACTGGCAATGTAATCTCAATGGGGGCCCTCAGTGGGCCTCAAAAAAGTGCCGCCCCGCTTGGTGGTTGAAGTCACCGTTAGTACGGAGTAGTATTCGATCCTATTCTTCCTTTCCCCCCCCCCAATCATTCAAAGGCGCAAACCTTTTTCGTCCTGTCGCTCTGAACGGACTCGCCGGATCTTCCGGTTGTTGCTGGCTCGTGTGGTTCTCGAAGCCAGCTAGTCGGACCATCAAGAACTGATCCCCGTGCTTTCTCTCCTGATCTTCCTTTCCTTCCTCCGAGTCTTCCCCCCTTGTGTCGTCCATGCCTGATTGGCGTGTCGACTTTGATTGGTACATACTTGGTCGCTCTCATTGCTGGCACCGGTGGCCTTCCTTCTCTTGTCAGATGCACAACACGGATTTATCAGTCCAGCCCGTGCGACTATAACGCCCTTGCACGACGATTTCACAGTCCGACTGAATCCCCTGTATAATTTGGACCACCCTAATACCAGTTGACACCACCTCGCCAGCCCAGAATGCAAGCAGAGGCATGATTAACCTCCCTGACACCACACCGACTCACACCAAACTCGCACGACCTGACTCCCGCCGCCGGACATGATACCCCGGGGCCTGCTGGCCCTCGTCACCTGCGCGATCTGGTCAACAGTGGCCACGGCATACCCCAATCCCGCAGACCACAGCACTCACGGCAGTTTCATAAATCGCAATGCTCCAGACCCGCTGTGGCAGAAGTACGGCCTAAATCGCTCTGACGAATTCAAGTACTTCCACGAACCGGGCCGCGACGACACGTTAGGTCACTATGATTCGCGATTCTTCCAGGGGGAGCCGGTTCCGGACGCGGAACGATCCATCACGCTGACACATATGATCCGAGCGTATCTGAACTTCTTTGAGGACAATGGGCTAGAAACATGGATTGCGCATGGCACATTGCTGGGGTGGTGGTGGAACGGCAAGGTGGGCTATTCTGGATTCGTTTGGCGTAGTCAATCATTGGTTCTCACACTTTCTAGATCATGCCCTGGGACTGGGATATCGACACACAAGTCATGGACACCACCTTGTTACATCTCGCCGACCGTTTCAACCAGACCGTTGTGCAGTATACTACCACCAACCCCACCGTCGAGCGTCGGTACCTTCTTGACGTGAACCCTTGGGCACGTCAGCGCGATCGCGGCATGGGACTGAATATCATTGATGCGCGCTGGATCGACATCAGCACGGGGTTGTACATCGATATTACAGGGCTGAGCCGACTCCAGGCCGATAAGCCGACGGAGTGGGAGTGTAAGAACGGACACAAGTACGAAACACAGGATATTTACCCACTGCGGACATCGACTTTCGAGGGCGTGACAGCCAAGGTGCCGTTCCGTTATGATGCAGTTCTGACGGAAGAATATTCAAAGACGGCGTTGACCGCAACGCAGTTTCATGAGTGAGTGTGGATTGCTCCAGAGAGTTGATGTAATAGACCTGCTGACATGTGACAGTCACACGTGGGATCCAACCCTCGAGGAGTGGGTGCCAGATGAGCCGGCCGCAAAGGACGACCGGCAGTATGAGTGAACCAGCCATATCGGCTGCATATATATTCATCGATTGTGTCATACAGCCTATAATTGTGGTCATACTGGGTATATATTGGGATTGGAGTTCTGGGGACAGGCGGCGTTCTGGACAGTCAATTGATTTGCAAAACATTTACCCAAACGGGTTGAGAGACAAAGCAGTGCACACAGTACCAGCATAAGAACTCATAAGCTAGTAGCAGCTTCTCTTACCATTCTACCAAGCCTCCCCCCAGCTAGATTGATGATCTGTGGGGGGTGCTATATCCCCGACGGCCTCACTATACTCCCGACAGACGAGGACCAACCGAAATTACGTGCGACGAGACACTGCCTAAAGCTGCGGTACCTGAACCACTGCCGGTACTAACTCTATGCGACTAGCCCCTTCAGCCTATCACCACGTGACACTATCTATCAGCTTATCGCTGACAAACAACGTCGAACTCCATCGAAGACCATCCATCCATCCATCACAAGCTCTTCCTCCACTGTACTCTTAATATAAAACAACCTCGCCTCCCTCTCCTCCCCCCGACCCCACGCCCCTAACCACCACCGCACCACCTACAACCAAAATGTCGGACCCCTCAGATCCCAACACCTCCAACACAGACCCCCCAATCACCCTCAAAATCCACCACCGCAACACCCCTCACGAATTCACCCTCCCCTCAACAAGCACCCTGACGGACCTAACGACCCTAATCGCCTCAACCCTACATATCCCCTCCACGAACCAAAAACTCCTCATCTCCCCATCCCCGGGAACCCTCAAACACCCATTCTCACCGACCCCGCTCCTCGAAATCCTCCCCCTCAATTCCCCGCGCCTCAAACTCACCCTCCTCGGCACGCCTACCAAAGACATCGACACGCTCAACGCACAATCCACCGCCCAAAAGACCATCGCCGAGGCCCGGCATCGCGCCCACGCTCTCTACGGCGCAAAGCCCACCCGCACCGGTACCTCCGCCAGCAACTCCTCTCGCATCCACACCCTCTCCAGCTCCGACGCCTCAAACTACACCTTCCACCGACTCCTCCCGCTACCTCATCTCCCGAATCCGAACAAGTCTCTCACGTTTTTGGAACGGCTGCGCGCCGATCCGGGGATCAAATCCGCAATGCAGAAACATAAGTTCAGTGTGCCGTTGCTTACGGAGATGGATCCGGCGGAACATACGACGAGTGAATCGCGGACGCTGGGACTGAATAGGAATAAGGGGGAGGTGATTGAGTTGCGGTTGAGGACGGATGCATACGATGGGTATCGGGATTATCGGACCATACGGAAGACGCTGTGTCATGAGTTGGCGCATTGTGTGTTCAGTGAACATGATCGGGATTTCTGGGATTTGACGGCGCAGATCGAGAAAGAGGTGGAGAGGGGGGATTGGACGAAGAGTGGGCGGACGGTGGCGGATCAGGAGTTTTACAATCCCGTGGATTGGGAGGGGGTTAGGGAGAATGGGTTGGTGGTGGATGAGGAGGGGTGGACGGGCGGGGAATTTGTGTTGGGGGGTCAAGGTCGGGGTGGTGGCAGGGCCGAGAGCCGGAGGGAGGTTCTGGCCAAGGCGGCCGAGGAGAGGATGAAGAGGACTAGGGAGAGAAAGAGGGAGAGGGAGAGGGAGAGGGAAGGAGAGGGTCAATCATGAGGCGATGAGATGATTGTTATGTGCATATCTTTCATTGGTCATTTCTTGATGCTTAGCATGATATACTCCGTACGATCTGTTTTAATGGCATGAGATGATCTACACCTGCTCGTTCACCAACAAGCCCGCCATTCCTTGGCCCGTGCCAATGCACATGCTCGTCACCAGGACCTTCTTCTTCGTGCGTCGCGCCTCGCTCAGAACCGTGCAGATCTGGCGCGCTCCGGTTGCGCCCAGCGGGTGGCCCAGGGCAATGGCCCCGCCGCGCGGGTTCACCTTGGCATGCTCTAGACCCAGGTTGTTGAGACAGTACACGGCCATCGAGGCAAACGCCTCGTTGATCTCGTAGATGTCAATGTCGTCCTTGCTCAGGTTGAACTTGGTCAGCAGCTTGGGGATCGCTGCAGTCGGACCAATACCCATGATGCGCGGCGGCACTCCCGCGACGGTGGCTCCGCAGAACTTGGCCAGGATGGGCTGGTTCAGCTCGATAGCCTTGGAGCGGCGCATGAGAAGAACAGCGGCCGCTGGAACACACGTCAGTATGGCCCATACGATCAACTCTCACAGAATAAGACTTACCACCATCCGTAACCTGACTCGAGTTGCCTCCCGTGCTCCGATTACCAAACTGCGGGAAAGCAGGTCGGATCTTACCCAGCGCCTCCGCCGTCGTTCCATACCGAACACCCTCATCCTTTGTCAAAGTAACCTGCTTCACTTCCCCAGTCTTTGGGTCCTTGACTTTCGTCGTAATCGGCACAATCTCGTCGTCAAACCATCCCGCCTTCTGCGCCTCCTCCGCCCGCCGGAAAGACTCGGCCGCATACTTGTCCTGCTGCTCGCGTGTGATACCAAAGTCCGCCCCGACATTCTCCGACGTCTGTCCCATTGGTTGCATGCAATCCGCTGCCTCTTGGTTGCGAAGCACCTCCTCGTTGAATGGGCTCGGCAGGCGATCGCCACCAGCGGACATCAGCTCCGCGCCGGCGGCGATACCAACATCAATGGCACCGAGCTGAATCTGGTTCGCAATATCCTGTACGGCCTTGAGACCCGACGAGCAGAATCGGTTCACGGAGGATCCACCGGCCGTGTGAGGGATACCGGCCGCGAGGGAGGCGGCACGGACCAGGTAGGCTGCTTTACCATCACCGACCTAGCAGTGAGGAGCATTAGTATCGGATGCGATTTAAGAAAAGGAAGCACTTACATTTCCCAGGCACACGTCCTCGACTAGGGCGGGATCCACCTTGGACTTGGAGAGCACTTCCTTCAAAAGCGAGTATACCATATAGTCCAGCTCCGTGTCCTTGAACCCGCCCTTGCCGGCCTTTGTGAGAGGTGTGCGCAGCGCGAGGGTGATGACTACATCGTCTGGATTCTTCTGAGTGCTGTGGGTGCTGGTTAGCAGCAATCATTGCCGAAAGTGATCTATTGCTTACATGGCGGCGAGTCCGCTATTTCCTGACGGCTTCAGGTGACTGAGAATGGAGTTTAGGCGATCTGCTGCCATAATGTTTTATGTGCTGTCCAGGGGTTAGTGAGCTGACTGCACGAAAGAGCGGAGATAAGCGGAGCAGTCACGAGGTGGAGACTGAGTAGGGATGTGGCCGGTCGAACGGTCAGGGTTTATATACGCACCTGGAATAAGTTTAAAGGATGAGTCCGAAAGATCAAGACAATGGGGGGGAAAGGTGAAAGGGGAGAGAGGGGGAGGGATGATATAATGGACCGAAACGGTGGTCTTTCAATGCAGCCGAGCAGCCGAGGCTGTTTCCTTTCTAGGACACCCGCCCAGTACGGAGTACACGGTACTTCCCTGCTCGGCCCATTTCTGCGACGGGCGAAGTACACAGTACCCCGACTTACCCCAGACTATCTACCCAGACCTCGGAGCGAATGCCCTCCGACACGATAAAATATGCGGGATCTGCAGAATGGGACCTCCGTATTTCTAACTAGCAATATATATACAGTCTTCAACCTTGACGGGCACGACATCCCGCCCTAAGTAAGCAAATTAAATCCAAGCAAATAACACCGATCGCCTTCCCATGATCGCCGTCCTTTCTGTCTTCCTTCAAAAAGTCCTTCAAATTAAATCCAGCATCGTGCCTACATATGATGGGGCTCCTCATTGCTAATAACACTCCCAACCTCGGACCAGCTAGCCGGGGTAGCTGCACCGGACCGCTCAAAGTCACTCAAAGTGCCCTCCGATCCATCAACCGCGGATTCATAGATCTGACTGAAGCTACCAGTTGTAGACGGCGTAGACGGGCGCTGGCCGGGATGGCGCTCGGAATGCAGGTCCGACAGGTCCGAAAATGGAGATCTCAAGTCCCGGCCGGTGTCGTTGACTGCATGATCTTCTGGATGGGCATAAATTACCTGAGAATAATCTTCTGTATGGCTCGAAGCAGCTGAGTCGGGCCGATGATAGCCGCCCCATTCTACGGAACGCTCGCCCTCTTCGGCCTGGGAAAGCAACGAGGTCGCAAGCTTGTCCGGAGCTTCCGAAGTAGGTGTGAACTCAACCAGCGATGGAGTATGGGAGCCAGACAGCGGGATGGCAATCTGCAGGCGATTTCCGATGTTGTTCAGGCCATCAGTTTCAACCAGGGGAGTCGAGCTCCCAGTCTGCTTGCCGCGTTGGACCGGCTGCGACGTCGTCACCTCCACCGCAGTCGAGTTTGCCATGGAATCATTTACATGTGGCTCCGGACTGTCCAGAAGGTGACCACTTTCGTCCACCAACGCATCGAAGCTGCTGGCCGGTGTACATCCTCGAGCCTTGCGACGTGCTTCGAGCAAGCTGCGCCGCCGTTGAAGCTCTTCTACCGCTAGCCGCCGTCGCTCCTCAGCCGCAGCGCCCATATCCTCCGTCATCGAGATGTCCTGTCTGTGAACGGCTGCGTCTCGTGGATGAATCTCATCGCCAAGATTATGTAGCGCCAGTGCGAGCTTTCGCCGCGAGTTGTTCACCCATTGTCGGAACTGAGGCGATTCGTAAACCGCGATACCTGCAGCGACAAGCGCCGACACGGTGATTATAATCCCTGAGATGTCAGTACCACCCCTTCTGCGCTGAAAGCACTCGAGTAGGATCGCTCTTTCACATCAGAAAAGAAAAAGCTACACTGAAATCACAGCACAGACGATGCCGATCGAGCCGGGCTCGAGCAGCTCATAGATCATCCATTCATTCAATTACTGATAAGCACACCGCCCGGGTAACGCAGCAAAAGCAGTCTGTCAAAGTAGTAGGAAACAATGAAAAGACCATCTAGAGCAAGCATACCTTTGGCAACCGGAGTAGGCATCGCGAGGCACCCTCAGTCGCGTCAGAGTTCGGACTGGGGGAGGAGCAGGCAACCGTGAGTGTCGGCGTCACGACACCCTTGTCATCCTGCCTTTCCCCGCCGCCCGACACATGACCCGCCCCTGCCCTTATCCGCCTGCCCTACCTGCCCGCCCGATCCGGCATCCCGCGTTTCCCCTCCGCCCGACTTCAAAACATCAACATCAACAACAGCAACAGCGACAGCAACGACAACAGCACCTTCGCCCTCGTGCGCCCCCATAGCTCACCACGACATCCCATCAGCGGCACCACCACCACTCATTATGTCCCGCCAATCCTCCATGGCGCAGCGCCCCCTCACGCTCACAGAGGAGCTTGAGAAGCTCGAGCAATCCATCACCTTGACCCTCCAAGGTACTACCACCATCACCTGATAGAGCTCCTCCCAAGCACCCTCTGACCTTGACTTTACCAGAAATCGATCACAACTTTAGCCAAGCCCACCGCATTGTCACAACTAGCATTCTCCCCCTCGTCGAACAATACGCGGAGAGCTCCCGTGACGTCTGGGATGGCGCAAAGGTATAAACACATGCCGACTCCCGACAACCACCCCCTGCAGGTCAATTAACATTCCACCCAGTTCTGGAAACAATTCTTCGAGGCCAGCGCCAATGTCTCTCTCTCCGGCTACGAAGAAAAGCCCACCGGTGACACCACCCTTCAAGAAACAACCGCCCTCTCCGCAGAAGAAGACCCAACTGTTACCGAAAGCGTCGCAGACGAAAGTCACCACGAACTCCACCGAGGCGACGACCTCGAACTCACCTCTCTCAGTCTCTCCTCCCACAGCACACCCCGCATCCCCGCACACCAGAACCACTATAACAATGATGACACAACCATAACCTCCATCGACCACCCCTCCACCGATACACGCTTCCAGCACGATGACATCGACGACGACGAAAACGACCCCTACCTGCCCACCACCCCAGCCAAATACTCCTCATCCAGAACCCACCACTACAATGACGAATACTCCCATGACCAGTCTCACACACCCATGTCCTCGTCACCATTCATCCCTCCAGCCGAAAACCCAATCATGCATCAGATGCCCGACAAAACGTACCGCGTGCAAGCCACCCCGCTTGGAAAGGGATACGGATACGAGTCCCGGCCCAAATTCACCGTTACACCGAAGACGAAAAGCAAGTACGCGTACGATGACTCCCCTATCTCCAGTCCCGAGCCGGAGGCGCCGCAGCTGCATGCGGAGATCTTTTCATCGCCAATGAAGGGCGCGGAGACGCCGAATACGGGTCGCAGGAGAAGGCCGAGCGCAAATCACCTTCGGATTACCCCGAAGCCTGGACTGAGTGTGCTCACACCTGCGCGAGGGGGTGGCGCGAGACGATCGGCATGGGATAGCGATGATGATTTTGACGATGGGGATGATGAGGATTTGGGTCCGAGTCCGCCGAAGACAATGCAGTTTCATATCCCGCAAAGCCGGCTGATGAAGACGCCTGGTGAGTACATGACTACACCTCTTTCACCCTAACTCTATTCTCTTCTCAATCTTATGAATAATATATTAACCTATGTGACAACAGCCAGGGAAGCATCAAAGCGCATCGTAGAAGACCTGCTCTTCACCGCCGGCGCAAACGACACGACCGATGACTTACCCGACGAGCAAAGTCCCAGTGTCATCCGACGGGTAGAGCGGCTCGAAGACGAGACTTTTTAGGACATATACTAGACATCAAATATACACTCCCTCCCATGTGTCACGTGTACCTCATCTATCCCTACAGCCCCAAATACGCAAAACTCTTCCACGTAGATAAAGAAAAAAAATGAATACCCAACAACAGCTAGTATTTCACCACCACCACCACCACCACACCTTATTCTATCATACCAGCCCCTCTCCAACGCCAATGCTCATCCACATCCACCCACCCACTCACTCACTCACTTACAACCCATAGTATACAACATACAAACTCAAAAGCATACAGATAACGAAACCTGGGTATTCCAGACGGCCGACCACTCAGCGTACAGGATACGATACGAGATCGACTTCATCAGCAACAACGACGACACCATGACTAAGAACTAGCTTCGAACCTGCGGGATTCAATCAAGCGGAGAAATGGAGGGAGGGAAAATGAGACAGATTACACGTGAGTAGTAGGGGCTGGGACACATAAGGGTATCGACGGGGGAGAAGGCGATGATGATGATGATGATGATGATGATGATGATGATGATGATGATGGAAGCAGGGGCTGCTTTGAGATTGGTGAGGGATGGAAGAAATAGGGAGGGTATGTAACGTATGGGATGGGGATGGGGATGGGGAGGGAGCGAATAAAAGGGTCCATCAATCAATCAGCCACGCCGCCGCGATATATGTACAACTGTCAGTTGACAGGACTCGGGGTATTCTAACGAACAAGGAAAATGGTATGAAAAGGCGTGTCCTTTCGGGAGCCAAAGGAGGGGAAGAGCGATTAAGAAGGAAAAGAAAGGGGGGAAGAACGCCGTCCGCATCATCCTCGCTCACCCTGGACCAGGCCGGAGATGGCAGAGGACGAGACGAGACGAGACGGGCTTTCTACCCTTGCATCCCCATGAAGATCTCCTGACAGTTCTCGACTAAAAACTTCAAAACCTCATTCTTCTTTTGCACATCAGTCATCTCCCGTGCGAGACTCTCGGGCCGCATGATGGTTGGAGCAAACACCACAGCGATGTTCTGGCTGGTCATAAGATTCTCCTTTTCACGCTCAACCACGCGCCTCAAGTGGAACACCAGGAACTCGAGCACATCCTGGTGAACGCGTGGCAGATCCCGAAGACTCTTCTGTAGGCTTTCAATCCGAGCGGACTGAGAAGCGATCTCCCCCGAATCAATGACTTTCTCGTACACATCAAACGTGATAAGCGGCATGGGCAGCTTGCGGAAGTATTGCTTCAAAGCGGACGTCACGGCATGAATATCGAGATCAGGGTCGGAGATATCGTAGTCCTGTGGAGAGCGCTCAAAGCCTTCTCGAATGGTTTGAATCGCAGAACTGGCGCCGGACTTGCGGTAGATACCCTCCATATCCATGCCTAGAGTGACAGTTAGCTTCCCGAACACACCCCCATAACTGGCACAGCATACCTCGTAGTTCGACTTCTTGGATACAGCGGGTGATAATGGCAGGGATGATGCTTTTCTCCTGCTCCATACGCTGTTCCAGATCGGTACCAAAAAGTCCTGTGAGATGTGTTAGTTTGCTGCTAGCCTACAAGCCGAAGGTATAGAACTAAATGCTTACCTCCAGGGGTAGTAGCTTCAGCCAGGACTGGGACACTCTCGGTTTGCGGCATTCGGAGTCCTGTTTGCTTGCTCCGCGGGTTACCGAAGAAACCAAATCCGGGGCGACTGGGGTCCTGCGTTTGAGAGCGTGGCAGACCCGGGTTGCCCTCTGCTGGCGCGTTTTCACTGGACATAAAGGCACCTTTGAGGCCTTTGGTAACACCCTTGGCGACGTTCTGGCCTCCTTTCTTCCAGTTAAACTTGCGAGGCTGTCCCTTTCGGATGCTAACCACCTGGGGACCCGGAACGATCGTAGCCGTGGCGGGTTCCACCTCTTCTGAGATGTTCGTCGTTGCTATCGTAGGAACCAAATCGCTGTTGGCCGCCTTCAGAGCATCGATGGCGGACAACGACTTCTCCTTGCCATGCGAGTAGATACCAAGACCGTTGGCACCGCGGCCGTCAGTCGGGTTGGCCTTGTAGAGCTCCTGGATCTGATGCACCAGCTGGTTGTTCAGTTCCGCTAGTTGGGCATTCTTCGAGGACAACTGCTCGAATTCCTGGAAGCTCTTGTCTTTCATACGGTTCAGGTTCGCCAATTCCTCTGCAGCCTCGTTACGTTTCTGCACCAGTTCCTCGATTTGTGGTGTAAAGGTCTCTTTCAGCTTCGAAATAGATTCCACAAACTCCCTCAAGACATGGTTGGTCAGCTTGCCAAGGTCGAGAGAGCCGCCGCCTCCACGCTTTTCGGCCTCGAGATGATCGGTCAGCACTGAGAGCTCGCGCATGGCAATCTCTTTCTGGGCGTCTAAGACCACCATGGTAGACCGCTTTTCGTGCAGCTCAGTGTTCACCTGCTTGACATCTGCACTTGCGTTCAGCATCGCTTCCATCTCAGCAATCTTCTGCTCCCGATCAAACACACGCTGCCGTTCCTTGCGTAGCTCGCTCCGCAGCCACGCCACTTCCTCCGGTCCCGCATTCTCGGGAGAGATGCTTGCCAGATCGGGTATCGCAGCGGATCCATTGACAGGTGACTTGGGCCATTTGGCATCCCTTGAGAGGCGAGATCCTTTGTCGCTGTAGGAACGGCCGTGGCGCACGGAGTTGGAGACGCGTCGGAGGAAGGACTCGCTTGTCTGCGTAGAATTTCCGTCATCAGAGCCCATAATTCGGGCCATATCTTCCTCCATAGTGAAGTCCGCTCCGCCACTATACCGCAGTAACGATGGAGAACCTGCACCATCAGTTTGGCGATAGGCCTCGACCTGTTGAAGAGTGCTGATTGAGTTGGGTCGCGCGGGAGGTTTAGGCGGTTCATTCACTTCGCTGCGCGGAGTCCAGGCGGATTCACCGGTCCTCGGAGTACTCTTGCTGGCACCCGTCCGGTCTGTAGATCTTTCGCTCCACTGGTCGCTGGGGGTGACGGACGGCGGGCGAGGCGACGTGCCGACTTCCTTTCTTGGGGCCTGATGCAGCCTACCCTCCAGGGAGTCGGCCCGTTTGGGATGTTGTATGCTCGAAGAGGATAAGAATGAGTGCGATGAGTCAACCGACCCCGTGGTCTCGTGCAACCGACGCAGCTCATGAGAAGGTCGAATCGGGAGTGTGGCAATGTTGTCACCCGCAGCCCTCTGGAAGTCTGAAGCTAAGCCGTCTCTCTGAGCGGTCGCTGATTTAGTGCTTTCGGGGCTTGGTGTGGAGAAAGTGCTGGTCTCCTTGCGACCCAGGTCTGACCTGGAACTGCGAGCGGATGCCGACCTGGCAGTATTTAAGCCGTTAGCGAGGTCATCCTGACGCCAACGTGCCGCGTCAAGGTCGACGCGATCCCGGCCTTTCTCCTGGTACGCAATATGCGGAGACGAAGTCTCCGATTCCTGAGGCGATTTTTGGTAAGTTGTGGAAGGTAACTGTCCGCGAGGGGGGCGTTGTTCTTCGGAGGGGTCAAATGCGACAGGAATCAGGAACTCCCCCCCGCTCTCTACTTCGGTTTGGGGGATGATTGAGTGTCGATTGCTTCGGTAAGTGCTCGAAGGGAGGATCAGGTTATCTAAAATAAGATCACGAGTTAATCCGACGTTCTCCATAACACACCATGCAGTTCACCTGGTGCGGGCCATCTTACCTTGATTATCAACAGGCGCGCGAGTAGCAGACGAGCTTCTGCCCCTTCCTGCGTCCAGCGCAGGCGCAGCTCCTCGCAATGTCGCATCGGGAGTCGTATCGGAATAAGCATCGGCAGCTGGATCGTCCGAGCCGTGAGATCTCGGTTCGGCCTCCTCTGAAGGCAAGGATGGAAGTGACTTGTCTAGTTTTATCCCTGGGGGCTGTTTCCTAGAGGGTGGAACATTCCGATTTCTCTTTCTCCGCCGCTGCATGAGTGATTCATGGCAGTCCATACAAAATATACCCTGTGAGGTTCGAGCATAGCGCAGGTTCTCAATTTTCCTTTTACAATTCCGGCATCGAAAGCACTGTGCGCAGAAGGCTTGCTCGCCCGTTAAAATGGCAAGGTCCTCGATCTTATTTCCACACGAGCTGCAGCTGTATGTGCAGTTACTGCAAATCAACGATCCGTCTCCGAGGAGTAGTAGGTGTGCGTCGGAATCGAGAAGGGTACCGCAGGTGCTGCAGCAGAAACATTCAATGTGCCATCGATTGCCCGCTACACGGGGGTGGAAAAAAGAGCGGTCAGCCACTTGTTGAAAGATAAAGACGGAAGACTCGATGCAAACCTACCAAGTTCGAAAGCCTTGCCCTCTTCCAGAATCTATCCGCGGAAAAGGCTAGATTAGCATGCGGTGCCCGTTGATTCTCCAGCCAGCGCCTTCAGCATACCTCTCCACAGCCCTTGCAAGGGAACGGGATATCATCCTGGTCCATGGGGGACTCTGGATACGCGGGAGACTCCATCCTGTACTCCTCGCTCGAGTAGCGATCGAAAAAATTGAGTTGAGCAAGGCGAGATGCTCAGGCAGATAGGAGGAGGCGAAGGGGGATAAGGACGAAGAAATATTGAAGACGCGCCCGCGATGCTAAAATCAGAGCGAGTCGTTGAAGTCGAAGGGGGGTCTCGAGATCCCGTTACGGATGCGACAAATGCGGTAGAAAATGTGAATGCCCACCCAGTGCGAAGAAAGGAAAGATCGGTAGAATACCATACGGCCGGGGAAGTGCAGAATGATGCCAGTGAAGACGGGGGAGGGTGTCTGTGGTGCCGGGGGAGGACACGAGTCCGCGCGCGGAATGAAAGCAATTAACTCCCACCAGCAAGGAACAGCAACAGGATCATAAAAGATTAACGAGTCTAGTAGAGTGATTAGATTAATAACAGGGTTAGTGGCAGATCGGCCAGGGTCAACATGGTGGAGGAGGGGAGGGGGGGGAGGCACGGAGAGCAATAGCACTGGAAATTGGTGACGAGCGGCCGCCAGACCAGACCAGGGGCACAGCGGCAGAGGGGGGGGGAACTACCGAGGACTGACCATGCAGCTGCTGCAGCTGGATTACCACCACCGCTTCGTCAGATTGGTAGGGGAAGAAAAAACAAAAGAATAAAAAAGAGAAAAAAAAAAGGAAAAAGATCAAGAGCCAGTCAACGAACGGGTCAGAGGACGAGCAGGGGGAGGAGAGTAGCAGACCTAGGTAACTGAGTACTAGGCGAACGAGAGAACGAGACGAAAGAGAGTTTGAGGCCGAAATGAAACACACCAAACAGAGAGTGTCGTTTCAGATAGACTCGCTGCGGGAACCCATCATCCATCCCCTCATCAACTCATTCACCCGCCATTATGTCTGCAATCACTATTGTGGCCAGGCCTATTGTCTCGACAATCCTTCTCTGGGGAATACATCAATTCATTCATCGCGAATCAGCCTTCCAGTGAATGGCCTGGAAGCCTGGAGCCGGGCCCCCCATCAAGGCCCCATACGAGGGACCCGAATACGATACTAACCACCTGCCCAATCAGGAGGGTTTGGACTGTCTCCGCCGGTATCAACGGTAATGGTCGTACGGTACGGCTCGGTTTCTAACACCTCAGGCAGCCATCAATTGCAGCAACGTCCAATTAATCTCTCCAGTCTATAGGATGTCTGACTATATCTACACCCAAAAATCCTTATGTACCCAGCATCCATCCAATTCCAAAACGCCCATCAAACGCTATTAAACCGATGTAAGTCTCAGTCCCTATATCCTTTTTAACACCCCGCCCCCCCTTCCCCCCAAAATCTAACCTTGTCAGATGCAGTACGAATCCCACGTATAGGGAGGTAGCAGATTCGCCAAATTGCGATCACATTAGACACCTCCAAATCTCGGCATGGATGAGGGGTCTTGTCGTTCAGTTGGGTGACCATCGTCTGATTATCCAGGGGCTCTTTTTCCTTTTCTCTTCTGAGATCCCCGTGTTTCAGTCTCCCGTCATGGTTAGGTCTCCAGCGACTGGTGGATCACACTTGTCCGATACGTCTCACTGCGCTGGATCAGCTCCTGGTGCGTCCCTTGTTCTGCACAACGGCCCTCCTCAATCAGATAGATCCGATCCGCTCGGTGGATCGTGTTCAGCCGATGCGCGATCGCTACAATCGTCGTCCGGCCCGCTAGCGTCGCCAGCGCTTCTTGGATCTTCTTCTCCGACTCCACATCCAGTGCGCTCGTCGACTCGTCCAGCAGGAGGAGTCGTGGCTTCCGCACCAGTGCCCGGGCAATGGAAAGGCGCTGGCGCTGCCCGCCTGAGAACTGCTTGCCGTCGTGGCTGCACATGGTCTGGTACCCGTCTGGCAGGGACATGATCACGTCGTGGATGTTAGCCATACGACACGCCTCTTCGATCTCCTCCTGTCTAGCTTCATGGCCAGGACAGGCACCCAGGCCAATGTTGAAGGCAACTGTGCCTTCGAATAGAACGTTCTCTTGTGGCACCAACGCAATATCGTCACGGAACTCGGTGCCTAGTTGCCGGGTCACATCGATTCCGTCGATAATTACCGACCCCGACGCGGGTCGGTAGAACCGCTCCAGCATAGCGAAGGTCGTCGACTTGCCCGATCCGCTAGGTCCGACTAGCGCACAGAACTGACCGGGCTTGATGTCGATGTTAAGTCCTCGTAGGATCGGGCGTTCAGGCCGGTTTGGATAGGTAAAATGCACCCCTCGGAGCTGAGCGCCAATACCGTTGTCATTCGTCCGCCGCGTCGTACAGTGCGGCTTCTCAGCAGCCTCCACATCTTGCACGGTGGCCTTTTCCTCGAGCAGGCTGCTCGGAAACTGAAAGCTCTGCATCGAACCCGGTGCCAGCTCCTCTTCCGCGGAGCGGGTGGTAAGCAGGTCGACAATGTTGGACGACGCGAGACGGGCCTTGGAAATATCCGGCGCCAGAGCAAACATCTGACCACAAGATTGCGTACTGAATAGCAAGGCAGGTAGAACAATGAAGAATTGGGTCTGAGAGTACAGCCCCGATGCCACCTGCCTCGACCCCCACCAATACGCAAGGGCATAAACCAGGTTGCTGATACTGAACGCCAAAGCCAGCCAGGCGTTGCCATGTGCAATGGCCTTCATTGTATCCCGGTATGGACGGCGCAGGGCTCTGCCAAATACTTCCTGGGATTGCTTTTCGAGGGAGAATGCGGCAACGGCGCGGATGTTGTCTACGGCCTCGACGGTGATGGCCGTCGCCTGGGCAAATGCCTTCTGATGCCGTTCGGCGTACTTGGCCTGGACACGGAGCTTCATCATGCCCGCCACCAACAAGATAGGAATTGTCGGAAACAGAACGATAGTGATCTTCCATGCGATGGCAAATGATATCACCAAGCCGGCCACCAGGTTTACGGCAGTAGCAAGGAGGAGGCCAATGGTGGATCCGGTAATGCCACTCAGCGAAGCGGCGTCACCGGTGATATAGGTGATCAAAGTTCCTGGAGTTCGCTCCTCCATGCCATGCCATTGTATGGTTTGGTTGAGCAACGACCGCAGAGACAACACTCGGATACGGTACAAGATTTTATCGGCTGCCCAGCCAAACGCGCAACCGCCCACCACGTTTGCCGTGAGCTCAACCAGGGCAAGGATGAAGAACAGCAACCCATAGAGATCACCGCTGTCACGGATTGCAGCAGAAGGTCTGCATGGGCTTAAACTGCCTACTGTATGGCCAAAAACGATTGCTTCAGCTGAGTAGCTGCCACCAATGATAACAGACATACAGAGGCCAAGGGAAATCAACGGCATGTTAGTCCGTATCAGCGAGAAGGTATACTTAATAGTGAACCAGGTTGAACGTTTGTGTTTCTTCTTCTGCTTCTTGCTGCCATCGGTGCCATCTTTGGAAGCCGGGGGCATCTCAACGACCATCGTATCATCTGTAACATCTGACCCGCCGATTCCTACCAAGGCTTCCTTCTCATCAGTGGGCTGCACACTTTCATGAAGACTGCTCGTTGTTGGTGCATTGCGGATCATGTCTTTGGGGGTCTGTAGGTCTTCGACACTCAAGTTGCCCAGGTTCTGAAGCCGGACCATGTCTGCATAAACACCACCCTGGGCTACGAGCTCCGCATGAGAGCCTTCCTCTGTAACGCGCCCCGCCTGAACAACGACAATCTTATGTGCATCTTTGGCAGTGGCTAGTCGGTGCGCAATGGAAACAGTGGTAATCCTTTTGGAGACTTTGGCCAGCGCAGCCTGAATAAGCTGTTCGCTGGTGGAATCCAAGGCAGCCGTGGCTTCATCGAGGATGAGCAGGCACGGCTCTCGCACGAGAGCTCGGGCAAGCGCAATTCGTTGTTTCTGGCCTCCACTCAACTGATTTCCGGCCGTTCCCACGTTGGTTGCAAATCCATGGGGCAAGGCGTCAATGAAGTTGAGGGCATTGGCGCTGGCGGCCGCCTGCCTCACCAGTTGTACAATCTCGGCCACGCAACTGTCAAAGCCTGTCAGAGCATTCGTCTCCGACATGCCTTCCCTTATCTTTTCAGTAAGGTCCGGGAGGCTTGAATCGAGAATTAACGGGGCTAAGCGCCGGTGTGTCTCTGCAGAAGAGGACACCAGGCCGTACGCGATGTTTTCGAGGATTGTCCGATCCAACAGGGACGGTCCTTGTTGGACGAAACCAATATTACTTCGCAAATGCCGAACATTGAGATCACGAAAACTCTTTCCCCCAATCATAACCTCTCCCGATTTAGGATCATAAAACCGTTCCAAGAGAGACACAACAGTCGACTTTCCACCACCAGAAGGTCCGACAATGGCGGTATGCTTCTTTGGGGGAATGACAAAGCTCATTCCCTGGAGAACAGGAACATCCGGACGAGCCGGGTACGAGAAGTGGACATCATGGAATTCGATGCTCTCTTCCCCGAACCTCGCCGTCTTATCGCCTTCTTCTGCGGTTCCGTCAATGGCGGACTGGCGATTGATTACGGCGAGGAGCCGCTCCGAGGCACCGGCCGCAGAGGCGAATACATGGATGAAGGGCGCAACTTGACTCAAAATGAATGACGCATCGATAAGCACGAAGATAACAGTGTACACAGCACCCACAGAGATGCCCGAGTTGCTGCTAGCTACTGAGTCGGAAATCATCTGAGAACCTTCCCAGAAGGCCAGGGCGTTGGCTGAATAGGCGACAAAGTACAAGAATCCAAGCTGTGCGGCGTGTGTCCCGGCTTTTTTGAGCGCATCCATGGATGATCTGGAGAGGTAAGTGGCGAACCGTTGTTCCAGACGGTCATTAGCATTGAAGGTGTGAACCAGGGTCAAGTGCGACAAGCTGGATGAGGCAATGGATGTAGCTGCATTGATATTGGCTGTGACGCGGCTCGCATATTTCTTGATGAAATGACCGCCCACCAGGGACATGAGTAAGAAGCAAGGCACCACGGATATCAGAATGCCGGCAATCTTTGGCACCTTGATGAAAGCCACGATATACGAGGTCACAAAGTATGACACGGTCGCGATCACTAGGCCTACCTTCTCCGAAGATCCCATCTGCACGGTCTCGATATCGCTGACCAGACGGGATATTACATCACCAGAGGGAAGGGACTCGATAAAGTCCATGTCCTGTCGGATTACACTTTCAAAGTATCGCCTGCGATAGCGGCGTGCAAGACGCTCACTCACCAAGCACCAACATGACGTGTAGATGTAGATGATGAAGAAGTTCGCTATGGTAATGTAGACAACATATAGGACCTTGGTGCGCACGCTGGACGAGAGTTCTGATGAAGCACTACTCGAAGTGGAGCAAGTGGTCGAATTGAGGTCGTTGATCAGATCACCAAAGACAATGCCAAGTAGTGGGAATGGAACTCCTCCAGCGATTCCGGAGATCACACCGCAGACGATGAGGAATACGTCGAACATCGTGTAATCCAGAGAGAACAGGAGGTGTATGTAGGCGAAGAACTTCTTCAGGTCTGCTTTTGTTGGGACAAGCCCTTTGACGCATTGCGCCTAAACGTGAAAGTGGGCCACTGTCAGCCTGCTTTTAGGTCGCCCTTCTCACTGAACAAAAAGAACGACAACATACCAAGTCGCTGATGCCATTGGAGCTTTCCTGTCGCTCATGTGCTGAGCCTGAGTCTGCCATGATGGATTTTCGGGACGAGAGTTCCTGATGGAAGGGACAGTGTGAATCCTGTGAATAAAAGGCGCCGTAGAAATTGCCGGAGCTTCTTTGGCGAAGTCTCAACGAAAGAGGCGCACAGGGAGCCAGGGAGCGGCAGCTCCAGAATCCCTCAACTGAAGAGGTGTGGCTCGGATCCCCTGCAAGATGGTCGAGCAATAATGGAGGAGTGAACCTATACACTCGTGCATACACTTCCAGGAACGCATCCCTGCCAGATCAGACAGTACTGGTATCGCAGCTGGGGGAGAAGAAAGGAAGGGGAGAGGGGTATAATGATGAGAGGGCGTCAGAAAAAAGAGGACAACCAAGGAGGGGATCCATTTCCCATCACGGCGGCTCCGGTTGCGGCCCTGACGAGCTAAGACTTGGGGCCGAGTTGTAGGTACGAAGTAGACAGTTGACACCATCAGTCACCGGGAAAGCCATGAGTAAGAGAAATCAGATAACCCCCAAAGTCGACCACCACTGGGAAAGAGGGTCCCGCTTAACTGGTGGCCGACGGAGGATCCAAGGAACAATCAGAACTGGATCTCCACTCGGCAGGCAAGAACTAATACTAGGCCTAGTAAGGAGGAACATGGGAGTGACCTGTTCTTAGTAGATAGGGGCGCTGGCCCATCAGACGCTGTATTCTGAAAGCACCCAGGCTGAGCACGCGAATCAGTCGGGACTGTTACACAGTATGGCAAGGAAGATCGACCATTGGGCGTTTCTCTTCTAAACGCAGTGGGGCCAGTGGGAGGTCGGTTCCTGGGATCGCTGTAACTGTACTGGGACTAACTGTACTGTTAAGTAGGTATTAAGTATTAGCCGAAGTGATCACCTCCGATTTCTCAGGAAGGAGTCAAGCATGTGTCTGACAGCAGACCAGCTAATCCAGAACAATTCTTTCTTTGGGAAAAGAAGAGAAAATGGAATGGGAACGAAATCATAATCCTCCAACCGAGGCATCAGGCGCCAAGGTTCTGGGCGTGGGACGTGGCTGGATGGACCGACATGTTGGGTTCATCTGATAATTCGGTTGCTTTTCTGCTGGCCGGTTCCCTCATCTACAGGCTCCCCCTCCAATCACCTGCCTTTTCGGGTTCCGCGGTGGGGAAGTCCCTGCTTCTGCCATCTTCCGTCTTATTCCTCCGGCTCATCGAATCCCTTCATTCTGGTACGAACCTTCACATGAAATTTTCATAGGTTAATGTCGGTGCAGTTTGCAGACTGCACATTGCAGATCCATTGTCCGATAATTCTCCTGCCCATCCCTAACAACCAGTGGTTCATGTCTGTTAGCGCCTTTCAAATTTGTGACTCATCCATTTCCCGCTCGTACGACCACTTCCTTTTTGTTCGTCTCTGCCAGCTTCTATTATTGTGTCATCATGATGAGATAACTACAAAATTTTGTGTTCTGCAACAGACTACTTCAGCGAATCCCAACGATATGAAAAACACATGACCACTCCTTCAGATACAAAGGATTCCAGTAATATTCTAGAAATGGAGAGCGACCATACTAGCGCGGGAGGGATAGAGACTAGGATCCGCAATCCCACCTCTGATGGGGTCACCGATGGAGCGTCCCAAGTTATCAGATGGCGCCTTTTACCCCCATCGGGCACGTTTAGTACTAGTTCTAGCAGCTCCTAATTGCCTGATTCCTGAAGACAGGTTTCCTGTTGATTAATATTCAACACTTCCAACTTCCAAGGCCCGTCCAGGGGCCGATGTCCTTCGATTCAGAACATTCCATTTCCTTTATCTAATCTGATCGATTGATAAACCCCGACCGCGGCCCATGAATCTGATTAGATGCTGATCTGATTAGATCCTGTTCATTTTTGTTTTTCATTTTACTTGCTGTTCCTACCCAAAGGATCGACAAGTTTCTGACGTAAGGGATAGACGTACGGATATCTAGAGGAAACTTTCTTGAGGCACTTTTCGACTGCCCTCTCTGAAATCTTTTAATGTACGGGGTACACCGGCCGCCATCCCCACATCGAATGCCGCCGCGACTCGAAGAAATGCTTGCCCAACATTTAGACTTTGTTTACTTTTGAGACTGTTCTTCCCATGTTTCTTGATCAACGTATTTCTTCTTCATCGTTTCTTTTTATTTTCTTTTTTCCTCTCCACTATTTGGGCACTAGTTACTTGGTATGGCCTTCGTACGGGCAGCTAATTCCCCAACTCCGCCGGAATCAAAAAATCCGACCACAACATCAAAAACAACAAACACACTCCCGACATAGATAAATACAAACCCCCAAGACTCAGCACGTCTCTCCCTCAAACCCTTCTCACCACAAAACACAACCACCTCAACCAAGAACCCCAAATCCCTCAATCCAAAACAATCCCCATCACCAAATCCCCCTGCATTCCACCTACTCACTCGATCGATTGATCCTACAACCCCCCAAACAAAACACTTCCACTTACCCAAGACTCAGCACCGACCCTTCCCAACTCGATTCGTTCCTTTTTACAGTAGTATCAATCAAGAAGCATCAACATCAAGACCAAGCAACCGTACTGATCGCAACGAGTAACCGTCAGCGTCACCACCAGCATAGCAGGGGTGGAATAATGAAGCGACGTGGTGAATCAATCGCGTAGAAAAATGGTACTCAAACATATGTCCTATATTAGACGAACGGCCTCATCCACCCTCTCAGCATCAGTGACGGTGTGATGGAATTGGAACCATCTCGCTTGGACTGGAATACAGGAACGGTGGTGGTGTAAATCTCATGTCTATCCTAGACCCCATCCTATCAATCGGTTAGATAATCATATCAGATACTGGATCGTAAGCATCAAAAGAGAATTCGAACATAAGAATAGAGGGTAATCTAGGCGGGAAGATTCTGACCTGTAGAACATCGGTCGATTGCTGGCTCGGAATCGCACGGTCTTGTCTTTGCCAAGCGCGCCGGGGAGATTGATGGACTTGCTGAACGGCGTGGAAATCTTCGAGGATTTTCCCGGCGAACTAGTCACCGAGTTGAGCCCGCGATCCAGAGACTCCCAGAAATTGCCAATACGAAGAGACTGTGGATGGATCACCCCTCGCAGTCCCTCCTGTGGCTTTTCGGACGGCAGAAACCTGCAAGAGCTCACACTGCCGAGGAAAAGTGCGGTGGGTATGGATCCACCGTAGGGCAGGAAGAATCGGGAGAGTATCCTAGTCTAATGATATCGTCCGAGCAGTAGAGATGGTGGTTGACTCCGGAGGGTAGACAGCAGGCGGGACTCAACACCGGCGCTACATGAATGGAACAGGAAATGAATATGAATATGAGTATTCTTGTTTGGCTACTCTGCAAGGTAATAAATACAACAGCCACAACAGTCAATCACCCACTCTCTCATCCTTTAGCAATATAATAAGTCAATAATTTTCTTGAGTTCTCGTTGGGCTCCCCCAACAGCTTCCAAAAACTCCCCTCGTTGGGCGTCATCTTCCGTAGCTGGACGGCCAGCTGCGTAGCCTGCTGCCTCACTTCCGAATGTCTCACCGTTAGATAACGGGAAGCCGGACCACCGACCTTTTCAACCAAGCGAGGGGGAAGACGGTATCCCGAAGTATTCATTCTCCGTAAAATCGTGGTCAATATAGTGAATCCCATTGCCAGGGAACGGGTGCTGAGGTCCTCGTCCATCATCATAAGCACGAGGGTATCCACAGCTTCTATCTGATCCGTCTGTGCGATAACCTCTTCTGCCATTTTGGCCATTCCTGACGCGAGATAGCAGGATCCCTCGTAATGCATTCTTGCCCTGACAAGCGCCTTAAGGATGCGAGTACAGAACCCGCCCAGTGTTATTGTGGAAGCAGATGGGTCTTCCACCAATTTCTTCAGGTGTTGAAAGGTGCATTTGACTGTGGCAAGTACTTGAGTTTTGTAATCAAGAAGACGGCGGCTACCCACTTGCTTCGCTTCGGGTGCCCTTTCAAGCTCAGCAAGGAGTGCGTTGAGGAACACCATGTATTGGTCCTCTTCATCATATATCCGATCATGGAACTGAATCAGACGCTGCAACTTGTGGTAACCAAGAAGGTCCATATCCCTGGAGAGTATCCGAGGGATGGAGTTTTCCAAATTCCGCCTAGCGGCAGTGGTATAATCCTCCGCCCGAAGACTGACACTGACACGACGGGTACGTGCAACGCGCAACGGCGGGAGTGGTGAATCCTGATTCTCGTCAAGTTTCGATGGGGTGGACTCGGAAGGACTATCCACAACTTCTTTCTGACTCGTTGGTCTGGTAACCTCCTCTGCTGTCTCGACCAATCCTAGCGTGGGATGGCAGGATTGCTCGAAAAAGTCGTTTTCGTTTGACCTTTCCTGAATCTCCTCCTTATGAGATGAGCTGGCTTCACCTTCGGTCCAAACTGTGGTATGATCCTGATTCAAGTGATTCGCTTCACTCTCTCTCCAAACCGTGGTATGATCCTGATCCAAGTGATTCGCTTCGCTTTCTTTCCAGATGGTGGCACAATCCTGATCCAAGTGATTCGCTTCATGTTCTTTCCAAACCGTGATATGATCCTGATCCAAGTGATTCGCTTCGCTTTCTTTTGACGCAGTGACAATGTCCTGATTCAAGGAGTTTGCTTCGCTTTCTTTCCAGATGGTGGCACAATCCTGATCCAAGTGATTCGCTTCTCTTTCTTTCCAAGCCGTGGTATGATCTTGATCCAAGTGATTCGCTTCGCTTTCTTTTGTAACAGTGACAATGTCCTGATTCAGGGAGTTCACTTCATTTTCTTTCCAGATATTTGCATGATCCTGATCCAAGTAGTTCACTTTGTTTTCTTTTGAAGCAGTGACGATGTTCTGATTCAAGGAGTTCACTTCACTCTCTTTCAATACAGTGGTGATATCCTGATTCAAGGAGTTGTCTTCGCTTTCTTTCAAGGCAATGACAGGCTGCGTCTGTTCGTTCGTGTTTCGAATGGCGGGTTGAGGCTTCTTCGCCGCTGGCCGCATAGGGGCGGAAGACAGAGATGAGACATGAGAGGAGGACGACTCAGGTCGCGGGGGTAATGCTTGCTTCGGAGCGTAATATTTTTTCTTATGCGCGGCAATTGCCTCTTTGAGAGCAGCAACGCTTCGCGGTGGTTTTGCCGGTGTCTTCGAGACATCGGTGTTCGCGTGTTCGACATTCGGATTTGCTGGATCCTTCTCCAGCAGCGACCGTGATTTAACATCCAGATCGGACATTATACTGTATTTCGTTAGCAGAGCATTCTCAATGGCTTTGCGAGAACTCGAAGCTGAAAACTCACGCTTGGGCTCTGATGGGCCAAACGTTATAGAACGTCCAAAAAGTGCGCCGCATTGCTTGGCGAACGTCAGGGTTGGCATCAGAGAGGCCCTTCTTGAGACCCTTTTCAATTAGTTCAAGACCGCCGCCGTGTTCAATGGAAGCCTTGTTGCTGGCTTGCTTAGTGATTAACGTTTTCATCCACCCAGCTGAATACAGACGCAGTTGGACATTTTTGTCCAGTGAGGCGCTAGTAATGTGCTGCAGGATACGTTGCGTAAATGACACATGCCCAATGACGATGTCAACAGTGGTATATCCATTCTGCGCGGTGATCTTCTTCATGCTGGCACACAGCTTAATGAGGTTCTGCATGATAATCTCCATGCTAGAATCCATACTTGGACCACACTGTGTGGCGATATCCTGAACCAGGAGGCAGCCATTTGCTCCCAACGTGGTTCGAAGTGAATTGACAGCCTTGAAAATGCCGTCCAGCATCGATTTAATGGCCGACATTAGTGGTTGAGGGTAAGCTTGAGGTGCATTGCCATGCAAGAGCCGACGGAGGGTGAGAACACTCTTCTCACGGTGCATCCAGTTGTCCTCGGACTCACGTCCTTCGAAGTAAGGAATCATGGTACGAAAGATATTATCCAATTCTCGGGAAGATGAAACGATGAGCGGTTCAACGTTTTCATCCTCTTGCAAGATAGTGCCAGGCGTCGACTTGGGAGGCGCTGCGCTGGCGGTAGGCTTCCCGCCCTGTGGAAGACGTTGAGTAGTAGTATCGGGTGCTGCGCTGGCAGTAGGCTTCTGAGGGGAGACGGGCCGTGGAAGCCGCGGAGTCACATTATCAGGCGCTGCGATGGCAGTAGGCTTCCCGCCCCGTGGAAGACGTTGAGTAGTAGTATCGGGTGCTGCGCTGGCAGTAGGCTTTTGAGGGGAGACGGGTCGTGGAAGCCGTTGAGTCACTGTGTCGGGCGCTGCACTGGCAGTAGTCTTCTGAGGGGAGACGGGCCGGGGAAGTCGCGGGGTCACTGTATCGGGCGCTGCGATGGCAGTAAGCTTCTGAGGGGAGACGGGCCCGGCAAGATGGCGAATGACCGTGTCAATACTTTCAGACCGCGAAGCCCGCGAAACCGGACGTTGACTCGCGCGGGAAGCCGGACGTTGACTAACGCGGGAAGCCGGACGAGAAAGATGCTCTGGCTCATCGGAGTCCAGGCCAATATTAGCCAGAATAGTGTGGACAATTGACTTCCTGACTTTCTGCTCGCTCATTTGTCTTCGAAGGTCAGACTTGGCATGTGCGGGTGCGTCCCTAGCTCTTGTTAGCGGCAGAGTCATGCAAAGAAAAACGACAAAGCTTACTGAAACAGGTCGACCACCGTCGACTTAGCCGTATCTCTAACGGTACTATCGGCATCCTCCAGACATGCAACGAGGCTCGGAACGTACGAACGGAAGAGCAACCCATGATTCTTCGTCATCTGCAGCAGACATCAGTTAGGCGTGGTCGAAACCGGATGCGGAGGAAGACTTACGTTCGCAAGCCAGAGCATGCTCATTTCCTTTGCTCGGTTATTCTTGCCTGCAAGAGCAAGATCCAGCACATATTGTTCAACTTCGCGACCAGCAGCAGGCCATATGTCAGTAAAGGCTTGGGCCGCCTGGGCTCGAATCCGCTCCTTGTGATCACCCAGGCGCTCCAAAAGCAGGGGATAAAGGTGACGACCTTGCAAAGCAACCAAATCATGTTGTCCCTGAATGAAAAGACGCTTGAGGAAGTGGCCCAGTGTAGAGTACCCAGCAGACAGAAGTGCCAAATGTTGGGAGCCGATGGACAACCGCAAGGCCTCAAAGATAGATGGGACTGCGTCCTCGGGGACGTTTTTCTGTTTGATGTCGGACTTGACGCCGTTCAGAAAAGTAACCTTGGCATCGATAGCTAGATTGGCGTTCTTCAGAATAGCCACCAGCTCTGCGGCTTTGTGTTCCATCTTCGCAAGAAGAAGTTTGAGCTCCGCCGGATTTCTGTTCAGTAAGGCATATATAAAGGCAAAAGTAGCGAGGAAAAACAGAAGTTTGAAAATGCTGAAAAACAAGAACAAGGTAACGAACAGAGCGAGCTCTGTCGTTCCAACAGTTATGTCAAACCTAATCGAAGACATAGCGTTAACAAAACAATATCTTTGTGATTGTTTACAAAATTTTCGGGAAAGACAACTACGCAAGGCAAAAAAGACAAATACACAAAGAGCAAAATCGAAAGCACACAGATTTTTATCAACGTGGAACGTTGAGCAGAGGGCTTAGAGAAGAGTAGAAGCAGGCAATTGAAGCTTGAGTATGAGTATGGTGATGGGTGAAGGAAGAAGAGGAGCAGGACGCGGCGGGGTTCATAAGAAGGACCAACATGATGGCTCTTAGGGAAAGTGCACATACCTGCTATTTCGGGCAGTCGCAATGCAGACGAATGACGGAGACGGCGGTGATTGTTTGGATCTGAGATGTGATCTTGAAGGAGGAAGGATGAGGAAGCGACGAGGGTGGAAGGTGACGCAGTGACGGGGAAAGTTCGCAGCGCTTATCGGCGCGCCTGTTCGCTTATCGGGCCGACTCCACAGGCCTGGTTCAGTCAAACAATGACAGCGACCGGAGGGGATCGGTATGTAGGGCCTGGAAGCAATCGCCAAGGCAGGTGTTGAGATGCATGGGGATGTGGTGTATGGGAAGCTGAAGGGAGGCAGTTGATGATCGCGAATGAGGGGGCGATGATCGGGCGCCGCTCCGTCCGTCCCTGAATCTTTTTTTCGCTTTGTTTACCCGCAACGTCGCCGGACCCAAGATGACCTCCGTTTTGGGTAAACAAGTTGGGTGGGGGGGGCCTCGTCTGCAGACACGAATCGATTGTTGTTAAGGCAGCTGCCCAATTACATCCAAGGACTTTTACTATGTATGAGATACAAGTAGCAACGGGTGTTGATGAATTGGAGTTCCTGGATTCTGCAGCCTCATTACCTTCTTGTGGCACTATCTATCTACAGCCGTGGTCGCTAGGTAGGTAATGTAAACCCCCTTTTCGCGTCTCCACCGTGTTATCCATACTACCTACTATCCCTCTTGGCCCCTTTTTCCTCCCCTTGTTCTGTACGGTGGTGCCGCTGGTGCGAGCGTCCTGTAAGGTGGATCATGGGGATTAGACTGCATTTTCGGATGTCGGCTTTATCGGTAACTCCACGCGTGGCCAAGAACCCCCAAAGAGAAATCTCAGGACCAACCAGCTGCATCTGCTATGAAGGTCGAGAACTGGCAGAACCTCCGTATGAATTTGTAGATAGTCACATTAAGGGGAATGGAAGATGTAATTCGAAGACGCTGGGGTGCAATCAGTAGTTGTACTTGCCGATGTGGTCCTTGAGCCACGGTTACTACTAGTACTAAATCTTTCTGAATATATTTATAACCATGTGAACCAGTGCTAGTACGAAGTACTACCTACAACATCAAACATCACCTCACTACAAAGTCCAATGGGGAATAGTATTAGTACTCCATTTGTATGTAAACAGCGTAGTATAGCATTACTACTACTCGATTATCTGGAGAACCCCAGCAATAAACAGATTTAATCTTTCCATTAAACTACCTACTACTACTACTATCTAGGTACTACTTTGTAAAACCATGTAGCCAGTCACACTGCAGTGGATTTGACTAGACTGCAGCTACCTACTCCACTCGATCGCCCGCGCGCTGGGGGTGGATCTTTCGTACGGCAGACACTTGGACCAGTGTCGGTGTCATGGCGCGCAAGCGCGATGCAACAGACCAAGATAACCTGGCGGCCGGAGGGGCTCGCGTTGGGATCAAAGAATCACGTAGTACTAAGAGTACCTGGAAAATACGACTACTACTACTACTCTATCCAGTATCACCTAGTAGGTAGAGAGGTACTAGTAGTCAGTACCTAGTAGTAAGTACCTACTACTAGTAGTAGGTTTCGATCAAACAGTCCAATGACTGAAATGCCCATGATTGGTGGGTTTCGCGATCCTGCAGTGCGCATATTGCATGCGTCACTTCATGCCGTTAGACGCCCTTCAACCATCAAGCGACATTATTACCCCTAGGATTCTGCTACTTACCCATACCCACACCCCCAACCCTTCCCCTCAACTCTTCTTTCCCGCCCACCCCCGTTCAGTCACTATCATGTCAACCTCCACAACCCAGGCCACTCCCTCCGCACTCCCCAAGCACATCCTCGTCTATAAATCCACGCCCAAGCCGGATTCCACGCCCCCAGAAGCCCCGCAACCCAAACTCCGTCTCCAAATCAATGACCTCCGCCACCCCGCCTCCAAGTCCTTCCTCATACTGATCCCCGATGTGAGCTCCACCCTCGAGACCGCTCTCACAGCAATCATCCAGCACCTGTATACCCCCGGACGGACCGAACCGGCTCCCAGCAGACCCTTGTCGTCCTTTACACCCCACGTCCCCGCAACCCGCTCCGTGACAGTCCTCCTCCGCGACATCGATGGCGTAGCCTACACCACAGGCACCGAGCTCGACAACGACCATAAGGAAATCCATCTCTCTCTATCCTACATCCGTACCTGCACCGGCTACCCAGACCCTGTGGCCGAGATAACCGGCGTTCTCACCCACGAGCTTGTCCACTGCTACCAGCATACCGCGCCACCACAGGCCCAAGATATTCCCCGGCCGCCAGGGGGCTTGATTGAGGGAATTGCGGATTTCGTGCGTCTTAAGGCGGGGTTGGAACCGCCGCATTGGAAGCGGCCTACTTCGGCCAAGGAGAGATCCGCGAAATGGGATCAGGGATATCAGCATACAGCTTACTTCCTGGCGTGGTTGGAGGATGTGCGGGTGGGAAAAGGTGCGGTCGGGCTGTTGAATGATCGGCTGTTGCGGGTTGGGTATGTTGGTGAGGATGGAGGGAGAGGCTCGGGGAAAGAGGGGTTCTGGAAGGATCTGTTTGGCGTCGGGGTTCAGGAACTGTGGGAGGAGTATGGGAGGTATCTCGATACTCCTACCGAGGGGGGAACTGATGATACAGGTAGAGGTAATTGGGAGGATGAGATTGTTAATCGTGATTGATGGGTTGGGTTGAGCGGCCTAAATACAATTAGATCGTTGGTGTACATACCGGACTACAGGCAGTAAGCATTGCCTGGTGACAATACCCTATTGTTTTGTTCTTCCCGGGCGTTTTCATAGATGGCCACCTACCTACATCATGGGTAGGTAGCTGTTGTGGCCAGCCCGTCTATGCTTATCGGGGTTGGAAGACTGCTCCCGGGAGACGGACGCAGGATCTCATTGCGTAAGACCGCTTGATTCAGTACACGACTATGTACTTTTGTCTAGAGTGTTGTCTGCCAACAGCGTAATCCCAAATTCCGTTTCTAGCCAGTCTCGAACGTCGGCAAATGAAGCAATAAAATACCGTTTGAACCGAATAACATGAACATAGAAAAAATCAAGAAGAATGAAATAGATTTCCCATATTGTACAAATCCTTGCAATGGTGAATAGATGGGTAGCAGTATGTAATGTCGCATCGCCGTCAATCCCTCATTGACAACATCTATAACAGATAATGTGACGCCGATTCCGGAATCTCATGCCAACTCTAAACAATCACCTCACCCAAGTCTACGTGCACTGGTTTCCAGGGTGCAGCGCCTTCCTCCTCCATCGAGCTGGGCACACGCACATTCAGCGGACTGTACAGGTACCATCCCTTGAGGGCAGCGACAGCAGCCCTGGAATGAGCCTCGAGCAGACTGGCGCCAGCGCCCTCGCCCAACTTATCCTGACCAGAGTAGATGCCAACGACAAACACGGGGTGTCTGCTCTTGCGACCGGTTTCACTGATGATCCGGGCAACGGGTTGCTCGAAATTCTCACGAGCACACAGGCGAGAGAGGTCACGAGCGGGCTGGGAGAAGTTGAATAGGTCGGAGATATTCAGATGACGGGAGAGGAAATGCTGCTCGAAGAAGCGCTTGGCAGCAGGGCGGCCCGCGTGTAGATAAATAGCACCCATCACAGCACGCACGAAGGTGGGGTGGGCCTGTTCGGCAGTAACGCCCTTGGTTTTTTGGACGTCCTGTCTGGACTGCTCCGAGGGATCCCTGGGCCCCTTGACCGGATCTCCGAACTCATTATCGTAAACAACACTCGAGGTGATGGACTTTCGCCAGTGCGTTTGGTCCTCGTGAGGTCTTGCTGTGCCAGTGACGGGTTTCGGGTCGGTTCCCGGGAGTGTCCTCTTGAATTGGAGGTAGCCAGGGTCAACCTCCCCACCGGGGGCGGCCGCCGACTCCACACCCCATTCTCTCGCCATTGCTGCCAGTGTCTTTGGCCCGACGTACGCATACATGGCCGCGAATACGACGGTCAAGGGGAGTCGGGGATACGTGCAAATGAGGTATTCGGAGGTGTAGTGGGTCAACAGATCGTGACCGAGGGTGGCCAAGGATTCATTGTTGAATTTCGGGTTGGGATCAGCCGAGGCATCCACAAGAGTGCGAGCAAGGGTCTCGAGAGGTAATCGTGAAGGGAGGTAAAGTCGTGCATGAAGTGCAGCAAGTTTGGCGGACTCGCGTGCGGCCTCGACCGGAGGAGAAGGGAGCTGGTACTTGGATTGTCGGGAATTAGGGGTGTTAATAGATGGTGCTAGAGGCTCTTCCTCGATCAATTGATCATTGGCAGCCGGCGCAGCAGGCGAAGCGGACGACTGGTGCCGAATGCCATTGTAGAGACGGTGCTGCAGGCGGCCACCAGTCCGGGCCTGCGCCGAAAGGACCGAACTGCTCCATCGTTGGAGCTGCAGCCTCTTCATCTGGGCAACTGTGTGGAAATGAGGCCGGAAATCAGAAAAAAACACACCGATTCAATCCAGAAGACCGCCCGGGACGTGGCGTGGAGGGTTCGAGACTGGGGGGATCCAAACTGAGCCGGTACGAACTTTTGGTCGGTAGAGAAAAGTCGAGCTTCGGCGGAAGTCACGGGATCGGGCAGTCGTGTGAGATTCGGCCAGCTTGCGCTAAACCCCGTACGGTCATAGCGTCACGGGGTCTGGGACGAGGGACGAACGACGGCCATTTCGGCTTCCAACCCGCCCCGAATAACGACGCTTCTCAGCGAGCCATTGTCCACGTCTTTCCCCTACGTACACTCTATATACCCTCGATCACCATGGGTGGAGGCGGCAAGATCCCGTATGCGACTGTCCTTACCTCCCGGCACTGCCATTGCGGCTGAAGCTGATTAAATTCTTCCGCAGGTATCCTAAGGAAGTCTGGTCTCCTGCGGGTGGCTGGTACGCCCAGCCCGCGAACTGGAGGGTCAACACTGCCATCATGGGTGCTGCAGTCCTTGGAATCGTCGCCGTGACCTGGAGCATAAGTGCCGACCGTGAGCACCGTGACAAGATGCCCGAGCCGGGCAGATTCTTCCCCAGTCGCAAGTCAGTCTCCCTCAGCCAATCTCGTGTCGTGTGTTTCTAAGCAGTGGATATTGACTGTCTGTTGCTTCTATCTAGCTGGAGCCGGCAGATTATTGAACACGAGAGGCAGCAGGCCGCCAAGAACGAGTCATAGATCGGCAACGGAATGCAGAGGTAGTCGGGGAGAAATGAACAATCGTGGTGGTTTTCTATGGCATAACAGGTTTTTGTTCCATAATATTGTGGGCTGTACGACAATAGAAGGGCGTTCTTCAAACGGTCAGTTGAGCTGAAAGTGCTTCTGAGGAGACTCTTCCAATGTTCGATACAGGTGCTGTGTGTACAGACGGACCCGTTCCGTGAACTCGGTTTCGTTCCAGAGCTCCCTCCCATCGCCAGATGTAGACATGCGAGGCACTCCGGTCTGCTCTACTACGAAACTCGCCGCAACTGTAGCGAAAATCAAGGCCGTCAAGACATGGTTATGTTGTGCGTCAGCCTCAACTGCTTGCTGCCATGTCGTAGAACCTGCGAGCACCGAGTTGACCAGTTTGGCCGGTCCCCTGCCTGCACTGGCCATACCCTGTGTCAGGGCACCCAGGAAAGAATTGCCCGCACCAGTGGGGTCGACCACCGCCGACGCCTCCGAAGCGCTGGGCTGGTGATAAGCGGGCAGCCAGACCCTCTGTGTTTTAGAGTAGGAGTAGCTGCCGTCTTTGCCTGCCCGAATCACCAAATGCCCGTTCCCCTCAGGCCCAATGCCTGATTCGAGGATCTTCTTGACGATATCCTTCCCATAGTCGGCATCTTCGCTCCAACCAGGCTGGCCGAACATCATCCCAAGTTCCAGTTCATTGGGGCTCACCACATCTACTACTCGGTTTGCAGCCAGAAATCTCTCCTGCTCTTCTGGCGTACATAGATCCGGAACGGGCTCCCAAACAAAGATGGGTCGTTTCGTAGCGTGCTCGAAAGGGGGTGCTTTTCCTGCTCGCTTTAATACCTCCCGTCGGCGCAAGATAGTCTGCACAATTGAGATACAACGCGAAGACGAGCAGACCATGTGAAAGGTCTTCGAAAACACTTGAGACTCAGACAGCATTTCTGGTTCCAACCGCAACTTGGGAGTTAGGTACTTGAAGTCTGCGTTGTATTAATATGGTGCCATTCAAATTCTTGGGGGCTAGAGAAGGACACTGACCCCGCTTCTCGTTCGGACCGTAGCCATTCCAGGCCCTGGTGGTCAATCGGCTCTGGTCCTCTCGTATTATGCAGTTGGTATCCCATGATTGTAAGACGTCGAGAACCTCCGGAGGGAAATCAGAGCCAACATCGACGATCCAGCTCACAGCCTGCGAATGCGCCTGACCAGCCACCAGACGAGCGCCAACAACAGCAAAAGATGCTGCACCCCCAAGGACGTTCTTTACATTGGGCCTTGTCCCTTCGAAGTCTATATTGTCTATATGAAAAGGAGCAGGCCCGTAAGTACATGGTGCGATCTCTGATGTGTATGGGTGAGTCACGGCGTACCAAGGATGAACATGCCCAGTGTGCAGAAGTCCACACTGCCTCTAAGATGCTCCGTGGAGCCATGTTCTTCGACCATGGTTCCAACGAAGCGATCAATTGCCTTCAATGGGGAATGCCTGGCATGATCTCGCCCTGGCGGGGTCGAGGGAATCGGCCGTCGAGCCTTATCGGATTACCGCTTGATACCGACAACGTCATAATTGACCGCCGGATAGCGGCCACCCTGGAGTACGGTACGGTAAGACCCACTATCAGGAGCTCCTGGCCTCAGGCGCGGCCGGGTCAGGAGGAGCAGCATTGCCGTCTGTCTGTCTCGACCATCCGACTCCGTTGCAACGGCTGCCTTGCGCTCCTCTCCATCTCACTCCCTTGCCAGAAGCTCGTGGCTAATCCCTCTTCTGCCTCTCAATCGCGGTTCTCTATACTCTCTGCCGTTCACGCACCCTTTCTCTCTGTCCTCGTCTTCCCCCGAGTGTCTTTGATAGTTCCCTCCCTCCTTACTTCCAACAGGGGCCGTCAAGATGGCGACAGGAAGCCACATGCATAACTTGACAACTCTTATTAAGCGGTAAGTTTGGGGCTGGATGGGGTCGTGATGCCAACTCGATATCTCCATCTGTTTATGCATCGTGTGGCTAATCAAATACAAATGCCAACAGGTTGGAAGCCGCAACCTCCCGCCTGGAGGATATGGCCATGTCCCTGGATGACCCCAACTCACCCAAGACCATAGCCCCCGCTGCTGTGCCCGAAAGTGCAGCCCCTGAGCCTCCCAAGCCGGCCCCCCCAGCAGCCCCCGCAGCAGCTCCCGTCCCGCCCCAGATTCAAGACTTCAACACACTGATCAATGAGGATGTCCGGAACTTCGTGGAGCTGGGTGCTAAGATCGATGGTTTGGTTGGAGAACAGGTAGGGAATGAAGCGCATCACACATGAGTGCCTCGCTTATTATATCCGCAGTCGAAAATGGTTCTTCAGGCCTTCGAAGCCGAGCGCACCTACCTGCTCGTGTCAACGAAAGCTAGGAAGCCTGAACAGCAGCCTCCGGAGCTCATGACGGAGCTCCACAACGCTTCGGACAGTATCAACAACATCCGCGAGTCGAACAGAGCGTCGGCTCTCTTCAACCACCTCAGCGCGGTCGCGGAGGGGATTGTTGCCCTTGGCTGGTTCTTCGCGGACAAGCCTGCCGATTTCGTCACTGAGATGGCTGGGGGTGCTGAATACTACGGCAACAAGGTTCTGAAGGACTACAAGGAGAAGTGCGCTTTGAAGGCCTACACCACTGCTAGACGGAGACTGACATGCTCACAGGGACCGCACCCACGTCCAGTACATCCAGGCATACTACCAGATCTACAAGTCCCTCGCTGCATACCTCAAGAAGCACTACCCCAAGGGCTTGACATGGAACAACACGAATGGAATCGACGCGCAAGAAGCCCTCAGACAGGTCAAGGGTGGCAGTTCTAACCCTCCCTCCAGCAGCACGGCACCTCCACCCCCGCCCCCTCCCCCCGTGCCGACTCTGAATGTTCCTGGCGGAGTTCCTCCCCCTCCTCCCCCGCCGCCCGGAGTTGCTCCTGCAGCAGCCCCAGCAGCCCCGGATATGTCAGCTGTCTTCGACCAGCTCAACCAAGGTGAATCCGTCACCTCGGGTCTCCGGAAGGTTGACAGATCAGAGATGACGCACAAGAACCCCAGCCTTCGTGCCAGCTCTGTGGTCCCCGATAGCCCGACCTCACAAGGCAGTGCCATCCGGGGCAAGTCTCCTGCCCCGAACAAGAAACCCAAGCCAGAGAGCATGCGCGTGCGCAAGCCGCCCCGCAAGGATCTGGAAGGAAACAAGTGGTTCATCGAGAACTTCGACAACCCCGGTGAGATTGTGGAGATCAACGCTCAGCAGAACCACTCTATCCTCATCTCGCGATGCAACAAGACGATCATCAAGGTGAACAACAAGGCCAATGCAATCTCCATCGACAACTGCACTGGCCTTTCCATCATTGTCGATTCCTTGGTCAGCAGCCTCGACGTCATCAAGTCGCCCAAGTTCGCCCTCCAAGTAGACGGCGTAGTCCCTACCCTCCTGCTCGACCAGGTTGACGGCGCCACCGTCTACCTCGGCCAGCAAAGCCTGGCCACTGAGGTCTTCTCCAGCAAGTGCACCGCAGTTAACATCATGCTTCCTCCAAAGGAAGGCACAGACGAAGACACTAAGGAATGTACCATCCCCGAACAAATCAAGACTTACGTGAAGAACGGCGTCCTCGTCAACGAGATAGTCGAGCACGCAGGCTAAATAGTTGACAACCTGGGAAAACATGCACCCTTTGGATACTACCTCACCTCCCCCAAACGGAGGCAAAGGATAAATAATGCGGCAATTTGGACAAAATATAGCCCACGAGCTTTCTACATTGCTGTGTTTTATATCTCCTCATGTAGATAGAGCCATCTTTTTAGTGCAATTTCATACGCACTCCCCGCTTTGGTTGTAGGGGTTGGACTTATACATACAATATAAAATGAAGTTTCCCACTTGGCTTGATGTTCGTCCTCTGCCGATGAGTTGCAGTGGAAGATCCCCGCTTATTTCACGAAGTACAACGGGTCCCGTTCTAATCACTTAAATTTGATACCGGTGAAAAGGAAGCCAAAGACAATGAATGCAGGTTGATTAATTAATATGGAAATCTACAGCATGTGTGACAATGATATATGACAAACATAGTGCTAGTGGCAGCTGATAGCTTCTATCGTGGGGATACGAGACGAGCATCAGAAGTGACAGACATATGAAATGCCAATCCACCTGACACTATTGGCGACTATGCCACTGCACCACAAAGGTTGAGCTAGGGGCACGGGCAGTCCATGTATACCTGCCAACAATCCAGTCCATTCATTATCAGACCGCAGATACAGGATCATTGAAAGGCCAGAGAATGTACGACAAGAATGTACGACAGAACATCTCCTAGCCCCCCCTTGCTCAACCATGATTCGAGGATTTCTGGTCTCGACGGTACTGGCTGAGGGGAGAATTGGTAAAGACATATCGAGCTGTAGAAACGATATGATTGAAAAGTGAATGTGTCAGAGAGAAGGGTATAATCGCTAGTCCCATATTGTTGTCTTGTGCGCCTTGCCGTGCGTATTTAGCTTCGAGGACGGCCGGAAATTATATAGAGAGGGATGAGCCTGCATCTGGGCGTAAAAGTACTGTGCTGTGTCATTAGTTGAGTAAGATATTGGATTATCCTGCTCCGATATGTCATCCTGCTGGAGGAGGAAGAAAAGTGCATGTTTAAAAGAAGTCAAAGAAAGAAGAGAAGGGTAAGCAAAAACTAAAGGTTTACCATCACGACCTAGTTGAGACCAGGATGGGCGTAAGCGGTATGGGATTGCTCCATTGTTATTGTTCGCCTGGCTTACTGAGATCGGGAGAGTCATGCTTTTGCACATCCAATCCCCTCAGCCTTTTGGCAAGGAGGCTGTCCCCAGCTTCGGGGCTACCGGCGAAGGCAAACGAGTAGCCACCATAGCCGGTGTCACCCTTATTGAGTTTACCATAAAGCCCACGCTCCGCGGTATATTGTTCAGTGAAATTCGTGTCCAGTCTCGGACTAGGACTCAGCGACGGGATAGGCTGAAAAGGATGCGAGGGACGTTCAATAGAACTAAGGCAATTGAAGTTGCCCAGAGGGGCACCATCCCGCTTCGCAAATGTGCGACATGAATCCGAACCCTTTTGAGTGTACGTGGAGGAACTCCCAGTGTAGGGAGGTTTCCCCGAGGTCATGGGTTCTGATGGGGGAAATGTGGATATCGGATCTTGACTCGCAGGCACCTTGCGCGGTGCCTTGTCTGTCGAGGACCTTGCAGCAGAGTGTGTATGACTGGAGTCCCGATAAGGCTTGTAAGGCGTGTAGCGGGGATCGGGGTATTGGATTTCATTGCGCAGCTTTTCCTTACCGTCGGGGACTCGGTTGGCAAATACAACACGGATGCTAGAGTGAAGATAAAATCGGCCTCGGGAAGGGCAGCAGATGTTTAAGTGAATCAAATACCGCAGGGTAGGCTTGTCTTTAGGATCCTCGGAAGCGTTCAAAGATGCTTCGGGGCGATCGGTCCCATAATTGTTTCGAGCGCTCAGAGGCATATCGAGTATTGGACCAGCCGAATAGCTTCTTTGTCGAATGAACGTCTTCGTCCCGGGTTCCATATCGGTAAGGTCATAAGGCACAAGGAACAACTTGACGGCTGTCTTGTTGGGATTCTTGATCATGATCTGTAATTGGCCATGTTGAGGTATCCGATAACAGCCGCCTGGTGGACATCTAGGCGATTCTGCCCTCCGCTGCTTCTTCTCCCGCCTGCGCAAAGCTTCCTGGTCATTTGACCTAGAGTCCGAGGTGTTTCCCATGACATAGTCATTGTTCATTGCCGCGGGGCTTTGATGGCGCCTGCGACGTCGGCTATTACTGCTGGACGTGTCCTTGGGAAGATAATTATCCAGGTCGATCAGCCCGACATAAGGGCTGGGGCTATCATCCGAGATTGAGCGTCCACTTCCTGAAGTGGGGTAACTGTAGAAAACCGCGGGAAATGGGATCGTGACATGCGGCGGACATTTGAGGTTGGCTTTACAATTGCCTTTACCTAGAACGCCGATTTGCGCAGTAAAGTCTAGCGGCTTAGAAGGATTCATTGACATTCTTCCGCGGAGAATCGACTCTTCGTATGAGCCAACCATTGGCGCATGTGCTTTTGAAGAGATTTCGGAGCCAATCGAGGGTCTTCTGACCCTGGCGACCGGTGTTTGGGCCGTAGATGCAAGTTGGAGGCTGTATGCTGAGGTCAAAGACCGTCGAGGGCGAAACTGATAAGATGTTGTCTTATCCCACTTTGTCGGTGAAGCATCAGACTGGTAATATATCCCTTCGGCATTACCTATAGGGGACGCCTGCAAGTTCTGGAATGTTTCCGGGGGGAGGGTTCGGCGACGAATGACTTTCTCGATGGGGTCGGAATGACCGACGAACTCCGGTCGGGGAGAAAAGTCCAAGTCTGTGTTATTCGCTTGGTGAACAAGCGGGCTCGTAGGGGCTTTCAGAATGTAGCTCGACGAGAACGAGCCAAAAGAGGGCGCCCGGGCGCGGGCTATAGGAGTCGCATTCTGGGGTGATGAGGTTTGGCCGCGCAAAGAGGAAGAAAAAACGGGGGTGCTAAACCAGGGAGTTGTTGGGGAGGAGCCCAGCAGAGGATAGTGTGCGTTGACGGTGCGACCCGGGAATGGGGACGGTGGTGACTGCTGTTGAGTCTGGCCCTGACTGGATCCTTCCCTGAAATCCCCCGAATGCAATGCTGAGCGAGGGCGTTCTATATCGGCCGGCGATGCTAAATGCTGGTCACTTGAGTGAGACTGGTCGCTCAGACCAGAGTTTTCGGGTAAGTTCTTCTTCATATTGTTGATGGGTTTCTCGGATGCCTGCGGGACATGGTCCTGATTGTGTCCCAACTATAGCACTGGGGTCAGCAGAGGTCCCGCATAAGACTGACTGATAAGAGAACGTCTGCCGCTCCGGGAGAGAATCAAGGGAAACGAGGCAAGGACAGCGGTTTAAAGAGTGGCAAGACATACGGAACAACGTGGTGGTGCCCATCTTAGCGCATCGGCGCTTTTGATATACTGGATCAGTTCCTCCCGATGGCTCGTATGCGCCCGGCTTGAATCCGACGAGGGACTCTCGTATGAGACGCCTTCGCCTTTGTCGAGGGGGTAGCCCACCAGGGGCTCCGGAGGGGTATGTTTCCAGGGGGTAATGGTCTGACGTTGTCCATAATGCCTTGGCTGGTGATCATCCGACCACAAGTCATGGAGCCGTTGGCGATCCGGGTCCTGGAAGATAGGCATGGTTACCGGGAGAGAGGATGGGCAGAATGGCGAAAGAAAAGGGCCAGCATCGCAACCAAGGGAGCAGAGAGCAGAGAAATGGCAAAGAGAGCGCCGAGAAATGTAACGAGGGAGGGAGGGAGGGGATCGAAGAGGTTGCAGTGGTCCGCAGGGCCGAAGTGGCGGAGGAGTCACGGTGGAGTAGGTGAAAGTCAGTACGACTGTTATATCCATATAACAGTATGACTGACCAGGTAATTAGGTAGGTAGGTAATAATAATAATCACAATGATATAATGAGGGGAAGGCTTCTGAAACGACCAAGGCCTTCGGATCCACCGGGCACAGGAATCGGACCAGGAGGATGTGAGACGGCGAAAGGAAGAGGCAGAAAGAAACATTGGAATTGCGGCGGCGGAGAAAGTGACGCTTTCGATTCGATCATCAATCAATAGTCATGGCAATACTTTACCGTGACACAACATCCCCCGCTAGATACCATATTCAATCATATGTAGGTAGATAGATATCTAGGTAAGTAAGTATTAGAATAATCATACGGAGTAAAAACAACATACTGTTAGTATCCATTGTTTGACCAGCTGGAACCGGGGCCATCCAATCCATCCATCCATCCATCACCCGCTAGTATCCAACTTCTGCATCACCGCCAAATCTTTTTTTTTCTCCCAGAGTACAAGGACACAAACACCAACGCAACACAACACAACACACCTTGCCACGTCGCTCAATCCGATTGTTGCCCAATACACCGCTCCTTACAGTCCCAATCAAGTCAACCCAAAAAAGGAAAAGGAAGAAAAAAAAAAAAAGAAACCACAAGGAAAACCCCCCCCCCCGGACCAATTGTTCATTGATTCCCCGATCCACCATGGCCCCCAAGCGCTCCCGCGACGAGACCACCGATGAGAAGCGGACCACCACAACCACCGATGCTCCAGTGAAGAAGAGAAAGGGCTTCTCCGTCGGCCCTGCGAACCTGCCCGATGGCACCTATCGTCGCAAAGGTTAGTTTTGGCCCCTGGTCGCCCCTGTGGTAAAATCTTACTAGATCCACGTATTAATGAGACCTTCAAACTATAGCCCAGAAGATCAAGTCCGACTTGATCCAAAAAGCCAAAGTCAGAAAAGCTTATGCCAAAGTGCGAGCCGCAGAGCTCGCCGCCGCCCCGTCAAAACCGAGATACACTGCTGAGGATGGCGACGATGCGGATAAAGAAGACAGAACCCCACAGCCCGAACCTGCGTCTTTGGAGCTTCACCCGGCACGACAGGCTATGTTAGATCAACCCGCCCCGGAGCCGGAGCCCACCCCTAGGCCACAGCGCGCGGATAGGCGAGATGCGAAGGGTCGTCGTGAGCGGAAACCGAAGCCCTCTGCCTTCAGCAAGGAGATGGAGATTGCGGAAAAGCGCCGACAGGAGGCAGAGAAGCGGAAGGAGGCGCGCGAGTTCAGACAGAAGGATCGCGAGGCCATGGCACGGGCTAGGCGGCCGGATCAGCAGGGCAAGAGGAGACTGGGAAGGGAAAGCAAGGTGCTGCTGAGTCGCGTGGAACGAATGGTTGGACAGGCTTAAGGTGATAAGTGGATGGGCACTATGAGGGAGTAAAAGTTCTGAATATGATACCCGCTAAGCAATGGCTACGTTTGATTTTGTACAGATCAAGAGGTTACACTGGTCCAAATGAATTGTAATCCGTGAGGATTTACGTCGGGATTGCCCAGACTAAGCTAGGCAGATGGTTTGTGCCCGGCGCCGCTCCGCGGCTTTCGAAAGCACGCAAATTCTCCTTTGGTCTTTTCCCTCAACCGCTTCAGAATGCCCCGCATCTCGCCCAGTTCTGATTGAAGTCGTGCTCGTGCCTCGTGGGTGGTTCGCCGGTCCAGTTCAACATAGATCTGGCTTTGGATAGCGGAAGCTTCATCCGTAGAGAATTGCGACATGGTCTGGGCGATGAATTCGGTATCTAGAGTGGCTTGCATGAGGGCCGCAAGTGTGTACGATGACCGAGAACTGAAAGCGGCCAGGAGCGATGTCGAGACCTGGGTCAGCAAATAGGTGAGGACGACCGAGAGCAGGGGGGACTGGGCGGCTGATGGTGAGCGAGTCGCGGTGGTAGACAGGGTGGAAGGAATTGTGGTGGTGATCTCCGTATGCACCAGCACGAGGTCCAACATCGTCGTGTAAACGTATGGGCGAACTTGATCGGGTCGCGCCGTCGTCGGTTCCCATTCTGGGGCAGTGATGGAATTGGCGATCGTCGAGTTCAGCGCGCTGATAGTCGGCTTCGTGTATGACTGGAACAAACGATCATCGATCTGGTTGAGTACATCGCGGACGGTCTTGGCTTCTTCAGTCAGTCGGACCGAGAACGAATTTTCAAAGTTGGCCACCAGTTGTGGCACGAGATCGGCCTGGAAGGCCTTGATGTTCGACAACGTAAGGAGGATGCGCACGTTCTATAGATCCAGTTAGTTGGTGAAACTAGAGCATATCGCCCGTGAAAACGACAAAAGCTTACCCTGTTCCGTGCATCAACCGCATCGGCAATAAGAAGGGATGGAGACGTATCAAATTGGCTTCGTGTCACTATCGACCCAGCTGTAATCCATTCGTCCTCATCTTCCGAAGACGTGGGATGTTCTGCATTCTCGACTAGGCCACTGAGAGCCTTATAGACGCTCGACACGAATTGTGTGCGCACCATCTGCAGCAGTTTGGCAGGGGGTTGTGTCACAACATCCACAGAGCCTGACCTCGCCATGGCCTCGGAAATGTAGAGGATCTTCTGCATCCCGCTGATGATCGCGTTCTCAAAGGCGACAAAAAGACCAGGCATTTTCGTCAAGTCTCTCTTCTCCGGGTCGCGTGTCCAGTCTTCTAGCATTTTGCAGATTTCGGCGTCTTTACCCCAAGCTGCGCATGCGACACGTACCGAGCGCTCGCGTGCCACACTCACTAGAGACTTGAGAAGATCATGGGTGTTGGGACTGTTCAACACGGGCTCCAATGCGGCCATCTCACTAGCCGCCGTGCCGATGAGCACTAGACATTGACCAAGATAGTGCACGCCGCTGAGTGAATTCGAGAAGGGTGGCCAGAAGGCATAGTCTTCCCAATGCTCTCCCCGTTTCGGCGTGGGAAATGGCATGTTCTTCGGGTCAAGCTTGAACCGGGACTCTGTCGGAGTCACGCCCCGACTTCCGGGACTACTGGGGCTTGCTGTAGATATAGGAGACGTCAAAAGGGAAACATCGTCCACTGGGGCGTCGGCGAATAACGAAAGGACGCTTTCGCGGATTAGATTGACCAGCTCGATAGCGCCTTTCTGCAGGTCCCTCGCGTTACTGGAAGAGAGTCGATGGTGTTTACGGCTTTCTCCCTCAAACCCAGCCGGGAGAAGCTTCTGCCTGCTGCCGTCGATGAAGGATTGGGCTACTTCCCAGAAATCAAAGACTTCGCCAAGAAGACCCCCTTGGGATGATAACAGTCTGCTCAAGTAGGTACTGATACATTCCCAAAGCTCAATGACTTGATCGGTATCTCGCAGTGTCTGGGTGTCTAGGGAGCCGTCGCGTGGTGCCAGCCAGAGATATGATGCCACTGCCTGAGGCGTGGGTTTCTCACCGCTAGCCAGCCGACGCCTCAGGATTTCTATCTCAGTCTTGCAACGCTCACAGAAGGCGGTGATTTTCTTTTTGAGAAAGTCGTAGCGACTGAGAAGCCAGACCCAGATAGGGTTGTTTTCCACTCCGATCTCCAAAAGAGCACCGATAAGTTCCATGTGCTCCTCAACTGGACCAGTAGCAGTAACTGTCGTCGATGTGGTGGGTGCATCGCTGAGACGCCTCCACAGATCACGTTTGAAGGTTTGTATTTGTGAATCAACATCCATCCACATCCTACCCATGGCCAGAATAACATGCGCTTCCTCATCTGTCAACGGCCGACGCTGGTTCGTTGCCGTGTCTGCAATGTCCCTTGCAGTCTTCGAAAGGGCTCTCGCTCTTCCGTATTGCTCAAAAACAGAGTCAAAGTCCCTCTGTTTGATCGACTTGGAAAGAAGACCGCCTATTTCATAGATATCCCTGTGTTTCTCCATGGTGTCGACTACCGACTTTAACACTTGCTCTCTCTCGCGTCCACCCAATGCAGGTCCCCATAACTCCTCTGCTTTAACAGACGCCTCTAACAAAGGAACGCGGATGCCCTTCATGCCGTATTCACTCTCCTTCGTCAGAGCGTTCTTTCCAGGCCCAGCATCGGCAATGGCAGAGGTAGATATGCTGTGTTTGCTCCCAGAAAGGTTCCGGAAATGACCAACCGACCGGCGGTTGGCTTGAGGGCTTAAAAACTCTTCCTTCTTGCCTTGATTCCTCATCTCTGTATAGACACTGTCGATCGTCGCTTTGGCCCGAACAAAACGCTCGAAGTTCGCTTCAACGAGGACTTTCAACGAAGCTGACTTCTGATCGATCGATTGCGAAAGGATGTTGAGGCCGTCGAGGAGGGACCGTATTGATGCATCGGAGTGGACTTGGGAGAGGAAGAGCGCCGGGGAGAAGGAGGTGGATGAGAGCAAGAAGCGATTCCGCAAGCGACTCTCTTCATCTAGAGACAAGCCTCGCGTTTTGAGGATCTTGAGCACACTGTCCCCGGATCCCAGAGGGTCTGGCTCATCCATTTTTACAAGGTTCTCCCGGCCATTGCTCCCTTTGAATGATCCTAGCGTGACCCCCTTCCTGGTGCTATTGCTGCGCTCAAGAGCAAAGTATCGGGATCTCTCCGAGCGCGAGCCACGACGTTCCAGAACCTCATCTTCTGAATGGTCGCTTTCGTCCAGCTCGGCCGGCCATTCTTCGGGAAAAGCCGAGGGTAGGTTGTAGTAACTGGCCACGTCGACGTCAGCCATTTCGGGAGAAAGGGCGATAACGGGGCTTTGCTTAGGTGATTGATGGGAGGAGGGATGTGGGCGATCAACCACGGGGGGGAGGGTGTGGAGGAGGGATCAGGGAGGCCACATGCAGGGAACGCGCAGCTGCAAGGGTGGGGGGAGGGGGGAGGATTTAAGGTGTCAAACTATAGAAACTAGAAAAGATGGGCAGAGGCACAGGCACAGGCACAGGCAGAGCCAGGCGTGAGGGTTGCCAGGGTGGAGGGTTGGGACTTGGGAGAGCTAGTTATCTGATCGAGGACGGGAACATGAATGGACCCGGTGGATGACGGTTCGCCCAAACACGGCCGAACAACTCAAGAAAGAGTGTGAGCCAAAGCCGGTCGGACCGGGTGCGGCGGTGCCGAGATTCATTGGATGGATTAAAGCCTGACTGAACGTTCTCTTCGCCGCGCGACCTTTGTTCCCGCACAAGCAACCCGCCGCCGCCTTTTCCTCTCCTCTCTCTCTCTCTCCTCTACTACTCTCCTCTCCTCTCTTCACTCCACCTCCACCCCCAATTCCTCTCCTTCTCTCACCCTGACCGTCCGACGTTGATCTCGGGGACTTTGTCACAATGATTGCCGCTAGAAACTTTGTCACTCCCGCCCGCCAATGCTTGCGGACAACACGTGTGTCCCCCAGCATTGCGTCGCCTTTCTCGCAGGTAGCCACCGACCTCTACCCACCCACGACATCATCATAAAGGTGTCTTGGACTGACTGAACATATAGCTCCGCTCTTACTCCGTTGCTGCCGACGATCGTGTCGCCAAGTTCAAGGGTCAGAAGGGTCCTGATGTATGTCGCGTCCCCGGCAACGCCTGAAACATTTTTTTTATTTCACCTTTCCTTTGGTCCGGTACCTTCCGCCGCTACCTGCGACGACGGCCTATATTCAACGACCTTTCCAAACGATCGAATATAGCGAGATGGTGTTGTTGACGATGTATGATTTTTGCAGGGAAAATACACTGTGACCTTGATCGAGGGTGACGGTATCGGTCCCGAGATCTCCCAGTCGGTGAAGGATATCTTCGCTGCCGCCAATGTACGCCTCCTGCTCTCCCCGGTCGCCTATGGTGCGCAGGTTTTTGGATGCTAAATTCTGTTTGTGCAGGCCCCTGTCAAGTGGGAGCCCGTCGATGTGACTCCCATCCTGAAGAACGGCAAGACCGCCATCCCCGACGATGCCATCAAGAGCGTGCAGAAGAACTACGTCGCGCTCAAGGGTCCTCTCGCTGTATGTCATTCCTTTCTTGACTGCGACGCGATGAATGTCCGTCTAACAGCTTTTGTCCATAGACCCCCGTCGGCAAGGGCCACGTCTCTCTCAACCTTACCCTCCGCCGTACCTTCAACCTCTTCGCCAACCTCCGTCCCTGCCGGTCCGTTGCCGGTTACAAGACCCCCTACGACAATGTCGACACTGTCCTGATCCGTGAGAACACTGAGGGTGAATACTCCGGTATCGAGCATGTTGTCGTCGACGGTGTTGTCCAGAGCATCAAGCTTATCACCAAGGAGGCTTCCGAGAGAGTTCTCCGTTTCGCCTTCCAGTACGCTCGCTCGATCAACAAGAAGAAGGTCCGCGTCGTGCACAAGGCCACCATCATGAAGATGTCTGACGGTCTCTTCCTCAACCTTGCCCGCGACATCGCCAAGGAGTTCCCTGACATCGAGTTCGACGCCGAGCTGCTCGACAACTCTTGCCTGAAGATCGTTACCGACCCCACCCCCTACAACGACAAGGTTCTTGTCATGCCTAACCTGTACGGTGACATTCTGTCCGACATGTGCGCCGGTCTGATTGGTGGTCTCGGTCTGACCCCCTCCGGTAACATCGGTGACGAGTGCTCCATCTTCGAGGCTGTCCACGGTTCCGCTCCCGACATTGCTGGCAAGGGTCTTGCCAACCCCACTGCTCTGCTTCTGAGCAGTATCATGATGCTTCAGCACATGGGTCTGACTGAGCACGCTGCCCGTATCCAGAAGGCTACTTTCGACACCCTCGCCGAAGGAAAGGTAAGCGTCCATCATGCGATATGACTTGTATACCACACAGTGCTAACTACTGCTATTCTAGGCCCTCACTGGTGACCTGGGTGGTAACGCCAAGACCCACGAGTATGCTGAGGCCATCATGAAGCGTCTGTAAGGGATTGGAACACGCTGTACTATTCCCCTATATTGTCTCCTTTTTAGCCTGTGAATGACTAGACCAAATATGTAGTGACCTACTGTATGTGCTCTCATGTATCTAGATGCCATCTCTGTTGTTTCAATATTCTGCCTCGGGTTCCTTTTCTTCCGACTTCCAGAGGTGGTTGTGGGAGAAATATATATCATTGTAGCTCAGCCGGAGGCACATGTCATCCGTTATGAGTGGTGATAGCGATTGATAGACGATATTACCCATAAGTTATAGAACCAATGGAACATGAACAGTAATTATACAAAAGGAACCCCAAACGCCCATTCCTTGCTCCAAGGTATCATTATCCGCATGTTACAGAAAGAATCAACAAACGACAGAGAAGGGCACGTTTCAAGGCTGGCGCCGTCGTCCCCTCCGAGTTCCTGTGCCTGTACCTCTCCGCTCCTTTTGCTTCGTTCTCGATGTCTGGGCTCGAGTGCTTCGCGTCGTTGGTGAGCCCCCTTCCGCCTCTTCATCTACCTCACTGTCATCTTTGGCGGCATCTGAAGCTTCCTCATCGCCTTCTTCATTAGGACCCGTCTCCTCGCCGGAATCACCCTCGTCGTCAACGACCGCAGGACTTTTCGATGGTGCTTCGACCTCGACGTGAAGACGTGAAGAGCGTGTACCTCGTCCCGCTGGACGGCCACCACGACCGGGTTTCCTTCCTCGTGATGGTGCGGGGGAAGAGCGGGGTTCTGTATCCGGTTACTTATGGTTGGGATGTGTTTCCTCGAGCACGTGGTATTCAGGAGGCATTACCCATATACGCACCGTCTGTATCGGCCACAGTACTTCCTCTTCTGGAATCCGCATGGGCGCTAGGGTCGGGAGATGCTGATCCTTCCATAGCTAGTCGCCGTTCGAACATCAATTCACCGTATTCATCCGCAGGTAGTTCGAACGGACAGTAGAATTCTCTCGAGGCATCGATGTCGTCGGGGGTGTCTGTTATCAAGGAGTCTTCCTATTTTCGGGGATTACTAGTGTTAGTAAATGCTGACAAACCCAGGAAGCGAATCTCAATCGTCACCCACCCGTTCGTCAAGAGCTGGAAGGTTGTACAGTGTCCCCAGCTTCTTCCAAATCCCAGGTATCCGTGTATGTTCTGCATGTGCGGGCGCATAGCCTTGGCTCTTCATGAACTCCGAGATCGCGATCATCCGGAAGTGCTTGTGCATGCCTTTGCGGGCATGGAAGCCTTGTTAGTGAAGTCTCGGCTTAAAATGACCTGTATAGACCTCCCAACGTACCGACAGGCTTCCATTTTATGATCCCCTTCAGTAACGCGGTCTCTTGCTCATCGGTCCAAGGATCCGTAACCGGGTCGTAATCTGTGTTCAGTTGGCCGACAGTGCTTGCGGAGGGCTCGATTTGCGGGGTGAGCTTGGCTTTCTTTCGTGGAGGCATGGTGATCGGTGCTTAAAGACACTGTGTTCGGATAAGGATGGAATCGAGAGCTCTCCTCGCGGTTGAGCCGCGGCGAATTCCTCCCGCTTCGGTTTCCCGAACAAGCGGTGGTCCGGGCGTTGGATGGGGGAGCCGCTAGCCTGTTTGGGGCTTAGTGAGGCGTGACCTCGCGCTGCCAACGCGTCGCCAGCCGAGAGCGAGTTGATCCACGAGGTCTTAGAGGGCTGTGTCGCCGAAGGACAATGGACCAGGAGGATCATACGACGGACCCGTTCTCCAGCCATGGTCTCTGGAGTGTTTCCAGGTTTACCTTGCAGTCCCTGCAGCCATTGGAACCCTTGCCGTGGGACGAGGAGTTGCCTGGTGCGTGCTAATTATACGCCGAGGACGTCATTAGGTTAGCGGTTCGGGGCTAATACATCCTTTTCATAGATCTTTCTGGCGGTTTCTTCAAGAGCCCTTTGAATATATTCGATAAATATGCGTCTGAACTGCCCGGCCTCAGTACGTTCGGTCCCGACTTATTCGACCCGGATCAAACGCTGGGATTCACGACCGATACGTCGAGTGAGAGTCAATCCAATGTAAACCCAGACAAACACAGTGTACAAGAGGATGATGTAGAGGATATATGGGCTCTGGGATCCTTCGACATCAAGCAAGATTGCGAGGACTTGCTGAAATCTTGGGAGAAATACCATGATCGGTCATCCCGCGAGCCCGTCCCCGCATATTTCAGTGAGTCGGGCGCGAAAGGCTTCGATGCGGCATTGGCACGGCAAGCTGCAAAGTGGGGAACACAGACCCAACGATTTATGGTCCAGGAAGATGTGTTCTTTCAGGCTTTGCTCAGGCTCGGGCTGGGCTGGAGCTCTTTGTTCTTCCGTTACAACGAACAGAAAAGGCAGTTCGAACAGGTGCACAACGAGATTCGGATATCTGGGATTACCTCAACTGCACTAAATGGGCTGACCGAAGAGCTGCTTCGTTGTGGAACCAACATGCAGAGAATACGGATCTTCGTTGGCAAGGTGCCCACTAAGTCGAATGAACTCTCCGCCCTCTCCGCATTCTCTGGTGCAGCTGGTGTAGTTGTCCATACGCTTGAAAAGCAGCTTGTTGGACGATTCAGGAGTATCACCTCGCTGCTTCAGGTCAAAGCACTATTCCACGAATGTGGGACGGTGGTGAGCGTTCTCGCGAATATGGTCAGTGCCGTTGATGGGGCAGTGTCTGAGGCCCAGATAGTCTCTGTTGTTTCAGAACGAGCCGCCCATTTTACGCAGATTTTTGACCACATGGAAGCTCTCTTGCGCGAAATCGTGATACGAGTGACCGAGCCTTGGCTTACACATGTGGAAACCTGGGTTGGCCTCCGCCCCGAGACATCGACATCGGTTGAACTGGCTTCAAGTGGCAGGAGCTTTGTGGCCGTGGAGAGCCAAGTGGACAGTAAAAAGGCGCTCTCCAAAACGCCAAGGGTCGACTATAGATATATGCCTGATCAGATGCCCTCTTTTATCCCCACAGATCAAGCATCCTTGATTTTCGAAAGTGGACGAAGTCTTCGGCTTCTCAAAAGAAACCACCCACAGCATCCAGTTGCCAACCAAGAAATGCGCGATGCTCATACGCCCAAACTCGAATGTGCAAGTACGTGGTTTGATATCGAGAGAATACAGAGGAAGGCTTCGGAGTATGAAGCTGAACTCCGTTCCGAGATACTCAAATACAACCGTGGCGAATACTGCAGAGGGCCAGGGGCAACGCCTCATACAGAAGGTTCCTGGAATGCTGAGGAACACCAAGTGCTCACGGGCACTTTCGAACTCTTTGATCTCGACGACGTGCCTAATGCCACCGGCTTGTTACGCAAAGACGGCAATTCCGAAAAGGATAAACTCGGGCATCTACTTGACGAAAACCCCGGTCTTGAATCATCCGCAGCTCAAAGTGGCTTCGGTCCTGAGCTGGCCTCATCCTTCTATCTGTCCTTGGCGCCTCTCCTTACCTCCCAGGCGCTCTTGATCGATTTCTCCTGTCTCCATCTTCTGTTCAAGGAGCATCATCTCCGATCCCACCTTACCTTACAGTGGCGGTTCCAGCTCCTTGGTGATGGCTTTTTCACATCCCGTCTTTCTAATTCTCTCTTTGATCCTGACATGGAGAGTGGTGAACGGAAAGTCGGTGTAGTGCGAAGCGATGTTCACGCCGGCTTGCGCCTAGGAAGTCGAGATACTTGGCCTCCAGCAAGCTCGGAATTGCGGCTAGTGCTTATTGGGCTGCTTAACGAATGCCACAATGCGGACAAACATCTAGAAATTCCAACCCATGTGGACCGGGGCAATGAGAAAGAGCTACCCGGTGGCCTAAGCTTTTCCATTCGGGACCTTTCGGATGACGAGATTGCAAAATGCAAGGACCCAAATGCTATCGAGGCACTCGATTTTCTTCGGCTACAATACAAGCCTTCTGCTGTTCTAGAGACCATCCTGACGCAGCGTTCCCTTAACAAGTATGACCTTCTTTTCAAACATTTGCTCCGACTGCTACGCATGGTATCTGTTGTCAAGAGACTCATTCGCGACTCAACCGTGAGGGGTTCCCAATCCGGTGATACGCGGAATGTGCTCCAGAAATTCCGGATCGATTCTCAGCATTTCGTACTCGCCATAAGCGACTACTGCTTCCATGTTGGTGTTGGATCTACATGGCGACGATTCCAGGATGCCCTTTCTAAGATTGAATCTTGCCTAGATCACGGCGACATTGATGGCACGATAGAAGCGGCTCATTCGGTCCCTAGACTACGGGATCACCACGAGGACGTCTTGGACCAGATGCTTTATGCTCTTTTTCAAAGCAAAAAGCACAATGAAGTTGCTAAACTCCTTGACGATATCTTTGGAACAATCCTCACTTTTGCTCCACTATCCCAGCTGGATGGAGTCGAAGGTGTGCGCCATGAGACCGAGGCTGCCGTCCGTCGGTTATACAGCCTATTTCGGAAACAGACTTCTGCCTTCGTCGGCTATTTACGCGGCATAGAAGGCGTCAAGACCACATCAAAGTCCTTAGACAGGTCGGGTATGGCATTCATCCCCAGGGAAGCGCCTATAACTGTTTTCGACCATCTTCTGGCCCGGTTGGAGATGAAGAGGTACTACTGAATACAATAAATGCGAACTATGATATGAGACCCTTCGGATCACCTTTGCTTCTTCTCGTAGAGCGCTATTGATTGCTTATCCTTTCAGCACATTGGATTGAGATGACTGAGCACTGGCATACAACTCTGGCATTGGCGCAGTCTGTTCGTCCATTTACCTCACAGTTCGTATATCTCCTGATATCATCGTACCTATATACAGTCTAAGAACCCCGTCTGTCTACACTGACGAAAGATGCTATTCCTCGGAGAGCCACAGCTAAAAGAAATGAAGATCTGACTCCGCCCATCCCTGCTCCATTAAGATCTTGCGAGCGGATTTTTCCATGGCCTCCGGACCACAGACAAGCACCATGCTCTTGCCATCGGGAATCGCGTATTCCTTCAATAGGTCTTCCGATATACGTCCACGACGGCCGGTCCAACTGTCCGGAGCCTTGGTCAAGGTGTGTATCACCTTGCACTTTTTGCTGTCTAACGCTTCATAGGTGTCAAGTTCGGCGCGACACAGAATGTCCTCCTCCTGTCTATTTCCATCAAGGACGACGCATGAAGTAGGATCTTGCTTGTTTTGCATAACAGCACGCAGGACCTGGAAGACCGGCGTGATACCGGTTCCTCCGCAGATCATCTTGAAAGAGCGGACATGACGCTCTTTCCCGCTCACCAAGATCTTGCCGTTCCCAAGGTATTCAAACCTACCCGTGGGACCCTTGCAGTCGATTATTGAGCCCAATGCAAGCTTCTCCATGGCCATGGTCATCTTGCCACCTTTTATTGTGGGCGTATCAAAGTAGATCTTGACCAGCAGATCCATCGTTCCTTCCTGGTTGGTGTCGGAGATGGGCGTATACGAGCGGATGATGGCTTCTTTGCTGGTCGGGTCGGAGAGTTTGATCATGAGATGCTGGCCAATTGGTAGACCCAGCGTTTGCTTGTCATGTTCGAGTTGGAAAGTGAAGATGCGAGTGTCCCATGACACATCCTTTCTCTTTGTGAGCGTTGCCTTGGTCCATGATTTTGACTGAAGAAACGTTGCGCGTGATTCATCTGAGTGTGGGACATTATCGTTCTTGAGCACCTCCAGAGATACTTTATCCATGGTTCCGATATGGTAATCGGGCATCATTGCTTTGGCCGTTTCACTATCTGTGGCAGTGTTAGTGCTAACATGTTTGCTTCTCATAGGTCCTTGAGACATACGGATTGCCAGGAACTCCTCTGATACATCGGTTCCAGCCGAAGAGATGATACTCTGGGCTCCTCCAGGATGACCCTCAAGGAATGCCGTGCCGTCATATACTTCGCCATTAACGAGGAACCACGGTTTCGTATCGCTCGAGTTCTTCTTGAACTCTTGGACATCAATCATCCGGTTCACGCCGTCTTTCTTCATATTTATCTCCTTTTCGGGCTCGGGCTCTACCGGGTCTTCTCCTGCGTGTCGGTCTCCCCAGTTGCCGTTGGCCAGATCACCACCTGCTTGTTTGACGCGCTCCATCCACCCGCCGGGTCCTGTAGGATCTGTTGGGTGCTCGAACTTGAGTATTCCATTTTCTTTTGTAATGGTAACCCGGAACCAAGGGTTGTTCATCATCCCCAAAACCGACCAGTACATATCGCGCGGTTGAAGGCTCAGTGCCTCATCCATAGCCCTCACAAGGAAGGCGCCGGTCTGCTCTAGCTCGGAGATAGCGATATCCATCGACCAGAAGCACCAGCAGAAACAAGTCTCGCGCCAGGACATATCCACTTTGCCACCGAACAGGTTACCTTCAAAATCACGGTACTTGTCCTCGGCATATGAGATGTTGGCCAATCGCCAGGCTGGTAACACGTTAGCTCTACTGCAAAGAGCAAGTGGGATAGCGAACGTACTTTTGCCTTTGTCCAAGGATATCTCGACTCTCGTAATCCTTCGCCCGCCTCCTGCGTATGCATACCCTTTCACATTATACGACGGGCCCGCCGACGAAAGATCAAGTATCTCCTTGTGTCTGGGATATACAACAGAAGAGTTCACGTTAAGGTCGTAAATGGCATACCGGTCGTCACGCCACCAGTTTGGATCACTGGACGACATCTCGGGTGAAACCATCGTCCTGGAGCAGGGTTAATCAGCGTTTTGGGCTATTCGGAGCAGGTAGACTTACGGCAGTACGCGGTTATCGTAGATGTGATACCAGTTATCACTGGGTGCATCGGTCAGAATGAGCTTCTTCAACCACTTGACACTTCGGCCACCGATTTGACCGGGTACGACAACTCTCAAGGGTCGACCGTGATCTGGACGAAGGTCCTCGCCATTCATCTTATGGGCCAGCATGATTCCCCTGTTGGGGTCCATGGCCCAATTCAGTTTGACCGATGTCCCGTAATACCCATTTGGCTAAGGCAGTTCGTCAGTGAGCTGTATCCGTGAACATGGGAATATAACTTACGAGCTTATCCGCGCCCTCCATGCAGACATACTTGGCTCTCCGAAGGGGTTTCGCACTCCGCAGGATATCTGCGATCATTGGGCCAGTCCAAAGGGCTGTCGACAGACCAGCTGATCCCCATGAAAAGCCCTTGGTTTTCCTGACCACGTTTTGCTCCTTGCGTCTGTTTCCTGCACAAACGAGTGTAATTGGTGCCGTGATCTGATCATATTGCTGCAAGATCTCCCGGAAGTTCAGGACCAGCGGCTTCTCCACCAGGCTGTATATCACTTGTCAGTTGCCGATGCAGACAATGGCGTGTACGGGATTCCTGACCCTTCGATGCTGATCTCCCAATTCGGGATGTCTTCGTCCCTCACAAATGGAACGGGGCCATGATTTCTCACATAGAAAATTTCCGGTGACGTCAAGAACCCTAGTGGCTGATGAGTATCACTGACTTCAGATCTCCAAGCAACTGCAAACAAAGTTGATGGTCGAGTGGGGTAAGGGACCAGACGACAGGGAAATAAGTCATCGTACCTTCGTCGTACAGAGCGGTGAGGGGAGGCTCGACATTGAAAGGGTGAACACCCGTCAGTCTGATGAGACGCGGGTCTCGAGGGACATGGTGATCCGGAGTGGGCTTGTCTATGCTGAGCACCTCGGTTGGCTGTTTGGAGGGAGGCGGCAGGGGAATATCTGACAATCCAACCACGGGCAGCTCATCATGGTGGAACTTGATCTGACCCGACTTTATCGGGACAGCTGTTGTGGTGGGAGACTCTGTCAGCACCTCGGTGACAGTCGCCATGGCTTTGCTTATGTGCTTTGATGGCCTGGGAGTACAAGATGCATGGGGGAGATCGAGAATGGAGAGTAGTACGGAGTATAGCTCGATCAGATGCAGGAAACCCAGAAGTCTGAACAGACAGGCAGAACACCCAGTCGAAGAGCAGCAGGGTCGGTCACGGAAAATTAATCGCTCAAAAACAGGCTCACAGTTGGGTCCAGGGGATTGCCGGCATTTGGATTAGCCCAACGGCGTGACAACAAGCAACCCGGGTTCTGGTGAGTCCACGGAGAAAGCGACTGTGTTTAGGATCTCGCCGGGGTTGAGCACCAACATTCGGCCGGGGCGATTTCCGCGGGGCCCAGTGCAATTGGGCCACCAAATAGACGAGATATGTAATAATAATAGGATATGATGATGGCCGGGCTGGTTTCGTGTTGACTCGGGGAGCCGGGAACATTCCAACCGGAGGCGAGTGGAAACTGAAACCTGGACAGCCCCCGAGGAGAAGAAAAAAAAAAAAAGAGCAAAAAACAAAATAAAAAAAAATCCTAATAGAGAAAAAGTCATCAGCCAAAGACAGAAGAAAAGAAGCCTCCATTAGTGTCGACTGTCGAGACTACTAGTGTAGGTCCTACCTACAGCCTACAGGACACAGGTAATGAAAAAGGTCCAGGGCTAAGGATAGCGCCCGATCCACCGGGATCCACCGCCCATTGATTGCAGTGGTATTACGATTTACCAAGGTCCGTATGGCGTATTGACGGTGACTGCTGAGCATTTTGCCGCAGTGGGGGTGGGGGGCATGACGGTCCTATCGGCAGTCGACTATCTACTACTACTGCTAATACTACTATGTATGTAAGTATGTATGTATGTATGTACTCCAGACGGACTGTTCACCTTCAGAACTACTAGCAGTACCTGCAAGGAGCCTTGCAGCTCCCAACTACTACTAGGTAGGGTCTCGCTGGTACCTAGTACCTAGGTACTACTACGTATACTTCCGATTACGGCCAATCAGGAGCTTATCGGGGCCCTATGAGGGGTCACGATAAGCAACAGCCTATCTGAGTCCCGTCCGTCGCGCATCCTCCACCATTGCATCTCCGCGGAGGCATCGCATCGCCCAGTCTCCAACTGCCGGCGAACCCCTTCGCATGGACCTTAGTTTCTTATCCGCACTTCCTTGCTCCGGTCTTCCCTCCACGAACGGTGGCACCCAGGATCGGCACAGCGGGTCTCGAGGTCCCTGATTACACAGTACGATCGAGCATGGGCCCCAATCGATTACCTCACGGGATGAAGTCAAACCTTTCCTTCCAGATGCCACGGAGAAACACAACGATGTGCCTATCTGCTGTCGTCCCGGGAGATCCTCGGGTTTCTCTTGGCAGGACGCAACGGTGATTGTCATGTCCGCGTCTCTCCCATCCGGGAGCGGCTCGGGTTCCTTGTGGCACAAACAAAACCGAGCTGGATTCCTACCTGCCATTCCTGTCACTGCAGATTTTTTGAGTTCCATCTTCCGGTACAATGCCTCTGTTGGATGGGTCCGGAACTGGGGATACTGTTGTCGCTGACAGCATCCCCAATATTCTCTCTCTTTCCCCCGCGGTCGACTCTCTGCCACAGTCCTCTACGAATCGACGCCAAAAGATCGTTGTAGTAGGTCTGGGCATGGTGGCTATATCATTCATGTAGGTTTCGGCAATCGACCTACTCCCTGAAAGCCACGATGTGGATGCTGACACTTCCTGGTTGTCTACAGTGAAAAGCTAGTCAAGCAGGATTCCGAGCGACGGAAGTATGATATTGTCGTCATTGGCGAGGAGCCCCATATTGCCTACAATCGAGTCGGTCTCTCGTCTTTTTTCGAGCATCGCAAGATTGAAGATTTATATCTAAACCCCAAGGAATGGGTGAGTAATCATCTGATGTTCTGTACCAATCGGGATGGCGGCAATGATAATGAGACTAATGCCGATGCCGGGGCCGTTATTAGTACGGTTCCATCAAAGATCGGTCCTTCGATTATCACCTCAACACCCGAGTCACCGATATCTTCCCGGATCGCAAGACGGTAAAAACATCCACCGATGATATCATCCCGTACGATATCCTCATCCTTGCTACTGGCTCGGATGCCGTGCTACCCACTCACACCCCGGGACACGATGCCAAGGGCATCTTCGTCTATCGGACGATCTCAGATCTAGAGAAGCTAATAGAGTTTGCTTCAAAACACAAAGGCGAGACGGGAGTTACCGTTGGCGGAGGCTTGTTAGGTCTAGAAGCGGCCAAGGCGATGACAGATCTTCAAGACTTCGGTAATGTGAAACTCATTGATCGCAACAAATGGGTTCTGGCTAGACAGCTAGATGGGGATGCCGGTTCTCTGGTGACCCGCAAGATTAGGGAGCTGGGCTTGGACGTCCTGCATGAAAAGCGGGTGGCACGTATCAACACCGATGATGATAACAACGTCACCGGTATCGTCTTCGAGGATGGTGAAGAAATCAGCTGTTCCTGCATCTGCTTTGCCGTAAGCTTCCTTATACCTATGTCTGCTGGTATCGGTGTGCTGACTCCGAGAACAGATTGGGGTAAGGCCAAGAGATGAGCTGGGCCAGTCCGCGGGAATCCAGTGTGGTGGAAGGGGAGGGTTCGTCATCGATGAAAGGTAAGCCGCAGTGTTGCCTTTTAGGTGTCATTCTAACCTTGTACCAGTCTCCAAACTTCAGTCAAAGACATCTACGCAGTCGGTGAATGCGCGAGCTGGGAGAGTCAGACATTTGGCATCATTGCTCCTGGTATCGAGATGGCCGACGTCCTTGCATATAACCTCACCAACCCCGATAAGGAGCCCAGGAGCTTCAAACGACCAGACCTCAGTACTAAGCTGAAGCTGCTGGGAGTTGATGTAGCCAGTTTTGGTGACTTCTTCGCCGACAGAGACGGTCCCAAGTTTCTTCCCGGCCAACGACCGTCCATGCCATCTGACCAAGCAGCGTATCCAGGCGAAAAAGAGCTGCCTGTCAAGGCGCTCACTTACAAGGACCCCTTTGGTGGTGTCTACAAAAAGTATCTCTTCACCATGGATGGAAAATACCTCCTCGGGGGCATGATGATCGGGGACACAAAGGACTACCTTAAGTTGAATCAAATGGTGAAGGCCCAGAAGGAGTTAGATGTCCCTCCCAGCCAGTTCATTCTGGGGGCTCAAACCGGTGGAGAAGAAAATGCAGATGATCTGTAAGTTGCTGAACATTAAACCCTCACCGACCGAGCTGACTAATACCCTACGATGTAACAGGGATGACAGCACTCAGATTTGCGCATGTCATAATGTCACCAAGGGTGACTTGGTCTCAAACATCAAGAATGGCACCTGCAAAAACATTGCGGAGGTCAAGTCGTGCACGAAGGCGGGAACCGGCTGTGGCGGCTGTATGCCTCTAGTGCAGTCGATCTTCAACAAAACCATGCTGGACATGGGTCAAGAAGTCTCAAACAACCGTGGGTCTCCACCAATCATGTTTGTAGTCTCCTCTAATGCGCATGCAGTATGTATCCATATTCCCCACTCTCGGGCCGACCTCTACAACATTGTTGCCATCAAGCAACTCAAAACATTCGAGGATGTCATGAAGACGGTTGGGAAGAACCCCGATTCGCTTGGCTGCGAGCTGTGTAAGCCTGCGATTGCCTCGATCCTTTCCAGTCTCTTCAACCGGCACATTATGGACAAGGACCTCCATGAACTACAAGAAACGAACGACAGATTCCTTGCCAACATCCAACGGAACGGGACATTCTCGGTTGTTCCTCGGGTTCCCGGTGGCGAGATCACTGCGGACAAGTTGATCACTATCGGGCAAGTTGCCAAGAAATACGATCTCTACTGCAAGATTACTGGAGGCCAGCGGATCGACTTGTTTGGAGCCAAGAAGCAGGATCTTCTTGACATCTGGACGGAACTTGTCGATGCTGGTATGGAGAGTGGCCACGCTTACGCCAAGTCACTTCGAACTATCAAGGTACTTCCATCGTCCCTTGCCTGGTTGAATAATTGAGATTATACTAACACTCCTCAGAGCTGCGTGGGTACTACCTGGTGCCGTTTTGGTATTGGTGACAGTGTTGGCATGGCCATTCGGCTCGAAGAACGCTACAAGAGTCTCCGGTCCCCTCACAAGCTGAAAGGCGCTGTCTCTGGCTGTGTGCGAGAGTGCGCCGAAGCGCAGAACAAAGAGTGAGTTTTTGTGATGCTGATTCCTGGGTCCTTCAGCTAATACTCTTCAGCTTTGGTCTTATATCCACAGACAAGGGCTTTAACATCTTCGTTGGAGGCAACGGGGGCGCTAAACCCCGGCATTCCGAGATTCTCGCGAAAGATGTGCCTCCCGAGAAGGTCATCCCTCTCATCGATCGGTATCTCATTTTCTATATTCGCACAGCGGATAAACTCCAGCGAACAGCTCGCTGGATTGAGAATCTCCCTGGTGGAATTGAGTATCTACGAGAGGTAGTCGTGGATGACAAATTGGGCATCGGTGCGGAGATGGAGCAGCAGATGCAGGACTTGGTCGACAGCTATTTCTGCGAGTGGACCGAGACAATTCGGAATCCGAAACGGCGCAAGTACTTCCAACAGTTTGCCAACACGGATGAGACCGTCGACACCGTGGAGGTGATCAAAGAACGTGACCAGCAGCGTCCGACTTACTGGCCTAACGAGCCCGCCAGGGAGGACTTCAAGGACCACCAGTGGTCCACACTCTCGTGGCAGCCTATCATCAAGGCCGACTACTTCTCGAATGGCTCCCCGCAAATGTCATCTGCCAATGTGAAGCGTGGAGACACGCAATTGGCCATCTTCAAAGTCAAGGGGAAGTACTACGCCACCCAGCAGATGTGCCCTCACAAGCGGGCCTTCGTCCTGTCGGACGGTTTGATTGGGGACGACGACACGGGCAAGTACTGGGTGTCTTGCCCCTACCACAAGCGCAATTTCGAGCTCAACGGCGAGCAGGCAGGTCGGTGCTCGAACGACGAGGAGATGAACATTGCGACGTTCCCGGTGGAGGAACGCTCGGACGGGTGGGTCTACATGAAGCTGCCTCCTGTCGAGGAGCTAGACTCCATTTTAGGGACCGAGAAGTGGAAGGTGAAGAAGGGAGAGGCGCCGGACCCATTCGCGAAGCATGACAAGAAGTATCGGGGGATGCGAGGGAAGAAGGTGGGCAAAGCCCCGGGAAGTGGTACGGCTGCGCCGTCCAAGGTGATTGACTGGTAGTTCGGCGGAGATGACGATTAATGACTTAGGCCAATGCTTTTTTGACGGTTATACCGTTATAGACGATAGTGCTCTTCTAGGGAGTCCAATGTAATCTATTCCAACCTCTTTTAATGCACATTTACCTTCCGTTACAGGTCCCACCGTCAGTCTGTATTAGGCCAGTGACTTAGTGCCCGGGGGAGCCCCCGGACGACACCACTAGAACCCGGCCTCCATATTAACATGGTGCCATATCATGTCTGACGCTGCAGCCGATATTAAACCAGGTTCGGGACCGTACATAAGTAGCCGGCCTGCTAAGGAGTCCGTCCGGAAAGCTCGCCCCCAGAAACGTTGGGGGCCTGGGTCAGCCGTTCGTAGCCGAATCGCATATGCCTGACGTGCCTTGCATGGCCTAGGGCAGCGGGCGTCACGTTGCTCCGGGTCGCACTAATGGACGGACGCCTATTGGCTGGTCGCGGGCTATCGCGGATCAGCCCATCAAGTGGCCTGTGCTCTGGCCTCGCTGGGAGTTCATTTGATGGTTTTGCTCAATCCTGTCTGTCCGATTTCTTTGGCCCTCTCGTAGCCCTCCTTATCAGCCAGCCTATTTCCCGCCCTGATACGAAATCGGATACCCCCCCCCTACTCCGTATATCGGGAGGGTTCACTGTGCAGATCTGCACCCCTTTTCCCTTCCAAATGGAGACCTGGAGCAGTTCGAAACCCATTCGAGACAACTAGACAAAAAAAAAAAAAAAAGGAAGAAGAAAAAAAAAGGTGAATGTCAACTACCTAGGTAGGTACGTACTAGGGGATAGTACTACGTAGTGCTCCCCGTTATTAATTTGAGGCGGCCCCATCTGGCAGGATCGGAAAGTGAGCCAGCCAGTGTCGAGTCAAGCGTAGCAATTAGCCTGCAACTAAGCGGACTGGAACGGTCAAGCAACGGCAAGCATTGAAGAAAAATTTTACTACTAGCTCCCAGAGGACTGAGGACTAGTAGGACTATAGGAGGGATGACTTGCGGTGACGATGGCCCACTACTCAGTCACTACTGGCTGTCAGTCCCGGCGTCGGTTCGGGACTAGTCCGTCGCTTCCTGAGGCAGTCGCAGCCATGGTTCTTGGCGGATCCCCCGATAGCTTGAAGCTTCCTCCTATCTATCTAGTATCTATCTACTCCCAACTCTCTGACACAGATGCTTCCTCCCTTCTCCAGACGCCCGCGGAGTTACTTCTCCAGATTTCACACCTTATCGTTATCTATCCCAGGGCCATGCCAATCACGCTTCTGAACTGCCGTGCAGAGACCCTGGCTTATCTCCTACGAGTCCTAGCCATCCCAGGAGGTCCTCTCGTTGGCCCACGCCTCCCGATGGGGGCGCGTGAAACGGGCCTGGATCTCCATGGCATGAACCCTGAGGTCATCTTCTACTAGGCGCATGGCTACTACCATAGTAGATAGGCTAGTGATTTCGTGGCTACTGACCTGCTGTGCGACCGAGTAGTATCCACAGCCACGCTCAAAGCGACAACCCGGCGGATCCACTGCCATTGCTCCCAGATTGAGTTCATCGGCCTTCCTTGGTCCGTCCTGTTTATCTCGGGCATTGCTATTGCTCTCTTGTCGTCGTTCTCTGACATTACGAATTCCTAGGAGACATGCCTCCCCGGTCTGCTTTTATCGCAGCCACACGCATCAGCGCGGTGGCAGACTGCTGACCCTCCTAGGAGATAGATTGATGCCTTGATTGCCTGCCCACACGGGGGTGTCGGAAGGTTTTCAGCGCCTGTCATCGCGTTCCCACTCTCTGGACTCTATTCGAAGCACTGGTCTATATATATGAACGGCGTTTCCATCTAGCTCGGGCCCTAATTCTTCTGCCTTGTCCTATATCAGACTCCCAAGACCCAGTGCACCGCCGCCCGGACCCAGTCGTCTATTGGTCTATTCGAATTTATCCCGCCCTGGAGGTGTTCTTGTTTTGATACCCCTTCTCTGTGCATACCTAGTGCTTTGTACCTTATTCCTTTGCTGTCTTGCGGTATACCATCAATCTGATTTATCCCCTGGCGATGGATTACGTCAAACTTCTCTTTGTCTCTCCAGAGATCAATCCAAGTAATCGAAAGGCCAAGTCCATCCCCATTCTCAACCCGTTCGATAAGTATGGCCGGGTCTTTTTCTTCTCCTGGCTGGGGTTCATGGTTGCCTTCCTGTCGTGGTATGCCTTTCCGCCATTGGTAAGTGGTCTCCGGTCCCTTGAAGACATGAGCAAGACTGATGCGAGGGTGCATATAGTTGACCGACACGATCCGTCAAGACCTGCATATGACACAAACACAGGTCGCCAACTCGAACATCGTTGCCCTGCTCGCGACGTAAGCCTTCACCTGCTCCCGCACTCCCGTACTATAGACCTGCATTGACAATGGCACTAGACTGCTGGTGAGATTTGTGGCAGGGCCGCTCTGTGACCGATTTGGTCCTCGCCTGGTATTCATTGGACTGCTGCTTTGCGGGTCGATCCCCACTGCCATGGCTGGGCTTGTCACCACGCCGGAGGGCCTCATTGCTCTGCGGTTCTTCGTTGGCATCCTCGGGGGCACCTTCGTCCCGTGCCAAGTCTGGTGCACGGGATTCTTTGATAAGAAGATTGTCGGAGCTGCTAATGCTCTGGCTGGTGGCTGGGGAAACTCTGGTGGCGGAATTACATTGTACGTTGGCGTCCCATTCCTTTGGCAATGTCTAGCTCACATTTTCCAGCTTTGTTATGCCTGCTGTCTATGATTCATTGGTGAACGTTCAGGGCCTGACGCCGCACAAAGCATGGCGCGTTTCCTACATTGTTCCGTTCATCATCATTGTCGCTGTCGCCCTGACCATGCTCTTTGTATGCGAGGACACGCCAACGGGCAAGTGGTCGGAGCGTCACCTTTGGGTGAAGGAGGCCACTGAACCAGAGGGCAACATCGTCGACATCGACTCGGGGACCCCGTACAGCCCGTCCAAGTCCCCCTCAATGTTCGATGTTACGGGAGATGTGGAAAAGAAAGGCGGCGCCCAGACACCAGTCTCTCTGGAACCCGAGTCCCAGCGGATCGGCCAGTTCGACGCGCTCCGAACGGACACGGTGGTGGCCCCCACGCGCAAGGAGGCGCTGAACGTGCTGTTCAGCCTATCCACAGCGGCCGTCGCCATCCCGTATGCCTGCTCCTTCGGAGCGGAACTCGCCATCGAGTCTGTCCTAGCCAACTACTACCTGGATAACTTCCCCAGCATGGGGCAGACCGAGTCAGGACGATGGGCAGCCATGTTTGGACTGCTAAATATTGTCTGCCGACCTGCAGGCGGGTTCCTTGCGGACTATCTGTACCGCTCCACACAAAGCCTGTGGTCGAAGAAGATCCTGCTCGTGTTCTTGGGGGTTGTCATGGGAGCCTTCCAGCTGGCGATCGGCTTCACCAACCCCAAGTCGGAGGCAACCATGTTCGGCCTGATGGCGGGACTTGCCTTTTTCCTTGAAGCCTGCAACGGTGCCATCTTTTCGTTGGTGCCTCACGTGTATCCGTTTGCCAATGGTGAGTCCCTCTAATCCTGCCTCAATCAGCAAGTACTAACAGAGATAGGTATTGTGTCCGGTGCGGTAGGCGGAATGGGTAACCTTGGCGGTATCATCTTCGCGATCATCTTCCGCTACAATGGATCTCACTATGCGCGATCGCTCTGGATTATCGGTGTGATCTCGCTCGCCGCCAACGTGGTCACATCGTGGATCCGGCCGGTGGCGAAGAATCCGGCTGTGAGCCAATGAGATAGTGCTGCTTTGAATGCGTGATTGTTTAGTTGAATTGAGTATTGATAATAATTGTCTAGCACAAAAGTCTGTGTATAGCCTCTTACAGGGCGTTTTCTTATACCAGTGGTACATATCCTGACCACATTGGGTCTTGTACACATATCCAAGGACCCTCCTCCTTACTACTGACCAAGGATATTGAAGAACATTCCCTTCCCCTCGTAAACAACAACACCACTTCAGAGTACACAGGGTATCTAACGAGCACGGACAAAGAAAAAATGAACGACAGACACGTGGGGGTTGGCTTCATCCAAAGAATAGCAGTGAGGTATTTACTAAATGGTAGTCACCATAGTCTGGTCTAGACGCTCACCAGTAGAAAGTCAATGGTTCTAGAAGATCTAGTACCGATGAAGTCTCGCCCCCGGATGACCCCGGGAAGTCTAATCGGCACTGATGATCTCAACTCACGCATTTAGAGTTCCGGATGATGATGATGTTATATAGGACGTACTCCGTATAGATAAATCATTTCTGGTAGGTAGACTTGCTCTTTTCTTCTGGAGCTGAATCAATCTTTACATAGTTTCTATCCATCTTACCTACTAGCACTTACTCTTTTCCCGCAAGTTAGTCCCCACTGTGACTCCATCCCCCCCAAGAGAATACCTACTCCACGACAGGACAGAAATCAACCATGTCACAAAGTACCACTCATCTCATCCCCCACGCACCCACGCACCCATCTATCCATCCATACACACAAACACATATACTAATAAACCAAACCCCCCACCAGACACAAACCACGAAGGTGTATTCGAGAGACTCTTCGGACACCATCCCCACCACCACCAGAATGAGTCCCAGGATGAGACCAACCAGGGTACCGAGGGACAATGCTCAAACCAGCAGAAGAGCACGGGTACTCAGCCCTCGCATCATGGCGAGGAAAGTGAGATGGATAAGTTGAAGGATTATGTGCATGAGGATGAGGAGTTGGAGAAAGAGGGTCAGACGTATGGGGGGTTGATGTAATTGATGTATTTGGATTTGGGTTGGGTTTTTTTGTATGTTTTTGTAGGTAATTAGGGTAGGTTTTTGGTAGGTAGGTAGGTTTGGGTATATTGGTCTGGGTTGTAATGGATTAGTAGGTGGGTTGGGTTGGGTCTATCTATACCTGTGTCTTTTCTTAGTATCGGGAGTTGGGTATTGGGGTTGGGGTTGGTTATGGAGTTGGGTCTATATCTGTATGTAGTCTTTGTGTAACTTTGTAAGTAGTGTGTTCTTTATCTGGGTTGTTGAATAATAACAAATACAATAGTGGAATTGAGCATCCCGGTTAGTACTGCATCTGCATCTGTATCTGCATCTTGATAGCTAGCTGTATTGTGTACTTACCCCATACATAGACCAGACCAGTACTACCATTAACAATACTCGAATACCATTCCCGTTTTGAGTATATCCCATACTAAGAGAAAGCATACTCACACTATGACATGCCATTAACAAACCAACAGCCTAGACCATAAGTTACTACTATTACCAAAATCTACCAAAGTACAACACCTACCTACTCACCACCTGCAAAGTAAACAAAAAAAAGCACTACAAAAACCCATCGAAGTCAACACGTAGTCAACTCGCACTAGTCTCCTCTGTACCCCTCACCCCATCTCCAAGTCGGGTTAATTCACCCCGAGACTCACCAAAATATAAGTAAGTATACCTACATCACTAGTAACTCCCACCATCAATCAATCCTTACCAGATCCCACCCTCTACAAAACACAATGCCTCGCCGCATCGCCCAAATCGTCCATCTCAAGCCCTCCGCCGTCACAGCCTACAAAGAATGTCACGCCAATGTATGGCCCGAAGTGCTTCAACAGATTCAAGGATGTAATATTCGCGATTGTATGTGATGATAATACTATGCTCCTCCTTCTCTTCCGCAGGAGATAATAACATGAGAGTGGGGAGGAGGATAGATTCGATATTCTTTGATAATGATCGGACACTCTTCGCGACGTTCAGGTACGTGGGGGATGACTTTGAGGGGGATATGCAGCGCATGAAGGCCAATCCCAAGGTGCGGGAGTGGTGGGCCATGACGGATGGGATGCAGGTAGGTACCAATCATTTCCATGGGCTTCAGGCTGTTATGGAGTACTGCTGAAGACTGACATCCATGATGCGACAGGAAAGCCCGGTTCCCGGAGCCGTGGGCAGCGCCGAAGGACCCGGTTGGTGGAAAGAGCTGGACGAGGTTTTCTACACAGATTAGGACCCTCGGACGAAAGTAGAAGAATACTAAACACGTTTCTTCAAGATTATAAATACATGCGCGCTGTCCAAGCACAGAAGCGCAGCCCATGCCGGGTCCGAAATCGGCATCCAAGACCGTTATACAAGCCATGCAAGAATGGGTATCTTCGCCGGAAAATCCGTAGCCGCGAATCCGCCGCTCCAAAACGCCCTACACTCTCTAAACAATATATCGGTAACCAATCCATCATAGCTCATGCACACCGCCAGGGTATGCGCTCCGTCCTTATTCGGCACTGCCTGGGATATCCTTCAGAATCTCCCATCCGTACTCGTCCTCCGGCCTCTCAGGCTCCATGCCAAGGGCATTGCGGTATGCCCGCACCTCGTTCTGGAGGCCCGCAACGATGCGAATCGGAAGCTCTTCTTCCTCCGAGCGGAGACGGTACGCCGTGCGGATCATCTCGGCACATTTCATCGTCTGCGCATGCCAGTAGTCTCGGTCCAAGCGGCTCTCCAGGTGGGAGTCACGCTCCGCTTGTAGTAGGTTGTTGTAGTGGCGTTTCTGAGACAGATAGTGCATGTTGTTGTTTTGGCAGTAGTTGCGGATTTGCTCCACCATGGTGCCAAGTGTCGCTTCATATTCACCGATCAACTTTGCGTTTTCGGCCTGCTCGGTTTTGAGGATCTCAGTAAGACGTCGTTCCTTGGCGATGGCACGCTCGAGCTCGGCAATTCGGGCGCCTGGGCTTGTTAACAGGTATCCACAAAGGCACTTCACATCCACCACTCACCAGTGATTTCGCCGTTGACCTGCTGCAGATTCGGGCTGGTTCCCTCGGTAGAAGATCGTTTCTGTCCCTGTCAGCCAGTTAAACCAGATCCCAGGTCTTGAAAGGAGACATACCATAATCTCCTCCGCACTAGTCGCAATGCTCTTCGTCATTTCACGGTTGTTCTTCAACACATCGCTCAATTCAAGAACCATATCGTAAAGGTGGTGAAGGTCCATCTGATGCCCCGCGTTCATAGGCACTCCGCCGTTCATACCAGGCATTCCGCCGCCGTTAACCTGGGCAGGCGTGTGAGGCATCGCAGGGGACATAGACTGGCGGGGAACGTTGTTCATGCTCGAGGCACCGCCCGAGTTATCCCCGTAGCTGGCAAACATGGCCGATCCAGGGCTACTACCAGCCATACCCCCACTGTTCAACGACATGCTTGCGGCCTCGAAAGCGTTGTTTAATGCCTTGAACTCCGGGTCTAAGGCAGGATCGGGCGGGGGAAGTTTATGGTCGTCGTCGAATCCGAAACCCGAGGTCTCCAAGCCCAGCACGTCCTTTCTGAATTTCTCAAGGTCACGACGAGTAACGTGGGTGGAGCGGCGACGATGCCCACGCACAAACGATGCCTTGGAACCAGGGGGGGACGTAGACGCGCTGATGATGCCGGGTATACAGGGCTCACTTCTAGTTCGGCGATCAAGCGGCGCAGTTGCGGTGCAGTTGATGAGGGGGAAAGGGACCGTTGCGGTGAGGGCAGATGACAACGGCGAGGAAGACAAGGCCGGTCGAGGGGGGTCGTGATCATCGTGAGCCGTGGCCGCGGAGGGTCCAAACCAGTCAAGCGTCGGGAATTCGGAAGAATTCAACCGAGCTCCAGCCTCCGCCGCGCCACGGGTTGAGGCGGTGGCCGCGCGACGATTCTCCATCGCCATTCCAGAGGCTGCCTTCTGGGGGGGTGGGAGCTGGGAAGACGTGGGGATCTGCAGATGGAAGAGGAGAGAGAGAGGGGGGGGGGGGGGGTGGAATAAGAATCAGGAAAAGCAAAAGTGATGGGTGAAGGACTGAGAAGCACCGAGCCAGAAGGAAGCTGCTGCTGCTGCTGCTGTTGCTGTTGCTGTCCAGCCCAAACAACCGTTTGGCTCTCGTTTTCTCCCTTCGTCCTGTCACTGGCACCTGCTATGAATGGTGCAGCTGCAAGCAATCGCCTTCTCCCTTGCAACTTCTCAATGATGCGGCAACCGCATGGGATCTTGACTTATTATAGCTGCTTGGGTAGTAGCTGGCAAGTAGATGCAGAAATTGGGATCTACTGATTATCCAGTGCAATCTTTCCATGCATCTGTGTGACCTCTCTCGGCAGGGCCACTTCCTCATATTCCCAGGCTATGTAGACGCGATGTCCCGCGTGTTAGGCAAGGCATTCGATTTATTCGGGCATCCTTCCTTCAATGTAGTATGATCTAGCCGGGCCCTCCCTCATTATTTGTCATCATGTCATGTCCAATAAGGCATCTAGTTTCTGGTCGCACCCCAGATACGGGCTGTCATTCTCCTGGACCCCCATTTTCTTCTTCCCTTGTTCAACCCGGCCGCCAACGCGCGCAACCAGCATCCTCATCTTCTCCAACTCTTGCACCAGCTCTCCATCCCGCGTCACCAGATTAGGCTGGATATTTTTCTGGGCTTCCTGAAACGGCTCGAGTAAACGCTGTAGCTGTCGTAATTGATCGAGGCGCCGTTGTCGCTGTAGCCGGAGACGGTCCAGGTCAGTGAGACGTTCTCGGAGTTCTTGGTACCTGTATCACCATGAGCCAGATGAAACCAAAATTGGTCATTGGGGTAACCCGAACCTCGCCCGCTGTTCCTCGCTCGCAGATTGGTCCTCTAGCTCCAATGGGAGTTGCGCGATATTCCTGAAATGTCAGAATCCACCCGCTTTGCAACAGGGCAAACTTTGAGGCTCACAAATGGCTGGACAGGTCCACTGATCTCTCAACACCCTTTAACAGAGAACCTGGATTGGGTATTGCCTGGGTCACAGAGGACCAGTATAAGCTAGTGGTTTGCTGTGCAACATGCTGAACTGCCTGGGAGGCGTAGACAATGCGACTGTGTTGTTTCAACGCCGCATTTACTGTAGCCCAGTGGGATTGTCAGAGACATGCACAGAATGAAGACGCAAGACACTTATTGAACATGATGCACTCAATAATAATCCCAAGCCAGAATTCCAGGCTGGTCAACAAGACAGACGGAATATGAATGCTCGCACTTACATTTCTGTAAGACATCGCCGACCACCTTATCGCTGAGATCATCCTCCTCAGTCTCCGCGGCGTAATTTCGCCAATCCTCGGGTGGCTCAAGGCTTTCCGATAGTATTCGCACTTGCGTCCTGATAAAGGACGATTTCAGCTCGGAAATGGTACGAGTTGATTCCATGGCTCCATAGTGAAGAGTTGCGATTGCCTTGAGGTGTGAGAGAGGAACATCTTCATCGGCTTCCCTGGACGCGCATCGATAACGCGCACGTGACCTATGCGCATTCCCCCTTTCGGGGGCTGTCATCACTCACCAACACAGGACTAGAATCAAGCCAGTCTCCTTGCTTCCTGGACACTTGTAGACCTCATGCCGCAAATATTGCAGCTCCATGCAGCACACTCCCGGCTTCGGCGTCTAGAATCCTTTAACGGGGCTTGGATTGCTTTGGATTCGGTCGCAATCCAGGCGCGCCGACTGATCGGTCCTATCTAACCTCGGCAACTGACTCCCCCAGGTTTAGCTGTTGCTCCGCAGGACGGATATCCGGCGACGACACCATTCTGCGTCCAGGAGATTCCTGACCCTGTTGAGTCTCTCTGGTCACTTCTTTCCCTAACTATAAGTCGACCGGTACAGTGCTACTATGACCGACAACCGACGACCCCTGGGCTTGTTGTTCGACATTGGAGGAGTGTGTGTAAGACTAAGCCACGGCCCCCTGGAGAGTGATTGTGCATTAATGAGACTTCAGGTTGTGTCCCCATTCCAGGCCATCCTGGACTACGAGCTGGCCCACAATATTCCCCCAGGATGGGTGAACTTCAGTATCTCTCGCACCTCTCCGAACGGTAGTTGGCACAAACTTGAACGGGGTGAAATCAAGCTAGATACCGAATTCTTTGCGGACTTTAATAAGGACCTACAAGATCCTGGGCTATGGAAGATGTTTCATGAGAGATTTCGGGAAAAGCGCCCGGACAATGCACCAGCATCGATTCCGCCTCTACCCGCGGTCGATGCGGAGTCTCTCTTCTGGGAAATGATGAGGGTTGCTCGGACGCCGGACCCTTATATGTTCCCTGCTTTGAAGAAATTGAAGGAGTCGGGGCGGTTTGTCATGGGTGCTTTGTCCAATACAGTCATATTTCCCGAAGGACATCCATACAATGCAGACCTGGAAGAAAGGAAGTCGCAGTTTGACTTTTTCATTTCATCTGCGCATACCGGCCTCAGGAAGCCGGACGGGAAAATATATCAGGTTGCGCTGCAAGAGATGGAAACCATAGCTCGGAAGAAGGGGATAGACAGAATCCGCGCAGCTGATATCATCTTTCTTGATGATATTGGGGAGAACCTGAAGGGTGCGAAGAAAGCCGGAATGCAAACCATCAAGGTCAATTTAGGACGAACCCAGGATGCTGTCCAGGAACTAGAAAGGATAACCGGACTTTCGTTGTTAGACAGTCCAGACAAGGCCCGGCTCTAAGGTGTTGTTGTATGTCATCCTGTATGCTCCTAGTGTATGAAGATCATGAGAAAAGAGTCTATGAGTATTATAACCCTCTCTGCGTTATTTTCGTTTATTTTCGGGGAGGGTAGGTATTATTGTAGTGGTTGTCTACCCCGTTGTCCGTAATAGATCGGAAGATGTCCTTCAACCCGCAGCTCGTGGCCAACCGCAGTTCGGCGCCGGGATGCAGCCACGCTAAGCGAAGGCTTCCACAAAAGTCATCCCACGAAATTTCCCGCCTCTTCCTTTGCAGCCTACGTCGACAACCCAGTTATCAACTCGCGGCAACCGTCAAGATGGTGAGTTTTGCTGTAACTCCGTATGACTGAGAGCCGACATCGTCGCAAATTCTCTTCGCCTGAAATCTAGGTCGTCCCACATGGGCGATCGCACTGTGGGATAGGAAATGGGTCTTTGCAAGATGCTTCGGACGGCCTTTCTGAAGCGCAAATTGCTGACTCGCCTGTCTGTCTTGTAGCCTTTCCACAAGCTCGTCAAGAACAGCGCTTACTACAGGTAAGAACTATTTCCTTTCGATTGCCTGGTTCCCCTAGATATCTCGACTAACACTTTTTGCAGCCGCTACCAGACCAAGTACCGTCGTCGCCGTGAGGGTAAGACCGACTACTATGCCCGTAAGCGCTTGATCACCCAGGCCAAGAACAAGTACAACGCCCCCAAGTACCGCCTGGTCGTCCGCTTCACCAACCGCGACATCATCACCCAGATCGTCTACTCTGAGATCTCCGGTGACAAGGTCTTCGCCAGCGCCTACTCCCACGAGCTCAAGCGCTATGGCATCACCAACGGTCTGACCAACTGGGCTGCCGCTTACGCCACCGGTCTCCTCCTCGCCCGCCGTACCCTCAAGAAGCTCGGTCTCGATGAGCAGTTCCCCGGTGTCGAGGAGGCCGATGGTGAGTACACCCTCACCGAGGCCGCTGAGACCGACGACGGTTCCCGCCGCCCCTTCAAGGCCTTCCTTGATGTCGGTCTTGCCCGTACCTCCACTGGTGCCCGTGTCTTCGGTGCCATGAAGGGTGCCTCCGACGGTGGTATCTTCGTCCCCCACTCCGAGAGCCGCTTCCCCGGTTTCGACATCGAGGCTGAGGAGCTCGACGCCGAGACTCTCCGCAACTACATCTTCGGTGGTCACGTCGCTGAGTACATGGAGGGTCTCGCCGACGACGACGAGGAGCGCTTCCGTGGTCAGTTCCACAAGTACACCGAGGCTGGTGTTGAGGCCGGTGACATTGAGGAGCTCTACACTGAGGCCCACAAGGCCATCCGTGAGGACCCCTTCAAGAAGGACGAGGATGAGGGTGAGAAGAAGACCAAGGAGGAGTGGAAGGCCGAGAGCAAGAAGTTCCGCCCCGCCCGCCTCACCCGCGAGCAGCGCAAGGAGCGTGTTGAGCAGAAGATCCGCGAGCTTGCTGCTTAAATGGCTGGCTAGGCTAGGTCCGTCGTGCTTGATGCTTTATTGAGTGCGATAGAAAAAGTTTATAATTCTCTTTGAGATATAGGGGAATTAAGGTTCTTCTTGCCCAATACTTTCGTGAATTATGATATCCAGTAGTCTTGATGAAATCTCATGACCGGAGTTATGGCAGGGTTATTTTATTCAGTGCAATAATGGGACGCACACAATGGGAGTTTTGATTGACCATGAATGAGTGCTCCGGTAAATGGCAGTTGTAGGCAGGCTTGTAGATTCTACTGTAGAGCTGCGACTGGAAACCACTGCACATGGCCACGAAGCCCCTCCTTGCATTTGCAAAGTCCCGTTCGAGTCTTCGACATGCCTATGGACTGTTCGAACTTCGAAGACCATTGAATCTGTGGGGAAACAAGCAAAAATCCCGTGGCCTAGCGGTGTGTATTGTGTAACTGAGGAGGCCTTCTACCGCAGTGGGTCACATGAATCGCTCACTAGTCTGTTTTGGGAATAGCCCTGAAGCCCTAAATGCCGTTCTCGTGCCCAGTCACTCGGATCAACGATCATGTTCTTGGGTACGACTGGAAATAAATGTCCATGGTCAATTTGCCATCACATCCGGACTCAACCCTCGGAGGATGCAACCTCTCCTGCTCGGGTCGACTGACCCCAGGATGAAAAACAATCCATGACTATTTGACTTTGTCATGGACATGATTCGGTCGGTGGACCACAGTCATGGTGCTACTGGATCGCTTTGTTGCTTGTTGGCAGAACCACCCGGCCCTTGCCTACTACTAACTAGACTACATTACGGAGTACAGTAAAACACGGTTATAAGCAACACCCGATATAGGGAATCCTCCATTACAAGCAACTGGCCACCGTGTTCAAATTGCTACACCATACAAAATTGCTTCATCCTCCATTACTAGCAAATTGCTAAGATCCTGACCTTCCCCCATACAAAATTGCCTATATTGGATGCTCGGAATAGCTAATTTGAACGTCATTATTCAGGAATCATGCCAAAGCAGACCTCCAAACAAACGCGATGTTGCATTTCTAACAGCCAAAAAGCTGCTCTACGCACTCAACACCAGTTGAAGCCTCAGCTCACTAATATCGACCTTATCAAGTGGTTCGAAGCCACGTACAACCAGCGGATTACTCCCTCCTCCGTATCCCGTATCCTGTCTCCCCGATGTGATTATCTTGATGCTATTCCCGACCACCGATTGAATGATAAACGACGTCGAACAGAGTTGTGGCCAGAGCTAGAGGCAGCAGTTATTGACTGGCTTGAACGCGCGCAATCCTATATTACTATCTCACAAGAAGTCATACGCGAGAAAGCAAAGCAATACTGGCCGATTATCTATCCTGATAAGATGATGCCGTCATTCAGCAACGGTTGGCTTCGAGGCTTCCAATATAGGAAGAATATCAAGAATTTCAAGCAGTACGGAGAGGGCAGGGAGATAATACTGGGAAATGATGCTGAAGACCAGATGATCTTGATACGCAAAGCACTACGTGTTTACGCGCCTTGTGATATCTTCAACTGTGATGAGACTGGCTTATATTGGAGAATGCCTCCGGATCGTGGTCTTTCTACGCGTTCAATCCCTGGACGTAAGAAAGATAAGGCACGTATCAGTATACACTTCTGCTGCAATGCTGATGCCTCTGAGCGCCTTCCTTTATGGTTTATTGGTACAGCAAAGAAGTCTCGAGTCTTCCAAGCAGCAGGTATAAACCCAGAGAATCTAGGTTGCAAATGGCGAAGCAATCGAAAGAGTTGGATGACTACTGCAATCTTCAAAGAATGGCTGCTTTGGTTTGACCAGAGAATGGTTGGCCGGCAGGTTGCTTTATTATGTGATAACTTCTCATCTCATCTTGCTGCGTACGAAGAGGTTAAATCACAGTTATCAAATACTCTGATTATATGGCTGCCACCCAATTCAACATCACGATACCAGCCACTTGATCAAGGCATCATCCGGACCTGGAAGGCTTACTGGAAACGGCAATGGCTGGTTTATATGATGACTGAATATGACCGGGGATACGATCCTATAACTACGATGAACCTTTTGCAAGCGCTCCGTTGGTCAATATCTGCATGGAATCTTGATTTGAAAGATGATACAATCCGCCACTGCTTTACACGCGCGCTTTCAGATGACACTTATAATCCTATGCCTGACTCTGCTATCCTACATGATTTGACTGCTAGTCTACAGAAGTTGCAGAATACTGCACGGATTCAAGATATGATGCAGCTTGACCAGTTCTTGAATCCTTTAGAAGAGCAGGTTCATGATGCAACTACTGATATTGATGATGTTGTTCTAAGCCAGTACACTGCAGTTGAAGATGAGGTTGAAGAGGATGATGAAATGATAGAGCCTCTACCATTTATATCATCTACTAGGGCCCTGCAGGCATTATATGACCTCCGCTTGTACGAAGAACAACAAAATGATGCTAATCAAGCATCTCTACACTCGCTAGCATGCCAGGAACGTGATATTCTTCGAAGAAAGGTGTTAAACACGCAGCAAAGTGATATTCGTGGCTACTTTAGGTAGAATATTCAATATAAGGAAGACCTCGATATAAGCAATTTGGTGGCGTGTCTCATATAATTGCTTATAACCGTGTTTTACTGTACCTACTGAGTAGACAGATCGGGTGCTCTATGTGGGCAGGATCACGTTTTGCCCCGATCCAGTTAGGCATGACATGTCATTAAGCGAAGAAGCAAAGGCGCCAGTGGATGGGGCAGATGATGTCATATTTTATTCTATGGTGAAGGAGTTTCGGAGTACTCTAGATTTATCTGTGTAACCATCTGTCCTTCCACGCCCTCATATGTCTGAGTCAATGCTGGGAAGCCTGGAACATCCCAGGTACTGTCAAGGTGTGGTACAAGCATTACTCGATGAGTCGCGCACTCGCTGGATAGAGTGTATGATCAACATGTTCTCCTCTCCGGGCCCAGAAGTGGATTCGAGTAAGTTCAATGGAACAAGGCACCACGTACTATGACAATTCGGTACTCCGCACTCCGTTTTTGCCATGCAACTCTGAAGTCTGAACATTTGCCTTCTTCCTCAAGGGCTCGGCTCCTACTACCTTAGCCCCATGAAGCCGGTAATTGGTTCATGCTGCGAGAACGCCACTCTGGGCAACTGGGCAGTGGTACGCGGGATGGTCGGTAGCTGCTGTGCAAGAGTCAGTTTGGGAGATCGAACGGGCCTATCATTCGATCTGCTCTTGTTGGACTGACGTCCACCAGTGCATATTACTGTGTAGCCAAAGGGAAATAAGCTCCGGCGGAAGTGGAATCAAGCGTGTCAGGTGCTGGAAGGGAAGCACTATGTAAACACTACACAAGTACTACGCATCAGGTGCTCTAGGTAGATCTGATAGGACCAGAGCCGGCAGGAATGGCAAGATGGACAAGATGGACAGCGCACACATGAGCTAATCAGCTACTCCAGAGTCTACCTTACCTTTGGCCCTAGTGTCGGTCGCTGGATGCGACCATCAGCCCCAAACGAACCACCAGGTCTCCGTACTAGCCATGCCAGGTTTAGACCATCTGGATATCGATGATTTGCGGGTTCGCGTACGCACTTGTAATTTCAGCACCGGTTGAGGGTGGGCTTGGCAGGGTGTCGTGTGAGGGCTTCTCCATCCTCCTCGGTATTATCAGGCGGAATATGCGGAAGAGACCTGGAGTGGCAAGAGGTCAGGCAGGTCGTCAGGTCGTCAGTCCGTCAGTTCGTCAGTCCATCTGTTTTTTTTCATCGCTGGGGGGAGATTGTCGTGACTCGTCATCCGACTGCGGACCGGGTGAGGTAGATCATGGATATCATGAGTCGGATTCAAAAAGTTAAGGGATAACGTGTGCAGGATTGATCAAGTCCATCAATACGCCAGGGGAGCAGCAGCAGTACTCCGTAGAAGGTACTAGTCGTCGATAGTCGATAGTTGATAGTAGATAGATATTCGATACGGTACAGGGGGCGTAATGGGTGCGGGAGTGGTCGCTACGGCGTGCCGCAGCCCGCCCGAATCGCATTCTCCGCAGCGGGCAAACTCGAGTATGTAATCCATCGGGCTCCCCACCGGCGGGAATCATGCTACGCCCGCTAAGCCCAGTTGAGGAAACCTCCCTCCTCATCCCCGATCGCCTCGCTCGTTCGCTGTTTGCCCGCACCCTTTTCTCCTCCCTTTCTTTTCGAGACCCTTTTTAAGATAGATCCTCTTCCGCCTGAACCCCCCTGGTGTTTCATCCGCTCTACCCCTTCTCAACCTCCTTCCCCTCTCCTCTTCAGTTCGCCTCCTTTACGCTCTCATCCCAGTCTATCTGCCGTGTCACCATGTCCGCAGTACTTCGCCGCAATGCCATGATGGAATGTACCCACCATCGCCGTTCTTAATCATCCGTTGGCCGATACTGCAATTTTCTCGTCGCGAGGCATAATCAACCTGCTCGATCATTCTATTCTTGACTACTCGTGCAGTGATATAACCTCCGTATACCTTTCATACCCACCATTGTCCTGTCCGAAGGTCGCCCCATTACGTATCATAGATCAGCGCCCTACTTGATCCTTCATACCCCCATTCAGCCAGCACCCCGTGATCAAACTACACCCGAATTCAAAATGGAAGGAGTTGAGACTGTGGATGTCAGCTGGCTGCATCATTCGCAAAAGGGTAAGTTGCACGCTGCGCAATTGCCTATCGTGTCTGCGATGCGTACCGTCTTCTAACGCGACCACAAGACCATCTATCCCGCTGTAAGTCAGCATCATCCGTGGTTAGCGATAAGTCTGCCGCCGATACAGAGGTCACAATTGCCCAACAACGAACTACGGAAAAGACGGCCGATCAGAGCTCATTATTCTCGCCTGCCCCCGCTTCCGCGCCGAATGCAACATCACAACAAGATGGGCCGAACCCCGAGAAGGAAGGGAGAAATGAAGACAAGTCAGTGGAAGCAAAGCCCACTGGCACCTCGCCAGCATCTCAGAAGAGTGCGCCAAGGCCTGTTACCGGGAGAAGGAACTCTTGGATATCAAGCATTAGTTCCAAGTTTTCCTCTGGCTCTACCCCGCCGTCGCAATCGAATATGAAAGCTCAACAGAATACAAAGGCAACCTCTCCTGTTTCGAAGATGGATATGCATAACCCTTTCGGTGCAGCGTACTCGCCCAAGGATAAGGAAGACGAGAGGACAAATGAAAATAGCCCTTTTGTTTCGACATCACCGAAAGGCCCATCGTTCCTTCAAAGCGCTTTTCGGAAACTTTCATCATCCGCATCCAGCGGGGCTAGCAAAATGGCTTCTACTGGGACTGTTTGCCAACGTCGCGTGATGAATATCGATCAAGATCGGGATAGATGCAAGATTCCAGATTTGAACCCTGCAAAATTGCGGCGTGTCGCTTTTTGCGTGGATGTGGAGATTGCTGGTATATCCTACCGGGAGTCCGATGAAGGCAGCCCACCGGCAAGCAGCAAGCGGCGTACTGTCCCGGAGGTCAATGGCCAGAAACCCAAAAAATCAAGTGTCAAGTCAAAAGAGAAGGATGAGGCTGCGACGTTGAAGAACCCACAAGCTGCAGTTTCTTCTAAGGAAAAAAGTGGCCAAACGAATGGGACGGATGAGATGAATCCTTCCGGATCTCCAGAAACACCCGCAACTGAAGCAAATGCCAATGGCGAAACCAAGGAACCAACCCGAAAGCAGGAAAAGAAAAAGAGATCAGAAGAAGAACGGCGGGAACGGAGGGAAAGGAAGCGCAGACAGGCAGAGGCAAATGGCTCCATACCAATGCAGCTGACAGCCGATGGTCAAGAGTACGGTTCCCGGACACCCGTTTCCAGCACCAGCCGTACAAAAACACAAAGCCATCCGACAACAGATCCCGTACGGATCTATCGACGCTGTTGCCAACTGCGTGAGACGCCCGTGCTCAAGCGTATCGTGGACGAAATCTCGTCGCCTTCTTCCACGTTAGCGGAGTCTCCAGGAACTGTTGCTGTACTTGACCTGAGCGACTTCCCTATGACGACTGAGGACATTGCCACTTTCTGTGACTGGCTCGCTGTTGTGCCTGTCCGGAAACTTATCCTTGAAAAATCTGCATTGACGGACGACTCGGTACGATCAATTCTTGCTGCCCTGCTTTCCACCAGAACAGTGGAGCAAATGATGCAGCGGCGCAGAAGGAGTAAGAAGTCAGAGGCTCGGTCCCCAGAGAAAGAAGAAAGGTTCAGTGTTGTCGAAAAGCTGTCCTTAAAGGATAACCCAAAGATTGGACCGGAAGGGTGGCGTCACATTTGCCTATTCGTTCACCTCTCCAAATCCCTGAAGGCGATTGACCTGTCGGGCATTCCACTTCCTAGGACGCCTATTACTGTCAACTGTTCCAATAAAGGCGTCTCTCAAACCCAGGGTGTCATTGATGTGACGACCCTCTTCGCAAATTCGCTCGCACAGCGCCTTGGTGGCGACTACCTTGAAGAATTGTTGCTGAGCGAATGTCAACCTACGACTGAAGATGTCAAGAAGATCTGTGATGCAGCTGCAACTGTTGGCTTAAGGCGACTTGGCTTCGCCAATAATGAGCTGAACAAGGAAGGCTTGGAGCACATCGTTGGTTATCTAAAGGCAGGTAAATGTGAAGGGTTAGACTTGGGCGGGAACCCCATCAGGGACCAGTTGGACTTGATCACGTCTGCTCTCACGAGTGACCACCCGCTGTATGCGCTGAGCTTGGCCGATTGCTCCCTGACACCCGCTGCCGTCTACCCATTGTTCCAGGGACTGACACGCCTGCTTGACCTTCGCTTTGTCGATTTCTCCCATAATCCAGACCTTTTCACCATTGAGCCCGATGCACTAGCCACTTTCAGGCGATTTCTCCCTAAGATGCCTGCTCTCAAGCGCATCCACCTGGCTGACGTCAATTTGTCTCCCGATCAAACTATCGCTCTTGCCGAGGTTCTTCCAGAGTGCCCCAGTCTATGTCATTTGAATATCCTCGAAAACCCCTCCATTACGTCGTTGGCCTCCGCAACGGACCCTGCCAGTCAGGAAGAAGCATGTGCTGTATATGCATCCCTAATGGCAGCAGTGCGTGTGTCGAGGACGATTATCGCCGTGGATATTGAAGTTCCAAGCGCGGAGAGCAACGAGGTCGTCAAGGCCCTGGCCTCCCAGATAGTTGCTTACTCACTTCAAAATCTTGAGCAAGGTGCCATTGCAGTAGAGTTTTCCGACCCGACGGATATATCAACACGACCAACTGTCCATGTCCCGGAAATTCTGCAGCACATCGTCGGCCACAGTGTTGGGGACGAACCGGAAGAGGATGACGAACCTGCACCTGATGAGGATTATGTGATCGGAGGTACCGGAGTGGTCAAAGCTCTCGGCGTATGCCTCGGTAATCTGGATCGCCATATGCCCGGAGAGCAGTCCGGACCCCCAAGTGGCACGACAACACCCAGACACCGGAAGTCCAGCAGATCTTTTGTCACCAAGCGGCCCCGTGACATGTCCAAGAACTTATTGGAAGCGGCACGGAATATCCGGACTCGTATCCAGTCGGCTCTTGTGCGCGAAGACAAGGCCGGCAATGACACCAATTACAGTACGTTTCTCATCCTGTCAACTCTTGCTAGGGGGTAATACTGACCAAGCCTTCTACTACAGGACGTCTCCAATTCCTTGATTTCACCTTGCAGCGGATGATCCAGCGATTCGAAGACGAGTACCCTGAAACGCGCATCATACCCCAGACCTTGCCATCATACGCTATCCAGGATACCAGCTCCCAGAACTCCGGTGACGATGGGTGGAATGGCCCTGCGCTTGATGGCAACCAGCAGAATGCCACGAACACCGATGCTGAGGTTGCAGTGGACGACGAGGAGGACCAATATGCTGTGCGATTATCGCGAGCAAGCTCAATCACATCCCTTCATTCACGCGCAATGACCTCCGAGGAAGGACATGTTCATCGTCTTGGGCAAGGCATCCGGCGCGATTTCCTCCGACCTTCCTTTGACCAGGCTGATGATGATATGACGGCATTCTCCTACGACGAGTCCCATATGGCCGCCTTACGCGATAAGCTCGACCGTTTGCACGAGGAACAAACACACTCGCGATTTGAGGGCGCCGGTGCGGACAAAGCCTTGGTGGATCTGGGCACGACTGTGGAGGAATTGTGGGCCGCTCGCAAGCATGATACGGAGACCTTTGAGAAGTTCCGTCAAAGCCAGATCGCTGCGCAATTTAACAGTGGCAAAAGGTCTTCCACCATAGCTGGCGCGAGCAATGGGACTTAAAGCCGAGTAATGCTAACAGCCAGCCTTGTTGAAAGCTGAGCCACCACGTTGTGGCCTATATGAATGCCGTGCGGGGGACCGACAGCGGATGCCCCTGCATACACCTACTATCTACAATGGTATCTCTGATTAACCAGGATCTCTGCCGGCAGAGGATAACCCTGTATATAGGTTGTCACCCGATGCGCGTGACCTGATATGTATTGTAATCTATTTCACCCGATTTGTTATGTGGCCATCTCTTTCTATTTCTTGTTGTGCATGTTTCTTCTTTGGCCTTGGGGGAGGCAGGCGTTGGCTCCTCAGGTAGCCAGGGGGCGAGTTAGTCTTTTTTTTGCTAATGGTGATGATACGATGAAATGAAGAGATTGAATGTTGGTCAGTATGGAGTAGTAGATCATTAGATTGTAGGGTGCCCCGCTTAAGTAAGGCGGGCATCCTCGGCAGGCCCCGAAATCCGGGGAGGCAGTTGCGTTCACATGTCAGTCAGTCAGGGCTGCCCGTCGTCATCCATCACTTGCGTTCTCTCACTCTCCCTCTCTCTCCCTCTCTTCTCTTCCCCTCCCATTCTCTAACTCTTATCTCACCCCCACCCCCCTCTTCATCTACTACTCCCCGGTCATGTTAGCCTTCGTCGACTCTGGCTAAATCCCCGGGTTATATCTCCTTGAATGCACGCCATCTCCTCCATCCCGTCCTCGTCGCTACTATGGCTGCGCAGTCCAAATTACTTCCGCCCGAGCGGTCCATACGACACCTCTTCTCCCGCCTGGCGGCCACCTACCTCCGTCACCGTAAGCAAATTTCCCGCACCGTTTACTTGGCCCTCTTCGCCGCTCTCGTGAAACGCGTCCATAATGCCATCTCCGAGCAAAAAGCCGCCTCCCATCACCAGGAATCACTGCAGAGGAGGCCAGGGACCAGCAGTCTCGGCGAGGAGGGCGACCGCCCGCGAAAGAAGGTCGAGGTTAACCGGGAGTTCTTCCGGAACCTGATTCGCCTTCTCAAGATCGTGATCCCCGGTTGGCGGAGCAAGGAGCTACGGCTACTTTTCGGGCACAGTGTCTTCTTGGTGCTGCGGACGCTGCTGAGTCTGTATGTAGCCGAGCTGGATGGACGATTGGTTAGCAACTTGGTGAGGGGGAGAGGGAAAGATTTCCTGCTGGGGCTGGTGTGGTGGATGATTGTGGCAGTTCCTGCGACGTTTACGAACTCGATGGTAAGTTTGTACAAGATCAAGCCTCTTGGGGAAAGGGCCCAGAAGCTAATCCACTCTGGCTACGCGGTAGCTTTCTTATCACCAATGCAAACTCGCCCTCGCGTACCGCAAGCGCCTGACAGACTACATTCATGAGAAGTATTTGTCTAACATGACGTTCTATGCGATATCAGCTTTGGATGATAGGGTCAAGAACCCCGACCAGCTCATCACAGTAGATGTCTCTCGGTTCTCTGATAGTCTGGCAGAGCTATATTCCAATCTGGCCAAGCCGATCTTGGACATGGCTATCTATAATTACTCTCTTTCGAAGAGTGTGGGCGGAGAAGGCCTGTTCATAATGAGCCTCCTCGTGCAATTGTCCGCGAATGTCATGCGTGCATTGACACCACCGTTTGGCAAATACGTGGCCGACGAAGCTCGCCTGGAAGGAGAGTTCCGGTTCCTGCACTCGCGACTGATCGACTACAGCGAGGAGGTGGCTCTCTACCACGGCCACGAGGCAGAAAAAGATACCCTAGACAAGGGTTACTTCACTCTCATCAAACATGTGAATCGCATTCTCCGAAGACGCTTATATCATGGATTCATGGAGGACTTCGTCATCAAGTACTTCTGGGGCGCCTTGGGCTTGATCTTGTGCAGTATTCCTGTCTTCTTCAAGATCCCCGGCCAAGTCACTCAAACCATGGGCGACCGCACCGAAAGTAAGCGTTTCGACCTAGAGAAAGTTATAACAGTCAGCACGAAAGCTAACAGACCTCAAATAGGCTTCGTTACAAACCGCAGAATGCTACTTTCCTCGTCCGATGCCTTTGGACGTTTGATGTTCTCCTACAAAGAAATCTCCGAACTAGCCGGCCATACAGCCCGTGTCTCCTCTTTACTTGAGGTCATGGACGACCTATTGGCCGGTCGCTTCGAGAAGAAGCTAGTATCTTCCGCGTCCACAGAAGAAAATACAGCAATTCTTTCTGGCCGCGGAGTCGTCGAGGAAAGCGATTCCATCGACTTCACCGATGTGCCCATTGTCTCACCAAACGGCGATGTTCTAGTCCGCAAGCTATCCTTCACCGTCCATCCAGGTGATCACCTTTTAATCGTTGGGCCCAATGGATGCGGTAAATCCTCCCTATTCCGCATCCTCGGCGGTCTATGGCCCGTCTACGGAGGAAAAGTTAAGAAACCCCGTTTCGACGACATCTTCTACATCCCTCAACGACCATATCTTTCGCGAGGTACTCTTCGCCAACAGGTCATCTACCCAGACGGTGTCCGTGAAATGCGCGCCAAGGGCATCACCGATGACGACCTCTACGACATCCTCTCCGTCGTGGAGATCGCCTCCGTTGTCGACCGTCCGGGGGGCTGGGACGCCGAAGAGGAATGGCGCGACGTGCTATCAGGTGGTCTACAACAACGGATAGCCATGGCCAGGCTATTCTACCACCGACCCAAATTCGCTATTCTGGACGAGTGCACCTCTTCCGTGACTCTGGAAATCGAACGAGTCATGTACGAAACGGCCAAGCAGCTGGGGACTACATTGATGACCGTGTCTCATCGGCGCAGTCTCTGGAGATATCATAAGAAGATCCTGCAGTTCGACGGAGAGGGAAGCTATATCTTCACTGGGTTGGATTGGGAAAGAAGACTCAAGTTGGAAGAGTAAGTGGCTCTATTACATTATCTATCTTGTTTTGTCGACTGAGTCGTACATGGCATCTGAACTAACACTGCTGTCATGATAGTGAGAAGGAGGAGCTGGATCTCCAACTTCGAATGGTCCCAGAGTTGCAGAAGCGCATGGCTGAATTGAGTGCCTCGTAGGGAGCTTATACCATCTTGGGTTTGTTGTCCTATAGGATATAGAGTATAGGTGGACTTGACTCTTGTTCTTGTATCCCCCATCGTGCAATCACTGCGTTGTTATGGTGTGTCTAGCCCGTACGGGGCAGCCTACAAGTTTATAGGTAGTGTAGAAAGGGGGATGGAACTTTGTAAGAGCAGTCAGTTGCATAGAATATAGCTGTCTCATGATTCCTGATCCAAACAGTTGGTTAATCGTGAATGAGCGAATGGCTCTTTTAGAAAGGTTCTTCCTGTTCCTTGAGAACCAGCCAGTAAGATCCACGCACAGAATAGTCCGACTTGCCAAGAGGAGAGGAAGAAAGGTGAAAAGAGCGGGTGATAAACACAGCAAGCTAAATAGAACAATTGATGTATGATGCATCACTCAGCTTCAATCGAACATGTCTAGTCCTTCACCTCGAGTGGTTCCACATTCCAGATGCTTTCGGCGTATTCATTGATGACTCGATCCGTAGAGAAGAAACCCATGCGTGCCACACTAGTGATGGACTTGGCTATCCACTCCTCACGGTTCTGGAACGACTCATCAACCAAATCTTGGGTCGTGATATATGAATTGAAGTCATCGGACACAAGATAGTAATCACCATGCTCAACAATGGAATCGAGAAGAGCGGAGAAATTGCCAACGTCACCGAACATGTCGCCTCGAATTGCATCAAATACTTTAGCCAAGTGAGGATCAAGTCGAAAATCGCCGTAGAGATGTCGGTGACGAAGCTCTTCGACATCTTCCGCCAGATTGCCGAAGAGGAAAATGTTCTGCTCTCCAATCTCTCTGGTGATCTCGATCTACATAAAGGGTGATAGTCAGCATCATATGTGGGGTCTTCACTGGAATCGGGCCTCATACGTTAGCACCGTCGCAGGTTCCAATGATCAATCCACCATTCATGACAAACTTCATGTTGCTGGTTCCGCTTCCCTCAGTGCCAGCAGTGGAGATATGCTCGCTGATGTCCGATGCCGGACAGATGATCTCAGCCTTACTGACGTTGTAGTCTTCAACAAAGATCACCTTCAAGAGATCACCAACATCAGGATCATTGTTTACCACAGACGCGACCTTGTTAACCAGATGAATAACAGCCTTTGCCATCCAGTAGCCCGGGGCTGCTTTGCCTCCGAAGATCGACACACGCGGCAGGGTCTTTCTTTTCTCTTCCGACGACATGGACTTGATCTTCAAGTACCGGTGGATGACGCCGAAGATGTTGAGCTGTTGTCGCTTGTATTCATGAATACGTTTGACCTGAATATCAAACAATGCATTTGGATTTACACTGTAGCCGGTGGTTTCCTTGATATGCTTGGCAAGACGGAGCTTGTTGGCGGTTTTAATTTCTGCCCATTCCCGTTGGAATGCCTTGTCATCGACGAAGGCCTCGAGCTGATCTAGCAACGTCAGGTCGGTCAAGAACTGATATCCTCCCAGTCTAGAAGCAATAAGGTCAGACAGTCGTGGATTTGCCTGGTGTAGCCAACGGCGTGGAGTGACGCCATTTGTGACGTTGGTGAACTTGTCGGGACCATAGATCGTGACAAAGTCCCTAAACAGAGTGGTCCGCAACAAGTCAGAGTGCAGTTCTGCGACACCGTTGACTTTATGGGACCCAATGATCGCGATGTAAGCCATTCTGACCATTTTTGGATGCGACTCTTCAATGATTGACACTCGCGACAGCAGTTCTCTATCCTGAGGAAACGTCTTCTCAACGTGCTGTAGGAAATACAAGTTAATGTCGAAAATAATCTGCATGTGTCGCGGCAGAAGATTCTGCACCAACGGAACAGACCATTTCTCCAAGGCTTCTGGCAAGACTGTGTGGTTCGTATACCCAAAGGTATTTGTTACGATGTTCCACGCCTCATCCCACTCGAGGCCTTCATTGTCAATCAAGATGCGTTGCAGCTCGACGATAGCCATCGTTGGGTGGGTGTCATTCAGTTGAATAGCGACTTGTTCGGGAAACTCGCTCCAGGCTCTCTTTGTCTTCTTGAATCTCCGGACGATATCGTACAGAGACGCAGCACACCAAAAGTACTGCTGTTTCAGCCTAAGTTCCTTACCCCGATCAAGGTTGTCGTTCGGGTAGAGCACCGCGGAAATTGTCTCCGCGCGCTGTTGCTCGGCGACGGCACTCTCGTAATCACCGGCATTGAACTTCTGGAAGTTAAATTCTCCACTCGACGCCTTGCAAGACCACAATCGAAGATTGTTCGTGGTGCGGGTGCCATAGCCCGGGACAGGAACATCGTATGCCACTGCCTGCACGGTTTCGCCGCCTTCCCAGGAGTTGATGATCTTGCCGTTCTCGTCCTGGGATCTTTTCACCCAGCCATAGAACTGTATGTCGACGGTGATTTCATGGCGAGGAAATTCCCATGGATTGAAATCGAGCCAATAGTCAGGGACTTCCATTTGGTATCCATCCACAATCTCCTGTTTGAAGATACCGTATCGGTATCGGAGCCCGTATCCCCAGGCTGGATAGTTCAACGTTGCCAGACTATCGAGAAAACATGCAGCCAAGCGTCCAAGGCCTCCATTCCCCAATGCAGCATCATGTTCCTGGCTGATGACGTCTTCGATCCGGAAACCCAGGTCCTTCAGACCATCTTTTCTCAAGAAATTAGTGAGATGCTTGTATCATGTCAGGGCCCTGTTGTAGTTCCTACCTCGCGCAACGTCCTTCAAGCCGACATTGAGCATAGCATTATCCAATGCCCTACCCATGAGAAATTCGAGAGAGAGGTCTATCGAGGGCGGTCAGTTAGTCTGGTAGATAAACCGCAGCCTAAGAAATAATTCAAGGGGCTACGTACAGTACACCCTCTTTTGATCAGCGAACGCCTGTCGCTGTTGCGTCTTATTCCACTCGATTATCAGGCGATCCCGAAAGGCTAGGGCGGTTCCAGAGTATGCGGCACTATTACATTGGCGTTATGATTGACTGGGGTTTGCCAAAGACAAGGTAACATACAGTTCATCACAATTGTACAGCGAGCGAGCCAACGTAGTCTCGATGTGACGAACTAGCTCATGCTATTCAAACTGTGAGTAGGATGCTCGACGGTTATCTCGTGTAACGTACCTCAAACTCTTCTTTGTTGGTGAAGCCATTTGCGGACTATGGACAGGCAGTGATTTAGCAAAGTAGACTGGAAAAAATGGCCTAGCGTCCACTTTCTTACATATCTTCTCCATCTAGAAGACAATTCGGGTTAGCAACACTACATCAATGGCTGTGCACATGCAGGCCTGCGGCTATTGGAGAGCTATGATATCAATTGTGACACCAAGTGAATGAATGAGGGTCCATGCACTCACTCTTCCCTCAGATGCTCAGGGATGCTGGCTTCGACGCTTTTGATCTCTGCAGGTCCGAAGCCAGTAAAGGTCCGCCTATGCTTGGGACGACTGAAGGCCGGACCAACGGGGCCCTGAAGCTCGGAAACCGGGGCCCCAACAGAGGGCCTTCTTTCACGGCGAGCTTCAGACATTGGGCCTGAAGGAGCGGGAAGTGGCGGGGAACAGGTTTGGTAAGAGCTATAGAGATAGTTCAATGCTAAGCTTATGACTGAAGCAAGGAGAGCTGAACGAACGAGGGGCTGGATTCAGACGACAGCTTCGGGTGTTGGTAAAGAAAAAAAAAAGGGAAGGGGAAGGGGAAGCTGAGATGGGGAGGAAGAGGACAAAGAAGAGGAAGGAAGTGGGAGGGGAGGGGAGAAGACCTGAGGCGAGGCGTATACTAAAGGATTCACTGACCTTTCCCCGTCCAACCGCGTGACAAGGTGTCTAGTTTCGAATGCTGGGATAAAAGCAGGGCATGCGAGACTACCGGGAGGGGTAAACTCGAAGTCGATGATCACTGATGGCTATAGCTTGGGGAATCATACGTTTATCCCCGGTTTCTCATGCATGTTGTGCGAGTCGAGTGTCTAGCCCCCCGTGGAACTACAGCTAGCTCAATCGCAAATATAGCACGGGATTGGGGCGAATTGAAGCTGCCGTGTAGCTCCCTGGATGTCCGACAGCACTGGATAGGAGGACAGGAGGGCTGGCGTGTGGACGGATTGCCCGGAACTGAGCCTGAACTCATGAGAGGATGATGATGGCAACATTCCTTGGATGAGGGGAGGACCCGAGCTAGGCGACATGAGAATAACACGACCCTTGTTTGATAGTCAACGTCTGGTCTGACCGTGGCTGCCGCTATGACGCATGGCATTCCGAGCATGCGTGAGATGCGAGTGGGGAAGAGGAGGAGGAGTTGGTTGTTAGTACTACTACTCGTTGTTGACCCCCCTCCGATCGATGGGTGGCCAGATCCCCTCTCCGTCCAGTATCGATACCGTACGTATGTACTCCGTACTATACTCTGTATGATCCTTTTCCCTAATACTATCCTCCTCGAGGCCTCTCTCCCACAGTGAATATTCTTCCGATCGAAATAACCTGACCTTGGCCATGAGGGTATAACAGTATGTTCTTTCAATTCCTTCAGTTCATCCCCCCTCCCTCTCAGCGTCTACAGCCAAGCCCTCTTCCTCACAGTCCCCTTCGCCGCCCGCAGCTCAGTCCTCCGGCCCCAGTCCATCTCCGGTCTCATCCCCGCCCCCGCACTGCAACCCTGTGTCGGATCGGCGGTCATCGACTTCCTCAGCCATCCTTTCCATTGAACGCTCGAGTTGGCAGGTCTGACCTCGAGAAATTCCGCGCAAACTATGTGTTTCTTATGACCTCTGCACGGTGCAGGCCCTCAACGCCCCGACTTGCTCGGCGAACTACTGGAGTGACTAATGTACATGGGACTAGCATGGGCAGTCTTCCTTATCCACCCTCAACCACCCGCAGTATTGGTGATGTGCCTCAGGGCACGCCACCATAAAGTAAAAGTGGATTTCAACCTATCCTGGTCGAGTCTGGAGGCACTTCGAAGGCAACTGTACAAGCTTCAAACATTAAGAAGCACGCGTCCCAGGCTCATCTGATCGAACCACTCACGAGGATAGGGTTATTGCTGGATTGATAAAGGACACTGTAAGACTCCAGGGTAAGAGATCAATTGCATGCATAGGATCGCTACAACAAGTGGCTTGGTATAGATGAAGAACAGCAAATCAACTGCAATAGCGAAACAGAAAATCTGGGCAACAGCACGGAGGATTAGAATGGTGAGTAATGAGAGGTCGCCATTAGATGCATGGAGTCAACATGAAAGAAGCAAAAAGGAAAATGGGTCTCAGACAGCACGAGACAGGATATCAGAAGCCTTTGCACGTTGTATATGCGAAGTAGTGCCGAGGCCTGTAACTTTTTTTTAGCTCGAGGCATTGGGCTCATGGAGTTTCAAGCCAAAGAAGAGGTTGGTGGTCAATTATGGCCAATGCAGACAGAAAGCCCCAAGAAGCATATTATCCTGAAATGGTAACAAAGGAAAATAAGGGAACACCATGCCACAAATTCCAACGACCATGATCCATTCCAGCGCCAGGCACATTGAACTCTGAAGTGAAAGTAGCACCGTAACGCCGATGCCTACCGACTGAACATATGTGTTGAAGCAGACAAAAAGGGAAAATTAGGGAAGAAACGAACGCCTAAGCTGTGAACATGGTGCAAATCGTAGGGTAAGAAAAGAATTAATAAGAGACTTAAGAAAAAAAAAAAAAAAAGACGCAGACGATGTTCATCAGTACAACCGGGGCATGAAGATTGACTGATAGGGTGGTGAGGAAGAGAATAGCCCACTACATAACATAGGCAACTGCCAGAGTGGGGTCTGGGGTTTAAGGAGCGGACATTGTAAGCACGATGAAAGCGTCCTTCGCTGGGCATTGATGATCGGACAATAGTTGCTTCATAGGATACCCGAATCCTTGAGGGCGTTCTGCAGAATTGTCTCCTTTACAGCCGCGAAGACTAGGCGGATATTTGTCGTGTCGGTGGCCTGAGTTAAACTATAGGTGGTATTAGAGGCTAGCCATGTAAAAAGAAAAGAAAAAAGAATCTGAATAATTCACTTACTGAGGGTAAAGATTCAGATGCGCCCTGTTGACTTGATTGAACCTCCAAAGAAGATACTTGGCCGCTCGATTAACATCGTTACCGCCTGAGTAGTCGGGAAAGTATTGGTTCAACGGAGAGCGTGGGAGCTTTTGTCGGAAAAGGTCGACCTTATTTAGAAAGAGGATAATACTCGTTCGCATAAACCACCGGGAGTTGACCACGGAGTCGAACAAAACTAAGCTTTCCATCATTCGGTTCTTGAAGTGAGGGAGATAATCAGCGGCGAACATCACCGACGGAGTGTGCGGGGACATACTTGATTACTCTCTTCTAGTAATACTTGATCATACTCACTTAGCGCCACACAGAAGATGATGGATGTCACATTTTCAAAACAATGAATCCACTTTTTCCGCTCACTGCGCTGGCCGCCAACGTCGAACATACTGTGTAGTAGGTGAGCAAGATGCCGAATCGACAGAAAGGAATCCAAGGCGAGGAAGTTTCATACTGTATGCTTAGCTGGCCCATTGTAAATCGTGTCTCATAGATACCTGTTGTTTTCGTTCGCGCACGAAGCACATCATTCACGTTGGGTATGTAATCCACGGAAGTTATCCGCTTCGCTTCCTCGAAGAAACTAAAACGAGTCGTTCAGCGGGCATGTTTGGAGGCCCCGGAGGTGACACTGGCACTTACTATGGTGCTGAATCCATCAAATAAAATTCATTCTGATGTTCCAGTACATTGGACGTACACGGGTCATTCCAGAGATAGGTTATCGCATCGCCCACCTTGGCATCCAGGGGTATGTTGGGGTCGGGGTCAATATTGTAGTCGGAAAGGAACTGGATGTAATCGCGGACTTTTTGACTCGATGGCTCTAGCGAGAACTGATGGTATGCAGCGATGAGGGACTTTGTGCAATCGAGGAGGTTCTTGTAGACAGTCAGACGATACAGGGAGAGCTCTTCCACTGTGTAGCCATTCTGATGGATAATTTTCATCTGTTTAACGATAGTCGATTTCCCGCTTTCTCCGGAACCTGAATCAAGAGGAGATCATCGTTAGCTAGACTTGACTCTTGGGATAGCACGGACTGCATGTCGAACAGGCGAAGTATTGCTACGCACCAAGCAATAGGATCTTGCACTCTCGCCGTAGTTTCTTGGAGTCCTCTTCTAGCCTGCGGTCGATTGCCTGGCTCTTTCGTTTCGATTCTGCATCCCCTGCCGCCTCTGTACTCACACACGAACCCATGTTCTCGGTATGGCTCCAGACAGCGGAAAGCTAACCCATTAGCTGCCTGCGGAAGGCACGGCATCAACCTATCAAGATACTGGAAGCCGAGACCGTCGGGGGAAGAATTCCTAGACAAGGAATACCCCGAAAGACCCAAGCAGATGTAATCGCGGAAGGAGGGTGCAATCGGCGCAATGGAAAGACAATTCTGGGGTCGGACAACGAGGGCGAGAGCGAGAGAGGAGGTAGGTATGCGATCGACGATGGAGCTTCGATCAGGGATCGAGGCTTGCGCGCGTAGTGGCCGGAAGTAGAGGCACAACAGACGGGTCAAGTCTGGGACGGAGAAGGCCGGAGCGACGACTGCAAGCTCCCGGGGATAGAGGTGTTGGCTTGTGACGCAGGAGATGGAAAGCCGAGAGACAGCGAAGAATGGGAAGACACCGAGCCCACGCGCGGAGTAGTATGGCTCTGCTGGAAGGTTGACCGGGGTGAGGGGTGTGAGGATCCAACTGCGGAGCAGGAAAGCGAGCGAGGATGACGACCTGACGCTAAAAAGGGTAGTTAAGGTCGATCGGGGGGGATGGTGTGGGAGAGTGGATGGAAGCGCGGATCTCGAGTGAGATAATGTAAGCAATGAGGATCAGTCGTCGGTCGGGGTCGATCAGGCGGGAAGGGAGGACGGAGGAGATGCGCGGCGTGGACAAGGGGATTAGATATTATTACTGGTCATTCATTATAATGAGGAATTAAGTCGTGTGCGTGTGAATGGGGAAGTGAAGTGAGGAAGAGAGAGGGTAAGGAGACAAAGGGGAGGAGAGGAGGAGATGGTAGAATGTGATTGATTGATTGATGGAGGTAGTAGGTTGGTGGTTGGTGGTTGGTGGTGGTGGTGGTGGTGGTGGAAGTGGAATAATGGAGTTGGGTGGATGTTCCCAATCGTCATCTAGACAGGTGGAAGTGGAGATGGCAGAAAGAGGAGCCTGAGGAGGATTACATACTCGCTCGATCGTAGGGGCGCGGGTGGGTATTTGGGAAAACGTGGACCACCAACCCAAGCTTACCGCGAGTGAAGGCATAAAGGAGAGGGCTGGCGCTAAATGGATGAATGGATCAGATCGATCTATGTATACCACCGTCGACTCCAGTCGCTAGTAGTACCTTAGTAGGTACTCCGTACACCGTACAATCCTGCCTGCCCATTGACTATTAGGTACTTCTTCCATCGGACCCCTACCTACATTCCCCCCCCCCTAAAATCACGGTTTTCCTTTTTATGGCCAGTTTTCTGGTCGGAACGGTAGGAAAAGGGACTAGCTCCAGCGCCAGTGGCAGCGGTACGACGAGTCAGGCCAGTACATCTTTACGGACCGGCGGGCGCCATCGCTCGTAATCTTTTAGCGTGCCTCGATTCTCCCCGGCTCTAGTACGGAGTAACATGTAGGCTAAGTACTAGGTAGGTAACAAGTAACAACACACCAGCGCGTCTACGGAGTACTTACTCGAGGAAGAAGGCTCTCTCTTTTGTTTCTCTGTTCTTGTGTCACATCTGGTCCAAAGCCGATTCGGTTGCATCCCGTGCCTCTACTATCCAAACCTTCCGCTTTTCCGCATCACACAGAGAGCGCTTATACCCGCTTTCTTGGTTTTGCGTATAGTTTTCCTTTTTTGGGTCTTCCAGGGACTCATCTCGCCTGGGGGTATTTGAGGTGAGGCTGAGGCTATGTCACAGTAGCACCTGAGCGGAACACAGTATGCTTAGAAGAGCATAAGGCTACCTGATACTGTGCCTTGCCATCCAATTGCATTTCACCCAGAGTATACTACCCATATCAGTATTTATCTGAATGGATCGTTACCCGGAGATAGCCGATCCTTCGGGTAGGGTTGTATCCGTGGCCGCCTTTCTGTGAATGATTATTAACAATAAAGATGCAGAGTAGATCGATCACCCACGAATGTCGAGCGAGCTCAAGGTTACTGACCCGGCTTGGGTGGAATACTGTATCTGACCTGTCAGTCCTAGACTACCACTATAGATGGATCATGCACCCGCCTGCAGAAGATCGTTCATCGAATTAAGTCCGTCTGATCATGCCATTAGAGTCTTCTGCATAACATTTGATTTCATGTGGCAGGTAGCAGCCCTAAGCGGAAATCCATGTCTTTTTTTTTAAGTTTTCCCACCACCTGCTTTATTTGTTTTCGGCGTGCTGCGCTTGCCTCCAGCGTTAATAATAGTAAGGTTCGGCGGACTGTTTGAGACAGCCATGTGGATATGAAACACCTACAACCTAGCTAGCACAGTAAATGCCCCCCCAAGAACTCGTTCTTTTTTCTTCCCCTCACCATTGTTACATGATAATCATTCTTCGGGTTTCAGGTTTTCGTCATTATGAATAGCGCAGATCCCAGAAATCTCTTTACAGAATTGACCATGGTGAGAGAAATATGGATATGCACAACAGGGTTTTGAGATATCGCCAGACACAGGGTCAAAGATGAAACATGGCACTATAAGTATCTAGTCAAACCTAATCCAGATCACTCGATGGCCTGAAGTACCCCTGTTCCATGTACCTATGACCATGCCCTTTCAGTATCTCGTGCTACAGTCACTATCAAATTTTCACTGGCTAGCTCCATGCTCTTGAGGGTGGAAACCTAAACAGAACTTTCACGTCCGATGTTCTTTTCCAGATACTTTTACTGGCTCCATAGCAGGTTGCTGGACGTGATAACCACCAAGCTTTGCTACCTATATGGGGGGGGGGGGGGGTGGCCCGCTCTCAGATGAAACAATAACTTATTGGCGAAGTACAGAATTTATGCTGCCCAACAACCTATATATTATTCTACGTGCGGTTTTATGGAGCAAGAAAGTGATATAAGAAACAGCCGCATACTGTATATTCAAAAGCTGTCAATATCCGGAGCCCCCCCGCCCCCTTAGCATGCTGAGGACTAGCATCATCAATCCTGGAATATATGGGACATGTTTTTCATTAAGTGATATGGTGAAAGCTTTAGCTCGTCAGATGGAATCGTCACATCATAAGGTCGGGCTCTTCGTGATGATATGAAACCAGTTTGTTGTAGTACAGCAGGGATGACCGTGTCAAAGCGGGTGTCATGTGGCATTTCTCACATTGTAGCTATGCATCTATCTACCTCCTCTGTGGAACAAGACTCCTTGCAGAGGTAAAGTTAAAAGGGGCCTACCTACCGGTTACCGTAGACTCCAGGACCGAGGATTGCTGCCGCGAGGAAAAGAGGTTGTTTCATTAAGCATGTCAGAGTGCAGTTGATGGGGTTGACTTATCTCGGGTAAATTAGGATGTGTCGGTGCGTCTTAAGTGCCGATGTAGTAGTCATCCTGCCACCATCACCTGCTTTCAGGCATCATCATCATGGCCTGAGCCTTACACTAACTGTGTTGGCACGCACGCCGTGTAAGTTTCCCTGGGGAGAGTATAGGAACGAGGCTATCTAAGACATATAATCATCACAGGACAGCCTTGCTCAACCCCGGAGATGATTTCCATGAACTAGGTCGTTCTTGTTAGTATCACTCAATTACCCCTCCTTTTGCCTTCCACCCAGCCCCTCTTTAAGGGGTTTAAAAAGCTTTTGCGGATACAAGATTGAGTGCCTGATCGTTGTCCGGCCAAAATAATGTAGATATAGGGTGTTTCGAGTGGCTGGTAGGCACGAAATTGATGGAATTGATTGGAACCGGATGCGCCCCACCAGGAAGGTATGATGACATTGGGGAGCACACTGCTTGATGCTACTCGATACTAGTATGGTTCGCCCCGATGGGCATTACGTAGTAGACGCTCCCCCGTTGGCCATGTTGTATTCGGATCGATCGCGATCATACAGGTAGCCATTATTGCACACATTGCTTGCTCCGGTTGATGGGCTGATTAGATACCTCTGTATTGGATTATCTTGAGGTAGGTATTTACTGTGCTGAAAGGGTTTTATGCCCGCCAACCTCGAGATAAGCGGCAGTTTGATCCTATGTACCGGAGATGGGAATCGCTCCCTGTTTGCTGTTGTTATTGTTGTCACCAAGGCATGAGCCTGAGTGACAGACGGCAAGCACGGAAATTTTGCGACGAGTTACACCTGGGCTGTGTCGCGGACTATGTAGATTAGTAGGTAGATACTGAGTAGTTGCCCCTCTCTGGAGAAATTCTCCCCCCGACTGTTAGGTAAGCGTGTGACGGGCTTCTTCCCTGAAATTGGAACCTTCATCCAGCCAATGGGTATGACTCAAGAGTCTAGACAGGACTGCGTAGGCAAAAGAATCGCAAATTGCAGAGCTGCTTTAGTTGTGCCCACAGGCCAGCCGGACCTTTTGCGATACCCTGCTTCCGTCGCGGACGTCATCGGTCTTGTTTTGGGCGTTCCGGAGACTGAGAACTCAACGGACTAAACTACTAAGAGAGCGTCGTTTCCCCACACACCCTGCTGGGCGCCACCTACGGCTTTTGCTGCCTCCTCCTCTCCAACAACTGTTGTACCTCGTCCCTCCATCTCGCGTTTGATTCTTGCTCCTGTCATTGTTCACTTAGCCTTGCCTGCTACTGCCCTTTTCACCTCATCGCCCACATTCCCGCTCTTTCTCCCACTTCCCATCGCCAAACCCCCAGAGAAAAGTTCCGACGCTCCCACCTCCCACCTCCCTGAGTGCGGTGTACCGTCATCCTTGCTCCAAAAATGGCGGAATTCGTGCGTGCCCAGATCTTCGGCACGACCTTCGAGATCACAAGCAGGTACGACTCTTTCCCTGAGAACCCCAAAAAAAATCAAATATCTTCTGTCGGCCGATGCGGTCTCTCGATCAGTTACTTACTCCCTCACAGGTACACAGACCTACAGCCCGTAGGAATGGGCGCCTTTGGTCTTGTCTGGTATGGTCGACAACCCCTCTTCTGGATTTCGCCGCCACGCGGGTGGTTCCTGTGGCCCGCCGAACAACACATGGGCTGACATCTGCTATGGGATATTTTAGTTCGGCGAGGGATCAATTGACAGGACAACCGGTCGCCGTTAAGAAGATTATGAAACCATTCAGCACACCAGTTCTGTCCAAGAGAACGTACCGCGAGTTGAAGCTGTTGAAGCATCTGCGACATGAAAATGTTGGTCAATGCCGCCAACCGGCACTCCGCTATTCGCCATACCGCAATGCTGACTCGGCGCAGATAATCAGTCTTAGTGATATCTTCATCTCTCCGCTCGAGGACATGTAAGCACAGTTGCCTGTTTCGAGTTGCATCTGGGTCATCTTGTTTTCTAATAGTCGCCGCAGCTATTTCGTTACAGAACTCCTGGGAACCGACCTTCACAGACTCCTGACTTCCCGACCCCTGGAAAAACAGTTCATTCAGTACTTTCTATACCAGATTCTGGTATGTTATCATCCATCAGTGGTTTCTTTCTTTAGCGTGCGCTGACCATCTGCAGCGGGGATTGAAATATGTCCACTCGGCAGGTGTCGTTCATCGTGATCTGAAACCTAGCAATATCCTTATCAACGAAAACTGCGATCTGAAAATTTGCGACTTCGGCCTTGCCCGTATCCAAGACCCCCAGATGACCGGCTATGTTTCGACCCGGTATTATCGCGCCCCGGAGATCATGCTTACATGGCAGAAATACGACGTGGAAGTGGATATCTGGAGTGCCGCCTGTATCTTTGCCGAAATGCTGGAGGGAAAGCCCCTGTTCCCAGGAAAGGATCACGTCAACCAGTTTTCCATCATCACAGAGCTTCTCGGAACTCCGCCGGACGATGTCATCCAGACCATCTGCAGTGAAAATGTGAGCACCTGCCTGCGCGACCGTTAACTCTCATCAAAGGCCCATTGTTAATGCTCCCTTTTTTAGACTCTGCGATTCGTCAAGTCGCTACCCAAACGCGAACGGCAACCTTTGGCTAGCAAGTTCAAGAACGCCGATCCAGACGGTACGTGCAGTGTCCTTCGATACCTCATCATAAACGGACTGGAGCAACTGACGCATTGTAGCTGTTGATCTCCTTGAACGAATGCTAGTTTTCGATCCGAAGAAGAGAATCCGTGCCGGTGAAGCGCTTGCGCATGAATATCTCGCACCCTACCATGACCCTACGGACGAGCCTGTGGCAGAAGAGAAGTTTGATTGGTCTTTCAATGACGCCGATCTGCCAGTCGATACCTGGAAGATCATGATGTATGTCCTCCTACTCATGCGATTGACAGGTGTTGGATGCTGATTTGATTTAGGTACTCGGAGATCCTTGACTTTCACAACATTGATCAGACCAATGATGCTGGTCAAGTGCTTGTCGAAGGAGCCGCGGATGGACAGCAGGCCTTCGCATGAGGAGGTCTGAGCATTTAATGCCATGGATAAGGCGCAGGCAGCGATGCGATATGATTATGATGTCGTCAATTCCTTCGATTTTTCTTGGTATGTAGACTGGGAGCGGGGGCTGTGATAGGTTTTTGTCTTGAACAGTCTCTTCGTGTTTTCTTTCCCAAAGCTTCCCTTTCCCTTTCATCAATCTTATTTTCCAGGCGTCTATACACGACTCGCGTTTGGAGAGTTCAACTGCGTTGAGAGTCGGACGATCTGGCGATTGAACCCGTCTGTAACACGACTAAATTTTGTCTCCCATTTCTGCTATATATACATTTCCCATTTGGTCTACGATTGATGAGCTTGCGTGTCTGAAATGTCCCCTGGTTGACTTGTGGGAGAGAGGAATTTGGTTGATTCCGTATGTGCGCGATAGATACTGTTTCGAAAATGAGAAACCCCAATTTTCAATGACGCCTGCTGGAGTTACTGTAGTAGTTGTGACAAGGGGGGTGGGTGGGGGGGTGAGAGAGCATGAATGGCATTCATCTCCATCAGCACTTTAAACCAACCTTAACGCCAGGACAGTCCTTCAGCCGTGGGGGCGCTTACCCGGACGGGGCGCATGGGGCCCTTCTACGTACCTACATAGTACTAGATAGATAGATAGATAGTAGATAGTTCTGACCGTTCCCTCCCCGACTTCTGTCACCGCCCGGCGGGAGAACCAATGGGGCCCCCCGCTGGGTCAATCTACCCCTGGTCGGGTCCAGTTTGATTCGAAGACTACCACCTACTTAGCCTAGGTAGCGATCCCTCCCTCCAGTCTTGCATTAATCGTCGTCGTCCCTTCGTCCCACGTGAGGCGACGTCCATTTTATTGGGTTCTCTTCCAGGAGGGGCTTCCTCCTTTTCCAAGGTGGAAATTGGCTTGGAACGTGTCACTTCCCAGTCCCCGTTTTCTATGACAGTCCCCACGCCATGTCTCGCATCCGCAGTGGTCAGGAGCCCATTGTCATGGTTATAGATTTTCACCATGCAAGGTGAGTCGTCGTCGCCTATAGCGAGTCAAGCGGCCAGAGCCTGGGTCTAGAAGGGAGGTTTCAGATCGGATATGATCCAGACCACTCTGAACATTCCTCGAGTGCACCCATTCCTCCTACCGGTTATGGACTCCAGCCGCCTTCGAGCGCTAGCACTTGTTCCTCGTCTCTGTTTTCTCCTTTTCCCTTTCCCCGCGGCGCGAAGAACTAGCTTGGCTAATAACTGCTTTCCACCATGTCAGGGGCCCCGAAATAGAACTATGCTTTGGAGGCGATGGAAGTGATCCCGTAGCGGAGAATGACTGGTCCTTGTTACCGTTTATGGCCTTATCTGATGGAGCGCACATGTACGATCCGAACCAGCCCGCCCCTCCTCGTGATCGATGGAAGTTGACACAGACTGTACCTTCTCTAGGTCTACCGAGGAATTCTCCTACTTCACTGTGCGGCGAAAGGAGACTGCCACCGAACCCGCAACGTCACTTTTCGGTATTTCTTGTTCCAGACAAATCGACGCCAACCTTCTTGTATACCGGCCTCCGGATGTCACAAGATCTACGGTACAAAAGGCAGTGGTTGTGGTAACGGACAGCCCTCGAAGCCTGGGACAGCTGAGAGAAAAATTGTCGGTTGTGACATCGGCTTGGTTTGCGCAGCGGTACGTCTGTCAACCAAGGCCTAGCCATTTTAATTGAGGCCATGTCCTTCCATCACTTTCATGGAACGAACCAATACATACTCTAAGGGGCAGCTCGGCTGACATGGCAAGCAACAGGGACTTTTCGGACGTCGATATTTTAAAGGTGCGCTTATAGCTGGGTACTCACCTCTTCTTATACTCATCTCCCCATAGAAATTTAGAGAAGGCCTAGTTATCAGTCTGAAGAAGGATGAGGGGTCGAAAGATCAGAATCTAGGTGAGACTGGTGGGCTTATGGTATTGCATATATCACTGATCTCCGTCTGGTTCTAGGGCTTTCCCTACGGGAGATGATCCATGAATTCAAATATCAAACGCTAGTCCTGTTCAAAGCTTTACTTTTACAGCCTAAGGTACGCAATCCCTCCAACAAGTGCTCACATCATTTGCTAATATCTCTCAGATGCTTTTCTTCGGCTCCAGATGCGAGCGCCTATGCATGATCCAGTTCTCCCTGGTCTCTCTGATCCCGGGACTTATGAATAAACTACAGGACTGTGCCGACCCAGCATTCGACAGCTATGCACAGACTGTGGAGCAACCGACTTCTTTAAAAACAAGTGATAGGAATTCTTGTAAGTCACGCCAGATGACTCGTTTCTGTCTAACTAAAATTTATGCTTATATGGTTGAAGTGTTGGCTTATATGGGCTTACCCCTGCAGATTTTCGGCAAGGTTTGCTGGACACCACCTGCGGATTTTGGATGCCTCTAATTTTGTCTAGGGAAGCATGTTTGGGCCTTACACCCCTTTGCAGCAGCTGGATCTGCTGGCAGATTATGGAACAAAGTCGTATGTTGTCGGCTCGACAAATTCGTTGCTCTTGCAACAAAAGGATCGCTATAGCGACATTCTTGTTAATGTGAGGAAACCATTGACACGGTGATATTTCCAGTGCTGATCATCCTTGATTAGCTTGACGAAGACACCATTAATATCTCATCCCCTACCCTCCGGGGTGCTCTGGCTCTTTCTGTCGCAGATAGGCGCTGGATCGACCTTCTCACCCAAATCATCAACGATACATGGGATGAGGCGCATCCGCAGCAGCCTAAGACCCATGGATACATGGGATCGGAAGAATTCATCCGACTCCAGTTCGAAGAATACCTCCTGGCTCTGCTTGCTTGCATGCAATATCACGAAGAGCTCAACTCCTTCAACGCTGACGAATTAGGCCGGAGGAGCCGTGCGCATCTGGAAGCGTTTAACATTGAAGGGGATCCCGCATTGGATTTCAATACGGAATTCCTGGCGCAATGGAGGAATACGCCTAATTATTCCCTCTTCAAACGCCTGACCTCTGATGCACTTCTTTTCTCGATCGTCGAGCCTCGCCATCCATGCGCAGGAGGGCTCACTATCGACGATGTCCAACGACGGCTGTCTCAACAAGTCGCGGAACTTCACTTGGATGAAAGGGTTCGCGAAAGTCGCGAGGCCCTGAATCGGCATATTTCCACCGGACAAAAGAAAGTGAGTGCAGCTTTCAACAGCTTCTGGGCCGATATCGAGTCAATGCGGGAGGCTCAGCGTAAGAAGAACGAAGAGAAAACCTCCCACTCGCAGCGATCATCATTGGATAAAGGATCTCGAAATTCACCACCGTTTTCACCTTCGGATACAGCATCTATAAACTCAGTCGGAAGCTCTTCTTGGTTCTCTGGGCGCAAAGCGCCTGCTGTGGATATTACTCAGGCACAGGCGTCCGTGAGCGCGGCGAGCCAGAAAGCAGGTGCATATTTTAGCTCATGGGGTTCTTGGGCAAGTGAAAAGCGAAAGGAATGGCAAGAGAAGAGGACCACACCGGCATCGCCGCCTTCCGTCGCTTCGCCATCCGCCCCGGTCTTGGCGGAGACCGGCGAGACGGACAGAGGAAGACGGCGCTCCATGCAGTCTCGTCGTAGTGAAGACTCCACGACCGTCTCCCGCAGTGGAAGCAGGAGAAAGCGGTGGAGCAACATACTCTTGCGGCGAGAAAGCGGCGAATTTAGCTCTGCCTACCGAAAAGACGACGAAAACAGCAACAATGGTGAACAAGATAATTTGTACTCGAGATCGCCCCTGTCACGCACGTCCTCGGTTCGTGATGACGATGATGCCTCAGTATCAACTCAACAAGCTAGCGAGCCAATCAATCATTCCGAAGCCGAAGCCAACAAGCCAGCAACTACACCAGCAGAGAGTTCTAAGCTCTCAGCTCCTGGAGGACCCGAGATTTCCCACACAAATACAGAGGAAGATCAAGCCCAGAATAACCCCTTACAATTATCTCCTGATATCAAGCAAGTGCTCCCAGAACCGATCGAGCCGCATACGGAGAAATAAACCAAATCCATATTACTCCCATGACATTTCAATCACCGAGATCGGTTCGTCTATCGTCTTCTTAGGCGCGTGATTATATAGGAACAGATCTTTTTCAACCTTGTATGTATGCCCATATTTCTGTCATGACAGGCTCTTCTTTTTCTTTGCCCTCTCACTGCTCTATTGAGCCCTGATACCCGAAGAGGACAGCAACCATGCCTACCTATATGATGCCATCTACAACATCATGTATGCGCTTGATGTCACAGTTACATAGCCAGTTGATTCTTCTTCATACCATTTATATAAATACTAATACCAGTCGATACTGCATTACATAATCCCTTCTTGATTCACAACCATTTGCACCCTTAATGGGCTCGATGGTGTCCCATTCGCTTCATTCAGCAGTGCTGTCTCAGACTTGATTTCCCACATAGAAGAAAGTGGAAGGGAAGGTCCAATCTAAGTTGTATACCAGGGTTATCATTTGTCGTAGCAGCGCCGTGAAAGAAATACAGGATGTTTTCCATCCTCCCGTTCCTTGATGAGCCATATGGGCAAAGTAGATCGAGACGAAGAAAGACTAATGATGAATATCGCGCTAACAGGACACTTGAGGGGACGATACGGCGAGAGGGAGGGCCGCAGAGACAGGCAGAGTAACAGGTGGGGACAGAGAGAGGTAAAGAGAGAGTGAGGAAGGAGAAATGCTCGCGAGAGGCACCGTTTGTATAGAGTTCATGCAATGTAAGCGATTTCATCACCATCCAACCGCTCTATATAATCCTTCTCCATAAGCGCTTCGATGTTCTTCTTGATGTCAGGAACCTTTGGAGGGAAGCGGGACTTGACTTGTTGAATCACTTCTTGGACAAGCTGCACGTGCTTCATCTTCTTACGGGACTTCATGATACGAACAATCGCGGACTGTAAAGAGAGGTCAGCGACATGGTGATTCTTGCGGATCGAAAGATTCGGATGGGACATACCTGAAGCAGCAGCTTCCGATCTTCTTCGATCGTTTTGTGCGTGTCATCAGATTCGACCCTCTGCTCGGATTTGATCTGAATGTTGAGGTTGACCTTGATCTTCTTATTTTTGAAGTTATAGTTAAGGGAAAAGGATGTGCCTGGTTCTGGCTTGGACCCTTCCGGACCTATGACAAGCACCTTAGCCTTCAAGAAGATGCTCAAGTTGGGGTCCAGGATTTCGGGTGCCAGAGATGTGGCCTTTTGAATATCCTCGTAGGACAATGTGTCGTGCTCATTAAATAGCAAAAGAATGCCCATCTGGAAAGTCGAGACCTGGAATGTGTATGGAACCTTGGTGTTCTTTATGTAGTTAGTCTTGATTTCTCCCTTGCATAGCTGCCAGAGCCATGTCAGCTTGCGACCATTGTGCTTGTCAAAGTAGAAACTTTGAAACCGCTCAGCAGTCTTAACGATTTCGGGCGGAGCCAGGAAGTCAGTCGAAGGCGCACTGAGAGGCCAGAAGCCAGTTCCCAAGATCTGGAAGTGTGAGTCTACCAGCTTCCTTCGATCGTCATCGTCCAATATCTTCTCCTGCCAATCCCTGTAGCTGGCATTAAGATCCTTCGAGATCTGGATATCCTGGAACATGCGCTGCAGCTTGTTGGTGTACTCAAATCCACACGCCTCCTTAAGCTTGCTAATCATACTGGTTTCGGCATCGTCAGAGACGGAGCTAACATGAACCAGTCGTTTAGCAAGCATCTTAGAGTAGAACTTCTGAAACACATCCTTGTCCTCGATGTATTTGAAGACGGTCATGATCTGTACGAGCATTTCCTCCAGTTCGGACTCTTCCGCTGCTCTGGATCCTTTCTTGAGTAGCGAGTCGGTGTACCGGGCCAGTAGCTCTGGCGTCTTTGTGGATCCAGACTTGCAAATTTTGTTGCGATTAACGAACTCGCGGCAAGCATTATCCAGGGACCGGACAAATTCCGACTCGCCGTTGAAGGCCTCGCTTACCAGACTTTGATACCTCGTGTGTACTTGCAGCAGAGCGTCCACGTACAGTTTTGGTTCGAAAGACTCGCCATCTGCAGCAACCTTCTCCACTGCGGCCAGACCTGCCTTCCTGACGTGGGCCTCAAATTTCGTGCGTAGGGGGTCAAGACCGTCTTTGATTCGTGACAGCAGTCTGTACATTCTCGCCAGGTCTTCTTGGCGTTCATTATCCAGCAGAACTTGGAACTCATCCCGTAGCAGTTCCGAGTGAGCTGTAACAAGCACATCCAAACAGGTGTCAGTGAGGTGCTTGGAGATATCTTGGTGCAAATACAGGCCGACACGGGCTTTCTCTTCATCGAGACGGGCCTCTGCCTTCTTCATATACTCCACAACGCTGTTTTCGGCAACAAACTGGCGCGACTCGTTTTCGTAGTAGACTCTGGTGGCGGCAATGAAGGGCTTCTCGAAGTAGAACCGGTAAACCTCGAGTGTTGACTTGCTGCTGTCGCTCTCGTCCAGGCCCAGAGAGACGAAGGAGTCGACAATGTTTTTAATCTGAGACTGCTCGATGGTCTCACCGTTTCTCTGTTTCTCGACCAAGTTCAGGACTGCTTCCATCACCTTACCGTGGACCTTCATGAAGAAATCGTCCTTCCATTTGACCAAGTGCAAGGTATACACATCGTATACATTCTTCTTACCTTCGTCAATTTCCCGTTTGACCCAGTGACGGTTCAGATACCGGAAAAGATGGTTGATATACTTAGCAGCGGTCGTGTACCGGAGCCACTCCCGAATGTAAAATCCCAGCAGGGCCTCTTCTGCGTGGCCCTCCGACTCTCTGTATACAGCGTCAAGGTGGCGGGAAAGGTACTCCCCAAGCAGCTTGTACAATTCCTCTCCAAGCAGGTGTGCTGGATACGTTGTTAGCGGTATTTTCCAGGAAGTGCTGTATGGCTGTGGATGTGGTAACCGACCCCCATGATGCGCTTTTATGTTATGACTGCTGCCGATTGCTTTCTGTGATGTACAAAAGTTGTGAACCGCGCTTGATTCTCTGCGTTAGCCGATGCATGGTGGCGACCAGACGCCTCAGGGTATGGACATACGTGTACAGGGCCATGTACTAGAACGGCGAAGCCGCATGTCAGCATCATACCACGCAAGAGGGATACCTATCCCGACGGGTAGGTCGGAAAAGGGAAATTGGGCGCCATACAGTTTTCATATCCACCCCCTCCTCCAACTTGAGCATCACACTATCGATGCCCTTCTCTAGGAACGTCCATCTACCCACGTCAGCCAAGATCCCTGGTGGAGCCGCTCCTGGGTCACCCCAACGATGGTCTGTATCTAGTCGAAAGAACTCACGTTTCATCCAAGTCGTCCTTGTGAGGGGTTTGGGGGATAATAGCAGGCATCCTGCGTGTTGGGGACAGCCGGGTGGGGGGCTTGAACACGCGTCTATAGAATGACCGAGAAAGCATTAGCTCTGAGGGTGCGAAGAAACTCGTACAGAAAGCGGGAGGGGGAAGCGTTTAAGAAGCGTTGAGACACAAGGGAGGAGAGATGAAAGGGGCAGCAGGTACAAAGACCCATGAGGTAAAGAAAACATGGAACTTACCTCAACTTCCAAAGAATACAGTAGATGACCTCAGGTTGAGCGGTGGGCGGTTAGGTTTAAGGCAGCGGTGATGAGTCTAAATACACCTTTGGTACCTCTGCCTAGCGTTAAGGCAGAAGAGAAGCCGCGCGCCGTGGGACGATGACAACGACCGCCCGAGGAACAGGAGGGGACAAGTTCCGAGATGCAACTGTCCGAGGCTAGAGGATATGTAGAAGCACCCGAGGGAGGGAGCGAAAGGGGAGGTGGTAGAGAGGGGGGGGAAGGAGGAGAGGAGCGATTTGAGCAACGAACAAGAAAAGGCGTGGCGTTGGGCGGTGGTAATGGTCACAGTAATGGAGGAGGTGGTGGTGGTCGGCGGAGAAGGTGTCGGTGGGACTTGACTGGTCGCGGGTTTCGGGTCAGTAAGCAAGTTGACTGGAAGAGGAGGGGGCCGCTGGCTGCTTGGGGCAGGCGGTCAGCCCAGCTCGAGGCTGGCGATCTAGATTCCCCAGGCCGCCGTGCAGCCTCGTTCTGAGCTGATCTCTCGCTATCTATCTATCTATCTACTCCTTACTCCCTCGGACGGAGAGTGCTCTGTAGCTACACGGCGTACCAGCCCAGCTGGGTGTCCGATCCCTCTCATTCCACCACTCTTTGGGTAGGCCGGCACGGGACCCCAACCCTTGGGACAGACAAGGCACTGCTACGTAAGTACATACCTTTGCCCAGCCAACCCCCCAAGCTGACTGGCGCATCCTCCCCCAACCGTCGGATATGTATCTCTGCGCTCCTAACAACGTACGGTGACATGGCCAAGCCGTTCAGCGAGTAGCATGGCTGACAAGGCCCATCTTGACTGCTCAGCCCGACTGGTCTAGATGACGTCATGCCTGCGCATTCTGAACCCGGCCGATGAACTCTTAAAGGGCTTTCGGTTCCGTTTCTTCCAGTAAGACAGACAACGTCGGACTCCGGATCATAATCGTTCCATCGTAATGTCATTCAAGCCTCCCTCCGAGATCTCGGTCACATCTCGCCAGATCCCCAAATGGGGTGGGATCCCTAACACCTCCGTCCAGTCTAAACCACTCATGATCTACCACAAAGCTTTTAACGCGTCCGCTAGCGACCTCGCGACGCACTTGGAGGAAATTGGCGAGGTCAGGCCACAGTGGGTCTATTCCATGTACAGCCAAACGCACTTCCACAGCACCACTCACGAGGTCCTGGGAGTGGTTTCCGGCCGTGCACGACTTTGTTTCGGTGGAGAAGCGAACCCCGAACGCTTCGAGCCGACCGTCGAAAAAGGCGATCTGATCATCGTGTCCGCCGGCGTCGGCCACCGGCTCCTGGACGACCTTGGCGCTGGCCACGAGTCTTTCAAGATGGTCGGCGCGTATCCACCCCAGAAACAATGGGATATGTGCTACGGCGAATCAAGGGAGGAAAACAAGGTTTCCAGGAACATCCAGGAGCTGGACTGGTTCCACAGCGATCCCTTGTATGGCACAGATGGGCCTGTGCTGCAGGTTTAAATCCCGTGATGATTTGGGCAGTAGCGGCCGTGCATTTTTTGACCGTAAAATCTCATTTGTACATGATTATCGTATATGCACAGCGATCGTGTAATCCAAAAAGCCAGATTGTTCCGTTTCCGGCCCAAAGTTCAAACTCCAGTCGACCGGCACAACAGGTATAAAACGCCCATAACTAAGTAAGCTAAGCAAAGATATAGCGCCAAGCAAGGCAGCCCAAGGGGGAGAAGAAATCGTAAAGGGTAAAAAGCGGCAAGCCAAGAAGAAAATGAAGACCAGAATAGTAATTCGGATCTTATGATAGCAAGAAAGGAGAAAGAAAGAGGCCCAGGGGGTTATAGATTGAAGAAGTGAAAGGGGAAGGGGACAGGGATAATAGCTGCAGCTCATGAGGCAACTCGTTCGACAAGTCTATTCCGAAGCTGTCAGTATAGTCATTTGCATGAGACCGCAGATTCTCGTACCTGAGGACGCTGATTGAGAAGGTGGTGAGCCAGGCTATCAGCGCGATCAGTAACACACAAGCTAAAGCAATCTGCCGGTCGCATATTGCGTCGTTTTTAGGCGCAACTTCTTGATTGACCTCAGCCATCGTGCATGCACCTCTGACAGTAGAGAGGGATTCAAACGCCAAACTTAGATTGGCCGAGTCGAACACAATGAAGAAGATATCCAAGAGAATGAGCCGTGCTTTCGCGGACGGAGACCGAAGACCGAGCGGTTTGGATGTGTATTCATCAAACGTAATGTATATAAGATAGACCAGAGCGACAGCGTCAACGATGATTGCCATGAGGGCAGAAGGGCCTTGAGGATGCTTGTACTTTCCCGACAAATGCTGGATGGAACCTCCGAGAGCCAGCGCTGTCAGAGAAAAACACCAGACTGTAAGTCGAAAGATCAAGGGGACCATGGGACTCTTCAAAAGTGTGTTGTGGAAGCGCTTGATCCAAATTTCTCGGCGCCGTCTCTTCCTCAGGGGGTCTTCGGTATCTTCATCGGGTGAAAGCTGACCTCGCCATGGCTGAGAATAATCGCCGACGTTCTCCTCCAGCCAGTCGGGCGTGACAATCTTCTCTTCGACACCCTGTTCTCGAGGATATACAATGTCCCTGGAAAAATTCTTCCAGCGCGACTCACGCTCTCGTCCGATATTGCGGTCGCTACCTTCGCCCTGTCCGCTTGAAAGGGTAGGCCTCGATGTCGCATAGGGCGAGTGATTATGCTGAGCGACGACGGCATCTCCGGGTTGCATAGGAAGGAGCCTGTCTGTAACAGCAGCTTCTGCGTCGTCATCTGTATACTCGACGGACCGGATCCATGCTATACGGAGTATCAAAGATCAGTTTGACCTGGCTAGATAGACTCCGATTCATTCAGACCAAGAAGGGATAGTCACCTGGTAAGGTCCGCGGTTTTCTCCCCATTGCCGGGCTGTTCTCAATCTCCCCCACTACTGTACTCTCTGGCGAACGCGAGTTTCCAGCTGAGAGTTCTACTGCGTCATGGTGACCAAGATCGTTGTCGCTGTGAAGCGCGCCAGTGGAATAATTGGATTGCGCCGACATCCACTCTGGAGCGGAAGGTTGCTCCGACAGCTGTTCATCGGAGAGAGGACCGGCATCCGGAGGCTGCAGTCGTGTGTCGCGCACATCTTGTGCCATTGCCTTACAGTTCAGCGGTTGTTCCAGGCAAAGTTGCGTCGGCGGGTCGGAAGATGGGGGCAAGCCGCGGATCTAGTCTGCATCGCCTCAATGTCCCTCGGAAGTTTAGCGGGTAAAGGGCTTGACTGAAATTTGGGTAGCCTTGGCCCTTGGGAAAGATAGAATCATCGAGAGGGGAAACAGAGCCGTGAAACAAGGCGACAATCAGCGATTTTGAGAGGGATGCCGGAGCGGGAGGGGAAAGAGAGAGAGAGGGAAAGATGGAGGCTGGTTCGAGAAATTCGGGATGATGGAAGCCTACGCCGTACTATGCCGGTTGGAACTGGAACTAAACTAGAACTACATCGTACTAGATAATAATTAATATGATTTTGCCAGGTACCGATCGTACTTACCGTACAGGACCGCCCGCAGTCGCAAATTTGGCAGTAAGATGCATACGGTATGGGGCGATTGGAAACTTTGAATACCTCGAGGGCTATCCATTCTTACCGCTAGCACGAAGCGGAATGACGTCTGTGATGTACCGCAGCAGCAGCTAAGCATCCATCCATCCATCATCATCATCATCATCGCCATCATCGCCATCACCAATTGATGGTCGGTCTACCTCCACGCATTCAACTCGGTTTCATTTCATAGACGATAACCCCAATAGCCATTTCAGGCCCCGTGACTTCCAGGGTTTGTCAACAGACCAGCAAGGCATGCCACTTTCATCCACGCCCTTGGATCGGTTATTTTCTCTGGTCGATCGCTAGCTCTCCCTGGCTGCTTACCAGACTCCCCTACTTTAGCGATTGTCATTGATCCCCGGAACCACGCCACGGCATCTATAATAAGTATACGGACAGGAAGTCCTACGCAGTTGCTATGCGACTCTTCGTCATTCCTATCTCGACGCGACAAGCTCTGATCTATGCTCGGCCCCTCCGCCACGGTGCCTCGCAAGCCCCTTCGATACACGAGAAGATCACGCAGAAAGCCGCAGAAACATGGGCCAAATGGGAAGAAGCCGATAAGGGATGGAAGAAACATCTGGTCTCGTGGGGTAATCGGGTCCAGCAACGAATCCCATATCAGGAATGGGGTCTGAAAAGCATTCCATCTCTCGAGTCGGCGCGACGAATTGATGAATCTCACGGGACAAAGAAAGTGGACGTGCTTTTCCCCGGCAATGCGATCCGGCCTGAAAAGCTCCAGACGATGCTGCAAGCGATTGCGACCGAGAGACAGGACTTGCATCGCCGGAGGATGTGGTTGAGCCTCCTTGTGACTCCTCTGACCATTCCCATTGGGCTCATCCCTCTGTACGAGGTTCTTCCTATGTACCCCATTGTGGGGATTACTTTACTGGGATTGGCTAATCACATAGGTACTAATGCAATATAGTGTACCTAATGTTCCTTTCTTCTACCTTGTGTACCGAGCATGGTCCCACGGGCGAGGTTGGCTTATCCCCCACATTTCCTATTATTACCGATGACAATTAGTATACTGACTAGCCCAAGCATTGAATGGCTCTAAGCATCTAGAGTTCCTACTGGAGAAGGATCTTCTCAATCCGACATCACACCCCGGGCTTGAAGAGCTGTATGCGAAACGGGTCTCCTACGCACTGGAAAGCAAGGGAGTAGGCAAGCCCATAGTGGAGATGGTCGAAGAAGTTGAAAAGAGCGACGACCGACTACTGCTCCGTATGAAGGATGCGAAGAAATTGGCCACGATTCTCGAGGCGCCGGATCTTGCGCTGGAAGCCGAGCGAGCCATTATACAGGTGGAAGAGGAACTGAAGAAGGAAACGAAGAACGATGGTGAGGATGTGACTTCCGACAAGAAAAGTACATGATTCATGTCTCTGATGGGGGGAGAGACCCGAGTGAGTATGCTCATGCGGCTTAATGATTGCTAGCAGTCCGGGGCCTTCCTCCGATGTATAATTGTTCCTGCAGGGTTGTGGTGGTACATAGCGTTGTAAATGGTGCATGTTCATGGCGAATAAGGCTCTGCTAGAGTGGCGAGCAACATCTAGATTTTTGCAGCTGACAGCATAATGAAACCTCCCGACGTGGTGTTTGTATCCTATACTCCGTACTCCGTACTAGTTCAGATAATATCGAATAACATTTTGAATAATCATCTGATATAACGCGGATGATAGTTGGGAGTATAGTACTTCCAGTACTGATTCTAAATAATCTTAATAATTAGACTTGATATAGATAGAGTATCTCTCACTGGGTCTATTCAATTACTTGCTTTCATAGACCGCATCACACAAGTTCAGGCGCCCTGCCGTGCGGGAATCAGTGCCTCTCCTCCATTTGAAATGTCAGCTATCTCGTCAGCTATCTCGTCAGCTATCTAGTCAGCACCAAATTTGTTGGCATCCTATATATGGAGATCTTCCTGTTCTTGCTAAGTCGACCTATTACTTACTATGTAGGTCTTTGGCGAGCATTTTAACCTTCTTCCCCATCTGTTCAATATTTGAGTCATTATGCCATCTCCGACACAACGTATATTGCTGGAAACTTTGAACGGTCAGCATGATACTTACGTGGATGTCTCCGAGGCTGAGCCTTTGAACGTGCAGAATTCCTGTGAGCCGAGAGACACAGTGGTCAACAAACTGACAGACAATGTTGATTTCCCCGATCAAGCATGGAAAGCAGGACGGACTATGAAAGTATTGGTCACAATATCAGCTCTGCTCCCTTTGCCCCTGTGTCTGTATCTGCTTTATCGCATCAATTTTGGAGCCGGCATTACCGGCTCTCCGTTGCAATTCGTGGAGAACAATCGAGCATCCCTGCAAATAATTGTCTCCCTTCTATCGGCTATGCTCTCGATAATGAATGTGTTTGTACGCACTACCATTCTCAAGTTCATGTGGCAGGTTCGGTTCATGAAGTCCTATATCTCGATGACCGACCTCAAATTTTTCGAAGCGATTGTCTCTCGACACTTTGGCGTGGATCATCCTGGCACTCGAAGACTGAGTTTGCTCATTATCCTTCTCAGTCTGCCCTCGTTTTTATGGGTTGGCCCATTGACTCCCGTTCTTACAACAGAGACAACCTCCATCGAGGGTGGACTGCAAATCCCAGCATACTCCAATGCATCGGGCACGAACTGGGACAACAACGATTTTGCGTTTCTGCAAGACTGCACATCCTATGTCGAGTACCAGGTGATGTTTAGCAAATGCCCCGCGGCATCACTCTCAGGACAACTGCTGACCTCCGCAAGCCAGGCATCAATTACCAAACAATTCAACTCATTGCACCTCCAAGCAAAGAACGACAACACTCAGTATTCATATGCCGGTCGGTCATATGGCGTTGGATCATCCGTAGGCTTCCAATCCTTCAGCCATTATTCAACTTCAAACATCACGTCCTACAGCTACTTCGAACCGGGATACCAAACTTCAGTGAGATGCATCCACAATTCGAGCAGCCAATGGCACCTTCAGGAAGTGACTGCTGGTAATGCCGGGGCAGGGATTCCTTGGATATACTATGCTATTGGTACTTTTCCAAATACCCACCCGGGAGCAGGGGCAGGCTTTTTCTCCGTGACAGGCCTGGGTGGAGATGCTTCGATTGTGGCGCTCGAGACCCGAGTCGATGAAGGACAGCATGTCATCCAACTGGCAGCAGGCGAAAACTATTCGTACTTGAACCAAACCCAGTGCTGGATCACCTATGCGCCTACTTTGTTTCAAGTTGATGTCACGGTTTTTAGCAGGATTATAATTGTGAGACCTATAGTCGAGAGCCAATTCGATCCCACTGGAGGCCTTGCAGCGACCGGGACATATCAATTAGGCGCAGTAGGTCGAATTAACACCTCGCTGTATATCTCTCTGATTGGCCAGGCTCTCAAGTCCAACATCGATCTCTACAGAGTCGATAACTTTACAGCCCTTGCTGACTCCATGGCCGCCATGATTGATGACATTCTCGTTTTTGTGGGCAGTGCCCAATATTATATCACGCAAGACACGCAGAAGACCAATGTGGCGATCACTTATAATGCCTTGAAACTTGGAAAAGCCAGGTACATATATGCCACCTGTGCTGTATGTATAGTATTGTTGCTCCTGGCTACTGTTGTGGACTTGATCCGGACACACTGGTGGCGACAACTGCCAAGATTCGACTTTACTGATATGCCGTCCGTCATCACAGGAAGTGCAATTGCAGGAAAGCAGATCATGCGATTCTCCAACGAAGAAAAAGATGATTCTAAACGTCCACGCGAGTTTGAAGTCAATTCGGATATCCTTTTGCGGTTGGGTTCGGTGTCCGTTTCGATGGAGACAGTGGCCGGGGGGTCGAAGACTCGGGAACAAGTCGCAGCGATTGGGATGGTTCCTCCCCCATTGTATTCAATCCACGAGTACTAGCTCTGAGAAAATACTTATCCTAGGCTCCCGGCCTAAAGCAGAAAACCGTAGTATGTATTGTAAGTAGATGTACCTGGACGGAACTAACTTGTTCCGGCAGCCCCATGGGAGCCACTGCGGGACGCCCGAACCGGATGACGACCAGCAACTCTACCAACTCCCCCCCCCAATGATTATTGTTATTATTCCCTGCTTTCTCATTTCCCAGGTTTCTCCTCCTCCTCCATTATCTCCCATTGCTCGGTGCCCCATCCCCTGCTGAACCCCCCCTCCCCCGCCACCATGTCAACCAAGAAGATCGAGCAGTGGGAAATCGAACGGTACTGGGAGATCTTCGCATCGCTCGCGGGCGGCCAGCCGCGTTTGAACAACTCCCAGGCGGCCTCGGTGCTGAGGAACAGTCGGCTTCGCGATGACCAACTCGAAAAGGTCTGGGATCTGGCCGATGTTGATGGAGATGGCGAGCTCGACTTTGAGGAGTTCTGTGTCGCCATGCGATTGGTTTTCGATCTGGTGAACGGGGTATGTGAGCTCCCTCCCCTACTGCGGCGGCGCCTGCAGCATGTCTCCTTTCCCGCCCGCTTCTGCATTCAATGATGCCCCCCGCCCTCCCTTCAACTCCCCCATGTGCTGAAATACTCCACTCCCACAGGAACTGCAATCCGTCCCGAATGTTCTCCCCGATTGGCTCGTTCCCGAGTCCAAATCTCATCTAGTCCACGCGACCCGTGCGTTGAGCAGTCGTCCGGAGCAATTCGAACGCATCGAGGATGAGGACGACACCCCCGGATTGAAAGATGGCTTTGAATGGTACATGAACCCGGCCGATAAATCGAAATACGAGGAAATCTATATCGCAAACAAGAACCACCGCGGGGAAATTTCCTGTATGTTCCGATGATCTGCTGCTGCTGCTGCTGCTGCTGCTGTCTCGGTCACTAACATGGTGCGGTCTTGTATAGTTGAGTCGTTACAGCCCCTTTACGATTCTCTCGACGTTCCGGATACGGACATCCGCTCCGCATGGAACCTGGCCAACCCTTCTGCATCCCCGTCCATCAATAAAGACGCCACCCTTGCGTTCCTGCATATCCTTAACTACCGCCACGAGGGCTTCCGCATCCCACGCACCATCCCCGCGTCGCTGCGTGCCTCGTTCGAGAACAACAAGATCGACTACCAGATTGACAATGCTCGTCCGGCCCAGAAATGGGGCGCAAACGGGGATACGGAGACCCGCACCGGCCGGAAGGCCAAGTTCGGAGATACTTATCTGAGTCGGTTGGGTGCTGGTGGAAAGACATCCTACACGCCAAAGGGTACGGATTTCAGCGACACCATTCAGGACGAGGAGTGGGAGAAGGTCCGGCTGAGGCGCGAGCTGGCGGAACTTGACTCCAAACTGGATTCTGCGAGAAAGGCCTCGGAAGGGCGACGAGATCGGCCTCGAAACGGCGGCGGGCCCAACTGGGTTCTGATCAAGAAGGAGGCGCTCCAGCTGCTAGAGTACAAGGAGCGGGAGCTACGGGAGCTGCGAGAAGGAGCGGGGCGATCCAAAGACGGCCAGAACGTGGAACGTCTGAGAGATGATGTCAAGACGGTGGGCGAGCAAGTCGAGGGGTTGAAGAGCCATCTGGCGCAACGGAAGGGGGTGCTCTCGGATCTACGGACACAGGTCGAAGAAGCCAAGTTGTCCCGGTAGTCTGTTCGCTCATTCCTCCTCCCTTTCTCACTTGTCTCGTTTTCTTGAATATACTTCTACCTGGGTTCTTCTGGCACTTCCTTCGTCTCCGGGGGAGTTTGTTCGCGTATGAGCTTTGCTACTCTGTTATTGTATAGCCATTTTCTTGGCGAGGAGCATCAGGCGCTAAATGGATGTTTCGTTTCGTGTCTCGTCTTTTGCATGCTTCGATTCCACTAGAGGTGTGATTCATCTTGTTCCAGCTCATTTAGTCCGTCCAATTTCGGATTCTTGTCGCATTCCTCACCTATTCCTCCCTCTCCTCCGATCACCCCGTCTATCTAATGTACAGTACATAATCAGAACGCCTCATTGGCACAAACACAAACAAGCCCTTATGTTAGGTTTCGCTTTCCCTGACGCCCCACTCCAATTCTCACCTCCCATACACCGTAAGTAGATGAAGGGCCAAATCGCCAGAACGCATCAAAAGTAGAATACAAAACCGTATGTGAATAAATGAGTATGGTATGAAACGAAGAGTCCAAGTAAGCCTCCCCACCACCCGATAAAAGTAACGGGGCAAGATAAAGATCGATCACTTCCCAATTATCTGCGCCATCAAGCCATCCCCACCCCTCTTCGTCTCCACGGCCATAAAAGCCCGGCCGGTGGTATCCAAGCCCTTCTCGGCGCGGGCATACGCCTCCTCGCTCCGATCCGTCAGGATATCCAGATCCTTCTTCGAGAGCAGCGCCGATGGATCCGCCCCTGTCTCGAACCGCTCATACTCGTCCTGTCCAAGGGCTTTCTTCAAGTCGTCAATGTCGGTATGGTTAAGACCAGAGTCCAGCAGACTGCGGAATTTTCCCTTTTGGATGACCAAGCGCTCGAGACGACGCTTCGAATTCGCTTTCTCGAGCAGGGTTTGCTCCACGGTTCCCTTGGTAGCGAGGCGGTAGACGATGACGGGCTTGGTTTGGCCGATGCGGTGGGCGCGGTCCTGGGCTTGGAGATCTTGCTGTGGGTTCCAGTCTGAGTCGAAGAGGATGACGGTGTCGGCGGCCATGAGGTTGATGCCTTGGCCACCGGCGCGGGTGCTGAGGAGGAAGAGCTTGTAGGATGGGTCGATGTTGAAGGATTTGATCTGGGCGCGACGGGATTCTTGGCTCACGGCGCCGTCGATACGGCAGCAGTTCCAGTCGCGGAGCTGCGTGGCCCAGTCTTGGAGGATGTCGAGTTGGGTTTTGAATTGGGAGAAGATGAGGATTTTGTGGCCTTTGGAGATGAGGCAGGGGACGAGACGGTCGAGGAGGAGCATTTTGCCGGAGGCTGTCACGAGGGTATCGTCGATGGAGGTTGGGTCCTCGTGCCAGGGCCAGTAGAAGTTGTGAGGGGAGTTGCAGGCCAGTCGTGCTTGCATCACTGGGTTTTGCATTTTCTTTTGTGCGATTTCTTTCTCTGGTGGTGAGAGAGATGTTAGTTGGGGTCGTGGGAAGGGGATGAGTTTGGCCTAGGGGTGCTTACTGGCAAGTCGGATGGTTTTAGCTCTCTCTTGCTCTTCTTGTTCTGTCTCGCTGGGCTCGGCGAGATCCAGGTCTTCTTCTACTCCTTGCTCGAGTCGCCGTAGTCTCGCGTCGAATTCACGGTCACTGAGTTCCTTGTAGCTTGATACCTTGCCGCGTCTCCGGGGTGTGAGTAGTGCACTGGCTGGAGTGGAAGAACGACTAGACTTGAGACTTTTGCTTGGAGACGAAGCTTCGCTGGTATCGGCGCTGCGCTTCAGGCTTTGGGATCGCGAGAGTCTCCCGCTCTTGGCCATGAGACGTTCTGTGGCTTTCCCCTCAAGATACTGGCGACCAGTGCCGTTGAGGATTTCGCGGTAGAGATCCTTTTGCTCTGTGGTCAAGGGCGCATACAGGATGTATTCCCGCTTCTTGGGAAGAGATGTCTCGACGTCAGTCTTCACCCGACGGAGGAGAAAGGGCTTCAGGATTGAGTGCATTGTAGAGACCAGCGTGCGTTTCCGACGCTCCATGACATCCGTCTGACCATTGTTATCCAGCATGGACGAGAAGTCGAACCAGCTCTGGAAACTACTGAGGTCATTGAAGATCTCCGGCAGCAGAAAGTGCAATAGTGACCATAGTTCGGTGATGTTGTTCTGCAATGGCGTACCCGTGATGAGGAGCCGGTTCGCCGAGTTATAGGTGAGTAGCTCTTTGATCAACTTGCAGTTCATATTCTTCAAGCGATGGCCTTCGTCCTGTGAGCTTGTTAGTAACCCTGTCCGGGATATTCAGGCAATGCAAGGCCAGACATACCACAATGATATACCGCCACTGATACTGCGCAAGGAACTTCCGGTCATTCATGCAAATCTCATAGGAAGTGCAGACAACCGGGAAGTCGGTGCTCCGCTGATCCTTGATGTTCATATATTTCCTCCTAATCTCTGCGCGGTCGTCTCTCGACCCATGGTACAAGACCGTCTTGATCTCGGGCGTCCACTTTGCAAACTCATCCACCCAATTGCTCACCGTGCTCAACGGCGCGGCGATCAGAAAGGGACCAGAGATGTTCTTCTCCTTGAAGAAAGCAATCAAGGAGATAGCCTGAACAGTCTTCCCAAGACCCATCTCATCTGCCAAAATGCCGCACAGGCCGTTCATCCAAAGCGACTTGAGCCACTCCAAGCCCTCCAACTGATACTTCTTCATCTGACCCCCAGTCACCAATCCCGGCTGCTGTGTGGCAACCAATTCCTGACCACCTAGCGCTGTCGGATTCGCCTCGTACTCATCCGCAGCATGTTCCAATGCCTCCTGAACCGTCGGCTTGTCCTCGTCAACTTTCACATCCGCCTTCTTAAAGTAGCTCGAGATAGTATTTCCGTTCGTAGCCGCAGAAGCAGGCTTCCTTCCCCGGCCCCTCCTTGTCTTGCCAGTCTCTTGTTCTTCCTTCTTCACATCCTCAGCCGGAGCCGGAGCCGGAGCCTCTGTTGCCGTATTCGCCAACTGCCTTGCACTCGTGCGCGTCTGTCGCCGTCCAACCGGCTCCGCGACAGCCTTCGACTTAGGCTCCGTCTTCTGCTCCGGTTTCTGCAGTTGCTCTTGCTGCCTAGCTGCTTCCAGCCTGGCCCCTTCCTGCTGCTTCTTCATTTTATCCGCCATAATCGCGACAAAAACCTATCATCAAGCAAGACAAACTCATTAGCAACCAGTTACGCGCCACCCCAACCGGGAATCCACAATATGCACCTCACTAGTATTGAGAAGGTGCATCAGCGCCTTCGCCTTGACATCCATTCCCTCAATATCCTCCGCGATATCCATTTTGTCCTGCGCCGCGGTCTTGGTGTCTTGATCCGTCATCGGGGTCGACGGCTGCGAAGAGCCTTCTCGGGGGGCGATCATCTCGTCCAAGGAATCAATGGCGGTGATAGGCGTGTCTGCATTCGACATGGTTCCGACTTGATTCCGAAATACCAGGGTGATATTGCAGAAAAAGAAAAAAAAAACCCCCAAACCACCGAGAATATTTTTTGCGGCGAATCTTTAGATGCAACGGAGAAACTCCGAAGTAGAGCCCGTAGAATCGATAGGTCCAATCCCTGACGAATTAGAAAAGAACTTGCGCCACCAGACAGCGAATAAAGAAGAACCCCACAGCGCAGTGAATAATAATAGGTCCAAAAGGGTTGGGTGACACTGGATGGTTTTCCTTCCGGCCCCTGGTGGACAGCCAGACAGTCTGCAAGTAGGTATGACGGAGGGAAGCGCGCCTTTGTTCGAGAAACGCGGATTTTCGCGTCAGTGCACGGACCACTTTTAGATGGGTTCAGATTGGGGGATCTTCACATGCCGGATCGGATCTCTACTTGTTATTCAGTCTATGTTTTTGGGTTTTAGCGCCGAATGGAACTTTAAACCCAGACAGAGAATTTGATGATTGGACCGATTTGAGTGGATTGTATTGGATGATGGCTAGGCACAGGCTCAAGCACCTATGTTGTATTGGCGTGGGCGCATCCTGAATTAGTATGTGGGATGGTTTTTCCTATGAGATGCAGGATGTGTGGTAGGCTTTATCGAAGGCATTGGCATTAGCATTTCGAGTCTTATGATTGGTTAGGCTATACATGCGGAGTTTGATCAACACCATTTGAAGCTTGTGGATGACTGACTGCTGTGGCGGGCGATAACGGCCATCGGGCACTTGGAACGTTTCTGCAGCTATGGTGTATTCTTCAAATCATTCCCCTCTAGTAATTTGAAGCTCTCTACACTGTTGTTGTAGTTTTAACTCTGTTACTTTTCTACGTATATTCTGTGTCCTCATTCACTGGCTGGTTAAGCTTTTCAATTCACTAAAAAAGCGAACCTACCACAACCACGTCTAACTCGTCGCTCAAGCTGACAGATGCAAAAACTCGTTTATCTTGTCCAGGCCCTCCAAGTCTTTCTTCATGGCTCTATCCATGGATTCAACTTCATCGATATCAAACGGCTCAAGTCTAAGCAGACTTTCTTGAAAATCCACAATCCATGCATCCCTGTGATGATCGATCAGAACATTTGACGCTCGTACTCTACCCCAGACAATACCATAGTGATGAAGTTTGCGGACAGTATCCTCAATCTGGGTCACCCACTTGCAGCGTTCTTCAAGATCAGCCACAGTCAAATCAACATCAGAGAGACGCGACTGATGGGGGATGAATGTTTCAAGCATCCCCGGGATCTGTTCTTCGACCCCCACAAATCCCTTCAGTTCAGGCACGCGAAGAGACAGGCCACACTTCTTTATTCTTCTCAATACATTAAACTCATTCTGGAACATGTGGTCAAACCTGCCTGGAGCTATTCTGCAGAAGTATCTGGTCCCATTGATAGATACCTCGTACGTTCTACGCTCATGAAATGTCCTGATATTTTTCACGGCCGAGAGCTGATAGCTCGGGAGATCGGTGCTAATCTTATGCCGAACAGGATACTCCTCGCAGGGTTGCTGTTCCTGGGGAAGTTCAGACAATTCTGTACACCTGCCTTTGAACTTCAGCTGCAAGAAGATCTGCGTGTTGTCCCGCAGCTCCGAATCGAGATCATCGCCCCGGTAACGTGCGTGTGCTCTGAAGAATGGCTGACAGAGCGATCCAAGCTTCTCGACCAATCTCCGAAGGGATTCTCCACTAGGCTCGTACATCCGAGAAACCAAATGGGATTCAGGGCTATCGAGTTGAGGGACTATCCGGACTCGGAAGAGTGTTTGCTCTGCCTGTAAGACAATCTCGGCATAGTTCTCATTGGTGTATGATTCGACAAGGGCATATTTTATGGCCGGGCGAGATCTATGCTCCTGCATTTTGAGGACAATAAACTGGAGATCTCTTTATATTTCGAAGACAGAGGCTCAAAGGACAAGCGAATGGAGCCGAACAAGCTGGTAGATATTGGATATCTCTGTTCAATATGGCAGGGCGGTATATAGGAGTTATATACCCTGCACTTCATATCGCAAGCTCAGGCACGAGGTGCACGATCAATTCGTTCAACGGAATTAGCAGGCTCGAGGTTCTGCAACAAGCTCAAGAACTGGTATGTTGAAGACATCCACCGCTGTGCTGCTTCGTTGATAGGAGTTGCTTTGTCTGTACCAGGTAACTTCCTTGGAGCTTGTCTTCGGGACTCGTGCCAATCACCTTCTTTCAACAATACCTTTTAGGCTCTTTGAAAGCAACATCACTTTTTGCGGGTATTCGACTCTTTCTTTGGGATAACTGTACATGGCTGCGAAGTCAAATCGTCTGTCAGCTTGGAAGAACTGGGTTCCATCCTAGTTATCATCTCATAACAGAACGGTCAGGGCTTTAAACCCTGGAATCTAGCAAAGTCCCTACAAGGTCCTGACAAAATCCGCCTTGGCCTGGCGATAGCTTCTTGGCAGAGAGGCTCGAGGGCGCTCCAGGATATGTTGGCTTTGACGGCAATGCTCTTTGTCGAAAGGCTCTCCAGGTTTGTCCCGAGAAATGCTATCAGTCCCTACCTACCAAATAACTGTAGAAAGTCTCAGCGGGGTCTCCGTCAGTACCTTGTGCAATGTAAAAAGTGAAATTGCCGTTCCCTACTTGCGTCAGAAAACCAGATCGAAAGTCACCACCTTCAGATAGTATCAAGATTGTAATGCGTTCCGCATCTCGCATAACATCAATTAAGTAGGTCACGCTAGACTTTTCAGGGGAAAGGAGGGCAAAAGTGTGGATAATTATCAGTAATATAGACTGACAATATGAGGGAAAGTATCGACATTTTCCTGTCAGTTATTGAATGGTAGGGTTACGTGACTAGTAAACCAAACCTCCTAGTCTTCAAGGGTAATTACATCATACATACTAGGCCTATGCTAGTAGTACCTTCAGTTTTCCGCGACTGAATGGTGAGGTACTGATCACTGCGCGTCAGGGTCCAGGCCATTGCGATGGTGACTTTTCCTTAGGGCTACTTACTGCAGATCATTAGACGGTCGCTCCTGCAGAAGCAAACATCCCGTCAGTCACCAATAGTAGTCATGGATAAGATCACCTCCTACATTAATCTTCACCTTGATTTGATTCTCGTTGCCAAGTTCTTCTATTCTTCGTTTATCCCATACTGGTACCAGTACGTGCGTTTCAACGGCCATCTCGTGCGCCAGTTCAATGGACCTATCGTAATGCTAGATAATGGAAAACATAACATCATTAAATGGCCATAGTATAATAGTATAGAAATGATAAATCGAGACACAAGTCGCTTCGCAAACGATGTATGTATATAGCACTCTCCTATCTATGAGTCTAGAGATCTTTTTCTATGTAGACTTGAATATCTAGAAAAGATCTAGAACTTCTCAACATCCCACTCTGGCTGGTCGCTGCAGAATGTACTGCGGTCTCTCTTTACAAACTTCCCGAAGCCTTTCTGGCCTACAATGCCCCCATTATCTCGGTCCCAGACGACTTCTCCGCGGAGCAGGGTGTATCGTGGCCATTGGGTAATCATATGACCTTCGTACGGTGTATAATCCACATTATGGTGTAAGGCCGAGTTGGTGATGGGGAATGGCTCCTGTGCAGACGGGTACCAGATTGTGAGATCCGCATCAGAAAGTCCCGGGATGAGGGCGCCTTTCTGTGGATAGAGTCCGTACAGCTTGGCGGGATTGGTGCTCGCTACTTCGACGAACTTCTGTGGAGAGAGCCGGTTGGCATTCCACACTAAAGGTAGGCGGGTTTCAACTCCAGGACAGCCGTTGGGGATGTATCGAAAACGACCTAGGGGTTCGTCTTTGGTGATGGCGGTCTTTTTCCCATTGACGTCGTCATTGTAAAAGAATGGACAGTGGTCGGAAGAGAGAATGGTGAATGTTCCGTTTTGTAAGCCGGTCCAAATGCTTTCAAGGTCGGTTTCGCCATCGCGTGGCGGTGGTGAGCATACACATTTGGCGCCCTCAAATCCGGGCCTATCCAAATCTTTTCTCGTCAGGAATAGGTATTGCGGGCAGGTCTCTGCGTACACAGGGAGTCCACCAGTCTGTGCGTTGCGGATCGTATTTGCTGCTAACGGGGAGGAAACGTGAACGATTAGGATCGGGGTCTCTATCAATTGACTCAGGGATATGGCTCGGTTGGTAGCTTCGCTTTCGAGGATTTGGGGTCGTGAAGTGGCATGGTATTTCGGTGCTAGTAAGTTGCGACTTTCTAGTTGTTCGGTCATCCAGGTGAGCATGTCGCCGTTTTCGGCGTGGATCATGGTGGTCACGCCATCAATGCGTCCCTGCAGTAGAACATCCAGGACCTGGTTGTCACGTAGCTGCAAATCTTTGTAGGTCATGTAAATCTTCACAGAGGATACGCCGCGCTCGCGAAGCTGAGCAAACTCATTGATAGCCTGCTTGGTTGGGTTCGTGAGCAGGAGGTGAAGGGCGTAATCACAGTACGCAGCATTGGCAGCCTTTTTTTGCGTGTCATCCAGCGCCGAGATCAGGGATGGCTCGGACTGATCCTGCGGAGAAAACGCGATAATAGTAGTTGTGCCTCCAGCGATGGCAGAGCGACTTCCTGTGGTGAAATCGTCTGCCGCTTTGCCCTTGCCGAAGAGTTGCGGTTCAGACAAGTGGACATGCGCATCAATGCCTCCAGGCTACTAAGCCGTCAGTAATCGGATCCTGTTTGGTATTCTTTTCCTTGGGATCGATCATACCATAACATATGCGCCCTCGGCGTCAATGACTCTAGCTGCGCGCGCTTTTTCCAGGGCCCGTGCGGGAGCCAGTAAGGCAATCTTGCCATCCCTGATGCCAATGTCATACCGACCAATATCGGCGGCCGTCACCACGGTGCCATCCAGCACAATACAGTCGAAGGGGGTGTCGAACATCCTGGGGTCCGAGAGATTCTTTGGACTCGTGTGGTAGTTAGACGAGGGACCTAAGGAAGGTTGTAGGGTATCGGAGTAAAAAAGAAACAGATTATAGGCCTTGTCCGGGGTGAAGTGCTTCATTATGCCGGCCATAATGTCGGAGCCCTTATCGGGCGAACCAGGCCGATAGGAAGAGTCCGATAGCCCCATTTCGGCGAATTCTCCTATCTTGCAGTTAGTCAGTTGGAAACCAGTTGGTTAGTTATCTGATAAGCAGCAGAAGCCCCACTGAGGATGAGCCCTTGGACCTTCTTTTATGGGCACGATTCTAAACCTTATCGCCCGATTCTTCTCGGCGTGAAATCATGGGGGCTCGCAAGGCCGTGGGTAGACCAGGAGATTAGTGTATGTCTTATGTCAGATCAGGGCAAACCGGTAGCTCAGCCAAACAAAACCGGTCTATTGCCCGTCGCAGAATGTTTCCCAATGACCAAACCAACGTCATCTATCCACCGGGTGGCGTCGCTCAATATAAGGTTATTTCCTCCAGAACCACCCCAATTATTGTCGGGACAGGTGCCTTGTCACTCTCATGAGAATGGAGTCGTCATCTGGTCATCTGGCCATCTGAACCAAGTGGCTACCGGAACAGGACCTTCCTATTCAGCCGTCGCTGTATAAACTCGGCGAAACAGGCTCAAAGACCGCCATGAGTCTGATCCACAGAAAGGAGCGCATCAATCCAGACGACGCAAGCATGACACAGCCGAGAAGGAACATCTGGTGTTGCAGGGTCGTGGCAATGGGAGACTTGCTAAGGAAGTGCGCATATTCTGCCCGTTTATTTCCCGCTTCGCAATTGACATAACCTCCCTTTTAAACTTTCTCAAACGTATGCCCCGGTCTTCTGCCTCTTACTTGTTTTGTGCACGTTGGAACTGTGGCGTTGGCGGTTCAATGGGTTTCTGGTGTCGTTCAGACTCAGTCGATTGTTAAACGCGTGTGGAGATTTGCTGCTAGGCTCTATACGCTCGAATCAGTCTCTTCCATATTCCATATTTTGAGTTGATCTCAAAGACACCTCAGCTTGAAAGCTCCGTGTATCGAGACTTGAATCAGTAGGAGCCAAAGTTATGCGCTCATTTGGAGCACAAGGATAGGCCGCCCAAGTTGAGGACAATTCATGTCTTTTTTCACCCGTTGTCCTGTTCCGGATCGAGTTTTAACACGTCTGGTCTGAAGCTTCAAGTATTATAGGTGCGCAGATGTTCACCATGTTGGGGAGAAGCGGGGGAGAAGGAAAGTAATGAAGAACGACGGCCGCCGATCCAGAAATGGAGGAGCTTCCAAAATTGGCAGCATTTGGGTGGGCAAGTTTGCAGGTGCTTAAGCAATTGCTTGGTTATCTTCCAGTCACTTTTCGTATATAAGAGAGATGTGAAGAGTAAGACTTCCATTGAGAACCTAACAGAAGGACTCTATGCACTATATCTATCTATGCTAGGGCGTCTGTTACTGGTACCATGAAGGCACTGGGGCTGTCACGACAATCTCGGCTGTGAATAAGGGGAAAGAAATCAATGGAAGGTCTCATTCATATTCCGAATCTACTATAAATCACGTATTCGTGGTCCAGATCACCTCTTCGCCGTAATAACATCCCAGATGAGTCTTCAACGTGTGCAAGATTGGAGCGATGGTAAAGAGGAAAAGATTGAGATAGAAAAAAAAAAAAAAAAAGGGGGGGGGCAATAGAGGGAAGAGGAAAGCATTCAGCCGAGACTTAGAAAAATTGGCACCTAACAAGGACCGCTGGTTCTTCACAAACGCTTAGCTGTCAAACCAGACAGCACCACGCGGGAAAAGTGCATCTTTCGTCAGTCGGCCTTTTCCCAGTAGTCTATGAAACTGTCGGAACGAGTAGAAGCACAACCTCGTCATCATCCTGGTCATCCTCACTGCTATCCTCCTCGGGTGCGTGGTTTATTGCTTCCTTCGTGGCTCCCAGTTGGGCCGGTCCTTTTGAGCATCTGTCCGATTCCGGGTTATCGTTTGGCGAATTTTCTACCTCATGGCCAGAACCCTCTTGCACAGATCCAATTTGATTCTCCTGAGTATCCAGTGCGAGAGGTGGTTGCGTGTTTAGGGATGGGGCTTTATTCCTATCCTCTGTAGAGAGGCAGTCTGAGCCGGTCAGGGACACTGTTTTCTCTAGGGTTGCTTGTGGGAACCGGACTGTAGGACTGAAAGATTTCCCTGACTCGGAAAAGGTAACATACATTCTGTCTCTGTTTGTCTTTGCCGGTATCCCCCTCTGTACTTCCGAAGTCGATCCTTCATGTTGCTGTGCAAGCCTCAGAGAAGACGTAGATTGAACTCCACGGCTGTGAGCTCCGTTTCCACCTACGTTTGTCTCTGAAGGCCGTGTCGGGAGAACGAAAGCCGCTTGCTGTGGTTTCTTTGGATCATGCTTCTTGTTGGCGAGACTATGGAGTTGTTCAAGGCTTGGTGGAGGCTTCTCATAGAACAACCAATCCAATGGCGGCTGCTTATATATCCATTCGGGCCTGACATATTTCAATCTGGTATCACTAAATCGAGCAACCCTCTCATCAGTGACACCTAGACATATTATTCCATTCTCCCGGCGAGCGTAATATACTTTCTCCGGCCTGTTTTGCTGGCTATTTGCGTACCACTGCATCAGGATGTTCGCGTCACATCTATACAGTTGTAGATTCCTTGCAGGGTTCGGACGGTACCTAGCCATCATTTCGGTCGGGGATACCATGGTACAACATGTAGGAAGCTCGGGTGCGTCCGTATCTATAGCTCCATGCACTGAGTTGTCTGTCGAAAGGCCGGAGACCCCCACAGCGTACGGCTCAGTGCGCCGGTTGCCTCCTAGGAGAAGCTGGATGTCATGATCCTCGGGGACCCCCCACCATGCCGATATGCCACTGCTCCATTCTCCAGCATATTTTCGATCAATTCCACGCGTGTACAAGAATACATTGGCATCCAGAATTTCGCTAGCATGACATGATAGGAAGTCTGGTCTGAAATGGTCTTGTAACCTGCTCGAGAACCGGCGGGAGATCTTGCTGAAAACACCCTGGTGCGGAACTCGATTGTGTCCTCGAGTCGCGTTGTCAATTCTCAGAAGTGCCCTCAGCTGCGTTGCTCGCATCTCCTCCAAGTGTAAATCTTCTTGTTTTGTCTGCTGATCTCGCCGAAGGATGTTTTGCTGGACCTCGTCACGCTCCTCTGCAGTCAGTCCCAGTAAATGGCACATCGTCGACCAATTAAGATCTTGAAGCATGTTCTTGACTATCTCAACTTGAACCTGTTTGGAAAGTTCACTCCACTTGCGATGGCATAATTGTGAGGATATCTGCAAAAACGTCCGTCAAGCTCTGGTAGTAAGATAGCTTGTGGTCAACGTACCTCCATCTTGTCCTCCTCGGAGGCATCAACCATGACCTCGTCTAGATCGCTATCCGTCATAGCTCTATCAATTGACGATTCACGGTCCATGGTGGCGAATATTACCATGTTTTTCGTATAAACTGGGTTAAGCTCCCCGTTACTTGCAATCATATTTTCCAAGGATTCTGAGGGGCGACTCTGTAAGCATGCCTTTGCATCCTCCTCCATCTTTTCTCCCTTCTTTTCACTCTTAATATGCTCTCTGGAGGACATGGGAGTATTGACAAGCCGTTCGTGTTCGTATCTTTCTTCTTCTTCTTCTTCTTCTTCTTCTTCTTCTTCTTCTTCTTCGTCGTCGTCGTCGTCGTCGTCGCGCTTGGAGGGATGTGCATTGTCTAGGGTGGGAAACGCCGCAGGGGGCAGATCGGAATTGAACGGGATGAATTCGGGACGGTCTAGCTTTTCAGGCTCACGTAGAGGTCTTTGCGAGCATGGGTTGTAGAACTGTTCGTGATTAAAGCGCTCTGGTGGACGGATTCTTTCGCGGAGTCTCATGGCGCCCTAGGGTGTGAGTGATGAAGAATAAAAGTTGATGGTGATATGCAAAGTCACCGATTTATAAGAATGAAGTAAACTTTGTGTCGGCGGTCTCCTATCAAAGATTTTTTTGTGAAGGGTGAATAAAAATGAGGAATTTTCCGGCTCATTGGTCAAGTGAATACTACTTCCTCGTTTTGTGGGGGGGACTTGAAATCAATCCGATGCTGAGTCTACAAGATTTGGTAGCTTCAGAATGGTGCAGGAGATGAACAGATAAAATTGCCAATATAAACACCAATCCTCTAGGTCTCGCGATAATACAAATATGAAAATTTGAGCCGATACGCTGGCTCTACAGGGCAGAGCATCATGGGGGCACAGCACTATGTTCATTGTCCTCGGTTGTATGCACATGATAAGGACGCATAATGGAAATACAAGAAGAAAATATGTAGTAATACCACCCGGTCGTCTTTGCCAACTACTCGTCATGGCGCATCTCTCCAGTGCAATGTTCCTACCAGCGGAGCACGGAAATAGAGATCAGTCGGTTAGTAGGCAGGACGATCTTGAAATGGTGCCAGGGGTCTTCTATCCTGGTCCAAAGCCATGTACTCATCGACGCCAGTTTCGTAGATGTCTCGGTCGTTGGATCGCTTTTTGGAATGGACCGTAACATCCATGGAGCTCGCTCGGCGCGCTCTCTCGACGTCCCGTTTAGCTTTTATAATGGCTTCGAATGCCAGCAGCATCTGCGTCGCCGACTCACTGACATCAGTGCAGAATCGCTGCGACTGGACCACCTGCAAGGCCCGCGCTGCATCGAGGTCAAACATTACCATCAAGTAGGCCACTACCACTAACACCGACGAACCGTTTCCTGTCTCACAGAAAACAAGGACCTTTTTCTCGGTGCTCCCGCTCAGACCCGAAGGGGCCGAAGAGGCAATGTGCTTGTTGATGCGATAAATGGTCTGAGGGAGAGCGGTTATCAGTTCTTGGTAGTCCTGGATATCGACGGAATCGGCCAAGATGTTCAGGTCCGCGGCTGCTTTCTCGCCGGACACTAGGCGCGCCACGGCCAGTCGTCTATCCCGAATAGCTAGGAGGAGACTGAAACCATCCTGATTAAGCCAGCCTCTTTCTGCAAGGCAGCTCCAGGGTCCCAGGTGGAGACAGGGGAGGATCTGTTGGGCTGTTCTGCGCTTATCATATGACCAATCGACTTCTTTGGCGGGCAGCTTGAAAAGTGCCGGGTTGACCTTGTTGAAGAAGCCAGTGGGAATAAATTCTCCTTCTCGAAACTGGTGCGCAGCAAGACTGACGGATCTGATCTCGTTGAGTTGCAATTGATCGAATGTCTTGTTTGCGTAGATAGGCGGCTGTAAGACGCGGCTCCCCAGGTTGTACTGGTGGGTTGGAGTATATTGGGCCTCGGTCCGCTGGGACATGGGGACCTCCACCGAACGAGATGATTGAGCCATCGTTGGGTCTATAAATTTGACTTAACGAGAGGCACACTTGCAGTAATGATTGGGTGGATAGTAGCGGGTCAGGACTTCGATGGGGAGACAAGATCTTGAAAGGGCAAGAAGGGGTGAAGACGAATACAAGAGTATAAGAGACGGATTTAAACAAAGCGGATTTATTTTTGGAACGTCAAAAGACGACGAGGCGGGTGAATTGGTTTCAGGGCAGTGTCAATGGATTCATCTCGGTTGTTACGGGCCTTTGCAAGCATTCATTGACCCGTCGGTTCTGCGGATCCCGAATCTTTGTATGTTTTTATTGTTCGGCGTCTTCGTATTTCTCGGGTAATGACAGCTTGCCACAAGGGGCTTAGTCCGCGGTGGCTCCCCCGGTTCTTTCCCTCTTCATCTTCCGCTCATCTCTCGACGGCTTCCTGTCGGCCGTCCATCGATCCTCTTTGTGGTGTCGTTCTACTCCGTACTATATGGGGGGGGTTCTTTATATAAAGAGTCCTTCAGATATGCAATTTCCATGCAATGTTGCTTAAAGGGCGGTGCCGACTTCGGTAGGTTCACAACATACATCGGGACGAACTGGTGGGCCGGAGTATACTTGCGTCCCGGCAACTGCTGTAACATTCCCTTGGAAACACTATGTGTCTGGGTCAGTGTTGCTAAAGCTCACATTCAAATATAGGTAGCATCACTACTCCTATACTCCAATCATCGGTTTGCCTACGGACCAGTCTCGGGCCTGCAAACAAAGACGCTGACCTCAACTACACCCGTCACACCTGTCACACCTGGTTGTCGGCTAGAGCGCTGTATCACCGTCTGAGTCCTTGGTTAAGGGATATACCCTTGTGGATCTGACATCTATACTATTTATATGGTGTAGGAGCGTTTCGGCAAGGTTGTCGTCATCGTCTCTGGCATCCATCGCAAGCTCTTTTCGGACCTGCTCCCGGCAAGCCAGAATATATAGACGCACGGAACACCAAATAACCCTAACACAGTATAGTACCCGCCACACCAAACCAGTGATTTGGTCATCGAGGGCGCTAGTTTCAGCGCAACCTTGTCCGTCCACGGCAGCTACTACGGCTCTTACGGCTACAGCGATAAATAGGGCTGTATCCACGGCAGCTCAAGAAGCTTTGACGACTACGCTCCGTTGGGCTTGATACTGTTAATATTTGCAACAAAACTCAGCAGTAGTCAGTGTGGCCGAGTGGTTAAGGCGATAGACTAGAAATCTATTGGGTTCGCCCGCACAGGTTCGAGTCCTGTCGCTGACGTTGTTTGTTTTTTGTTTTTGTCAACCGGCAAGCGTTCAAGATGATCCCAGTGAGTACATCCCGTGGGAGGAGGGTGGCAGCGACAAGAATAACCTCAATCTCTCTTCGAATTGGTGCGTTGTATCTAACCTGTTATCTAGGGATGATACCTTTAAATTAAACTTTCTTCAGGTCTATACAGTTCCAAGACAGATCTTTCACTGCCTCGCCGTTACCGCAGACACATTGCTCCTGACAATTTTGCCTATTTACCATCTCCTAATAGCTGCAAAATATACCTTATTATATCAGCAACAGTCAGTGTGGCCGAGTGGTTAAGGCGATAGACTAGAAATCTATTGGGTTCGCCCGCACAGGTTCGAGTCCTGTCGCTGACGTCTTTTTGCTTTTTTGATTTGTCCCCGTTTATGTCTCCAACCAGCCCAACGCGTCTCTCAGGGATTATCCGCTGCTTTTGTTTTTTTCCCTGACAACCTATCTCCATGCTGCTGTCGACATTGCAACCCTCGCCCTGCTCCGACGAAGTAGCGCTGCCCTGGTTGGATGGGAAGAGATAATACTGCAGGACCGTTCGTCCATATACGATTCTCAACGAAAACCTCCCCAGATCTACCCGGCACCAACCCTGAATTATCTTCGGCCCACACCGGACTACTGAAGTAGACCGATGTACTAGTGTGACCCTAGCATGTTGATCAATGGACTCGTTGGTGTCAGACAGGAGGACCCAGAAAGACTCAACTTCAAGCCGGGTAAACTCCCCGGTATTTCATTATCAGGAGGCCATTGTGCCACCTGCCAGGCCCACCGAGGGTTGAAATGGTCAAGATGCGCTTGGTTCAGTAGACCACGGACTGCTATAAAAAGGGTACCGACCAAAAGCCCTGCGCAACTATTGCCAAAGGTAAAGTCCGAAGACTCCCACCGTGTACCGTAAACTGATAGCCGCTCACTTGTGGCTTGTTCTGGTGATGAGTCGCCTCAATATTCCATCGACATGGTGTTATTGTCTTGTTGACCTGCTGAAGTACCCCGACACGGCTTTCAGCGAATGTTTGTACCCGGACAGTAGTAGTGAAGAAAGGAACACGCATACTACGAAGCAGGCCATACAGATTGGATGATTCCGTAGAGTGCAACGGTGACCTGCACAGTTGTATCCATAAATAGGCCAGAGTGATTGCAGGCACTAGAAGGTACAGAAATATCTCCGACCCGACAAGGACTCGATCTGTGGGATGGCGGAACCCGACAGACTAACACCCAAATTGATGGCACCAGATGGTATAGAACATAGTGACAGCAGAAAGCTGAAAGTCCACATAGAAAAACACACCTTACCATTAACAGCGCAAAGTTTCCAATGTGAATGCAAGCCTGTCCAAAAATAACCAACGCGTCACTTTGACACGTCCCCATTGGTCAGACTCTGAAAGTGGATTTTCGCGATTGCTTTGACATCTCGCCCAGCTAGGGATTCTTATTGGTTTGAGAGATCATATCAGATTGATATCTGATCCATGGCCGAGACCCAGCCCCGTGACAGGGGGGTGTTTGACCTATAAATAAGAACTACGTCACTGGGGATGCAGGTAGCGCGTTCACCGTCAAGTCATTAGTATTCCTACTACCGCATTCACCCACCGGGTGTCCCATACAATCCAGTCTTTCTGGTAAGATGATAGTCGACGGAATCCGATCCGATCCGATACAACCAAGTTGAATAAATAACCACACAAGCGAGCAGGATGTAAGTATTCTTATATCAAGGCATAACATGACCTGATCGCCCTAAAAGAGAAGATCTCATCAATCCCTATCAGCGAGCCTGTCCCCTTCCCTCATATTTATCCACCACGCCATCGACACACCAAACACTAAGACAGAATTAGAATCTATATGTATAGCAAGAAAACACAGTGCATAGGTAAGTATTTTCTTGAACTCCAGTATGAGCACCTGATCGGCGAGAAAGAACTGGGTTAATATACAAGTGTGTTTCTTCACCCATCCGAAGGTGCGCATCATTTGATGCATTTGATGGCGCACAGGGTACGGTTTGTTGGATACTTGCTTATAGAAAAAGGAACAAGAAACCCAGGACGAGGTGGTGGAATAGAGAAGTATGGTGTGTCTGATGGTCTTTCTTTTCAAGACGGAGAGAAGGCATATACTACTAAGAATTACACATAGGATTGATTTTACAACAGGTCAGTTATTCCCTCACACCCAGTGGGCTAACCTTGTTAACGAAAGGTTGGCTGAATTGTGTAGCTTGTTAGTTCCCGGTCATGGGGAGTATACATATAACGGACACTGAAAAGTGGTTTCCTTGATCGTCTCCTATAAGCCTCAGGATCGATGCCAGAACTCCTATCTAGTTCAAGCCACACTGCGAGCCATGGTAACATACAAGGTACCAGGTCTCTTGTTCAAATGCCTCATCCGAAGGTCTTTCTTCGAGCCCGTATGCTCAAGACATAAGCAGACCTCGGCTTAGTTGACCAAGATATTGTATACATCCTCACCAAACCAAGCACTACATACTTCGCATGTAATCAAATCTGAAGCGAACTTTCGAGACAAAGTATTCAATACAAAAAAATCCAGATTTTTCTCAATGCTTGTCAAATGCCAGGACCCCTTTACAGATACCACGAGAAGCCACGCAGCCATAGAATCTTACCGAGAGAGGTTTCTTCGTATGCGTTGATGACAGTGCTGGTGCCATAGCGAATACTTGTGACACCGAAGATAACTTGGGAATTCTGTTGCTTTTATCCTGCTGACTTCAGAACAGGCCTGTTTGGAATGAAGCCCCATCACATCATAGGACATGCTTGAACATTTGAAGGGCCACAAAGGTCTTAGCGAGAAGTTCTACTCCTTTAACCAGTCGCATTTTCTTGATTACAGCAACAGAAGTGACAGCCAATGCATCTCGTGACAGACGTAGATCCATAGAGCATACCTACTCAGCATAATGACACTTCATCAGAAGCAGTCGGCGACCTATTCATTGGGATCAAGATACGAGAAACAGAGTCAGCAAAGAAAAAGGAAAACAAGTAAAAGAAAAACTAAGCATCATAAGCCAAATCATCCTTTCTCAAAGGAACAAGAGAATCAAAAAAACGTCAGCGACAGGACTCGAACCTGTGCGGGCGAACCCAATAGATTTCTAGTCTATCGCCTTAACCACTCGGCCACACTGACTATTTGATGTAAAATTGACAATCAATTAACCTCATAACTTACCTATATCTTATGTGAATCCTCAACCATATAGTATAGCCCGCCTAAGCATCACCAAGCATTTACCTACCTACATCTTGAAGTCGAATATATCATCAACCCACACCACTATCACATCGCACCAAAACCACAACATACACCCGCCCACCTTGACCAGCTTTTCTCAGAATCCCCCACTCAAGCGCCACACCCCTGCACCAACAACCAACAACCAACACCACCCCATCCCAAAGGAATCCTATCTGGCGCAGCAGCCGCATCCCATGATCACCGTAACCGCCGAACCTAGCGCATCTGAATCACATCAAGCGCAACATTTATTCTCCATACAATACACAACCGACAATACACCACCCGGGAAAATCTGATCCTCATCCATAGAATGTTCCGCGTACTCGCCACCCAGCGCCAACCAACTAGCTCCTCCTCTCACAGCCTAAACCCACCTAGATCAGATATCCAAGTCGTCATCATCATGAATCATACCCTGTCTATCTAGTCTAGCCCACCTACAACTGTCTACCCAACCGCATTCTCACCATCAATACTAGTTACCCAAGTAACAAGCCCCTCCCCCTCACCATCGATATTTACCCCCACCCACCAACCCAGGCATCCAAGCACCACCTCCAGGCTACCAGGCTACCAGGCTACCAACCTACCACCCAGGTAGACACGCTCCTAACCCATCTCGGACCCCGACCCAACACGTGAACCACCTAAACAGCTAGCCTTGAGTCAACCTGAGTCATATCTACCCATCACGGGTAAACAGTGGATACCACGCCTACCTTGCCCGTTAAGATAAGGATCTAGACTAAGATTGCTTACTACATCCCACGTATTCGGACTAACCACGGGGAAGTGTGAGTCACATAGGTAGTCAGGTGTTGGCTAGACTCGTGGGTGAATGGTCCGGAGAAGGTGGTATGTTATGTAAGGGGGTGAGGGAGTGACGGTTTTGCCCATGGTTATTACTAATTTTCTGGTTGGGAAGGAATGAGGGTAAGGTGACCGGGGGGGTTTTGTGAAATATCACCGTGCGTGGGTGATAGACAGCCTTGTGCTAAAAGTTGAAGGATTCCTAGAAGGATCGTGGTATGGTATGCCTTGGGGGCAAGGCAGAGATCGATGCCGGTCTGACAGATCTATCTAGATAGGACTAGGAATGTGGCCGGTGCCGGTCACGATTGTAACAGCGATACGAAAGGAGCCTTGGCATCCCATGTGGTCAAAGAGAGAGAGAGAGAGAAGAGAGAAAGAGGAGATGAGATACATCGTTATGATTTACCTCGCTGACGTGGAGGCACTACGCATTTCAGGATCGACGACTACGATTGAATCGGAGGATAAAGTGGAAGCAAAGTAAGATCAGCAACAAAAGAAACAGGGTCAAACGCCTGGGTATATTTCAGGGAATAGAGAAAATGGAGAAAGGGTAGTAATGGGAGCCATCAGGAAGGAAAAAAAAAAAACACCACCCGGTCTGTATCAACGACCTCGAGCAAACGCCATAATCTTCACAGCTGCCTGATCTTATCCATGCGTTCCGAGATGGAGACCGACCCATATGAAACCTCCCGTTGATGTTGTAGACAGAATCGCGAAAACAACCAAGGCCCATAATCTGCATAGATGAACGCCCATAGAATGCAAATTTCATACAGCAAACCATAAAAACGTAGAGCTTCTGAGCCAATGAGAGCAAGGGAAAGAGGAGATGGGAGATAGAAAAGATCAAGAGAAAAAGAAAAAAAAATATTGAGAAAAGAGCGATGGACGAGTACCACTCGAAAACATGCTAACCCTGTGACGTTGCGGTCTGAGGAATAGCTTGCTGCAGTCCGGCCACAATGCGCTCCAGCTCTTCCAACCGGCGGTCCTTTTCCTGAACCTCGCGACGCAGCCGCTTCAGCTCATTGCGCAAATCCACACCATTCTCTTCCCCTTCGGGAAGCTCGAGGGTCGGATCCTCCCCGGTGGAATCGCGTTTCCTTTTCAGGGCCACCGACGCAGTCACAAACGACGTGGTGCCATCCAGCTCGGGCGATGCAATGGGCAGCTCGGATGCATGCCCATTCTCGGTATGCATGTGGCGGCGGCGAAGGTGCTCCTTCAGGTTTTCTTGACGCGTGAACCCGTTGCCCGTGCTGCGATTACAGTCGGCGTACGGACACATCAAAGGTTTCTTGGCATTGATGTTCTTCTTATGCACTTCGCGCTGATGCCTCAGCAGACCGCCAGAGTATGTAAAGCCTTGGATCTTGTCGCATCCGGGTTCCATGCACTTGTAGGGGCGGTCATGTTTGTCCATGTGTTTGCTGCGGTGGCGATCCGTTAGCTTCCTCGATCGGGTACAACTGTTTCGCACACACATCAAAGGACACCAAAGGCAAACTTACTTCCACTCGCACGGACGGCGAAAGGTTGGGGGCGAGTGCTGGCACTCGGGATGGTCGCAGTAGATTTGGCCGGCGGCGTTCTTGGGCGGATCCCGCGCTCTTCTCACCGACAGACGCGGGCGCGTCCCTTCCATGAAATTCGGAGACAGCTGGTCGTTCATCTTGGGTGCTGGGGAGAGCGATTCTTGGGCAGTGACTAGAACAGAGGTAGGTCCGCCGGGACCTTCGCTTCGTGGACTAGGGTAATCAGAGCCGTCACCCATAGCGCAGCTACAACCCCGCCGTTCAATTGAGAAGGGGGGTGGCCGAGGTGGCGTGAGAAAACGAGGGGGTCGAGACGAGGCACAGACGATAGATAGAATGGTGTGGATGAGAGAGGTCAAAAGATGCAGAGAGGGGCGGGGAAGAAACTTGATATTGGCCGGACGGCGAGCTCAATCGCGTTCGGGTTTGTCACTGGGCGAATGGATGGTTGGTGGTTTGCTTAACTGGGAAGGACGGAGTGCCAAATTTTTCAGGACGGAAAACAAGGCATCTAGCAACGCTAACCACGTGACTGAAAGGGTTCTTGGCGGATCCGCCACTTGAAAGGGAAGGTTGGCGGTTGGGAATGATAGATTTGGAGTAATGATGATGGAGACCGGAAAGCGGTGCGACGCCGGTCTAGTTATACGGCATTAATAATCCTGGCCCTGGGCGCTTAAAAAGAATATGGTAGGTATGTAGTGACTGGTTTCAAACCCAGAAAGCACTCAGCATCATGCCTGCACACGTGGTATGATCGAACAGACGCCGTATTGGTATGTATCGAAGATGTATCACTGGCAGTTGAGAGCCCTAGTTGAGCGCCGAATCACGACTGTGCTAATGACCAAAGTTTGGGGGTTTTTTTTAGGCTGCGACCACTAGTGAGTCATGGCAGGCAGGCAACCAGATACTACTATCCATGATGCTGTGCCTCCTCTCTTTCCTAACAGTCTGGTACCAACTGCGTAAGGCCATCCGCCACCGGGTTGAGTGCCTCATTGCTGCCTGCCAATCAGGGCTTCACTGCACGTGGTTCCTCCCCCCCCCAGCCACATTGCCGATTTCGGTCTACTTTCTGTGGCGCCGCAGCGTCATGGGATGCCTTCAGCCAGACTCAACCAGATTCAGCCAGACGCAATCCCCGGAGATACCGGCATTGTACGCAGTCCAGTGTATTGGCACATACTACTCCGTGTGTAGTATTAATTCAGCTCCAGCCGGCGGGTGGAGTGATAGATAGATTCACCGTAGGTACCTTAGGTACCCAGCCCTGCGTTTCTTGCCCAATCCCGTGCCCGGCGTGGTCAGGCAAAGAACCTGCTTAAGCGCTGGGCCAAGGCAAATATTACCAACACGAGGGCCCGAGGAGATGCAGGATGTTGAGAGTGAGACGCTTTACGATCCACGCTAGAGAACTCATTCTACTCTGTAGTGTCTACAGGGGTGCCAATCCTGGTCCACCCTGACGGGATCTTCCACGTCTGACAGGCAAGATATACTTACCTACTAGATCGGTTCACTGTCGTACTGTGTAATCGGTCCCCCGTGTCAACGTCGAGATATCTGCCGCCATCCCTTGCATAGGCGACAAGTCACGCCCAATACTTGGACGGGGCGAATCGCCGGCTGTCCTTTCCCGGCCTCGTTTCGGGGCAGCGACCGACCGACCGACCGACTGACTGACTGACTGACTTTGCCAGCAAAGCCGCCAATTATTCATCGATCGTGGCTGCCTCGGAAGCATGGCCACCCACTACGTCACCTCGTCCACCTCGTCCGCTTCGTCCAACCCCACGCTCCATGGTCGTCGAGAATCTTCGATATCAGATCCTACCAGGCATCTTCATTTTCAAAAATAGCATCGTCAGACGCCTTGGGAGTTGGGACCCTGCGATGGGCCGGATCTCCCCCCCAGTGGCGCAGCGCCGCTACGACATATGCAAGACCACCCTGGTAGCTCCGAGATCTGCATGGACCACTAGTTAAAGCATCCTTCAGGGATCTGTACACTCTACACTGTACACCCTCCAGGGCATCCGGTGTCTCCGCGGTGATCGGACGCGCGTGCCGTCCAGTGCCGGGCTCCTTTCGGTAATCAAGTAGTGCTGAGGTGCAGCTGAGCCTGTCGATCGTGCGCCATGCTGCTCCCCCGGCTTAACTCCGAGTTCTTCAAGACAGGACTGTGGCTGAGCCTGCAAAGGTGACCGCTATCTACGAATGCTGCGGCAAGGATGGACCGTCGGTCAGATCCGCCATCAATCTATAAATGCCAAATAGCTGCCAAGGATGTGAGATACGTGGGTGCCTGTTCATCCTGCAGACGATCATCAACTCTGTTGAATCCTGCTGGGACTACGGGGCGGTGTGAGAACGAACGGCAATGGTTTGATTGGGATGCGGAACTAAACAGCTCATTCGACTCGACAATTGGCATTGCCCGTCGGGCCAGAGACATACGCGTAGACCAGATGACGGATACAGGCACAGTGGGCTGTGTTCGAGAGAGCATCCTCCTGCTCCCCAGTTGCGGAGAACCGGAGAACCACTGCATCGGCCGAGCAATGCCACAGAGCACGGAGAAGGATGAGGAGACGAAAGAGCAAAAAAGGCAGTCATGGGATTTTAGAATATTTTCGTGTAAATCAGTAGTGGCAACGAATAAAAATGTGTAGCATCATCGATGATGAGCCACCCTCTTCCAGCTGTCTGCGGAAATGCTGGGACTCGTCAGCTGCCTCGAATAAGCCGAACACGAGTGCAGCTGCGAGCCAGAAAGATTGCCTAGACATTCCACTGACTCTTTCCGACGGCAATAGTCGATGGCGACTAACCATACTGATAACGGGGCATATGCACTAAACGGTCGCCGCCATGGGCATGTCATTTCGCAGAGCGCACCATGCCCTGTGATCTGACTGGAGAGGATCACTTGTCTGAACGGCAGGAAACCGTGTGTAGCCCCTGTAGACTGGCCTCTTTCCATATCGATAAAAGCAATGCGAAAGAATCCGATGAATGCCCTATTTCCCACCAGATGGCTGAGGGTTGGCTCTCGCCAATGCTTCCCTGAATCTTACAGATGTCTCACGTCTAACGGTGACATGGATGACGTCGAGCAGAATCCCAGGAATCGAGTCAATTTGGAGTGACCTGATGATTCGATGGACCGTTGTCCCCCGAGCTTCGGGAAAGGCTGCAAGCTACTGGGCCCGCTCTAAACCGCAAAGGGCACGACAGTTCCCAAATCAATCATAGTTGCCCCCGACCTGGCTGGCGAAAGCAGTGGAAACGCTGCGCGTATCGTCATCGTCGTGAATATGCCCCGGCACACCACGAGTCACACGAATGCTAGCAGAGCTTCCGCCGAAAATGCTGCCGTTGTCGGGGACACCGGGCTTGTAAGGCTCCCGTCCACCGGACTCCACGTAGCGCTTCAGCCGATCCGACTGGCTGAGACTGGGCTGCTTGCCCATATCGTTAATACTCAAACCAGCAAGGCTGACACCGCCCTGGTCGACGCTCTTTCCATCAATGATGCTGGCGGTAACATCAGACTCAGTGGCTGCTACGGATTCGCCGGCAATGCTAGGCGCGCCCTTCACTCGGTTACCATTGGCTCGACGGGCTCCGGGAAGAGCGGGCCACGAGTCTGCGAAATTCTGGAACATATGTGGATATCCGGAGGGAATACCGACCCCACCCAGGGCAGACGAGTGCACGGAAGAGACATCGTCAGGGATGTAACCGACCACGGACCCAGTGTCATGGAAGTCATTGCGGTGACCGTTCCTTCCATTCATCAATCCGCTGGTAACATTAGAAGCATGGTTGTATGCCATCTGGAACCGCTGGGGTCCTCTGTAGGCCTGTTTGGGGCGGCTAAACTGGATCAGGGATTCCTGAAGGTTGGACAAGGGTCCCTCCACCAGACAATGCCGTTCCTTGAAGTGCTGCAGGAGGCAGTTCCACAGAGGATGCTTCGACAAGACCTTCGGGTTTCCAAGAATAGCAAGGCCATACTTGGCACGAGTGAGTGCAACGTTGAGACGACGAGGATCGCTTAAGAAACCAATACCCTGGTGGTCATTGGAACGCACACAAGACAGGATAATGAAGTCCTTTTCACGACCCTGAAAAGCATCGACCGAAGCAACCTCGATTTCCTTGTAATGCTCTTTCTTGAACGTGCCATTTGCTTGCATGGAGCTAACGATGTAGCTACGTTGACCCTCGTACGGCGTGATGATACCGATGTCCTGGGGCTGCACGCCGGCTTTGAAGAATCGTGTGACGATTTTCTCCACGTTTGTTGCTTCCGTACGATTGAGGTATGAGGTTCCGGATGCCGAAATCTCCTCGTTGCCCAAGTTCGACCAGAACATCATCGGATTATCGGCAATGGGCCAAGGGAAGTCCACATCACGTCGAAGGCGCTCAAAAGATGAGATACCGTTTTGCAGAGAACCCTCGTAGAACATGTTCGACGGGAACTCCGAAAGACATGGGTGCATGCGGTATTGGACGTTCAGACGGATGGGGGAGCAACCCAGGATGACAAGACGTTCGAAGAGCGACTGGTTAAGACCCGCCTTAGCCGCCTTCTTGTTCATGATGACAGGCCCCAGCTGTTGGTGGTCACCGACAAGGACAACCTGCTTGCAACCAAGAACCAAAGGAATCATACATTCTGGCTCAGCGGACTGGGTCGACTCATCAATCAAAACGGTGCGGAACTTGAGTTTAGCCAGGCGAGGATCACCAGCACCAACACAAGTACAGCAGATGACATCAGCGTTGTTCAAGATTTCGCGCTCCGCCGAGCGAGTAAGCTGCTTCAGTCGCTTTTCATCTTGGCTGGACAGTTCTCCAAGCTCGGCCTTGAGTTGATTGAGCTTGATGAGTTCGATGTTGGTATCGTTGATGCGAACCTGCTCGTGCAAGGACAAGAAACCGACAGGCGATTCGACGTCCTCTCGCGACTTGGCTGTCACACGTACTGTTTTCAAACCGGTCCGATGGATACGCTCGCAAAGTTGGTCGACTGCGACGTTCGAGGGGGCACACACCAACACTTGGCCTCCGTTGATCTTGGCGAGATGATAGATAATAGTAGCAGACGTGACTGTCTTTCCGGTTCCCGGAGGACCCTGGATCAGACTAAGAGGTCTCTGCAGCACACTTTTAACAGCATTGATCTGACTACCGTTGAGTTCAGGAAGTCCCGGGACGCTGAACTTCTTCGGCATCTGAGTCTTCATCGGCGCGGCTGCAACTTCATGTCCGAGAAGGCGGTGGAAGATGTAACCGGAAACGCTCATCTCGTCCACCGCAAAGGTCTTCATGGCAAGCTGCATACGGTCGAAGGATGTCGACTTCCAGACATAGTCGGCCGTGAAGTTGTGCGTGCACTCTGTAGGCACAGATTTATGATCACCCTTTGCTCGCAACTCAATCGTCACCTCATCAGACTGATTGTTCGGAATCTTGATGACATATCCTACTCCTTCCCACTTGGGGCGCAATTCACCGGTATACTTGAGGCGCATTTCATCTCCCACGGCCAACTTCACATCACCAAGCTCAAGCTTTGGCAAGATAAAGCTAGCCAGATGTTTGTTATTGAGACCCAGGTCCCAGCGCACAATGAGTCCGTCCTGTGACTGAGACTCTTTCAACTTGCGGTCGTAGTCGGCTTCGATCTTAACCAGCGGCCCAAAGATATTCTGGTATTGGAAAGCGTCATCGTAGCGAAGAAGCACAGGGGCCGGCTCATCGTCCACAGCCGTGGCCTTTTCCAGATCCGAAAATGTCGCCTGCGAGTTCTCTTTCCACATCTCTTCCAGCTTAGCAATCAACTGCGGGCTGAGGTGGCGAGCCCGGAGCTGTTCCTGGTCGGACGGAGCAGCCACCAGCCATGGCAGAAATGAGCGGTCTTCGATCAATGGTTGCCAACGCGAAGTGTCCCAGTTCATATCTTTGGAAGATGGCATAGCAGCGCATGGTTGTCGACATAACAGGACGACAACTGTGTCAGATTTGGCCGGAATGAACCCCAGAAGAAAGACGTTCTTAGTTCCGCAATTGTAGCATTCCAAGATTGTATCCCCCAGCGATGAGCCAGGATGCAACTGAACTTCCTTGTGGCGAGCTCGAACGAGATGGTTGACGATGTGGGAGGACGAAGTGTTACCACGGGCACTGCAAAACCACTTGCTGCAGGCCAGGCACTTAACAACGCTGCTGGGATTGTGAATGCCGCAATACCTTTCGAAACCCGCAACGTCAGTGAAGAAGTAGGAAAGAGAGGCTATGGTGTACTCACGCGCACGCATGTGGCGGAAGTTCCTTCTCTTCCTCCAGATGCCCTTGGTGGTGCTTGCTGCCAGCCGCCTGGGCACTGGTGGTGCTCTCTACATCGTCGTCTCCGGAAGCTTCATCGTCATCATCATGCCTCCGCGGACGAAAGTGGGAACTTGGGTCGTCCATCTCTACCGCGACCCTCTCGTCACCTACTGCCGCCATATTGATCTAGGAGACAGAGTCCGATGGCGAACTCTCGAATGTTGCTATCCCAGGGTAAAGGCAAGAAAGAGCGAAGATAGCGGAAGCGAAAGACGTCCAGTTCACCGAAATTGAGCGGTCATACACGGACGGGTCTATAACGGTCACGCGAGGAAGTTCCAAGAGCTTAAAGAGTGTGGAGGACACGACAGCCGTCACTGTCCGAGTCGAGGAGGGAGCAGGGGTTTTGTGTTAAGTTTGTCGGGATCACCAACCAGTGTGCCACAGCAGAGGGGCAAACTGTATATGAGGTGAGACTGAGGTCTAGTTAGGAACACGAAGAAAGAAGAGATTGCAAGCCAGGGGGAAGGGGATGACCGACCTTTACGCCACAGAGCCCTGCCACCACGGAAGAGCTTGACGCAAGTGAATGAATGGGGCGTGTGTCAATCCACAAGACCGGGTGGTGGATGATTTGCGATCGGCTCAGGCCAGCCATCGGAGTCGCTGCCGCCAAATCCCACACAGTCCAAGTTCCGGTGGCCAAGGCGGACCAGACCGGCAGTTTCCGAAGAAAAAAAGTTGCCCGCCTTTCTGGCTTTGCAGCCCGTCCGCTCTTCCCCCCCATTCCTCCAGTTCCACGATGTTGGTATGTTGCTGCTCGAATTTCGGGGCGGACTTCCTTCGCAAGTACGAGACATCCGTGCTAACTGCCCATCCAGCGTCGCCAAGCCCGTGAGCGTCGAGACTACCTCTACCGGAGAGCTCTCACTCTCCGCGATGCCTCCATCGCCGAAAAGCGCGCCCAGCTGAAGGCGTCGCTGGCCTCCGGAAAGCCCGTCGATCCCTCGGTTGCAGATGATAAAGCTCTGCGCGAAGACTTCAAGTACGATGAGTCGATCACCCCAGCAGACAAACAAAACAAAGACGAGGTCGACCTCGACGACGAATATGCTCTCACGTCGGGTATTGCCGACCCCCGTCCTATCGTGACCACCTCTCGCTCCCCTTCTGTCCGTCTGGGCACCTTCGCCAAGGAGATTCGTCTGCTTCTTCCGACCTCCATTCGCCTGAACCGTGGTAACCTCGTCCTTCCGGACCTGATCTCAAGCGCAAATGCTGCGGCGCTGACGGACATGATTCTCCTGCACGAGCACCGTGGTACGCCTACTGCGATGACGATCTCTCACCTTCCCCACGGCCCGACTGCTAGTTTCTCCCTGCACAATGTTGTTCTACGTGCGGACATTCCCGATGCTGCCCGCGGAACTGTGTCGGAGAGCTATCCCCACCTAGTTTTCGAGGGATTCACGACTAGACTGGGTCTTCGCGTGGTCCAGATCTTGAAGCACCTGTTCCCCCCGCGTGAGACCGGCAAGGTCGGCAACCGTGTCGTCAGTTTTGTGAACAAGGAGGACAGCATTGAGGTGCGCCACCACGTCTTCGTCAAGACCGGGTACCGGGATGTTGAGCTGGCGGAAGTTGGCCCTCGTATGACAATGAGGCTGTTCGAAATCCGCGGAGGAACTTTGGAGAAGGGCTCCAGTGGTGATGTCGAATGGGCTCTTACCCAATACACCAGGACGAGCAAGAAGAAGGATTATTTGTGAGCCAGTGTTTGTCTCGAAGACACCTGCGGCTTCAGCTGGCAGTGTACAATTATTTACGAAGGCAAAAGAAAAGTCTGATTTGGCGCATGGGGTGTTTAGGAAGGAGCTCAAAGGGCGGCATTTACATTTGGCATGTCTGATCGCTATTGTATACCCATCTGAAAGAAATTCTTATATTCCACTTTCTCTATTTGCCAGAACATCTTGTAGTCATTCGAATTATTCCACGAAGTACTACAGATAATCCAGAAACTGCCTTTACCACCTATACTTTGGTATTGATTCCCAAACCCTAATGCCAAGACACGCTAAGCCATTCCTGCAACACACCCGGAATATCTTGCTTTAAGATATCATAACATATCATATTCATCTTAGCCAAGCGTTGAGCCCTGTTCATTACGCGTCGGGCATTCGCCCCAGATACCACCCCCGCATTTCCTCTCCCAGCCCTAATGCCCCTGCCACCATCTCACAGGAACCGCCTGTCCAATAATTATAACCAATGGCACCTAACTTATCCCAATCTACGCTTAATATTATCCATGATATTTGTCGATGGAGAGCTCTCTTTATCTCAAATAGCTGCATATACTGGCTGCAGCAAGCCTACAATCATTACTATTCACTCTAATCTTCGTATATTCAGCAATATCAGAACACCACCGGTCAGATGTGAACGGCCACGGCATCTTACAACAGCGATGGTGGACGCTCTTTGTGACCATTTATTGGAAGATCTTGATTTATATCTTCATAAAATGCAGGTCTTTTTGCTAGACAAATTATGCCTGCATATCTCAACTTCTACTATTAGCAATACACTTCGTCACAAAGGGTAGTCGAAACAGATAGCACAACAAAAAGCAAAAGAACAAAATGCCAATTTACATAATAAGTATTTCCACGATATTGCGGAATTTCGGTCGTGTCAGCTTATATTCATTGGCAAATCCGGATGTGATAAACAGATAGGCTTTCAAAGAACAGGCTGGCCGCCCTCGGTATAACCCCAGTCCTTATCAAAGTTCCATCGCAATCAGCGGTACAAATGATCCAGAAACTGCCTTTACCACCTATACTTTCCTGCCAAGTCTCAAACCGTAACGCCAAGAAACGCTAAGCCATTCCTGAAAATACAGTATGAGATTGTTTCAGGCAACCCCGGGGTGAAACAGAAGCTAATCCGATTGAGGAACAGGAGATAACAGCAGAATCTCGGGCCATATTACAGCGCTGTGCCTACGGTGATGTTACAACGTCGAGACGCCCGAGGTCTGTTCTCTGGCGTTCAGCCGGATGATAAGAGCAACTATGGCTCGGTGGACCATGCCAAGCCTTCGACGGAAGATTGAATGGGCGTAAATAACATTAAATACAGTGCGTTAATAAGACAGTCGGATGCGAACCAGCTTCACCGCCTCAACTCTTTTCCATATCCCGGGCTACCTGCGAAAGAGCTAATGAGATGGGTGCATACAAATTCACGGCGATATATTACCTCATGAAGAGACAGCCGTCCGAGCCATAAATCAATAATAAGTGAACAACGCACAGCATTATCCTCAATAAGTTTCGTCATTAACAATAACTCGCCAATCCTAGCAAACAGGCATCCGGTGAAATTCAGCTGTAAGTTTATAACGAACGTAATCGTCAATACGGGTCGACCCGTTCGTGCAGACTGATCCCCCTTCTATATCCTCCATGTCTCGTATGAAACTGTCAATCCTTTCACCTGCGCCACTAAGATGAAGAATGCGCCCGATAGCACGATGTAGATCCAAAAGTTGGGCAGAAGGCGGCTCTATATTTCTGTCCGGGGTTATATAGAGCGTGCGGGTAACAGGAAGTGCGTGGGTTCGAAATCTGCGGTTTGAATTTACGTAGTCGATTTTGTACGTGTGTGGTAACTGATTCTGGACTGGTTCAAACGCAATCTCGAAATTACCGAACAATTGATGAAGGTCATGGGTCAAGGTAAGCGCGTTTATTGATCGGTCAATGTCAGTCCCCGTGATGCGGTAGAAAGCATCGGGGTTAAACATCTTCAGGATCTTGTGAGCTACTTGCTTTCGCTCAGTCTACAAGTCCTGTCAGCAAAGATTCACAGGTATAGATTAATGACGTACCAGTTTTGACTCTCCTGCAATGTCACCATGAGACATCAGAGAATGAGGAATTATATGCGCCACTTCTAGATATGCAGTGTTATCAGCTTCCTCCACCAAACGCTTTCCGTCATCATCCTCCACGTCTTCTCCGACAATCTTGTATCGCATTTCAGCCTCCTTAACGTCGAACTTTCGGGTCACGACACATCGATGCCGGTCACGCGTAAGGCAGCTTTTTCTCAAATTAGAGACACGTTGTGGGGTACCAATAGCGGATCCTGACAAATCGAGACGGGAAAGGGATGCCGGCGTAGGCTGAGGAGTCTTTGCGGCCAACGATTTAACTAAAAAAAGTAAGCATACCACGGTTCAGGTACGTATCAGCGACATACGTGGTAGGAAAAAATTATCCACCAGAAAACTAGCGAAGTTGGCCAAACTCTGATTAAGAGCATCTCGTTCTTCGGAAGTCCATTCCTGAACGCTGTGTAATCTTGCTAGGGTCTTAGGTAGATTGGCTTCCGTGACTTCAAGTCGACCATGTTCAATGTAATTGAAAAAAAGGACCAGAAACTCGTCTTCAGAAGAGACCTCTTCCTTCATAAGACGTAGTAATGTCATCGGTTTGTAATCCTTATCAGATGCCTGCAAAGGCTCGAAATGGTGAATGAGCGTGTCAAAAACCTCAATAGCTTCATCATGCTTTTCTGGCGCTAAGGATTGCGGTGCAGGATAGATGACCCCTTCCAGAGATGAACGATGCCGGCGAAGCGGTATAGCCATTGTGACTTTAGATTATTCTAGATCAGAATTATTCTTAGGCTCATTATGAATATATTTGTACCAATGTCATTTTAGTCGGAGGCTTTTCAAGGAGGATGGCAGTTTTTATAGTGACTGAAAGGTGCCCCATCTAGCCTTTACGGTTGATGTCGAGGAGTTCGGCTTTACTATCTTCCGTCAAAGAGAAAAGTTTATCACCACTTCAACCCATCTCCACCCATCTCCACCCATCTCCACCCATCGTCACCCATCGTCACCCATCGTCACCCATCGGCCATCGTTGCCTATCACTACCCTTCACTCTTCCAGTTTGGTTTAATACTTATTGAGTCGTTATTATATTACTAAGATGGAGCGCAATATAGAAGCGGCCCGTTCATCCAATCGCCTGCAAAGCATTGCAAGACGAACCAAAACTCATCCAGACGCGTCCGTGCGTAAGATTGAAGACTGCGCAAAGAAACTGGATCGAAAGACTGCTCTCAAAACTTCGGATAAGAATCGGTTGATTGCCGACGTGAAGTTGATAAAAGGAGAGAGACTATCTTCAAATAAAAGGACACAAGTGAAACAGGTTCTTTACAGGGACTTCCTAATCAGGTGCATCGAATGTGCGGAACTCGGTCCTAACGTTATGGTTCTCTGTTCGCTTGCCCTTGGTTTGACTGGAATTTATGGTCTAAACCAACTAGGCATGGAAGAATTCTTTCAGAAGTTGATAGCCAGGGGGAACTGGGGTTCACCAGGGGTAATGGAAATTACGCGATCTTACAACGTCCCCGACGCTACATTTTTTGAAGTAGGCAACAAACGTGTGGCAGACCTGGATATGGAATGCATGGGAGTGCAATATTCCGAGACCTTTCCGCTTGTGTCCACTATATCAACGGTGTTACCGGTCGAGATACCACCAGCGGTACTATCGAGTGATCAAGTTTCGGCGACATTCAACGTCAAATTGGATATGCCCTTCCAACCAGACTCCAGGGCCTCTCTGACTTTGAATTTCGAGATAGATAGGGAAATGGCCTGGCAGATCGTGCCTTTCTACCATCCAGAATCGGCTGTCATAGCCTCCGAAGTAGCGCAGACCCAATGAATACCTCAATATGAGACCCAGCTGCTGCAGTGGCAGTCTCATCCAGAGTTAATTTTACGTTGCGTTGATGAGTCGCATCATGTAAAATAATTTGCACAAGGCCTTTGGAAGTAATCTGAACATCTGATTCCATCAAATAACGTCCGGGCCCGAGTTTTTCGACTTCGCCGCTCGATTGTTCCTGAGTAGATTGTTTAGGCAAAGAAGAGCCGAAGGCGGAAAGGGATTCACACATTATCAGGCATTGTACACTCAAGGTAATAGCCAACAAGTGATGTCGTCTAAAGTTCGATTGTCTTTTTTAGATGCAGTTTGTATAAGTTCGCCCGAAAATGATTACCTAAAAAGCCGTGCTGAAGGTCGTCTAAGTATAGCTGCCCAACCCTGTGATCAGAGCCTGCAGATTATCTAGGTGGACTGAGGGTCTAATCACGTGATTGTGTCCACTTTAAGCAGCAGTTGCCTCGGCCTTCATTGACGATTATTCCTATTGATCCCTTCTGCTGAGGCGAAAAAATACGTCCGCGGACGGAAGAATGGACGCACCTAGGTATGTACTCCTTTGCAATCGAGGGAAACATGTACTTCATATTCTACTTTAGCTTTTTAACTCTCAGCTTTTCCGGGCACGATGGATATGCAGGATAGCGCTATCGCTAACCTTACTGTACTGTATGCACTTCTTGACAATAAATTAAGACTTCTGGTCTAGATGGCGAATTCTGAATGTCGAAGCAGGCCCCCGTATTTTACTACCGATTTCTAAATACTGTTAAATTGAAATGTCACTGTTCATACGTGGTAGCTGTCAATTGGTGTATTTTTCTGCAGCCATCTCAATGAGTCGCGGTGTATCACTAGGGTGGCTTGAAAGTACCTCATAATGTTACATTCCATGCTACTTCTGTCTCTATCAAAGGCTGAGATGACAGTGTCGGGAAGGCATAAACATTTATGCGAGGAAATATCGACACACAGTCTACCACATCCCTTTCCTGAAACTTTCCCGGGCCCCGCCTACTTAATAAGTATATATACGCTTAGCACCATATAACACGTCTTGATGATACGGTGTCATTCACAAACTCCCCATTTACGGGGTTTATCAACCTTCCTCTTTCACCGAAAATTACCACAAGATTAGAGCCACGATTGCAAAGTCGGCTATACTAATCTTACCACATGCAATTCTTGGAAACATTCATGAATACCGAACTTGGCTTCGCCTCCCTCGTGATGTATTCCTAGATGCAGTGGTGATATCCTAGCATTCCAATGACACCTTAAGCTGCCATTAGCCCTTGGCAGTGATCAATCATAAATAAAGGATCCTACACCCCTGTTCTAGAGGTGTCAAGACCACCGCCGTGCGATTCTACCCCCTTTCAGGATGAAGGCGACACGCGAGCTCTTTTTTCGTGAACAAAGTTTAGGCTGGTATACATGTCCTTATTTCAACAAATTTGTATTGACAAAAGAGTTATAGCAAACCTCCGCTTCCTGTTCGGCAAAGACGTCGACGTCTTAACGTGCAAGCTAGCCGGTGGGAGCAGAGTGATTGCCATTGCATACAAACGGGGCACCTACGATGAGCGAGTAAAAGTCATGCAAGCATCCAGCGCTAGCGAGGAACTCGCGCTGCGAAAGTTACTCGATTCATCGTCAAAATGCCTTCGGGACTGCCTTGGCGATCAGGCGGTTTATGAGGATCTGGCCATTTGCCATATAAGCTTGCCCCACTCCGTGGAGGCAACGAGCGATAGTAATCAAACTACGCTGCCCGACGATACTGTGGCCCATGATGAGCAAGTTCTTAGAGATGCAAGGTCGATCGAGGATGACATTGATGAAGTTGTTCAAGCAGAGACAGGTTGAGCGTACATTGGCAGTGATATTAAAGCGGCAGCTGACATATTTACAGAGAAAAATATCGACGAAGCAGAACTAGAACGAAAGTTGTTAACCCCGCAGAATTCGGAATTGTGTCACGGGGAACAGGAAGACTATTCACTCCTCGTGCATATCAAATACCCGTTGCAGCATTCTATGGGGGCATTGAGAACCATCAGACATCCCTCCCGTCAAGGGTTACTACAAGTGATTCTTCAAATTCTAGCTGGATACGTGTTCTCCAATCCCATCTGGCCTATGCAGACTTTGCTCGTAAAGAAGGGTGATTACGCATTTGATATCCTCGGTTACGCACACGACTATATTGGAAATTTATTTGATGAAATCCTCAGCTCAGAAAAGCTTATAAAGGTTGATTGTGTTTATGCTATGGAATCCGTCAGCCCGATCTCACACTAATGTGACACCTTCCTCAGTTCCACATTCTTTTGATTGTTATCTGGAGAGCGTTCATATTGCAAATGGTGGCATTCCCGATTTGTAATGTTCTTTCCCCATAGTCTTTCCAATCATACTGGCCATCATGGCGACAGAGTGGGCCTGGACAACGCATTGTCTTGTACACACCCCTCCAGACTGCGGGGTGACCTGACACGTCCTCTGCGTCATTTCGACATGGTCCGACGAAATGCTAAACACGGATAGCGTGCCTTCACGACTGTAATAACTAGGGGTGGACGCATGCGTCGGCGTTTCTTCCCATGGGCCGAGGTATTGAAACTGAGAGGGGTAGTCATCACTACAAGGACTGAACGTCATACCCTCGAGGCAAGAAATGCTACCGAGGAGCCTAATCAACACATGCATATTAGCCTGCAAAGCGCCAGGATCCAGTTCAACAATCTGCCAGGAGGTGCACCAGCTCACAGGCCCAATATGAAGATGAGTAAAGTCATAGGTGTCACAATTCTCCGACAGAATAATGTAACTAGAGCCCCGCCGTCTTGGTAAAGCAGAATAAGTAATACCACGACTCTATTTAGATATGATAGGGGAAATGTTGGGAGGTTGCCAAATCCGACAGGCACTGGTTCCTAATGTTTGACTGGTTTGCAAGGAACCTTCTAGACCGGTACACAGTGTGACGTAACACTAGAATTCAGTACCGGAATTGTAATTAACAGGAACATAGTTGTTCCCTATTATTGCTATTTATGGCTTAGCGTGTCTTGGCATTAGGGTTTGGGAATCAATAGAAAAGTATAGGTGGTAAAGGCAGTTTCTAGATTATCTGTATTGCATTGCAACCAGATATCCCCACTGGGATTATAACCCAGGCAACAAAGAGTCAGCTCCGGCCATAGTTAGGGGGGCTAACCGAACGAAATCTTTCCCCGTGCAGAGGTGCTCAAAATCTCAATGTCAGAGCCAGTCAAATCATATATACTTCTCAAGTCGCCGTCTGATCTTTCGCCGTCTCGTTCCTGATCCGGCTTGTTTTTCACGCCTTGCAAATCTACTGGATGGTCATGTTTCTCCACCATCGAGCCATGGCCGGGTACCTTGACCACCTCCTCACGAAGAAAATTCGATATCAAGCTCCCCTGAATCTCGTAGGAGAACCAGCCCTCGTGGGAGGGCAGTAGATTGCCATCGGCATCTCTCTTTGGCGAGGGAAAGATACCGTTCAGCCTTTTCTCCCACTCCATACCCGTTTGGTCCTTGAAAAACGTCTTGAACGCCTTGACTGCAGCATCTCGATCTGCTTTCAGCGGAGTCAAGAGTTCGCTCTGCTGTTTCCCGATACGGCTGTACTCTAGATGAGTCGCGTAGACATGTGGTTCCTTGTTCGATTCGTAGATCTTCAAGCATTTCCCCGATTAGCATATTTCCTATAGAGCAGAGTTATCTTTCTCCCTCCCCTGCCGGTAAGATATATTCCGGCAATCGGAATGACAATGGCTAGTATACCGACATGAAAACATAGAAAACGAGAGTCTCCTCACCTTGACCAAGTATTTCTCCCTCGAATTCCTGAGCAGCATAAATCGCGCAAGCGTAGCATTGTACGTGACCCTCGCTTCCTTGTCTGTGTAGAGATGATATTTTGCTAAATTCCCCATACGTATCAGCATCTCCAGCCTTCAGGAACAAAAAAAGAACAACGTACACACTGCTGCACCGGCTTTTACCCCCTTCTTCTTCTTTCTGAAGGGATCTTCGGTGTTCGATCTCCCTAAAGCAGCATATCGTTAGCAGAAGACTCATCCCCTTAGACAACAAGAGAATGCTCACCCGCACACTTCTTCCTCTCCTCCCCAATCTCCTTCCGTTGCGCTTTCTCGTCTGCTTTCCTCTTGTTCTTCTTCTTTTCATTCCTGAGAATAATTTCTAATAGATATTCCTTCTCACGTTTTGGCCTTCGATTCTTGGACAAAAGCGAATCTTCTAGCCAATCGAATGAGACGATTTTGATATTCCTAGATCGCTTGGCTTTGCGGACTATCTGATGTTAGATATACCCTACTGGACTTTCCCTACTGGACTTCGAATCAAGAAAGGAAGAGGGTAAGAGGGAGGTGAAGCCTCATACCCGCCTCGACATTATCCTTGAATGCCTCTTTTGTTGCGATCAGGTGTGTGATCTCCTCGCTAACTTCCTTGGAGTATTGTCCACCGTTGGCTCGGATCCATTGCGGGATCTTGTCCGAGTTGCCGTCGAATTTGCCGGTGGAGCTGGCGTGAATGTTTTTGAAGGTCTTGCCCATTTTTTTGATCGGGGGGTAAGGTTTAGGATTCGACGGGCGTTATTGGGAAGGTTGAGATGGACGGGGGGTCTGTGAGGGATTAAGCATGAAGGAGACTGAAGGAAGTTGAGGTAAAGATCTTAGTATAGAGCAAGGTGATAGATACAAGTATGCTTTAGTGAGTGACTAGAAGGTCCTACGCGAGTAAAGTGAAGCTGTTCTCAATGTCACGGAATAGTGAGGCCATTGTAAGCCGGAAAACATTTATAATATCGAAGTGTTCGTGACATTTTGAATCAAGGCCACAGAGGACCTGAAAGGTATCAAGAAGGAAATTGATCCCCGAAAAGGTGATCACAGAAAAAACTTAACAAGGTTTATGTATCACATGCTGAACGGACGATGAAAATGACTTATAGCTGAAGACCTTTGGCAGCCTGTACAAAGGCCCGGATCTTGTTGAGATCCTGAGAGCCGTCGGTCTCTACGCCAGAGCTGACATCCACACCAACCACCTTGCGACCAGATTCCCCAAGCTTCTGGACGATGCTCACAACATTCGTAGGATCCAAACCACCGGCTAGAATAACACGCAAGCCGCTGTCCTTTTCAAGAACCGTCTGGACGCGCAATTGATCCAGCAACTCACCAGTTCCCCCTACGCCGGAATCCAACAACGGCAAAGAGTGATAAGCCCTGCGGGCAATTGCGGGCTCGTCGAGACCGAACTTGCGAATGACAGGTACTGGGATCAACTTGGCCCACTCTAGTGGCTCAGATCCGTGCAGTTGCACAACATCGAGACCCAGCTTCTGTTGCTGACCCAGGATATACTCCAAAGGCTGATTCTGGAAGACGCCAACCAGTAGCGCCCGGCTAGGGTGACGAAGGACTCTGGCGGAGTGATCAAAGTACTCAACAGATGCCGCAGTTTGTGTCCCTTGAGAAGTCTGACTAGCAGGCTTCTGGGTAGATTTGACCACTTGAGAGATCCGTAGTGCAACGTCATCAGGGACGCATCGCGTTCGTCCTTGAACCAAGATCATTCCGATGAGGTCTGCGCCAGCTTCAATCGCGGCTCGAGCCGCCTCTTCGGATCGGGTACCGCAGATCTTAACTAATGGCGAGCTTCTAGACTCCTTGGGAATGTTGTGTGTCGTGCCTCCAAGGAGCTCAGCAACAAATGCAGTCGTATCTGCTGCCCGCATAAGGGCCTCTCCCACGAGGATCGCTTTCACGCCCTCGCTCTTGTAAGCCTCCACATCCTTTGGTCCAGAAATTCCACTGAGGGCGCACACGATGGTGCTCTTGGGCACTTGATCCATGAGTCGGCTAGTGGTGCCGAGATCAACCTCGAAACTGGTAAGGTCTCTGTTGTTGACACCAATCACCTCGGCCCCAAGGTCGACCGCAATTTTCATTTCCTCGGGCGTGTTCACTTCAACCAGAGGCTCCATTCCAAGGCTGCGAGAGTAGTGGTATAATCTAGTAAGAAGCTCAACGCTGAGCATCTTCACAATGAGCAAGACAGTGTCAGCGCCGGCCAAACGAGCTTCCAGGATCTGGTATTCATCAAAAACGAACTCCTTTCGCAGAAGGGCAGGTCTGTTCGTCAAGCCCTCCAGGCTTTGGCGAACGGCGCGCAAGTCATCAATGCTGCCCTTGAACCATTCAGGCTCCGTAAGCACAGAGATGACACTGGCACCGGCCTTTGCGTACTGTCTAGCTTGCGCGGGCGCACAAGCATTTTCCGCAATCATGCCCTTGGAAGGAGAGGCACGCTTGATTTCTGCCATGAGAGACAATGGGTAAGGCGATTGCCTCAGACGAGCCGGGAATGAGACCTGGGGAGGAGCCAGGTTCAGGTCGTAGGCAGCCTGAAGGTCTGCTGGTCGCTGAGATGGGATGGTCTTCTGCACAGCGACAGCGGCCCTCCGATGATCGTAAATCCTTTCCAAGATGGACAACTTCTTATCCGTTTTGGGGGCAGTACTCGAGGGCACAGCGACCTTGGAGGTGCTGCCCTGCTCCCCGAAGTGCTTCCCATTGCCTTCCCAGGTACCTGCCGTAAGTTTAAGGAAGTTCCGGAACATGGTGCGTCCATGTTCGGTAAGAATACTCTCGGGGTGGAACTGAACTCCTTCCACAGCCAACTGCTTGTGTCTCACGCCCATGATGACATCCTTGTTACTGTCATCCGCCAACTGGACGGAAGATGATACTTCCAGACAATCGGGAATGGTCGCATGAGTACCAGCCAGCGAATGGTAGCGAGTGACAGCAAGTGAACTGGGCAACCCTTCGTAGGCACCCTTGCCATCATGCTTCAGGGGCGATGTCTTGCCATGCAGGATCTCGCCGGTAACATCCACCTTTCCGCCAAAGCAAGTAATGATACACTGCTGTCCCATGCACACGCCGAAGATCGGGATTTTGCCGCTGAAATACTGAATTGCGGTGCTGCTGATACCAGCGTCAGTCTCGGGGTGACCAGGACCCGGGCTGATGACTAGCTGGGTGGGCTTTTTGGCGATCAGCTCCTCCAGAGTGATCTGGTCATTGCGGAAGACATTGACGGTAGCGCCCTCGAGGACCAGGTATTGGTAGACATTCCAGGTGAACGAGTCATAGTTATCGATTAGGATGACATTCGATGCGGTGCCCAGCTTCTCGGCCTTGGTGGGATGGTGGGGGGAGTGATCGACAAGCCCGGAGTCTGCCATGACGAGAGTCTGCGTAGAATGAAAGATGGATTAGTCTCAGATCAGAGAGGCAGGCGATGAAAATGCAGCGCCCACATTCACAGACTCACCTTTTTGCGTGGGATTGGCAACTATCGGAGTAAAGTGGCAGCGGAACAGACATGGACGATTCGGACGGCGAGCCTGAGTCAGAACCTCGGTGGATCACCTTCCCGATCGGGGCGGGCAGGCAAACGGCGCAAAATTTCCGCTCACCGCCCGGAGACCGCCAGCCAAACCCGCTGCTGCAATAATATTCTTGGGTTCCCGCCTTTGAGCTGTGAGCTCTGCGTGTTTATCGTTGAATCAACTACAAACCTCCCCATCTGCTCCGGGTCTCTGTCGCCTTGGACCCTCGCGAGCAGCACTCCCTTCTCGCAGCACATCGGGCATCTAGAATGATATAGCTGTCTCGCCAATGGCTCCCGTCCCGGAAGCCTATTTCCCGTCCCTGGACAAGTGCTTCTCCGGGGACGTTCAGCTTCTGTACGCGCATTCCATTCGTCTCTACCATTGAGGAATAGCTGCTAACACTTCATCCTCCATTAGGTCCTGGAGGAGAGCCTTCCTTCACACCTGCAGTATTGACAATAACGTCGAAGATGTAGAGAAGCTCCATGCCTTCTTGTCGCATCCCGACAGCGTCCAGATTCTTTCGAATTGCCTCAACGCCTTCCCTTCCCCATCCGCGAAATCGAAGTCGGACTTCGAATCGAAGACAGCTGCGATCCACGTGGAGACAAATGCGCAAGCATCGTACGACTTGAAGGAAATCAAAGCTGATGCTTCATGGCTGAGCGAAAAGGCGGGCATTGATGAGACCAGCGCGCTTCGGTTAACAATTCTTGAATGGCAGAACCGACCTGCCACGCGCCTTCTCACTCGATTTGCCGACGAGGAAACAACAAGCCTCCAAAGTGCAGCAGGAGGCGACAATCTCCGCGTGTCTCTCGCAGGGCCTGCATTTGCTGAAATTCTCAACCGGAAAGCAGCCCGTGACGATGATGCCTCCGATTTCTCTTCAGAGACCAGCCGCCGTCTGCGCTTGCGCAACTTATATCTTTCGGAGAGAAGCCACGTCGTCAAGCTAGCACGCAAGCTACTTGGATTATATCTCAGCGACAATCAGGATACCGTTGCCTCCCAGGAACCCTCGAACCGTCATGGTCAGCTGTTGTGCAAGTTGGGCGCCACAATATTCAAAGAAAAGTCTGAGGGCGAAGGCTGGCGCACGTTCAACCAGGGGTGCATTGAAGCTGTGCGAAGTCGATTGTCTTCACTAGATGGTGATGCTGGCTGGCTAGGCGCTACCGAGTGCAACCAGGAAGTGGAAGATCTGCGGGCGACTACTCTAGTTGAGGAAATAATACATATAGTGCAGATGTTGTTCCTGCAGCTTCAAGCGTCTACAGAGGTCCCTGCTGCGGATCTTTTGCTCTCTTGGCTTCGTTTGATGGTCGACAACAGCTTTTTGGAACCGCTACGAGTTGTGAGTACCGCGTTACCCTGCTCCCCGGGTGGCATTTTACTGACTTTGAGAAGCCATGTCAGGAGCCCATGGAGCTATTGGTGCCACTTCAGGGCTTCGTCTCTCTCACAACACTTGCCTTCATGAAGCTACCACTGTCGGTTCCCTCGATTATCACCGATTCTTCAAAGAGAAGCCTGTCTGCCAAGGCACCCTACTACCTCTGTAAGGAGGAGATTGGCCAGATAAACGAGATTTTCTTGACAGCAGGTGTAGATGCCAAGACTGCTAACCCAGCCGCATTCTCCTGGGGACTGGTCTTGCATACCATGAGAGAACTTGCGCTCAACGACAAAGAGAGTCGGGAGTTGGAACAATTCCACAGTGCAGTCGATTCCTTTCAGTCGAATACACCTCACGCGAGTTCCTCTCGGACTTCAGAACTGTCTTTATACGAGGAGTTGCTTGAGAACGCGCGTGCTCATAATTTCACGGCAGATGAGTCGATAAGTTTTCTGACTTCAGATGTGATGAGGGACGCCGTGTTTGAAACAATCCTTATCCTGGCCACCAAAGTTGGAACCGCTTCAGCAGTTGATGATCTTTTGACGAGTCAATGGGTTCAAGTTATACTCTTAGATTTCGTCCGCATCGCCGTCGTGTATCTGGACTATTCCCCGGAGATCGTGGAGTCCATCCTGGCAATTCTTCAGGGCCCGCCAGCAGAAACACAGTGGCTTCAGGGTGCCCTGTCGAACTCCGCCAGCGACCCTCGTTCGATCTTTTTGAGGGAAGATTCCATGATGGACAACATCTTTCGGATAGCGCGTTCTCGCTTTCCCTATGAAAATGTGCCCTTCTTGAAGCTGTGCCGCGCATTGGTCAGCAAAGATCTGGTCAACGAGGAAGGCCTTCCGGACATACTTAGCGAATTAGAGAACATGGATTCATTTACGCAGGTCGTACCCCCCGGATTCCAAGGCTACGAAACGATTCGAGAGGACGAGAACGCGAACTTTGTTACCCTCGTTCAGTCACTGCCAATGGTCGGCTCATCTCCCCGAAGACAGATCACCGAGCAGGAGGTCAGTAATGCCTTGGTTGTAACAGGCTCGTCACAAATCCCTTCTGCAGCAATTGGCCAAGTCGTCTCCGAGTCACGTCCGGCAGTTGTCATGTGGCATCACCAGTATTCTTGTCTGAGTTACCTCGGAAGTTGGCTAGAGGAATGGAATGAGCGTGGGGGTTTCTCATCAGGCTATGGAGAAGACTCCGTTGCTGACTCAATAGGGCTACTAGCCGACCTTCTCTTTGCGGTCAAGGATTCGCCAGTACAGAATGGTGACGGTTCAAGTGCCAAAAGAATCCTGGAGCTTGCAAGCGATGGGCTATCCCGCCAAAGCGACATTATCTCGTTGGTGTTTGAGATTTTCGAACGTAATCTATCCAATATTGGGCCCAGAGCGGGCTCTGAGACCGTCCTGGAGTCTACGATTGCCTGCCTGCGTTTTATCTGCAGTCTCATCGATGTTCTGCCGGGCAGAGTATGGCCGTTGCTTTCTCGCAGTAGCCTGCTAGGCTCCGATGGCAAGGGTGGCATCATGACGGCGATCGTTTCTGCTACAGAAGTGACGTCGGGCGATTACCCATTCTTGCTGGGCTGCGTCCAGTTGTTTGAGGCTGTTGTTGATGATGCTTCCTCCCGTGCAGTTTTGAGACGGAGCCCGAATGGTCCCAATGGCAAAACAATGCTGGCCTCCGACTGGACCGCGGGCGTTCCATCTCATATGATGAGAGGAACTCTGCTGAACTTCGTGCGGATTATGGTGGAGGTTTACAATAGCTGTGGCAATTGGAGGTTCAATGTGCCAGAACAGAGGCTCGCGATTACCACGAAACTTCCAACGGCATTTGAAAAGATCCTCTACTATGCTTACGGCACCAACGAAATTACCAAGTTGGATACGAAGATCACGGGCGTCTTTTCCTCATCGGCCAAGTATCTCCTCGATGTCTTACGGCCACAGTCGGCCGCCGATCTACCCTTCAATTCCATCCTTCGCCTCATTGTCGATGGCCTCCAGACCCCTTCGACGTTGTACCTCCGCTACATGACTCTCGTTCAAAAGCAGGTGCTAGCAACCTTGGAGCTTTCGATTAGGCTGCTACAGGCGGCACAACTCACGGGGCAGCCACTATCACTGCTGGAAGATCAACTGTTTAAGGCCACCCCCGCTCTCGTCAAACTGTATGCCTCGGACGATGTCTATCGACGCCCGGTCGCTTCACTTCTTGACGCCCTTATAGCAGGCGCAGCCCTGGACCCGGCCAATGAGCCGCCGTCCTTGGTCGGCCATTTGGGCGCGGAATCCGCTTGTCTCTTTCTCGATGTCCTGTCGCAATTTGACAAGCCTCTTAGCGACTCCAAGCTGCACTTGTCCATCTGGAACTTGCTCTCAACTCTTGTCAGCAAGCGCCAACAGTGGCTGGCAGTCTACATCCTTACGGGCACGTCGCCCCGCCAGTCGCTGAAGAAAACCGACAAAGAGAAGAGCGTGGCGATGAGGGGTGCCCCTTTCCTGCAGATTGCACTCGACATGCTATCGCATATTGAACAGCTTGACCTTCAGCTGGCTGTCTCGTTACTTGAGTTCATCTCTCATGCGCAGGAAAACTGGCCGTGGGCCACCCCGGCACTGAAGAAACACGCCAGTTTTTTCACCAGTCTCGTGAATTACGTCTCGAAGTTGAAAATATCGTTTCTGTCCGTGGTTAACCAGATCTTCGCTACTCGAGTTGCAGCTGTCGTGGCCGATATCTGCGCCGTTTACCTGCATTCCGCCAAGGAAATGCATGACAAAGGCTTCTACAAGACCTTGATTCCACTCGTGTCTTGGTTTGCTAAAGACGCGGTTGAAGTGTCAGGGTACAATGCATCGCTCCATGCCAACCTCAAAAAGAATTTTGAGATGAGATATCCCGGGTGCAAGCTCATCGACTTCAAGCGAACCTCTTTGCAGCCTCGTCATCTCGGCCAAGAATACTACTACGACATCGACCTCGGCAAGAAGCTCCTCTCTTACGATTTCGCGTGGACCGGAAGTCGCAATCAAGGGTTTGCCGAAGAATTCCAGCGGGCCAATCTTAATTTGTCTCTGGTCGAGGCGCAAGTGGTAGGTTCTGAACAAAACCCATGGGATGTAAAATAGCTAATCTTTGGCGTTCTGCAGAGTCTTCTCCATAGTTGGAAGTTCTTCGCCATCGAGCACTGTGCGGACTTCATGATGGACCGCGAGGTTCAAAAATCGATGGCCATCGTGGTGCAGAGCTGCCTTGAAGCCAACACCAGGGGCGTTCCCCAAGAGGCCATCTTCGAGAGAATCCAACAAACTCGCGTAGACTTCGCTCAAGCTCTGCTCCAGCGACTAGTTGCGATCGGAGCAAACGGCGCTGAAGTCTTTGGTCTTCTCAAGGCCGTATGGGATGCCTTGCGCACTCGTCGTGCCACGTATGAGGAGGCGTTGATCAACGACGACACCGAGTACTACCGATCGCTTCTTAATGTCCTCTTCCTCACTCTCCAGTTCCACCTCGACTCGCCTTCTCGAACAGCGCCTGGGATTCTTACCAAGAAACCCGAGGTATCGTCAGACCTGGGTATCGTTGTTGAGATTGTGAAGGTGGTGGTGGCGCAAGGGTTCAAGGCCTTGACCACGTACCTGCATGACCAACCAGACAAGTGCACGCCGAAAGATTTCGCCATCCTCATCGCCATCCTGCAGAGCTCATTACAAGTGAAGCACGTTGACCGCTTGTTTGAGCACATCGTCTACCACATTGCTGACAATGACACCGCGAGACTGGCGACGTCGTTGTTTTCGTGGGCCGATCAGCTTGCAGTGGCCGGTGACCCCGTCTACGGCGAGCTCAGCATGTCTCTACTCGTCAAAATGTCCACCATCCCTATGCTAGCGGAACACCTAGCGGTCGAGGTGGTCCTGGTCCGCCTCTCCACCTGCCGTCTCACGAACATCCTGCGAGATTCCAATGGATTCGGCCCATTCGACCCTGTGCCTCGATTGTACTCCATTTGGACAGCCGGGATCCTTCCTTTGTGTCTGAACCTCCTCTACCACGTCGTCCGCAGTGCGCCAGAAGTAGCCGCCTTCCTCAACCAATTCGAAGGCCAACTCAAACGAGCCGCCGAATCTTTCACTGCCGGTCGCACAGCTGTTCCGACCCGCCGGATCAGCCTGAGCATGGCTTCCGAGGCATACTCGCTCGCGCTCATCTCGTACATCCTATCCCGATTCCGCGAAGCAGGAGCCAGCCTCGGAATTGACGCACAGTCAATCCAAGAACTGAAGTGGGACAAAGCACAAGTGAAGGAGGACATCGAAGAGCTCCTGGAACGGAAGCAGAGTCTCCGGACGCGGATCATCGCGACTAGCGAGAAGGAACTGGAGCTGGCTCGCCAGAAGCCGGCCGACGCCGCCTCAGGGGCGCAAAGTCGGCTGGAGGAGAAGATTGTGAGCGAGCTGAAGGCAACCTTGGCGTGCCTGGGGGGTGATGGTGACGAGGCGTAATGAAATGGTCTTTATAGCTGTTTAAGGGGTTGGATGTTTTTCTCATTTCATTATGGTTTATCTGGTCAATGACTTAGGGGCTGCTTTTCTTTCTTCCTGCTTTTCCTCTTTTCAATACAACTCTAGCATGCATATACTTGGTGTGACGGGAGTGTAGATCTCGTAAAATATACAAATTTCCATGGAAGCTTATACTACTGCGTACTGCCCGTTGGGTATCGTATTTCCCCTGCTTAACCTTACTGCACGCAGCCGCCCTTGTCCCACCTTCATTTATTCCTAACTCCTATCTAGTACTTACTAGATACCTATCTCTAGGATTGACACTCCGTACTCCATACCTCCCTCAAACCGTACAATGATACACAGTAAACTCCCCACAACGGAAATAAACACCCGCTTAATGATGATGCAATGCATCAAACACTCACCCCTCCCTGTCTGCATACACATGTACACATGTACACAAGCACAAGCACAAGCACAAGCACAATCACCGACACAATCCCCTTACCTATCTAGATACCCCCAACCAAACACCCTGAGAACCTACGCCCCAAGTGCACAGGTTTTCAACATCCGTGCACCTACATGTACGTATCATTGCCACCCAATCACCCAACCCAACCCAAAAGCACCTCGGGAGAAAGAAAGAGCACCCCCTCTCTTTTTCCTCCTCGGGTCGATCAACCACATAACCGACCGAATAACCGATCGTCCTGCGGACCCCCTCCCCAAACTGCGGGGAGAGCTCTGCGTGCTCAGCTAACCACGTAGCTCGGATGGAGTAACCAACACCCAAAAAGCAGGGATCTGGGGTTGGCATTTGGGTGTTGGTTGGATGGCCAACCCCATTGGTTTCGAGTGAGGGTTTATGAATGGTTATGCATCGCAGGGGGCGCTTGTGTTGGGGTTATATATCGGGCTGGGGGACTTGCTTTGTTCCTTGATTTTTTTAATCCCCTGCCTTTGCTTTTCTTTGGCTTGCTAGTGTGAGATTGACTGACTGTTTTATCCGGGTTGTGTTTTCCAGTGACGGACGATTGACAGGTTACTGAGTTAGCAGCATAGTACACGGCGAGAGACTTATACACTACGGAGATGCCGCTCAAATCACGCTGGCAGTTTGATATCCCGAATACGGATTTGGCGTCGGCGTTGCTTACGTCGCCTACGCATCCTCTGTCCAAGACGCATCGGTGTTTCTCGGAGGCGGCACGCCCTGATACACACTACCTGACGACACACGACTTCCGACTATGGTGTCAACGGTTTGCAGCGGGGTTGCTCAAGAGTGGGCTGCAGACGGGCGATCGCGTGCTGCTGTTCTCCGGCAATGACATATTCTTCCCCGTTGTGTTCCTCGGAACCACCATGGCCGGTGGCATTTTCTCCGGCGCGAATCCCACCTATGTTGCCAGGGAGCTGGCGTATCAGTTGCAAGATTCTGGCGCAAAATATCTGATCTGCGCGGAGGCGAGTCTGGACATGGGAATTGAAGCAGCGAGGCTGGCTGGGGTAGGCCAAGATCGCGTATTTGTCTTCAACAATGCCGTGTTCGATGGCCAAGGACAAGGCGTGAAGGGCTACCGCTATTGGGGCGAGCTGATCGCGTCCGTTGACGAGGGCAGCCAGTTCATTTGGGAAAACCTGTCCACTCCGGAGATGGCCGATCGTACCCTCGCCTTGAACTATTCCAGTGGCACGACCGGGAAACCCAAGGGAGTGGAGATCACGCATAAGAACTATGTCGCCAATATGATGCAGTACAACCATCTCTTCTACCTCCACCCGAACTTTAGGGAAAAGCAAGGCCGCACACGCTGGCTCTGCTTCCTTCCAATGTACCACGCCATGGCGCAAGCTATCTTCATCGCGGCTGCCCTACAGCGGGGCGTGCCCGTTTACATCATGCCCAAATTCGACTTTCTCAAGGTGCTCGAATACACGGGGAAGTACCGCATCAGCGACCTCATCGTGGTCCCACCAGTGGCGGTTGCATTGGCCAAGCATCCTGCAGTCCGGAGCGGCAAATATGACCTGAGCAGCGTGGAGGGTGTGTTCAGCGGCGCCGCGCCGCTAGGGAGAGAAGTCTGCGTGGAGATCGAGGCATTGTGGGAGCCCGGACGCATCAATGTCAAACAAGGATGGGGCATGACTGAGTATGTACAGGTGTTCTGATGACCAATAACCCGGTGTTTGCGTACGCTTGGTGGCGAAAGACCTGCAGGCTAACAGAATTTTCTTCCGCAAGAACTACGTGCTCACTTTTGGGCTGGGACCCCAATCTGAGATCAGATTCGGCATCAGTTGGAGAGCTGAATGCCAATTGTGAGGCGAAGATAATGGCTGAAGATGGCGTGACGGAGTTGGGACGTAACCAGCGCGGCGAACTCTGGGTCCGAGGCCACAATATCATGAAGGGCTACTGGCGAAACCCGCAAGCAACGAGGGAGACCAAGACGGAGGATGGATGGTTGAAGACAGGAGACATCGCCTTCATCGACGACAGCGGCAAATTCCATGTAGTTGACCGGAGAAAGGTAAGCTGAGGGAGCAAAAACCTGGCTTGCCACCTGCGGCGAAACCCGATATCCAATACCTTGCTTCTGTCGTGTTGCGCGATGCTGACTGGAATCTTTGCGCTAGGAGTTAATCAAAGTCAAAGGCAACCAAGTCGCACCGGCCGAGCTAGAAGCTCTTCTGTTGGAGCATCCCGGGGTGGCCGACGTTGCAGTAATTGGCGTCCCCAGGTGAGTTGTTGGTGGTTCCATCTCGAAGGACGAGCTAATGCGATGTTGGCGAATAGGAATGACGACGAGTGTCCGCGGGCATATGTTGTACTAAAACCCGGACAAACCGCCACCGAGAAGGACATTGTGGGCTTCATGGACGGAAAAGTGTCCGCAACCAAGCGAATTACCGGGGGTGTAATCTTCGTCGATGCGATCCCGAAAAACCCCTCGGGAAAGATCTTGCGAAAGTCCCTCCGCGAACGAGCTAAGGAGGAGATGCGGAAGGACACTATCGCCGCTAGACTGTAGACTGGGCTGGACCATCAAGTTCATATTGCACTTGCCCGAATCCAGTTCGCCGTCTAATCACCTTTTCCCACGTAGGTACGTGGCGTCCCCATTGGTGGCCATCGAGGAGCGCCAAACCGAGAGAGGGGGGAGGGAGTTTCCAGATTTGTACATCGCCATTAGTGGGGTACAGTGCAGCGTAGTATTTGAAATAATATATAGATATGGGGCTTCAATATTAGATCGCCGGCGTGCGTTGGGGGAGAACCCGGTACTTGGGTCGTAGATAGGCTTGGATATTGGGGCGATAAAATCGCGACGATACACTATGACAGGCCCGTCAAATCCAGGCAAAGTGGATAGCGGTCGATGGAGAATGGTTCCGGGCCACAATGGTGCGTTGTGTGTTGGGACTTGGGAGCAGACCGGGCAATGGAGGGGCGCCCAGGGCACATCGGCGCCACATTGATCGCCGATAGCACCGCCACACTGGGGCTCCAGCGGCGGATCTCGTTCCTGAATGAGTCGCCATCCCCAAAACCAGAAAGACAGGTGGCAGCCTGTCCCTGTCAAATGTCAGGACTCAGGAATGTCTCATTGAGACCCCGAACCCACTCTGAGATGGCGAGCTGATAACTATGCTCTCGAATCCCCACCGGGTCAGAAGCCGGTAACCGTGGAAGTCGAACTGGATCTGCGGGAATCCAGACGATCATTTCCGGGGAGGCGCAGCTGAAATAGACGGGCCATGAAAGGCAATGGGGAGCGACGGACAGACGAAGCCACGAACAGACGGAGGGGAGAAGAAGAGAGAGAGAGAGAGAGAGAGAGAGAGAGAGATGGGGAGAGGGAAGTTGGAAGGAGAGAGAAGGAGAGTGACGAGTCCGTACTACTACAACGCCGGCAACTTTGCCAAGATCACGAGGCCCCGGTAAGTTACCCCGTAATATTACGCCGAACATCTGACCACACCTGACCGGGGAATCCCTATCTTTGGCCGTGGGAATTTGTATATCTCAAACTGGACCAGTCCAACGACTTCCTCCACTCTCGTTGTCGCCGACTCCACTCCCCTCTCGGCCTTACTCTGTCTTGAGGGGCGGCCCTCCTTGGTGGTCTCGTCGGGGCTGGCCAGTGTTCGAGCCTCACCCGGACCAGGTCGCCTTATAGTCCGTAGTCGTCGTGCTAAGGGGAGTAGCTCTCGCTAAAAGGCCCCCTAGTGAACTAGGAGCGGGCCCTTGGCTCTCCTCCAGCCGATGTACTGAATGTGGCGCTCCAGCTGGACAGCTGAACCTGCCTTGCATCCAGACGTTCCTGGTCCTATGACGGTGGTGCACTGCAGTTGGAGCCCCCATTCCCGTGGGTTCGACTTACTGCATAAGCTCTCGTGGCTGAGCATGACAGAGCTGGACCTGGAGGGGCGCCCCCCTCTCTCATCTCCTCTGCCCATACGTAGCCTAGATCGAAGTCGCAAACCGAGCTTCAAAACATGCTGCGATCCCACTATACGAGTGTAGATGTCCCTGCATGGTGGAGTCGCTTTCCTTTCTCCCTGAATATAATATCAGACTATGGGAATTCCCTCACCGGGTCCTTCTGAGACCAGTGATAAGTTTTCTTTTTGATTTGTTGATGCACATTGCTTGCGCCATGCTGGTCTCAGTTATAAGTATCATCAGATCTCATCTTTGACAAAAAAAAAAAAAAAGTCGGCGTAACCATCGGGCTCCTTTTCAATTTGGCCTGTGTCTCTGCGACTGCTCTACGACGTGCCTGGACCTTCTGTTGTCCACCTTGTGCCTCTTCCTCCCTCGCAGACAAATCAGTTCTAGATAGAAAGTCACCACCGCCGGATCTATCCCTCGAGAGATCCCAGTATTCGGTATAAATTACTCTTCCTGATCTTGCGGGTTGCACAGTTCTCCCCAGCAATAGGTGTTCCCAGTACTTACTGAGCCCCCAGAGAAACCCAACCGTGCATCCTCCGACGACGGGAGGAAGCGTGTGTCTGTGTGTGCGGCCCTGGAAACCTGCTGAACCCCAGTGGGAGCCAACACAATAGGAAACCAGCTGCAATGAGCTGTTTGAACAATGAATGGGTAGATCCGAAAGACCTCCGGATCCTCTTTCTCGCCATTCTATACGTGGTTGCCAGCATAATCTGCATTCTGGTCCTACTAGTGCAGCGCCTCCACCGTCGAGCCTATAGATCCTACGCCTACGCACCGCTAGAGAGACAAATGATGGATCCACCGCCATCGTATCTGTCCGAGAAGCGTGGCCATGGTGGTATTGGTAGTGGTGGCGAAGAAGAGCCCGTCGGCAGTAATGCAGCAGTGGGCCAGGGCCAGGGCCAGGTCCACGGCTACGGCGTCGCCTATCTCAAAGACCCAGCCTCCCACAGCGTTGGTCCCTTCCCGTCTGCCTGTGATATCCTGCACCCCCTGTCCCATTCGTCTCCCTTGCCTTCCAGTGGTTATCTGGCTGCTGTTTTGGCCCGGGAGCGGATTAACTGGACAAAGCAATCATATCCGCCGGAGGATCATCTGGTGCCGTCGTCGCTCGGGCGTGCCGCCTCCGCCCCTGGGCAGGACCGTCATCCAGCAGCACCCACCGCGGCCATGGATGATCGCCTCGGTGACCCGTCATTTGAAGAAGGGCTAGCTCACGGGGCCATCGTTGTGTCAGATCCTCCGCGACAGACCGGGTCTTTGGCGCCGGCCCAGTGGCATGCCCGAAGCCACGAACAGGGGGTCCCCAGCATCGCAAACCTTATCGGGCCCCAACCCTCCCAAAAATGCGGCTATGCAGTTCAATTCCTGCACGATGAGGATGAGGAGGGGGAGCGGTCCTGGCGACGGTTGATGATCGAGTACAGCTAGCTGACAGGTGGTGTGACGTTTTCTCCTTCAAGACTGATGCATTTTGATTCCTTTCGGGCGTTATCTTTGCCTTTGTTTTCTTCTTCTCTCCTACTATCTTGATTCTTGGCTTTTCGCAGTCCCATTCCATGTTCTTTTCCCGGGAGGATGCGCTTCTTATTTTCGGGCTGGTAGCATGAGGCGCCGGTCCCCAAGGACGGCGCCCAAAAGGGCGGCAGATTGTGGGTTAGGTTTTCTTGGACCAGGTAGCTCTAGCACTCAATGACGATTGATGACCTCCACGAGGATGGTAAGAGAAGAAGAGGAAGAAGAATGATGGCGGGATTCTCTCGTTGTCGCTATAGTTCGTGCATGCCCGATTGGGGCTAGCGAGGCACATGGATTATCTATGTGGCTGAGTCAGCCGATCTACAGGAACCCCGTCACCAGATGCCAACAAGATCTCATGCCCAACTCTTCCCCCTCCTCCCCATCTTCGCCAGACTAGACCAGCAGGTCCAAAGAAGATGACCCTCACGACATATGCCTCGTCTCCGGACTCCCCGGACCTCGCCATCCTCAACCTTTCTCGCCTGTTCGCCCGTCTCGAGCATAATCTCCTCTCCTCAGCCGCGGACTTGAAGCCCTTACGCCGGTCAGAATACCAGCGCATGAGAGTTGGAGCAGTACGTCTACATTACCCCTCTCCTCCTGCATGGTGCACACATGCACACTACGTCTCTACATTCTGAACCTAGATATGAACCTACAACCAGCACATCTCTCCCACCCTTCTACCATCTCCACCCAAACTAACACACCCCAAAGAACATAGAATACGCCCGCACCAATCTCCAAAGCCTCGAACAGACTGTCCCCCAAATCAAGACAACCGATCGTCGCAATGACCTGCAAACCGACATAGCACGCAAACGACAGATCCTCAAACGACTCCAGAATGTCCTAGACGAACTTAGCTCCGAAGCTGAGGCCCGACCCGCCCACCACATCGACGAGGAAGATGAAGAAAGTTCCCTAGATAGCGAAGACCTTCTCGGCACCCCAGAGGAGGGCAGCACGACCGACGAAATTTCAAACGAGGAAAGAGATGATCGCGACAACGCTCCAGAAGGCAGAGAACCCACAGCAGCCACCTTGCCTCCAACAACGACCACGGCCGAAACATCACCTCCACCTCCGGAGGCAACTCCCGCTCCTCCACCTCCACCATCATCATCTAGTACACTTCGAAATAGATCCAATGCACCCACCACCACCTCGCCCACAGCAACCGCAACCGGATCTTCCCTCCATGAAACCCCCTCCTCCCCACAGCCTTCGTCCCCGTCCTCAACCGCCCGGCTGCAAGCCACAGAAGACACGCTTTCCTCTCACCGCGCAGAACAGGAGGACCTGACGTCCTCGCTACTTGCGCTGGCATCGCAGCTGAAGTCATCGTCGCAGGCGTTCCATTCTTCCCTGGAAGCGGAGAAGTCCGTTCTGTCGCGGGCGGTCGACGGGCTGGACCGTACGACGGGTAGTATGCAAGCGGCGGAGCGGCGCATGGGCATGCTGCGGCGGATGACGGAGGGGAAGGGCTGGTGGGGACGGATGATGCTGTATGCATGGATCTTCGGGCTGTGGGTGGTGGCGATACTGATCGTCTTTCTGGGTCCCAAGTTGAGGTTCTGATATGCCTTGGCTTTTATTGCTGCCGCTGCCATACTGTGTATGTATGTAGTGTGCATGCTTGGTTGGGGCTGTTGGGGGGTGGTTCACGTATCCGCTGTGCGGATTTCGTCTCGCAGTTACTGGCTGGCTTTCTAATCTAGACGGATGTAAACATTGCTAAAGCGGAGTTTGATCACGGCAATCTAATATAGCTATACCCATTTTTTATTTTCGTCTATCCTGCAGATCCAACCCATCTATCCTACGCTACAGCGCATACGACGGAAGACGTATTCCACAATCTTTAACTCTGACTTATGACCCAATGACCGACCCGGCATGACACATGAGAATAAAGACATGATATTCAGCGTACCCTGCCATTCTCCCATGCCCATGGCCCTGTCGTCGTTCATTGCCTCCCCAGTGCACGTGAGACCAATATGAGAATGCGTGATATATGGTTACACACAGAATTGCTGATGAGGGCACCAAGAGATGATGGGATATCCAGCGGCAAAAAGAAGACACGAAAAGCGGAAGGAGGGGTCAGGGGAGCGCAGACACGGAGGAAGATTTGGAGCAGAAAAATCGAACGACGCGGGAATCCCATGGGTACAGAAAAGAAGACACGGAAGCGCGGGTTCTGACAACCCGCAAACTCGGTGGACATCCACAGAGGGCCCGCTGCTCACAGAGAAGGAAACAAAATGGAAATGGCAAAGGGAAACAACTCCTGCTCTGTGTCATGGGAAGGATATCGGTAATGCTGATAACGAAGAGCCGGCTAGATATCATTTCAAGACAAAGGAAATAGGGAATTAGTAAAATAGACAAGTGAATGTCTCAACGCCAGGGTCTCTCAAAAAAAAAAAAAAAAAAAAAAACAAATTGCGACATGGTATGACAAAGAGCAAAAGACAAGATTACAAGTCACATAGCATACGGTCTAAATGTCGAGAAATTGTCACTCGATCGAAATATACCGGTCATTAGATCAGACCACACAGTCTCAGGTTTTCTTGGATGATAATGTCTGGTCACAATCAGTCTTTTATCGCTGACTTAATCGGGAGCATGCAGGGACCTACCGTTAACTGCGGCCATGACGAAACGGATTTGCGTGGTATCCGTAGCACATGTGAAGTGGGTGTAGATCTGCTTCTGCTCGGCTTGGTTGAGAGAGACAAAGCGGTTGAGAATGTAATCGCACGCGGCGGCGTAGTCGGCACCGCCCTCGTAGTCGGGGAAGTAGTTCTTCATGGGGCTGACGGGCAGCTTCTCCTTGAAGCGATCGATCTTGTTCAGGAACAGAATGATCGAGGTCTTGACGAACCAACGGGAGTTGCAAATCGAGTCGAACAGGGTAAGCGCTTCCTGCATACGGTTGACAGTCTCGTCCTCGAACAACAGCTGGTCGTATTCGGAGATGGCGACCAAGAAAAGAATCGTGGTGACATTCTCGAAGCAATGGATCCACTTCTTACGTTCCGAACGCTGACCACCGACGTCGAACATGCGGTACGTCAGGTCGCCGATAATGAACGTTGTCTCCGTGATACCGGTTGTCTTGACACGCGAGCGGAGAACATCCTGGTCCGTGGGAAGATAGTCGGGCTGCGCGATACGGTCGATGGCATCGAAATAGCTGAAAGTTCGGTTAACAGCGGCTCCGAGGAGACCGAGCAGATGCACCACTTACTACTTGGCGGAGTCATTCAGCTGGTATTCGCGAGACCGCTTGAAGCACTCCTGTACACCACTATCGCGCCACAGAGCGCCAATGGCATTGCCAACCTCTGCGGGCAAGTTGTCACCTTCGATCTGAGCGGGTTGCATGAAAACGGTCTGCACGTGGTATTCGTTGCGAGCGTCTTCCAAGGGCAGCTCCAGCGACTCCATAGCCTCCAAGATGACGCGCATAGACTGGACAGTGTTGCTGTAGATGATTTCCTTGAAAGATTCGCGCTCATCGCGGGAGTAGCTACCCTCGTGGATCAGCTTCATCTGCTTGAGAATGGTCGATTTTCCGGACTCTCCAGCACCTGTGAAGACAATATTAATCGCGCGTCCCAACGAAGGCCACCCGAAGGATACACGGGGATAGAAGGCGCATACCCAGCAGCAGCATCTTGATTTCGTTCCTCTGCATCATCTTGTCCCGCTTGAGCTGGTTCTCGATCTCCTCGTTACGGGCCTTGCCCTCCTTGTCTTCGGTACTCATGCCACAACCCATTTTGGCGGTGATGAAGGAACGTGGGAGTAATTGATGGAAAGTATGATGTGTGGCGGGGGTGGTGGTGATTGGTAGTGAGCGTCAAGAGTAGCGAGCCTGTCCGCGAGGATGTCAGCCAGGGAATTCTCCGCGTACTGTAAGATTGTAATGAAGCAAAGCCCTGCCCGCATTGAACGTGATTGAATACGGGACGAGCCACAATCAGCATCCAAAGGGCAACCAACTGGAACCCAATCAAGGATAAGCAAGAAGGCAGCAGCAGCAGCCGCCGCCTTCCCAGGGTCGCAGATCGTGCTGACGCAAGGAGGTGCAGCTGATGCGTCAACCGGAAGGCTTGAGAGCACCGTCCACCATGAGGATTCCGGGGCAGAGGATGTGGGAACTGGGAGGACCAGATGGCGGAAGAGCCACTCACCTTGCTCGAGAACTTGATATATCAGACTCCGACGAAGGAGGAGAATGAGAAGAATGGAATTAAACCGGGGATGGTATTATTACTAAAGGCCGAGCGGACGCAAAAGGAACGGGCGGCAGGGGAAAAATCAAATATAAGCGCGGAGCCTTTGGGACTAGGCGGAAAGGAGGCGAAAGGAAGGTGGAACAGGAATACACCAATCGCGCGGTGGTCGAACAAGGTTAATCCAGCAAGAAAGCCGGTTGTAGTAGATAGTAGGGAAGAAGAGCGAAGGGACGAGAAATAAAAAAAGAAAAGAAAAGAAAAGACCAAGTCGACCCAGGGATTATGATAGTAGATGCTCGTTTATCCCGATCCGTGAGGGTTTGGGGCCGAAGAGGAGGGGAATGGATGAGACACGATCGAAAGGGAAAGGAAAGGAAAGAGAATGGGAAATTGACGGGGAGAGAGAAAGCGAGCGAGGCTGAAGGTCGGAGGGAAAGGATTAAGCTCAACAGGTGTAAGGGGGGGGAAAGAGACTCAGTCGGGCAAAGGAAAAGAGGGGCCAAGAGAGAAGGAAGGATTGGAAGGTGAGGTCGGTTCTGAGGCAGTCTGAGAGCGTGCCAAAGAGAGAAGCAGAAGCAAGACGACCGGGAAAAGGAGGGAGGGGGGGAAGGGAAAGATTGCAGCAGGCTGATACGGTAGAGGAAACCGGAGTCGGTACCTGCTGCTACTACGGGGCATAGGCCTGAGGAAAGGTATCTAACTCTTCTCTTTTTTTGTTTTTAATTTTTTTAATTTTAGTTTTTCTTTACGCTGTTCTCCAATTTCCCATTCCCTCTTTTTTCTGGAACGATAAGTTGACCCGGTTCCAACCTATAAGAAACGCTGACTGGAGCACAGCAATAGGGGGCAGTGGAGACGTCTCGTCTGGTAAAAGGCGATGGCGACCCCCATTGCAGCGGCTGATTGGTGGTGCGGGTAAGGGGTGGCAGTGGAGGGAAAACCGGCACGATCCAATGGTAATGCGCCAATAGCCCTCTCCTTTTCGACGGGCGGCTGGGTCTAAGTTTGTTGCATCCCAGAGGCGCTGGAAGTGTAAGTGCTTACGGAGGAATTATTGCCTCCATCTTGCTGCTCCTCCCGGTGGTTAGATCGTGGCATGAGATGGCGAAGGTCCATATATTATTATTCCGAGGCAAGTATAAGCACCTGGCAATACTTCGGATGGCGCGCCCCGGGAAGTCAGCCTTGGCTGGCACGGTGGAATGATCCAGGCTAGGATGGATGGTAGCATGGCGCTGTTGAACTTGCTACCAGTCTGCCACCGGCGCAGACACCAAACCCATGGCGGCTGATCCGGCCATTGATGAGACCTGGAGACTGAGAGGTTTAAATTCAATATAGAGTGCAACTAGTTCCCAAGGTGTTGTGGCCGTAGAGATTATTATTAACGATTCAGGTGCATGAATTAATTTCCGGATGACGCAGATCTGCTGTGTGTGCCAGTAGTAAGAGCTGATGCCATGGATTCAACATCTTTCATCCCCAAGCCTAAGCGCTGACCTCCACTGATGACGAAATCCAGATCTCTTCTGCAGTCTGCAGCAGTAGCCTAGATACTAGGTATGTAGGTAACAGTTCGCAGTAGCCGACCGTTTCTGGCCCTGACCAGGGTGCGCGGCGTGAAGGAGGCCTGCAGTTTCAGGTTCCCACCACGCGGTGGAGGCCCGGAACGCGCCCAGCGCCCGATCGCCAGGTACGGGCGACTCACCACGGGATCGTGGCCACTGGTTATCCATGCGTGACGCGGTGGCTCGTTCCAGAATGTCTCGGGAGAGGTCTGAGAGGTCTGAGAGGTCTGAGAGGTCTGAGAGGGGTTGAGTGTTCCCATGCGATGATGCGATTGCCTGTATGTAGTATAGATAATACTATCTAGATAGACAGCCAGCAAGAGGCTACTGCAGCGTTCCATGTGGATTGGGGGGAGGTGGGTGGCCTCAAGATTGGGATAGGCATTAGCGTACGGAGGAATATTGTCGTTCCTGTACCTACGGCCAGGTACGGTACGGTAAATCTCCACTTGCAACTGCCCGTCGATCGCTTCTCCGCAGGAGGTTGAAGAAGAAGAAGATGATGATGCTAATGAGAAACATGAATCAGTCCATGGATCCCATCGAGCTCTTCATCTGATACACACCTGAGATTTCGTCCATTTTGAAAACCATCATATTTCTCAACTGATGCATGCATCCCTTGAGGCCAGCAGCGGCAAGACCCGCTGGATGGAAGATGATTTCTTCTGCTTCCACCGAACCCTACCGGATGGAGGTCTGTAACCGATATCCGTGGTTCTGCCAGCAGACTAGTCACTAGAGACCAGCTTCCCCCCCACTGTCTAGTCTTCTTAGTCGCTTTCTTTACCGCGCACGCTATGCATGATTGTCGTCTCCTTTCTGCCGTGCTCGGCCTGCTCGCCTTATACACAGTAGGTAGTAGGTAGCCCTGGCTAAGCTCCTCGTGGCGAGGTGCCAGACAACCCCTCCACGGGTTGATGCCAGCGAGTGAGCGATCAGAGTCATAGATATACATAAGTACTATGGAGTAAATCTCTCCAATTACCTCTCTGGAGTCCCTGTCACGGTCGACCGATAACCCTAAAAGGCAGCTCGGGATTCACTTATCGCATCTGCGCATGGAGCGTGGCCAGACTATTGACCAGGTTTCCACACTGTCTGGCTTGGTGACCTTAGCGTTGGCACCTTATTGTAGACGCTTTCCCGATTCTGCTGAACAGCCAAGTGGCCTAGATACAGATTATTACAGTCAGTGCTGAGAAGATGACCTACCGAACCCGACCTGCTTATTCTGGGTAAATCTGCAGAAGAGTAGCAGCATTGGCGGATTCGGATTGCTGCATGCAGGATTCAATCCTCGGGATTGGGCTTATAATCTCCAATCTGCAGCCCGTCGCATTCGTGATGACTGAGATGAGTGGCTGACCGTGCGTACGGTCAACCCGAACTGAAGGAAGGGCTTACTACATACGCCATGCATGGAGAAAGTAGTACTAGATACATACCTATCTAGTATGAGCAAGGCCATGGATCTCCAGACCAGTCTCCTGCACAATTCCGCCCTCGATCCCTGGCTGGCTCGTTGGCCAATCCGATGGCAGCTCCACCGATCCATCCAGGGCTCCGATCCGCGATCCCAGGGCCAGCCCGACTTGCCTGCGAGACATCCACTTCGCGATCGGCTTCTTTTCAGCCTCGTTGGCCATTGCGATCCTTCTTCCGATTAGACCTGCGCATTCTAGACAGCATCGTTACGACTCATCATTCTTACTAGACCATTGCTATCATTATTGATATACCCGCCCGCAATTGATACGTCCCCCTTACCCTCAAAATGCACGAGCATGAGCTGTCCTACATGGGGCCTCGGGGTAAGATACATACTCTACCTTCACCACAAACCTCAAGAAACTAACACGCCCACCTCCAAGCCTTCAGTCACGACCAAAGCCAAGATGCGGAAGCCGAATACGACCGTCTTCGCGATCTAGCCCGTCAAGAAGCCTCGCAGCGCAACTCATGTTTCCAACGGGTACTTCCACCGTCATCACTACCCTTGAAACCAACAACGAAATCGCTTCTAAAAATGCTAACCAACCCTTCAATGACCAGTCCCAAGAAGCCTACTCCAGCGGCGATGGTGCCAAAGCCAAAGAACTCTCCGAACAAGGCAAAGCCCACGGCCGCAAGATGGACGACTACAACAAGCAAGCATCGGACTTCATCTTCCGCGAGAACAATGCCGACGGGCGCGTTGCAGCCGACACGATTGATCTGCATGGACAATTTGTCGAAGAGGCAGAGGAGATTCTGGAGGAGAGGATTAAATATGCTAAATCGCATGGGCAGGATCATCTTCATGTGTAAGTTTCCTTGCCCCCTTTTCCCTGCCCCATCAAATCATCCACACTACTTCCTCCCCCCATACCCCGCAAAACGTCAAGAAGGGAAAAGAGGAGGAAAAGACTAATCGTATACTCCGATACCAAATAAACAGAATCGTCGGCAAAGGCAACCACTCCGTCAACCACATTCAAAAAATCAAACCCCGCGTGGAACAAGTCTGTCTGGAACTCGGCCTCCAGTATGCGACCGAGGAAAATGCAGGCCGTATTTATGTGAACCTTACTGGTGGGCCCGCGGATCTGGCGACCGCGCCGGTGCCCTCGCATCCTCACTACCAGCAGCATCAACAGCACCAACAGCACCATCAGCAGTCGTCGGGCAGCTATGCTCATCCCCAACACGCGCAGGCGCAGCAGGGCACTTACGCTCATCCCAGCCACCAGCAGCAACCCAGCTATGCTCATCCTCATCCGGAGCAGGAGCAGACGCAGCAGCAATATCCCAGTCATCAACAGCAGCAATACCCCCAGCAGCAACAGCAATATCCTCAGCAACAACAACAACAGCAGGGTGGGAACCAGGACGAGATCGAGCAGGTGGTTAACGCAGTTCTGCCTAAGGTATTGCGTAAGCTGGAGAAGGCCTGCTGTGTGGTGATGTGATGCAATTGGGAGATAGACGGGTTATAATCATGTCCCGGGTTTGGAGATGTTAGGTCAGCCGGCATCTGACTCGATTGGTATAGACCAGATAGGGCGGGGTGAGTCCTAGTGTAGGAACTGTGATTGATCGCATTGGCATTCTCGCATTGGCAGGTGGATTACATATACCCCGGGGTTCAGTTGTGTTGGATTCATTTCTAGAATCTTCCCGTATAATATTTCTTGGGCGGGCATTTGTTACGGGCCACCAAAAAGAAAGATGGGTTCGTATTAGAAACGCCACGAGTGCATGCATCCAAGGCACCCAATAGACCAAAATGTTTCATGTTCAACATTCTTCACAAATACGAAGACTATCCAATCAACCTACCAACCGGGGAGGGCTGGGCTAATCCCCCGAGTGAGCAATGACTCCCCATCAATCATGACTCTTGACTGCACTCTCTCAGTGTTGACTCGGTGATCTTGTTGAGAATCGCCCGGACCATGGCGCCGTCATCGGGCCCGTCCGGTTGTTCACCGTCGATGTCTCGGATCAGCGCCAGTGCCTTCTCGCGCAATTCTCGGACGACGCCCCGAGTGTGCGCAAAACTGCCAGTGCTCTCCATGTAACTCACTGCGTACAGCTTGACCTCTTCATCCTTAGTCTTCTGCTTGAGGATGCTGATGAGCTGGTGATTTCCCGGGTTGGAGCGGATACTGTGGATAATGGGGAACGAGAACTTCCCCTCCGTGAGGTCTTCGCAGAGACCTTTGTTCTTCGTGTACGTGGTGTTGGACAGATTGAGGTAATCGTCGCAGATCTGGAAAATTAGTCCCATGACGTTGACGAGGCTCACACAGTCCTTTCCAGAGCTGCTTTCGGCTTGCATCAACTTCACGGCAAGTCGAAACAGTCCCCCGGTTTTATTCCCGACCATCTCCAGATAATCCTCCTCGCTAGGACATGTCAGAGTGTCCCGCCAGAAGAGGTCCATTCCCTGACCACGGTGTAGATTCAATAGCTCTTGAACGTAGATGTCGATGGCAGTCGGGTTGTTCAACTTCTGCACCTCCTGCAGAGCAAGAAAGTACACGTAGTTCGCAGAGTTGATGGTCTGCGCGGTGCCATATATATTATGGGCGACTGGGATTCCGCGTCGGAGGATGGAATTATCCTCAACATCATCGATCCTAGCTCAGGCCCACGGGTTAGGTAGGTGTCCGGACCAGTTCAGGGCCTGGCAGAGAAGCTTACAGTAATGAAGATGTATGGAGCATGGCAACCACCTTGGTGATGATCTCCAGGCTCTCCGAAGGCACCTTCAGCCACACATCAAAGGCGTTGATGAGCTGCCGCCGTATGTCCTTGCCGGGGTGTTGGAGCATGTAATCGTATGGGCCCAGCACGATCCTCTCATTTTCTGGAGTCCACTGGCCGTCTTTGTATTTAGTCCCATCGACGCTGGAGCGATTACGGTTGTGAGTGCGGGAGTGATTGGTGTTTGTCAGGAGCCCACCCTCGTTCGGGCCTGCCTGATCCATGGCCGGGGTTACCATGAGGGTTGGTTTCCCCGGGTGAGCTGCGCCCGCACTGGCTACGGGATTGTCTGGGATGGAGATCAAACTAGGCTGAGGAGGACTCTCAGCAGATGGATTGGAGAAAGGTTCTGGAGACATGGCTTAAGCGTTAATGGTTTCAGTATCCTGCATGTGATCGCTGGGGATCGTCGCGAGCGGAGAGGGGAGCTCCTCGAAATGCAGACGATGCTCTGACGGCCAGCCCAGCACAGAAGGGGGAAGAGGTGAGCAAGCCCATCTTACAAGAATCAATAACGAGGGCGCACTCGCTTTAAATAGGAGCTGCGCCCCAGGAACGAAAGAGAGGAGAAGAGGTTGATTGCTGGCTGCATAAGGCACCCTGGCACGGTCGCTGCGGGGGAGAAGGAAATGGAAGGGAAAAGGAACGCGAACGTGACGTCTTTTACCGCCGGCGGTATCACATGCGGGTCACACTCGCCCCGGTCACCTGACCCGACCGTACCTGAGAAAGGGACTTTGGAGAAACTCCCCAACTCAACTCCGACTGGGTGACACACATGTGCCCACCCTCCGTGTGACTGAGTACTCATGCGGCGCATGCAAGGGGCCAGGCAAAATGCACACGTTGCACCGGCCTCGAGTACAGTAGCAGCAGCAAGTGCCAGGATTGATCAGCGGGTCAGTTCTACTCCGCCCGTAAACAACACTTTGTTGACTTTGTTGACTTGGTTGACTTGGTTGGACTGACCGACGAACGGACTGATGGGAATAGTTTCCAACCCAAACCCCAGTGACGGCCCGACCATCCAGGCCTTTATGTTGGCCAGAGCGGGATCCGATGGCGTAGCTGAACCAGGATCCCCTTGACATCATTAGCTGAACGCTACCAAGGAGATCCTGTTCTTCATGGCGTCGCTGTCGCCCGCTTATTGGAACACGATCGCTGGTCGCCGGGACAACCATGGGGTGTTTTTGTCAGATGTGGGGGAAATCCAGTCACTAAGGCTGGCCGTGGCCGAGTCTAAATCGGCACGATCAGCTTCAGATGATGCCAACAACTATTTCCTCGTTAGTTGATCGAGTCCACCGGCTATCGCTCACCAATCGTTGTCGCCATTAATTGAGGCCCCCATCTTCCAAGCGCCTGGGCTCAGCCGTCTTCGATTATTTTTCTGGCTCCCTCTAAGTTAAGGTACATATAGATAGCGCCGTATCTCTTGGCCCAGGGTCCTCGCCACTGACAGATTACGGCCGTCTTTTCTTTTTCACTTGATTTCTGTCCCTGCCAATTTTTAACTCGCTGTGCTACGGATCGCCTCTTGTCTGTATTACTCATGGAGGCATTGTTGGCACACTCGTTCGATTACCTTTCCTCTTACGAACCAAGCAAAGTTCGCAAAGGGCTGCGCCAGGTCGAAGGCCTCCTCGCACAGATTTGTTTATCCAAGTCGAAACGCCCGGCGTCTGACAAACGGAGGTCGCTACTTTCGTTTGGGGCTCCGCAACCACCGGTTCCCAAAACCTTGTCTGAACTTCGCGATGACCCGGCCTTCAGGGAATTTTTCAAATTGCAGGAGGGATTTCAATGGAATGGTAGGTGTCGCTGTCCTTTCTTCAAAATGCAGTACTCGCTACGCGATCCCAATACTAATGCGCTGCAACCAGTCGCAATGCGCTTGGTGACTTGTCTGGAGCATCTACTAGGCCGGGGGAGCAATGGCACCAATGACCTTCTCATCGTCTCCACCCTCGACCTGATACAAGGCGTGCTCCTCCTCCACCCTCCGTCGCGAACCCTGTTTGCGCGCGAGATCTACATGAATCTACTACTGGACCTCCTCGATCCAATCAACTGTCCCGCCATCCAGTCCGCGACCCTTCTCACCCTAGTCACGGCTCTTCTGGATCACCCCGCCAACACGCGCACGTTCGAGGAACTCGACGGCCTACTTACAGTGACCTCGCTTTTCAAGCAGCGCGCGACATCGCGCGAAGTCAAACTCAAACTCGTCGAGTTTCTGTACTTCTACTTGATGCCGGAAACCCCAATGATCCCCACGAGCGCGGTCAGTGCGCCTAACACGGCCGTCCTCGGACATCAGCGCAGTCCAAGCAAATTGGCCGCGGCACAGGCGTCCAGGAGCGTTAATGTCCCCGGAGCTCACGGCGGCGGCAAGGCGTATCGGGATACACGTACGACCGACGAGAAACAAGCGTTGCTGGGACGGTACCTGAACAATGTGGAAGACTTGGTGGAGGATTTGAAAGAAACGGCACCCTTTGGAGCGACAGTGTATTAGCGGTGTTACGAGCGTCAATGGGTTCTGAATCTTTGTTTTATGTTGAGCGTGCATGGGTTATGGTATCATGGCTGGGTTTGTCTTTACTTATACTGCTTTACTGGTTTTCCTTGATATCCTCAAGCTTCTTTCCTTTTGTTTGTCTCTCGACTTTCCTCAGTCTCTCCCGTCTGGTACGGCCTCTGCATCCGGAACACGTCTCTCTCCTGTTTGTCGCATGTCTGTCCACATTCTTTTCATCTGACTCGCGCATCCATTTGATGTCTCATGTGTTACGTTGCGACTATCGCTAGTTAATCTCACGCAACCCTGAACGAAGTGCTATGATCAACATTCCCTGCTCCAAGCTGTGCTCCGCAGCCAATCTCAAACCCGATCGCTATAGAAACCACGAACTCTTTATACATTCCTCAAATCTATCTAGGATCAGATCTATATAGTATTACATAACAGTATATACAGCCCCGTATTAACCTACCCCTCCAATGAGCCAACCTTACTCAGCAACCACCCCCCATTCTGCAACTCCTGAAAGACCCCGTCGGGATCATACTTCCTCGCCACCTCCTTCAACCTCCGCACATTCTCCTCCCCATAACTCGCCAGCGGATCCTGATCCTGCGCCGCATAGTTTGAGTACTTGTACGGGAGATACGCGCCCGTCCGCTTCGCCGCGGATTCCGCCGCATTGACAATCTTCCGCACCGCCTCGCGCACTCGCTCTTCATCATGGATGTGCTTCCAGTCTGCACGGGCGAGGAACCCTGGACATCGTTTAGGTAGGCATTAGCTACCCGGGGGTCTGAATGGATAAAAGGGGATAGGGAAGGGTAAACGTACATTGCTGTCCGACAGGCTCCAAACCCAACGGACTTCCACCATTCTTGAGGGTTTGTTGCATAGCTACCGAGGGCATCGGCTGGATGACGGTTGTGAGGGCGATTCCTTCCAAGTCCTTGAGGGCTTCGGCTTGTTCGGCGTGGGCGCGCTCAATAGCCTCGTAGACTTCGATGCTGGGACGGCTGGACATGGTGCGGAATTCGTGGCTGGGGGATTAGTTAGCATTAAATCGAAATTACTGGGTGATTTGGATGGATGGAGGGGGTGCATACACAGTTGGCTCGGCTTCGTTCACGGATGCGACGGCCTGAACTAGATCATAGACGGTGCGGATACCCGCGGACACGAAGCTAGTGAGGTAGGGAATGTCGTAGAAGGATTGGAAGATGGGAGGGTTCTCGATGGGGGCGCAGTAGAAGTAGACAACGAGGATGATGTCGTTGGTGGCGTTGTAGATCAAGGAGGCCTTGTTGTCGGTTTCGATGGCCTCGTGGTATTGCATCAGAGCGACGCGCAGTTGGGCGGCAACGCTGAGAGGGTAGATACGGACTTCGGTCCAGATTTTGTTGGGGATGGTGTTCATCTCAATTTTGGTGACGATCCCTGAAATTCGGGGGTTAGATACTATTGAATATGGTGTTTGTTATCGGGGTAGAATGGATATAGATCGTACCAAAATTGGAACCGCCACCCTTTAAGGCCCAGAAAAGATCGGGGTTTTCATTGGCATTGGCATTGACGATTTGTGAATTGGCGAGGACGACCTGCTGCTGTTTAGCATTGTGGAGATTACTACTCCGTAGGCAAGAGGAGGAAGAGGAAGCCAACCTGGTAGTTGGAGACGGCCATGGCGCCGAGGCCATACTGACTGTTCTGGAAGGAGATGCCGCCGCCGAGCAACAAACCGGGAACGCCCACCGAAGGCACTCTTCCTCCTGCCACGGCCACTCCGTGCCCGTCAAGCTGCCGGTACACCTCCAGCCATCGCAACCCGACCCCAATATCGGCCGTCGATTTGTCCTCGGACAGCCGTACCTGGTCAAACGCGCTAAGCGAGATGACCACTCCCTCCTGGTTGCTGGTGAAGCCCGGAATCTGCAAATGCCCCCCACCGCGGATGGAGAACTGGATGTGGAAAAACCGGCACAGAGCCAGAGCGATGGCGATTTGCTGGGCCCCCACGGGGCGCACAATCACGCGAGGCTGAAGCCAGCAATTGGCGGACCTGGTTAAGTGATGACGGTGGTTGGTGAATGCATCTCCCCGGTGGATTCAAGCAAACAAGCAAGACTTGACGTACCAAGGCACTTGACGCTGCGGCTCGTAGCCATTGGACCCATGCACTACGGCATCGGGGCCGAAGAACAGGGGGAAGGCTGCAGACACATAAGAGGCCCGTTCCTGGTCTTGTTCGGCAGTGGACAATTGCTTAAATCGCGATAGGAGCGTCTCAATCTGCACCACCTCCTCTTGCTCGAGATGGGAGGCGAGAGTGACGATCGCACCGACTATTGCAGCCATTGTGCTCTATGCATGGGCTATCGATTCAGGCACGCTCCAAAATTGAAGCAGAAAAAAGAAAAGAAAGCCGGACATGACGGCGGAGAGGGATCTGGCACACTGGCACCCTCATTCTAGTGATGGGGACAGTGGATATCCGCTCGGGACGGACAGGACGCTATGTGCGCCGGCGTCTCGACCGATAGCGACCAGGATTCGCATCCACGTCAATGAATGGCAGCCGTCGATATTAGCGTCTGAAACATGCGGGAGCCGCGATTTATCCGGGTCTAGAAAGGTTTGGCATATTCAGCGTGTATCACCCTCCGATCCACTACGCGCTGGGCGAAGAGCCTAGATATTATGGCCCCCCCCGGATGTGCTCTTTCTTCCCGGTGCATTCTGGGACCACTCTTGCTGGGAGTGTGAGAGACAGCCAGGATGGGCGGGTCAACCGGGCAACAGGATGATGGAAGCACAACGTCTATGACCATCGCCGTGCGAATCATTGTGTTGGTGCTGGCGATTCCGACAACCCTGGTGTGTGTGCTTCGAGTAAGTTTTCCATTTATCCCAAAGGAACACCCAGCTAAACAGTGATAGCTGTATCTGCGAAAGTTTGTCGTGAGGCAATTTGGCCTGGACGACTGGTTGGTCTTGGGTGGTCTTGTGAGTGATCTTGCTGTTAATTTGCCTGTGCAAAGTGGCTGATTGAATAGATTGGTGTGGATCTGTTCTCTGCGCTGGCGTATATCATCACGTACTATGGGTTAGGTCGGCCTCTAAAATATGTTCCTGACGACCATCTGGCTGTGTTTCTCACGGTTCGTACATCGAGACCCCAGGGCTCTAGTCGAGACTGATCTTTGCAGCTCGAATATGCCTCGCAATGCGCCTACCTCATCATCGCCGCAACCGTGAAAGCCAGCCTACTGGTCTTCATCATGCGGCTGTTTCCGACTCACTCCGTTCAAGTCGCCGGGAAAACCCTCCTCGGTATCATCGCGGCCTTCACTCTCTCTGGAACTCTCGCGCTGGTCTTCCAGTGTCACCCCGTCAAGGCCGCCTACGATAAGACTCTTGGCAACGCAAGGTGCTATCCCACGGAGACGTCGTATGGGATTCTCCTGATGCAGGGTGTCATTATGTTTGTGCTCGATGTGTCGATTTTGGCCCTTCCCATACGGCCTATCTGGCAGCTGCAGATGCCAGTACGAAAGCGGCTACTTGTGCTAGGGTTGCTTTGCATTGGTAAGCCAAAAAGACATCTATGTGGCCGGGAACTGATGATTGTTCAGGCTTCACGGCATGTGTTGCCGCTTTGGTGCGGTTCTCGACATTAAAATTCGCCAATGACACGACAAACTTCACCTGTAAGCCCCCACTCAACCACCACTGATAGATACTAAATCGATCAGACTCGGCTTCTACATCTCTCATCTGGATGGAGGTTGAATTCAATCTGGGTTTGATATCAGGATCTCTTCCATCCCTGCGGAAGCTTCTTCACTTTGGTTCCCCAATGTCCAAGAGCTACTCAACAGAAGCGCTATCAAGCTACCCATCGAACTTCGAGCTCAGCCGGAATAGCTGGACGATAGGCGGGATTACGAAGAAGACGGAGATCAAGAGGGTGTATGATTACGAGACGAGCGAGAGCCAAGAGCACATTGCTCCGATTTACGGGCAGGGAGAATTGACCACGACTACCAAAGCCTATGCGGATAGCGAGACCAACTCGACAAACAACGTCTAAGGCATTGCGCAGAGCATTTCGGGCCTTTTATGTCAACATAGATTTGTCTAATAGCAGAGCAAAACAAACATTTGATTGCCATCTAGGTGTTGCATGTGTGGGACGAGGAAACAAGGTCGGCCCTATTCTAGCCCCTGACATACACCAAGAAGAGCCAGAACCATAAGGACAAAGTACGATGAAAGAGTCTAATAGCTCTTAGCACTGCTTCCCTATCAGACTTCCAATCATTTTAGCCCATGATAAAGCGATACAAGAAAATTACTCGTAGCAATGTATGACTCACCAACAAGTGCCATGCAGGCCCGCTCCGTTTGTGACACACCCGATAAGCTTTATTAGATTGATACTATAAGATGAGCAATGGTCCCCTCGTATATCCGCACTCACAGATCATCATTTACTATATAGACTTTACCGTCTTTCGAATCTGAACCAAGTCAAATAATAATTCCACAAATTCAGACAATACCACCGCTTTTATTCCTGATCATACCCAATCTTGATGGGACACATCTCATCCACGGTCCCTCACACCATGACCCAAGATACTACCAATCCATCCAGTACCGGCACTGCGCCCAACCGTATCCAGTACCTAGAAACCACAGACGCATATAACAAATGGGCCAAAGTAATTTCATTCAACCTCATTTGATACCATTGTATACATCGAATTAACTGGAAAACAGGTTTACGATACAGACAACAACTTCCTGCAAGCCCTCGACACCCTTGAAATGCAGACCTTACTACCCCACTTTCTGCACCTATTAGGCAACACCTTCGGGCCCGATCCTACAAAATTAATCGATCTCGGATGCGGCACAGGTCGGAACACCCTCCTCCTTGCGCGCTTAGCATCACCAGAAACGGAGATAGTAGGGTTGGATGCGTCGTCGGGGATGTTGGATGTCGCGCGGGAGACGATCGAGGGGAACTCGCGGGTGTCGTTGGAGATCTTTGATCTTCTTCAGGAGTCGATGGACGTGCCGGTGGGTAGTACTCGGGCTGCCGGAATTATTTCGACGTTGGTTCTGGAGCATGTGCCACCGAGACGGTTCTTTGAGGCCGCGGAGAAGATGCTGAGGCCTGGCGGATGCTTGTTGGTCACGAATATGCATTCGGATATGGGGGCAATTAGTCAGGCGGGGTTTGTAGATGTGGAAACGGGGGTGAAGATCAGGCCGGTGAGTTATAAGCATGAGATTGGGGACGTGGTGGCTGTTGCGGAGGAAGTAGGGTTTCGGGTTGAGTGGTTGGATGGGGAGGGTGTAAGGGAGAGGATGGTGGATGAGAGGCTGGCTGGGGTGTTGGGACCCAGGGCGAAGAAGTGGATTGGCGTTGTGGTGTGGTTTGGAGTTTGTTTCAGGAAAGTGATGGAGTGAAAGGTATTTGCTTGTGGAGGCCTATTCCGATTCTAGATAGGTGGTGGAGTGGCACGCATTTGTTGTTATTGTTGTTAGTGTACATGAATTGGATAGTCCTTGGTGGATCCATCCGTCTAGAAGAATTTTAGTAGTCTTTCGCGATGTTGTACAAGGTTCTCATGTTTGCGCAGCAGTTGCCCCAGTCTGTTTCGTTGCCAGCCGAGCTCTTCGTCCAAGATCAGATGTGTGTATGCAAAGACGCTGGCGTCGAATAGACCCGGGTTGGGTCGGTCAAAGAAGTGGATATTGTCGCCAAGAAGGGTAGATAGAGCCTCGAAGGCGTCGCTTGCCTCAGCCTCCAGAGCACCCACGTCGATATAGGACGATGTTTTCAGGATCTCTGTCTGGGCAGCTTGCTGGAGCTGCACTGCAAGGGCGGTCCGCACGGCGGAATGCGTACTCGACGGATCCACATATAATGGTTTCCCAACGGCTGCAAACTCTTCGGGGTCCAGATATAGGGTGTATAGCTGCCAGTGCGTCAGTCTAGACAGGTCTATCGCATATCCAATCCCGTGACTCACCCAAGCATTTCTTATCCGGTGATCCAGTAACGATGCATATACCTCGAAGCGCAAATCTAACTGCTGCTCCTCTTCACAGTGGACTTGCTCGATGGCCCACTTCTGGAGTTTGCTGGAAGGAATTGGGGTGTTGTTGCTGACGGGGTGGGCGGGAATAAGGAAAGGAAGGGCGCCGGACGGAGACGCATGGTTGTTGGAGGGAATCACGGCGAAGTCGATCCCAACAAAGCGCAAGTATGCCTAAACCCACAGAGTACACTCCATTAGCGACATACAACTTGAGAGGATGCCGGGGCACATACCTGCCACTTGAGACACTGAGGGTTAAACGACGGTCTCCCACGGCTGGCACCTGCGGCATCGGTAAAGACGTACAACCGATTGCCCCGTTTGTCCGACCATGCGCTATGCGGGAGATCGTTGGAGGGATAGGTGACGAGCGGAAAGCGGTCGAAAATGCGCTTGACCGGCGTAGGGACGGAGAAGAAGTCTCGAGCGCGCGACGCCGTGCTCGCATTGTCCGGTGCCTGGCCGGGGATATCACGGCGTTCGGGGGTCATTGGAGGAGCGTGGGGATGGAAGGGATCGCGGTTGAGAAAAGGGGAAGAGCTGAAGGTCGGATTAGGGGATTCGGGGAATTGGCGATAGGACCGGCTAGACAACCGAGGTAGGTGTAGGTACAATGAAATGGTTCAGGTTCAATCTTGCATATTTCAGCTCAAAAGCCTCACCTGGCTTATTATTCGTCGGTCGATAATCTCCGGCGCCAAGCCCGCCCTGATTTGGAGCCTCAGGTAGAAAGGCATCTAGGCACCCAGGCACCAATACCAGTGCTGCCTGAGGTTGTATCTCTTTTTCCTTATCGGCTTATCGGTTCTCGAAGATTTGCTCCGCCATTCGGACTTCGGCCTCCACGATCCTCATTTCCCCCCACTACATTCGCTTGACCTCCTCTCAATCACCCGCGGGGTTGCCCTTCCTTCTTGCAGCGTTACGAGCAGCAGTTCCTCGGCCTTTCCCCCCTCGTCTCGTCTCGTCTCGCCTCGCCTCCGCTTCTGAATTTCAACGAGTGGCCTTGCGCTCTGTCAATCGCGTCACCGTTCCGATTCGTCCCACTCACTCCCTTTGTTGTTCACCCTTAGTGAATCCTGGTCCACCATCGCTTGTTTGGTGAACAAAAGACGCTTCTCGTGGTGGACTTGATCTTCAATTTCCCTGGTCAACCCCCCAAGGTTCTTGTGATCGCCGGAACTCTTAGCGGAATCCGTCTGCGGCCGTGGCACGATCGGGCCTCCGGGTGGGGTAAGGCTATTGCGCACTTATCTTACCTGAAAACCCAGTCCGACCATCTGGTTCAGTGTTCGACAGTTTTGGCTCAGTCTACTTTGAGCTCGCTGCTATGCCTCTTGACGAAGAAGGCGCCAAATGGTCGTGGTACGCATCTCCCCGCGGGTCAAAAGGCACTCTTGCTAACTGGGAGTCCGGTCAGCGAACCATGCATCCGTGGCCATCGGTCCTCAAAATGCCAGCATTTCGACAGGATGATGATGAAGGTCCCGAAGGCTGGAAGGCCGCTAGCTAAATGCCCCCATCCAAAAGGGACATGCAGCTGCCAGAAACTGTATGCGTTCATGATTCGCATCCCTAAAGGTCGGTAGATGTGGTTCATCGCCCATTATTTTACGTTGCAGTCGCGTAAATGGTGACTGACATTGACCAATTCGTTCAGGTTCCACTTGCTTGTGTAGACCAGTATATCAGGTGCCCGCCAATGCCGCGGAATCCGTCTCGACTACACCAATACCCGCTGCTCCGATGCCGTCGGCTGCTCCCAATAAAATCCAGAAACAGGTCAAACGACAGATCAAGACAGCCCCAGAGAATCTCACCAAAGCCTTAAGCTCTATACCGGAGTTTGGGAAACAGCATCTCGAGAATGGAATGCCAAATCGACCACCTCCTTATGTGGCCCAGAAGGAGCGTTTGAGTGACTCCTATAATACTGTTAACCGAGATTTGAACTCCTCGCACGAGACCTTCGACCAAGCCAGCAAGGGCAAGATATCGCAGGGTAGCAGCTGCTGCTCTCGTAAACCTAAACCACCCACACCGACTCCAGCCCCTCATATCCAACGTTCTTGTTGTGGAAAGCCCAAATCACCGGCAGGAAATATTGAAAATGTTGGGAACGGAGGCCCAGTATTCAGCAGCCCTGATCACTTCAACCCGTCGGACTTTGAGAATGGCGATGCAAAATATATGAATTCTATTCCTCAGGTATCGACATGGCAAGATTTCCAGGCAGCGAAGCAAAGCCAGTACATGCAGCCTTTCTCATTATTTGTGTCTGATACCGGATTTTTTTCTGTGGCCGACACTGTCACGCATATCCCTCATACACCAATGGCCTTTTCGCATCAACAGTCCTACGAAAATTACAGGCTCTTTCAAGATTCAACTACGCAGCCACTCTCAGAATATGCGCAGAATGCCGTTCCGGGCCCAGCAAGTACTGAAAATGAAGCCGAAGCCGCCCATGACTGCAGCTGTGGTGACGGCTGTCAATGCCTGGGCTGCGCATCTCACCCATTCAACAATACCACTCGACAGCATGTCCAAGAGATGGGCCTCCTAGTGTCTTTGAATGACGATGAGCAGAATCTCGAAAGGCTAAACACCCGGAGGGGCTCCCCTCTGCAGGGCCAGCTATCAGACTTCAGCTCCTTACAGTACCCATACTCGAACTTTGGACATCTAATTGGTGATGGTGCTCAGCCGATTGCAATGCATTCTTATGCCCAGCAGAGCACAAACTCAGGCCACGTAAATAGCGGCTATTCATCTCCGCCACCGGAATATCTTGGGCAGCAACTGATGGAGCCATCAGAATATTATACTCTCGAATATCCGGTGGGACTTCCCAGCGCTTGCGCGGACACAACTGGGAGTTGCCAGTGTGGGAATGACTGTACCTGTGTTGGTTGTCTCACCCACAGCGGGCACAATGGAGTTGCCCTTGAGCCCACCATGGCGGCGAACAACTGGGGCCACATGGACGTGCCGACTTTCTCTACTGAATCTGCAGACACCAACACGTCTCAGATGCCTGTGTTCGAGAACTTCATGGTTCATCCGAACTCCATGCTCTGAAACCATGCCCCTTTTTTGATGCTTCCCGCGAGCCCTCTTTTTTCTTCTGTCTTCACTAGCACCGAGTTCACACTCGGATGACTGACGACTATTTATGATACCCCTCTCACATAGATGCTGGATGATAGAGTACATAAAACCTTCTGGTCCTACTCACAGTTGTAAAAATATACATAGTTCCTAGCTACATCTTCCTGGGGACGTGTAATTCTACGGTGACCAAATCCCACCCTAAGCTCTGCGAGTTCTTTGGCTTCTCTTGTGCCCGCTTGTGCTATTTTCTATAGGCATAGCATCTATAGCAACTATCACCAGAGGATATGCACCACTCTGCAACTTGCCTTAGGTTTAAGAGGTAGCGAGTGAAAAGACCAGGGCATGGTCGCGTGATCGTCGAGACTGACCTGGATCCCCGCGGACAGCTACTATGCAAGCAAGGTTATAGGTTCCCAATAAAGTAGAAGAGGTAGCACGACGATGGATTGAATGCTAAAATAGGAAAGTCTAGAAGACCCTTCTAAACGGTGGGGCAGGTGTCTCGATATAGCTCGTGCCGTTCCCAGCTATACAGGTATCATACAGAATTGGACGCTGAGTTGCTCTACCGACGCAGGGCATCTCTGAGGGGGGAATCACCCCGACGGAAGGAAGCTGGAGTACATTAGCCACATTGACTTCCCACGAAGAGTTCAAGATCTTATTGCATTAGCGTACCATCAGCTTCTTCCCAGGCACGTCCGGCACCGAAGCCGAGACCAACCCAGGCGGGCCAAGCCCTCCGCTTGAAGAGGAGCACGGAGAAGACAACACCGAAGGAAAGACCGAGAGAGGAGCGGATGATCAGGGAGGAGATGGCGCGATCCCACTGTGATAGAAAGTTCCGCATTAGCCCGAGCACGACACTGCCCTATGACATAGGTATATCCCGCAGTGCAACTTGCAGACGGAACTCGAGGGCGGCTATCCGGAGGATCCTCGAGGAGCCAGGCACGCGAATCGTTCAGTGTCCCGAGGGAACACGCGACAGAGGAGATGTGCAGATGGTAGGTACCTTCTCGTTCAGCAGGGCCTCGCTGACGGGCTTGGTGGAGCGAGGGACCGGGGCGACCGGCTGGGATTCGTTGGAGTCGGCCATTGCGATAGGGCTAAAAGTCCAGGGGGTCAATATGGGAGAGCGGGACGGGCCAATTGGACGACGGGGACTGAAGACTGACCTTCAACAACAGACGGAGGGGGGGGGGGGGGGTGTTGCAAAGGAACTGGGAGAAGGGAGGAGATTCGATGGAAACGATCGGGTGCGACGTTCGAGCTCTGCTCGGGCGGGCTAAAGGCGGTCGGAAAAACTAGGCTGGGCGCTCTCCGCTTTCTGGCGTCAGTCTCAACTTTTTCTTGAATCCTCCTGGTCCCCGCCGAACGTTCCAACACGCTCTCCGGACTATGGTCGCTTCGTGTTGACGCGGTGGCACCGAGGAACTAGGGGATCCGGTACGACAATCTGACTCGTCTCTTCCGAGATGCCTTCAGTCGCGGAGGTGTGTGGTGCCCCCCCCTCGGTGTATCCAACTATTTATCCAACCTGGTGTTCGGCTAACCTGCTGGGATCTCTATACAGCGCCCGCGTTCGTCGCAAGAGGCTCTACTCCGCCTTGAGAAAGGCACCGCTTCCCCGACCACCCAGCTGGACGAGGCTGCCCACATCATCGGCTTGGATCTGGCCCTGTGTGCCAGCCACCCCGAGATCAACCGAACCCCTCACGTCCAGAATAATGCCGCCCCGAAGGAAGAATGGGTCCTCCGATGGTTGTTGAAGAAACTGCGGGCGGGCAAGAACTATCGTGTCGACTCAACCTCTTTCCTCCTCCTCCGCCAGTTGATCGACCTGATCCCACCCAAGACCCTGGCTACGACCTTGAAGGACCAGAAGTTCCTCGCAATATTCAACCAGGCGATCGCCGATTTGGAGGAAGATGTATTCGCGGCGCTGAAGACAGGGATAACCGACTTGCTGCCCTCGGATTCGGATTCGAGCTACACCTTAAACGACTCACCGCAGCGCAATGGCGATTACGATAAGAAGGGAACTAAGAGGAAGAGGGCTGGCGACGACGAAGCGGACGCCATGGATATCGACGACCAGCCACGAACCCCAATCTCCTGCTTCTTGGCTTTCATTCGCGCGTTGGATTGCTTGTATAGCTTGATTATGCTGGCGAATCGGACTCCGGGTGTTGATGAAGTTGCAAGCTCTCACCTGAGGCACGCTCTCAAAGGCGAGCCCGAGTCAAACGCTGTCACGTTACAGAAATCGTTTCGACTAACAGCCATCATTACAACACAATTCTCCCACGCGCGCAAGACTACAGACCTACAGCATCTCCTGTACGTGTTTCCCGCAGTCCTAGCGCTGTGGGAGTTGAGATCTTCTCGTCGAGACGATTCGGACAAAGGACTGAGCAATGTAGGTTTGGGAAGATGCGTGCAAGCTAATTTTCGGGCTAACACCGGGGCAGGAGTGCTTTGCGAAACATTGTTTCCAGAGTGCATTAAGACTTCAGGTCTGTGTTCGCGCGATCCGACTCGACACCGATGAGAGGGCTCACGTATTGCATGTGGTGGAGCGTTTGATCGCCCTCCATGTGGTGCTTCCAGCCCGTGGAGGATTCTATGAGCGAGGAGGTGCGGGCATCGACTATTCAGCCAGTGAACCGGATTGGACTCCCGTCAAGCCGATTTCCGACACGCTTAGACCTATTCTTTGCGGAGTAGAGTGTCCGGCTGAGACCGCCGAGGACGCCAGCATCCAAAAGAAGATCATGTGGAAGACGGCCGAGCTTCTACCCGAATTTTTCGATATCGCAGTCCGCTCAGTTCCCAGGGATACTTTTCGGAGACAGACACACGAGGCTCCGTGGCTTGAGACCTTGTTCGTTGCCATCGCGGAGCTGGCATTTTCAACTGTGAAGTCCCAGAACACAACCACATACCTTTCTGAATTTGTGGGAATCTTGGAGCGCCTCTTCCGTGTGGTTCTCGTCCGCAACGTACAATTATCTCTGCATACACTGCTCACTCACGCTTCTTACACCGGCCTTCTCAAGGATGGCTTGTCGCAGGTTGAATGGAGCCTTACAGCTCTGCTTGTTGAGCTTGGGGTCGACATTTTCCTCCCAAACTCGGGCCTCAATGACTCGACGAAGTTGCTAAAGGCTTTACTGGAAAAGATCCTCTCACATTGGCGCAGCGGCAAGTCCCAGAGTGATGGCAGCTATGAGACCATTAAGAGTGACATTGTGATTCCCCTGCTGCGTGGTTTCGTGGCCGCTCGAGACCTACCCACCTTCATGCAGTTCTGGTACGAACAACTCATGGAGGTCGAAGAGGCGCGGTCACAAGACAAGAGCCTAAAATCCTTCATCGTGTGGGAAGACGACGACGTGTGCAATGCGTATGGTGATATCATGCGGAGCCCCCTCACTCATGCCCATGCTGCTGCACAGCTTCAGGCAGCTACGGCAGAGATCAGAAGTGAGGATGGCAAGATCTCCAACACCCCTGGTGCCTATGCGCAGTTTGTCATCTTAGAGTCCGGCTTCAGAAATCGTGATCTGAGCTTCGAAGATAAGAATGAGGCTCTCAGCTCAATCATTGAGACCGCAGCATCGACGTTGTCGACGAAACAGACGTTGCATTGGCGATGGCGGTTGTGGCGGCTCGCTCGGAACCTCCTGGAGAACAATGTCCAGTCCACTGACAATGATCTCGGTGCTGCCATTATGAACCTCGTGGACACCGGCGCGGTGACTATTCGGCGCCACCACAAGGATGGGTTGCAGAAACCTTGGGCACCTTTGGAATGTTTCGAGGCATATCAATTCACTCTTGCTGCCGTTAAAGGTGCCCTGAACAACGATCAGTTCAAGTCACTTACCAGTCAAATCACAGAATTGGTCAAGTCTATCTCCAGCAAGGATGCTGTGAATTCGATCACATCTCCATGGAATGGGCGCATCGAGACTTTGAATACGCCGGAAACCCTCGCCTTGGCCTACTTCTTGACTCTTGTTAGAAGCCCGGACATCTGGGCTCGAGTTGAGCCCGAAACCAGACGCTCATTGTTCGGTCATATCCTGTCTTTAGCAACAGCCCAATACAAGTCTTCCTCATCGGCTCTGGAGACTGTGGGTCCCGAACTTAGATTCCTTCAAGCCTGGGCTAGCGTTGTCTGTCACGAATATCTACTCAATGCCCCGGCCATCACTTCCGATTTAATTACTGTGCTTGCTAGCCGAATCAAGGAGGACGACTTGAATCGAAAGCTCTTTGTCGAGAGCCTCCAAAGAATCCCTGCCCCGCTTATCATGCGCCGCCAGAGAGCGGTCCTGTTGGACCTGCTGCAGGAGGTTATCGTGCAGGGAGACAGCACACCCGAGGTCACTGTTGGGATGCTGTCGTTGATGGCGAAGATGGCTGGTATGCCCAAGTGTGCAGCGGCTGTGACCAGCAATTGGGAACCGATCTGGACGGTGGCCAAGGCCGTCACTCTGCAGGGCAACGATGTTGATCTTCAGATTATGAAAGCATTCCGCAATCTGCATCGAGCAGTCATGGCCAAGCTACTCGTTTCTTCCGACGAAGAACGGCACAAGCTGTTCAAGAAGATGTATCGCAAGGTTGCCTCCAAGGCGTCCAAATTGCAGACCATCGATCGAGACTCCATGGACTGCTTCTATCTGAGGATCTCTTTGTCTCAACTTTGGCACCACCGTAAGCAGCTTGCTGGTGTTTTCGATGAGACGGACCTCGCCGCTTGCCGACAAAAGTTATTCGACCTTGTGGTAGTGGAGGTGAAGTCCGTCAAGGATCAGTGCAAGAAACAGCAACTAGAGGAGACAATCACCTTGATTAAGATTCTGGATGCGCTGGAAGACTTTGAGGACCTGGCTGCGGATCATGCCGAGGTTGAAAAATTCCTGTCGAAGATCGAAAGTTACGTGGAGAAATCGGCCGATTCGGGCCCCTCGCTGAGCAGACTCATTCGACGTCGTGTCCTGGCCGGACGGGGCTCCGAAAAGAGCATCACCCAGCCTGTGATACAATGTGCTGAGGCTCTTCCACTGCAACACATGTATAGTGAAGAACAACGACTCTTCATCCGGTCTACCAGCGCAAGGTTTCAGTCCATGTCAGTCGAGGAACTGACCCGAGTCATTGAAGATGTGCGGGAGTTAGGCTTTGTTGGAGAAAACGCCGAGTACCATCTGCTTATCGCCGGGCTAGCTATTGCCTCGTTGCCTCCGATTGAGGACAAAGAATGCCATACAGCCAAAGAGCTGTCGTGGATTTGCACTGCCGTGATCGAGTCGCTCTCCCGCAACAAATCAATAGAGCAGTTTACGCTTGCCTCCGAATGCCTGGATATCCTCCTCCGCGATTTCACGCGCTGTATAACGCAGTGGAATGTCGATAATCTGCTGGCATCCATTGCCGTCTGCGCTTCAAAATCTGGACCCCGTATTGACCCCGAATTTGCCGGGACCGTCTATATCCGTCTCTGCAGGCTGATGGGTGTCCTCCTGGGTCTCCACCGTCAGAAGCTTGGAGGCCGGTTCCACTTAATCCTCCCTGTTATCGAGCGACTGCTGGACTGCTTGTTCGCTCGCTCCAAGAAGCGCCCTCGATCCCTGATCTACGAAAAGCAACTTGGCCAAGATCCATACTGGCTTGCTCCCCTGCAGGCGACGCACGCCGTTCACTTTACCCGTCTCCTCACATCGCTCTGCGACCCGACCGTCTCCGCCGTGTCGAGGCCGGCGCAATCGGCAGGTGGCTTCGAGGGTTTGACCGATCAGACTAAGAAAGCGAAGCGTATTGCCGGGCAGTACCTCCAGTATCTGATCATGAAGTACACGCAGAGCTCCCTGCGCGGGAATCTGGCGCCAGAGGTGAAGGCCGCCATTCTTCCTGGTCTCTATGCGGTCCTAGATGCCATGTCGCGCGAAACAATGCGCGCCATGAACGCGGGCCTGGATGTGTCTGGGCGGGCCGTGTTTAAGGCGCTCTATGATGACTATGTGAAGTTTGGCAAGTGGAACAAGGGCTAAATGATGGCGTGGTGTCGGGAGTTGGGGGGAGGGGGAGGGTGGACTGGAGGAGGCAGTTCGCATGGACGTACACTTCTGTACCTAGTTATTTGCATTGGTTGGTCTTGATTGAAGACTGTATAATATCCTTAGGACTCAAATCAAACGGTGGCCAAACTAAACCAAATCACCTCATAATTAGGGTCGGGGGCGTCAGCACTATTACTATCCTGGTCAGGCTCTTATCGGCGATGGACCGTCTCGGACTCGCTCCTGTGTGTATTCATTCCTTCGGCACTTTCCCCCAGCATTTTCTCTGGCACCCGCTGCCAACCACGCCATGTCGTCCGGGTGCTCGCTCGAGGCCGACAACGTCTTCGGCCCCGTGGTGAGCCATGCCTGCCGTGATGGCTTTGATTTCACTCTACTGTTTGAGCAGTCCATTCTCGGTCTGCTCCATGCCCTCGCGTTCCTTCTCGCGTCCCCCCTCCGAGTGCGACACTTGGCCAAGCGAGATGTTCGTACCCGGAGCAACACGACGAGGATGGCAAAACTGGTGAGGAAAAGCTCATCTCGATCTGGACGCTATCTAGGATGCGACTGATCCCCCGAAATAGGTAATCGCCCTGGGTTTCGCCGCACTACAACTCACGCTGCTCGTCTGCTGGGCGCGCAGCGTCACGCCCCGAACAAAGGTATCCGTACCATTCAGCACGATCAATCTGGTTGTGGCGATGGAGATCATGGTATTGTCGTGGATGGAGGATGCGCGATCAGCCCGGCCGTCGTCATTGCTCAATCTCTACCTACTCCTGACGCTCCTCTTTGACATTGCACAGGCTAGAACCCTATGGCTAGCTCGCAGTGGGGTTCATATTCCTATCTTGTTCACAACAAGTGTCGCAGCAAAGACCACAATGCTCTTGCTTGAGAGCCTAGAGAAGCGGGAATACCTCACAGGGAAGTACCAAGACCTGCCGCCAGAGTCGACAAGTGGCATCGTGAACCGGACCTTCATGTGGTGGCTGAACCGTCTATTTCTGGCTGGATTCCGGTCCTTGCTTACCGTAGGGGATTTATTTATTCTGGATAAGCGCCTGGCATCTGTTGGCCTTGCCAAAAAGGCGCAACGAGCATGGACCCAACGCCGGAGTCCTGAACGACGCTTCGAATTTCCATGGCAGATGTGTCGGGCCCTGTGGTGGCCTTTGGTGTCGGCGGTATTTCCGCGACTATGTCTGATCGGCTTCACTTTCGCGCAGCCCTTTCTAATCACCTCCACTCTCGACTGGCTCAATGACCCGCACAGTGCGGAGAACAAAGGCTATGGTCTGATCGGAGCCACGGTTTTAATCTATTTGGGCTTGGCAATCTTCACGTTGCATTATGATCATAAACTGTATCGCTTTCTTACAATGTTCCGAGGGGCCGCTTCGTCGTTGATTTATGAGCATGCGCTTCGCATCCCTGATGGCGAGCTAGAAGACCGGTCGGCAACGATCACCCTCATGACAACCGACATCGACCGGATTACGGCTTGTTTGGCTAATCTGAATGAATGCTGGGCTCGCGCAATTGAAGTTGTTATTGGCATTACCCTACTCGCCCTCCGACTCGGTTGGGTCAGTCTGATGCCAGTGATCATCGTAATCGGTGGGCATCTCATTGATCTGCGTCTGTGTGGTCACCCTTGACTAACGAAGTGGGACAGTATCCAGTCTAGGCAGCACTCAAATATCGAAGAATATCGGGAACCGACAAAAGGTGTGGGTGGATGCGGTGCAGCAACGAATTGCGATTACCAGCTCTATGCTTGCGGAAATCCAGATTGTCAGGCGAATGGGGTTGAGCAAAACCTTCACAAAGCTTATCCAGGATCAAAGGGTCCAGGAGACACATCGGATGGCAGGTTATCGAAGGAGTATCGTTTGGCAAAACATGATCCAGAACCTGCCGTGGGCATTGGCACCGGCTCTGACATTCGTGGTATATGCGTCCCAGGGACAGGCACTCGATATCACTAATGCCTTTAGTAGTCTGTCGGTGATCACTCTCCTGACGATCCCAGCCTCAAAGCTTTTAAGTGCCATTCCATCGACTGCTGCAGCTGTAGGGTGCTTTGACAGGGTTCAAGCATTTCTCTTGACTCCAATCGAACAATACAACCGGAGGATCGTGCCTGATGCTGTGAAGAATCCTCTCGTCCACACCCACCTGAGATCTGACAGTTTGGTGTCTCTGCCGTCGAGAAATTCAGATTCTGCAAACCCGTCATCTCCAGTTATTGTTATGGATAGTGTCAGTATCCGTCCGTTAATAAAAGCAAAACCTGTGCTGCAGAATATCACTTTTCAGGTCCCTCAAGGAGCACTGGTTATGGTCCAGGGACCGGTAGGATCGGGAAAGTCCACTCTGCTTCGTACTATACTCGGCCAAGCTGTGTGCGAGTCGGGTGTCGTTACAGTGGCCATTCCACGCCCTGCTTATTGCGCGCAGACGCCATGGCTCTCAGATAGCACCATACGTGATGCAATTTGCGGAGGAGCCCAGACGGGACCAGCCAAGGGGCAACCGATTGATCGCGAGTGGTACGAAGCCGTCCTGCATGCGTGTGCCCTTGCTCCAGACCTGATGCTATTGCCGAAGGGAGATGCCACGCAGATCAGCGGTGGATCGGGTCCTACGCTAAGCGGTGGTCAGATGCACCGGGTGGCTCTCGCCCGAGCAGTCTATGCCCGAAGGAAGCTTGTTCTGTTGGATGATGTGTTCAGTGCATTAGATCGGAAAACAAAAGCCGTCATCATGGAGCGTCTCTTCGGGGGGAACGGTCTCCTTCGAAGGCTTAAGTCGACTGTCATCTTAGTGATACATGAAAGTAGGCCACCATCCCATTTCCAGATGTTGTTATGTTATAACAGTGTGCCTAACATCGTGATAGCTGAATATCTCTCATACGCCGATCAGGTTTTAGTCCTGTCTGACGGCAACCTCCGACAAGAAGAAGCCCACGAACGAAAGCTTCGCCAACCGAGTTCTTTTCCTACTGCAGCAAATGAGAGGGACAATGAAGGAGAGTACAAGGAGCCCACCATCAAGGACATAGCGGCTCGGCTCTCTCAAAGAAATCAGATCAATGATTTGAAAAGGGCAACGGGTGACTTTGCTGTCTACAAGTACTACTTGCGCTATATCGGCTGGTCGAAGATTACGACTTTCCTCATCTTCGTGATTGTACATGTGGTCTGCAGCACGTATAGTCGTAAGTCAGTCTTGCTTTTTCAGAGGCCCTCAGTACAATTGACAATTGCTTGCATTCAGAAATCTGGCTGAAACGCTGGGCCAACCGCGGCGGAGGGCAAAAGCCGCTCTACGTGACTGTCTATCTCCTTCTGGCGATATTCAATACCGTCGGAATTGGCGGTTATGTTTGGTAAATGAAGTTTCGATCATCTACAATCCGGTGCTGACTGACTGGCAGGGCCATTCTTGTGCTTATCTCACCCGCAACGGCACGTAGGCTACACTATGTCGTCCTAAAGACCGTCATGAGGTACGATTACCATCGGTCTTCCTCGGGTCCTGTCTAACTGCTGATGTTTTTTTTGGTCGCAGAGCATCTCCAAGGTTCCTCGCTACTACCGATAGTGGCACAATTTTGAACAGGTTTAGTCAGGACATGACTCTGATCGAGAGTCAACTGCCTGTTGGCGTTTTGATTGCAGTTACAAGTAAGCAAAACTTTCCTAATGTTGTGACATCCGAGCATGGCGCCTTGACTATGATCACCCCACTGTTGTCTTCATCAAGAGACATACTCACTGGCATAGATCTCTTCTCCGCCGTTGCCAGCGCTGCGCTTATTGCGACAGGCTCGAGCTATATGGCAATAACCGTGCCTTTCCTCATCATTGCCGTTCTCGTTCTGCAGCATTTCTACCTCAGAACATCACGACAGATGCGACTTCTGGATCTCGAAAGTAAAAGTCCGCTATATTCGCATTTTCTTGATACCGTCAAAGGGCTTGCCACAATTCAAGCTTTTGGCTGGGAAGATGACTTCCGGACGAAGAACCTACGGCTGCTAGATAATTCCCAACGGCCACATTATCTACTATACTGCATCCAACGCTGGCTCACCCTGGCCTTGGACCTAATCGCTGCAGCGGAAGCGGTGATTCTCGTTAGCCTGGCCGTATTTCTGAGGCATTCGACTAACGTTGGACTACTGGGAGTCTCCCTTAACAACGTGCTTAGTATGTCATAGTCGGCTGCATTTTTCGGGATGATAGTACAACACTAACGTCTTATGTCGTTGAAGCATTCAATAGCAGCCTTTCTTCTTTGATATCCGGCTGGACCCAGCTGGAGATATCGCTCGGCTCTATCTCGCGCGTGAAAGACTTTGAGATGGAAGTGGCCCGCGAAGAAGAGTACCAGAAGATGGAGCCCCCTCGTGACTGGCCAGATCAGGGAGCCATTGAATTTTCGGGAGTGACAGCGCAGTACAGGTATGTATAACAGTGAACCAAGGACGCGCCACACTACAGTTTGCTGAGATTATCCTGACCAGTCCGGATGCCATTGCTCTGAAGGGCGTCTCCTTCAAGGCTTACCCGGGCCAAAAGATTGGTATCTGCGGACGCACTGGGAGGTGAGTGCCACCCCCCATATTCAAAGGGATAAGGGTTAGACATGACCTGATAATGATGAGCCAGTGGGAAGAGCTCCCTCTTATCTACGCTACTCGGCATGCTCGACATCACCAGCGGATCTGTTGTCATCGACAACATTGATCTCGCCGCCATTCCCCGTGAGACGGTTCGAGAGCAAGTAATCACCATTCCCCAGGACCCATTACTCCTAGTAGGCTGCACCGTGAGACTCAACGTAGACCCAGCCGGGCAGCTCTCCGATGCCGATCTGATTGCTGCCTTGGACCGAGTCGGGCTCTGGACAGACGTACTTGAAGCGAGAGGCGGACTCGACGCGGAGATCAAAGACGCCCTCTCGTTATCGCGGGGTCAGCAGCAGCTTCTGGAGCTTGCCCGTGCCATGCTGAAGCTCCACGTAAGCCACTCCAAGATTGTCCTTCTGGATGAAGCAACCAGTGGCGTTGATGTGGAAACAGATGCCCGGATGCAGGATATTCTGCGACAGGCGCCGTTCAACTCATGCACAATCCTGACCGTGGCCCATCGTGTCTCCACGATCCGGGATTCGGATCTGGTGATTGTTCTGGATAAGGGAAGGGTAGTGGAAATGGGTAAACCTGGGGTTCTTGCTGGTCAGAACGGGAGTAATTTCGCCAGTCTTTTGAATATCTAGTAGTCACTCGTCGTGAATGAATGAAGTCTCCACCTTTTTTTGAGACCGTCTGGGCTAGATAGGGAAGGTGCGGATGCCGGCCTTGAATACCCCGCCACCAGTCCATCTTATATTACACAGTACTGTGTATTGAATTAACTTCGGGAAGGAGGACATAGTGTAGCTGCCCGGCACAATACTACTATAGAGTAACGCACTGGATGCAGGCTATTGATGCAAGTGAGAAGATCGCGGATGCTGATTGGTGGTCGGAGGGGGCAGGGCATCATGTGATGGTCTGGCATCTGACAGGCACACGTGCTTTTGGCCTGGTGCCCCTTTTGTGTGCCGGTCGGTGGAGCAGACCGGTTATCATATCACATATGGGATGGAGGGTGATGAATGAAGGAATGAATATTTTACTCGATGCCATCGAGTCAGCGGGCCCGGCGATTAGATAGGGCCCCGGCCACTAGTACCCAGTAGGGTCACTAGGGTGCGATGCGTCGCTGTGACTCGCTGGGAATGGCTGGGCAGTTCTGGGGCAGCCGCCAGCTCGGAAGGATTGCGGAGGGCCAGTCAGTGGACTGTGGAGACGCAGAGTAACCCAACTGATAAGTAACGTTGACGCTTACTCGACCCAATCGAGCAATGGAAAAGGATTGCTATGCAGTATCTACCTACCTATCGCCATGCCAGCCCATTCGGCGCACCCGACCAGCGGCCCAGGGAGGGCGATAAGGCCATCCTTAGGTGGCGTGGGCCAGGTCGATCCCGGCTCGCTTGACCAATTTTCTTATCTTTATCTTGCGTAAGGGCTGGTTAATGCTTCCCCCCCTCCGGTCTCATCCTGGCGTACCGCCATATCACTGAGCCAGATTCCTGATGGAACCGTTCCATATCTGGCCCGTCGAGGCCGCTGATTGGCCCGCGCCAGGACGATGACGCTGATAGTGCCTTCCGATTTACTGTATATCCCAGACGAGTTTTTGTTTATATCCCATCGTGTGTCCGGCTGCAGTGTGTTACTTGTCTTCCCCATCGCTTTCTCTGTGTCCAACGCTGGTGGTTCCCTTGCCCTCCACTGCAATATACCTATCGGTACCCCCTACAACCTCTACATATCGTCGTCTGTGTCTCAGTCGCTTCTGATCCCCATTCCGACTTCATCTTTCTTCGTCCTTCAGGCCCGAGATGCCTCGAATTCGAGAATGGATCGAGAAGCTCGAGGTCCCAACAGAACCCGGGTTGACCACCACCCAGTTGATGTTGACGAACCGTGACTTGCGGCCAGGTGAGATCATGAAACTGGCCGGCGGATCACCATGAGACGTCCTGTGCTTGTTCAGCCGGATTCAACAAGGACCTGCAAAGCTGACCGTGTGCAAATCTTGGCTGTTGCCCTCTGCAGTTGAATACGAGCGTCGTCAATGGAGATGGTTCAACTTTGTTGCCTTCTGGATCGCAGACTCGTTGAATATTGTAAGTGTCTCGCGCGAGATCAAGCTGTCGCCAGCAGGTGGAGAGGGGCTAACAGTGTCTCGCCACACTAGAACACATGGATGATCTCATCCTCGATGATTGTCGATGGTCTGTCCTGGTGGCAGGCATGGATCTGCGTCTGGGTTGGATATTTCATTGCCGCTTGCTTTGTCTGCCTGACCGGTCGCATCGGTGCCGTCTATCACATTTCGTTCCCGGTCGCATGCCGATCTACCTTTGGCATATGGGGTTCGTTCTGGCCCGTCTTCAACCGGGCGGCCATGGCAGTTGTCTGGTATGGCGTTCAGGGTTATATTGGAGGTGAGTCTTCCCGGGCGGTTCACCATACAGTGGCTGCCTTTCGTCGGAGCAAAGTTGACGCCCAGAGCAGGCGAGTGTGTGACCTTGATGATCCAATCCATATGGCCAAGTTATAAGAACCTGCCCAACCATATTCCTGCAAGCTCCGGAGTCACCAGCAAGGACTTTCTGAGCTTCTTCCTTTTCTGGCTCTTCTCGCTGCCTGCCCTCTGGTTCCCGGTCCACAAGATCAGGCATCTCTTTACCGTCAAAGCGATCTACTCCCCCATCGCTGCCATCGCCTTCTTTGCCTGGGCCATTTCCCGTGCCAATGGAATCGGCCCGATCGTCCATCAACCCGCCACCGTACATGGAAGCGCCCTGGCTTGGGCTGTCATCAAGTCCATCATGAGCTGTCTCGGCAACTTTGCGACCCTGATTGTGAATGACCCCGACTTTTCGAGGTTCTCCCGAACGCCCAAGGAAGCGCTATGGTCGCAGCTGCTCACGATCCCCATCGGGTTCGGCATCACGTCCTTCATCGGCATCATTGTTTCGTCATCGTCAGCAGTCATCTTCGGCGGTGACTTTGTGTGGAACCCATTGACTCTTTTGGGGCAGTTTTTGGACGGGGCCAGCTCGGCCGAGCGTTTCGGAATCTTCATTATCTCGACTGGCTTTGCTCTGGCCCAGTTGGGCACGAACATCTCCGCCAACTCGGTCTCTGCGGGTACCGATATGACGGCCTTGTTGCCTCGGTACCTCACCATCCGACGGGGTAGTTATATCTGCGCCGCGGTTGGTCTCTGCATGTGTCCGGTATGAATTCGGTTCTGGTCATATCTATGAGCAAAGGAAAACTGACGGCTTTTAGTGGAAACTTTCATCCTCATCCAATCAGTTTACCACCTATCTTTCGGCCTATTCCATCTTCCTCTCGTCGATCGCTGGGCCCATGGTTTCGGACTATTACCTCGTCCGGAAAGGCTACCTACGCGTGAAGGATCTGTACAGTGCCCGGAGTGACTCGGCGTACCGCTACATGTTTGGCTTCTCCTGGCACGCATACGCTTCGTACCTCTCAGGCATTATCATCAACATTGTCGGGTTTGCCGGCGCCGTTGGACGAAGCGTGCCGGTGGGAGCCCAGTACATCTACAACATCAACTACTTCTCCGGGTTCCTCGTCTCATTCGTGATGTATTGGGCGCTGACGAAGCTGTTTCCCATCCCTGCCACCAGCAACAAGTGGCACGAGGTCGACCCCGATGTCAACGAAGACCGCCTGTCCATTGCGGATGGTCAGGAGGTGTGTCCGGAAGATGATCACCCGACAGGCAAGCCGCTAGACCTTGAAGCTCCTGTTGACCAGAAGCATCCCAAGTCCACGGAATCGTCGGTGGTATGAACGAGGCATGACTTTCCTTCTTTGTTGATATTGTATTCTAATGACTGAACGTTTACTTGCCTACGGCTAAATATTAATACCGTCCTATGAACGAGGCATGACTTTTATTCTTTGTTGATATTGTATTCTAATGGCTGAACGTTTACTTGTCTACGGCTACACATTAATACCGTGCTATGATCATAGTGTATCGCTATCCGGGAACTCGGTTTCTGCACATCATATTATTGTATTCTCCGCAGTGCCAGTAAACTTCGTAATGGGATCATGTTAGTCCAATGGTCCATACATTGATTAAGCACATATATATTCATCACTATATTCATCGCCACAAAACATGCCTAGGCAATTACCGAGTAGTATATCCACCATTGGCAAAGATAGTCTGGCCAGTGATCCAGCCGCCCTCGGTGCACAAGAAGCGAATGAGAGGAGCAATATCTTGCACCATCGTCAATCGACCATCCATGCCATTGGACTTGTGGAACTCGACCGCCTCGGGCGACTCTTGGGGGTAGAAGAAGGCTAGAAAGAAACAGATTGTTAGACATATAATCATAAACCACCAGGCTACTAGATGAGTTAACATACGAGTATCCATAGGACCGGGAGCGACATTATTCACGCTTACGCGACGGGACTGGAGCTCCTTGCAGACGCCACTGCTATCCGCATTAGTTGATGTTCCCGGGAACATGTCATTTCGGAAGCCAAACATACCGAGTGAAATGCTCCACGGGAGCCTTACTTCCCGCATAAGAAGTATAGAAGCCCGTGAAGGCGCCCAACAATGCTGTCACCACTGTGATGATCTTTCCTCCGTCCGTGACATGGATAGCAGCTTCTTTGAGAATGAAGAAAGCGGTTTTGGAGTTGATACTGTTTATCATCCACCATAGTGAGTAATTGTTGTTTATATGGCGAGATACTTATATTGAAGAGCAAGGGGGTAGAGGTATACATACGCAAACATAGTATCATACTCCTCCTCAGTGATCTCCGAAATAGGCTTCTTGAGCACCTTGCCCACCGTGTTCACCACGATATCGATGTGTCCGAAGTCCTGCTTGACGGATTGGAAGAGCTGTGTCACGGCTGCAGCGGAGGTTAGGTCGCCCTGGTAAGAGGCGACTTTGATGGAGGGGTAGTTTTGTTGCAGCTCGGAGATCAGCGCGGAGGCATCGGGTTTGCTGCTGGTGGAGTGGTAGTGGAGGGCGAGGCTGGCGCCGAGGGAGGCGAGTTCGCGGGCGGTTTCGGCGCCAAGGTTCTTGACGCCGCCGGTGATGAGGGCGACTTTGTTGGTGAGAGCCATTGTGGGTTATGTAGATGTGGATGTATCGAGTGAGAGAGGTTTGGGGATTGAGTAGTTAGGAGTGGTAGTATGGTAGGTACATATATTTGGTAGACGATGAGTAGAGAGGAAGGGGAATTGGGATTGAATAGTAGTAGCTGGAGGGGCTGGAGGACATCTTTATAAGGTTGTGTCCGCGGCCACATCTCGCATTCGGGGCCAGATTGAATCATGGTTGTCGGTGGTGGAGGGCCTTGGATGGGTACGATGTCCGGAGTAGTTCGTCTCTTTGTCTGCGATTTGGAGCTTGGACGGTCGATCTGGATCGCATCGGGGTTAGTATGCGATATCCCGATCGGGCAGGTGGGGGAGGTTGCAGTGGCCCCACTGGTCGGTTCCACGGTTGGTCCTGCCGATTGGGGAAGTCACTGTATAGGAAGTTGTACATAGTTACAGACACATTCGAGGTCAAGTGGGCAGACTGATAGATTGTATACATTACATCAGCTACTAGTCCGCTCGCCATCATCATACGGTAACAACTCAACCACCACCAATTACCAACATTAAAACACTATCGTTGTCTCTGTTGCTATCCTCACTGTACTGCACAATCGCCGCCACCCCCATCACGAGGCACCCAAAAAATGCCCTGGATTAGGATCCGGCAGTGGCTGTCCCGGCACAAAAGTCGCATTGGGGAAGTACAACATCGACCCGTGCAGAAATGCCGCGTTGCGATCAATCCACACCACAATTCGACGCAGCAGGCCGTTCAACCCGAGCGACGATAGACCACCTCGAAGATCAACAGCACGAAGGAGGCCTTGCATATGCACCCCGAAGTCATTCATGCTCCCAAACATAGCTTCATAGCTGGCCATTTTGGCGATGGCGCCCACAAGCGCATCATCCAAGCCGCCCTGCTGTTCGCCCAGGGCTTTGTTGACGGCTCGGACGGCCTCGCATCGAAGACTGAGCAAGTTCAGCTTGATCTCGGGAGATTGAGGGTTCACAGATGCATGGTGGGATGCTGCGAGCAGCATGATAACCAGGAATAGCGCAGGCTCAGTCATCACGAGCGGAAACCAACTGGTTCGGAGTAGACCACGGTTGCCAGGCTGGTCGAGTTCGGGAATGTCAACGGCCATGCTCACCAGGTCTTGTCACGTTGAAACAGGTTAGCCAGCTTCACTCCTAGCTCACATGATTACCGTCACTTACAATGATCTACCAGTCGCGGAACAAGCGGTCTCCAGGCAATTGGATATGAGCGGAATGGGTCAACCCGCAGCCCTCCCAGAGGAGGAGGTATTGGGATTGACATGATGGTTGTGCCTCCGGCACCTCGCCTCCCATCCGAAACTGTGGACTGGACATTGAACCGCTTTTGCAGTGTTACACAGTTCAAATCTCCGCAGATGGGTAAGGCTCCCTCTCTCTTCCTTTTGGCGATGGCTGCCGAACGATTCTCAGCATGCTGCCGCCATTGGTGACGGGCCAAGTGCGATCGGATCTCGGGTTCCTTGGCGAGCTGGAGCGCGTCCTGAGGCACCTTCACATTGATGAAGACAAAGTCCATCCCGATCCAGCTTTGGCTAGGCTCTATCGAATCGATCAATCTTTTGAGACCTTATTGGCAACTGGAGAAGAGAAAGCTCTACCGTGGAAGATGGGCTTCACCGCATCTCGACTCGCTCGTTATCCTCGATTTAGGGGGGTTGCGTTAAGCCCACCGGATTGGACACCGCACAAGACAATCCCTGCATTCAACACGAAGATCAACGGATCTTTCAGACACTCCAACTGACCCGTCGCTTTTCAATGATTTTGACTGAGTACTTCCAGGAGCGGGAAGAAAAGACGCGACTGTCGAACGCAAATAGGCCTCAAAACCCAGCGTTTCCACGACTGGCAATAACTTCTCTAAGCCAATCATGTTATCGATTAGTCATGTCCACTCAAGTGGTTCGGGCGCCCGACGGACGCGAGTATCACGTCTGGACTCGAGGAAATAATGGTGGCCTTGCGTGTGTACCATGGGCAGGAGTCAGTGTGCCTCGTATATCTATGAGCATTCGATCCCTAGACGACTCGTATCGTGTCGGCGGATCGATAAGCTTGACGCCCAGTCCCCACTGCTAGGGAAGTGAGCGAAATCCACCCGGGCTGTTGCACCAGGCAGACTGATATCAACGTCCGTCGCAACTTCGACAACCACAGGGCCGGGGATCTCAACAAAATCCTAGGGATCGCGTGACACGCACGGTGGGGTCTCCCGCTCTCTCGTCCTCGTCCTCGTCCTCGTCTTCTTCGTCTTCACCTCCCATCTACTGCTCCTCCTTCCAAGTCCTCCCGCTGCCTTATTACCAGGCATTCGTTGCATCACAAACCCACCATGAAAGGAACAGACTAATCGAATGAACACCCTACGGAGTACCATGGCCTCTCTTATCCCCATCCTCGCCCAGCTTGCAGTGGCCAGCCTTGTCATCCGGGTGGCTTATCTTTGCTATTTCCATCCTCTGGCACGCTATCCAGGGCCCTTTTGGGCCCGCTTTACGAACCTGTGGTTCGTCCTGACCCACCCGTACCCCTAAAAGTCGATCCTAGAAGCCCTTGCACTAACTAATCCATCCCCAAGGCGCTTCTTCACCTTCCTTGGCGGTCACCACCATCTTTCGGAACAGCAGTTGCATGAGAAATATGGCCGCGTAGTCCGTGTCGCCCCAGATTGGCTCTCCTTTTCAAGTTTGGAGGATTTTGATGCCATCTATGGATTCAACAAGTCCATTGAGAAGGGAGATTTTTTCACCTTTGGACGAGGTTCCAGTCAATGTGAAGCGAGTATCTTCTCCACCAAATCGAACTCCCTCCATCGTCAGAAGAAAAGGAAGGTTTTTGGACCTGCCCTATCAAGTGCCAAGGTAGGGAAATATGAATCTGTTATTACCAAGCATGTAGCAGTCTTGCTGGCACGGTTGGAGTCGTCGCGACGTCCAGCGAATGACAGAATTGCTGCTGTAAATGTGGCCCCTTTGATGTCTCAATTCACTTTGGACACGATGCTGGAGGTCTTGTTTGGCCCGGCTGTAGCATCACACCCATATACTGATAGTGCCGTGGCCGGTGACATCTGCTCGCAGCTTCGCAAAATGACCAAGATGGCATGGAGCTTTTCTCTTTGGCCCTTCTATGGGTGGGTCATGAACAGTCGACCCGTCAGTGCCTTTCTTCGCAGGCCCTTTTACCAGAAAAAGGGGGTGCCAACCGGAATGGCTGGCCTCATGGCCGCGGGCCATATCTCCATCACGCGGAATCCAGAAAGCATCGCCCGGGCTCCGCAACCCGGTATTGTGAAAAGTTGGCTGGAAGTTCCTGTCGACGACGCAAATCGTATGACACAGGGCGAAGTCCTGGCAGAGGCTATGAATATGGTTTTCGCCGGCCCTGGGAGCATGGCGGCCGCTCTCACGGCCATAGTCTACCAGTTGGGATTAGAAGAAGGGTAATTCTGGCAAGAAAAGCTTCGCAAGGAGGCGGTGTTCTTTGGAGGCAACACTATGGCTGCTTCTATCCCGCTCGAGCTGCAAGCCGTGATAAAGGAGACAATGCGCTTGCGCGCAGTATTCCCCACTGCATTTCCTCGGGTGATCAAGCCTGGCGCTGAAAGAGTCATTCCCAGCCTGTCGAGTCCGCTACCGGTCGGCACCACGGTGTCGGCGAATACGTACGTCCTGGGTCGGTCGCGCGAGCTCTGGGGGGATGATGTCGACGAATGGACCCCACAGCGATGGCTTGGAGATGATGAACACCGACGGCAGATGGAAACCAAGTTCATTGCGTTTAGCAGAGGTCCCCGTGGCTGCATCGGAAGGGATCTGGCCATGCTCGTCATAGCAAAAGCGGTGATGGCGCTCCTCCAGCAATGGCAAATCCGAAGCGTAGGACAATTGGAAGGTCGAAGCTGGCTGGAAATGCAGTACGACGACTGTTGGCTCGAACTCGAGCGGAGAATCCCGGCGTGGTGAGCGATGAGGTGGCCCCGGTCGGGGTCCCGTTTGGGGGGGGAGAGGGTCGGGCACCCATTTGGGAGGCCGTCATTTGCTATAGTTCAGAAAATCGCCTCCAGATGCCTCTGTAGACGCCTAGATGGAAGGCACAGCCCGGAGAGTGGATTTGGAAGGGGGGAGGGTCATCGTTTCCCTCATTTCCCCTCTTCTTACTCAGGCAGTCGCCGCCACGAACGATTCTGGATCCGGCAAGGATGACCCAGGGAGGGTCTTTCCTACAATCTATATCAAGGCCCTCCTTTCCCCGGCCTTGGGGAAGCGTTGTTGTTTGCTGTTCCATACCCTTGGATGACTAATCCATCTCAGATCCTCGCCCTCTTCTTCCTCTTCTGGCTTGTTCGTCCCTCGTTTTAGATCCCATCCCCACTCTTCCTTCATCTTTCAGTCCCCCACCCCCCACACGATCTGGACGAAGGAAGAAAAAAAAAAGAAAAAGAAAAAGCCAGCGACATGTTGTCCGGCGGAGCTCTTCCTCAAACCCTTGGTTCAATCACCGCAACCAAGATCAAGGAATTCGCGAAACAACGAGCCCTGTTCGAGGAGCAGAGAGTGGAAATCGTCAAAGCGGCCGAGGATGCCCCCAGTCTCCGCTCCAAGGCCCAGATCCTCCTGGAAGGTGTGACCAAACTCAAAGGTTTCCCCAACGATGCACTGGATCAGGACGATCTAAGCATCGACAATTCGGCCGATGAGGACTCCACGATTATGGATTGTACCGACCGCGCTACTCACGCCAATATTCGCCGCTTTCTTCTGCAGAGCAAGTATGATCCGTCGGTCTCGGATCGCAGTTTGAAAGGTTGGATTGCCCAGCTCGAGGAGGAGCTCCGGTACCTCGAGCTAAGGCACAAACATGCCGACTTCTATAGCAATCTAGTCACGGAATGGCTGGCTGATTTCGAAGGAGGGGCTGCTTCCTCCGCTACATTGGACGAGGATGGGCCCCAAGATATGGAGTTCGAGAAGGGTGGAAGCGCAGAAATGCAGGAGCAGCGAGCCACCTGGGAATCCTTGGTTTTCAAGGAGGAAGATGTAGATGCTGATGCCATTCGAGCCTACCTTGACGGTCTTTTCAAAGCGACAACCCCCTCAGAAGAAGCACTGAAGGAACTGCGAGAGAAAACCCGGACGTTCGGGAATGACCTTGCATCGAAGAAAACTTGGTTCAAAGTGAGCGACCTCGAGTGGGTGTCGGACTCATTGCTGAAGTCGGACCTGCTCACAAAAGAGAAGACGGCCGTCTTGAAGGAGTTCATGCGCAACCCCGCCGTCGCCCAGGAGGTGGCGGATGTTCTCAATATGCGTCTTTCGTCTCTGGACAACTGGGACTGGCCCGCAGAAGGTATCCCAGTGGAGATGCGCCGTCAGCTGAATGGCAAATTCCGGGTATATATGGACGAGGATCTGCTGGATAGTCTCATGCTTGAGTACCTGGGGGTCAAATGGTCCGTGACCCTTCAGTCTGCTTTCAGCTCGTTCCTTCATACGCCGGCATGGAAGTTCCTGCGCGAACGGATCTCCAGACCCGAGATGTCTCGTCGGTCTCGTTTTACTGCGGAGGAGAACCCCCGCGGTGGGATAAAGTGCGTCAACGATCATCGAAAGGATACGTACATCCGAGACTACTTCATGACCCTCCTCCCTTGCTCCGTGAACGAGGGCATGCGCTCTTATGATGATGACGATGAGACGCCTGATACCACGAAGAAAAACCCGTTAGCCACGAAGCACTCGCTCCTACATCTCTTGATCACCGAGTCTTTGGTTTACACCTCGTTGCATGGCCAATTCACCGCTCTCCGGTCGGACTTCGAGTGGTTTGGGCCGTCTCTCGCGCACACCACGATCCTCACCGTGTTGGACTACTTTGGGGTCCCGCAAACCTGGCTAGACTTTTTCGACACGTTCCTGAAAACCCCCATAACATTCAGACAAGACGGATCGGCAGCCCCCCAGCAGGTTCGGAAACGAGGCGTTCCCATGAGCCATGCCCTCTCAAGTTGTTTTGGAGAGGCCGTCCTGTTCTGCATGGATTTTGCAGTCAACCAAGGCACAGATGGCGCGTATCTCTATCGGCTGCACGACGACTTTTGGTTCTGGGGTCACGAAGAGACCTGTGTCAAAGCCTGGACTACAACGACGGAGTTTACAAAGGTTATGGGCCTCAGGCTAAACGGGCAAAAGACGGGAACAGTGCGGCTGGGCAAAGGTGCGAAAACCCATGAGGGTCAACCCGACCCCCTGCCGAAAGGCGATATCCGTTGGGGATTCCTGAAGCTGGATCCTGTGGTAGGTCAATTCATCATTGACCAAGACTATGTCGATAGCCACATTTCGGAGTTGCAGCGTCAGCTCGCATCCTGCAAGAGCGTCTTCTCGTGGGTGCAGGCCTGGAACGGTTATTTTGGGCGGTTCTTTGCCAACTACTTCGCCAAGCCAGCCATGTGTTTTGGGCGAGACCATATCGATATGGCTGTCTCTACGTTGACTCGCATTGAACGCACTTTGTTTCCTAACAGCTCCAGTGGGGTGACCGATCACCTGCGCAAGGTCATCGCGGATCGATTTGGGGTCGACGACCTGCCGGAAGGGTTCTTCTACTTTCCGGTGGAGTTTGGCGGGCTGGAGCTCCTCAACCCGTATATCCCTTTCCTCGCCATGCGAGAGAATATCCGATCAACCCCACGGAGTCGACTACAGAAGGCCTTTTCACAACATGAAGTAGAATACCACGCTGCCATGCAACGATTCGAGGAAGGCGGTCTCTCTGAGCCCGCTGGTACAGACGACGACATGGCCCATCTTTCTTTGGAGGAATACACCCGGTACTCAGAGACCTACAGCCGTCCACTTTTAGCTGCGTACCAGGATCTGACCCGTGTCCCGGAGGAGATCCATGTCAACCAGACCGTGGAGCTGCGCCGCCACCAGATGTCCCTGGATGAGACTGTCGCCAACGAGACAGCAGCGCGCAAAGCGATCTCGAACGAGTGGTACAGCATGACGGCGTATTGGCAGTGGACAGCAGAGTTGTACCAGGGAGAAATGGTGAAGACCTACGGAAATTTGGCAGCGGTGAATAGGGAATCTATGCCTCTGGGAGTAATTAAGACACTGAAGGAAGGCAAGTTTAGATGGCAGGGCTGATCAGAAGGCGATAACTCGCTTGTATATTTTCTTGTGTTCTTTATTAGAAAGGTTTCTGTCCCGAAAAGCAATGATCATGATTTATCTCCAGCGATCACTGGCCATACTTGGTCTCAAAGGCATCTAGCAGCCGTCGCAAACGTTCCTTCTCTGCTTCGCCCCCAAATATCACCTCGTAGGATTTCCTGCAGATGCTCAGCACATCGGCCCGGCTGAGCTGGAAGTGCTCTGCAGCCAACAGATATTCGTTCGACACGGGGCTGCAAAAGAAACCCACGTCATCGGTCTGCACACCATCAGTAAACGTAGATCACTCCGGACAGACTCTCCAAGAGGATAGAGGGATAAGAGCAAGAAGAAGAGACAAAAACTCACACAAAGCACAACCGGACACTCCTGAAACCTCCAATACCCAAAGTGATGATCCAGAAACCCACCATCAAACATCTTCGCATGCACATTGCACGACATGCACAGTTCCAATCCCAACCTTCTCCTCGCAATCTCCCCCTTCAGCTCCTCCGGGACATGAATGACATGTCCCAACCGGTCCGGCTCAAACTCCAACAACGTCTCTAACTCCCCGGGTGTCGCTACCTCTGCCATCTCTGCGAAGTGAACCGTCACACCTAGTCTATTTGCCTTGGCTTTTGCGAACGCGGTCCGGAGGATGGAGACGTCGCCTTTTGTTGGATTCCCGCAAACGTCGATTCCTACGATGCCGCGTGCGCGGTAGGCGATTGCCAGGTCTACGATTTCTAGGGCTGAGGCTTGGGTGCTGTGGCCGCGGTCTAGGGCTAGGATTAAGTTTATGGTCATTTTTTGGGGGGACGATTGGGTGGATTGGAAGTGCGAGATGGTGTCGAGGACCGTGGTGAGGTACTCTTCCCTCGTGAAGATGCAGGATGGGGAGGCGCGGGGGATGGTTCGGAGTTCGAGGTAGGTGACGCCGTCATTTTGAAAGTCGGTAAGCACAGAGAGTGTGGCATGGGTGAGGCTGGGGAGGTCGTTGACTAGATGGTAGATCGATTTGTTGAAGGATTGGAAAAAGCTAAATCGGGTGTTAGTGGGAATCCTGGTGTAAAGTTATCTAGGGCTACCTACGTCTGCAGAGAGTAGTCCACTTTCCCTGGGGGCATGGATACAAATGGATCCTCGACGCTGAAAGTCGGATCCTGGGCTTTCTTCTTTACCCATATTTCATGCAGACATTGCCGGCTGATGCTGCCACTGAGGTGGGCGTGGAGCTAGGGGTGGGGTGTGTTAGCGACTGAGATTCTTTCTTTCTCACTTTCTCGTCTTGGCTTTGGGGAAGAGTGGGTAATGGATGGGTAGAGGGCTGACTTGATGATGGGTTCTTAGATGGATGGATGGATGGATGGATGTACTGACCTCGATCTTGGGGAGGGCTTTGGTAAAAGCGGGGTCGGCTGGCTTAGAGAGGTCCATGATGGGTCTCATTCAGGGGTCGAGGGAGCCCCGTCTTCGGAGCTGTAGATGTAGAGTCTAGAAGATTGTCTATGGAGATGATTCTGGTCGATGGAATTTGACGGCAGATGCGAAGGAGGAGAAGGGAAAGTGCGATGGCGGCGGCGATGCGTTGTCGGGGAAGGAGCAGGTGACTTTGCTAGTACGTTGCTTGTTGGCCAGCGCGTCCAACTCTACGATGACCGTTCGGCATACCTTTTTACATTTTTGAAGCCATGGTCGTCCGCCTGGATAGCTGACTTGGTTGATTTCAGTAGGTGAGTACTACATTCCTTGGTGACAGCCAGCTGATTGGTACGTACTTAGTCCACATATGTTTCGGGGCCAGGATCGAGGGGCCCGACGGTGGCACATGATGCGAAATCGCCCCAGCCCATTGCAAAGGGCTCAATACAGGATATCGAGCCATGTTCCAGACCCTCAATGCATACAAGCTCCACATGGTGCTAGAGCCTCAGATTAAAACACGGCATATAAATGAGATTTAAGATCCCACGCACAAGCCGCTCTCCCGAGACCGAGCGCTTCCGGCACAGGTCTCTGACGTGTCGTGACACCTTCCACACATCTACCGCATGGGAACAAGCCGGCGAGGAGGATGAGGAATGAGAAGGCGTATGTGCGAGGCTGTTGGTTCGGGTTTAAGTTGCGTTTGGGTCATGGGAGTCGCGGGCGAGCCGTGTGATTCCGTTATCTACGAAGGTGTCTCGTATCCATCGTGATTGACTAGTGCCATCCAAACGCGCCGCAATCAGCCGACGATCAGACGTGCTCCGCGCGGAGGGTACATTCATTGGGCTTGGTGGAGTTCCTGCTTCAACCTCATGGCAAACATCATGAACCTCCAAGGAGATCAGGTCGTGGTGATATCAGCACGCAATTGGTCATGCGATTCCGCTAGTATTTGTCGCCCAACTGCCGTGCGCTAATTTCGTTATCAATGCTCTAACCCACCAGATCCAATGACAGCATATCAAATCGAGTCATAAGTGCGGTTGGCTGTTGCGTGGTCGTATGAGGCGTTGACGTGTTGCTTGCAAAGGCCGCATAGACGTAATACACGGGGACTTTAGCATCATAAGGCCGAGCTTACCGGGTCATATCGGCAATATCGCGACAAGCGGCACATATCTAGATGCTACCGATGTGAAAACATATACGATTCACCCCCGCAGCCTAGTTTCGTGTATATTGACCTGCTGCGATTCCGGAGAACGGCTCCTAATTCAAGTGGAGATCCGCAGCAAATGAGGAGTCTGGGAACCAGGCCGGCCCCAAAGAGCGCGCGTTGAATGGGGACAAAACAACCGGTTCTGAATCGATGATTTCTGAAAACAAGGCCAGAGGGGTTAGATCTAGAGGAAAAGAAGCCGAGTAGCAAGGCGGTCCATCTGCACTCCAGACGGCATGGGCTTCGGCTTACTGTCCCGATGCTGACCTCTATCTCCGGCATTTGGTGATTGTGCTCAAAGAGGGAATGCCATAGTTGAGGGTGACACGTGTCGAGAAACAGTGTCTTACGCCAAAGTGACTGCTGATGGCTAGGCATTTGCCGACGTAGTAAGGTCGGGCTACCTGCAGATGTAACGTCCAGTGAATTAGACGGTTCTGTGGCACGCAATCAATGCAGTAGCACAGGGCCAACCGAAGTCCAATCTGATAACGGCAAGGGCGACAACACCGTTCTACCAGCGAGTTCTTATTGGAGTCGCAGCATATGCTGGATTGGGAATCGTCCCACATAGGGCCTTCATGGGTTGTTCACTTGACTGGACCACGGTAGGCTGAAACGGAAAACCTGCGAAACGGAATTAACCGGCGTCGCGAACATTAGTACTGTCGGTAGTGGTACGGAGTAGTATCACCCCTACCATAGACCCGCAGCTCCATTTCCACTATGTCACGGTCTTTGTACCGTCTGGCCCGATTCTCGAAGGATTCTCGAACCCAGGGACGAAATCACCAGCCCAATAGAAATTATTGATCGTGGGTATGGGAATGCCACCATTTATTTTTAGATGATCCAGCTTGGAGCCAGGGAATAAAGATGATGGTGGAACGGGATGGAATCCGGCCTTGGTTGGTAACGAGTCAACACGCTTCAGCCCTTAGGCTGCTAGGCAACCCTTAGTGTATCGCTATCCGAGAGAAGTGTGCATGCACGAGAAATAACGTCACTCGTGGTCATGTCGGCTGTTCCAGCATTGCACCCCTTGTCCCGGTCTGATAAACACGGCAAAATAATTATGTCATGAGTATCTAAGTCTCGTCAAGGTGATTTTGTTGATACCCGAGCAAAGGCTCTGTCTGAGATGATGGGGTCTCGATTTTGGAAGGGATACCGGAATGTCACAAACCGTAACAGGCTAACAGCACCTTGCAACCCGTCGGATGTCAGACAGGCCTCATACTTCTACCGAAGAAGTCTTAATTCATTGCGGGGGCAGTAAGGGGATTTCCCACCCCACCCCAATGTTTGCATGGCCTGAATGAGCTTTATGCTCAAGGCCCGACAAGGTTGGAGCCGGAGGCAAGTTACGGTTGTGAAGTCCGCCGTGCTCTCTGCCTTCCTTCCATCTCACTGTACGTATTGCCACTGCAGTGGGCCGAAGCGGCCGAATTCATAGTAGCCTCGATTTAGAGCCAGGGACCTGGGGCCAGGGTCCCCATTAGCACGATGCAAGAGCTATTTCTGCCCCGTCCCCCGCTTGGCCCGGATGTTTAAGGGACGCAGGCTGCCAGGCATAGATCCTGTCCATTTAAATCGAATGCGCCAAGTCGACATGTCTCAGAATGGAATCCTACCCCTGCAAGAAGTGTCTCTGAATAGTGTCACAGGTCTCGGAATTCGTGGGAAAGTACCCAGCCGATAGGCTGAGAAGCGAACGATGGGGAGCTGATCGAGAGGGGTCCTGCCCATCAAGACGGTCAACAGGGCCATATCCTAATGCGGTGCCGACATGGCGGGAGATCGAAGTAGGGGGCAGGAGGCAGAGGGAAAGAAACCAAACTATTGGTGATCACGAGGCTTCATAATCGATAATGAATAGACTATGGAAATGACAACAGCCAGAGGGCGCTTGCCCGTGCGTACTGCATTGTTAATAGGAAGGAATCATTCGGCTATCAGCAAGCCACAACACGTTGTCTGGCTGGCTGGCTGATAGGCAAGACTGTCCATAACAAAACCGGATCACGGCATTGTTGGGATCAAGACCAAGGCGCTGACCGAATGACACCCTGCAGCATGTGCCGTGCGACCGTGGATTGGAGAAACCGAAGAAGGTTGAAGCATCGAAGACGCATCGAAGGAACAGGCTCGACGAGGCTCCGCTGAGACGGCCTTTACGCTTTGCCTCAGGCATTGGCTCTTCCGGAGTGGTGCATACATTCCCCCCCTCCTCTTCCCCCACCACCCCCTATCATATCATCAACTATTACTCTAGTAGCCTTGCCCCAACAACCTCAATACTTAGGCTGCAGGGTGCACGGGGCATGCAGCATCGTTCTACGGGGGTGTTCTGTGGCAGGCGACAGATCTATTAGGTTTAGAGTTTCAGGGAAGAAAAAGAAACGAGGAAGAAGAAGGATTAAGGTACGGCAAGACTCAGTATGCCAAAGTCAAAACCTATAAGGTACTGGGGGTTGTTACTAAGGTTGGTGTTGTGTGTGACGTGGTACGGTATAAGTATGTAATCATTGGGACGGGTATTTTTTTACTGGCTATCTGTAATTCCAATACACCCTCCTCGTAAAAATAACCCTGGGACATCATTACAGCTATCCTGGAAGACCCCGGTACAGGGGGCGCAACGTTCCATCCAGTTGGGAACGGCTCCCTCGGCCATCTCTATTACTTGAAGTCTAGTGATCATGGTTGCCCACTTAGATCCTGCACCCGGCCACAGCAACCGGAAACCTACCAGAGCCTGCTCCAGGGTGATATGGATCGCCTTTGAGAATCAACTGCTTTCTTTCAAGTCATGTAGTGGCTCTTTCTTCTTATCATGATTATAATTAGGAGATCCAACCTTCCTATGACTCATTTGTAAAGAATAAGAGGAAGGGGGCCAGTAAAAGAGAGTCAAGGACAAAAGTATGATGAGAACAAGGGCGCTCCAGTCTGACGATATGGATCGCAGGCTGTGGGACAAGCCCTTCCCAGAAATGGAGTAGGGCAGCCGCCCAATACACTAAAACAGTGTTAGTAATCTATGGCATCAATCACTCACTACTAGATAGTTACTGGGTATGATACACACAAATAAAATTACCGATAACAAACCCAAACCCCGTGACATCCTAATACTTACACGTAGAAATAAATCACATTGGTGAGCATGATAAGCCATCGAAATCCCCAGTTAACTCGCTGTGTCTTACTCTTTTGTTTGTCTAATACTCACTGTCTCCCGCTTTTATTTTCCTGCGTAGTCTTCCACCCTTGGTTGTGGACAAGATAAGGCACCCTGGAACATGTCACATACTGGGCTATCATAACTATGACGTCATAGCTTTACCCAATTCATTGCGAAGAGTAATTTGACTAGTAATACGTCGTAGTACACTTAGTAAAGATCTACGCACCGCGCTATGTGCACAGATACTCTGAGATTCAGGCATAATCTTGGGGATTGCATGACATCAAAAGATCTTCGTTCGGGGTGAAAAGGGGGGGAGGGAAAAAGATACTAGTAGTTAATCGACATTGCCATAGCCAACAGATTTTTTTTTGTGTACGATTCACTTTCAAGATGATCGGTTGCTACGACTGAAAGCGGTCAACATTACCTACTGCCTAGAGTAGTAAGACACCAAAGGATAAGGGATGCCAAGGGTTGTTCCCACTGCATCGTATCATTCATCAGCTTGTGTGATCGTAGCAAGGAGTTCTCGGGTGCGAGATCCTGAGCGAAAGGAAACCGCAATCGAAGGCTTGGAAGCCTGTCAAGAGTGGGCCGCCGTTTGGGGACAGCCCCACGAGGCAGTGAAGTGGACCAATCACAGAGGCCAAATTTAATGCCCCCCATCATGGAGTGGGAAGTTGCCCGGTAAGGTACCCAGTTGCCGGGTTTGCTTTAGATTCAGGCAGCCCGTGTTGATTAGTACGTGTACTACTAGTAAGGTACTAACGGCTAGCAGTTGGATGCCTTAAGTTAGCAGATACCTGTCCTGTCCACTACCAAGGGAGTCCAGTACTATAGTCAGATCGCCTAGGATGTAATGGCCAATTATACGCACGCATAGAAACACAGCCGGCTGCCATCTTCCAGTGTGTGGACCTTTCGAGTTCGTACTGCATACTAGTACTAGATACTGGTAGTGTGAGTCTGCCATCATCTGTGTCTGATAATGCCCTTTCAGCCAATGGTGCCTCAGTGAGGTCTGCACGTGCGGTCGCTGACTCTGGCATCCATGCCTTCATGCACACTGACTTATTTCCTGTCTTATGTAGCCCCTAGTTATGTTCAACAATAAAATTTGCTTAGACAGCACAACCTCAGGTCGTCATTGAACCAATAGGGATACTCCATAGGTAGCGCTGGCAGTAACCCCAGAATGCCGGATCTTTTGTCATGCACCAGACTAAGAAAAATTGAGATGGCATAATGAACAGTCAACGTTCGGAGCAAAATGTGAGTACAGCATAGAAATGACAGCATTCAGCTGCTTCCGTCATTCTTTCTATTCAATTGCATGGACTGTCGAGCCAATATAGTCGGCACTTCCCGCTTGATCGGAGCCGTGTTTTAACCTGGACTGGGATGATGGCCTGACCCCTAGGTCAGAATAAAATCCAAGAAAATGGAAGCGGTCAGAATGGCCAATGCACGCGAGACGGCGATAACCTAAAGCATGGGTCATTTTGCAGCTTCCCCTCCTCTGATCAACCGACTTGAGAGGGGCAAGGATTTCAATACTGCCCACTACTGCCTATTGTACTTGCATGCATACGGCATCCACCATGGCATGAATATCATCCAAGCATGCAGTTACTCCGCCAGCTAATCAGACGCAGCGCTAACATTGTAATCTCCCTTATCAAGAAAGGCCAGCGGCACTATCTTGATATGCATGGACAGCCTATGGCTTCTGCTGATTGTCAAGGTGCGCAGAATACCCTTGCGTCGTCAGCTGGAATCCGATCGTTTGAAATCAACTTGTGTCCCGTGATTACAAAGGAGAATTTCCGCCACAGCCGCGATATCAATTTAGCGCACGGATCGGTCGGAGCAAGATCGGGGGCTGATATCGTGGTTCTCCAGATCATTATTCATTGCCTGCTTGACTCCCACACGCCCCTCCTCCTGTAGGGTTTGAGAGCGTTGACGCTCCGCCGCAGCACATGGTCATTTGCATCTCCAGAGCCACCATCATTGGAGGAAGAAACTTCCTAGTTTGGAAAAGGCTAATCGCTCGACGGCCCGGCCGATAGTACTCACGCTTGCCGTTGCAAGGTAGATAGATAGCCTATCTGATCGCATCACTGAAGCTGGTTCATGTTTCTGAGATAGGTGCTTGACCTACTGAATCCTCCATGAACCGGGATGAAAACCCGGAATCCACGGCCATGCATGCTGTACGTCAATCATCGAATCTGCTCATGCAATGACTCAACTTATGCTAAGTTGTCGATCCCTCGAAGTCAGTAGAGATGACAAGAGACAAGCGTTACTTCGTACGTCGAGTAGAATAGCCGTTACAACAAGCCACTCCTCAATGCGAGGCCAAGGAGAAGCTAAATGTAACAAACATCGGAAGTGATGAATCAGTCAGCGTAAAGACAGACGATTAGTAGTTAGACGATGGCAGCAGCAACGCCAACTCAGCAGAATGGCTCAGCATTGTGCGGGGTTGAGGAACGCCCCGCAGCTTACTATTCACGGTTGCCTTTCGGTCAAGGATGCGCAGACAGACAAACTTCGGCGTAATCGGTAGTACTATTTCCATCATATCCTCCCAGTCAAGGACATTAAGCTGTCGATTATCCTGTAGGGAAGCCATGCAGTTCATCCCAGTACCCCATACCGTCGTAGCTTCGTAGGGAGGTAGGTAGTACATACTACATAGCGCCTGTAGTTCGATTTGCTAGTGGTCGAAAAATAGAGCGACCGGAGCTGGAGCCAAGAACATCCAAGATCCATGGTGTCATAGGGCAGAGAATAAGAAAAAGAAAAGAAAAAGAAAATGGATTTGAGAAGATCCACACCGAGGGAATTTTGTTGGGTGTCGTGATTCTCATCATCTGTCTGACTTTGGAATAATATGCTCTTTGACCGCTTCTTCATCCTCCTGTTGCCGCCGTCCTGGTACGACCTTGGGTATCCAAGGTGTCGCAGACAAGGAGAGTTGTCCATGACGACCTACAAGCATTGCCCTGGGTACACAGCCCTAATGGCCAATGACTTGGGATAGCGGGCTGAATGTGTCGAAGAATTATGCCCAAATGTACCCCGTATGGACCACGGAAACGAAGCCTTCACCTTATCCTACATTACTATCCCGGAGGACTCCGTGTAGACTGATGACGAGAATCAAACCAGTCATCGAAAATGATGGTTACATGATTACGGATTTTACCTTCGTTTCTTGTCGTTTCTTACCGTGGGAGTTGGCCTACACAGTAGTCGGTAGCCACCACCCACTTTCCGGCCCCTTTCCCTTTCCGCACCGCCCCAGTTTCAACTTTCGCTGCCACTGCCACGCCTCAGCCTCAGTGTTCTAACGCGTGTAATATTACTACGACTGTACTAGCCGTGTTTCTCCCCCGCGTTCGGATGAGGACAGGGCTGGGATGACTCAATCGAAAATCTCTTGTTGTTTAATTTACCGACAAATTACCCCCCCCCCCCCTTCTTCTCGCATTCTTGTCCCAACTGCGAACCTAGAAATGCGAGCGAACCACTCGATGCTCCACAATAATGTCAAGTAAGGATGAAGCGGCACCAACCGTCAATTTGCCCAACTCATTATCCTCCTTTCCTCCGCGACCCTTTTCAACCCCCTTTTCCTTTGCGACATGATTGCATGTTGAGGGAAATTAAAGGAACCATGACGAAACGGGACAAGACTATCAGCGCCAGCTAAAATAATATTTAAGTTTTAGGCGGTCTGCACATCCCAGTCTGGAGTGTCAGGTGACAAACCCCCGATTGTCGGAATCGCCCAATTCTCAACACGCTCGTACATGCGACTAGTGGCCTGGGAGCAATTGCATGCAGTCTCCAGCCCAGAGACTTCGGGTGACAGGGATAAGGTAGGTTGGTACTGGAACCCAGAAACGGGTAAAGAAGGGAGACCCCAGCGGATGGGAATCTCAGATCCACATATCTCCCCAGAGGGACCGCCGTGCCGGTGCCTCAAGAAGGATCTGTAACATCAATAATGGCGATAGACACGGTAATAGTGTTTGCGGATCGACGGTCAGGCATGCTTCGGATTCTCCTGCGTAGTGTTGGTATCTACCTAGTGGTACGTGGATAACTCCGTACTCCGTAACCGCGTACCCGTGTGTATGCAGGACGGATTGTCCGTGGGGAACCAACCTTCTTGCTGGAGAGCCCGTTACCACGATGGGATCCTCCATAGCAACTGACGTTCATGAATCTCTATTCGCCTTCCCCTTTTCTGCCTGGTCTGTATGTACGACGACCTAACTGCCGGACATCCTCCTCCCCTAACAAGGTGAAACAACATACCTATCTGTCCGTCTAGGTAGGTATCTACCCGCACAACTGATTGACAGTGATACCACCGTCAAGGGATGATCGTCCAATAGATCGGGTCTGTTCACGGTGCACACTGCACACCAACTGACCTCCTGGTAAATGGTGGAGTAAGTGAAAGAGCTCTCTACTGTTAGAGCATCCTACCAATTGCATTTCAAGGGCGAAATACTCCATACTACTCGTGACCGAACCCTGTAACAACTATCTACTACTAGATAGTTACTGTTGGGTAGTTGGATGCAGGAAGCCGGATGTTGGAGGAAAGCGACGGGGAAACCCGTAAGAAAACCGGCAGTCTTTTCCTCGCACACCAATCACCCTTGGCATAAGGGGAGGAGAAAGGACGGAGTGTAGATGAAAGGAGCCTCATAGGATCTCATGATCGCGGCTAGTCCCATAATCACTTGGGCTGCCGTTGCGATGTTTCGCGGTTTGGCGGTTTCGTGGTGGACACTTCATCCTCAACAGACTTTAATCAGGAGCAGGTGCCCAGCAATGACGGCCCAGTTTGATTAGACTACCTCATTAGCATACCTGAGCATACCTGAATTAAAGGTTAATAAATATTATTATCCCTTTCCTAACCCTTACCCAGTAGTATATAGGAACGTACAAGTCTTCCGTTCTGGCTGCATTGCTGTTACCATCAAGTGGGACTCCCCTGGACGGTCGAAAGAATAGCCCTGGGAGAGCAGATTGTGTGTGTTTGTGTGTGTGTATGTGCAGTGAAGAACGGGGCTAGAATCATATCAACGACGCAACAAAACGCCTCTGTTATCATCACTGTCATCCACTACCATCATCATTATCCTGATCTTATATCATCATTACCTGAGCGTTTTCATTGGTACACCCGAAGATCAAGGCCCGCGTTTTTTTCAGTCTCGCTCAGACAATCGGGATTGGGACTTGGCCTCCCAAATACTGTTGCGGGTCCCGGCCGGCCGCCTAGAGAGGAAGGAAAAGATTCACCTCGGCGCCCTGTGGGTGGTAGGTAATAGGTATAGTTGGGTCTTCCGTGGGGTGGAAACCTTCGGTCCCAGTCTGGTTATTTTACAACATCGATTACGCCGTCTGGACGGTGTAAGCGCCCATTCCCAGTTGACAATACGGCGATACGTACCACACACAGGTACGGAGTACGTCAGTAAGTACCCACTCCAGCTTTCTTTCAATTGAAACATCCATCGGTTTCTTCCAAATCGACTTCCAAAATCCTTCCTTCCGAACTTCTCCCTTGTCTGTACGACACCGCATTCGCGTGGATGGGAGACTCATAAGAGGGCGAAAACCAAAATCCCGCCATCACTCCGCTGACCCTCTCTACCTCAGAAACTCCTCGCACCCTCGACTTCCGCAAGTGGAGATCCAATTTCCCAGGCGAAGGATAACGCTGGCACAGTTTCCTCCGTCGCATGATCAACTCTCTTACTCGCACATTTTGGCGCCTTTCGCTGCAGGTCCTCTACTACACTCCACGTAACCGTGCAGCAAACTGGAAAAGCTACATATCGGACCACACTAGATAACTGCGACCCTCACGATTACTCTGGTCGGTCCAATCTCCGATTGCTCAAATTATCACCCTTCCCCTTTGGACCACCTGCATCACTGCGTTGGCAGGCAATCCTGCATTTGCACTTCCGATCCTCGTCGCCAATTCTCCATTCTTGCGCAGCCTTCCCTAGTCTCCTTCTGGAGTGACGCCAATCCACGCGAAGCTGATTTCCCTGCTCAATCCCAAGTTTCGGCGTCCGTCGAAGCTAGACAGATACCTACGGAGGGGCTCTGCTGACAGCTAAGCACATGCGCGGCGCACACGGCTTTTGACTTGCATAATTTCTCTCACCAATTTCCGTTTCCATTACCATTTTTTACTCGCCCTGGGGGGTCCTCGTTCTTCCTGCCTCCCACGGGAAAGAACCTCAACCCGCCTGCACCAAACACGGCCAATTGGTTGAGCTCCGCACGTCCTCGCATTCCTGCTGCAGAGAGACAGCTTTCCCCGCGTACTAGAAGATCAGCGAATCCAAGAAGGGTAAAATAGGGGACCAGGATAGGACATAACGAGCAAACCAGAAGATATCAGGAAACGTGACGAAAATCGGTTCCGAAAACAGGCCAAGGCTGGAGGGGCCAAGTCATCCACCATTCTTGATTTATTGCGTTGACGACAGAGATCAAAGACCCTCCCCCCCCGCGAAGCCATTGTTACACAAAGCCAGTGTCTGTTTCAATTGTTATCAGGAACCCGAATCCCGTACCCTCGCGAGTGCTCTCCGGCAGGGCTCTCCGCATTGCATCAGAGGCAGGCCAAGATGCAGATATCAAAGACAGAGCAATCCCGCTAAGCAAGTGGCTTTTGCATCGCTCAGCCAGACCCGTTCCCTTTTTTGGCTCGTATTGCATTCTTACTATAGGCCGCCATTTCAGGGTCGACACGGCCGCCTAGTTACTGCACGTCGCTGTTCATTCGTCCCTTAAAGAGTCCAGGTGACTCAAGCATTGGCACGGTTCACGGCAGGCCTACAATCTCACGTTTTGCAGCTGGGGACTACGTCTGGTAGGTATCCGCAATGGCTTACGCCGCCGCTTCGTCGCCTTCGACCGTAAATGGCGACACACAAGCAAGTTTAAAACTTACTGGCTCGCTCTCCAAAACTCCAAAACTACATAATGTCATCACGTCTGTTCCTCCCGCCCCTACTCCATCTTCCGCTCCGCCCTACGCCTATCCATACACAAATACCCCGAACTCATTGCGTCCCACATACAACTTCTCAAATGCTTCAAGCCCTTCAGGCACCCCTTTGCAAACAGCCACCGACGCGCTCCGTGGCCGAATACAATCATTCCCTCTGATCCCTCCCGCCTATTTTGAGCTTGGAGAGTCAGCAATGGCTGTGTCTGGGAGTGCTAGTGCCTCCGGCTCGGGGGATGCGGCTATTCAGATTCCAAGCAAGGGTCCAGGGTTAATGCGCAGAATATCTCGAGGGGCTGCCAGCAAGCTTACCCGAAGACGACAGTCGGCCTCACAAAATGATAAACGAGACCGTAGCTCCGGTCCCGTTATTATGCGCAGACGGAGCGATAGCAAAACCGGACAAAACAGCTGGGAAAGTGCCCTTGAGTCCAGCAACGAAGAAGACAGCAATGACGCTCTGGACTCTTTAGGAGTTTGGTGTGGCTCCGAAGCCTCTAGCTTGCAGAATGAGAACGTGATGACTACTTCCCGCAACGCAGGCGCTGTTGCGCCGAAGGTTGATTCGGCCATCCAACACGGTACAATCCTCACGAAGGTCACCAAAAAGCGACGGAAGCAAGTCCGCTTCTTCCTTGACCTCGACGCCGGAAAGGTCTATTGGGATGTCTCCAACCCGACGAAACGGTTCTATATCGATGACATCAAGGAGGTCCGAGTGGGCGCCGATGCTCGCAATTACCGCGAGGAACACCAGATCCCGCAGGATGTTGAAAGTCGATGGTTCACCATCGTCATCGCCGACGCAGAACGCTCGAAAGGACGGTCTGTAAAGACTCTGCACCTGATTGCCCCAAATGACTATTATCTTGATCTTTGGACCACAACGCTCGAACATATCTCACGCTACAGGATTGGTCTTATGGCTGGCCTTGCTGGCTCGGGTCAAAGCGAGGCGGTCTTGAAAGCCCACTGGCAGCGTGAGATGTCGAGATTGTTTCCCAAGGGTCTTAAGCAAGGTGAACTCGAAAGCTTAGATTTTGGAGCAGTCGAAAGCGTGTGTCGCAGCTTGCACATCAATTGCTCCAAAAATATGCTTCGCGCTCAATTTTTCAAGGCGGACAACAACAACAAGGGCAAGCTGTATTTCTCCGAATTCAGTGACTTTGTTGCTCGCTTGAAGGAAAGGAAAGATGTCAAAGCAATCTTCAAGGAGAGTGCTGTGGATCCGGAGGGCTTTACTGCAGATGAATTCCTGGCATTTCTCCGCGACGTGCAGAACGAAGATGTCGACTCCGACCGAAGCTACTGGATATCCATCTTTGACCGGTTCGTGCGCAGATCCAGGCCACGTGCACCGAGTCTTCCGGAACATGCAGATGGTGGAGTTTCTCGGATGGGACTTGATGCCTTTACCTCGTTTCTCTCTTCTTCCTGGAATGGTGTCTATGCCTCTCGCTCCCCTCAGTCCAGATTTGACCGGCCACTGAATGAATATTTCATCTCCAGCTCGCATAACACCTATCTCCTGGGACGTCAGGTAGCTGGCGCGTCCAGCACCGAGGCATACATCAGCGCCCTATCCCAAGGGTGTCGCTGTGTGGAGATTGATTGTTGGGACGGAGCAGATGGCCGACCCATTGTCTCTCACGGCCGGACCATGACCACCAGTGTCTTATTCGCCGATTGCATCACCGTCATCAACCGATACGCATTCATCAGTACTGATTTCCCCCTTATTCTTTCTCTCGAGGTACATTGCAACCCCGAGCAACAGCTAGCGATGGTGAAGATCATGAAGGAAACCTTCAAAGACCAACTGGTGTTGGAACCCCTTCTTACGAACACGTTCGTCCTTCCGTCACCTGAGGAGCTAAAGCGCCGCATACTCGTGAAAGTCAAAACTTGCGACGAAGCCCAGGGAGATATGCGCCAAGAATCCGCGAATTCCTTTATCAGCGCCGGCCGTAAGCGCAGCTCGAGCTCCCCATTCATGCGCCCAATGATGCCTGAATACCCGGCAGTTTCAACCCTTCCTCCTCTTTCTGGGTCTTCCACGGCTGGCCCGGATGGTGTCGATACATTCATGTCGCAGGACCGACGGTCTTTCACCACCACCAGCATAAGCAGTGCCACCGAAGACAGCGATGGTGCCTTATCGTCGTTGAAAATGGAACGCAAACGGCGTCAGAAGAGCAAAATCACTAAGCCATTGTCGGACTTGGGGGTATATACTCGCGGCTACAAATGGCATAGCTTCTCGTCCCCCGAAAGTCAACGGTATAACCATGTATACTCATTTGCGGAACGCTCTTTTGAGAGCATCTGCCGCGATGCTGACAGCAAGGCCATGTTCGAGAGGCACAACCGAAGATATCTGGCCAGGGTATACCCATCTGGCTTTCGTTTACGGTCCTCTAACTTCGATCCTCTCAAGTTCTGGCGGCGCGGCGTGCAGATGGCCGCCCTGAATTGGCAGACCTACGATGTCGGCATGCAAATGAACCAAGCCATGTTTGCGGCAGGAACTGATCGCACTGGTTATGTTCTCAAGCCCGAGTCTCTGCGCACCGTGAACCCTCTGGACGAAGAGAAAAGGAAGGGCACGGAACGGAAACTCGTTCGATTCTCGGTGGACGTCATTTCCGCCCAACAACTGCCTCGCCCTCGCAGCATCGGACCAGATGACAGTATCAACCCATATGTGGAGATTGAGATGTTCAGTGCCGATGACCGCGGCCAGAGCCTAGTGGTTGGCGAAGGGGGCATGAACGCTTCGGCCCGGAATGGCATGTCAGGCATTGGTTATCCACACCGCCGACGCACAAAGATCGAGCAGAGCAATGGATATAGCCCAATATTCAACGATCGCTTCAAGCTGTCGCTGGAGACCAAGTATCCGGACCTGGTGTTTGTCCGCTGGACGGTCTGGAGCTCGCTCGATGGTCGCAGTGCAGGCAACAATAGCAGCGTCCAGTTGGCCACCTTCACTGCCAAACTCAGCAGTCTTTCTCAAGGCTACCGCTACCTGCCTTTGTATGATGCCGGTGGTGACCAATATCTTTTCTCAACCTTGTTCTGCAAAATTGCTAAAGAAGATCCGGTTTCAGTTCAACGACTGGATGCCGAGGAGCTCCGTGCAGAACGACTGGGTCTTCTTCGCCAGATCGGCCAAACCGTGTTCAAGCGCTCTTCATCTACTGAGCGTGACAAGGACGCTTGCTCCGAAAAGGGCAGTGAGATCCCCATCGGTTCCGAGGACAGCCATTCTCCTACATCTCCGATTTTGACCCCGACAGTTTCAGCCGCGTCTACATCGTCGTTGCCTCCTTAACTTCCCCCATCCACGGAGGTGTCTGGGCTTCTTGCGCTCTCCTTCACCTTCCTGGCATTCCCTCTGTTTCCGTTCGCCATCACACTGTGATCTTTGTTTCAATTCATGTGCAAGTAAGGGGGCGGCGTTCTGTCAGCTTTAGCTGCAACTGTTTGCATTCGTTGTCCTTCCCTGGTGTCTTTTTGGAGCCCGAGGCGCATCGTGTTCGTGAAAATAGCCACTGGAGGGCTCGAAGAGCAGCATCGTCTCTCATCTCTGGCTTTACTTTTTGTTATCTATCAAGGGCGATGCACGGACGATTTCGAAACGCCCCGAAGGCGGGTTCATGGTGTTATTTTCTTGTTTGTGTTCTAGTTCGTGTGTGTGTGTGTGTGTGTGTGTGTGTTGGTACAGGAGTACCTTGATTTATCAGCGATACCCTCTGATTTTGATGTTTGTGTGTTGCTATTCTGCGTTGCATGGCTGTGGGATTATCATTACAGACCCGGTTTCCGTTCTCTCCACTGTCTCGTTTATGTCGATTCTACTCAGCACCTGTCTCGGGTTATTTTTTTATTGTTTATTGTTTATTGTTTTTTTTTTTTTTTGTTTTTTTTCCCTCTCTCTCTCTCTCTTCTCTTCTCTTTAGGTTCGAAGAGTTGTCATTGCATCGGGGTCGCATTCGGAGGAGTCACCGAGGAAGCGGTTGCATCTTTAGGCATCAGTGGCGGGGGATCCATGCATGCATTATGTCGGATGAGGATGAGGATGGCGATGGCCAACATCCTGGCTGGGTCCATATACTGTCGTTGGGGTTTCTGGAGGAGATCCTGACCGAACAGGTCTGTTCTTACAATGTTTACCTTTGTGTGTTAATATGAATCTGCGGCTGGGACGCGTCTTTTTGATTCCGGACCTGACTCGTTCCAAAGCTCCATTCGTAAGAAAGTAGGGGCCTAGTGGATGTTTCATTCACCTGCCTTGATTGGCGGGTCTTCTGGCGGATAAGAACAGCCTAGATTGTTGCGGGAAGAACCGGACTCGAAATGAAGCTAAATGCTTTTCTCCTATCTGCCTAATTTTGGGGAAGGATACATACATACATACATACACTGCTGACGCTCTATCTTCCCCCCTAATTCGTCGTCGTCGTCCTCCTCCTCCTCCTTCACTCCCAATTTGATTCTCCATCCTCTCACCATTCATTCACCAGAATGGCTATACCTGACCACCAGCATTGGCTGGCTGCGACAGCCTCAACAGAAAGCAGCCTGGAGCTTCTCCAACATCAATATGCCGGCTATTGCCATGCCCTGGCGCCATTCCTGGCCGATGCAACGAAGAAGCCGGTGACCCTCTACGAGTTCCTCGCCACGAGACCCGACACGTCCCTTTTTTTTCAACTCGTGGACCAGAGTCATCAGATCAAGCACCTTCTGCAGGACTCGGCCTTCTCATCCACCGTCTGGGCCCCAAGCAACACTGCTCTTCAACCACTGTGCAATGAGATGTCCCAGGAGGACATTCTCTCCTGGCTTCAGGCGCATATTTCGCCCAGTTTTCTTCCCATTTGTTTCCTTCTCACAGCTCCAACCGCCGAAACATTGTTTCGCCCGGTCCACTTGAACGGTGCGCAGAGAGTAATGCTTCGTCCCTCACTCATGGGCCTGCGAGTGAACTCTCACGCAACCGTGATTGGGCCCGACCATCTCGTGGCGAACGGTCTGGTTCATATAATTGATCGGGTCCTCCTCCCCCGGCCTGCCATCCACTCTCTTATCGATGCTCTGCCATCACGCGATTTCGACCTGTTCCAGACTGCAGTGCAACAGTCTGAAACCATTCAAGCTATTCTCCAAGATCAATCCCGTCGTGGCGGCATTGTTTTTATTCCCACCAACCAGGCCTTTCGCAGGCTGCCAGAGGACATCCAGACATTTCTCTTCAGCGATGACGGAGCTGCCTCGCTCCAAGCTCTCTTGCGTTATCACACCGTTCCTAACCAGTCCCTTTACTCTAATCATTTCTACGATCTGAACCCCGCCCCCGAGCATTTCGTGCAGATGCCGGAGACTACCCCCGATCATACGATTCCTACACCAGATACTCAGGCGGATCGTCAGTGGCAGGTCCTCAAGGGTGTTCGTCGGTTCTCGCTTCCGACTTGCTTAGAGGGCTTGCCGGTATATGTTACCGTGACACGATATGGGGGATTGATTTCTATGAAGGTGAATCAAACTGCAAATGTCACGGTGCAGGATGGTCTCGCCAGTGATGGAGTCTGCCATATTGTGGATTCGCTTTTGTTTCCTCCACAACAGAACGAAAAAGATGCAAGCACAGAGGAGGAAGGGAAACCCAGGCCAGTTCTCTCCGTTGAGGATGCTATGGCGAGACTGGGCCAACTGAATCTATCCTGAGTAGGTGACCCAACAACTAATTATCCGTCCAGGGGCTTCTGATGCATAATTCAATCAGATTTGATTATTAGTTATATAGTATAGAGTTTCCATATTGATAAACTTCGCGGGATCATTCCAGCTCTGACCACGATTATATCGTGGTCTAAGAACCACTAATATTCCGGTCATCCTCCTATCACTTAGGATGACGAGACGCAGTACTGGATGCTATCTTTAAAGAATCCTAGTATAAGCCCCAGCCAAACAAACGGGACCTGAGAATGTTGCCAGAGAATGTTCGGCAATCCAAGAACACGATATGCCATGCCAAATACAATCACTACATCTAGCATAGTGGACAGGTGCTCAACGATGATGCTTCATATATACTTCTAATGCTTCTAATCTGCTCGGCTAACCTGCCTGGACGCGGGCCACCTGCCTCCCACCGCCCGCGGTAAAGGCAACGTGACGACTTCCGCCTCCGCGGATGGGCCTCGCAGCTTATACTCCAACCCAGTCCACCCTCACTCATTTCATCCCCCTCAATTGCCCCTCGAACCCGCCGCAATGGATCCCTTCTCTGCCGAGGGCGGTAGGTCATCCCCATTGAGCGCAATCTCCCCTCATGCCCACCCCCACTAACCCGCCTCGTCTCCCCCAGAGCTGATCAACATCCACAATGCCTTCCACCAAGGCCAATACGACTCCGTGATCGACTTCGATACCTCCGCCCTGTCCCCCGAGAACCACCTTCCCGCTCGAGTTCTGCAGCTCCGCGCCAAGATTTCCCTCGGCCAGACGGACGACGTGCTCGCCGATGTCCAAGGCGAGGAGGAGACCCCCGATCTGGCGGCCGTGAAAGCGCTGGCCCAACAGGCTTCCGGAGATGTCGAATCCGCATTGCAGTTGGTCCAGGACCTTGCAGAGAACTACCCCGATAATGCCAGTGTACAGGTCCTGGGTGGGACGTTGCTGCAGGCTCAGGGACATAGTGAGGAGGCGCTTGCTTTGTTGACCAAGCATCAGGGGAACTTGGAGGCGTGAGTCTAGCTTTCTTCTCTTTACTAGAGAGGGAACTTGGGATTGCTCGGAGAATGGAGAAGCTAATTGCTGGTCTAGTGTCGCCTTGATCGTCCAGATTCATCTCCAGCAGAACCGTTCCGATCTCGCCTTGAAGGAGGTCCAGGCTGCGAAGCGCTGGGCCCAGGATTCCCTCTTGGTTAACCTGGCTGAGTCGTGGGTCGGAATGAGAGTCGTGAGTGCTACCCCATGCTGCCAATACCCTCCAATTCAATCTGTAAAGGAGCCATGGAACTAAATTATATGTGCTTTAGGGCGGCGAGAAATACCAAGCTGCATTCTACGTCTATGAGGAATTAGCCTCCGCACCTAGCACCGCCGCACCTCTGTCCATTGTTGGTCAAGCCGTGGCAGAACTTCATCTGGGTCGGTTGCCCGAGGCCGAGGCCGCCCTGTCTGCGGCACTGGAGAAGTTCCCCGACGAGGCGGAATTGATCGCCAATACTATTGTGCTGAATGTTTTGGCGGGCAAGCCTACGGAGGAATTGGAGCAGTACGTGGTTTCCCCATCAAGGCCTCTGTTATTATTGGGTCTGCCAGATATAACTAACATATTCACTCTCTCCAGACACCTCGAACAAACCCACCCCTCTCACCCCCTCCTCTCCGATGTCCAAGAAAAGAGTGCATTGTTCGATACCGCGGCCGCAAAATACGCCCCGAGAGTGTCGGCTTGATTTAGGATATCCGTTGTTAATGTTTTTGTGCCTCTTGCTCGCTCGCATTTCTACATTGAGCCACCCTCCCATTTTCTATCCATCTTGTACTCTGCCTCTCTCCTGCATTCCCATTCTTCTGGCTCCCTGGGCATGATCTTGTTTTCCATGATGAATTGATACGACGGCGTAGCTATGTATTATCTAGATATTGTCTAGCGAATGCCCTACTTACCTATCTAGTCACTCCCACCCTGTCTGCTCTTGTTCTACAGTTGGATTGGTTTAGATTTATCAATACAGTCCGATGATTAGACCGGTGTAATATGAAGATAGAAGATCAACATGTCATCTGGACTCCAATTTGCTCGCCCTACTATGGTTATATAGTTTCCTAATATCCTATAGATGCCCAGGGGTAGACAATAAGTTACCTTAGCACCGGAATTCAATCCTATCTGCATTTCGCCTGCAATAGCCATAACGCTGCAAGGCAGTCAAAGCCAAACTCACAATCGAGCACCCAGCCAATTTATTATCGCCTGACTCTGCTGGGTGTCAACACCAACTATATCCGCCGCATAGACAGCCGCAACATGAGTTTCGCCCTGTCCAACGACAAAAACCGTATTGGGAACGACTTTCTATACGGAAGAAGGAAAGTCACGTTAGCCGGATACTTAAACAAGCGAATAACAGACACGAAGTATATGACAACAAAAAGATAAAGAAAGCCAATGACCGTGGTGACAGCCGGGAGGGGCAAGGAAAGGGAAAGGCAACTCACCTTTAAGTTCTTCACGAACTCCTCCACAGACGAGAACAGAGCCTCATCTCTCCCCACAACAATCAGGACATTCTCCGTCTTCAACCCCTCCCACCACTCCAGAGGTGCTCTTGCCGGCTCACTCCACGGGTCTCCCTGCCCACCCTTGCCCACCAGATACGCATTGGACCAAAAGTCGAGGCCTTCGGCAGTGACTAGATCCTTGAATGCGTTTTCCTGGACACTAGCACCGTCGGTTCTGTAACTGACCCAGGGAGCGTGACCGAACACGCCAGCCAATGGCTGGGAGATAGCTAGCGGATCGATGTCCGGGTGTGGATGGGTGAGATGTAACAGCACGGCAAGAGAGAGGTTTCCGCCGGCGGAATCACCGCCCAGGAAAACGTTTGCTGGGGAGCGACCTGTCTCGGTGAGGATGTAACGGAGAGCTTCGAGGGCTTGGCGCAGTTGCGTGGGATAGACGGCGTGCGGGGTGAGAGAGTATTCAAGGAAGAAGACGGCAAGGTCGTGCCCTGATTTGTTGAGGTGGTCGATGGTGTGACCTATCAAGTTGTAGTGCTGGGCGTACGCATAGAGGGAAAAGCCGCCGCCTGGACAAGGGGGTTAGAGTCGGAGAATTGAGCTGGGGGGGGTGGTTACACCAGAGGTATCTAAGATGGTTGACGCACCGTGGTAGTACACGAGAACGTTTTTGGCGCCCTTATTTCCAATCCAGTGGCCTTTGGCTCCGTGGTGAAGAGGGACGGTGTCCGGTTGGAGCCCTTGGCGGGCCATGAACTGTCGATATGCTTCATCGGTGGAGGGGTCTTTGAGTCTAAGATCATGGTCAGGATCTACTGTCTAGGCTTGTGTCACTGGATCGAGATGGAACGCACTGCAGATAGCGTGGGGTGTGTGTAGCAAAGAGTTTGCGCACGACCGCGTTGCGCACATGGAGTTTGTATGTCGTGGCGCCATTGGCACCTCGAAAGATAGCTGTGACAGAGGTGGACAGCGCGGTCGCAAAGACGACCAGCTGGCTCCATGTTTGTTGCGCCTTCTCCCAGAAGGAGAGGGGCTGGTCCCAGGACGACATGGTGCGCGAAGGGAGGATGAGAGAGGAAGGAATGCGGACGGTCATGCAAGTCCGAGTGCATGCAGCACCCCCGCTTTATGAGACGGCGAACCACTGCTAGTCGGACTGGGAGAGAGCTGCTACATCATCAAGTGGCTGGGCAGGCATCCAGTTCCGAGGCATGCAGACCGAATGGAAATGCTCGAGCCCGCATATAAACACAGGCCGGTGGAGAGCTCTCGACCGCGGTTCGACCCCGCTGGGGCAGTCACCTCGGCTCACTCATATGTACATCTATCGGACGTCGATACAAGAGGAATGTACTCCGTATGGTATTTGCCTCCTTGATATGATGGCCTGGATATACAGCCTAGTTCCCATTCACCATGTCCTCCTGGCCCGTCAGGTCGCAGAACGCCTTGAACGTCGTAAACACGTCCTCGCCACTGCTCGTGCTCTCAATGATACACTCGGCGTTGGCGCCTACAAAGAACACATAGCCCTCTCGCACCTCCTCGGTCTTGTGGCCGACCGTGATCTTCCCTGTTCCTCCCGTGCAGATGAAGATGCTGGGACCCACCAGTGCATCAAAGGTCGCTTTGGCACTAGCCCGCTTTAGTTCCGTCTTCACCACGCTGAACTCTTCGATCGGAGGGTCGTAGAGCATCGAAAACGAACCACTAGAGTAGGCCGTCGCATTCAACACCGCATAAGGATAGTCCGTCGGCTCCAGCTTCTGTTCCTCGATCGGCGCATAGGAATAGGTCAGCATGTCAGTGAGCGTGTCCACATCCTTGAACTTGGGGGTAAAGCCCGCCCGCACAACGTTATCGGACGATGCCATGCACTCAATGATGTCGCCGGAGATGTATGCATGGATGTCGTCGGCCTTCAAGAACATGGCTTCACCAGGGGAAAGTGTGACAAAGTTGAGGAAGAAGAACACAAATAGTCCGATATCATTGGGGAATTGCCCGTTAAGCCGCGTGATGAGGGCTGCCAGTTCAGCAGGGTTGCTCGGGTTCGTCTCGGGCGTGCTCGTACAAGTAGCGAAGGTGTCAGGGGAATCCTGAGCTGCGGCGATGAGTTTCTGGGTGGCCGCCTCAATGCTTTCCGGAGAGGACTTCATCAGTGACGTGAACAAGGCGCGCAAAGCATCCTTGTTCTTCGCCATCACATCCGAATCGTCTGAGTTTTCCGAGCCCTTGACCGTACTCTCAAAGTCACCAGCAGCCTGTGTGCCTATCAATTCGCGGAGGGGTGCGACCGCGCCGAGGAAATGAACGATTTCGGTCAAAGGTCGGAAGCCGCACAGTCCTTCGAACGGTGTGATCGCGATCGTCATTTCGGGTTTGTGGTTGTCATCTACATGGCAATAGTCAGTCCAGCTGCTTCCAGGTGGTTTCGTAGTTCCTACCAGGGTAGTTTTGAGAGTCCCGAGCATGAAGCTTCTCTGCCAGTTTCTTATTCGGATGGGCTTGAATACTGAGAGCCTTTTGGATTGAGAGGACCTTGAAGAGAAAAGGAAGTTTCCCGCCATAACGGTCGCTAACTTCTTTCGAGATTAATGCCTGGTTGTCCTGGACCATATCGAGTAGGGTTCGCTGGGTCTCGACATCTTTAGAGGGGAGGGAAGGATGGGTGCCCATCCACAACTATACGTCACCGGGTTAGCTTCCAGCTGCTATTCATACCATGAATCCGGGAGGCGAACCTCTGCGTAGGGCTTCTCAGCCTCTATAGAAAAGTCTGAGCCAGCCGTGGTGGCGGCATACTTTGCGGCAGCCGACTCCTGGCCAACCTTGCCTAGACCAGCTTCAGCACACGCAGCCAGCGGAACGATCCAGAATGCGGGGATGCCCTACCCCAGTCATAACTGTTGACACCTGGAAAACAAGGAGACAGAGTATTAGGATCAATTTTTTTTAGACGGGGGGATTTCAATAGGGGAGTGAGGGGACATACCACACTGAAGGCGGAGCAATGGGACCTGCATGGTGGTAATGGTGGTAATGGTGGTGGTGGTGGTGGTGGTGGTGGTGGTGGGGTGAAGGAGGAAGTAGGCTGAGGACGCTGCTATTACCGGCTAGACAGTACCGACAGTATGGAGACGGAAAGTGTGTGTGACCGAGTGAGAGGGAGGGGGGGAGGGAGTGAATAAGTAATTGAGTGAATATTTCAGGAAGCTGCTTCCCACTGACCGACTAGAACCGAACGGTCAAGCCAAGGGGTCTACTTTAAGGATGCAAATGGCGAAAGGAAGGCTTTCTGTTTCTCATCTCCCCGGGCGTCACGGAGAAGTGCCCCTCTCTCAAAGGTGGTCGGTTCCGTTCCAATTCCTACCTCAGTACCTAGAAGTGCTCCATCCCCGATTGAGCGTTGCCGCATGCGTTACGTGACCGGCCATGACCTCTGCCAATCAGAAGGTGCACGGGGCCGCAAAGCGCTTACCGCCTAGCCGCGAAGGGAAGCTTTCCGCCCAGGTTCGCTCTCCGAATGACGGGGTCCCTGAAGCTGAAGCTCAGGTTCCCGTGTCTCCGTCCCAGTCAGCTGGGCCCGACAGGCTTTCCACCCCGGAGAATCCCTTTGCTGCAAACCCTCAGAGTCCCTCCGCTGCAGGTCGTCCCCATAACCTCAGGCAAGGTGCTGCCCGTGGTACCCGAAGCTCTGCCCGGAAGGACCTTCTATCCGCCTTCGAATGGGAAGCGCTGGACATCCAGAACACTAGGAGCTCCGCAGCCGTTGCAATCCCGGCTAAAACCAGTAACCGTCGACCAAGGAAGGCGGAGGCGGCTGCTGCTGCGACTGCTGTCACTGCTACTGCAGACCCGACTTCACCTCCAAAGAAAATGTCCCGGAATCGGCCCAGGGGTCCTCCAGTCCCCAGGGATAACGGACTGGCCGCCAATGAGGAGACTGATATGTGGAACAAGATCCTCCAGGACTTGCGCAAGGCAAAGGAGAAGAATGAAAAGCAGAAAGTACTCGCCGAGCAAATCGCTGCTCTGAATGAGAAGATCGGAAGAGAGGGTGGAAGTAAGTCAAGCCACTTTCGTTCGGTTCGCTCTGGAAAGAAGTACAGCACTGTGTCGACAAATGTGATGTGACACTGTAGGCTGCTCTTCTTTTAATTTCCATGCATTTCTGGCTTCCTTCTCAATGTCTTTGGCGAGGTCTTTTGCTTTTGCTGGGCTGCGCAATCATCCTGTACGCCTACTGGCATGAGATATATTGGCCGTTGGGCATGCTTTAACCACCGCATCTCAGCCCCTTAACCTTATATCGCTGTTAACCTTTGGCCATTGTTTGCTTATTGCAATTATCTCTTGCCTTTACCTGCCCACAAAGAAGCAATATTAACCATTGAAGCAGGACCTTCTCTCAGCGAGCATAACCAGCTGGATAGTCTGTATCGACAAATGCTGAAACTCTGCGAGGACGAGAGAGCTATTCTACAGGATGAGCCTAGCGATGTGATCAAGAACCTGGGTCTTCTGACCGCGCTTCGACAAGCCTCGGAAGCGGAGGCCCCGCAAAATCGCGCCACCTCTTTTTCCAAATCGCGGAAGAAGAGAAATGATCTGGATGGCTCAGCTACGGACTCGCCTGGACCCTCCGGTAATGCTTTGCCAGACAAGGTCGGTCGCACTAAAGGAGGTGTTCAACGTAGTACGAGCGTTTCCAGCACTCAGGTCCGTGATGGCCGTGACATCCGCGACAGTGGTGTGTATGTTAAGATAGAAGAAGGAGCAGAAAGTACCAAGGGCGCCATCGCCGAACGCAGCGGACACCTGGTGGTGGGGGCGGAAGTAGTTTTCAAACACAACAAAAACAAACAAGGGGTCGAAGGGGAGGGTATCCAGTGCATTATCAAGGGAATATCTGGGGACGGAGTGAAAAAACGGTACGGCGTGACGCCCCAGTCTATTCCCACAGAATCATTGACCGATGTACCTTTCAAGGTATGATGTTCAGGACCCCGAACCAAACGAGAATGGTGAACAGGGAGCTGTGTACAAAACCACGGCTGCATCGCTGATCCCTATCCCTCAGATGGGATCAATTTTGCCGTCGTTTGCGCTGGGGAAGCAGGTGTTGGCGAGGTATCCAGATACGACCACATTCTACCGCGCGGAGGTTATGGGTTCTAGGAAGGACGTCTACCGCCTTAAGTTTGAGGGCGAAGAAGATGACAAGGAGATGGAAGTAGATCGACGCTTCGTACTTGATATACCTGGAAAGTGAAGCGAGTCTTGAGTGTCGACGTTACACCACGAGAGATCTACAGAGTGCGGTTGCTCGAGGGAAAACAGCGCAGATGAAAGCGGGGGAATTACCAAGGGGAAAGGCAAGCAAGACAGGAGCAAGGCAGCAAAAAGAAAGAAAGAAAAAGAAAAGAGACCGTGATGTCTTGATTTGCGCCACGACCAGTGCACTATTGATACCCATTGATTGAGCTGGATGTTTTCGATTTGGGAGGGGGGATAGGTGAATATGGAGTTTGGATTGCTTTTGATTGGTATTATTAAGAGCCGCGGACTGCTGGTTACCTTGGTGTTCTTAGAGCAACGATATCGGAAGTCGGTACGGAGTACTACTACTGTTTACTTGGCCGCTGTAACCTCGTAGCAGACTAAAGGATCTAACTAGGTAGAATCCGGTGGTGGCCAGAATCTTCCGGCGAGTAAGAATTACATAAGGCATGTCAGGCCTGACAAATGGAGGGTGAGTCAGCGACTCTCCCCCCGCCGAACCCGCCGCTCTTCCCGAGGGTCCGAAACACATGCGGCGCCGAGATAAGTGCGGGATGACTTGCCCATCGCCGCCCTCACCATGGCGTTTCTCTGCAACGAGTAACGACATATGGTCATGTCCCCTGCCACCGTCACAATTCTTGCTGTTTTTCCATTCTGATCGGTAGCAACGGTCTACTGCATTTGCTCTCTCACACAATTCCGACTTTCCTTCTTCTCCGTCTGCGCGTCGCCATCCGCGCCCACCATGTCGAACCTACCCTCCCACGCCTCCCCGTCCTTTACGGCGCAAGCCGCACCCTCCCACTCCGTGGAAGAGCTCTCCATTGGCACAGACCACACAATATCTTTGCCATTGGGCAGCAGGGTAGACGAGCTCCGTGACAATGCTGTCGACCAGTCTGACAGCACCGGTAGCGACCGAGGCGACCTGACCCCTGCCGTGCCTGCTTCACTCCTCTCCCCTTCCTTTACCCCTCCAGCTACCCCAGGGGGCACATTCAACCCAACAAAGCTGCTTCAGCAGACCCAACAATCTACGCATACGAAAGCCCCGAAACTCCTTCCTTGTCTACCTGAAGTTGAATGCATCGTCCGCGCACGGATTCCGACCACCACCGGTGCGGAAATGTTCCTCCACCTCTACCACAATGACCTGGACAACAAAGAACATCTGGCAATCGTGTTTGGGAACACTATTCGAAGTCGGAGCCTGGACAAGGTTCGCCCTGGGGAAACGGAAATGGATCGTATGATACGTGGAGCCTACGTGGGCACATTACACCCCGGTCGTGTGAGTAGTTGGTATGACGATGCAAACGCTGAAGGCGCAGCTGGAAATCAAAGCCATAGCAGAATTACGGATGGTGGCCCCGTATCAGCAGAGACTACTTTGGCGCAAAGTTCGCCTAGCCAAGCGCCACTGGTGAGGATACACTCTGAATGCTATACCGGAGAGACCGCTTGGTCTGCGCGCTGTGATTGTGGTGAACAACTCGACGAGGCAGCGAGATTGATGTCCTTCCCCATGGAGGAGCTGGCCGAGATTGCATCTCAGCAGGCTGTGCCTGTGCCTTCTAATGCCTCGGGGGGAGTTATTGTCTACCTGCGGCAGGAGGGCCGCGGAATAGGCTTGGGGGAAAAACTCAAGGCCTACAACTTGCAGGATCTTGGCTCAGACACGGTGGAAGCCAATCTTCTCCTGCGACACCCTGCCGACGCCAGGAGCTACGGTCTGGCTACCGCCATCTTGGTCGATCTTGGCTTGGGCGAGGATTCCAATCCCCACGGCATCCGGCTTCTTACAAACAACCCGGACAAGGTTCGAGCCATCGAGGGAGCAAATCGGGAGGTGGTAGTGAAAGAACGTGTGCCAATGATACCATTGGCATGGAGGTCGGGCGGAAAGCAGGGCATCAAAAGTTTAGAGGTCGAGGGATATCTCAGGACAAAGGTAAGTTTCGCTTGTCTCACCTTGCCGGCTCCAGTCCCTGTTCCGAGACCGGCGGTGCTTTTTCTAGCCTTGATGTGGTACTTCTGTAACGTTGGTCTGGACATGGATGCTAACTTGCGTGTTTCAATTAGATTGCGAAGATGGGACACATGATTGAGTAAACCACTTAGATTGATTCCCTGTTTCCTTTGTTGCTTTCCATGTCCTATCCGTTTCACCTCATAGCCGTTTGTCGACCGGGTGTACTATATGAGGCCCCGCGGGTTGGGCCCTGGTAATAATGTACAGCGCTTCGTTATGACACGATCTGATCATAAAAGAGAGAGGAAGACTCTTCCCGTTACGTTTGTGTACTTATAATCTCTGATATCGAAATTCGGACTTGGGATGGCATCTGTTCGCATGTACATCCATCCATCGAGCTGGCGCAGTGGTTGGGCATCACGGTGGACAAGGGTGTGGATTCGGGAGGGGGTGAGGCTTTTTGACTTCGGTACTATCTGAAGGGCGCCCCAGATAGACCAATTGAGATTGAAGTGCCATCGTATCGTGTTGCAGACACCCGAGACAAGTCCTGGGGGGTAGGGGAGGCAAAGAGAGATATATCGCTCGTTGGAGGGCGCCCGAATCCAGAACCTTGGCGAGCGACTCTTGAGGCTAGCGCGGTCAAACCAGAGCAGCGCCACTATGGAAGTTTAGCCCATCCCAAGGACCAAGACACTCGGGATCGGCCATGGCCTGGCTCTGAAGCCTCCTGGTGTCAGGAAAAGGCAAAACGTGGTGCCGATTATTGACTTTGGGGCAACTCCACCGGAGCCAACCAGACTGACTCTCGTCCGGCCAGCTGAAGGACGCCTCCTCCCCAATAATCTTTTTCCCTCTCCTGCTTTCCCCCCCCCAAATGACTCGCCCGCTCCCCTCTTCGTCCTGCTCGCCTCCTCTGTTCTTATATCCTCCCGATTGCCCTTCTCGATGCCACCACTATCCTGCTGCAGTTGAGCCAGATACCTTGCTCCTTTTACTTCAACCGCCCCTCTCCTCCGTTTTGAATGGCCGCTTCGTCCCCGTAACCTGCGAGCCAGGCCATGGCCACCCGCCTTCCTCCTCTGAACGATGTCGCTCCTCCAGCGGCCCTTGAGTCATCATCGTCAACCTCCTCCTCCTTCTCTTCCACGATAGCTCAAGGGCTGCCCACTGTTGCTCCGGCTGCGACTGCTGGCCCGGACGTGGTGAAACTGGAAGATTCCCCCACTCCGTCCGCATTGACCTCCGCGGATGCAGAAACTCCCGCACCGGACAACAATGGACCCCCGGCGACAGGTGCAGGTCGCAAACGCAAATTGAACTGCACCTCTGCGCGAGGCGTCGCGAACCTCACGCCCGACCAATTGGCCAAAAAGCGGGCCAATGACCGGCAGGCCCAGCGTGCCATTCGCGAGAGAACGAAGGCGCACATCGATACTTTGGAACAACGAGTCCGTGATCTCTCATCGCAAAAACCATTTTTGGACCTTCAGGCAGCGTTGAAGCAGAACGAAGTTATCCAGGCAGAGAACAGAGAGATCCGACAAGGGCTGAAGGTGATTATGGATATCATTCAGCCTCTCCTGGGAAAGCAAGACAAGCCGAGTATGTCCCATCCATTCATTGGCAGCCAGGGGAAGAGCTACATTAACCATGTCTTAATGTTTCAGACCCTCTCACTTCCACGCCCTCAGCCAATATTCGAATTCCCCCCATAACCATGACGCCGCCTTTGTCCGACAGCATCCATTTCTCGACCCATTCTCAGCGACCCGCCGCAGGCGAGCATCCGTACGCTGACTCTACTGCGAGCACTGAGACCTCTACTTCCACCGCACATGCGGCATTCACGTCCAGTGCGACCCGCCGCGAAATTACAACAGCCGGTACAGGTTCTTTTCGCATCGCGTTTGACTATCAACGACACAATCTGGCTCACGGTCTGGACTTTGGCGGAACGGATGAACGGATGGGCTTCAACTTCTTGCTCGATGCATCTCAGCGAGTTCCCAAAGTGGAAGGGTTTCGACGTTCCTCGGAGACGCTGAGGCCTCCTTTGAATACATCCCCAACATACCCATCGCCGGTTCATACCGCTATGGCGGAGCAGCCACTGCCTGCATTCCTGACCCCGATTCGCAACATCGCTCCGACATGCACGCTAGATGCCATTTTGTTGGACTTCCTTCACAATCGTCAGAGCCAAGCTGCGAAGGGGGTACCAAAACAGAGTCTCGTAGGGCCTTCTTATCCCAGTGTCTCGTCCTTACTCAATCCGGAGAAAAGCGTTTATTCACACCCCTTGTCAAAAGTTTTCACCGATATCTTGCGGACGTTCCCGGATATCTCCACTCTGCCTGAGCAAGTAGCTGTGCTGCTTCTCATGTTCCTTATTATGCGGTGGCAGATTTATCCGACCCCCGAAAATTACGACCGATTGCCCGAGTGGCTCACTCCTCGTCCGTCCCAACTTCTCACAGCTCATCCGGCCTGGATCGATTACCTGCCTTGGCCACGGATGCGAGACCGCTTGGTAATGTCGTATCATGAATATCCATTTGAGAATTGGTTCATCCCCTTTACACGCACCTTGTCCGTCAACTGGCCCTATGAGGCGACAGATTGCCTTCTGTCTTCGGGCGACGGCGATGAGCTTATGATAAATCCCGTCTTTGAAAGGCACTTCCGCAACCTCAGTAACTGGTCGCTGGGGCCCGCATTTGCAGAAGCCTACCCTTCCTTGGTAGAAACCACAAAAATTCGATCCTCGCAGTGATTCAAAGAAATTTGGATCATTTCCTTGATATGGATTTGATGAATCGAGTATTGCTCTACTCTCGATGCTTGAGGTAATGGTCTGGTCATAATATCGACCGTATCTTCTCTGCCATTCACATCTTGCTGTTACCCCGGGGGTACTCGCCAGCGGTGATGATTATCGTTGACCGAGACAGTCTATAAGGAACCGAGTTGGTGATTGGCCGGAGGCACAATATTTCTCTTTCCTCCCAAGATTCCAGACTGCGAAGTATTCTTGGCTTCTGAGTTGTGCTATCCATGGAGTATGCGCAGGCAACTCACGATTTCTTGGTTCGTCCGAGCCGTCAGGCTGTCGTGCAATAAACCTCTCGTCTCATCACGGCGATTGTGCATAACTCCCGGTTGGCCGTTGTGCCTCGCACAATAATTGTGGGTACAACCATGTCCAGGTCAAACCCAGCTTCAAGGATAGTCACCGCGGACAGACAGCGGGTTTCTGTCTCCATTGGGGGATATTGCAGCCAGGACCATCTCAATAGCCCGTAATCTTGGGATCAATGTACAAATATGATATGAGGAATTTGACGCCGAAAAAGACCGTTTATGGGGCCAGAGACGGCTTCTTTCTGTGCTTACCAACAGTGGCGCCTGCCAATCATTATTTGGTCTACTTATAGACTGTTAGACACAACTAACTATAGCTGGAGTAGTGTCTACAACAATCGTATAAAGTCATATATCTGTGTTCAACTAAGAATAATAAATTTGATTAGTGTATCAGGAACTTCCCTGTCGAGACTTTTCATTCCAAAACTGGAGGCCGGCTTTCTGGCGCAGCACTCCGTACATGGAACTGCTGTCCAAGCATCCGCCGGCATACTTCCTGGCAGCCTCCATGTTGTCGAGGGAAACCTGCAGACCCGGCAATTCAACGTCATGGTCCTTGGCCATAGCAAATGCATGCTTCGCATCCTTGATAGCCAGGGAAACGCCGAATCCGGGACGAGAGTCCAGTGGCGGTGCATAGGCACCAGTGGTCAATCTGCTGGCATCAGCAACTAACACCTCATCTCAGGGTTGAGGAGATAATGAAGTGCATGTATTCTACTCACCGCTTCGAATACCCCCCAGCCACGGGCCCAAAGGCCTCCCCGATGAGTTCTTCCATCGGCCCAGTCCCCAATCCCGTCCGTTCAGCAAATACCTGCGCTTCACCCACAGCTTCCATCATGTTCACGGTCACAATATTCCTAGACACATTTTCACATTAGCAAGCTTCCACATCCCACGAAAGCCCTTTATATACGTATGGAGTATAGACTCACCCTGCAATCTTCAAAAGTGAAGATCGAGTAGCATCCTCACCACAATCAATCACCTTCCTCCCCATCACATCCTGAATCAACGGCTTCACCACTTCTGCCGCCTTCATAGGCCCACCAATAGCAAACACCAACTTCCCATCCACGGCGATCGGGTTCCCGCCAAAGACAGGAGCAGCCAGGAAAGCAGCCTCCTTCTCCTTCAACTTTGCGACAGTCGCGCTCACCGTCTCGGGGTGGACCGTTGAACAGTCAACGAAGATCTTGTCCTTAAGGGAGTGCCCGGACTCGATAGCCGAGGAGACAAGTTGTTGGAGGACTGAGTCATTGGAGACCTACTCCTTGTTATTACTGGGCTTGGCCTTTCTATATTTAGAGTACGGTAGAGTGTTCAGGGAATGGGCCATACCATGGTGAACACAATTCCGCATTGCGCAACGAGCTTCGAGAAGCTGATTTCGGGCGTGCCACCGAGCGCCTTGAGGGCATCGCCGCGGGTCATGGTTCGGTTGGAATAAATGAGACTTGGGGCTGTTTTGCTAACGAGATGCTTTTGGAGGTTGGTGGCCATGGCGAGGCCCATGGAGCCGAGGCCATACTAGATGGGACTGGAGTTAGATCTTGGGTTTCTTTATCTGTTGTTTATCTCTTTCTGAAATGGGGGAGGTAGTACGTACCCAGCCAATTCGAGTCATAGTGTGTTTGGTTGAAGGGGTGGGATGTACGAGGGGTTTAGAACGATCGGTTATACATTCAATGGATTGAGCAGATAGCTCTGGGATTATGTAGGTATCGGGGAGGGCTGATGTCGGGCGGGCCCGATGCCGGCGAGCGGCGGTGGTATCTATATGGATCGGTTGTGGTTGGTGGGTGGTGACCGATACTATCTAGCGGGATGACTTGGTACTAGGTAGTAGTATCTATCTACCTAGGAGTAAGTACTAAGTAGCGATTAAATTGGATACATACCGCTTTTGTTTGATTGGTGTGGGATCCTACTTGGTGGTGATGCTCCCCCGAGCAGTGGCAGGCACCAAACTCAGGCATTAAGGCTACAAGGCTACAAGGCTACAAGGCTACAATGCTGTAAGGCAAATAAATTCGGAACCTCAGGCAGAAATGGCAGACACCGCCTCAGGCATGGTGGTGGCAGACCCACCTGATTGGGGGGAATCCTGGGACTCTGGGAGGCGCTCCCACTCCGGCCAGACTGACTGACTGCCTTGCCTGCCTGCTTGTCTGTACTCTCCCTCCAGACGTCATCCCCATGCTCCTTTGTTTTTGCCCCTCCGGAATTGATTAATCTTGCGAACTCTCCCAATCTACTCTCATCACCATGGCTGACATGCCCATTGGTATGTTCATGCATGATCCCCCTCTTCCCTCCCCTCCCCCTTCAAGCTCTCCTTGTCGGTGCCTGTACCTCCCGTCCCTCCAGCTAACCAACCACTCCCTCAGTGCTCGACGGAGGAACGGGTTTCCTCAAGGTCGGATATGCTGCGCAGGTCAGTCCTCCCCTCTGTACCATTGGAATTCGCTCCCTTGCTTACCTCCCTTGTCCTCTATACAGAACTTCCCCGAGCACCAGTTCCCCTCGATAGTGGGGCGGCCCATATTGCGAACGGAGGAACAGGCAGGCGACATTGTCGTCAAGGATATTATGTGCGGAGATGAAGCCGCCGCTGCCAGATCAATGCTCCAAATCAGCTATCCTGTATGTCTTTCTCTTGTCTCCGCCCTCCCGATCGCTCCTTTCCAATGTCCGGCAGACGTGTTAATGCCGGGTCCGGCTGGTATAGATGGAGAACGGTATCGTGAAGAAATGGGACGACATGCAACACTTATGGAACTACACCTTCTACGAAAAGATGAAGATCGATCCTACGGGCCGCAAGATCCTCCTGACCGAACCCCCCATGAACCCCCTGAAGAACCGGGAGCAAATGGCTGAGGTGATGCTGGAAGGCTACAACTTTGGTGGCGTGTACGTTGCTATTCAAGCTGTGCTTGCATTATACGCTCAGGGTGAGTCGCAGGTCCATGCTCACATTTTCAAACGGCAGTTCTGATCGCCCCCTTTTGACAACCCGCAGGTCTTAGCAGTGGTGTGGTCGTGGATTCCGGTGACGGTGTCACCCATATCATCCCCGTCTACGAATCTACAGTCCTGAACCACCACATCCGCCGACTTGATGTCGCTGGTCGTGATGTCACCCGTAATCTCATTGCCCTCCTGCTCCGCCGTGGCTATGCCCTGAACCGTACCGCCGATTTCGAGACCGTGCGCCAGATCAAGGAGAAGCTCTGCTACGTGTCCTACGATCTCGAGCTGGACAAGAAGCTCTCAGAAGACACAACGGTCCTGGTCGAGTCCTACACCCTCCCCGATGGTCGCGTCATCCGCGTAGGCAGCGAGCGCTTCGAAGCCCCGGAGTGTCTTTTCCAGCCGCACTTGGTGGATGTCGACCAGCCCGGTATGGCCGAGCTGCTCTTCAACACCATCCAGGGTGCCGATGTCGATGTACGCTCCAGTCTGTACAAGGCGATTGTGCTCAGTGGAGGAAGTAGCATGTACCCCGGTCTGCCTTCGCGGTTGGAGAAGGAGATCAAGCAATTGTGGCTCACCCGGGTACTGCAAGGAAACCCGGAGAGACTGGGCGTACGGCAATCCGCATGACTCCCCGCAATCGGAACCGCTAGCTAACTCCGCGATCCAGAAATTCAAGGTCCGCATCGAGGACCCGCCTCGACGAAGACACATGGTCTTCCTGGGAGGTGCTGTCCTTGCCAACCTGGTATGCCCTCCTTATTCCCCACCCGACTAGCCCCGTCATCGCTAACAAATACCCAGATCGCCGACAAGGAGGATATGTGGGTTTCTAAGCAAGAGTGGCAGGAACAGGGCGCCCGTGCCCTGGCCAAACTTGGCCCTAGATAGTAGTACTACTACCTGCATACGCTACTCGATTTAACCTAACCTACCACCTCGATTGTGATCCTTTACCGTTTGTGCGAATTGGAAAACCCCCTTCCGCATCTTCCAAGCAACAATTCTTTCCGGCCCCCTTTCTGTTCGATATACGTACATACAGCAACCACCATCCTCTTGGTCTCGGGGAGATCAAGAAATGTCATATAAGGAAGGATAGTATTTAACCATCCTGCATCTTGTTCCCATTATTTTACTTCTGTCCCCTCCTCTTCTCCCGCCTTCCTTCCTCTCGTGTAGCTAGTATAATAACGGAGGTGGGTACTCCGCCCTCCGTACTTCTGACGGATCTCTCTACATTCGACGTTGAAAAGACAACCCGAAACAAAACTTTTAGTTCAACAAACAGATCCGTTCCTCCCATGTCTATGAGTGTGTATATAAAATCCAAGCTGGAGTACTCCCAGAATTGCGCACGAATCTTGCGTGAGCCCGAAAATAAATCAAAAGAAGAAAGATATAGAAAGATGAAGATAATCAAGACACCATTGATCGGGCCATGCGATCAATGATCAGATGAAAGACAGTAGAGAACACAAGACTCCAACAGGTGAGAAGGGTATATCCGGTCTAAAGTCAACGTCTATTCTTCACTGTCCGACTCAGTCTGATCATTCTGCAGGGTTTTCTTCCGCTCTTCATTCATTTCCCGATATGTGCTCCAGGTCAGAAGGAAGAAAGCGCCGATGATGAGAATGCCGCCAATAATGGCGGCGGCCGAGGGAGGCTGCCCGGTTCGGAGCCAGTCGGCGATAGCGACGAGGAAAATGGTGAGTAGGGCGGCGACGGACGAAAGGACGGGGGAGGTAAGGGAGATAAGGACTAAGAATGAACCGGAGAATGCTGATTTGGAGAACAGCCGTTAGCATACCTATGTCCTAGATTTCGCGTTTAACAAGGTCGGGATAAGTGATGAACTTACTAGCATTGGCAAGGACAGAGATCATTAGCATCCATGCAGTTTCGCCGGTGGGCCAGCGAAATGTCTCCAGGCCGGTGATATGAAGGATGGGCAACGGGATCCAGAGAACGAGAAGAGTGAAGCATCCAATAAGGCTGCCAAAGGTGTTGGCAAAGATCATGCTGCGGCCGGCGCTGGTGCCCTCCGGAGGGCAGGCAAATCTCTTATAGAGCACCTCGTACAAACCATAGAGTACACTACCAACTCCGATTATGATGTTCCCTAGAAGTCTGTTTTCTGCCTCATCATGCGCTTTGCCGACCGTGCCATCGGCTGTCTTCTTGCTCTCGTCTCTATCTCCGTATGCGACAACGAGAACCCCAACGATTGCTACCACGACGGCGAATACTTTATCGAACCGGAGCTTGTCTTTGAGAAGAGGGATGGAAAATGCGTAGGCAAAGAAGGCGGAGCAGTTGTAGATCGCGGTCAAATCACTGGCTGTTGTCATGTTGACCGCAACATACCAGGAGCCACCGGCGATGGTAAGAGCAGTAGTGACGAACGCAGTTGTTCTAAGCATGTATCGAACTGGAGAGCGCTGGGAGTCGCGGGAGGTGATGTGTAGATCTTGAGCTTCCACCATTTTGGCTGTAGATCGAAGAAGATAGACATGTCGCCGCCAAAATGCCGTCCACGAAAGTTTCCGTTGCTGCAACCGGAGTATCAGAAGTTGCGCCGGCCAAAGCAGAGTCCAAGAACCGTGTGTGAGGTAGCTATGTTTCAAGATCAGGTCAGAAGTCTGCATCGCCTGACGGGAAGGGATCCATGTGACTTATGCACTACTTACAGCATGCAGTATGGCTTATCCCAGTGCAACTCATGCTGAATGTATACCGCCGTCTCGGTCTGGACGACAAAACTAGTCAAACTCAGCAAGAGAAAACCCGACGCAATCAGGTATTTGCGCCGTGTCTCCTGCTCCGCATTGCGCTCCGGGCTCAACCCCCTGATTGTGGGCCGCCGCGAATGGTGTAGCATGGGTCTGCCCTCTGCCTCCCCATGGCCCAGGCTGGCGTTTGACAGCCGTCCTCTGCGCTCATCTTTGAGCAAGGGTTGATTTGCTCGGGTGTCAGCTGGTCGATGCATGGGTGGGCGATTCATAGGCATCTCATCATCTGAATCGGGAGAGTCGAGAACCAGCTCGGGATCCCTAATCTCTCGTGGGCCCGATGATTGCGCGCTGTTTGAAGCCACCTTGTCTCAATCTTCTGTTTATGCCCTTCAAGGGATAACAAAAGAGGGGAAACAACAACAAAAACAGTATAAACCTTTTCTGAACTCCTGCGGCCTGCAGCTAAGGGGCTAAGTGACAACAAATCGCAAGTGCAGGGAAAAGCGGGCTTATCGGCGGGTCGCGGCTTTGCAGACCAACGGGAAGGACAGAAGGGGGATCGAATTTGAGAAAGGAGCGTTCTTGAGGAGATGACGCGATAGATATTAGGAAGAATAGAGGTCAGTTGCCCTCAGAAATGAGCGGGTGACGAGGACATGCAGCTCGGTATATAGTGGCGGCTCCCGGGGAGACTCCGCCGCTGCGGCCACGTTTGCCAAGTACTAAGTACGTCAAGACGAGAGGGATCGAAGAACCGTAACCGATATCCAACACAAAGAAGGATAGCAAAGAAACCTGCAAGGGAGACAAGAGCAAGCAAAGTATAGGACTAACGGAGAGCAAGGAAGCCCACGATCCAGTGGAGGAGGGGGGGGGTGGGATACGAGATATCGCAAGCGCGGTTACATTGCAGTTAACTGTCGGGATCCAGGGACGGACGGGACGCTTGGCCATTTGATACGGGGTTCAAAACTTCATACATCCTTAGTACGACTGCCCGGCTGCCCGGCCTCTGACTGGTCCGCGGGGCCCCATTCTAACTCGGATTGGGAAGGCGCGTCTTTCTTGCACGTGATGCGATGGGGCGCCCGGGCACCTTCCGCAATTGGAACACGCTGCGTCTTTCAGGGTCGACCTTAAATGATCCTATTCTTATTTATAGTATCAGTCTGACTTATTTCACATTGAACACCCATCCGAAACACCAGACTCCAAGAGCCTTCGGCAGTTTGGCTATCCCCCCCCACTTAATGTGCGAATCGGAAATCCAAACGCCGATTTCCCTCGTCTCTAGTGGTTGCGATGTAGTCGATCCTTTGGTCCTCGGTCATCGCGTTCCATTTCCGGTCCCGCTGTCGGTTCCGCAACATATAGTACGCCTTGATTGCCAAGTAGAGGGCGATGTTGACGCTTACCAAGGATAAGAGGACTCGGTTTCCGACCACATAACGCGGTGCATCCCCTGCGCGTGCCTTGTCAGCCGATCCCCACAGCATCACTGATTGCTAGTGAAGCGGAACACTTACGATCCTCATATATGTTCGAGGCGATGATGGCTGATAACTGTACAGCCATGTTGTATATCGCAGCTGCAATGGCCCGAGCTCGCACGCTATTTGAATTGCGGGACACCCACCCAGCTTGGAGTGGATGAGCTAGTCATGTTCACATCAGCACTCTCCACCTCAAGGAACCTGGTCTCCGCGTATATATGACTCACCATTAGGGAAACCTAAAAACAGGGTGAGAACGGTCCACACGATCCATTTGTTCGTCTGGTTCAGATCCACCACGTTCATGTATATGATGAATGGCAAGCACCAAAGCTGGGCCACAACTCCCATCAAGGCGAGAGAACCGAAGATCTCTCCGGCATACGTAAGGGCGATCCTTGTCACGATACTGAGAACCTAGCAGTCTGTCAGAACCATTACGCGTAAGCTGGTCGTCGAACCTATTCCACATACACTGTAGGGAATAGATAGCAAGATTGTATCAAAGGTGTTGAAACCATAATCTTTTATCTGCAAGGTAAAGTATTGCGAAACGGTAGCTGTTCACGATCTTAGCCACAATCCTCGGGATCTAACAATGGGGTATACTGACTATAAGGTGCTGAGAACAGGACACCAACAATGTATAGCGGCCATAGATCGAATTCTTTGAGGCTCATCCATACGAGCTTGGCCGTTAGCGGTTGACGGTTATGCATTGAGCCTTTACTCGGGTCTTCTCGTAGGATACGATTGACCATTATGGTTTCCTCCCTACCTCTGTCTTAGTATCCTATTCTTCAGTTTCACCAGTGCCTTGGCCTACCTTTCTGTAAACCAGCCCTTCTTTCCACGAGCCCAATGAGCTGTTTGCGTCGGTGAAGGCGGCAAGAGAATGATTGCAAGGAGACCTAGTACTAGGGTTAATAGTCCCTGCGCATGTTAAGCAACATCCTGTTGAAATAACGGGGATGCCAGCACACCTCAATCAAGAAGAGCCATCGCCAACCGGCTTGGCCACCACGACCACCCAGATGAAGGATTCCAAACGCGAGGAACCCTGCGAGCATGTCTGCCAGAGAAGATGCTGCATACCAATATCCAAGGCGTATAGACAACTCATGATGCTTGTAGAAGTAGGAGAGATACAGGATGACCTGATCATAATTAGGCTGGTGTAATAGAGACAACAGGGGGCAGAACCACTAACAGTGGGAGTAAAGCCTCCCGACACTAATCCTATCAAAGCTCGACAGACCAGGAAGGACACTCTGTTTGAGAGCCAGAATTGGCAGCTAGCAACGATCGACCACGAAATCATCTGTATGGGGATCCATCGGTCGCAACCGATCCTCTTGCTGATGATCTGCGTGGGTATCTCACTCAGAAGGAAGCACAGTCTGTATAGTGTGTTGCCTAGATTATAATCTAGTGTGTAAAAGGCGCGACGCATTAGCTAGGGAATCTGTGCCCCATGGATTATACTAACCATCACGGCTCAGGTGAATATCAGTCAGAAAGTTGTCCGCATTGGCTTGTTCTGATAGAGTCAGTGAACGGGCTGGAGTCAGCTGGTTGTACCACTCACGGATATTGGACTTATCGAGCTCCAGGGCTGTTATCATTATACAGGCCCATACGATGATACGTATATCCAGCTTTCTAACAATTTTCTTGAGAGACTTAGAACCAGGACTAGTTGACATTCGTAGTACTCGGTAAACGTACGTTTTCCTCAGCCCACGTCCATCTTGCTGATGGGTCGAAGCGATGGATGCCCTCCCAATCTGGACGTGGCTTATATTCCTCAACAAGGTCAGGATCATCATATACCGATGGTTGTGTTGCAATAGCGTTAGGATCGCAGGGCTTGGATCGCTGAAACCAAGAACGTTTCTTGCTGGGCGGGTCACCAAGCGCTGTATCGGAAGAAGTGCCAGTAGAACTCTGCGTCACACATATCACGGCCTTCTTCTCGATATCCGATGTGGTAAAGGTACTTGAGCCCTCGCTTGGGTCATCCTTATTGACAAGCGAGCGAGCAATAACAAGGGGCATCTTGTAACAGTAAAGATAAAACACCGACTGACTTTCTTGCGCCTCGGGAATTGGTGTCCCTGGCGAGTACATTTATATTTTCAAGCCATCTACCCTAAACTTCAACCGTCATTAGACTTGCGTAACAGGCAAGGAGATATGTAAAAGGCACTATCACGGCTTTGTGCTCACATGGTCCTTGTAATTGCCGCATCACTCAGCTTGGGGATCTAGATCATGGCGAGGACGCAACTTCCAATTGACTGGGGTCTAGACGAACCAAGGTCAACTTCCAAGAATAACCAGGCCTGTAAGCCCCTGGGGTTAGCAGCCAGACGGCAGTCGATACCGCTGATGCATGCTATTGGTGTCGGACGATTCTCTGCTGTCGATGCATGACGGTAAGGTAACATTGCAGCGTGCACCTGGTCCTCTTTGCGCAATTTATCAAGCGCAGAGAGAGAGGAACTGGGGAACGATGCAATTTACCTTTCCCAAATTCCTGAAAACTAGCCAAGTCTAAGCTTTCCCTGCATTCATAACACTCCGCCGTGTCACGTCCGGAGATAAGCCGTCAATTCGCCCAAGGATATACTCTCCTCGGTGGCACAACGAAGGGGTATGCGGAGTTGCAAGGAGGAGTCGGCGTTAAGACTTTAGGGGAGGTTCTAGGCGCAGAGATCACAGAGAGTGGCACAATTACTGTCAGGTGCCTACCCCAGATTAGCCTCGGAAAATGGCCTATTGGGAGGGGGGAAGTGTCATGCAAGGGTGCAGCATACGGCTAGAGTCCATTTCTGACGGTGTACCATGCGAGGATCATCCCTGAGCAGCAGATGTCTAGCGCCAGCCAAGCTTCAAGCTAGAACCATTCATTCCTGTAATTGGATGCTTGCAGCATGGATCCGGCAGACTGCAAACATCGGACAATCCCGGGGTGAATGCAGGAGAAAGGGATCTGGCTCGAATCATCAAACATCCCGCCCGAATACCCTCCCATATCGTCCCATGGTCCTATCCCAGGTCTGGATGCCAACCATGTAAGTCGGGGAGATATGCAATCGTTGCTTGGGTACCACTGAATGAGCCAGATACCAATAGTCATGATACAGGCAATTGCTCCTATCACAATGCTCGCAGACATCACTCGCTCCAGGGTCAGAGTGTTAGCGTGAGTTGCCGACTTCGACTTCGACGGGAAGAATGGAGGGGAAGCAAAAGGAGCAGGGAGAAGAAGGGAAGTGAGTGGTTGCACACATGTGCGGCGCAGTCATCTGCCTGGGGATGCAGCCGGATCTCGATCTAGACCAACCGATAAATTGTGATTCACAGGCAGTCCTAACACCGGTTCACCTTGACTACACGGCCTGGCCTTGTATCTGCGCTTTCTCTATTTCCCCCCCTATCTAATCAGGACAGGTCGTATGACACCTTTTAGGGATATTTTACCGCAAAGCGACTTGAGATTGGTGTCAGCCAAGAAGTTCAGTTTATCAAGATGTATATACGAATCTCAGCCGCCGTTACTCTTCTGATCTGACGAGTAAAATAGTCCCGTTGTGTACCTAGGCTTTGGAAGTGGGCTTGAACAAGACCTCCTTAGTATCATAAGTATACTTGAGATCAAGATGCCAATAGTTGGGAGCTGATGACTTCGCGACCAGCCATGCCCTGTCCAAAGCCTCGACCACTTCTTCAGGCAGTGGGCCTTTCTGGATATCCTTCAGGTTGCTTTCCAGCTGAGCAAGGCTGCTAACGCCCACAAGAATCCCATCACGGCCATGATCGTTCATATTCAGCGCAGAGTGATGGCGAATCCAACGGAACGCGGTCTCGGGCATAGTCAATCCATGCTTCTCCACAACAGGCTCAATAATCCGCAAAGCGTCAAACGTCGTATCCTTGAAATAACGATTGCGGTACATCGACCCGGAATGAGACTTATCACTGTATCTGCCTTCTGCCGGCACATCCTGGGTCTTATACTTGCCGGACAGGATCCCACCAGCAAGGGGGTTGTAAATTACTATATCGATGCCGTATCTCTTGCAAGCGTGAACTAGCTCGGTTTCAATGCCGCGAGCTAGGGTAGAGAAAGTCAGAGGTAATCCTCACGTCACAGTCTAAGTTGGCATATACACGTGGGATAACTTACTGATGGCATTGTACATGGCTTGGTATATCGTCGGCCGGACCCAGCCTCGCTCGTTACACATCGTCACTATCTCCGCGACCTCGAAGGCCGTGTAGTTACTCAGCCCGAGCTCTACAAACTTGCCTTCCTTATGCAGTTCATTGAGAGTTTCCAGGGTTTCCGCAAATGGGACAGACCGATCGGGAGCATGGAGATAGAAGATGTCGGCCGTGTCGGTCCCCAATTGATTCAGGGACAGCTCAAGTTTCTCCCGAAGAACATTAGGCTTATGCTCTCCCGGGTTATGGGGATACCACTTTGTTGCCAAAGTCAGCCCACGTTCCTTCCAATTGGCTTGGGCAGTGAACGCCTCCTGTTCACCTCCCACGTAGATGCGCGCAGTGTCGATCTCTTTGAAACCTTGCTGTTGGAAATGATCCAAGCAGAAATTAAAATCGTCAAGAGAAGTAATACGAGCACCCTTGGATTCACTGGGACCAAAAGTCATCAAGCCAAGGATGACTCGTGGCGTGGGGTTTTGTGCGATAAGAGGCATGTTGGAATTGAACAAGGCGCTGCGGGGACCATTTGAGCTGAGATGTCTAAGTTGGGACAATGATTTTCAGCATACCTTTGTAGAACAAGTTGAGTATTTTGGGTAGTCGGTTCCAAGGAACAGCAGTGTCTGGATGGCGGCAAGAAAATCAGCCTGGGAGGAAGGGAACAAGAAGCCAGCCGGTAGGAGGGGCTCCGATAGATAAGCCAACCTGCTTGACGGGTTCCCCGCACTTATTTCCTCCGGTCGTCCCATGGCTCCCGACCATTGTGGCTTGAGGTGTCGATGACGAGCTGTTCTAGATATTACCCGATAACACGAAGCCCACAGCGATTTATACTCCGGGTGCCAAAGTGGTGAGTGGTCAGTGGTGAATGGTGAGTGCTGGATAGGAAGCTCTGACTAGCTCCCACTAACCAGCCCGCTATCGGCGTCCTCCTCCTGCAACGGTGACTGACTCGTCTTTCTCTCCCATCCCAGTCTTTCCTTGTCTTCGGGCTCTCACATCATCTTCAATATGGACGTGCCAACCAAACCAAGATACACCATTCTGGTCATTAATCCCAACACCTCTTCGCACATGACCAATGCTCTGATACCCATCCTGGATAATCTCGGACACGGAGGCATTCAATTCGACTACTTCACAGCTCCTGCGTCCGAATCCGTCAAGGTCCACGATGGGAGCTACGTGGAAGGAGTGCCTAGTATAGACTCCGGTGAAGATTCGGTCAAATCGGCTCTCTACTGCATGCCCTTTATAGAGCAGTTAGTGACCGAATATGACGGCTTCATTGTGGCCTGCTTCTCAGCTCATCCTCTAGTCGGCATGCTGAAAGAGAAGGTCAGATCGATTGAAGAAGCAGAGTCATCGGGTGTCCCCTCGGAACTGAAGGTCAAGAAAAAGTACGTGACCGGCATCTTTGAAGCGGCAGTCCTTGCAGCGTTGGGCGTGATCAGTTCTTTTCAGACCTCGAGCAGCTTGGGCTTTGGCAAAGCCCAATCCCGAGATAAATTTGGCATCATCACGACCGGTAAAGTCTGGGAGGCCGAGCTCACCAAAGCCGTCGGCGATATGCTCGGCAACTCGGGAGATTTTACATCCACTGGTCGGTTCGCTGGCGTCGAAACCACCGGGCTGACAGCCGTTGAATTACACACCACCCCTCCTGCAGAAGTCCGCAAAAGATTGGTCGAAGCGACGGAGCGGCTCTTAAAGAAATCGAATTGTCCCGTTGGTGCGATATGCATGGGTTGTGCCGGCATGGTGGGCATGGAAGACGCAATGAGAGAGGGATGTGTCAGAGCCTACGGCCGGGAACGGGGCAATCAAGTCAGGATAGTCGACGGCGTTATTGCTGGAGCTGGAATGCTTGCCACAGCTTGCAAAGCCGGATTCTAAGGCGTTGTTTACAAATGGGCACTCAAGCAGGGAGGGATTCCCAATCTTGACACGGTTGATACCGCGGGGCGTGTCATGCTGGCAGAAATATCGAACTACGAAAAACGAGCGGCAAGCTATATTCAACTCCAAGAGAGAATGTATTATGTAACTTAGTTTATTTACAACCTCAGCCCGAGGATTCACAGAATGCACATTGTCTGGTGCTTTCAAGTACTAAATGCCCGTCTGCCCCCGAGTATTGACAAAATCGAAGTGTTGATACCTACCATAGTTTTACCCCAAATTTATTCTTGCTCATTGTCTACCGACTCTGGAGAGTGCGGAGTAGATTGCGGCCTCAGGCCCCAACACAGGTAATCAACTCTTGAACTTTCCCCGCGGAACGCGCTACGCGTGGGCTATTATCCACGATCACTTGCGGTGATCAAGCGACAAGATGCCCAGGTACGTGCCCCCATTCGACCTCCCCCAGACCTGCCTTGGGGCACCCATCTATCTCAGCCGAGATTAACATTCAAGAATAGGGAAATAATAACAATCCAAGCCGGCCAGTGCGGTAACAATGGTACTGATTCCCATCAGACACAGCCTCAGCCATCAGCCCCGAAAATGGCATATGTGAGATCTCAGGTCTTTGCTGACTGATCTTTGCTCTAGTTGGCGCGCAATTCTGGCAACAGCTTTGCCTTGAGCACGGCATAAGTCAAGATGGAAACCTCGAGGATTTCGCAACCGAAGGCGGCGATCGTAAAGATGTCTTCTTCTATCAGGTATGCCGTCCCCTTCATTGCAGCTTGTCATTCTATGAAACTGACTGAACGTCGTGACTTTAGAGTGATGATACCCGCTATATCCCCCGAGCGATCTTGCTGGACCTAGAACCCAGGGTACGGCCCCTTCCGCGAAGGACCACCTCGAAGAACCCATTGTGATCGCGCGAACGGTGAGCTGAGATTTTTTCCGATTAGGTCCTCAATGCCATCCAGGCTGGTCCGTACCGAAACATCTATAACCCCGAGAACTTCTTTATTGGGCAACAGGGCATTGGCGCCGGAAACAACTGGGGCGCGGGCTATTCCGCGGGCGAGGTCGTGCAGGAGGAGATCTTCGACATGATTGATCGAGAAGCGGATGGTAGTGATTCCTTGGAGGTATGGTGCTAGTGCGCGAGTGATAACATGACGTGCAGACTAGATGGAGGTTGAGCTCGGAGCTGACGATTTCTCTGGCAGGGGTTTATGTTCCTGCATTCAATTGCAGGAGGTACAGGTTCCGGTCTGGGTAGTTTCATTCTCGAGCGCATGAATGATCGGTTCCCAAAGAAGCTGATCCAGACATACTCTGTCTTCCCCGATACCCAGTCGGCGGATGTTGTGGTCAACCCATACAATAGTTTACTGGCGATGAGAAGGTTGACGCAGAATGCGGACTCTGTGGTAAGGCGCTGTCACTATTGAACTGGATACGGTTTTAGCTAAAACTGCAGTTTAGGTGGTGTTGGATAACGGCGCTCTGTCAAGAATCGTTGCGGACCGACTTCATGTGCAGGAGCCTTCGTTTCAGCAAACGAACCAACTTGTAAGTAGCCGTCTGCCTCCGGTTCCACTGGCATTAATCGGTTCTAGGTGTCCACTGTTATGTCTGCTTCTACGACGACCCTTCGATACCCCGGCTATATGCACAACGACCTCGTCGGAATCATTGCCTCCCTCATCCCTACACCGCGCAGCCACTTCCTGATCACCTCGTACACCCCATTTACCGGCGACAACATCGAGCAGGCCAAGACGGTGAGAAAGACTACTGTTCTGGATGTCATGCGCCGTCTGCTGCAGCCCAAGAACCGCATGGTTTCCATCAACCCCAGCAAGTCCAGCTGCTACATCAGTATTCTCAACATCATCCAGGGCGAGGCAGACCCGACAGACGTGCACAAATCCCTTCTCCGTATTCGAGAGCGGCGTCTGGCATCGTTCATTCCATGGGGCCCGGCCAGCATTCAAGTCGCTTTGACCAAGAAGTCGCCCTATATACAGAATACCCACCGTGTCAGCGGTCTGATGCTGGCGAACCACACGTCCGTCGCGACGCTGTTCAAACGAATCGTTCAGCAATACGACCGTCTGCGGAAGCGCAACGCCTTCTTGGAACAGTACAAAAAGGAGAGCCCCTTCAAGGACGGGCTGCACGAATTCGACGAGGCCAGAGCGGTAGTCATGGATCTTGTGGGCGAATACGAGGCCGCAGAAAAGGAAGACTACCTGGATCCGGACGCAGGGAAGGAAGAGATGGTGATGTAAATATGCTAGTGCCTGTGCTTGCGATGTTCCGATTTGCTTTCCTCGTCTTCTTTTTCTTCACGACTTCAAGGGTTGACCGGTGTAATCCGAGTGGCAAGGGCGTTTTCGTTTTTAACTAAATACCTCTATTATTCCAATGACATGATTTTGCGTTATTTGAACCCGGAAACCGAACAACCAGGGTCCCGAATGTCCCGCACCAATGTGTAACCACCCCGTAGGCCAAGCGCATAACCCACAGACACACACCCACCGACAACGGCCAGACCAGCAGATCTCTACCCAAGGTCCCCACCACTTCTCCTTTCCCCGCCCCAGATCAAGCACCACATAGTACTTACCTACCTTACTTACCTTACCGCCTGGGGCAGCTGTGCACCAGACCGACCGATTTCTTCCCCAGCCAAACGGACCACCCCACGCTGAGTCAATAATTGCTTTCTTGCTGGTTTGAAAGAGAAACAATGGCATTTGAAACATGGGAAGGGGTCATGGTTTCAGCCATATCTACGACGATCTGGTTTGGGACTCCTTCTGACGTTCTTTGCATTGTTGATCTGTTGCTATGTGGATTAGACTGGGATGGATTTGTGCCCAAGATGAGGATGGGGTACTGCTTAGGTGCTAGTGAAGTAGTATGTGTGTTTTCAAGTCCGGGGTACGGATAGGATAGGATAGGATAGGACGGGAGGAACTCTCAGCAGCTTGGATAACAGATAACTGAGATCTGATCTTATTCATCATTCCTTGTGTCATCTTTGAGTGGTATGAGTTGAGGGACCTTGTATGGACCCTGATAAGGAGATAGATGGTTAGATAGATAGATGATAGGAAGCAGAGCGGACCAGTAGGGGAATTTGAATGCACAGGCGTTGATGAGATCCACTTGGGTACTACTTAAGTATACTTTGTATTACTACTGGGAATCTGGGTATGGGGACCCCGGGAAAGGGTTCGAGCGAGGTATCGGTAAGTGTAGTAGTACTACTACTCATGCCGGTACTGGATGGCACGGCCTGTCATAGGACAATTGCCTGGAGGACCGATTCATGAAGGACAAACTAACTGTACATGCTACATGCTTACGTAGCTGCAGTCGTGGCGGCAGGAGTCAAGTAGCACCGTCGACATAGGACTGACTACGGGGAGGGTTAGTTAGCTGCGAGGGGATGGTGAGGATTGTGAATTATCCTGGAGGATGCACTCCGTGAACTCTGCAAACCAAGGGTAGGCGCATTGGATAACGATTCCCCCCTGGTTGGATTGGTAGGAGATCCTGGCCGGATTTCTGGGTTGTAATTTCCGAGAGCTGTGAGATCATTATACATTGGTATGTACCTATGTTTGGTGTGGATGATCGGTTGATCTATTGATGTATGTATGTACTGTTAGGTGTGATGGGGAAATCCTGATGGAGAGGATTAATGATGAATGCTGGCTGCAAGGCATGAATGAAGCCTCACGTGATGGGGGTGGGTGGATGTTGGCTGATGACCCCGAGAGTTTCGTCGGTTGTCGGATCGGGGAGGTCCAGGGCTTGATTAATGATGGGGCGCCGGTTGAACCATGAAGGTTGGGAATAATAATTATAATAATAAGGAGGTGTGCTAACTGCTACTACTGTAGTACGACCTCGGATGCAGCAGCTTCACTGGCGTGCACAGACATCAGGGAAGGGGAAACCCTCCCCCCCTCCTATCTCCTCTACCTATCGAGTCCCCTCTTCTCTCCCCCCTCTCCTGGTTAGTCCGTCCCCCTTCGTGGAGGTACCTGGATGGATAGATGGAGCATGCATCGGGTCCGGGTGGTTTGGGAACGGGGAGAAAGGAAGGCAACGGGGATCGGTCAGTCGACTAGTAGCGTCGGAGGTGGATAGACATGGTGTATGTTTAATGTTTAATGTTCATGAGGGATGAGCCGAGCAGGTGATGTGGATACTACTAGGTAGTAGGTACTGTAGGTAGGTAGGTACTGGAGATGGCTGCCCTCGCGAAAAAGTGGATTGATCGTCCTGAAGAAGAAAGGGGGGGAGAAGTGGAGGAAGTGGAGGATTGAAAAGGGTAAATGGCAGTTGGGGATACGTTGGGTTGTAGCTTGGATGGACACGTATGAACGGGTGAACTGTATGTAACTACTGTGTCTGTATGACTTTTTGGCCGTTTCTCTATTTTTTTTTTTACTTTTTTTTATTTTTTATTTTTTTTAATATTCATTTATTAAATTTTATTATAATTTTCTTTTCTTTTTTTCCCTTCCCCTGGTCCTGTGGAATGTTAAACTTTGTCGACGACCACTTGCCTTCTGCTCCAGCAGCAGAGGAGACTTTGCCGGGTGGACGGTACCGACGGGAGCCTCGTGCGCATCCGGCCAGCGCAGAAGGACGACTTGCCGTTGCCCGAAGCAGCCGACTTGGGAGAGAGAGGATGGATGGATACCTAGATGGATGGGTGAATGATACTATATTATCTATGTAGTATCTTGGACAGGGACTGACAGGGACTGAGGCTAGGATTATTGGGGGAGCTGGGAATGGAGACTTACCTACTCCAGTCGTTATTAGACTAAGTAATAGTAGTTAATCGTATCTATCTAGATACTTTCATACTATGGAAGTAGTAATAATATAATATTAATCATCGACGGCGCAGGAATCCCAAAGAATCCGGGAAGCTTTGCTGGGGTCCACCTGCCCGATTTGCCTCCACCGGGCGTCGTCGTTCTTGCCAGTCGGAGGATAGGCCCAGAGTCGGTAGCCTAAGAATAAGTAAGCCCATCGTCTGTTACGCCGTCCTGATCAGCGCATTGCAGCACCGTTCTTTGACTCAGCAAGTCATCCATGACTCCCCCCCCCCCTCTCCAGTGTACGGCCGGTATAAATTGACTTTGCCTGCGCTTTTGCCGCTGCCACCTATTTATTTGCTTCCTCCGCCGCTCTTTGTCCTCTTCCTCTTCCTCTTCGCCTTGCCTCACGTTCCTACCTTTTGTTCTCCTCGACCGCCCTCCCATCGTCGCCTCCGACTTCGGTATATCATATATAGACCGCCATCCTTATCTGCTGCTCCTTATCTGCCACGCCTCCTCCGGACTCCTCACCTCATCTCCTCCTTCTCCTCACCAGATCACCACCTCCACACCACTCATAACACGACTCGAGGTGCTTCTCACGCTCCTCTAAGAAACAAAAATCCTTTGCTTGCCACCTCGGCGTCTCCCACTGTCGCTACCAGTTCTTCCCGGGAGCAACAACCGGGCAGCCTCACTCCAGCGCTTATCGTCATTGCTGCCTCGGCGGTTACTCTGACTCCGCTCGCCCCCCCCTTCTTGCCACCACTTCCATCATGGCGCCCCGCAAGCCTCGCTGCAACTTCAAGGAGTGCAAGGAACCCGCCCAGCGCATTGTCGGAGACTGCAGCTTTTGCAGTGGCCACTACTGCTCTAAACACCGCATGCTGGAAGCTCACGCCTGCACTGGCCTGGAGAACTGCAAGAAGGAGTCCCACGCCCGCAATGCCGATAAGCTCAACAGCGAGCGGACTCACGTCATCAAGGGTGTATGAGAAGACGCTCAGGAACATCCACTCTCTTCTTGTGATCTTTCTTCTTTCCGCTGCGTCGCAACGCATATATTAGCACGGTGTTCTACTTCACATTCGTCGGCATGAGTAAGAACTGCGTGGCCAGTCTCACTTCCTGACGGTTTGCCACTTGGGTTGGGGGGAGTTTTGATGCTGCTATCTTCACTTTTGAGATTAAGTGCTTGGCGTTGACAGCTATGGAGTTTTGACGGCTACTTTGAGTATTTATTTGTTGCATGTTTGGGCGATCGCGTTCATCCATCGACCTCCCGTGGGCGGTTGTTGGCAATGAGGCGATGCTAGACACATTTCCATCTTCCAGTCTTGTTGGATAGAATTGACGGTTTCTCAATTTGTGAATCGTTGCTATTTCCATTGGCGTGTCACATAGCCAAGCGGTTATAGGTATATATGCATATTTGTCCACCCATCAATTGACCATTGTTTCCCCACGAATTAGCGTCGCGGCGTGGCCATAGTTGAGTCGTGTGCCAGCTTCCCACGTAGCTCGCACCGTAGCTCGTAGCTCAGGTAGCTATCCCGTGGCTCTAGCCATTGAGCGTCCAGAACGTAGCCAGCGCCATCATATGATACTAGTAGTAGTAGGTACCTTAGCCCTCCTTCCACCTCCCATAGGCTGAAACCAACCTGACACTTGCAATCCCTGCAACCCCCTTCAACACTAAAAGATCCTGAAACAAAGTGATACGATACCCAACCATGAACCGTACCACGGACCTTTTTTTAGCCCGGTCCAATTTTCGGCCTACCACACCGTTAGTAAAACGCAGTCCACACACCGCAGCGGGGAGAGGCCGTTGGTAGGGGGGTGGCAAGGGGATTGATTCAATGCGACAAGCACAAAACAGCAGAACGTACATATCGTGGTGTTCACTTAATCTGCTAAGATACTTGTTTAGTTCTTCGACTCGCTCTTTGTGGGTTTTGACCCCTTCGCGTTTTAGTCGTTCTTGGAGCTGTGCGATGTTAGCTTGGTGGTGTTTGGTACATTGAAAAGGGTATTGTATAGTGATGGTATATGTGTGTATAACCACATACACCAACAATAACAATAACAATAACCAGTAGAGACAAAAGCCAAGTATAGAAAGATAGATAAGATACATACTCTCTTCTTCCTCATCTCCTCGTGTTTCTTCTCTGCTTCGGTCTTGACGGCAGGGCCGGGCGTAGATGATTGTTCATCACGAGGTAGCGAACCGCTTCTTTCTTCTTGATCCTGATCTTTATCTTGCTTGACTTGGACTTGCTGCTGTCCCTCGGATTCAGCAGCGGTGGATTTCTTGCTGCTGCTGCTGCTCTTCTTTTTCTTCTTTTCTATTCGGCTGCTGCCTTTGAGCTTGAGTTTGCCGGCACCTCCACTGGGCGTGGAGTATTCGGTGGGTGGCATGATTGCCTATGTTATTGATATTGTTGTGCTTGTGGTTCTATATTTGGGGGGTGGGGTGGGTGGGTTGGGTTTGGATGGATGATGAAATGGGTATGATGGGTGGTGATTTTGGTTGCTGCTTTAAGCGGGCGGTCAGGTGATCTACTCCGTACTGTGTAAGGAGTACATGTGTTTTGTATGGGGGGTGGTCGGGGGAGAGGTTTACGGTAGGGATATGGAGTGGGGCATATAGTTAGAGAGAAATGATGGTTTTCTTTTGGTTGCTTGAATTCTATTTTTGATTATTTGGCTACGTTTCAGGGTGTATGGGTTTGTTTGGTTATCCGGTCAAGGCGTTGGGACGGGATGTATACTAGTAGTATATGGAATCCGCTTTGTGATTTACTGCAAATGCTGCAAAGATTGTTGAAAATTTTCAGGATTCCAAAGGTCCTGCTCGTTATTATCATTGTATGTGATGGGCGTTCTTAATCCATTTCATCCATTGTGTCCCAACCGAAAAAAATTCCAGTAACGTATGCACTTTAATCGAATGGAATCGGCCGTAGTCCAGATCCTCCACCGCGCTTCCGCATTTCAGCACCCGCTGCGATGGTACTTGGGACCTTGATGCCACAGCAGTCCCCGAAGTAGTCCGTGTGACTAGTATGGTCGTGGTCATGGCCATGCTCGTGGTCGTGTTCCTCCTCTTCCATGTCGTCCGTGATCTCCCTCATACCAGGGGCCGCCGGTAGCAAGCTTCCGAATAGGAAATGCTGCATGATGGGTAGCTTGCCCAGCACCTCCTTGGCGAACATCTTTTTCATGCCGCCCTCGATCTTGGTCCAGTTCTTGGCTCCTGATATGTCATCCAGCATGGGACTGTGCCACCGCAATCCCTTCACTGTCTTCACACTATCCACCCACCGCACCTGATCTAAATAGATATACTTGTCACTTTCTTCCTCAAGCACCGCCATATTGTGAATAGAGAGTGGCGTGATGTACGGGTGCGCAACGAGCTGCGAGGCGCCGAAAAGGAACGGAAGGAAATGATAATCGTCGAGACCCCAGACTCCGTGTGACCCCGCGGGTTCCAGGTAGTAGGTTGTTTGGATATCGCGCATGAGATGCATGTAGCTAGTGTATACGTAGAAAACGATCGCGGGGAAATCTGTGGCGGAGAATATGTGCACCTGACGTAGGCACAGCAACCACATCATGAAGTTTAATTCATGCCCGGAGCCGTAATCAAGCCGGTCGCGCGATCCGAGTGAGTGGATCAGATATGTTGACGCTTCCTCTATGAGAGCTTGATCCTGGAACCCGAGTATATCCCTATGCCATGCTGCGCTTTGTGCCGCGACATCGTCGAAAAGGTCGCGAAAGGCCGGGTTACCGAACCGCGAGCCACCTTGATCGAGAGACGGATGCTTATCGAGGAGTAATCGGATTTGGTGTACAACAGACTGAATCTTGGTGATGATGGGGGAAGGACTGCTGACGTCCGTGGTTGCCCGTCCCCGCACCGAATCGGAGAGGCCGAAAATGAACGCAAGGATTAAGGTATGGGTCGAAGAAGAGAGGAATAGCTCGTGGTCTTGTTTCGATAAGATCCGACGCACTGGACGTGCATAATGATGGGAAGCGAGATCCGGGGGGCTAGGGAGAGGCGGGGTGGCTGGTGCAGGCTCCCGGGAGGAAGCCGTTTGAGACTTGCCTCTACTCGCGCGGAGTTCTGAGAGCTTTTTCGACAGGTCGATCTTCGGTTTTGTAGCCGGACTGGGCACGGAAACCTGCGAGGCCATTTTGAGCGATATAATCTGCGAGTCGATGGAATCCGGTCGCTCAGGTGACTGGTTCACACGACTGCTGGCAGGAAGTTGGTGCTTGGTGAACATGAAACTGATGGGCGAGCAAGGTCATCTGACACCGCCCGCGATGACCTAAGGGGAGTCGGATTGGCCGGCAGAAAGTGACCGCCTGAGCTGGGTAGCAGCCATGACGCCATGCCTCAGGAGGTGTAGCGCGATCGCCCGGGCATGTGATCGCCGGTGAGGCTAGCTGCATGTCGTTAGCGCTGGCTATGCCAGTTCCGGATTGGAGCGCGTGATGGTCGCTGGAAGAAGGAGCGAGCGAGATTATTGTTGTCTCGCCAAGTCGCCAGACTACTGCTCGATGCCACGCTAAAAGAGGGGAGCTGGAGGAAATCCTCGCTTTTTTCTACCCGGACAACGGCGTATTCATCGTCCATATAGCATCCGGGCTCTCGCGTTCCCCAAGGTGGATTACCCTTATCGAGGTCAACGTTTGACGGTACAACAGATCGATCATCGATCCCCACCGCTCCGGAGCTGGGGAAATCCGATATCCACCTGATCCTTTCGAGTAAATCCAAACGCCGTAGGCCGCGATAAACCCTGCGATCCCGCGAGCACGCCATCATGGAATCCTCTGATTTGACCGCACCAAACGCCAGGCAGGCCAACGCCTCGTCTCCCACGCATCGATCTTCATCCCCTCATTCGTCTCACAATGAGCCACGCCGCATGTCTCCCCTCAGCGCAAAGCGTCAAGCGGCCGCCGTTCCTGGCCAGCGCCAATCGCACCCGGTCAACGAGGCCACCCCGATCGTGAGCAACTCCGACACATCTCGGCGAAACTATCATTCTACCGATGGACTGAGGAACAGGGACTCGGGAACCGTGAATGGTCATCCCGACAACCCGGCACATCAGGCCTCACGAGACCCCGATCAGCAAAACCCCCAGCCTGACTCAGAAGAACACCGCGGTTCGTGGTACAGCCGCATTGCAGATAGATATGGAAGCCTAGAACTGGAGAATAAGGGCAGTGTTGCCCGGGATCATCTGGCTCTGGGTATGTGTAGCACCTATCTTCGCTTGTCCCAATCATGCGTACGGCAGAGTTAACAAAGTTTACTTGGCTTTAGAACGGACATTTCTCGCATGGCTGAGGACTTCGCTGGCATTCGCATCGATTGGAATTGCAGTAACTCAGTTATTCCGTTTGAACAGTGCTGGCTCCAGTACGAATACTGCAGATTTCACAGCTCAAGGCTTCTCTCCGCTCTTGTCATCTCCCGCATATGATCCCGCGGCAATCCGGATAACATCGGCTTCGTCACGCCTTCGGAGTATCGGTAAGCCGTTAGGGACCACATTCATTGGGGTTGCTATCTTGATTTTACTCGTTGGATTCCACCGCTACTTTGAAAGCCAGTACTGGATTATCAGGGGCAAGTTTCCTGCTAGCCGCGGTAGTGTTGCATTGACTGCATTCGTCGCTGCAGGTCTAATCATCACAGCTCTGGTTGTCATTCTCGCCATTTCCCCGGGCGCTGTTGAGGCCTAGGGTGAAGCGAGATTCGGTGTTAACCCCGTAGGGGGCTTTTTCAGAAAGTAAGCATGGAAAGGATTTGCCTAGTCTATACCCGTTTGCGCTTCTCTTTTCACTGCGTTGGAGCGGGCTGGAATATCAAAGCGGTGGAACTCTGTGATTTTGTGCTACCTCGGAGCCTGTTTTTTTTTCTTGTTGTACATAGCGTGGTTTCAAGGGAAATAAATAGCTAACGGTAAATGTATGGTGCAAGGTACTATCTGGATGACTCGAGAGCCAATCGACAGGCACGTTTGTAATGCAACGTCGTACGCTGCAATGCATGGCCCTTGTTTTGATGTATGCCCGCACCTTCGATACATGATCGCAGACGATCCACGCATGATGCCGCCACCGGACATCGGTGCATCTTGTCAAAATAGCTTCCTTACAGACCTAATCGTTGAAGAACCATGAAGCTTCTGTGACATTCACTGTGGAGCCATTAGGTCGGTAGGTAAGTTCAAGTGAGCGTATCTTCTTTGAAGTCTGAGGGTTAGAGGAAAGTTTATTTGCTCAATCTCACACGACGGTTTAGGAATGCTGGACTCCATACAATACCATTCGTAACGAATCTCCGCGGACGTACTTGGGACATGCAAATGATGTAACAATTAGTGGCACGTCTGCTGCTCCTATTACCTGGATGGACCCTCAGTTACCGAATCCGGCTTTTGATGAGAAACTGGAGGGACAATCTGGCTCGTCAAGGGGGTGTGTAGAGCCAGCGCTCCAATCAGACATGACACAGAGTTTCTCCTGAGTGGCCACGACCAGCGGCCAATTTTCCCAGTCTCATGGCGACACCGAGATGAGTATAGGAGACTGGTATCGATGAGGTGGCGTTGGTTCGGATGAGCAATAGTGCTCAGGATCGAGATTCGAGGGAGCTGAGCCACATCCTCGATGCGGGTTCATCGGATTGGTTTCGGCGAGAAACCCAAAAGCCGGGTGCCGACTACGGCCCCAGTTTGGGAATTCGGATGGAGTCCTACTCCGCGCCGTGGAGAAAGGTTGGCATATGCGGTGCAACGCCCCGGAAGCACTGACATCACATCCAACGGAAAAGGGCACAAAGTTTTCCATTCCACGGCAGAAACGCAAAGCGGACCGATCGATTTCCATTGTGGCTAAGTCCAGGGCTTCAGACGGATTATTTTCTGAAACATGAGAATGATTCCCGCCGTGAACCATGGATCGGGGCGGCTGTGTGAAGGCGCTATTAACTGGAGACTCGGCCGGGGAGGTAACGGATGGAGGCGCTGCGCCTGGGGAAGGTTTTCGGGAGACAGATCTGGGGGGGCGCTGAGAGAGAGAGTCAATCTCGGAGGGTAAATTGAAAGACATCGACCCTTGCATGGGATATGGCTATTGGGGAAAGGTTCTATCCCTTATTATTGTATCGTAACCCAGCGGGAGGAACGTCGGTAAGGTAGGTATAGTAATTCCGGTACCATTCGATTTGTTTCACTTGTGATTCAGAAGGGCTGCCTTGTAAATTGTATCGAACCACGGGAACCAAGATTACTCTGACCGTACCGCCGTACATCGGGATTCTTCCCTGTTTGAGGGGCATGTTGATGATCTTGATGTCGAGACGATAAGGATGAGGAGGCATCTCCTACTATCTCGATAAGCCAAAGGCGGGCCACAATTGGCTCGATGCAGGACATTCCGTACATGATTAGAATCGATGATTAGATTCGATGGCCCAAGGTGCCCGGTCCCTGTCTGGTGACGGTCCATCGGGTCTGAACTCTGAAGGGCCCTCCCTGCCCGTCAGACAGCCATGCTTGGTTCCCGGTAAGGCCGCATGTACTATGTACGTCGACGATTCGGGACTATCAGTCCTCTTCCTTGAGCCAATAGATAGGACATGTCGCTACGGTGGATGGAGTGCTTAGCTGCAGATCATCCCAGGCCGCGATAGGAAGCAGTCACCTCAGGCAACGCCACAGGCAGCCCGGATCATGTCTTGATAGAGGAATCAAGGAACCCCGATGGTGGGTGAGTATTGAGCAAGCCATGACTCAGTTGTCGTCAGCCAACAATCTTATTGGCGATCGGTCTTTCCAGAGGAAGGAATCTGTCAGACTGCTAGGGAGGCTATCGAACTATCTAGACCGATAGAGTGATATGGCGAAGCTGAAACGAAGAAGGATGGAATGCGAGGTATCCGATACTCCAGCCGGGACTCTTCCGTGGTAGTAAACTGCAATGGGCCGTTCCTGAAATAGCAGGCAGATTCCATGATCAGCCGCCGTGGCTGAAATGCAAGTGGGAGTAACTGGCATAGCACCTAGTAGTACTCTGTAGAGCGTAATCTGATTACTATATTAAATACTACGGAGTTTCATTGAAACTCCAACCAAATCTGGACCTACCTACAACACATGGGCGATACTGTGTATCTCTCGAAACTTGAGAGGGGATAACAAACAGTGTGGCTCGGCAACCAATGATAAGCATGACGTGTGCCGCCGAACTCCAGTTGCTAGAGGGATTCTGACACAATTATTGGCGAGGAATCGGGATCGAGGTGTGCCTACTGCTTATCACTTATCAGGGGGCGATTATAGTAATCGAAAGTATGTAGGTCTCTCCCGCTTCAACCCACTACTGACGCAGTAGCAATTCCGTCCCTCGTACTCGTAAGCCATTAATTATTATGGATGCTCAGAACAGGTTTGCAACAGCCGAGGACGATGGTGCGAAGGAGGATCACCAGGGGGACGGAAAGAACAACACCCAGGTACCTACTCCGTACACCCTACACCATCTGGTCCAAGATTGAGGGGGAGATCTATTCTTGGTTGTCTCTGGCTCCCATGCGGGCTGTTTCACTTGCCAGGTTCCCTCTCGGTCCCCCCCCTCCTGGAGCGTCGCCGGGGCGTGTCAACCATTGCAGGGATCGCCTGCTGGCTACGAAGATGTAAGCGGCCTTTTCGGCGCGGCGGGCAAGGAGTCGCAGGCGCTAATTAGACTAGCTCCAATGCAGTTAGCCCAAAGCGTCTAGTGGGTGGCGGTCGTTCTTCCCCACCGAGACAAGCGAGATTTCGATGCCCCTGTTCGCGCTGCGGATTGGCCGCCCGTTCAGGTACGGCCATTTTAGTCTACTGGTGCCTGGGGTTTTCTCCGGAACACGCCCAATAATGGTGACCCGCCAATTCCTCCCAGGTCACATCGATGTCCAGTTAATATGCCCGGATGCACTACCAGGCCATTCACGGGCCTTCGCTCCTACAATGGAGCAGGATCCGTTAATATTGTCGTGATTATTACCTATGCCAAATTGCCGCTCTGCAAGAACCCTGATTGTAGCGGACGGCGCATGAACAGGTGGCAGTGGAGACCTACCGCCGGGTTCTTTCGTCCTACTTGTCGGCTCCCTCATGCCTGGCTTGTGTCTCAACCAGGGATAGGAACACCGTATTTGGATGGTCGCAATGAGGTCATGACGTTTGGCGCAACTATCAAGACCAATATAAGATATAATATGCGTGAATTGAGATAACCTCAACCTCAAAGGCCTTCCGGATCCTGTACCGAGGCCGAGAAAAAAATAAGGAGGCCTGCAGATTCGGAGTATTGCGACCTCTATGGACGAGGACCGTAGGGTGCGACGTAGGCACGCATTCATCCGCGAGCTCCGCAAGCCTGACTAACTAAAAGCATGCAATTTCCCCATGAAGGCGCTGGCCAGACTAGCCTAGTCTTGGGATTAATGGATTTAATGCTACGATGGAGCACCTACTATCATCTTTAATTAGTAGTGTGGCTCGAAAGCGGGCTAGTGCGAGGTCAGCCTGATACGACTCCGTACTTTACCGGCGCGCATGGTTCGTTGGCCATCCCTCCGCACGCTGACTGGACCACCGGCGATCCGACAGCCCTGGTATTACGCCGTACGGATTCGTACCGAACCAACCTGAACGGTACGGGCGCGGCCCCTCCGAGTGCCCAGCCAATCATCCCCTGCCGCCCTCCATACGTCGCCGTCTCCTCCTCTCCACCACCAAGCCTTTTGCTGCACTTCAGCCTTTCCTCTCCTTCCTTCGACTTCATTTTCCTTTTTCCAGGTTGATCCTCTCTCTCTCTTTCCTCTTCCCCCCCTCTCTCTCTCTCTCTCTTCCCTCCGTTTCCTCCTCCCTTCTACTTTTCCTCCCCCCTCCCCTCTCTTCACTGTACCTCTTATTCACTTCAGCCCTGTTCACACCCTCACTTCACTTCCCCTCCTCCCGACTCTTCCGCTCCATCCTCTCCGTGGCCCGTTCCCGTGGCCGTCCGCTCCTTACAACAGTAGTCTCCTTCGTCACCTGCACGACCTCTCCACAACCCTCTCGATTTCAACACGTTCATTGTTCAACTGATTTTTAAAGCGTTCCTCGACTACTGCATTATTCAAAAAGCCGACGTGGACTCTGCTGCTGCCCCGTTTCAGCCCGTTTTTGCAACCTTATATTCCGACTGTTATTCTTCCGGCTCGTGTTTCTCGGATCTCGGGACATAGTCACTCTCGGTGCGACGTGTGGGACTTGGATTCGGGGATTCAATGGTATCATTGCAAAACTGAAGGCCTCCAGACAACGCCGGGCTTTCCAATCATCGTAGGGAAGTCACATAGGTCTGGAGGTCCCCGTGCGTCGTCTAGGTCACATCAACTGTGCCCACTATCCACCACGGGGTAATCAGGTTGTTGTTGTTGATTCAAGGTTGGTATCGTTCAACAACCCGCTATGGCTTCGATATCTCTACCTCCACAGCCTCAAGCGACTCCGGCATTCTCTCCATACCTATCCGCCACTGATCGGTCTCCTAGCGGTCACACCCGCCGCAATCTGAGAATGTCTGCTCCGCTTCCCAATCCACCATTTGTCTTTCCAGCCCGGGATCCTGGCGATGCGACGCCTCAGTCTTCGGAGACTCGTACTAGGACGGCTCTGCCGCTTCCGGCCTTCTCTTTCAACCCGGGCGCTCAACATTCAGCGCAACCATCGATGCCGACTCTATCCCCCAATAGGCCTGCTGGACACCGCCGGCGATGCAGTGAGCTGGTCGGTGGAGAACGTCCGATTATACCCCCGGGAACTATAGAGGCCACTCGAAGCAATGATGAAACCCCAGCACCACCACCGACCAAACTTCCCGCTCCGGGGCCCGGCTTTGGTGCAGGTGGGCGCCGCCATGCTCACCGGCGCTCTGCTGCCATTTCCAGTGTGGATCTTACGGCCATTTCAAATGCTTTGGACTTAAAACCTTCCATTGGGAGCGCGCCGTGTTTTCCGGCAGACACAATGCGTGAGCACCATGCTTCTGATGAGCCCCCTAGACCCGTCTCTCAATCAGCAGCCGTTCTCACTCGGCAATCTCCCCCAGTGTCGCCCCGGATTGTAATTGAGGAAGATCACTCAGAGCCTGAAACTCCAAGCAATGTCACCACGCCCGAACGTCACTCTACTGAAACTTTAACGAATGACTCTGGATTTGTGGCCACTTCACAACCTGATGCTTCCGCTAGAAATAGCGGCTATACCTGTTTTTCTCCTTCGGCCGACAAAGCACCACCCATGGCCGAGAAGTCAAAGCCTAGACCACGAACCGCGGATGCGTCATTCATGCTGGACCCGAGCAGGACTTCCAAACCGGACGATGACTCGCCCACGAAACGGCCATTGTCTGCGGCAGGACATTCCCGGAATCGGAAAAGCCTGTCTTCAGGGATTCTCGATCACTTCGCGGGCTCATCTAGACGTTCTTCTTCCTCTTCCAGCGGCTCAGAAAGCAGCTCTGGAACCTCGGTGAGCGAGGCCACTGATTCACCAGAGTCTCCATCTGGCAAGAAGAGGTCAAAAGCCAAGAAGCGGCAGAAGAAAGTGCGTTCTTGGGCGGGCGCCTTCTTGACAAGGGGCAAAGGTAAACGCCATTCAAAGAAGGATAGAACAGAAGCAAAGGGTGCTATTCCCCCTCCTGTTTTGACCCGGACAAATTCAGATCTTGGCTCGGGTTTGGATGTTGACTTTGATGATGACAATATCGTTGTACTAAGGACACCGACTAATCCGGGTACTCCGGAGTCCAGTCGCCTACCCGCAGAGGGCACACCACCTAGCCTGGAAACCTCCTGGAAGCCGAGGAGCTTTTACGAACAGAGTGTTCAAAATGATGTTCTCAGCCCAGTGATTGATCTGGATGCAGCTTTGGGCCCTTTCAATACCCCTGAGATGCGCTCCGGTCGTGTTGCAGAGAGCGGTTTCTCAGCCGCGACCAAGCGGATGTACAGTGGAGGACGCCGAGGTGAATTTATTGGTCCAGAAATGCGCTATCATCGACGTGCAGAGAGCGCTCCTGAAATGCCTCCATTTGATCGCAGCTGCCTTGGGAATAACCGGTTTGTCACCAGCTCAACCCTGGAGAATCCGGACGTTCTATATGAAGAAGAGGAGGATGCTTTTCTGGCAGCCACAGGCGGGTCCCACCCGGGACCTATTGAGCGCCCGCCGCCACAGGTGACTACGTCCAGCACAGCTGATGCGGATAGCCAATCGGAGGATAGCAAGGATAGCTCAGAGACCCTCACACACCAGTCGCTCGCTCGTGAAATCAGCGAAGATGGGTTACTTCACGCTGGTCTCGGCATACAGAAAGACGAATCGAACGATGCACCGGATGATACCACACCCTGTCTGGGCCAAGAGAAGCGCAACTCTGCTGAGCAGCAGACCTCGCTCGCTCAGTTTCACAATGCGACCAATCCTTTCTCTGCCCCAATGCAGAACCCGGCAGAGGTGGTTAAGCAAGACGAGTGGCAACACAGGCCTTCGAGTCCTGACTATTCGCCTGGGTTCATGCCTGCTGACCACGGAGCTGGCACGTCATTGGAAATGACCTCAAACATCCCCCCGTTGTCTCTGCAAGGCAACAATTCCCTTCCAAATTCTTCTTTCCCATCTCCTGACTTCACACTCTCGTCCGATGTTCCTCGCTCGATCACGACGTCGTCCACGAATGACCGTAATTTCTCAAATCCCTCCTACAATCCGTCGGTGGATCTTCCTCAGGGATCGGTTGAGGATGTGCCTTCACTAACCAGCAGTGCGTCGACAACGACGAACACACTCGGCCGGATCTCCGGCACCTTCTTTAGCCGTCCTCGGTTGTCCACCGATCGCTCAGCATCATTTTCCGCGGCTGTCCGCCGTCGCACCAGCCAGGCCAACAGTTCTAAAAGGTCTAGTCTTGCGAGTCTCTCGAAGCTGATGGTTGGACCACACGCCGAACGGAGCAAGCTCAGCTATGAAGAGAAGCCACCAGAAGATGAGCCTGAGCGAGCCAAGAAGAAGGGCCTTCGGATTAGTCGTCTGATGCACTTTTGGAGAACCAAAGACAAGGACAAATCCTATCATGAGCCTGGTGTTCGGGACCAGCGGCCCTCCTGAGCCAATGCTGCTGAGCCAATGCTGCTGAGGACATGGCCTCCCACTGTACATACAAACCCTGATTATGATTCTCTTCGATATGGTCTTTGCAAGATCTTTTTTGAGCTTTTATTTCTCATTATCACCCTTTTCCCCTTTTTGCATCTTTTTTCTCTTTTTTCTTTCTCGGACCGGTCTACCTTTTCTATTGTTGGGGTAACTGACGAATCTCTTTCCATCGGCATGTGATTAAGCGTAAGACTATGAAAGCTCTATTTTGTTTATTTCTTGTCCCTCGTTTATGGCTGGTTGCAATTTGTGAACAACGTCTTTTATCTCCGTTCGCTATTCAACGTTTCAGGGCCTTTTTTTTTCTTCTCTTCGTTTGCCTTTATCTTCTGGCTTCACTTTCTATCACACTTTTATTCTTCTTGCATTCATTATGGCATCTACCTTTTTTGTCTTCTTTTTTTTTACGGGACTTTATGGGTTCATTATGCTTGTTGGCGACACTACATTGGGGTCAAATCTCGACTTCTTTGGGAGGCATATGTCATTTTACCATGAAGTGCAGGCCTCTCCGCCACATTGAGCGTGCAGGGACTACATGCCAGCTGTATGAGTTGCTCACCACCTATCAATCTACACTCTGCGCCATCAAAAGATGGCGCGTCACACAGGAAATTCCTTGTAAAATGATAAACGGATATTGAACCGTAGTTATATTGTTCCTGCGACATCAAACAGTTAGATATTGTAATGAAACCTTGGAAATATATAGTATCCCATCTCGGTGCCCCACATACTACCATCCTCATCCATCCCCAGAAGAAAAAAAAAACCCAACATGATCACCACCCCGAATCCCAAGTACCTCCACTCCACCCCAACATTGAACCACCGTAAAATAAACTGAACCAAAGATGCCCCCTCGACCCAAAAAGTCCACCAAGGACACCAAAAAAGACAACCAGAACAAGAAAAAGCCCCAAACAGCCCCCCGCGGAGCTCCCTCCACCACCACCACCACCAACGGAACTGGAATCAACCTATCCACCACCATCCCCCTCCCCCTCCAACAACTCCTCCTAAACGTCTTCAAGGCCGCCTTACTCCCCAACGGGCAGAACTATCTCAAGTCCGACGCAAATGATGCGAATGATGATGGGGAGACGCAACTCGACACCAAAAATCTAATCCAAACAATCAAATCCCATTTATATAACCGGGATTTTGATTCTGCGTTTACGGATGCGGGGGAGGATTTGCTGAGAGCTTATGCGCTTCGGTGGAGCTCGTCGAGAGCGTTGGGGTATGCGGGGATTTTCCGCGCCTTGGTGAGGGGGTTATTGAAGGGTGGTGATGGTGGTGGTGATGAGGGGAGGCATGTTGTTTGTATTGGGGGAGGAGCGGGCGCGGAGATTGTGGCCCTGGCGGCGGCTTGGAGGGATTGGGTGGATGGAGAGGTATCGGTGTCTGGGGAGATGGGGGTGGTGGAGGGGGTTGCGAAGGTGAAGTTGGATGATGGTGTTGATGATGATGATGCGGCTACAGCTACGCCTACTACTCAGGAAGAGAATGTTGATAAACGCAACCATCCTCGACTTGACATCACGGCGGTGGATATTGCCGATTGGTCGAGTGTTGTCTTGCGATTATCGACCGCTATTCAGTCCCCTGCTGTGATGGGGTCCAAGTCATGTCCGGCGCCGTTGTATGGTGGGCGGATATGCGTCGATTTTCAGAAGTTGGATGTTTTGTCGGCGGAGGAGAAGGAGTTGAGGGGGTTGTTACGGTGTGAGGGGGGTGGGGATGGGAAGGCTGGGGGAACAGCGCTGGTGACGTTGATGTTTACGTTGAATGAATTGTTTTCGACGTCCATGGCTAAGGCGACGGGGTTTTTGCTTCGGTTGACGGATATGTTGAGGCCCGGGACGGTGTTGTTGGTGGTGGATAGTCCGGGGAGTTATTCGACGTTGAAGTTGGGGAAGAGTGGGGAGGGGGAGGAGGTGCGCGAGAGACAGTATCCGATGAAGTTCTTGTTGGATCATACGTTGCTTTCGGTGGCGGAGGGCAAGTGGGAAAGGGTGTTGTCGCAGGATTCGAGATGGTGGAGGAGGGATGCGGCGAGGTTGAGGTATGAGGTTGGAGAGGGGGCTGGGTTGGAGGATATGAGGTATCAGGTGCATGTGTATCGGAGGTTGGAGGGTTAGATGTGTGGATACTTACGATTTGTATGACTGCTGCTTTTTGAATGATACCATGGTTGACCTGCACACTGTCTGTCTGTCATGAGTGACATTTTTAATGGGAGAGAGGATGGGTATGCTATTGCTACAGTCGATAAGAGATGAAAAGCAGACCAAACAAACGACATTAATTCGCCACGGAAATCATGCACGCCCGAGATCCGTCCAATTGAGAAAAGAGAAATAAAGAATACACATAACCCCATGTATCATCACATGAGAGCCCTTTTAGTTCCTCAGGCCCAGCAGAAGGCTGGTGCTCTTTCCACCTTCCTTGCCATCGTTGCCGGGCAGATATGTGACGTTGGGGTTGGTCGCGAGCGTCGTCGCGATCTCCTTGCTGGCGTCGATACGACGGATTTCAATCAGACCACTGCCTGCCTTAGCAACCGCCTTGCTGATGATATCGGCACTCTCGGCTTCACCCTCAGCGCGGATGACATTGGCTTGACGTTCCTGCTCGGCCCTCTCGACGATGAACCGGGCCCGTTCCGCGTCCTGCTGGGCGATCTGCTTCTGCTCGACGGCACGCGTGAACTCCTTTCCGAAGGTCATGTGGGTGATGGAGACGTCTTCCAGGGCGATGTTGAACTGTGCGGCTCTCTTCATGAGGTCTGTGCGGATGCGGTTGGAGACGGCTTCACGCTGGGTGATCAGCTCGGCGGCATCGAACTGGGCGACGATGGCCTTGAGGACTTCGTTGCCAATGGAGGGCAGGACACGCTCATCATAGTCGATACCGTAGGACTAGGAGAAAGGATTTGTGTTAGAGATAGTCCTGGTCGATGGGATGAAAGCTCATACCTGGTAGATGGCCGGCAGCTTCGGGACATCAGGGCGGTGCAGCACTCGCAGCGTCAAGCTGACCATCTGCAAATCCTTACTACCGGTGGTGGTGGAGATGTTACGAGGCTTGGTGCGGACGTCGTAAATAATGGCCCGCTGCAGCCAAGGGATGAGGAAGTGGGTGCCCTCGCTCATGACCTTCTCCTGCACACCGGACAAGCGGTCGAAGATGATGGCGCGGGTACCACCACGGACATCGTAGATGGAAGAGCCGAGGAGCGAGAAACCGATGGTGGCGGGGACGGCCAGCCGGTAGATGTTGTACAAGGAGTTGGCGGCCATGGTGATGGATGCAACGGAGGGGTAGGGGATCGAGGGGGAACACGGGGGCGGGAGTTGGTAGCAATCAGCAAGTCTGGAGATGATGTCGAGGCTTTTCGCATGCTGTCCCGAAGCGGCCTAGCGCCGGGCGGTGGTCGAACTTCGACTTCGACTTTCCTCCGTTTTGGTCCGACGGCCAACGTCCTCTCTTCCTTTACTTCCCTGCCTCGTCTATCGCTTCCCCACCACATCACCGCTCCTCTCGCCGTTCCTCCTCGCATTTCTTCACAATGGGTGGCCATCTCGATCCTAAGAATGGAGTGTGAGTTTTCTGCCTCGTCTTCTCGTCCTGGCCGCTCCCTAGCTTTTCCGGGGGCGGTTACCGTGCGGCCTCGTCTACGAGATCTCCGCCCATGTCCTTTTCCCGGATGGCTCTGATTAGGGCATATCTGTAGCTGCTTTGCCAATCGTGATTGCTGACTCGTGATGTTTATAGTTTCCTGGGCTGGTGGGGTGATCTCGGTATGTCTATGACCTCGGCTTGATTTGGCCGCCTTGGAAGCGACTCGAATGGCAACAATATCGGTTTGCTGGGCCTATTACTCGCAATGGCCCGACAGATTCGAGAACATGCGACACAAATGGCGAAAACATGCAATTGTGCCCCGGTACCCTTGCTGACATGGGTGTCTCCGTCATCTAGGATGCCCTACTCCCCAGCGCATCACCTCCTACGCTATGTCCCCTAACCGTCAGCGCCCTCTCGCCGGTGCCGGTCACGCCGCCATCTTCAACGTCTTCCGCAGATTCAGACACCAGGTCCTCTACGTTGCTCCTCCCTTCATTGCCGCTTACGCTATCATGAACTGGGCCATTGAGAGGTATGCACCCTTTCCCGCAGACGTCCAGGCCCGATTTTACAGATGAGGTCGGTAATTCAGTGTCTGGGAGCTGACATTTGGGCCCACTATAGGAACGAGTACCTCAACTCCAAGCCCGGCCGCCTTGCCGAGGGTGGTGACGAGTAAATGTAACGTGCAAGCCAAGGGATCCTTGGGGGAAGGGATAGCATTGGGCAATACGAAAAGCCTAGATGTGTGATTGCACTGTACAGTAACTAGAAGCAATCGAATGTGTTGCAATGTTTTTAGTTGTCTTGACCGCGCGTGGGGTGCATCAGTAGTAATGGGTGGACTCGTATAGGTCGGCTGGATTCCACATCCGGTTGGATTCAAACCGTAGTGTTGTCTGCCAATCAACGGCGGCCCAGGCTCTGCCCGTCGGGCCTAGGAAGTATCCCACGCCTTCTGGGAGGGTCAATTGGCCATTGGAGTTCCCTTTAAATGTCTCGCGTGCTAGATGATGCTGCCCAAGTGCCCGAAGGTGATGATCGTGGTACAGGTTGGGGGCATGCGAATTGCCTTGGCCGTGATACCTAGAAGGTCTTTGATCAACATCAACTACACCGGCGATTGGATAGGGCCAATGGAATGACCAATTGCCTGACCAACCATGGATAATTTCCTTAACAATAGTAATAATGATAAGAGCGCGAGGTTGAGGAGGTCGTGGTGGATGCTGTCATGGCGCGAAAGATCTGATACGGCGGCCAAACCCACCGGGCAGGCCAGGAAAATACCGAAACGGGCGACAAAAGAGAGAAAAACCCACCTGACTGGCCCTCGCGGCCGCCCATAAATTACCGCCGGTAACTGGCCGTACATACAATTTTTCTGTTTCTGGTTTTCTCTCCCCCACTCCGCATGCGTTCGTCTTTCTTCTCTTCTTTCCTTCCCTCTTCCTCTTCCTCCTCCTCTTCTCTTCTCCTCCGTCTTGCTACAGCTTCACGCCTTACTCTTCCTCGTCCCCGTTCTCTCCATCCCTTCCACTCCATCACAATGAGCGACATCACTCACCCCACCATCAAGGGTATGTATCTTCCCTTATCCGCTACATCCTCAGCCCACCATCGACCACCCCTCCATCGCTAGCCATCTACCCCGCCTCGTGTACCCTCAATCCCCAAACTCACCATCCCAATCCACTCAATGGATCGACTTCCGTTTATGACTGCTCAATGAGCGCAATATCAGCTCAATTCCATGTTTTCTACTTGCTACCCCGCTAGAGCTACCCCTCTTGGCTAATCCTCATTCTTTGCAGATGGCTGGTTCTCCGAGCAGTCTGGCATGTGGCCCGGCCAGGCCATGAACCTCAAGGTTAACCAGATCCTGCACCACGAGAAGTCCAAGTACCAGGACGTTCTCGTCTTTGAGAGCAGCGACTACGGCACCGTCCTCGTCCTCGACAACGTCATCCAGTGCACTGAGCGCGATGAGTTCTCGTACGTTGACTCTCTTGTGACATATCCCTGTGTCACTTTGTAGAATCAACAAACAGTTGCGCTAACTGCCATGGCTATAGCTACCAGGAGATGATCACCCACCTGGCCATGAACTCCCACCCCAACCCCAAGAAGGTCCTTGTCATCGGTGGTGGTGACGGTGGTGTCCTCCGTGAGGTTGTCAAGCACGAGACTGTCGAGGAGGCCATCCTGTGCGACATTGACGAGGTAAACAAGAGAAAATCCCCGTACCTCCGTGTCGTGTTAGAATGTGTGGCTCATGGTTCCAGGCTGTCATCCGTGTCTCCAAGAAGTACCTCCCCGGCATGAGCATCGGCTTCCAGCACCCCAACGTCAAGGTCCACGTTGGCGATGGTTTCAAGTTCCTCGAGGAGCGCAAGAACGAGTTCGATGTTATCATCACCGACAGCTCTGACCCCGAGGGTCCCGCTGAGAGCCTCTTCCAGAAGCCTTACTTTGAGCTCTTGCGCGATGCTCTGCGTGACGGAGGTGTCATCACCACACAAGGTTGTTCGTCGCCTTTACTTTGTCCCTCTTGCCCTTACCCATGCTGCCCTTTCTCTCCTTTCCTGCTCCTCCACCTCCGAAATTCTTACTTTACTATTTGTGCGTTTTTGTCATGGATTGCGAAGCTAACTAAATTGCGTCCCAAACACCCGATTCCTATTTCGGAATCGGTTTGGGTTCGTGTTTTCTATGCGTACAGCCGAGAACCAATGGCTCCACCTTAAGCTGATCACCGACCTCAAGAAGTCCTGCAAGGAGGTCTTCCCTGTCGCCGAGTACGCCTACACCACCATCCCCACCTACCCCTCCGGCCAGATTGGCTTCATGGTCTGCTGCAAGGACAAGGACCGCAACGTCAAGGAGCCCATCCGCAAGTGGTCCCGTGAGGAGGAGGAGCGCCTCTGCCGCTACTACAACCAGGACATCCACCGCGCCAGCTTCATTCTGCCCAACTTTGCCCGCAAGGCTCTGGACGCTTAGACTAATCAAGTTTTGTCGTTCTCTGTTTTGGGTGTGGCCTCCTCCGTTTCGAGGCCTTACGGCGGCTGATAATCGATGATGATCTGACGATGATGAATATAACAAAAAGATTTCTGCTGCTTACACCTGATCATATCCCATCGATGCTTCCACAGATGACCTGTGAGAAGCCATCCGATGGATCTAAAAATTAGTAGTTCCATAATACCACATGATTTAACGTCACAAGAAGTGGAGATATCATCATCCTTCAAACCTTAAACCGTCAATGCATGTAGTTAAGTGTTGCCGCAAATGCAAATGCAGCTTGGCTTAGCCCACTTACACCTCAACCTGGCGGTATTCTTCCGTTTAAGTGCAATTCATACAATTCTACCAAGGCCAGTGTATATATATACCAAAGGGGAAACAAATCTCGTGTATTTTATCTTGAAAAATTCGTTAAATTAGGACTTCTCCCTGGGGTATCATTGCCCTCAGGGATCAACATCGTCCCGGATACTCATAAACATGAAACAGTACAATCCATCACGACGCTAACACAAGACGTCTACAGAATCTGCTGGAAAGCACGGTTGATGGGGGAGCGGACAGGGAAGCCCTTGTAGAAGTCGATGGTGGCAATGGCGCGCTTGCTGATGCCCTCAGGAGTGAACTCGAATTTCTGTAGGCAAGTGAATTAACATGTGGGTTCATTGACTGAGTAGCGAGATAGGGATGTGTGAAGCTTACCTTGTAGACATCCTTGTAGGGGCCGGAGGCACCGAAGCGGTTGAGACCGAACTGCTCGTGAGCGTAGCGCTCCCAGCCCATGGTGGTGAGAGCCTCGACGGACAGAACGGGGATGCCGTCGGGGAGGACCTGCAGCTGGTAGGCCTTGTCCTGAGCATCGAAGACCTCGAAGCAGGGGACGGAGACAACGCGGGCAGCGACACCGTGCTTCTCCTTGAGGTAGGTGGCAGCCTCGATACAGATGCTGACCTCGGAACCGGTGGAGATGAGGGTGACAGCAGCCTCGGGGGTCTCGACGGCGACGTAGGCACCCTTGAGAGCCTTCTCGATGGTGGAGGCCTCGAGCTGGGGCAGGTTCTGACGGGTGAGGGCCAGGATGCTGGGGGTGTGCTTGGAGGTCAGAGCAGAGTAGTAGGCAGCGCTGGTCTCGTTGCCGTCAGCAGGGCGCCAGACCATGCAGTTAGGCAGAGCACGGAAGTGAGCCAGGGTCTCAATAGGCTGGTGAGTAGGACCATCCTCACCCAGACCGATGGAGTCGTGGGTAGCAACGTAGATGGTACGGACACGGGAGAGGGCCGACAGACGGACAGCACCGGCGGCGTAGGAAACGAAGTTCAAGAAGGTACCGCCAGCGGGGATGACGGTGCCGTAGGCGGCAAGACCGTTCATGACAGCGGCCATGGCGTGCTCACGGACACCGTAGCGGAGGTAGCGGCCGGACCACTCACCAATGCCGTACTCGGGGGGCTGGAAGTCAACAGCGTTCTTCCAGCGGGTGTTGTTGGAGCCAGTCAAGTCGGCAGAGCCGGACAGAAGCTCGGGGACGACATCGTGGATCTTCTCCAGAACAGCCTCGGAGAGCTTACGGGTAGCAACGGCAGCGTCGCTGGGCTTGTAGGTGGGCAGGCTCTTCTCCCAGCCCTCGGCAAGCTTGCCGGAGAGACGGCGGGTGAGCTCAGCGTGCTCCTTGGGGTACTCGGAAGCGTACTTCTGGAGGAGCTGGTTCCACTCCTGTTCCTTAGCGGCACCATCGGAGGAGTGCTTGTGGTAGAGATCGTAGACCTGCTGAGGAACGGCGAAGGTCTGCTTGGGGTCAAAGCCGAACTGCTGCTTGACATTCTCGCAGTCATCAGCCTTCAGGGGGTTACCGTGGACACCACCAGTACCCTGGAGCTTGGAACCGAAACCAATGGTGGTAGTCAGGCGGATGACGGAAGGCTTGTCAGTGACAGCCTGGCACTTCTTGATAGCGGCCTCAATGCCCTCGAGGTCGTTGTCACCGTCCTTGACGTACTCGGTGTGCCAGCCGTAGGACTCGAAGCGCTTCATAACATCCTCAGTGAAAGCGCACTTGGTGTCACCGTCTGCATCACAAACCTCGATTAGTAAACCTATTTCAGTGGTGAAAGCAGGGTGAGCAAGCGGGGCTTACCAATGGAGATTCCGTTGTCGTCGTAGATGGCAATCAGGTTGCCGAGCTTCAGGTGACCAGCCATCGAGGCAGCCTCGCTGGCAATGCCCTCCATGGCGCAGCCATCACCGAAGAAGCAGTATGTGAAGTTGTTGAAGAGGTCGAAACCGGGCTTGTTGAAGACAGCAGCGGAGTGGCGCTCAGCGATGGCCAGACCGACGGCGTTGGCGAAACCCTGACCCAGGGGACCGGTGGTGACCTCAACACCGGGGGTGTCGTGGGCCTCGGGGTGACCGGGGGTGATGCTGTCGAGTTGCTACACGAGCACGACGGTTAGGGAAAACCTACAATGGCCCTGCTAGGGATTGGGGGAAAAAAATACATACTCGGAAGCTCTTCAGGTCATCGAGGGTGACCTTGTAGCCGAAAAGGTGAAGGAGAGCATATTGGAGCATGCAGCCGTGGCCGTTGCTGTAGCCTATGTCAGTATACACTCTAGTAAGAAGGAAAATCAAGGTTAAGACTTACGAGAGCACAAAGCGGTCACGGTTGGCCCAGTCGGGATTTTGGGGGTTGAAGTTCATGAACTTGTTGAAGAGGACGTGGGACACGGGAGCCATGCCCATGGGGGCACCGGGGTGACCGGAGTTGGCCTTGAAGGTGGCATCAACCTAGAGGACAGTTAGCTCAAATTGCCAACAAGACATTCCTCCGATGAAGGTATCACTCCGCCATCCGTGAGTGGTCAAAGGCGTGGTCGCCGAGGAGATTAGAACCGTGCTTTGGAGCTACACAATAGCCATTCTTAAGCACGGGAGGCAATGCTCCGCGGAGACCTTGTGATACCAAGATTGGCCTTCCGGTGCCGGAGCTCCAGAGAAGCTCTATCACACCGTGATCGGATGGGAGTGAGATGGAGGGGGAAAAGCAAAGGGAGGCATACCGCGAGCACACGGATGGTGTTGACGGCCAATTGATCCAAGTCGGTGTAACCCATGATTGCGGTATCTGGAGAGCAGGAAGCAGGGTTAGGAAATTGTTGAATGGGGACCGAAGTTGTTGGGGAAATGAGGGGAGCGGCATACTATTTAAATGCTTTCGTCAATCAAACCAGGATTGCTTTTGGGGAGGGAATAAGCGGGATGATCCAACAAAGAATGTCAGACGGGAAAACCACCGCGAGATGAAGAGTGAGATGACTGAGGAGAAGAGAGAAAAAAGGAGAAGAAGGAGAAAGAAGAAGGAGGGATTGGGAACGGCGAGGAAAAGCGAGCCAGGCGGGCGGAGTGGGATGGAGGGAAGAGAGAAAGGTGGGGGGGCAATGATGTCTGTGGTGGGGCGCCCTTTTTCACCGGCTGCTCGGAGGGGGTTCGACTCGCTGCCAACGGCAATTCTGCTGCTGCTGTTGCTGCTGTTGCTGCTTGTTGTTTCGTCTCTTTACCTACTGTCTGCTGGATCGGCTATTGCTATTCAATTGCCATTGATTGAGTCATGTCCGACCCCGTGACGGGAGATAAGTACACGGCCCGGGGGGAGCGAGAGCGAGAGGGAGAGTGAGAGCCATAGCTCTGGCGATGATGATGATGTATGCCGTCTGCCCCTCCCCCGCTGCCTCAGGCAGGGCGGCCCCTCCGGACTCGCTGCAACCAACCCTTCAAGCTTGTAAGCTACGAAGAACGACAATGATATTAATCATATCCAGATATCCAGATATTTAGATATCCAGGCAGGTGCTCGTTGGTGCAATGAATCATACACTCGCCACTTATCTATCATGCTGCTTAATCGTTGAATGTCCCCGAAACGCCACCAGTAGTTCTTGTGTAATCCTCCGTTTCCCTCCCAACCATTACATGACGATTGCAGCTACATAGCACATACATACAGTACAGTAGACCATGACTTGCCTGCTGTACCCCAGTCGAGTCAGTCGTTACATTGGCATCTTACCTGTCATATCGAGCACGCAGATCTTTCTGAGTTGGCCGTCCAAGCTGCACCGCACACCAATAGCTATAAGCCCCTCGACCACCCCTCCAGATACCTAGAGTCCAGACACCAGAAACGGGCATATTATTATTCCTCATTCAACAACCAAGTCCCAACTCAGCAATTTTCCGAACGGTCCTCTTCAAGGAACCCCCCGTCAGCCGGAGCCAGGCCCAGGCATTAGTCACCCCGACTGTTTCTGCCCGCTGGGTCCGGAGGACGCTGCTCCGCCAACGGGGAGGGCGGCTAGCTCAGTTAGTCCTCCGTCGTAGGAAGATAGGTAGCCCAGGCACTCTTTCCCAACTTACGGAGTCCGGATTCCAGATGGAAACGGAGCACACCCCTCCATCAATCCTCTCGTTCGCATGATGAATCGGGCGGGTTTCTTCGGTTGAACTCGCCCTTGAAGATTTTTTCACCTCTCTTTTCTTCAGACCGGCTGACTAGGATGTAATCCCTCCAACCAGGCATATGAAGCTCTGAACCAAGGTAGCCGGCGTGACCTGAGCCCTGTCGGACCTTAGCAAATCCACTATGCAGCTAGCTACGGAGTAGTTAAAAGGGCTCTAACCCCTCCCCTCCCCCCCCCTCCGACCCGACCAAACCAAACCACAGTTTCCGGGGTGTGAAGGGATCAAGGCACCGTGCTAGCAAGGTTAATGCCGCTCAGTTCGAACGGGTTCCCGCCTGGTCCAATCCGCATTCAACCTTGGGGAATGCGCCCAGGACATTGGCTCGAATTGCTGCTTGGGCAGTTGGCTGCAGTCATATATAGTGCACTGGGCTGGAGGGGCTGGCCTGGAGCTATACATTCAGATGTACAGAGAGAACTGTCAAGCAATTATGCTCTGCGCTAGCTCTGAGCTGTTGCATATGCCTTTCAATCTGTTGATAGGAACTAACCACCACGAATGATATCATACACCTCATCCGGAATCTGGTCTACAGATACGTGGAATAATTTGCCGACATGCGATGGGCTGATACTCATGTCCAGATGTAACATATACGTAGAATTATGGTGGCACATAGACTAGACCTAGAACAGTAGTCCTCTGCAGGAACCGAAGCAAAACCAAGACTCCCTGTACAGACCAGGTATCACAAATGAAACTAAGGAGCCAAAATTACATGTCCTCTCGCTCCATTCCTAAACCCCAAAAACAATGCAAACTCCTCGACACCAATAGTCATTGCGTTCATGAAAAGTGCTGCCTTCGAAGCAGGGTGCCTCAAACGGCCAGCCGTCGATCCCATCCATTGATCAGGGCAAACTCATCGGCTTCGTCTTCCACCGCCGGAATCATGACACTCCGGAAGGAGCCCAAAAAGCTGGCTTGTTCTTCCGGTGAAAGGCGCATGTCGTTAAATTGCACCCCATCGTCTGCACTGCCTTCATCGGAGTAGCTGAGGACACTCTGTGCGGGGAGTTCCTGATTGGGTGGCACATCGCTATTGCTACTCGCTGACCACGCCTCGGGTGACAATCCTTGCAGCTCCGTCTGTGGCGCCGATAACGGTGCCGCCAATGGATCCCCCTTCTGGACGAATTCGGCAGTGAGCGAAGCGAAGGGGCCACTGTCTTCTCCGCATTCCCGTCCCCCATAGATTCCCGTGAAAATATTCGAGTAGCCTCGGTCCATGTCACTCAGGACAAACTCCCAATCGGACACTGTGATGGGCCCTCCGGGAGGATCCGAAGGCGCGGAGCTAGAGAGCATGTGGCTACCATCGTACGTTCCGGAAGCTGAATGATAGGCGGTCTTGTTCGTAGGCATGTTTGGCGCGTGGAAGTTGTCCGGCGGTAGACTGGTCCAGCTAGAGGATCTAGCATGACGTTGGGCGGCGTGAGCACTCGGCCCGCAGATCGTGGCCCGCCGAGATGGCGAGTCTGGTGCTTCCTGATGGGTTGGACCTGACGTCCCACTCAGACGCGATTTCCAGGACTGAAGTTGCCTCCTAGGAGACTTTAGGGGTTTCTGCAAAGGTGGCGACATGTCCTGGGGTCTACCAGACGACCCGTGCTTGCTGTTACTCAGCGAAACCAGAACACCAGCCAAAGCGCTGAACTCGGCGGCGGATGACGACTCCTCCGATTCCAACTGATCGATGACTGCGGTGAGCAGCTTCTGGCTCTCCTTGACAAGCTTGCTGTCGCGCTTCAGGCCGATGTTTTGCCATAGAAGACCAAGTCCTGCGGCAAAAACCAGCTCTTTTCGATTGATACTCACAGAAAGACAAAGACGCCTCTCGTCAAGCAATTCGAGGATCTGAATGATATGTTTGGCCGAATCGGAAACGACAAGGATAGAAGGCGATCGAACGTGTTCCTCGCCAAAACAGACCGCAGGGCGATGAATCAGTGAACGGATGTAATAATAGACGAGAGACTGAGGAAGTTAGTGAATGCACAAGATGGCCAGGTACCGGCTTAGGACTTACCAGAAGCGGCGACCGGCTGCTGGTAACATTGGTGCTCGGCTTGTCTTGGGAGAACTCAAGGCGGAGATGAGCAGGCAAGCCCTTCACCCACTCATCCAATCGCTCTGCAACTGAGCGCAGCTTCGACAGAGGAATATCGTATCCTCCATCAGAAGGGTAGATATCTTCCAAAACCTTGTTCAATACCCGTGATGCTGCGAACAACGCAATTGCACTTGAGATGCGGGTCGACTCGCCAGGAAGAGTGGGCAAAAAGCCCGTTTCTGTGACATTCTCGTCATCAATATCCTCAGGGTACTCGGTCTTGACATCCTCCTCACGTAGTAGGACAGGTAAGCCCGTCAACGCGGCGGTGAATCTATTGATTGTTAGAATAGGAGTGCCCGACAAAAATCGCACAGGGCTGGCTCACCGATCAAGAGCGTATTGACACCAGAACACTTTCTTTCGGGTTTCTGCCACAAGGGCATTCGACGAGAAGCGTTTCTGGCTCTGGTGCAATCTTAACTGTTGACTAAGACTCACGGCGAGACCCCGATAGCGTAAAAGACTGGTGTAATCGCCCTTTATCATGCAGTACATTTGAGCGAGCACATAACATTGCATTGTCGGTAGAGATATATCGCTTGAGATTGATTCGAGAATGGATGACCAATTGTCCTCGAAAAAGGCAGGGTCCTGGTTGGTTCTCGACTATCCAGACAATCAATTCCTGATCTTTTCTGTCAGACTAGGTTTGGAACATACCATAGAAGTAAGAGCGGCGATGCCGAAAATGAGGTTCAACTGCGCCAAATCATGCTTGCTCCCCTGCGATGATTCCATGCCCGAAAGATACTGCTCATAAGCTTTGAGGATAGTGGGCCGGTGAACCACTGGGTAAAGGGGAGCCCATTCTTGGAAAAAGATGTTGATAAGTTGGTCGGATACAAGCCGAGGCGCTGTTCGGATGGTTTGATCGACACGCGAATGAGAGATAGTAGGGGGAGTCGTTAGGGTTTTGATTGAGACACTGGATGACAGTCGGTTTTGTTCTACAAGCTTGTTTGTGAAAGCATCTGAGTAAGGTTAGCCATGGTTCATCCCGGGAAAACTTGTCCTTCTTGTCTGGAGTGTTTGCGCAGAACCCCATTTAAAAAGCAGGCAGGGACGGTGGGACATACCAACAAACCCGCGAGTATTCGACAATGCTGCACTCTCAGTCGAGCCCGACTCGTTAGGCTGCACCAGATGCTGAACCTGGATCATGCCCTCATCCGCATCGGGTGCACTGGGTCTTGCAGGCGCCGATGGTGATGTCGCTGCAGCACTGGACCTTTGGCGTGAGGGAGAGAAAGAGTGAATGCGAGAAAGGACATCGATTTTTTCATCTTTTTCGTCCAGCAAGTTCTTAAGGTCCCTGACTTCGGACTCCAGGGCACGCACTCGTTCCTCCAACGACTCGGTGTATCCACGGGGGAAGGCACGGCGACTCAGCTTGTCGCTAGTTTTGCATTCGAAACCGACATTGGCGCATTGGGTGCAACATGGACGGATGCCGTCGCAGCGAATCTTCTTGCTTCTGCATCGATCACAGGCCTGGGCGATACGACTCTGCGAGCCGTTCCCGACCTTGATCACTTTCATCGGGAGAATTCCAGGCATATTGGCTGGATGCTGTGGCGCATCTGCCTTTCAAACGGATTGGGTTGGCGCCGGGCTTGCGAGTGTTTCGACTACACCCGGGGAACTTGGAGAGTTGGACGACGCGCACGTCTTAGGTCACCAGTAAGACGAGTCCGGGGCTAGGCGAAGTTTTCCGGAAGGGAGGTGGGTGTGAGTAAATGGGCGTCGAAGTCTAGGAAAGACAAGAGGATAAAGTCGGGGGAGGATGTTTGAATGTTTGAAAGGGAGGGAAAGTGGGAAGAGAGTGGCGGTGGTAAGTCAGGAACGATGGTAGCAAGTGAAGATGGAGAGAGAGAGGGCCGACGGGGCAGAAGTGAGCCGAAGCAACTTTTCGATGTACGGCGCAGGTAACAGGCCTTGGTAAGATTGTTCCGCGGTGCGGGCTGAGGACGTACCGGCTCAAAAGGGGGGCAGGTGGGGCTACCCATGTGGGTCATGCGCTGGGATGCCGGCCAATCCCGGTTGTCGGCTCGCTCATTTGCTCAGCCGACCGCCGGTGGACTTCAATCAGTCACTGGATTTGAAGGTTGGAGTTGCTCGCCCCCGTATTACCCGTACGGTCAGTCTGGAGCCGCTGAGGTTATTCAGATGTGAACAGTGGAACACCCCGTTCCTCGGCAGTTGGGGACAAACACCTGATGCCCGCCCAACCATCATCCTTCCGGAGGGATGAGCTGAGAAGGTGGTATCTGCGGAGTAGACACGGTGTTGCTCCATTCCGGCCTACTACCTTAAATGATCCGCCGTCTACTGTTATCTCCAGTATCTAATGCGGGTAAATGCTACTACTTACTGACTAGTATCTAGTAGTAGAAGCTGGACCTGAACGGAGTATCCTATCGGAGAACCAGCAAGGCACAGCAATCTACTCCGTACGGCGCATCTCCATCGGCATCCCCTCGCGGCCACCTTATCAGGGACAGAAAAGAGTCACTGACAGGCCCCCTGCTCCCGTGTCACTGACTCGGCACTGGCAGCGCCAGCGGCAGGCACGATTTCCGTCCAAGGAAAGTCCCCAGCAGACGTGGTCTGCGGCCACTAATGTATGATAAATGGCAGCGGTGCAATAAGACCTCCTTTCACCGGAAGATCCTACATTAATTCCCCCCTGGCGTGCCAGAAGGGCAAGTGATTGGCGAGCAAGCACAGGGAGTATGCGGCCAGACATGATGGTCGTCGTATCAATGTCGTCCAAGTTATCGCCATATCTAATCATATCGTCACGATCTTGCCAAGGCCCATGGTTGCAATTCCACCCCCTCCAAGCACGGATTCTCTTGGAAGAAATGGAGAAGGTGCAAGGACTAGTATGTAGATGAACCATACAAAACCGAAACTAGCAGGACGCAAGTGCGGTCCGGCTCTTAAGAATCACAGGTAATCCGAGCCAGCAAAGCTGTCGCGGATTCCACCGGACTCGCGGTCCGACAGCTGAGGCGATGGAGATCAATCTTGCCAATTGTCCAGACTTTAGTATTACGCCAATCCATCCTCGGTACCTTGGTTGGAGGGCGACTCCCCGCAATTCGGAACCAATTTGAACCGGGAGTCCAGGACACTTGATCAGGGGCGACATTGACTGGAAGGCAATTAGCACCAACTATCTCGACACTCGTCTCTGAAACAAATACTTCACCCTTCTGGAGAAAGCAGCACTGGCTGAAATGGTTTAACACAGGAAGCGCGGAAGCAGCCCTGTTGTTATCTCCAGTGGTGATAAAGCGGGGTGGGGAACGAACCCGAGTGTTTGCCGAACCATACCCGTTTGAGTCAGGGCCTTTGTCCCTTGGTTCTGGAAATGAGCTGCCTGATGCGGTGTTGCCACTTTTCCCCCGGCGTTCGCGGCTAGAAGATCGTGGAGAGCACATCCCTCTGCTTACGGGTGATTCCTGATTATTATTCTCGTATTCCCATTGAATGAATGGCACAAGACCACCTCGGGATCGATCCTGCTTATTCCGGTGGAGACACCGGAAGATCTCATATAAGAGGAGCGCCTGGAGCGAACCTCCTCATCCTATTTTTTTTTTTTCTTTTTCAATTTTTTCCCCTTCTTCTTTGCTTCTGCAGGGCGGCAGAGTGTGACAACATTATCAATTACTCATCGTTATTATGCTTAATATATCATGACCTCGGTACTCCGAGGGATTTTCATTTCTGTTGACCGTTGCTCGGTGAATATTGGTCCTTGGCCGAGACTTGCCCGAGAAATCGCAGAGGTGGAGGCGGAAATCCCTGGAGCCGCCAGATGTTGGTTCGCCAACCACAGTCGTTTCAGTTACATGGTGTTACTTGTGGGTTACTTGAATGAGATGAACAGAGGCAACCCCCTGCTGTTATTGTTACATTATTGCCGCTGGTTCTTGACTAATCTACATCGGGCTGTCGGTGCTTTGCATTTCCCCTCCAGCCCAGGATCAGGACCAGGTTCAAAGAGGGGTGGCTGGCTGGCCAGACCCTCTTTCTCTCTGCCAGGCTATCAATCCCAGCCAGGGCAGCAGTCGATCATGACGGACCGGAGCTGTAGCGTGCATCAGGGCTGCCCCACGGCCGATAGAGTGATAGCACATCACACACCCACCGGGTGATCTACTATGTAGAGACTCAATACATGCACAGCTTATGCCATGCATCCATTCCCGGCCAAACATAAATACATCCTGTAACCCCCAGGTGTCCAGTTCACCTCCGATCAATCCATGAAACACAAACAACCACTTACTTACTCTCTGTGCGACATCGGCCCAAACTTTGTGCCTCGCAAATGCTAGCCCGCAACGTCATCACCCAAATAAAAAGATAGTTTGACGCAAATCCCTCCCCCGCCAAACTAGTAAATCTTGACGCCCAACTTTCCGGGACAATAGAAGACTAGTAGTACCGCATAGGATCTACACAGTATGTAAGGTGGGGCTGTATTTTTCGGTGTTTCGCTTTCAGTATTGTGCGCATCACTATCAACTACTAGTACCCTCCATCTCTACTATCTATCTATCTACATCGTCCTCATCCTGTCTTGGGCGTCTTGCACGACTTTACTTTTATAAGTACTTACTACCGACTCACACCTCAGGCAGCTGGTCCTTCCTATCATGATCCAGGTCGATTAGATCATTACCAATGACCCCTGTATAGAGACTCTGCCCTAACGTCTTTGCAGTTTGCTCTGGATAATGGGAACAGCGTGAGAAGAGCAGCTTTTGTTATGAAGAGACCTTCCTCACCATCACTGAATCCATCGAACCTCCCTCCTCCTCCTCCTTCATTACCTCATCTGCTCTCCCTCTGCGTGTTTTTGTTTCTCTTGCGTTCAAAAGAAAGATGCTCCTCGATCAGATCGAATTCCTCTATTTCTGAATCAAACTTTGCTTTGCTATACACATAAGCGCCATCAACTCTCGGACAATAGTCTAGTCATATTGATGCGGATCTCTGCATCACATATTGGGATTTCTCTGCCCAAATACCCAATCTTGTACTTCCTTTGTCTGTTCACCCCGTCCACTTCCTTATTCATCTAGAGTGAAATAATGCTATCCAAAGGGAGCAAGTAGAGTATATATAGTCCATGACCGAAAGATACTTTCAAGAATAGAAGCTGAGTATGTTCGATGTTACTAATGCTCCTATAAGGACTCCATAGATCAGATTGTCTAATGGTCTAAACAGAGGCGAGGCAGCAGGCTAGCTACTGGAACATGGGTCATATATCTTCGGATATATCTTCGGCCGGCAACTGGGTAGCTTATGCAAGCTATCTGTATGAAATCCACACATTCTACCGCACAACGTTTCTAGATAGACATTCTCCACGAAAAGGTCAGCAACCCACCACCACTACCAACCCTACTAAGCGCGTCTCTTGACTCTGATCTTAACTCCAGCCGGGGGCGCCTGCAGCTCTGCCACCTGCCGATTCGGTGGGCGCTGGCCTTTGTATTCGGGCGGGAACTCGATATCATAGTGCTTGAGGATGTATGCGACAATCATCTTCAGCTCAAAATCAACCAGGAAGCGGCCGGGACACGCGTGGCGCCCATGCCCGAAGGGCAGATAGTCCGGGGAGGTCGATACGAATGAATCCTTATGGTAGGCGGCTTTGGGGGCTTCGCCGTTGGCTTTCTCCTCCTTTTCGACGGGACGAGAGAACCGCCAGGGATCGAACTTATCGGGCTCAGAGAATTTGGCTGGGTCGCGCTGGGCCTGCGATGCTAGGAAGGCCACGATGGTGCCCCTTTTCAGAGGGATGCCGCCGTCGGTGACGACGTCGTCTTTCATGACCTTGCGCAGGAGGCCGCGGTTTCCGAAGGGGAATGTCACGCGCATCGACTCGCGGGCCACGCTGTCGTGGCCGTGCATGCGCTGGAATTTTTCCTTGGTCCAGGCACCGTCTGGACCGAGCTCGCGGTCCGCTTCGGCGCGAAGTTTGGCAATTGTGTCAAATTCGGGGTCGGAGTCGATGATGTTGAGGAGCATCTGCACGGCGGTGCCGGCCGTCTGGTGCATGCTGACAAAGTTGGAGGCCGCCAGGCGCGTGGCCATGATGCCGAGGTCATTGACCTCCTGGGGCCGTTTCTTCTGTGCGAATCGCAGCATGACCTGCAGCTGGTCTTGGGGTTGATCGTCCGTGTCTTTCTCGAGTGCGGCCAGCCGTTCGTGGTACTGCGGAATGATATGGTTCTTAATCTTGTTCAGGTTGCGCCAGGTATGTAGACTGGCAAGGCGGGCAGCGACAGGCAGGAGAATGCCGGGCAGACAGTTGCCCACAATAGCGGTGATCATAACCCCGTCGATGATGGACAGGGTACGCTTCAGGTAATCCTCGTTGCGGCAAAGGGGAAGCCCTACCGTGAAGCGGCTCGAGGAGCCCGCGACAATCATCCGTACGGCCTCGTCCAGATGTATCTCCTTCCAGGAGCTGGTGTCTGTGCCCAGGACCAAAGGCACAATGTGGTGCAGCTCATCGTCGACGGCCGGGATGAGTGAATTCATCATGTTGTTCAGCTGCGTCTTGACCAGGGCGAATTGCCATGGGTCACCCCAATAGCGCGAGTGTCCGAGCGAGTATGTCGATAGGTTGGCTTGGAGGAAGGCCTGCGAGACGCTCAGCACACTGTCGGGTTGCGCGGTGGTCCATTCAGTCGAGCTCTCTGGCAGGATGAGATCCGCTCGTCCTCCGTACCCGGGCACGAGAGCGGCTTTGCCGTGCTTGCCAAACTGTTCATTCGATTAGATGGCTCTCGACCCGAAGTTGGATGATGACCAACCCTATAGTACGCATCCGTGTACAACGCCGCGCAGTCATAGTAGTATCGCAGGCGCGACTTGAGGCTAAATCGCTTTGCGCCATCCGGCTCGCCTGCCAATGGCAAACCCAGGTTGTCATATTCACTGACCGCGAAAACAAACTTGTAAATGGTGACTGCAATGGCGAGAAGGCCAAAGACCGCGGCTGGTACGATCATCTCGCCCACACTGGGCACTACATAATCCGGGACCGAGACCATTGCGGATAACTGCTATTATGGACAAAGATTCGCTATGTCGTTGTAAACCGCAAGTCTCATGATTGTTGATTTGACAAGACAATATATAGAGGTTTCAGACGTGTGGTTCGAGGCCGTCTACGTCAGCGTTGGGCGTCGGAGTGTCCGGCGCAAGCGGAATACGGGATATGCCCTCGGCCGGGGTATCCATCCCTCAGAAACCGCGACGGAGTATTCCGGAAAATAGAGCTTAAACCATTCGACATCATTATTGCGCTCCAGTAGCAAAAGGGGGACTTAGCCGGTGCGGTTAAGCGGGTGTTTGTTGCTCATCTCCTTTTGTGGTGGATTTCGCGTTGCCCCTGATGGACCATTGATGCCTGCTCCCTATCAACCACTTCCCGATACACACAGCCCTCTAAAACAATGCCAATGTCCCATTTGAACATTGCCCAGCCTCTTACCCTGAGATGTGGCCTGACACTCCCCAATCGGGTGGTCAAGGCCGCCATGGCCGAAGGCCTAGCCGACAAAGATCTTCTACCGGGCAGTAAAGATTGTCTAAACGTGTACGGTGAATGGTCCAAAGGCGGCTGGGGGCTCGTCATCTCCGGTACACGTACTGTCATCCTCTCCGTCTTGAAGATCTTACTAACCATAGCTTCCTGCAGGCAATGTGCAAGTTGACCCTGAGCACCTGGGAGGCCCCGGTGACTTCGCCGTCAACGCCAGCCTTCCCGAATCCCGGGTCCTTGCTGCCTTTACGGCGTGGGCCAGTGCTTCCCAGCGTCATGGCACGAAGGCTGTTGTGCAACTCTGCCACCCAGGCCGCCAGATCGCCTTCAACCGGGGCACTGTCGCCCCTAGTGCCGTCCCCATGGACCTGGGGGACGCAATCGTACCGCGCCTCCTCAACGCTCTTGTCTTTGGCACCCCGCGCGAAATGACCGTTCAGCAGATCCAAGACACCGTCCGTCGCTTCGCTGAGGCCGCACGTGTGATGGCTGCAGCTGGCTTTGCGGGCGTCGAGCTACACGCCGCCCACGGTTACCTCCTCACGCAGTTTTTGTCGCGCAAGTCCAATTTGCGGGAAGACGAATACGGCGGGGACCCCGTGGGGCGCGCCCGGATTGTCGTGGAGATTCTTCAGGCCATCCGAGCCGCTGTGCCCACCGGGTTCTGCGTGGGAATCAAGCTCAACTCGGTGGACGTGGGCAGTGCGGTCGAAATGGGAGACTGCATCCAGCAGCTGCGGGCGATCACCGAAGCCGGCACTGATTTCCTCGAGGTGAGTGGTGGGAGCTTCGAGGATCCAAGTTTCAGCACGGGGTTGGTGGCGGAGCGGAAAAAGGCGAGCACGCTGGCCCGCGAGGCCTTTTTTGTCGACTTTGCGCAGGCGGTGCGCGCCGAGTTTCCCCATCTGCCGCTCCTGCTGACGGGGGGGTTCCGCTCACGTCGGGCCATGGAAGCCGCCGTCAAGGAGGCCAGCTGTGATCTTGTTGGGCTGGCCAGGCCATCGGTGATGGATCCGTTGCTGCCACGTACCGTGTTGCTGAATCGGCAGGTTTCGGAGGAGGATGCAATGGTGGAGGTGAAAAGAGTGCCCGGTAGCCCCCTGGCCAAAAGGCTCGGGGTGAAGCTAATTGGCGTCGGTCCGGAGAGGGTGAGTCCTGATCCTGATGCCCATACCTATACCGAGGTCATGGTTTGGGGGACTAACAGCTCTTATTCTTCTAGGACTGGTACACGGAGCGTCTTCAACGGATTGGCGCCATCAAGAGCTCGATCGTGGTCACTGGCACGGCCCCCGCCCTCGATACTGCAATTGTCCGCAGCATGTTCCGCCGGCCTAACCTGGCCAGGAACACCTACGGACTGTACGTCACGGCGCCTGGGGCCGAGACTCACCTGAGGGAAGGCCTCGAGGCCAGCGGGGGTTACCATGAGATCCTGACGCCCGGCTACACAGACCTCGCTGGGGCTCGTCGAGTGGCAGACAGCATCAATCAACGGGTCGCTATCGGATCGTTGCCGTCAATTCAAGCCTTGGTGCTTCACGAGAAAGACGAGGCGACGGCTTTTCTGTTAAGTCTTCTGTTGCTGCAAAGCATCGAACCGGATCGCGGCCGGATCATAGTGGTAAATCATAAGAGTCGGCGGGCGAAAGACTCTGACACCATGCTCTGGTGGTAAGGTTGTCATCATATCCCTGAGAATATAGACTGATCAGCCGACAGCAGTGAGTTGTCCGAGCGTCTGGCGGTGGATCCTGCACTGTCTAACATCACGGTGGCCGTGGTGGACCAGGCGTGCGAGCCAGTCCACTGGTTCGAACAGACACTGCTGGCAAAGGTCCTCATGTGGCTGGTGTCCACCTTGGTAATGCTACTATGGCCTGGCACAGAGACTGGGGCCATTCGACGGTCATCAGACGAGGTGGTGCGGGTGCTGGCCGACGATAGAAACGGGGTTTGGCTGAGTAGCAGGGCTGTGTCGGGATCCGATGTCGTAGATGTCAAACAAAGGAGAGAAGCGTGGCGCAACTACTTGGTGACAGCCAAGGTTAAGCAGGGAGATACGGCTTTAGCGAAGTGGCAGTGAGCTTCAATTCCAGAAATTTTGAAATTCTCTACAAACTTTGAGCGTAGTTCGTGAGGCTTTTTACTGTAGGCCCTAATGCCAGCACCAACCAAATATATATCCCCAATGTTCAGTTTGTAGAAGCCCAGCAGGAAGCCCTGAGGAAACTTTGTATGTGAAAGATTGATTGGATTAAAAATGCTAAAGAACTATTTAGGGGGTAACGGTCCAAATTATAGTTGACTGGACAAAATAACAAAAAGGATGATCACGTCTATCGTAGTGTACTTTTCGACCATCGAAAGAAACGAAAATGAGCAGAGAGAGAGAACATCGCACAAGCTGGCTAGCCCAAAAAAAGAAAATAAAAAAAGAACAGAACAAAAGCCGAAGCAAAAAATCAAGCCATTCCCCAAAGACCCTCCTTCGTCGTTCGCTTTGCCGCAAAGGCAATGAAACCGCCAAACACCGCCATTGAACCGCTAAACATACAGCATTCGAAATAGCCACCATACCGAGCAGTGATGGCTCCATTGATAGGAGGTCCAACCAGAGCCCCAAAGCCTGAAATCGCCATTCCCATGCCCATGTAGGTACCAATATCCCGGGGGTTATCAGGGCAGCTGGAGAAGGTGGCCGAGGCGCCGGAAACAATGGCACCGGAGCAGAAGCCGAAAAAGATCGCATAGACAATCAAGCCGGCGTTGCTAGTGGCGCTGGTCATACAAAATACCAAAATGCCAGTAATGATGCCACCAGCGGCAAAGGTATTCAGACGACCAAATTTGTCGGCCAGTATGCCTGGAACAATGCGCCCGAAGGTCGAAGCAGCGTTGACCATGGACAGCAGGTACCCAGCCAGCGTTGCACTCATGCCCTGGGTGGTGGCGTAGGTGGTGAGGTAGAACATCGGGGTAAACATGCCAATGAACATGAAGAAAAGGGCGACAAAAAGCATGACGAAGCGCGGTTGCTTGTAGGGGGCCAGAAGGAAGAAGTGGGTTTTCCGCGGTGGCACACGAGACTTGATAGCAAAGCAGGCCAACCCAATGAACGGCAATATCACAAAGGCAACCACGCGGACCGTCCATCCAAATCCTAGCGAGGAACCGTTGAACCCCTTGGAGAGGATAATGGGCATAACGACTCCACCAATAGAAGACCCAGCAACGGCAAGCCCTAGGGCTCCAGCTCGATTTTTATCAAAATATTGCGACACCGCTGCGAAGGCCGGGATTTGTAAGAAGCCCATCACCAACCCGATTAGGACACCCTGCACGAGCATGGTCTCCCAATAGGTCTTGCATACACTCAGTAGCATGAGGGCGACGACGTAGAGGAGTCCGGCAGGCCAGAAGACCTGTTCCCCGTTTCTATCAGCGCAAGTCCTGGTTAAGTCCGAAGGGAAGAAGACGTACCTTGGCACCATAACGATCAAAAAGTGGGCCTCCCAGCATGCCCGAGAAGAATTGCAAGAAGGATTGCAGCGAGCCAATCCACGAGATGGCGCCCTCGGTATCGCCTTTCAATTGGTGGGTTAAGTAGTAGTCCTCGAAGGCACCGAAAGAGTTGGCGAGGCCCAGGGTGCAGAAGAAGACCGAGCCTGCACCAGCTGCCACCAGCCAGGCGCGGAGACCACCGTCTGGAGCTGGACCGACTTCAAATTCATCTGAAGGTCCTTTCTCCGAGACATTCTCATGACGAGGTTCCTGGTCTGCGAAGATCATAGATTGCTCCGATCCGTCGTGCGACCGGGGTGTTCGTTCAGGTGCTGTTGAACTCATGGCGTTTGAAATAAGGAAACGGGTAAATAATAAGAAGAAATAGGTTCTTTGTTTTTGAGAGAAGGAACATAGAGGCATGCATGGTAATGGCCTTTAAATAAGTCGATATGAAGCAGATAAAGCAATCCCCCTACTACTACTACAACAACTACTTCGGACTCGGCGCGGGCTCGGACTCGGACTCGGGTTCGGTGGCGGAGTCGGGGTCCGGGGAAATCCCCCGACAGCTATTTCCGGGGGATCGATCGCCTTGCTTCTTTCTACCCATTAAAGCGGAGAATCCGCTGCTCTCCTTCCAGGCTTCATTCCAGCTCTCCATCCTTCCTCATCACTACATCCAGTATGGAGAGACACCGACGTCATGCGACATCCTGCTTGCTGTGTCGTAAACGAAAGATCCGATGCAATCGCGAACAGCCATGCAGCAACTGTCGGCGAGCGCGGGGCGGCTCGTGCATCTACGAAGGGCCCAACCAGCCTGTTGCCCCCCAGAACAGTGTTGGTCAAAATGTCACAGGCAGCCCTCAGGCAGGAGTCTTGCCAACCGTAACAGCAGCCAATGCCGGTGCTGTGCTCTTCCCCAGCGGGCCATCGAGTTCGACCGGGCCATTGACACCGAGTAGTCGAGCCTCTCAGCAAGACGAGGAATTACAGCTGTGTAGATACCGAATTCGCGAGCTGGAGAAGAGAGTGGCTACGGCGACCCTGATGCGATCTGTATCTGCGGATCCAGCTCCAGACCACGACATCGAGATTGGCAGTTCCCGTCTGAGCGGACCTTTCCACATCCACTGCAGACGAGCGGCGGACGGTCAGCCCGAGACCATCGTCCAGAGTGTTAGTCTGAAGACGCGATTGTTTGGACAGAGTCACTGGGGCGTCAGTGGATTCTCTTTTGTAAGTCTTCCGGAGAGCAATGTGTACCGGGGAGTGGAGAGCAGGCAGACACTGATACCGCCAGATTCGAGACATCTTGACCATGCTCGAACCCCACCTCAGCCAAGAGTCGTCCAAGGCATGGATTGGCTTGGAGAAGTGCAAGGCGCTGTCCAGGTGCATCAAGGTGCGACGTGCGAAATCCTTACCCTCGCATCCGACTCCCAACTTGCCTCCCCGAGAACTCGTCGACCAGCTCGTCGATGCCTACCTTCGCACCACCGAGTCAATTTATCGGATTCTCCATGTGCCTACCTTTCGCAGACAGTACAACGCACTCTGGTTGAGCGACAACCAACTAGCAGATGTGGGATTCGCCGCCCAGCTCAGGCTCGTGCTGGCCATCGGCGCAGTCACATACGACGATACATTTTCCCTACGCTCCTCCGCCTTGCAATGGGTGCACGAGGCCCAGCTTCTAGTGGCACAGTTGAAGTTTAAATCGGCGCTGACCATTCAGGCCCTTCAGAATAACCTCCTTCTGCTATTTGCGCAAGAGCGCCTAAATACAGGGGGGGAGTCAGCCTGGGTGTCCTTGGGCACCCTCGTTCGGAAATCCATGTACATGGGCCTCCACCGTGACCCCGGAAATCTCCGCCAATACTCGTTTCTCATGGTGGAAATGCGTCGCCGGATCTGGAACACCATTCTGGAGGTAAATCTTCAGGCTAGTTTGTCATCTGGTGGGTCACCACTGATCACACTGGGCGACTTCGACGCAGCCCCTCCGGGCAACTTTGATGACGAGCAGCTGGAGGCGACCGATCCTGTGGCAAGTGTTGGATTCACTAAGACCTCCATCACGATCGCGCTCCGCCGAACGTTCCCTCAACGGCTCGCGGTCGTCAAGTTTCTGAACGATCTGGGCTCGCCCCAGACCTATGATGAGACGCTCCGTCTAGACGCCGAGTTGCGCGAAGTGTACCGAGAGCTAATTCACACACTACGTCCGGGAAGCCAGTATATCAGCCCGCAGGGCCCGGCCCCACTGGAAATCCAGATGGTGGACTTCCTCATGCACCGATATCTTTTGTCCTTACACGCCCCATATTTCGGGTCCGGCCTGCACGGTGCGGAATTTGCTTTGTCCAAGAAGACCGTGGCCGAGTCCTCGCTACGTTTATGGCTTGCGGCCTGTCCGTCACCGCTAATGGGTGGCGTGGAGGAATTTCAGCGGTTGGTGACCTGCAGCGCGGGCTTCTACCCCACGGTGACCTTGCATGCGGCCGTCTTGATTGCGGTAGAGCTACGAATGCAATTGCAGGAGGATACAAATCTATTTCCCATGCCCCTGCGACCCGATTTACTCGCCGTTTTGGAGGAGGCGAAGGCATGGTACCTGCGAATGCTGGAGGCAGGGGAAACGAACGTGAAGGGATATTTTCTTATCAGTGGGATGGCAGCGCAGATCCAGGGCCTGTTAAAGGGCCTGCAGAGAGATGATATGGTCGATCTCCTAATACAAGAAGTCGAGAATGTGGAAGCAAAATGCCTGCCGATTCTCGAACGCTTGATGGCCGCACTACCCGAGCAGCGAGTGGATGAGCCACCCGACATCCGGGACGATTGGGAGTTCGCAGTGAGTAGTTGGCCCTTGAAATGCTTTCTTGCTGACCACTAACTTATACATGTGCAGACGGAATCGCAGGCGGCTTTCAATATGGGCGCCTCGGAGCCCCTGGACTGGTTGTTTAATGACGATCTCAATTTCGAGATGTGCTAGGGAGTTTGATCTGCGTTATGAATATGATGACTATGAACTGCTAGCTAGACACCCTGCACTGCACTGGTGCTTTCTAAGACTATGTATATAGACAGTCACCCTCACCATTGTTCCGAGCAGGCCTACTTTCCTGGATCAGGTCTTCTCACACTCGATCATCGCGAACTCGGCCTTATCCGAATAGTGAACGCCGGTGATCTTCAGTCCGGCTCTTTCGGTTATCTTGCGGAAATCCTCCTCGATTCGTTCCTTGCCCCCGATGGCGGAGAGCAAGAAGTCCACCATGGCGGGAAACCAGGAGGGTGGATTTCCGGTGACGGTGTCGGCGATCAACAGCTTGCTGTCGGGCGCCATAGCAGCCACCACATGCTGGAGAATGGACACACACTCATCATCACCAAAGTCCCGAAGAACCCGGCGGATCATGTAAACCAATGCACCTGGAGCAGTCAGTTTGCATGGATTCGGCACACACAGGAGAGAGACACGACCTACCTTTGACGGGTTGTTCCTTGTGAAAGTCGATGGCCATCAACTGGGCGCTCCGGATGTCCTCGTCCCCAACCGTCTGAACCATCTGGATCACCCCGGGCAAATCCTGCAGCACGCATCGACTGATGGGGATCCCCGGGGTCTCCTGACAGATGGCCTGCAGGGTCCAGCCCTTGGCGCCCCCGATGTCCACGATCAGGGGTCTGGTGGCATCTTCCGCGGCCTTGGGCACCACCCAGCCGAAGTCATAGAAGCCGGTATGAGGATACTGGCTGGCCATGGCGGACATGCTGATCATCATGTTGGCGGTCCGTTCAGGATGTCGGCTCATGATTTCCCCGACAGTCAGGTCGGGCGAGCCCTCGGTAAAAGCCTTGATGGTGTGCAGACGGCCCGTGGGCTCTTTGATGCCGTAGACATCGTAGTATCGGGGCATGGCGAGGAGGACGGGGACATATTCGTCGTATCTGGAGGGATCTCATGAGTACTGGCCACAAGCCACATGCCGGGGATATATCGGATGCCACTCACGCCATCAGCCACAAGGCACGAAGGGGATTGACTCCGGCAAAAAGGCGTGTCCTGGCCGTATGGGCCACTCGGTCAGTCCCCTTCTGCACCAACAAGCCGGCCGCCACGAGAAGCCAACAGACACGGGCTGAGAGGACGTCACAGTCAGAACTCATTGACGCATGCGCAACGGAGTTGGAATGGCTTACTGATGATCCCCACGTCTCCGCCCACTTGAGTGGCCAATTCCTCGTACGGGATACTCCCCGTGTCGGGGATTTTCTCCAAGACCTTCCAGTGCACGAGGAGTCGGATGGCCGCCGCCGTGACGAAGCCCATTTGCATTGCCGCCAGGTCATCCCGCGGGAGGTAAACAGCATCCTGAACCCGTTTCAGAGTGTCAACGAGGTCCTCATGCTGCTGCGGAGTGGCGCTGTTGCCGTCACGAAGGCCTTTGGCCTGGTGGACCAGCTTGGCCGCAAGGGTTTCGAGCGTATCTGCCACACTGGTATCGGACGCCATCTTAGGATTCAAATGCAGAGGGGACGTAGTGGTTGGAATGATCGAGAGAATCCACAGCGCTCGGATTGTTTATATCACAGGCAATACTCCGTGGGATGAATATCCCGGGCCGGATTTGCGGGACAATCGGGGACTCCGGGCCTGGCTCGGAGAATTCGAAACATATCACAATCCTAGTCCGGGATGCACGCCCTTGACCTCCTGGTTTCCCAGTTTCCCAGTTTCCCAGTTCTTCAGCTTTCTTCCCATTCATTTCTAGTCCCTCAACCCCAGCGGTCGGTCACGCAGGTTCTCGGAGCTCACACCATCAAGATGGCCATCATCGACCTCCTCACAATCTCCAGCATCAAGCTGCCCCTTCTCCTCCTGTCCTCTGGCATCATCGCCGTTCTCCTTAACGGTTTTGTTCGCAACAGTCAAGCCGACCAAGATGGCGCGCAGCCTGCCCCCCGCATGTTCCAATGGGACCGCTGGCTAGGACTTGATACAGTCGTCAGCCAAATGTGGGCGCTCCGAACAGACACCTACCTCGACTGGCTGCGTCGCTTGCACAAGAACCAGCCCAAAACCTTCTCGCTGCAGTTCTTCACGGGGCGCTGGATCTACTCCAGTGAGCCCACCGTTCTCAAAGCCGTGTATTCCACCCACTTCAAGGACTTTGGTGTCGAGCCCATCCGCCGCAACTCCAAATTCACCATGCCATTCGCCGATAAGGGCGTCAACACCACCGATGGTGCCGACTGGATGTTTAGTCGCACGCTGATCAAGCCGTTCTTTGAGCGCGACGTCTACCACAACACCGATCGCATCAAGCCCTTCGCCGATCGATTTCTGAGGCTATTCCCCGCGACGGATGGCGAGACCTTTGATGTCCAGCCCCTGCTGCAACGCTGGTTCCTCGACATTAACAGCGACTTTATCTTCGGCAAGTCGTTGGATTCGCTGGTCGATGCATCTCGGGCCAAGTTTGCCTGGGACATGACGACGGCCCTGCGCGGTGCAAGACTGCGTGCTCAGGCGCATCGCTTCATGTGGGCCTTCAACTGGGGATGGTGGCTCGAGGCCGTGAATGACATCCACAGTTTCGTCAATGATAACATCCGTTCCACATATGCGGAGCTGGACGAGCGTGACCGGCTCATCAAGGAAGGCCACGAAGTCGGGCCCGAGCGCACCGATCTACTGTGGACAATGGCCCAGCAAATGCGCGGCGATTTCGAGGGTCTGCGCTCCCAGGTCTGTCTGATCATTGTGCCGACCAACGATACCACCTCGATGTTTATCGCCAACTGCATCTGGTATCTGGCTCGCCATCCGGAAGCTTGGCAAGCCCTACGGCAGGAGGTTGCCGCTTTGGGCAAGGACGCCCCCTTGACCTTTGATGTTCTGCGCAATATGCCTTACCTCAACGGGGTGATGAATGAGAGTAAGTCTGCATCTTGGCCCCATCCACCCAGAGACAGCTATACTTACAACCCCTACCTGACCTCCCCAGCCCACCGCCTTATCCCCAACAACGTCACCCAAGTACGCGCCTGCCTCGCCGACACCGTTCTCCCCCTGGGAGGAGGTCGTGATGGCCAAGCGCCCCTATGCGTCCGCAAGGGCGAGATAGTCTCCGTCAGCAAGAACGTCATGTACCGGGACCCCGATCACTGGGGCGCGGACGCGGACGAATATAAGCCCGAACGCTGGGACGGACGACGCGGTACCTGGGGATTCGTGCCGTACGGGGGCGGGCCGCGCCGCTGTCCGGCACAGATGATGGTCCAGACCGAGTGTGCGTATATGCTTGTGCGTATGGCGCGCGAGTACCGACGGCTTGAGGCACGGGATGCACGGCCTTATCGGCCGGTGATGCGGATTGGACCGTCGAATAAGCATGGGGTTCAGATTGCGGTTTATAAATAGATGAATGGCTTGCGGGAAAGGGAATTCAAATGACATTAGTGGTTGAAGATGCAGGCTGTGATGTGGTTCTACATGAAGGAAGTGAACTGAGTTGAATTGTGGTTATGGTCTGTTGTGATGATTGATATACTATTAGTTGTGATTGCCAGTCAAGTATACATAGTAAGGATACATCAAACTACTAGCTAACAAGTAGTTACCGAGAACTGGTTGGCATTCATCGATCCAACCGTTCTTTCAGTCACCACTAATTATGACCAAGGGATACTGAGTATCTCGTCAGATTTGTCTAGATAGGACTGTCGGCTACGATTTGCTGTGGTAGATTTCCCCGGTAGTTCCTTCTCCAAATACCAGTTACATGGTTTATGTGGTAAGAGCTACTAAGTATAATTGGAGGGTGTAGATTATTAATGATTGGCGATAGAAAACTACTAGGAGCGATATAGTAGACTAAACATGTGACTAATTACTCACGAAAGGTAGTGTAGTGTACTCCCTTCTTGACTTCGTATTCCATTTTAATGATTAATTGATCTGGAGATGGGTAAGATAGAGTATTGATTACAAGACGCGATGGGCCAATGACTCAGGATAGGAAGGAACTACCCATGGAGCCAGATAGGTGGGTAGGTAGCTAGCAAGTAACGCAAATCACAGAGTTTAAAGACAGACACAATTGAACTAACTTTATACAATATGACATGTCCCCAACGCCAGATCACCACTTTGGAAGAAAATCATACTCAGGCTCCAAGGTACGGAAACACCATTTCCTCGTCTGTATCCATCACTCCGTTCAGATAAGCCGTGATTAACGGGTCGATGCCGGCCTTTGACGCTCTTCCCACCCATTCCTGCATTTCAACCGCCTCAAATTGACCCCCGTAGACCTTCTCTAGATGCTCTCGAAATCCGTCTAGAGGCACCTTGACACCGCTGGTGCTATGCAAAAACTGTACTCTTTGGTCATCGGCGCTTGCGCGCGTCATGCGCATGGCCGCCTCGACAATATCTGCGGCTACCTCGTCGACGGGCTTGAAGTCAATGTAGCCACGGCCGTGCTTTACTAACGGCGCGCAGCGCATCATCAACGAGAAGCGCAGGATGGCGTTCATTGAGTCCGAGTTCGGTGCTTGGTCGCCGACGACGATGCAGGGGCGATGCACCGCGACGGACCAAGGTCGGTGCGGTTGGGTTCCCTTTTGCTTTTGCTGATGGCGAGTGTAGTAGTCGTGTAGCGACTCCAGGAAGGACTCCCCCACCCACTTGGTGGCGGTCAAACCCTCGCGGCCATCAACCGGGGGCGCGAAGTTGGCCATCGACACTGGCGGCTGCTCTGTCTGGCCCGCCAACAAGGAGACCCGGTTGGAGGAGATGAAGAGTAGTGGGACTGATCGAGGGAGGGCCAGCGCTGCTAGACGGTGCGTGGCGGCTACATTCGGTGCTTGAAGGGTTGCGTAGTTGTTCAGACAGTGCCCGTGGGAGCCGGCGTGGATGATCACGTCGGCCGTGCGCTCCAGCAGAGCGTGCTCATCCTCAGTGATCCCTAGCTTCGGATCGGCTAGGTTTCCCTGGTAGTATTGAACTTTATCCTGCGGTATCGCATGCGTGTCATCGACTCCGATGGCAATACAGTGCACCTTCTGCACAGCCGGGGACTGCAGCAGGGTTTGGAGGATACGGCCACCAAGGAACCCGGTCGCCCCAGTCAGGACGACCTGGAGCCCATCCGTCTTCGGCTCAGCCGGCAGCGGTGTTAGCTGTTGCACTCTTTGCTTGAGCCATTCTGGAATGGCTGTCTCCGTGGCCCATTCGATGTCCTCGGGGTCCCCGTTGGCAGCAGCGGCGCGTTGGCGGCCTTCAAAGACGGTTTTCGCCATGTCAGCAAGGGTACTGGCTCGGTACAGGTCTCGCGTAGAGACCTGTACACCCATCGATTCCCGAATCACAGTCTGCAAGCGCATCAACAACATCGAATTGCCACCGCGCAGGAAGAAGTCGGATGACGGGGTGATCCGGCCGAATGTAGCTGCGGAGCTGGCCGGTAGCACCCGTTCCCACAGCAGCCGCAGTTCGCCCTGTTGGATGTTCATCGTCACCTCCTCCTGAGCTTCCCCGGGGTTATTGACACCTGAGGTAGGGATAGGGAGACCCGCAATGGCCTTGCGATTCAGCTTCCCATTGGCGTTGGTGGGCAAAGCATGCAGAACGATGATCGCAGCCGGGATAAAGTATTGCGGTAGTCGGGTCCGCCGCAGGATGCCCGCGAGCTCCGAGTCACTCACCGATCGGTTGAGACTTGATGCTACCGTTGCGTGTGCTACTAGAATTTCTTCTCGAGCAGAGACGACGATGCTGGAAAGGAGACCACCAGCGGCCCGTAACAGAGCGGCTTCGACATCTTCCAGTTCCACCCGGAGACCACGGAGCTTGACTTGGGTATCGCCCTCTAGGCGGCCAAAGCAGAGTAGGGTGCCATCAGGCAATAGACGGCCTTGGTCACTGGTACGATAGAGACGCTGGCCCGTTTGCAAGTCGATGAAAAACTTGTGGGCCGTCTCGGTGGGCAGGCCAAAATACCCCAGAGCGACTCCCTTGCCGCCGATGCAGATCTCGCCGTTATGATTCACAGGCTGTGGCCGACCAGTAGAGTCGACGATTCGTACCGTGTAATTTGGCAGCGCTTTGCCAACTGCATGCTTCAATCGCAATTGCTGTTCGGTCTCGCCGCTTGTAGAACTAATCGGATCATCTAGGCTGAGCAACTGGAATGTGGCTGCAGCAGTGATCTCGGTCGGGCCGTAGCAGTTGGTGAACTGCAATCCCTTCAAGCCGAGCAGAAGTAGCTCTTTCCTGAGCTGCAACGAAATGGGCTCGCCACCCATGCATGCATGCCGCCACGCTACGTGTTCCCTCAGGGAGGAAGAGCCGTAGCGGCACCAAGCCAGATACTCTGATGGCGTTGCAATTGTGAGGGAGATTCGATGCTTGTGCAGCAGACTTGTGAGGGCCACGGGGTCACGGCGCTTGTGACGAGAAGCAACCACCAAGCATCCACCATTAGCGAGCGCACAAAACGTTTGCACTACCGACATATCAAACCCAAGGGAGCTGTGCTGTAGGACCTGCTCCTGGCCCAGCCCAAGCACCTTCACCTTGAGAGCGAGGTGGTTCACAAAGTTACCCTGAGTAAGCAAGATCCCCTTGGGCGTGCCCGTGGAGCCGCTGGTGAAGAGCAGAATGGCGGGCGCGGAAGGGTCGGACGGGCACGGCATGTCGGCCCCAGAGCTGGTCTCCGTAACATCGTCAATGCATATCTCCTGAAAGGTAGCAATCGACTCTTCAGCCAGCTGGAGGACCACGTCTTCCAGTGAAGTGTTGTAAAGCAGCAGGCTCGGTTCGGCGGTGCGGATCATAGCGGCATGTCGAGCTGCCGGTAGGCTGGTATCCAGTGGCATGTAGACGCATCCGCTCTGGAGGACTGCAAGTAACGCAATGACACTATCCACGGATGGCTCGCAGAGCACAGCAACACGGTCTCCTGCAACACAGCCCGCGGATTTCAAGGCCATTGATACCGAATCAACACGAGGCGCAAGTTCGTCGTAGGATAAGGTGGTAGTGTCGTCAATCACAGCGGGATCCTCGCCATGTAGACGACACACATCCTTGAAACGCTGAGACAGCGTGGCCGGCCAACTAAAGTCGATCTCAGGCCCTCTTCCAAGCTCACAAGCTTGGCTCACTCGGGCCCCATCGTAGACAGGGGAGTCCTCAACGACCATGTCCGGGTTGGCGGCAAATGCCTCGACCAGGCGCACGTAGCTATCCGACACTATATGCAAAGTAAGTATCTTGATCAATCCCAGACTCCAGACCAATACTTACTCTCCGCCGTTGCCTCGGCACTGTACAATGCACCCTGACAATGAAAATCCAGAGTACAGCCTTCGTTAAGATCCATGATCCCAAGACTGATGTCATATGGGGGCTCCGCATCTTTGCCGTCATCCAAAGTCAAAGCCATGCGGCAATCAGCCCCTAGAGGAAGCTCACCCCAGCCGGCAGCCCTGTAATTGATCGCCACTTGGAACAAAGGGGCGGTGTCGCCATCCGCCCAGCGAGGGGTGTTGAGTGCGTCCAGAAGAACATCAAAAGGTACGCCAGCATGGGCAAATGTTTCAAGCGCCTTTCGTGATGCGTTACGAGCAACACCAGCGAAGGTATCCCCTCGAGCCACACGGCCCTTGACTGGGAGTACGTTGACAAAACAGCCTACCATGCGGGCGGCGAGCTCGTCATATCCGCGGTTGGCATCCACGATCCCTGTACAGACATCCTCGATGCCAGCCAGTTGGGTCAAGAACACCTGTAAGACGGCGAAGTAAAAATGAAAGGGGCTGACGCGCAGCCGGCGACAAGTAGCCTGGACCATAGCAACGACATCGGGTGAGAGCGTGCGGTACTGGCTTTGGATCTTGCGGATATCTTGGTCCTGGGGCTGTCTGGTCGGGCGTGTGCGAACGGACGCCGAAGGCAACAGTGGTAACGGTTCAGGCAGGGTGGCAAACTCCTTTTGCCAGAACTCCAATGGCTGGGTGTATCTGCCTGCGGCCTCCTGTTCCTGTTCCCGCCGGGTGTACTCAATATGTGACACAGTCTGATCTCGACTGAGAGGATGCAAACGGTATGCAGGATCCAGAGTCTGCAAAAACATCAACCAACCGACGACGTCTGTAACGATATGATGATATCCGAACACGAAGTCATGCTTATCAGCACTGCGGCTGATTACAGCGACGCCCATAGTCTGCCCAGCCTCAAGATCCCACACTCGAGTTTTGTAACAAGCCATGACTTGCTTGAGGTCATCATCCTTGCCGTCGGTGATGTGCTCGATCTGGTAGGCAGAGGACTTCATAAGCCCCTGCATCGGCTGGCCATCGCCAACTCGTTGATAGAAGCACATTTTCAGACACTCGTGATGGTCTGTGGTCATTTCCAATGCACGGCGCAGCCGCATCATGTTCAGCTTGCCGTTCACCTGATAATGGAACACCATGTTGTAGGCGGCCGGGTCCCTCGCATGCTTGCTGAGGAACCAAATTCGCGCTTGCGCTCGAGACATACGCTCCTCGCGGACGACTACAGGTCTCGCAGCAGCTTTCCCGGCATCTAACTTAGTCTCATTTGTCTTAGCCAGGTCTTCCTCTGAGATAACTTCGGACAGAGGTGATGCAGAGCCTTCGAGCTCGTGTAGAGACGTGTTTGAGCTAGAACCGAGTTCTGGGCTGGAAGCTGCCGAGTCCTCCCAGTTCTCATCTTGGATAGTGCTGCTGCTTTTCATGCCAACCAATACTGGGCGGTGCTCACCTGGGGTCGGTATGGCGTCGGCGGATGTAGTTATGGTGGTAGCAGGGGGAGGTACAGGAGCAGCGGAAACAGGAACAGAGGAGACACAAGGTGCCTGAAGTGCAGACACAGGAAGTTCAGGAGGGGCAGGAGTAGCAGAGTGAACAGCCTTATCAGCCTTGGGCTTCTTTCTCTCGTCCCTCATACTCCTCGCCAGGACGGTCCTGGCAGCTGTCGTGCAGATTTGCAGCACACTGTCTCCACCCAGAACCTTGACCACGGGGACATCGGCGCTCAGCTCCTTCAAGAACCAATTGCGTATTTCCACTGCAACCAGGGAGTCAATTCCGAAATCAATGACCGCCCGGTCAGCATTCTCCGCCGCCCGACCGTCAGGAAGCTGTAATGTCTTGTCTAGTTTGGCGCAGAAGGCATCGATCACTACCGACACAGCTTTTTCCTCGGTTTCTGCGTCCTCAACGCGCTGACAGACACTACCCAGAGCACTAGGTACTGTTTGACCGTTCCCATTCGCGCCGCCATCCAATGACGCAATTGGGGTCATGTGGCTCAAACGCGGGTTTTTAAGCCAATGAATGCTGTCATCGGTCAACCCCCGGGGAGAAGGTTTGGAGGGCGGCTCTATTCCCATGATAATATCGGAAGATAGTTGACTGCCGGGTCGCCCATTACGGACAGCTTGAGCAAAAGCGTGGTGGACGTCTGTCTCCGATAGGGGCATCATGCGGATGGAGCCAAAGTGCTCCGCCAGCTGATCGGTACGCTCCTTGGTCTTGACAATGTAACCAACATCCGTGACATGTCCGATGTGAATGACCGAGCCAGCCAGGCCTCGTGCCCGTCGTTGTGCGGCTACGTTAGTCATGAACATGTTGCCAATGTGATAGTTGGCTTGTCCAATGTTGCCAATCGCCGTCGCAGAGGAAGAGAGCATCACAAAGAAGTCGAGCTCCGCGTCACCAAAGACCGCATCCAAATTCTCAGTCCCGTCCACCTTCGCCGCCAGGGTTCCGTTCAACTCGTCAATGCTCATATCGAGGAAGAGTCGGTCTCGAAGAACCATTGCACATTGACAGACACCAGCGATGGGCGGCAGCGTGTCCCGTGCATGCTGCACAACTCTCTCAATTGATGCACGGTCGGTAACATCCATGGGGAGAACATGGATCGACGCTCCCACACGCCGAGCATCTTCAAGGACAGCCGGATCGACGGTGGGGTTCCGGCTCGTAATGATCAAATGCTTCGCCCCATGCTCCAGAATCCATTTACACAGAGATAGTCCCAAGCCTCCGGCAGCACCGACCATCAAATACGTGCGGTCAGGCCGAAACAGACCTCGCGGTTCGAGCGGTGGGACTGTCACCGTAAGACTGTCCCGCTTCCGCCAATCCGTAACATAGTACTTGGTTTCGAGAGACGCAACAGTGGCATTGGCAAGTTCGGGTGCTTCTATGACCTCGCAAGACAGCTCTGTATCGGCCCCCTGCTTGTGGGCCTCCGCATGAGACTTCCCCAGCATGGCTGATGCTCTGAGAGCGTCATCCAAGAAGGCCCTCCTTAGAAGTTGCCTATCAAGTTCGACTGTGGTACAATTGGTAGGTAAGCTGCCCCGAAGGTGGTCACCAATGGACGATGGCGATGGGCTAAGGTCTACATAGACTGCAACATCATGAGGAAGAATCCGCTTAATCGCTCGTTTGGATGACTGGGCGTGCACTTTGATCCAAGAGTCAGGCGCATCAGACTCTGAGGAAGCAAAGTAAGGATGTATACCACGCCTTGCAAGCTCATCTGCTATCCCCGATGCGAAGGCTGGCTCGGCGCCGTACACCAAAATAGGCTTGCCGGGCGATGCAAGGTCTGCAATGGTTCTTGACAGGACGTGATTCGCTGCGGCAAAAAGCACTGCAGGCCTAGAGAGTTCCGAGGCAATTTTCTCTGGCCTACTTGTGGGCACATGCACCACCGAGGCATTGACCTCAGACGCAGCGATACTGGTGTCAAGTGAATCCAGGCTTCTTCCTGAGATGAGATATACACCATCGCCATTGCGGGCGGGAATATGCAAAGCAAACTCCACCTGAACGGGGACAGTGCCAGGACTGCTCCCCTCTCGGGGGTTAATCGCCTGAATAGTCATCCTGGTGCTTCCAGCAACCGCTTGAACCGGCTGGTGAGTCGCATCTAAAGACTGGGTCACAGTGCGTTTGGCTGCCAGGAACACCGAGTTCAAGGTATGGTCCGGAATGACTCGAGGGATGATGACTGTCCCGTTCTTCAGCACTTCCACCTCCGGCTCACGTGCCCATAGTAGCTTGCCCTCCATTGGTACATTCCCCGGATTCTCGGCGAGCTCCTGCCTTGTCTCCTTGACGCGTAAATATGCCTCCAAGCAGTGTTGGGCCGCAACGGAGGGTGATAGACCGGCTTCCAAGCCAAGAACCTGAAAATAGATATGAGGCATTTCCACTGGCATTATGCGAGAAATGCCGTGGATCATGGTGGCCCGGGGGGGGTGGGAATGTCCGTTGGTAGCGCTGGTGGCCCAGATCAGGTTGCGGGCTCTCATCAGTAGGCCCTGCAGTGCTGTTAGGCGAGATTCCGTGATTGTCGAGGCAAACAAGGGCTCGTCATGGTCGTGTAGGCATATAATATCCATATTAGGCCCAACATCAGCCAAAGTCTCAACGGCGTCAACACTGCTAATCGTGCGCACATACCCACGCCAGGATTGCGGTAGGAGCTTCTGAATGGCCGTCAATATCTTCGTTGTTGGGAATTTCTTGCCACCTATGAGCACTAGGCCGTCGACAGGAGCTGGGTTTGCGGAAATGGTGAGGAGTGGTTCACGAAGATGCAGAAAACTATCACTAATGGCCTGAGTGACCAACAGGGCCGAGGATTGTGTGGCTTCGTCAGCCGTGTCATGTAGCTCCATGTCAATGCCTGAGAACCCTGTCTCCCGCAGGACTTCGTCCCAGCGCAGGATCGGCACAATGGGCTGCATTTGCCGGTCTGGCTCTTCACCAATCCACCAGGTGGGAAGTCCGCTGAACAAAAATGGCTTGCTCAAACCCTCCATTCCCGTGAGCTCGGAGATAAGGAGGTAGCCACCGGGACGGAGCATTGACCGCACGTTGTTCATCGTGCTTTGGAGATTCTTGGTCGCATGTAGGACGTTAGAGGCAACAATGATATCGTACGAGTTTGGAGCAAATCCCTGCGCAGAGGGGTCGTCGTTTATGTCCAAGGTTGCGAATTTCATCTTGGAGGCGAAGTCTGCAAAAGTCTCACTGGCTTGCGCAAGAACAACAGATGAGATATCAGTGAAGGTATACGAGGCATATGCGTCATTAATCTTGTTGAGCACAGTTCGCGCCTAACACGGAATTAGTGGCTTCGATCCAAACAGGTCATGTTCCCACTTACGGTGCCACCGGCGCCACCCCCAATCTCAAGGATATTTGACCGTGGGTATTTGAAGGTAATCTCATGGGCTGCATCCGCCAGTAATTGATTGACCCGCAGACATGCCAGGTCTTCTGTGAAGAAGCGATTGAGCAAATTGTCCTGATTCATTACCTGCAGCTGTTCGACCTCGCCCCGGAGAATGCGTGGGTACCTGCTTCCCACGGCATGGAGTAAACGCAGCTGAACGGGATTGCCATGAATCTGATCGATCTTCTCGAGGGCTTCTGGGCCATCATCCAACCATTCCGAACGGATGATGGGGTGCTGACCACTTTTAATTAGACCCAGTCGCTCATCATTCATGGTCAGCATCCGCTGATGGTACCATTGCAATTTGCTCCGCTCATCGGTGGCGATCTCCTCGGCCAGGCGCCGGGAGTAGAACAGCGCGACACGCTCAAAGTCCTCGGCCTGTCGGAGAACCTTTGCGTCCTCTACATCATCCCGAAGAACTTCTGGCCAGCCATTGGCAATGTCTGGGGCCCAGACTGTTTGGGCAAACATGGGTCGGTCTTGCGACGAATCTTGCTCTCCAATCATGTTGAGCGTCAGGCCCTCGACTTGCGCGAATGTCAAACCGGACGCACAGTCGTAGACGTTGAGGTCTCCAACCAAGGAGGTGGCGCTCTGTTGCACAACCCAGCTCTCTATGTCAGCACCGATATCCACCCCCACTGGCCTCTGCTGCAGGTGTGGGGCGACTCGTACCCGTTCGACACGGGAGGGAAGAAGAGCGGAGCTGATCTGACCACTGGCCGGATGGGCGAGAGCAACAAAGAGAGACTGGAATGCGACGTCCAGCATGGCCGGGTGTAGAATCATGTTGTCACTCAAAGAGTCACTGGACCACACTGCCGTGCTGGTGGAATAGCCAAGAACCCGCTTGCTTTGAGTCATGGCTCTGAATGAACCCGCGTAGTTCAGTCCGACGTTATGAAACATATTATACGCACGGTCACAGTCTATCTCAACGAGGTCGTTCCGGGATGCGGCCTGGCGCGGCGGTAAAACGGGCTCTTCCTTGGGCAGCTCGCCGAGATGGACAACAAGCGCACCATTGCAGACATGTACCATTGTTCCTTTCCCCTGGTCGGGGCAGACGTAGTATGAGATTCGAGCTCGAATGGGGTTAATGTTAAGGCCCTCGGACAAGTGAGCTGCGAACACAGTTTCGACGCCGTCTTTGTTGTCTGGCACCACTACAGGTCGAAGGATATCGATGTTCTCAACTTCAAACAATTTCACAGCTCGCCCAGCCCGACTAGCCATCTGCTGTCCGGCCTCGAGAGCAAGAGACACATAGGCTGCTGCCGGAAGTAGCACTTCACCAAGTACCTCATGGCCGCGGAGCCAGGGTATCTCGCCCAGCTGGAGTATATTCCGCCAGCGTAGCTCATGCGGATTGCTGTCGGCGCATGGCCTCCCTAGCAGCTCATGGCCCACATCATCTCCGATACGGTAGCGTCGTGAGATGGCCGACTCGCGCCAATATAACTTGTCATGCTCCCACGGATACGCCGGTAAGTCCTTCGAAATGAGGGCTGCACGCGTGTTGCCTCCGTCTCCAGAGAGCGCTCGACGAAAACCAGCGAAGTCGAGGGCTGACGGTCCGAGTTGTGCCCAGATGGAGCCGATGGCGGTTGAAAAGGCTCCCATATCGCTAGCGCCGCGTTTCAGCAATCCCGTATACGGGGGCACGGGGCCATGGACAGCCTTGAGAGTTTGCTCCACTGGCCCCTTGAGTGCGGGATGCGGGCCGACCTCTATCGCGAGGTCAAACGGCCCGCCATGCCAAATGGAAGATTCAAGAGCTTGAGAGAACATCACAGTCTGGAGCATATTTGAAACCCAGTATGAACCCTTCAAGTCATCCAGGTCTCCGTTGAGCAGCTCGGTATCTCCACGCACGCTTGAGCTCCAGATAGCCTTTCCGGGAGCGGGCTTTTTGACTTCGATGTTGCAGGCGAGCAGAGATTGAAGATAAGGGTCTGAGCAGGGCTGCATGTGATGAGAGTGGTATGCAGTGTCCACCTTTAAATGACGCGCAAAGATGCCATCCGCATCAAGGGAATCTTTCGCCTCCCGGATGGCATCCAGATCTCCGGACAGCGTCACGCTCTGCGGAGCATTGCTGGCCGCTACGCTCAAACGACCTCCAAATCGCGGTTGACTGCAGAACTGCGTGGCTTCTGTGAGCGATACCCCGACTGCAAGCATGCCTCCAGATTGTCCCTGTCCGCCTTGCGCAAGCCGGGCGTGGAGACCACGGTAATACGCAATCTGTACGGCCGCTGCGCGATTGATAATACCGCTTGCATATACCGCAGCAATCTCCCCGGATGAATGACCAATGACTGCGTCAAAGTGAACTCCAGCAACGGTTAGTATATCCACCAGACCTATTTGCACGGCGGTGCATAGCGGTTGGCAGATTGCTGCCTCGCTAATCCTTGACGATGCGGCGTCCGCTCTGAGCTCTCGCTCCAGCGACCACGTCGGTCTATCCTTCGCAGGCAACGTCCGGAGAACGGCCTCGCAGTCCGCAATGGTCTGGCAGAAGACGGGTGACCTGTCCAGCAGCTCGCGCCCCATCGCTGGCCATTGAGCCCCCTGGCCTGTGAAGATACCAAGCACGCCGGGCACTTCACTGGGGTTCAACAAGCGAGGATGGTAACCAATTTGGCCACTGGGGATCTTCTCGTTGCTGGTCACCCAGTGTTCCATGCTTGCCAGTATGTCGTCTCGTGAAGAGCTGGAGAAGTGGGCGCGTACTCGATGGGTGGAACGCCGCGTCTGGAGCAGGGAACTCAGGTCGCTCAAATTTACCTCAGGGTGTTTCTTTAGGTGCTGCAGGTGAGCCCGAACAGTTGCTAAAAGGGAAGTCCCGGATGCAGCTGAGAAGAGCAACGGCCCAAAAGCGGTATTGGATGGTTGTTGGGCGATAGCCGTGTTGTCTTCAAAACTCTCGATGATGGCGTGGGCATTAGTCCCACCGAAGCCGAAGCTGTTGACGCTTACTCTAGCAGGCTCGCCGGGATGTAGCTTCGGCCAGGGCACTGGGGTGGTTGGGATGCGCAATGGACCGTAAAATGGGGCGATAGCCGGATTCAGCTCGTTGAAATGAAGGTTCGGGGGAATGACACGATGTTTGATGGCAAGCACCGATTTCATCACACCTGCGAGTCCTGCACAGCCCTCCAAGTGGCCAATGACTGTCTTAATGGACCCAACGTACATGGGGTCATTGGTTGATATCGCACCCGAGTCAGTGGAGAAGGCTTCACTAATGGCTCGGGCCTCGATCGGATCGCCCGCTGGAGTGCCCGTACCGTGGCATTCAAAGTATTGCGGCCGGTCTCTCGATGGATCCAAACCGGCCCGGCGGTAGACGTGCCGGATTAATTGAGCCTGTGTTGGGGCAAAGGGCATCGTGATACCCGGACTCTGACCATCAGAGTTAACGCCAGAGCCACGAATGATGGCCTCTACATCATCTCCATCAGCCAGGGCCTGGCTCAGACGCTTCAAGACCAGCGCAGCCGTGCCCTCACCACGTGCGTAGCCGTTGGCCCCCTTGTCCCACATTCGGGAGCGCGCATCCGGGGAGAGCATGTGTAGCTTAGATTCTGTAATGTAGACGGTAGGGTCCAGAATAATATTTACCCCCGCGACGATAGCCGTTTCACTGTCCCCGTCGAGAAGGCCTCGTGCGGCTTGGTGCAAAGCGACTAGCGAACTCGAGCATGCTGTATCCACTGTGACAGATGGTCCCTTCAAGTCAAATATATATGAAATGCGATTGGATAGGATACTGTTGGCAGTTCCTGTTGCTGCGTACTGGGGCAGCGTCTCGGGGTCACGAAGCTGGATATTCGTCCAGTCGCTTGTCATAACACCGACATGAACTGAAGTCAAAGACCCCTTGAACTGTTCAAGGGTCATTCCAGCCGACTCAAAGGCTTCGTAGACGGCTTCGAGTAGCAGGCGCTGCTGGGGGTCCATCCCCCTAGCCTCCATTGGCGTGATGCCGAAAAACGCGGCATCAAAAACCCTGGTATCCTCCTCCAATGTGTAGGATTTGTTCGTCACGTTTGTCGACCCGTGGTGTTCTCCATCGGTGTGGTAGAATCGCTTCAGATTCATGCGATCGGGATCGAACTCTTTCAACACATCGCGGGGGTCATGCAGCAGGTCCCACAGCTTTGATGGAGAACTTGCGCCGCCTGGAAAGCGGCATGATGAGCCGATAATGGCAATGGGCTCCTCGAGGTAGTCTTGTTTCGTCATCTTGTACGAGAGTTGACCTATGCCGCCGGGTGAAAACGTCGTAGATCCACGAGGGAACAGTTGCGTGGCTTGCAAAAGAGAGTATGATAAATCCAATAGACACGGCAGCCGCAACAACTTGCTAGGGTCCCCATTGTGCCGTGTGAAGGGGGAATATGTATCAAGAGTGGTCTTGGGACCATCTGTACAAATCCCGGAGAGCGACTGGTAGCATGCCTGCAGTCTGTCCAAACCAGTGAGGTGGATTGTATTCCGGGGTCGTCTGGGCCGTCTTTCTCGGGCCAGTCGAATATTCCGAGATGATATTGTGAAGCCTCCCTAGGTAGCTGGCTGGGCAGGTAGCTCCGGGGTAAGAGGGCCAATGCTCACATCATCGGGGATTTCGCTGCAGAGGATTGTTCTTCGGGGTGTCTGGACTGGTTACCCCGGGAATCCTACCTTATGGCCGGGGCGAGGATTTCCCCAGGGACTTCTCCGGGGAATATTTCCGACACACAGTCCACAGCGAAAGGGTTCCAAAGACATGAGTGGTAGCTCGTAGAGCCCTCGTAATACTACCAATTCCCTCCCGCATGTTCATAAGAAAAGGGTGCGGGATATGGTTTAAAACCGACGTCCTGGAGATGAGTGTTGCAAAGGCAAAGGAGAGTATTTCCGACCCTCTCTCAGTTTCACTTCACTTTTCTTTCGAGCACGTGATGACTTTGTCCGTTTCCCTCCCCGCCACCCAACAGGCTCTGAAAATTACCGGGCCCAGCACCGTTACGCTTTCTACAAACATTGCCTTGCCAGTGTTGGAACCCTGGGATGTTCTGGTGCGCGTGTCCTATGTCTCCCTCGGACCCGTCGACAGCAAGTCCGCCGAAATGTCGCCCACGGTGGGCGCCACGGCCGGAACCGAGTTCTCGGGCATTGTGGCTGCGCTAGGCAACAATGTGGGCGCTGACAGCAACAACAACAACAATAAGACGGCCCCAGTGCGGATCGGTGACCGGGTCGTGGGAGGAATCTTTGGGAACAACCCACTGCGACACGATAATGGCGCCTTTGCGCAGTACGTGGCGGTACCATCTCGCCTCGTATGGCGCGTCCCCGATGGCATGGACCTGGCAGCCGCGGTGACGTTGCCCACCGCGCTCGCGACCGTGGGGTTGTCCCTATTCCAGTACATGAAGCTTCCCATGCCCCAGGGCAACAATAATCTGCAGACTCCATCGGAGGGTCCATATGTACTTGTCTACGGGGGCGGCACGGCCACGGGCTGCATGGCGATCCAGATACTCAAGTGGGCCGGCTTCAGGCCCATCACGACCTGCTCCGACGCGAGCAAAGAACGGGCCCTTCGACTGGGGGCCGCTGCCACGTTTGACTATCATTCACCCGATTGCAGTGCGCAGATCGGCGAGTACACGGCGGGTACCCTGGGGCTAGCCCTCGACTGTATCACGGACTCTTCCTCCATGGCCCTGTGCTATGAGGCTCTGGGGAGCGAGGGCGGCCGATACGTGGCCCTGGACTTCTTCCCCCTACGCTGCCATACCCGGCGGAGTGTTCAGCCTGACTGGGTGTGTACCTACACCCAGTTCGGTCATCCAGTGGCATGGGCGCCTCCATACAACCTGGATGCCCGCCCGCACGATCATCGCACCGCGGAGTCCTGGTACGTGGTGTCGCAACAGCTGCTCGATCAGGGTAGGATTGAGCCACTCCCGGTTGAAGAGCGAAGTGGTGGACTGGCAGCCATTGGGGAAGGCATGAAGGAGGTTCGAAGTGGACAGATTCAAGGTAGAAAGCTGGTGTATCCCATTGCTTAGAATGAATCCCACCACTACTACCGATATTGAATTGGATACCTCCATCGGCATCTTGAGAATGCCCGGTAACTTCGTTTCCGTATGTCCGCGCCAATCCTTCGCTTATATCCTAGGATGTGTCAGCGATAGGCTAACTAGCAAGTTTAATATCTTGATCTTTCTATTTGGGGAGGGGGTGTCTATACAACCGTCCGTTGGGCTGAGTTGTCAGGATCGGGCGACTACTACTATGTAGTAGTACTGAGGGGGCAGTCAAGATGCTGAACCCCACCGTTAACCACCATGTCCGACCCCATTTCTAAGTGGCGTAGTGATGTCTGAAGCATACATAGGCCATGACTGAAAATCCTTCAAAAAGAATATTACTATACTAGTAGTAGTACTGTGTAATTGCTGAGCTGAGTAAGTATAACACGCAATCTCGGCCCCCATCTGCAACTAGAGCGAGCGAGTGTTTAGCATTACTACTAGCCTCCTACCGATCTACATCGGATAGTCAAACCACCCCATCAGCCAGGCCATCTCGGATATGACAACAAACCACTCGGCCAAGAGGATAGATACTATGTCTCCAGCTAGATCAACCCTCGTGGGCATCGGGGAATTCGGATCTGCAGCCAGGGCAAAACACACTGCCCTAGAGTAAGCCCGTCCTTATGGGGGCTTGGAAGCATTCAGCAATACTTCGGCGCCCGAGTTGGCAGTCCCGCCGCGGAGGGCTCGGATCGGATGTGCAAGATAGTGGGAACAGTGCAGGATCCATCGACACGCGATATCGAGCAGCCTTCCGGAAACTTCGAAGTCTCGATGCAATGAAGCAATCTTGACCAGATTGGCGGTGATCTGTCTGTCAGTGTGTATGCTGAATCCTGGCCCGCGAAAATATCAGTGCCTCGTGAAACCACCAGGGGGGAAGGAGATGCTAATCCATGCGGAGAATCCTCATGCTTACAGCCTTGCACCCCCGCAGATCCCACGATGATGACCACCGAACCAATTGGCCTATCTTCGAGCTCCATTCCCCAACAGGCAATAATAATCGCAGCCTTTATGCAGGTGGAAGTGCGGCCTCAGGTAACCGGGGAACGTTCCGGACAACCATTATCGAGAGTCTGGATCTGGTTCAGGCAGGCAGCCGTACTAGTTGGTAATGCTCAATTGACCCATTCCCCGCTCCATCTTTCGCAGTTGCATCAGTCGTATTGCTGACAGCCCGGCAGTTGATTCTATAAATCCGAGGGGTTGTCTCTCATTCCTCTCCTCTGGTCGGTTCCCAACCCCCCTTGGTAAACTCTCCATTCACGACACGATTTTTGCCCCGTCCATTCACCGTAACCCTATTGCATTTGTACCCTGACCAGATCAGAATGGAGCCAGGCCCCCCTCATAAGCGTCGTCGGCCAGCCGTGACGTGCACCGAGTGCCGTCGCCGGAAGATCGCCTGCGATCTGGCGGAGCCCTGTGGGCCATGCCAAAAGCATGTATCCCCAGTCCACCATTCAAGTAGGAATTCAATCAATAACCGTTGGCGGTCATCAGGTCGCACCTACAGTGTATCTATAAGAACAACAATAAGCACGACAAGATCGGCCAGACCAGGACGGTCAACAATAATAGCAGCGACGACGGCAGCAACGCCCATCTCTCCGAGTCGGGCAACCCAGACCTCGTTGCCATTAGCAGCAGCCAGTCGGGCACCAGCAACGAGGGCAGTACTATAGACTACGGCATGATGTTGAAGGTCTTTGCACATCTGGGGAGTCACTCTGCCCGCACTGCCTACCCCTGCGAATCATTGGACCAGAGCCTATTGGACATGGGACTATTACAACCCTCCGCCATGAATAATATCCCTGCCACCAGATCGACCTCTCAACCGCTCGACATGACTCCTTTGTGGACGCCTCCCGGCCTTCCTTCGACCAACATGAGCAGCCACTTACCCAGTCCTCCGATCCAGCCGACACTGGGGAGTCTGGCCTTGGATGGCGGATTCGAAGGGCAGACCCCGTGGCCCAAGCTCTCAGCCCAACATGAAGGGCTACGGTCGTCTCTCCGGGCCTACGCAGGCCAGGAGGCCGAGGTAGAGGGAGGAGGACGGCGTCCCGAAGATGAAACATTCCAGTGGGTGATGGAGGCCGTCGGCCGCCTGGAGCAGTCGGCCCAGCAACAGTGTCAGCGGCGAGCATCTCTATCTTTGCACAGTCGACCACCAACCAGGCCCTTAACTGCACCCGCGGCGCGGGACTTTTTACCGCCTCGGCCACGATGCGACGCGCTTCTGAACGCCTTTCTGGAAACCTATGAGTCCGTGCTTCGCATCCTGGATAGACCGACCTTTAGGAAACGCTACGAGAGCTTCTGGGAACGGTCGGCATCCCAACTTACGGAGACCGATGAGGACATCGCCTGCCAACTGTTGTTGATTGTCGTGCTCGGCAACAGCGTGTGTCTTCAACCCAATGCCCTTGGTGATCTAACTCTGCGGCGGGAACATGCCAGCTGGATTGTCTGGGTGAAGCAATGGGTGGAGCAGAAGACCGCTGCTGGCGAACATGCACACCTGGGCGTCGCGCAGATTGTATGTCTCCTCACCCTCACCCGGAACACACAACACCAGCGCATTCTCAGTGATTATGACCCGGTCCGAATCGGCATCAGGATGAGCCTGCACCGCGAGCCCCGCCCTTCCAGGTCGTCGTTTGGCTCCAATAATGAAGTGGAGCTGCGCCGCCGATTATGGGCCACCATGATGGAGCTCTCCCTGCAATTATGCCTGGATGAGGGCCTGCCCCCGCCCCTTGCCCCCGAGACCTACGACAGCGAGCTTCCATCCAGCCTGGACGATGAATTGGTCGATATCGGCTTTGGTACGACAGGTTTTACCTCATCCACCGTCCTCGTGCTTCTAGCACGCACGCAGCGCTTGCGTCTTCGGATTCTACACACGATCCACACCCCTATGGGGATTCGGACGTACGAACAAAGCGAGCAACTAGCCACGGAACTCATCGCGGCGTGCGACGCCAACCTAAAAGCCCTGCGCGATATAAGCCAGCCCCAGTCCCAGTCCCAATCCCAGCCGACCGATTTCCAGATCAAGATGCTTGACATCTTCACGCGCCCGTTTGTGCTGGCCCTTTACAATCCCTACGCCAACGAAACCACCGACAAGCCGGCCTCCTACTATTCCCGACAAATGCGCATGGAAACTGCTGCCCTTCTCCTAACGTACCCGCTTCGGACATCCGACTTAGATGCCGTTGAAACCACGCTTGATGTCGGTCTCGACCTGGCCAACAGCGCCACTTGCACCGGCACTGGCGCTACTACCACGGAGATAACCGAAGTGGCCGATCCTTACGAGGCGTTGCGGGTGCACAGTCACACGCGCTGCGCCAATGTCCAACGACAGGCTGCGGCAACGCTGGTTCTCGATCTCATCAGTGAGCTGGAAGAGAACCCGTTTCCCACGCTGCATGGGTCGTCTCGCAAGTACCTGCGAGGGGTAGTCGGGGATGTGGCGCGGGTGTTTAAGCAGCGGATGCAATGTGCAGCGGGGATGCATTCCATGGGTGAGTTCATGCTGTTTGCAGCGGGGGCGGCATACATTGATGTATTGCTGGGATCGGGAGGAGGAGTCGGTGATGAGCAGGATACAGTGGCACATGCCTTGATTGTGGCCCTGGGAGTCTGTACCGAGGTGGCCGGGTTGGACACGCTATCATTACCTTTAGATTCGTACTTAGGATGTTGAGCTCGATCATTCTAGATGTAGATATTGTTGAGATGCCTCCTTTTATGCCAGTAGCCAACTGGAATATACTTTGGTCCAACTCATTGTCTCTTTGACAGACATCGTTGGGATCTATCTCTCTATCCATTGCACCTTCTGTCTTTGACATGACAACTAACCCCTCACATCCCACCACTCCAAGACTCGCTATATAATACTACTATTATCTCCAATCCCTCAAAACCGTCTCCCCCTCCCTCAACCCCACAAGCCTCACACTCTCCCTCCACACCAACTCCCTCTTCCCCTCATCCTTCGCCTCCTCACTAATCTTCCCGATCTCCATCCCATCCAGATACACGCCACCCCCCAACTCCTTCCATTTCGCATTCATCCCCGCATCCAACACATCTCTCGCCGATGACTCTGGCGTCCGCACCGGCGCGTTCCGATACCCTGCGAACGCTAACACCCGCGCCACATTCGCAATCACAATCCCATGCAGTACCGTTTGAACGAACCAACTAGCGTGGCGCACGATTCCGGTTGACATGGTTCCGGGGTCGATTCCGACGACGGTGAGGTTGGATAGAAAGGGGTCTTTGCTTAATCGTTCTTGTAATTCACCCCTATGCATACGTCTCCTGTCAGCATTCTACTAACCCCCTGCCTACTAAAACCTCCAGAAACCCCAACCGGAAAGGAAGAATGTGGAGGAATGGAAGGAAAGGGATCCATACACCAACATAGCCACACACAGCTTGGCAGCCCCATACCTCCTAAACCCACTATGTAGGGACGGATCATCTTTATTGGAACTCCACGTTCCATAGGCAATCCCATCCATTGCTTTTATATCCTCCCCCTGAATGATGGTCTTCCACCTTTCCTCCGGAAAATGTCTCCCCACGATAGGAGCATATGGATCATGTGTCGAGCTTCCAAGGAGGACAATTCGTCCCTCGTCGCGGTTCATACTCTGCAACAGCAACAAGATCAAGAGGAAATGGCCCAGATAATTGACTGCGAAACTCATGTCAAATCCATCGGGGGCCCAGGTTTGTTGTTCGAATTCCAGAAACCCAGCGTTGAGGATTAGGATTCGAATGGGGGGGATTTTCCCGCTGGAAACCCAGGCGTTGATGTCGTTTGCGGTGGTGCGGATGGTGGAGAGGGAGGAGAGGTCGAGAGGGATGAGTTCGTGGGAGGAGGTCGATGGGGCTGTGAAGGGGGAGGAGACATCCCGGACGGTATAGATGCCGTGGTAATCGGGGTAGTGGGTGCTGATGTGGGAGGTTAGGGCTGTTCCTAGGCCGCCGTTGGCGCCGGTTACGAGGATACTGCCTTTCAGGGGGGAGGAAGAGGATACCATTGCTGCACGGGGTGTTGGTTGGTGAATTATCTAATTGTTGTTATGTTCTCGCATTTGGACATGGCTTCAGAAAATGAATGTGGATATTTATTATCTACGGAGTAGTCATATTGTATGTTTTCATTGTGAACGGCGTAGGGAGAGTATACCCCGGGCCAAGCGGCATAAGAGCTGAATCCCCGGCCGGCCTGCGATGGAGAACCTCGGGGAATTGGAATTGCGTCAACCACTTTTGTCGAGTGTAAGATACGACTGAGAAATACTACTTCACTAGCTGTCAAAGCTACTACTACTACTACCACGTAGACCAAGAGATATATCCCAATTGTCTACAAATGTATGTAGAACTAGGTAGAACAAATATCCCAACATCAGAGCTAGAGTATATGGAATTAACAAAGCATTCAGTTTTTATCCAAATCGTAGATTGTTTCACTCAGACACATTTAAAAACCCGGTACCTACCATCGTAGGCAAGCACGATCATATATAGTATGGTGAGCTATATAGACAGCCGTAGCAATCCGAGGATACTAATTCGGGAGGAATAATCCGGAACGACCGGAGTTAGTATCGACAACTCAATCCGTCGAGTCTCAAACCCCCCCAAAAAAAAGCACTCTGTAGTCTGTAGAGTAAGCACTATGGAGTACGGAGTAGGTAGGCAGATCATAATCCTGGTTCCTTCTAACTTGCGCCACGGGCTGGGCGGATCCTTCACCCCGCGGTGGGTAAGATCCATCCTCCACGTGTCTGAGCGATACGTGCCGGGTATTGGGATTACTTTCAATACGGGTATGAATAAGTCATCTGGTAATGATAAGATTATCTTTATATATATAAGTTGAGAGTTCGGTTCTTAGAGGGTAAAGAGGGTCAAGAGAAATCCTCGTCGATGTCGTCGAATGCTTGGGTCAGATAGGTGCTGACTGCCGGGCTTGCCATGAGGGTTTCTCTCTGGTGTCATGGGTGGTTAGTATATGGTTTGGACAATGAAGTATAGGCGTATGGGCAGCAGCACGTACCTGTTTGACAAGGTCCTCGATCCCCCGTTCCATTAGCTTGGACTCCAGCTCTCGCAGTTTCAAGACTGTCTCAAATACCTCCGGTCGGAAAATGGTTCGCATTTCTTCGTTGTCGCGGATCTCGGAGATCATCATGTCGGTTTGTCGCAGGACGAAGAATTGAGTTTCCAGTCGCTCAAGAATGAGAACCACCGCACGGAGCTGGTAGATCTCCCATCTAGGATCGGCCGCTAGGAGGTCTTTGAGACTGTTCGGTTCTTTCACATCCTCTCCTTTCCAAGTGGCTTTGAGTTCTCGGCCGCCGTCAGTCGTTTGAAGTACATTGAAGTCCAGCCCGTCCTCTTCGTTGACGCATGCCCACCAGATGATAGGACTGTCCCAGGTTGTAGCAGCGTCTGTCTCCGAGTCGGTAGAAGTAGATAGTTTGACTCCTGGTGTATCTTTGCAGAATGCCTTTTTGGCTATTTTCAAGGGATCGTCGTCTGGGATGTCCAGGTCAAGGAAAATCTGTTTCGCATCTGTTATCTGCCCGTCAAGGAAACCATAGGAGAAAATCATTTCCGAGGCGGACTTCTCATCGCCGTACCTTTGTCCATCAACGTAAGCATGAACCACCAGTAAGCACTTCTGATAGAGACGGAACTTACGAGATAGTGACTTCGTCATCAACCCGCAGGCTTCTTGCATCACGCAGCTGTAATACAGCATTCCCCTCCATATCTTCATCATATAAAGCCTTGACCGTCTCTCCAGAAGCATGATTCGCCATATCGATGCACGGGACCATGGCATGACCATTCCGCGGCAGATCCACCATCCGTGACCGGTACAATGCATCGACATACTTCCAATCATCGAACGTCAATTTCCCCGTATCCTCATCCCACCAATACTTCCCACACCAAGACAAGCCCTCTGTGCTTTGACGCAGATGCTCGAATTCCTTCTCAAGGGAGGCGATCTTGGCATGCACAGCCAGTCTCAACGATGATCCCCGCAAGAGCTCCAACTCCTCCTCGGTGTAAAAGGTAGGCAATATGATTTCAGACGGCATGTACTTCATATATTCAGTCCACGGACTCGACAGTCCGACATGATGGCGCTCGTGCGCATAATCAGGGCTAGAATGCGTAAGTTGGACGAGTAAGAAGATCAATATATCGCCTCTAGCTGTCTGTGCATATCAGCAGAGGTAACAGAGTCAACTATCACACATTTAACCCAAGCCATGGTATTCGCGCCACCAAGATCCGTGGAAGTTGAAATAGGACCTACTCTTCCAAAGTCTCCGACAGCTTCTAATACCTCACGAAGCTGTCTATCGGATTTGGCGTAGTTGTCGACAAAGCTCTGGGAGAGGACTAGATCGGAGGGAACCCGTAGGAGGGGCTCTGGCTGGGAGTCGACACTCCGGGGTTCTTGAACGGATTGCTCCTCTGTTGCAACAATTGCAGATCCCTTGTCGGTGCCATCATCTGCGCGCAGCTTCCGGAAAGCGATGCCCTTGACGGCGATCCCGTTGAGCTTTGTCCAGGGGAACAGCGTCTCAATTGGAAGATAGTCGTGCTTCATTTTAGTTGATATTAGACTAAGGTGCGATTATCTGGCATGAGCATTTGCGAAATCGCCCCGCCCAAGCTGCTGTATGACAAGCGATGGCAGGTCAGGTGTTTGGCGGTGTTGTTATCGATAAGAAAGTGGAGCCAGGTGCCCTAAGCCCTACTAGCCTGAAGCAGCAGCATGGTTTCATTGCGGCATGTAGACGTCATACAAATGTGGTCGAGCCGGTTCTCCAGGCGAAGTGATCGAACCCACTTGGTTCTTAATTGGAACATGTGGGAGGCTTCATTCTGCTTAGACTTATAATCATCTTCACTACAAGAGCTATAGGAATACGAGAATATAAACTCTTGCAAAAGTTACCACCTACTTCGGACACATACAATCCATCAAGATGCCTGCCAACCCTCGCATTCCATCATCGGCCTCAAAGCTTCACAGTCTGCTTGTGCCACGGCCCCCGACACCTTGTCTGCTTTCGCTGCGATCCATCTGGCAGCCAGCCGCGATCCATACGCCGAGAAGCGTGCAGGCTCGTTTTAACAGCGGCGTGACCAAGGACTGGAAGGGTACTGGGTCGGAGGATCATGCAGTTGACCGAACACAGAAGCGGGACACTACAGACCCAACGACAGATGCGGCAGCCTCAGTGATGAAGGACAGGGAGGAGGGTGAGGGTATCGCCAATGGATCGAAGCCTCAGGGAGCAACGGAAAGGGGGGGTACGCAGCATGGGAAAAAGGCGAAGCAACAGCACCCAAACGCACCAGAACCGATTATCGGAATGAATGATGAGAGAGGCCAGGTCAGTAAAGTCCATTCAATCAGGAATACGCCAGTCTCTCCTTGACATAGCAACTCGCAAGTCTCGCGAAATATGGTCTTTCAAACAAAATGGCTAACCAAATATTGCTCACATAGAAGGGCCACTAAGCGCACGACCATATCTTGGTCTCTGAGCCCTTAAGAATGGTCTATACGATATTAAAAGATACTCAGCTTGGAGTTGTATCATCTCAAGTATTGTTTCATTATCACGTTGACTGTACATAAATTGAATAGCAGGATCTATCGGCCAGGTTTAAACGAGAGCACCTAGATAGAAGGGTTTTGTTAGCCTGGGCAATGCAAATGAAGACCTGGTAAAGCTCCTACATCATGCTTTCCTACTTCCACTATTTCGTCTTCTGAGACACGGATGCCACCGACTCCTTCGATGTAGGAGATGGGTACGTCGCCCATCACCTTGCGAGCAACATCGCCCACAGTGGTATTCCTGTGCCATGTTAGACGGCCGGACTGGAGTTGAAGGTATCCGGAGATACTCACTTGCCAACAAGGACACAGTCACGGAAAGCAGCTGTTCCGGCTCCGGATGAGAAGGTATGGATGTTGCGGACTGGGAATACCGGCACAAGTCCCAGCAGTTCTGCAGCACGTGAGAGACATTGGACAACTCCCGTGGATCCGAAACGATACAGGACCATGTCTTTCAGGTTTTCAACGCGCCTAAGTCCATGTGAGCCCGGTCCTGTCAGAAGGGGTGTAGGTTACCGCCATACGATTTCAACTTCTCATCCATCTCTTTGAGGCCGCCTCCATCAGGCTCGCCCATTTCTATCAAATCCTCTCTCGTATCCAAGAACTCACTTCCTTCAACGTATTTAATGTAGCCCTGTTTGGCTAGCCTCCGGAGGAACACCTCGGAAATCGCAGAACAGAGTACGATGGATTGGGGGTCTTGCATCTTGGCGATCTTGCTAATATTCTGGTTCCACCACGTCAGCTACCATGTCAGTCGTGAATTGGGATATATCCAACCTTGTCCGCATCCGGATGATCGATCTTGTTCAAGGCGAAGACTGTCGGGAATTTCTCTGCAATGAAGCCTTCAACAACTTTCTCCACGGTTTCGTCGGACCATTCCTCAAGAGGTTCCTTCAGCGCCATCCGATCGAGGCAGCGAGCAACAATCGCATTGGTACCTCCGTAACCCGAAAACTGGGCTTGCAAGGTTTCCACGGCCGTGGATTCTGGTCCATGTCAATTTCTGTAGGAGAGTTTCGGCCGTGATTAAATAAAACTTACTGACTGCGACATGTCTCCTCTTGATGGAACCCCTATGAAGCATCAGCCTGTAATCATATAGCCTCAGACGCGCAAGCATACCATTTCTGCAGAAGGTTTCCCAGCACCCAGCGCACAATCTCCGACCTCAGCCATTCGATATCTTGTGAAGGGTCATATCCTCGCGTAGATTTTCCTGATTTGATAAAGCGATGTCAGCAGAGCCTTTCCGAAAGTTGCTATACATCGATATATCGTACCTTCCGCATCAGTAGTCCCACTGACGTCCACAACGTGGATCAACGCATCGGCATGACGGAGATCATCCAAGAACTTGTTGCCCAAACCACGTCCTTGATGTGCACCCGGTACAAGACCTGCAACATCCAGAAGCTCAATCGGAACAGAACGCCGTCCCTCCACGCATCCTCCATAGTTCGGTTTGCATTTATCAGAAACGTTGAATCGCTGACAGGCGCATTCTATCTGGAGGTATCCAATGGCACGCTGGGGATCGATGGTAGTGAAACTGCATTTCGAACGTCAGAGTCGCTCTGAGAAGGGTTTGTTGTAGAGTCCGCAGGGCGATATATATCAATGTCTGATAACGATCACGGTAGTCGGATTCAAACGTACGGGAAATTTCCTAAAGGATGCCGTACGATAAGTATGTGCTCTGAGATAGGGGTAGATTGCAGAATTCAGAAACGTACCGACTTTGGAAGAGGCATCTGTCAAACTATTTAATGTTGTCGATTTTCCGCTGGATGGCTACATGCCCCTCAATTCGATCAGCGGCGTCTCGTATATGGGAAAAAGAAACCAGACCTTTCCAACCAGCCCAATCAACGGATCCCTCGGCATCTTACAATGAGCGCAATGCTTCTAGGGTATAGAACAAAGAAAGAACGTCTGAATAAATTTTTATTCCGTCTGATTGCTAGAAAATCGAGAAAGTCATTTCTGCATCAGCGGGGAGAGATCAATTTCTGCCGTCCTCCCTAGGAAGGCGGTCTGAGACACTGCGCCCGATCGAGACCCCGACGGTCCCTGAGTCGCTCCTTCCTCTTCCGGCGAACACACGTTCTATCGAGTTGCATTGATGCTACTTATCGATGCTATCTTGCTACATCCGGGCACTTTTTCCGGTGCAATGGCGCTAATAGTGCGTGGTACTTTGAGCTACGCGCACAGACACCTGTCTTTCCCTATATCAGTTTTCGACATCTTCAAATCGACAGTCTTGTATCAGACAATCGTTGTCAGGCCAACAGAAAGAGGCCAAGGACAACGTTACCACTCTTGCAAAGTATAGGCCGAGCAGTCGGGATGTAACCCTCAATGCCATGGGCATGTCCAAGCCCTTGCGTTAGGCTTGCCTAAGTCCTATACTTGCCAGCAGGTGGCAAGCATCTACTGTGTAGGAAATTGTGGCCATGAAGCAGCAATATCGAGGTCAATGAAACAGTGTAGCAAGTGGGCTGGAAATTGCCAACGTCCACCATGACATGTAGACATTCTTCGATGAGTTTGGAGACGTGCTTGCATCATATTCGGGAACCGGTGCTCCGTGGTCAATAGCAACCTTTCTTCTTCTGCTGTCCTAGACATCAGCAGCGCCTCATGATGTCTAAGATCCAAAGGGTACGTCATCAATATGATCGCGAATGATGCCCGATGGGGTGCATATCCAGGTCAGTTTGCATTGACCCTCCAGGAACTGCACGGTGATGTTCCTGGGTTGATCTATCATTAGCATCAGATCGGGGATGGCATCATTGGCATGATGATCCCTTGTACTTGGGCTTGGCTCGGAGGATCCGCTATTTCTTCACCGGTGCAGCAATGAGGAGAAGATGTAATGGTAATGGGTCAAGAAACCAGAGGAAAGAGAAGGAATAAGGTGAAATCCGCTGTGCGGAGAACTGTCGTGGTTGCTAGCCAACTCCAGGGGATACCAGGTCACTCACTGTCAACCGATGATATTCCTCATCCAATGAGGTGACCTATCAAACAAGGTTGTCTTATTTGCTCATAGAGTCTCCATGATTTAGTGGACACCGTAGCCCCCATTGCTGAAAGGCGCAATGTCTATCCCAAGGCTGGGTGGGTTGCAAGGCGAACCAAGGTGTGGTCGGCGTGTATGACGTTAACCGCAACGACGTCACCAGCCATCCAACCATCGGCTCTCCTCGACGGATGTACATATTAAAAGCAGCACCACCCCTTGAGATTAAACCTACCATTCTATCAACACAAACATCCTCATCACAAGCAATCTATCACATTCCAACTACAGTTCTCTACAATCCACACCACTACTACCACTCCAACCACCTCACAATCCACCACTATCCAAAATGTCCGAGCAGACCTTCCACACCACCATTCAGGACCTCCGCAAGCCTGAATCCCACGCCTCTCACGCTGGAGCTGGCAAAACCCCCAAGAACTCCAACATCTCCGCCATGAAGGTACTTCCCCTATTCCATTCTGATCCACTCTTCCCAGCCCCACGCTAACCTTGAACCCCAGTCCATCGTGGACGAGAACAACTCCGACAAGCAGGCCCAGATCGACAAGACCAAGGCCAACCTGCCATTGCCCGAGCAGCCCCCTCGTGCCAGTGACTGGAACTCTGCCGACCAGAGAACCGTCAACGTGGGTTCGGGCGGTCGCGAAGGACCCGTTTCCGGAGAGAACAACAGTGCCTTGAGAGAACCTGCCACTGCAAGCAGCAGTGTTCGTATCGATGGCGATGAATATCACAAGAACACGCAACCTATGAGTGGCGTTGGTCGCCAGGGCAAGGATAACCTTGACGGTCTGCCCCGGGATGCTCTGTATCGGTAATTTGGGGACTTTATCTTCTTGAGGGAGTATTGATTACGGCCCTATGCTATGTGTATTATTATGAATGAGCATTTAATGAACAAAAGAGATTTTCCATAATGAGTTTGAGTTTCATACGAAGTAAAGTACTAGTAGATTTTGTAGACAACCATTGGCCCTGCTTTGGGTTCTATATATATCCTGTTGTTGTGTCGACAGTAAGGTATAATTCATTAACCTTTGAATTTTATCAAACATACTAGACATGTCCTCAATAAATCCTCACATTATTACTTATCATTATTTTGGAATTTCCCTCACGATGGTACTACGTCCCCGTGATACAAGGAAAATCTACAACAGCACATCCAATCGGCTTCCCGCCAGGGAACCGACATCCCTCAACCTAAACCAGCACACAGATGTCCACACATAACTACACAATAGACAACAGTACTCATCTTCTCATCCAAATCGCACATTAAACAAACCACGAGTCACACAGACAGAGGATGCATGCATGCATGTATCTAACCACCCACCAACAACCATGACGTCATGCATCCAGACACCTGCCCCCCAAAGCAAAGCGCCCAATACCCATCACATCAACTCCCATTTACCTACGCAATGAAAGAAACCCATCGAAGGACTAATTCCAATTCAGTTTCCCAGAAACGGCAACCAGACATGTGGATGGACCCAGCGCGAAGAACCTGCCAACGGCGATGGATCTAGACGGCGGAACCCGATGTACCAAATGGCCAAACCGAATCGAATCGATTCTTGTCCATTGACGCCACAACTGGGAAGCAGATGTTGCTCGTTGACGTATCCTGTTACCTAGTACCCAGTTCTCTATGGTTCTGGGTCTGTTGGATCGGTGGACTGCAGTGGTGGTCGTAATGTCAGTATGACATCATGGGCTGTAACTCATGTATCAACTGGGTTGACGCCATCCGGAGGTTGCTCGATGCTATATAGTTCTGGTGTTGTAGCTGCTGGACAGAAGAAGTAAAATCAACTACATGATCGATTAAGACTCATCTATCAACTTGTCTGAACGAATACATAACTCTACATTCAATTTTGCATATTCCCAAATCACCACACCATGGATCTCCAAGGACAGCCCATTCCCCCCGGCCAGAGAAGCACCAAGGTATGTTACCTGGTCTTAAGTATATCCATAACCAAATGAAACACCCAATAACCCTCAAAACAGGTCACCTCCGACCCGGAGCGCATAAACAACCCCATCCAGGAGCCCTCTGGCCCCATTACCAACGACTCCTTGGCCGCTGAATCAGCCACCAAGGGCGGTGCCTTCTCCCAGAACCGCGGAGCCCAGCCCATGGGCGTATCTGCTGGCCAGTCCACAGTCCGAAACACCAACACTAGCGGCGCCACCAAGCTCGACTCCAGCGCCGACACCCAGGAGAAGTACCCCGAGGCTCTGGGCGGACAGGGTAACTACCCCGGCGCTCACGAGCTGAAGAGCGGTTACGCCGGCGGTCCTACGTCTGCCAAAAAGGACCTCGGCATCAACCAAGGCCAATACCCTGCTTCTCAGAAGCTTTCTCAGCAGGGCCAGGGTAGTCAGCAGCAGCCATCCGGTGGGGCTAGCTACAAGCAGCAAGCCGCCCCGGCCAGTGGCAGCGGCCACAGCAGCCAGAACAATGCTGGAGCGGCGCCGTCCTACATTGAGGACGTGACTAGTCACTTGGGCAACACTAAGCCCAAGGGCGCCAATTTGAAGGAGGGTGATATCCCCGATGACGCGCCCAATGCTAGCTACACCACTGATATTGGTGGTGAGAATGACCCTGGTCGCTTGGCACAGGCTGGCTTCCAGCGCAAGGCCGCTGAGAGTGGCCCAGATGGTACCTCTGCTGGTAGACAGAAAGGTGTGGATAACCAGCACTGGTACCAGCATTTGCAATCGGACCAGAGGGCATAATTGGGGCTATGATGGATGATGTTACGAAAAGCAAAGCGGGCTTTTTTTTTCTTTCTCTTATCTTTGTGTAATGTCTTAGGCCTGGTAGAAAAAGGCTCAACCTGGAGAGGACTGCGTCCTTCTATCTTGTATTAGTGTATCTAACTAGATGATTTGAACAATCAGAGACTGACCGACTTACGTGATGTTTCTCCATGTTGTAGCAATCAACGATGTTGGTTGCCTTTTCAAGGTTTGCTTCGCTGATTACGGCGAGGCCTTAAGCTGGCGGTAGAAAGGATGCAAAAAGCACGCCCTGTACAGCTGCATATATCACCATATACTGGACAATTGCCTGTCCGCAACCGCGTCCCTCCAGATGCTTCTTTCGTGCAGATGGATAAGCAGGATAGCAGTCCAGGATAAGAGTTGCTACCCAGATATACCACACTGGATAACCAGACGACAACCGAATGATGATCTGAACATGATTGCAGAAAAACAGTACAACGGCAAGGATGATTTGAGGGATCGCTAGGCTACGCAACAGACGCCCTGTCAGTTGTCCTGTTGGGAAATCTTGTGGCGTTGTACTGGGAATTTTCAGGCCTGACTCCACATTGAGTGCCCAAACGGAAGAGTAGACTAAAATGGCTAACACTGGACTGGCCAACGCAAATAATGGTAGATTGGACAGATTCCAATATCGAAGAAACCCATTGTCCCTGTGGATGTCAGTAGGAAGCCGCCAAAGGTGGAGCGAGACACATACCAGTAATGCTCTTGCACAAAGCTGTAGATGCTGGGAATAGCTCGGTAGCACCATTCCCTTGACGGCCATTCGTCGGTAAGGGTACGGTTAGCGCAGAACTGTTGGTAAGCAATATACTGCGGCAGTATAAATCCGAGCCCGGCGCAGATTCCGGCAAGACCAACCGCGGCGAGTCGCCGGAATTTGGCGAAGCTGAAGTCCTGCGCGATGGAATACAGGACACGAAATGCTTCCTCGAGAAGGATGACACCATTGAGAAGGCCATTTCCACGAGCAGCCGTGGATAGGCCGTACATGATGCCCGCAAGCACTAACAGGCCATCTTGGATGCTTGTTGAAATGCCCGAGACACTCAAGCTCCGAGCAAATAGGAGAGCGCCCGTGAAGCTCAGAAGAGAATGAGTGCTTTCTGCGTTGGGAGCTGACAGAAAAAGGCCGGCGGGCGAGAGAATGTGCAAGCATGCTGCGATGAAAGCCAGCTTGCGTCCCTGTATCCCCGGAAAGATGGTACATGCTAGACCATGGAGAACCGCTGCAGAGGTGGCATGAGCCACGTGGGCCACGGCAACACCGAGTGCACTTTCCTTGAATTCATAGGGAAAAGCACCAGTGCGTTCGGAGGCTGACAGGGATCTTAGCTGAGAAAGGATGGATCTTTACGAACGACTCTTACCAGCGGCTAAGAGATTGATAAACTTCGAGAAAACATAACTGAACGCCCATTCTTGCTCAAAAACATGACCACGTCTTGCCGCCTCGGTGAAGTAGATGGCATCCCACCTAGTCAGCCTGGTAGATACTTGTCTCAAAAAGGTTGGGAATAGTCCCTTGATGTCACTGGAGTCCCTGTACCACTGAGCTAAGGTCGTTGAGGTATCATACCCGGGACCGGGGGTTAGGATGGCGAGGAGAAGTAGAAAGGCCTTCCAAAGAACGAAGATGGAGATCAATGATTGGTAGGGGTGATAGATGGGAGTTCGTGTTAACCATGACATGTTACTAACTGTCTCATGGCATACCTCGATAGGTAGATAGATGGATGGCTGGAATCCAGATGTGGTGGTCTGGTTTCTGGTTCCGGGAAGGCCAGCCTGGAGCTGGTGCACGCTAAGCCCACTCGGGCCTTCCTCCCTTCCATCCAGTCTGTCTGTCTCTGAACGAGGAAAGAGCGATCGATCCTCACGGCGAACGGCGAAGCGGCCCGGTCGGGCTTGCTTAGTATAGGTATAGTCTTTCTGCTCCTTCTCTGCAACGCCGAAGCGGAGAAACATCATGGATTCGCTTACGGAGGCTCTGGTCAAGATTTTGGATTTTATTGGATACTTCCTGCCTTTTTCATACACCATTTGAGAACGCCAGATTTGCAACGGACACATCATAAAAGTCAACCCAATGAACACGTCCCAAAGGCCAGACCCCGAAGACATGCACTGCCTTGTCAGGCAACAAAGTGGAACTGTACAGCCATAGCAGCAAAGCGACAAGACATTGAAATATAATTAAGACATAACAGAACAAAGGAAGGGTGGATTCAGAAGTCCAGCTGAAACTTCACAGGTTCACCTTCTTGGCCTCTTTCTGAGCGAGCTTGGCCAGTTCCTCGAACACCTCGGTGAAGTCCTCTCCGTCGTCCTCGCTGTCCTTCTTCTTGCCCTTCGACGCCGACTTGGGCACGACCATCACAACACTGGTGGGGCGTTTCGTGGCGGCCGAGTTGCCGAGCTCAGCTCGGGATGTGACGAAAACGTATGGGATACCGTGGTCCTCGCACAGGACAGGGATATGTGAAATAACGTCCATTGGCGAGATATCGGCAGCGAGGATGACGACTCCGTTGGGGATACCAATGCTGGCATTGGCGGCGGGAATGGGCGACTTGCGGAGAGCCTTGACAACCTCCTTCACACCACGCTTCAGGCACTTGTTCACAGCGGCTATTGTAGATCACACAGTCAGCATATTGTGAGCGACTAATGAACGGCTGCGCAAGTAGCACCACAGAGCCTTAGCCAGTAACCAAGGCCATATGAATCCGCATTCATCTTGTTGAGACCAAGGCAAGCACGGCACAACTCTGGAAAACCGATTCAATAAGCACAGGAGATATCTTACCCTTCTTGACGCTCTTCAAGGCCTTCTTGGCAGCCTTGTCCTCGACCAGAGGGCTGGCAAAAGGAACAATTGCGCCAACGGGGCGGGCGTCAATTTCCATCAGCTCGGTCTCGACGCCATTAGCAGGAGTCTCGGCAGAAACAGCCTGATCAATGCCTTCCAGAACCTTGGTGGTGAGTTCCTTCTCGACGGCGTCGGCGAGAGCGACCTTGTCCTTCTTCTCCTTCTTGTCCTTCTTGCTGCTCTTGGAGACACCGTCCTTCTCCGCGCGCTTGTCCTTCTTCTCGCGCTTGTCCTTCTTCTCGGTCCTATCCTTGGCCATTGTGAATATTCGACCCACCCAGGGAATTGAGCTGAATCCGGAAGAGGGGGAGAAAGTCGAGAAAGACGGCGACGGGCGTGGGGAGGAATACACAGTAGTCGTCGGTCTCTTCCGCAAAAATTCGAAATCCATTTCAAAATTTCGGCGCTAATCCTGTTTAAGACCCATAGCTGGCGCGGGCGGTGAAGTGGCTGAGTCAGCACGGGCCTCCTCGGGGCGGCTTGTGCCAGTCACTCTATCGAAAACAATGAAGCATTTCTTGGGTCTGGTCGGATGATTGCGCCCTCATTCTCAGCCTAAGGCTGGATCTCTGGGCAGCCCTGAAAATATCCACCAAATCCCTTTGCCACTGATGGTCATCCGGGCAATTGCTTGCGCGGGAGACCATTGCCTGATTCATCCAAGGTGAGTCGCGGAGTGTCGCGCGACATGCTCCCCAGTCCGTTTGGGACCAAGGAGATTAATGAGCCCCAGATGAATTCAAGCTTGAATTCGCATCCCTCGCGGGACACCCTCCGCGCTGAATCTCCCTTGTCGCTTCCGCCGGCACCGGATACTTTAAAGCAATCAATCCGCTCGGTTTACCCTTCAAAGCCTGGTGAGCTCATGCGTCTGTCCCAAAATGCATCTCTTAAGACTAAAGATCCCCATTTCAGATACGGAGAAGGAGGAGCTACTTGTGCAGGTGAACGCTCTCAGATATGAGTTGGAGAATTTCAAACAGGAGAGGGACCTCATGGTCCTACATCATGAGAAGGAACTACGGGATTTGCAGCTCAAGGCTGATTCGGACTTTCGAAAAGCTCAGGTTCGCTCATTACTCTATATTCCATGTCGTTTCTGGTCCTAATCATCTAGCTATATGACAGGCTGCGGAAAGCAGTAGCAACCGGGCCAACAATAAGAGCGAGACCCTTGCAAAAGAGTTAAAAGAAGCTCAGGAGAATGCACTCTATGAGAAAGCTGGCCTAGAGCGAAAGGCTAGAGGTCTTCAAGATCAGAAACAATTCTTACAAGAGGAAGTAGAAGACACGAAGGCACAACTACTCGACCAGGAGCGACAGTATAAATATCAGATCAGCGAACTTGGCACCATCCGCTTGTCTCTCCAGAAAACAGTGGAGGAATTGCAAAAGGAACTTCAAACCATCCGGGGTGACATGCAGGCTACACAGGAAAAGCTGCGCGAGCGGGAAACAGAAGTCGCTGACCTAGAAACGGAAAACCTTCGCCTGAAAGCCGAGGGAACTGATACCGAGACCCTGTCAGTTCTCAAACGCGAACTTTCCGAACAAGTCAGCCACATCAGAAACTTGGAAACCGCGAATCGTGAGCAAAGCACCGAACTGCGGCACCTACGAAAGATCCAGAAGAATGTGGAAGTCGTGGAGGAACAAAAGAGATCGTTGGAGAATCAGCTGCAGTTGATGAAAGATGTGGAGTCGCAACTGGATACTGCTCAGATCCAGACACAGATGCTGGAGGATGAACGACGAGCTTGGACCAGTCTCTTACAAGATAGTGATCAGCCGGCAGAGCTCGATTCCCCAGAAGCGGTTGTGAAGGCTTTGTTACAGGAGCGCATAGAAAAGGCCTCTCTTGTTGATAAGCTAGGTGTTATTGAAGCGCAGTTCCTGGAGAAGGACGAGTCGATTAGAGGTCTGGAAACAGAACGTACCACCTTGCGACAGGAGATCGAGAAACTTCGCAGTACTGCCGGCTCTGTTGCTGGAGGGGCAATGGCAGACAGCCGTATCAAATCAAGGCTTGAACGGCAGCGGGCCCTCGCTGTGAAGGAAGTCGACTATCTCCGTGCTCAGCTTAAGGCCTTTGACACGGAAGAGGTGACCATGAATCCAGAGCAAAGCCATTTCGACGAGCAAAAGTCAGAGCAAATCGCCAACTTGGAGAAGCTCGTTGATGAGTATAGAGTCGAGTTGGAGAAAGCTCATGAGGAGCTCACTAAGTGCGAGCCTTCTCAGCAGGATGAGTCTCAACCCCGGGGGATCAAAAGGCCCCTTTCTCCGGCCGAGAGCGATGCGGAAAGCGAACGTCTTTCTGTTCTGACCCGCAAGAATAGAACATTGCAGGAATCTTTGTCGAAATCCGAGCAAGCAGCAACTCTGCTTCGCAAGGAGCTTGAAGCCAGCAAGTCGCAGATGAAGTCCCTCAAGGCCAGATCGCGCACTCGAATTCTTGAACTTCGTGACAACCCCACCGCAGAAGCAGAAAACCTCAAACTTTCCACTATCCGAACCCTGAAGGCGGAGAACCAAGAACTCCTTGCACAACTGCGTGGTGGTCACCTGGATGTAAAAGTTGTCCCGGTGAGCACCCTTGAAAGCATGAAGCTGGAAGTCCAAGAAATGGAGCGAGTGGTTGCCGACAAGGAGAAACGTATGCGGCGCCTGAAAGAGATCTGGACGGCCAAGTCGTCGGAATTTCGCGAAGCAGTCGCATCCCTGCTGGGATACAAGTTGGATTTCCTTCCAAATGGTCGTGTACGAGTTACTTCGATGTTCCATCTTTCATCCGCTTACAGGCATGGCGATGGTGGTGCTCCTTCCGACTCCCGGGGCCCAGGAAGCATGGGCAACGGTGAGGAGAACTCAATCATTTTCGATGGCGAAAACGGGACGATGAAGATCTCGGGTGGTCCCAACAGTCTCTTTGCCTTGGAGATCAGACACCTCATCAAATTCTGGGTCGAAGAGCGCAAGGATATCCCCTGTTTTCTTGCCGCAATGACGCTAGATTTCTATGACAAGACTACGAGGGCTGCACGCATGTAGATCTACGATTCGTTTCAGGGGCTTGGCGCTACTTCTGGTCGTCCAAATTCCAAGTGATTCCCCGGCACACACATCAAAGTGCCATGTTTATGAAGAGTCATGATGCCATCATTCCCAGTTAGATGGAATTCTACTCATTTAAGCGGTTCACAAGGCTTTTTTCGCCTCCTATTGTGTACTATATTATCTACCCAACAAGCATGTCTGCAACATGGCTTCGATAATATAGCGGATTGCTAGCGGACCTGATATAAGTATACTAAAATCGCCTTAAATATACTATCCCTGAGATGCTATCATGAAGTGGAAAGAGAATAAATACATACGCCCGTCTGGGAGCTTTCATCACCGCTAGAGTAGTTGTCCTTTGGGTCTGATTTTACAGTAAAAGTGCTACACGAACCCAATTTTTAATATTTCTGTATGCGTTGTAACCATTGTATAGGCATTGGACTCCAGGGTCTTGATTAGAGTTTACAAGCACCTTCTTCCACTTGATGTCATGCATGGAACATGTACAGTCCTGATTACCCATTACAGCGGAGCTAAAAATATAATATGAACAAACAACTTATTTACAGACCATTGACCAAGCCCGACATGAACCGGAGAAGAGGCCAGAGAACGAGATTACACGAGCAGGTTGGAAAGGATATCGAGAAGGACAAAGGAAAGGAGACTGCAGTGAGGTAATAAAAGCAAAAGCGGGTGCGAGATAAAAAGAAACTGTGCATATGAGGGCCAAGAGTAGGGACATAGGGCGAAGCAGAAACGGGTTCCGAGAGATGATGTGCCGCGAGGGAACTTTTTTCCTTGGGATTCATCATAAGGAGTAATGTGTGGGGGGAGGGGGCAAGCAATACCCGACTCATATGCCCTAATCGGCACATTTGGCCGAGGCTTGCGTTCGAACAGTATGTTCTCCGTGTATAGGAGGCTCATGGATATGATACAGCCGGATTATTCGGTTTAGGAAGAGACATATTTTCCGCCGAGTAGCTTCCGTGCGGTGGGAACACTTCGCCATTCCAAGGATGACTGCGCCTCAGTGGTTTCCCCAAACTCTTCGTCTGCAAAGGGATCGGAGCCTTTCCTCGGCGCCTGCTCCGTTGAGGAAGCGGCGCTGATTCTCAAGCGGGATCCATCATCAATGGTGTGAATCTCGAACTTGGCATCAACCTTGCCCTTCCGCGGCCAACTGGTGGCTGTCGAGAACCGGACTAGCAATTTGGCATCAGATCCAGCCTTGACCTCAAGCTCGGGAATCTTCCAGGTCACTGCAGATTGTTTGCGACGAAAGGTTGCTCCGGTGTTGGGATACATGACAGCAGCCGTGGCATGGGCTGCTTCGCGCCCTTCCACAGGAGACGTGTCCAAGTTCACAGTCAAGACCAAGTTTTTGAGGGTGATGGAACTCCCCGATGCAGGCATGGACGACGAGTTGATAGAATAGAAGATGATTGCGCTCGCCTGGTGTTCTTCAAGATTCCACACCGGTTTGAAAATAACAGGGCAATAGGCTGCGGCCACCGCGGGATCCATGTGGACCTGGTACTTGAAAGCCACGGTCGGCGAGGGTCGCGCAATGCTGGAAAGATTGATGCTATATTCACCCCGCTTCTCATCGGACTGATCCTTGCCCTTATCCTCGCTCACAAAATGCGGGTTTGCGGCCACCTTTTCTAGAATCTGGAAGTTGTCGAGGCGGACTCGGGTGCTTCCCGGTGTCACATCAGGGGTGGCATTGTACGCCAATGCAAGCTCCCCAAGAACAAATGACTTGGTCACCGCGCCCTCGGTGAACCACGCACTGACCGTGTCGATGATCGATGCATTCAGACCCGGCTCGTGTAGCTCGGGGTGCGAAACAGGGCTCGGGGCATTATGCAAAGTATGAGACGAGCGGATAGAAGTCGTGTCGGACATGGCATGGTCGTCTGTAGCGGTACTAGGGGAAGCAACATGCCTGGTCTGCAACGATGGGGAGGTCGGCACCGACATATCCAAAGCCGACGGCACAGCAGGGATCTCATTTCCTGGGGTAGGGATAAAGACTGTGTTACGGACATCGCGGCGGCCACGCAGGGTTCCGGCGTTTCGTCTTGCGCCACTTTGCTGGGCTCGCTGCATGGCACATCAGCAACGTTCATTGGGAGCCATTCTTCCCGGGGGAAACCCACCAGTCGGAGCTGATTAGCCATATCATCCATCGCTTGCTTAGCTTGATCTTCGTCCTCGAAGATCGGTTGGTCTCTGATCGTCAAGTTCATCCCCGACTCTTCCAGCCTGTGGGCTTGTTAATCTCAGAACATTCTCAAATTGCAACGTTTGCTTACCCAGCTGCCTCTCTTTGAGCCCTTGTGATTTCGTCAATGGTCTCTGGTCGCTCCGAGAAACCCTCCGAGTCCACGCGTGGCTGATTGGTGAATTAACTTGAGAGTCTTATACACATATGTCAGTTATTGCTTACCTCATTTGGGGCTATGTTTGTAGGAACTGCTTCAGGGAGAGCTTCATGAGATGTTGTTCCGTTGGCTGTACCCGGTGCCGACTGGGGCTCCGTGTTGGACGTCACGCCCGAAAAGCCCTCATTCTCGTGGGTTTCGCTCAAAACGCCCGGCGCTTCAGCATAGCTATCCTGAGTCGTCATGGCGGTTCCAGGACGCTCGGATCCGTCGGGAGGGGTCTCAGGAATCTGTAGATCACGCGAGTCTCCCCTCTTGAAAGAGGCAAACGGACTGCGATGTTTCTTGTCTGAAAAGAAGGGGGCGGCACTAGAGGGCCCAACGATGCTCCTACGTCGGTTCATGACCGTCCCCAGCCTTTTGAGACCACCGAGGGGAGCATTATGCCGAGGCTCAGGAACTGTAAACAGATCATTAGAAATCTACATCAAGGGACGCATAATCCAAAACGAGAAAATGGATGCTCACCAGGAGGCGTCCTGATCGGCCCCGAATGCTCCGATCGCTGGCTAGCAGCGTCATCCTGTAGGCGCGGTGGAGGAGAAAGAGGTGCTACTGGGGGAGGCGAGGTAGTCTGCTGTCTCCTCGGTACGACAGGCCTCCCTCCATTGACTTTCGCAGCAAATGTCTTGATCTCGTCGGCAGTCTCCACGTTGAGAAGAACGTTCAAGCAGCTCTCAGCAGCTTGGCGACAGCGCTCAACCTGATCTGTCTCATGGGTCTCTAACTGTGTAAGAGCATCCCGAAGGTGGTTGAGACGGCTCTCGTCTGCTGCTTGAAGCTGTTCAAATACAAACGGCGCCCTTGAGTCCCATTGCTGGCTGATTTCTTCCGCAGCGGCCACGGCGCTAGCTAGTTTATCTGCACCTTTAGGACCCTTTTCCCTGGCCTTTTCCACCTTCTTGTGACACGTGTCGTAATTTTTAGCCAATCCTGCAAGGTCACTTTGAATACCAGGCATTGACGATAGCTCTCGGTTCTTGGTGCTATATTCTCTCAACGGACGTTCGACGTCCTCATCGATCTTATGTGCGAAGGTTTCGTGTGACAGGGCTATTGATTCAGTGGCACTGATTATGCGCTGCCACGGGATTTGAAAGACACTGTTACCAAGCCTGTCGTTAGCATAACCATGGTGGGTTTGAGGATTTACTTGAATAGCCGGCCTTACCCGAGCGCCGCGCCATTGTCCAGCTGTGGCCGATGCGCAAGTTTCCGGAGCCCTTGAGCATATAATTCTTCAATGCGACGACGTTCCTATCGATTGAGTATAAAGATTTAGCCAGAGTGCGTTTCGATCCCCAGCGGAAAAGGCAAAGGCTTACCTGGAGCCAGTCCGCGATGTCCGCATTGACTTTGTTTATGACGCGAATGCGCTCATTGAGCACGTTTGTGGCTTGGCCGGGCTGCAAAGAGGCCTGCGATGGTGACGAGTAAACACTAGGTTAGACGTGCATAGGATGGGTATAGGATGAGAGGAAGCGAAAGTTGGGGGGAGGGGGAAGGTGGGGGTGGCTGGGGTCGAGTCCATCGTACCAGCAACGCTGGATACTCCTGCCGTGAGAGATCCATCACTACTCATAGGTCACAACCTTAGAAAAACGAGAGTCGGGGGCACATAATAAGGATGAATGACACTGAGGGGGGGGGGTCAGCATCGAATGGGGAGGCGATTGGACGGGAGGACAGCGCAGAACCGAACCGGTTCAACAAGCGACGGAGGACAGCTGGAGTCGGAGGGAAGAGAGATGTGATGGCCGATGGCTGATGACGATGATGGGTTGCAACGCCGGAACAACTGGGCGGAGGAGCCGAGTCGGCCCATGCCGGACTCGGTAAGGCGCCGCGGGAGTGTCACATGCCTGCGCTAGTACTTACTCGGTACGGCCCTGAGTATCGTATCAACTAATCTACATCCATCTAGTATCTATCTATCTTCATTGCCACTGACTCAGTCTCACTCGGAACCCTCCATCCTAGCCCTTTCTCCCTTTATATATATATATATATATATATATATATATCTATCTTGACCGATTGGATCCTTTGGGGTTCTCCCCCCCGCTGCCAAGATACCATGTCCTCGTCGGATTGGAAAAAAACCCTTGGCTTCACAGATCGATTGACAGCCATTCAATCGCTGTAAGTCTGCTATCATGGGTGACCTCTCCCTCCATACCCCTTCCATGCGAAATGGATGAGGCATTCTGATGCCCTTTCAGCACCATCGCCTACCAACGAGCTTCCTCCTCGGCTGCGTTCGCTGAGGCCCAATCTCAAGCCAAGAGATCTGAAAGTGAAGCCTATGATCAAGCCGCGTCCCAGGTCAGTCTTATACCACCTGAAGCTCACATCAAACTAACGGAATATAGGCAGAATATGACAGACTATGTCAGGAGGCTATTGACCAAGCAGAGGCTACTGGATCGGTAGCTCCCATCATCAGCAGCCCAGACCAGCCTCACGCCGACTCCGGCAAGCACCACTGGGAGGGTGGAGAAACCATCGGTCCATACCAGTCATGTCTTCCTCATTTTGACGGCATACACTCCATGATTTATAAGTCCAAGCGTGCAGATGGTACCCTGGTGGCCGTTAAGGTCACAATCCCTCACTTACTGGCCCCACCGCACGACGCTAAACGTGAGGTCCAGCTGCTTCATGCTGCGGCTGGCCCTCGAGTAATCCCGCTGCTAGAAACTCTCGGTTTAGATCAAGGGCGATTTGTTATTGTCTTTCCTTTTATGAGACATGATTTTGAACAGCTACTTCGACGAGACGCATTAACAGCGGCGCAAACCAAGTCTCATTTGTGGGACATGTTCAGCGCGTTAGCACACATCCATAAATTGGGGCTCATACACCGAGATATCAAACCATCCAACATCTTGCTCGATTCCCCTGATGGCCCCGCCTATCTGGCAGATTTTGGAATCGCATGGAAAGAAGGCTGCAAAGGAGCTGAGCCCGTTGATCAAAAGATCACAGATGTTGGAACCACGTGTTATCGTCCACCTGAGATCCTGTTTGGTTTCAAGGGATATGGACCTGCTCTTGACCTTTGGGCGGCCGGTTGTGTCGTTGCTGAAGCGGTGGCTGTTGGACACAAGCAATTGTTTGACTCGGGTCCTGTAGGAAGCGACTTATCGCTGATTCAGTCTATCTTTCAGACCCTGGGAACCCCAGATGAAGGCACTTGGCCTGTACGTGATAAGAGCCAATCATCCTGCTTCCTCATTATACCAAAGTATCATGCTGATAACGGGGTAAACAGGAGACCCAACGGCTTCCGGACTGGGGAAAAGTGGAGTTCTACAAATACCCTGCCAAAGAATGGGATGATATCCTCAAAGGAGCTTCTACCAAAGCCCGAGACTTGGTAAGCCAACTGGTGTGTTACGAGAGCAATAAACGTCTGTCCGCTGAAGAGGTATGTGAAAATCGAGAGACAGAAAAAAAGAGTACAGGCCTTGCAAATCTCTTACAATAATATAGGCATTGAAACATTCTTACCTTGAGACCTTTTAATCTTTCCCCTTTGCGTCTTTGAAAGGGACGGATAATGCGGTGATCTTTCACATGACACCGCAACAAAAATGCGATCTGCATAGCTTCACCAGCACCTTATAACTATTCGCAGGTAGTTCCATAGGGAGGCCACCCCGACACCGGTTGGGCGTTTCGGCCGCCTGATGGGTCGAAGCCATGGAGACCATTGTGCCTAAAGCTTGGGAGCTGCCAACAGCGGTCCGAAACTGGGGCTTATGCTTGGTAGTTAGTTTCATCATAGAGAATCCGGACAAAGCTCTGCTATTTCAGGCTGGAAGCATTATTATTGTGGGCTGATGTTCATAAATAATAACCAAACAGCGGGTTAGCGTATTTCCCAGACCGGAGCCGAACGGAGGAGCGCCGGTTCAAAATTTGAGAAGATTTCAAACGAAGATAGACCCGGGCACATTCTTCTGCTGACACTTGAGAATGAACTGTCTTCCTCTTTCTAAAGAAAGACGAGGAGTCGAAGGAGAAGGGTTGAGTCGGTGTAAGAGAGTAGTATCTATCTAGGTAGCATATCGGAGTTGTGACGCATGCAAGGGCAGCATGCTTTGTTTCGATCGCGAGGCTGGACGAGGGTGGTGTTGCACGACAGCCAACCAGTGTCCGCGGGTGTTGAACATCGGAAGGCATTTCCATTTGTTGATTGACTAGAGTCGGACAATCGGAGGGAACCTACCCTACGAATGAATGTGCCACTCACGGTGGTGGGTGGGTGACGCTAGGAAGGACCGGAGTTCGAGAGGGGTCTTGGCTAATTAATGGGCGGTCGCTCAGGGACCACCCAATGAATGAATGAGTGAAGATCTCATTCAATGCATTGGGACTGGCTCCAAAATCCAACGGCCTATCGTGGTGCCGTTGTCAACGTGGTGTGGCGGATATGCACAAGACTGTTATTCCAGGGGAGTTCAAGAGAATGGCCAGAGAAGGGTCAACACGCAGAGCACTCACCGAGTACAGAATTGATTGATTAATTGCGAGTCCAGTGAGATGGCCAAGGCCTCATAACAGTGCGTCATCCATATAAGTGAAAGGATTCTCGGACCTGCGGTGACCATACCGGGACTCCAAGGAGAATCGAGGGGTTCTTCTGTCCATTCATCCATTCTTGCCTGTGATACGGAGTGATGGTTGTTGATGCCGGAGGCCCGGCACCTCGTGTCCGTTGTGACCGTCATAAAACCAGGAACCATACCAAATCCAAGCCAATCAAAATGCAAGAGTTCCTGAGTTGGGCGGGACAAACCCCGTAATCCCCACCCGGCATTACCAAGCAATACGGGGCCGTGATTGGTGGAGCCCCCCTCATTATGCTTTGACCTCATTTCGTTTAACTGCGGTTCCGTGGGAGGTACTCAGGTAATTACCCGTATTGGCAGCGATGCTCTCTGGAGAAGGTCGGCTTCTCGTCTTTGGGTCACCACTAAGTAAGTACCCTTCACTTCCCGCACTGGAGGGCGAATCCCTCCTATTCATTATCTCCCCGTCTTCCATCCCTCCTTTCCTTCCTTTCCTTCCTTCTTCCTGGCCGACCTTCGCAGCGTGGAAGCTGGCTGTCTTTCGTTTACCGATCTAGATCGGGTGTGGCCCAGCCATCTCGAACTATATCTGGGGATTCTCAGATTTCCATTCTTTCTAAATCCACATTCTTTAACGCGCTTGCGCCCTTTACGCCACTACGCGACTAGCTTATCGCACCGACAAAGAAACCAAATAGTGATATCGATCTATGACACACATCAAACCAACTTACATCCATCCTTTTAATCCTGCGAAACCCCCAGGCACGCCTTGATACAGAAATTGCATATACACGCCACGCTATCTCTGGACTTGCAGTGTGTCCACCTGTGCAGGTACGCGGGGCAGCATTAATCTCACATTGCTCAACTCCGCAAGACCAGAAATTTGCGCAAAATAAAGCTCGTGAGCCCTAAGCAAACTCTAACCATGGTGCATGCGCATGCACATGCACACCGTGACCGGGTGGCCAGCCTGAAGGGACGAAGCCCGGATGATGGCCAAGGGGTGACCGTGGTTTATGTGACTATGAGTCCGGATTTTGATGGCCCTGTCGGAGGCTACGTGACAGGGAGCAAGACCTCAAACAACAGCAAGAACACAGCCGGTTTTGGTGTTGGCGCTCCCGTCCAGCAGACAAGGTCGTCTTCGACAGACGAGACCAAGACCACCGAGGCAGCAACGACACATACCAAGGCAGAGACACATACTGCAACCACCAAGTCTACCGAAACAGAGCCTACTACGACGCAGCAGCCAACGACAACAGGTCAGACAACCGAGGCTACCCGGGCTACTCAGGTGTCAAGTACAGATGAGGAGTCTGCATCCTCTACTAGGACTACCTTTCAAACCAGCACTTCGTCTTCCAAATCTTCAACGTCTTCCATGTCATATTCCACATCATCTGGTTCATCAACCACATCTTCACAGAGCAATCTCGGACTGGAGAATGCCGCTATCACCGGTTCATCTTCAACCAAATCTTCTACTTCTGCATCTGCAACCGCAGTTGCCGGATCAGGTGGACTCTCTGGAGGTGCAAAGGCAGGAATTGCGATTGGCGTTATCTTGGGGGTTGGTTTGATTGCAGTGCTGATCTTCCTTTTGATGCGCAAGAAGAAACAAGGAGAGGAAGAGCTTGCGGCGAATGAAGCCGATGATGAGAAGTACTGGGGCTCAGATATCGTTGCGCCACCACCCCCTCCAAAACCCGAGCCTGTGACTTCCCCCAATCCCCCGCAATTGAATGTCCGTCCAATTACCCAGTTTGCACCGTTCGAATCCGAGTTTAGCTCCAGTGATGGGTTCATGGGCCTCTCCACGATTGGCGAAGACGCAACTATTGCCTCAGGTGCAACCGGTACACGCAGTCTGACTGGTAATCCATCGCCTCCTCATTCACCTCAGTCAAGTAGTGCGAGCTCAAACCCGTTCAATGATCCAGTGGATCCATTCAATAACCCGTCTGAGGTCCCCTCGCCTTCTACAACCCCCAATTCCATTACTCAGTCGGCACGCATTCCGGAAGAACTTGCTGTTTCCGAGTCCGCTCCTGAAGCGATCCTAAATAACGGGACAGTGACAACTGGGGTTGCAGCCGGCGCTACAGCCGCAGCAGTTGCAGTTTCAGACGCCCCAGACAAAGATCTGCCCAACCGTCCTGAAAGTTCCACGTCTCATGCTGCCTCCGAGTCCGATCCTTTCGGTCATGGTCCAGTGAGCCCCGTTAGCCCCGTTAATACCAATACGGCACCAGTTCCCACTGCTCCTGCTGTTGCTGCTGTTCCACTGGTTGCGCCAGCGGGTCCGGGTTTAGCTCCATCTAATGTGCACCGCGTGCACATGGATTTCATTCCTTCAATGGCGGACGAGATGGAGCTGCGTGCTGGTGATATTGTCAGACTGTTGCACGAGTATGACGACGGATGGGCTCTTTGCATTCGGATGGATCGCTCTCAACAAGGTGTTGTCCCTCGTTCGTGTCTTTCGTCTCGTCCTTTGAAGCCCCGGCCTGGTCCGCCTCCAGGTGCTATGCCTGGGCCACGTGGGCCGCCAATGATGGGTCCAAATGGCCCCATGCCGCCTGGGCCCATGGCACAGACGCCGCGCTTCTATCCTCAGGAGGCTCGGCCGCACTCCCCTGCACGTCCCATGTCTCCAGCTTACTCTGGTTACTCCGGCCCTCCGCAACCGCATCCTTATCAGCGTCCTATGACTCCGGCACAGTATTCCCAAGCTCAAAGGCCCTTCTCTCCGGGACCAGGTCCAGTGGTCCCTAGGTCCTTGAGTCCTGGACCTTATGGACACCCGGGATTTCAGCGTCCAGAAATGCCAACCAGTCAACGAATGCGTAGCAATAGTACGGGTGGTGTGAACGCTCGAATGGCAGGGCCTGCCGGTCCGAGTCCTCTCGGAGCTCCCATGAAGGCAATGGCCATGCATCCAGCAGCGATCCCTGCACCAGTTTCGGCAACAATTGAGACAGTCACCCCAGAGACCTTCCACAAGTAGTGGTCCATCTGAACTTGATGATATGGGATGCAATCGCATGGCACAATTGTCATCTTATTGCCGCTGGGCGGACAAATCTATCACGATGAAAACATTGGATCGTTCCCGGTGCTTGCTCCCTTGTTGAATGATTTTACGCGTTGGGCCACGTCGGTCTCCTTCAACCCTTTTTTGGTTCAGAAAGCCTTCCCAAGCTTAAGGAATCCAGATCTTCGTTGGAACATGAACTATGTGTCTGGATACCTGGTCCTTTTCCTTCATGTGAATGACTAATATACCACGCGACTTCTTTTCATTTTCTTGATGTCTTGTGCTATCGAATCTCTTTTTCTTCTCCCCCACCCCTTTGTCTCCCTGTCGGAACAAAACAAATGTAAATTAGCTGTTTCCGAACCCTGTCTCTTGCCTTTTTCTTTCTTGGTTCAAGGGAAAAATAGCAAAAGGGACAGGTAGAGAAAGGGATAAGACATAAGGGGGCTCACCTCCTTTTGGTTGAGTGCTCATTATGTGAACGCCAAAGACTAATATGGAGTAATGTGTTCAGGGTGTACTTACTTTGCTACATAATCTCTAGCTGATGAATTAAAAGTCTATACCATCAACCGCATTTCTTAATCAACCAATCATACATTTAGAGTCACCTAGATACCACTAGTCAGAACACTACAACGTAGTAGTTAGTCCACGGCCTAATTCTTCCCAGGGCTACCTACGCCAAGCACATAGACAGAACTCTACATTTTATTCACATGATCTCCTTACTATAATACTAGTAATGACAACTCACTATCAACCATCCAACCAATAGGAGATCTAATCTAATCTATACACCGGCCCTACTTTTTCATTCTGCATCAAAGATGCGGAACACCTCCACTCGCCAGAAGCAAGTTCACAATACTGATTATCCCCTCACCGAGGATCAACCCCGAGGCGAGGACCACAACCGTCGAGGACGCGGCATCCGCATTCGCTTCCTTGATGGCTTGTCCTGGGGCTGGTGTTCCTCCGGCTTGAGCCGCAGTCCAGGACTCGGATAGGTTCGTCTGCACGTCCACATCGCCAGTGGCGGCAGCGGAGTCTGAGGCCGCCGCAGCGGACTTTGCTGCGTGTCGTTGGGACCACCACCAGGCGATTAGGCCGCCGATGGCGCGGGCTAATGTGAAGGAAGGGACGTTGAAGATCCCGACGGCGACGGCGATGCCGCCTGGGATCCAGTCTCGCCAAGGGGCGGACACGTCTTTGCGGCCGCCGTTGGCGATGGGGGATGCGGCGACAAGGCGAAGGATAGTTATGGCTACGAATATTATGCCGGCGATCAGAGATGCCTGCCAGGCCATTGGGGGGAGGCCTTGGCCAGTGACGAGACGGGCTGTGAAGATCCAGACGTATGCAGTAGGGGTCTGGAACATGGGGCCGGGTACTTCGTAGACGCTGACATACATCTTGTAGACGGCGGTGGAGAGCACCGCGCCCACGAGACTGCCTATAATTTGGCCGTAGAACTGGGCCTTGGGGCTAGCGCCTAGGAGATGGCCGGTTTTGAGGTCTTGCATCATGTCTCCGGCTTGGAGGGCGCCGGACTCAGATACGGCACCCGCGAGGAGGTTGGTGACAAGGGCGGTGCGGCGAGAGAAGTGAGAGGCAGGGGTTGCCAGGGAGAAGAGCAGTTGAGTCAGTTTGCTGATCCCGGAGACGGGATTCAGGTCGGTTTCACCAAGAGCACGTACGCCCATGATGGAGAGAAGGACTGCCAGGAAGGTGGCGAGACTGGACAGCAGGGGGGACATGATGTCGCCAAAGACAATGTGCATACACACGACGTTCAAGATCAGAGTCAAGGGGAGTAGGATGATGACTGTACGGGTGGATATAAGTTGGGAGGGAGGGGCATCTTCATCATCGTCGTCGTTGTCATTTGCGCTGCGTCTCCCGATGGAAGGGACGGCATGGCTTGGGATGGAAGATTCTTCGGTAATGGGGCTCAGGGCGGAGTAGGTGATGTACAAATGGAGGTTGGAAGACGCGGATCCTCCAGAGATAACCCGTTGCCCGGCACGACTGCGGAGAAGCTTGTCTTTCATCTTTGATGCACGGGGTACAAGCGGCCTTACCACCAGCCAACCGAGGCTGACAAGAGAGTCCGCAAGCATGATGGCTAGCGAAATCCAAACAATCCAAGCCTTGCTTCCATCTTCCCAGCTGTCCACAGGACCAGGGGCCCAGCCACGAGCCTTCGCAAGCGGCGAAAGAATCCCCCATCCCAGAAACGCACCAAAGAGCATGTGCATACAGGTCGAGGGACCCATGATGATCCCCTGGCCAACATATGCGGGAGACGGGTTCAGGGTCCAGAGCCAGTTTTTGGCCAGGTACAGACCTAAGATAGGGATATCACGGACTTGCGGGACGAAGTACGAGAAGAGGGTCTGTCGTTATTCGAGAGTCAGTTTGAAGAAGTTGCAACGCTCCGAAACATTGAGTCTTACATAAAAACCGGAAACCGCGAAGGCGCCCACCAGGAGGCGCATCTTGGATCTCCAGTCCTTTTGGTCATTGTCCAAATGACTGGAGTCAGTCTTCTTGAGCAATGGCCCGCTTTCCCCGGGTTCATGAGCCAGAGCAGGCTCTTCATATACTTCCTCACGTTGTGGAACACCCTCAACGTCCCCCGCCCTCGCCTTGGCCTTCTCGTCACCCTGTCCACTTCCGTGAAGCACCCTCAACATCAGCGCCGAGGCTGTTCCGCTCGGGAACTTGAGCTTTTCCCGAACAATCACCTCCTTTCTTAGAGGAACGGCAAAAACAACCCCGAACAGACAGACTCCCAGACTCCAGACCACGAGCTTCCAAAAGTTCAGCTTCAGAGGCCCGCCCTCTCCGGTGCCGCCATCTCCCGAGGGGCCATCTTCTCCGTCTTTGATCAGAAATTCCAAGGCGGGGATGACACCAACAAATCCACAACCCAACGGCATGGTCCCCACCGCCCCTGCTACCGTTTGTATGAGAACATTTTCGATGGGAGTGAAAGGGTAGGATAAATGTTTCGATAGGACCTTGAAGACGGAGAACCCAATCAGGGCGGATGGCATGGCCATGGTGCTGATCCATCCTGTCTGCAGGCCGAAGTATGTATTGGAGAAGGTGATGAGAGCGCCGATTAGCAACCCGACGAGCAAGGATCGCGAGGTGAAGCTCTGAGGGGAGGTGGCGGAGGGCTGGGAAATATGGGCGTAGGCTGTCCGTCCATCATGGTCGACTGAGGATCTGGGCGATGAGCCATCTCGGGCTGGTTCATCCTGTTGCCGGTCGCCGTCGGAGGCATGGCCTGCCATGGTGATGGATTGGTAGTTCATCGGATGCCGTAGCCGTGAATGAGTCGAGCCCGCAAGAGAGGTGGCTCTCCTGTCACACAAAGAAGGGATGGGCGGGTCAACGAGCCATCACGCAAGGGCATGCGAGGGAAGCGGGGAGATAAGAAAAAGCGAGGATGACTGGAAAAAGATAACGCGATGGAGGCGCATCTCGTGGATGATTAATGTTGGAGAAACAAAGCGAGGCTCCATCGCGTCATCCGATAACCGCTGACTCAGCCGCGATAAGAGCCGGTGATGTCAATTGCCTTCAAATTTACTTCCATCTACAAACAATCATTATACATTATAGTAGTGGTCTTTTTGGTCATTCCAAACTGGAGGGACTGACGTACAACATATCACACACTCTTTTTGTTACGTATGAAGCCATTGAATTGTTCACGGCACTGTTGGATCGAACTGAGGGGAGGGAAGGTGGGAGATGGAAGAGAGGGAAGGCGCGCCTGATGAAGCTCTCGCCAGCCACTGTTTGGCTACTCCATACTAGTTAGTCCCTGACATGATAGTCGCGATTATATCTGCATTTCCCTGGAATTGGTCATCCTATGCTTCACCATAGAATGAGGCTTTTGTAAACTCCCCTCTTGTCTAGCTTCCCCTTCTAAGTATTCTTTTGAGCAATCAGTGATCCCCCCTCCCCCAGAGCACACTAGAAGTCGTCACCAAAATGATTTCAGTGTACACTTCTAAAAGGATTGATTTAACAATGCTTCTTGGCATCTATTAGACCAGGCTTCGTCACGTCACTACATTCATGAATTCTCCCACCATCCACTTCTCCACCGTCTCCTTCAACAACCGCTCATAGTTCACCAGCGTCTTCTGCGTGGCCCATGCCAAGTGAGGCGTAAGAACCAGATTCAGATCCTCGGTCCCCTCGGCCAGCAAGGGGGAGTTCTCCGGCCCAGCGGGCTCCTTTGCAAACACATCCGTTGCAGCCCCAATGATCTGGTTTTCCTGCAATGCCCGCACGAGTGCCTCTTCATCCACCACTCCTCCTCTCGACACATTGACCACAACCGCGTGGGGGGACATGGCTTCGAACTCGGCGGTCGAGAGGAGATTCCGCGTAGAGGGTGCCAGTGGGACTGCTATGAAAAGCACTGTACTCTGCTTAATAACCTCGTCGAAAGCGACTCTCTCTTGATTGCTGTCAGACCGGTTCGAGGCGCTGGCATCCCCGAATAGTTTGCGCTCGGCAATAATCACCTTCATGCCCATCCCGCGGGCTAATTGGGCGATCCGTTTCCCTGAATTTGAGTCAGATCTTGTTCCAGCAAGCAGCGTTCCATGGATACCACCCAGTACGTACCGACAGCGCCATTTCCGATAATTCCGGCCACCTCCTCCTGGCAGGTCAGGGGTTGCGTCCCGTCGTGATTGAGACAGTCGAATACCAGGGTCTTTTTCCGGGGCCACTCGCCAGCCCGGGTTAATGTGTGCGCACGCAGGACTCTCCGGCGGGCAGCAAAATACAACCCGATCGCGTGTTCGGAGACGGCCTCGGTGTTTGCCGCGGGACAGTTGCTCACGAGAATGCCCCTCTTCCTGCATGCTTCTAGGTCCACACAGTCGGTGCCCGCGGCCACTATCACGATCAGTTCGAGATATGGGGTCACTTCGGGAGACAGTGCATCTGCATCGATTCGCAGCGCAGATAGGACCAAAATCGAGGCATCGTGAATGCGTGCGTGGAGTTCCGGTAGTGAGGTCTGTCCGTAAATTGTTGTGGTGCTAGTATAAGGAGCAGGTAGTTCGAACTGGGGGATTCGGATAAAGTCGCCCTGCAAGGCTATGATGTGGTGGTCAGTTGGAGATGAAGGGGGTGCCATGATGGCTTCTGACTTTGCAAGGGGATGAAGAGAGAAAAGAAGACTGTCTCCAGGGTCTATGGGGGAGCCTTTGCAGATTTATGCTCCCCGCTCTTGCAGTAATATTGCGCGCCTTGTCGATGACAGCGACCCACTGGCGATAAGCAGATCGATCCGCTCGCTCGCAGCCGACCTATTAAAAAGCTATCTATGTCCTAGGTTGACCCAATAAATCTCTCGGTCGATTATCTTAGACACCAGGTCGATCATGTCTACAGCACAGGTGACGGATTACGCTCGCAAAGAATCCCCTCGAAGTATTCGGTCACGCCGGTCACGTCGTCGAGCTCTCCCATCCATCCGACATACTGATCCGGCCGCAAAACCACCATGGCGCCCCTTGACCTGTCCACCCCCCAGACCTCATAGGCGTTGCCTTTGCACTGCTCATCCCAGAAGCACTTGCTGTCACTCCACACTTTCGTATAGTCCCAGCCCTCATCCTCGTCGAATTGACGCACGATTGGCGGGAAATCACGGAGTTCCACTTGATCCAATGGAGCACTGTGGATGGCCTTGACTTCAATCACGGAATCGAGCTTTTGTTCGGAGGGCGTGAAGCGCTTCAGAAGCTTTGTCAGGCTCTCACTGAGCGTCGACATGCAACTCTGCTGGTCCTGCAGCCGCATATCGCCGGCCAAAAGCAGGATTCGAAAGCGGCCGTCACTCTTCAGGAGTCGAGTCGTCCACCACGGTTGGCCATCGGATTGGTTGCAAATGAGTGCCGCAGGGAATCTCTCTCCTGCTACAAGGTGCTTGGCCATTGTTGTACTGCCCTTGTGTACAAGAGGGCTCGACTTGTAGAATGTAACGTGCCCCTCTGCGAACTGTTCGTTATCGATGAAGGCTTGCCGCATGGCCGCCTGGATGTCATCTTGTTCTTGCGGGGAGGCCTCAAGTCCCTGTTGCTCCTGCTTCTCCTTTTTCAGGAAGAAAGAGGCCCATTTTTGGTCAAAATCCAGGACCATCTGGGCGAGGTGATGTCGCTCCGAGGAGTAGGTATCGAGGATGGAGGGAGAGGCCATTCCCTTCAGGACAAGCCCCAACTTCCAACCGAGGTTGAAGCCGTCATGAATACTCATGTTCATTCCCAATCCTATCTTCGGGCTGTGGGTGTGGACGGCATCTCCGACCAAGAACATCCGTCCCTTGTTGACGGTGGGCGTGAGTCTCCGACCAACCTGTTGATGCACGTCAGACAAGGCTCACCGAGGCAATGAGGAGTTGAGGAGTGAGATGTACCTGATACGCAGCCCACCAGTGGCAAATCTTGAAGTCGAAGTAGAAGGGAGCCATGATTTTCTTCACCCTCTCGCGGAGCATGTCCAAGGTTACTGCCGACCGGTCGAACGAGTCCGCCACCACTTCGTCGTCCTCCTGCAATGGGACATAGAAGCGCACCATATTGCCTTCCCTCGTAATCGTGAGCAGATGGCCTTCCGGGCTGTCTATCGATGATGGCCATCGGATGTCGGCTATGGTTCAGTGTCAGTCAATCTGCTTTTCTCCGTGCCCGGCGATGAACTCACGGAAATCCGTAATTGGGACCACATCCATCACACCCCTGGACAAGCACCTAAGTCAGCTAGGAGCCATGGAAGCAAGAAGTAAGAGGGGTACCAGATGTGATCCGTGTGCGACCCCTCAAAGGGGATGCCCAGTTGTTTTCTCGTCCAGCTATGTGCCCCATCACAACCGATGAGGTACTTGGTCCGGATCGTCTCGATTGTCCCAACCTTGTGCTTGCGTTTCTGGATGAGATCTTCAAGGTCATCCAGGGCTGGCTGATAGGGACAGATACCTGGGTTGGGGGCTGGGGTTGCTTCCTCCTCACTCAGGATCCGCAACTGGACCGTGATGGGATATGCCTGTGGATCTTTCTCGAGACTCTCGTCATAGCTTAATGACTCTCCAATAACACCTCTCTCAACCTCGAGGCCGGAGGTGCTTTTGATAACGTCCAGAAAGAATCGTTCGATGCGACCCTGTGACAGCAAGGCCATGCGATATGGCGACGAAGTATGAATGGTGCTTCGCTGTTGTCCGGTACGGTGCAGACCTCCCTTCCCGTCCGGTCTCTGGTTCATCTTGTCGGTTACTGATCAATTTCAAGTCAGGTAGGGTACTCACCCAGAACATAAACGCGGCCGCGTGGTAGCCCTCTTCTATCACGCGGTGGGCAAAGCCCATACTATCAAACAGCTCGAGCGTTCGGCTCCTCAGACCATCCGCATGGCCTCGGAACAGCTTGGTGCCACGTTTGTCGATAATGCGAGCATTTATACCATACTGAGCCAGCCAGTACGCAACGGTCAGTCCTGATGGACCGGCCCCGATGATCAGGCTAGTAATGGTCAGCAGGAGTGGACAGTCGGAGATGGAGGACTTGCACATCGGTAGAAGACTCAATCGAGGCAGCCATGGTGGGAAAAGATCAAGGAAGGCGGAACAGTTGGAGGAGTGGAATTTGATGAATTTCCAGCTCCAAGACTGCGGTGCAGCTGCCCTACTTATAGCTGATGCTGTGCATCTGTCCAACAGTCCATGTTGGGATACGCGATGCGACCAATGAGGCTTCGATTTCGGCCCACTTATCGCTCCACGGCAAGGCTCGGTGTGTTTCTAGGTGCACTGATGCCATCTCGCTATCATTCTCCGGGATGGATCCATGATCACTGCCATGGTTTGTTTTCTTTGTGTTTCGCAATACGGAGTTGGCGGAGGCGAAGCATCGCATCGACGCTGCTCATTTACGATTCAACCCGGATGGATAGAGCAATTAGCTCTCGATTGGCACGGCTCTGTGGATCAGATAGTCAAACCGTTGAGCAGTTATACCTGGGAAAGTTATTCTCAACAACCGGTTGATTGTCGGAGTTGCGACCTGGACTTTTCCAAGACTCCTGAGAACCAGTCCAGTTGACCATCGGCCTAGCCGGTCAGCGCGACGCGTCGACATGATCGATCAGCAGTGCGAATGGGGCTGCCTGGTTGTGTTTCCTTCCGACCTGCGAGTGAATCAGAGTGAATCAGCGCTGCAGCCCCGTGCAACACGGCGATGCCCGCTCCAATACCCCCGCAGCAACCCCGCTCTCGTTCATGCACTTCGTATGCTGCCATGTTCTACTGGAAATCGAATCTGCCGTCAATTTTGAGTCTGAATTACGGAGACAGATATATCCCACACATCGATATCCCATGCAGGAAGAGGCTTTTTCGCCAAACGGGGGATAAAAAGTCGCTGTTGGATGGAGAATACGGGTTTTTCTCAAGATGTACGGAGCCCGGAGTAGTAGCCATCTCTCAGAATCCGTTGATCTTCTGAGGTAAGCTGATCCTGACATGACCGATGTTTCAGCCAGGGCCACGACCCTGGGATGTCCTGGAATCCACCCCTGCGGGCATGAACCCCCTTCCCCCCTTCACAGACAGTGTGAGCTACAATTAGTGTGTTAGCTGGATAGAATTATCATGTTCCGAGGGGATCCAGGCTCAAAGGATCCGTGTTCAAGCTTTTTCTAGTCTCAAGTTCTGCCATGTTGCGTTCCTCGGGGCAGCATCACCATCTGCCCTTTGCCAGCCGACGATCCATTCCAACACGTCCACTTGCTGCATTCCACAACAATGAATGTCAAGAAATCAAGAAAGATTTCAAGCAAAGGAGACCCAGAGACCTCCCCGCGCTCAATTTAAACGTGGCCTGATCCGCTGGAGCGCGAATAATGCTTACTCGTCCTTCCCGGCCTTCACCGAGCTTATCGTACCTCAGACCTTTAAAAATGCATATGTCAACCGTAAGTTGGATTGTCTGTGCTTCCACACATCGACTAACGAGAACAGCTCTTCGTCGCATCAACCCTTTGCCTGGCCCCAGCCGTGTACGGCTATGGGGTGGCCGAAGTGACGGCAAGAGCCCACGCAGACTGTCATCCCGAAGACCCTCCGAATGATCGGCTCATTGGAGACCCACAGGATGCGGTGGCCACCGAGGACACGTGCGAGAAGATTGAGGTCAAGCATGGCTTTGACATTGATGCGTACTCGGTGAGCATGGTCGATATCACCAAGGATACGTCGGATCGATGCCATGCTCTTGGGATTTACGCCAATGAGGAGTGCATGGGGCTGCCCAATGCGCTGATTCCCTTCTTCCCTGGAGATACGCAGGGCGAGACTCGTTGCTTCAAGGATACGCCTTTTGACAAGTACCTGTACGTTCGGCTGCTGTGTGATGCCGACGACAAGGATAAGGATGGCAAGGATGGCAAGGATGGATCCCCGGATCAGCCCGAGTCTGAGGCTGATAAATCTGAAGCACCAGAAGCACCAGCTGATGCATCTGCTGATACGCCTGCTGATGCTCCTGCTGCTCCCAGCAGTGGAGGTCTTCTCAGTAGTCTTGGTCTCTGGTAGGAATGGGTGGTATGAACCAAATGAGCCATGACGGTTTAATGGTCGGCATGTATTAGTATGACTGTATGATCAAAGAACAAATACCATGTAATGTTCTAGAGTCTAAGCTTAAGGCTAGGTTGTGTTGTCATGTTGTCCAATTTGTAATTCAATACACTGTTCGATGCTGATACGAAACCACCCTATCGTCTTCGACCGGATTTGCATGTCAGGTCTATGCCTTCCTCTGGTACCAACACTTCTGTAATCTTCAGCTATCCTGAAACCCCCCCAGCATGAACCATACCACAGCAAAGTTTCGCTGAGTATATCACCTCCTGGGTGGATTGGCAGTCCACTGTGCTCCAACATGGCAAGTGCGCGTCCACCTATGTACTAGCCGTGAACAAGAATCGCATCACGAACCGCTGGATCACATATTCCATCCAGCTCGATCGCGTCCCATCTACTTAGGAATGCATCAACCGGAGGGTTCACCAATCCCGACCAGCCATCTCATCGACCTCCCATCAACCCGAAGAATGCCAGCCACTCCGCGCCGCCATCGCACATACTTTCCCCATTGTCAAATTGAAAGGCTGGTCCATGAAGCAGAGGATATAAAAGGGCGTAGAAATGATGTTTGACATGATGCTGATTCTCCAGAGCAGTCCCCTCAGTGAAACAACTCCATCTGAGGTTCCTATATCACCTCACTCTCACCCACACAACTCTATACTTCCATCCTAAACAACACCCAATCCCTAAAATGCGACACCATGTACGTCTTCTCCCCTCCCCTTCCCCCTCCTTCCCCTCCACCAAACCACAACTAACCTCCCATCCAACAACTTAGATCCTCCCCATCCTCCTCACCCTCACCCTCCCCCCACTAGCAACCACCTCCCAAACAACAACCACCACCGACCTAACCGCCCAAATCTGTCCCTCTTTCCACAACACCTGTCCACCCAACAACACCACCACCACTACCCCAAACAACCAAGACCCAACTACACACATCCACCCACGCACCCACCACCGCCCCATCCCCAAACCCATCCCCATCCCAATCACCCACCAACCCCCAACTCAACAACAACCCAGGACCTTCCCCCTCCACCCGGGAACCTGCCAATCCATCCCCGTCACCCCATCCACAACACACGTCTCTTTCGACACCCAAATCGAGGGTTCGGCCTCGCACTGCAATGTCACTCTGCATGAGCTGCCAGGGTGCGTGGATACTCCGTTATTGACGACGAGGGTTGAGGGCGATGAGAGCGGGGAGTGGGTGGGGAGTGAGTGTGCGGAGAGGACGGATCTTGGGGGTGATGGATCTGGATCTACACCTACTTCTGGGGATGTGAACATGAATGTGTGGGTTATGTTGGAGTGTGATGCATCCTCTACATTCACACCCTCTACCGGTGGTTCAGACACTTTGAACCAGCACGGTGATGAAAATGAGGATGAGGATAATACCTCGAACGGAAACATCCACGCCAATATGAACCAGGGTGATGATACTCCCAGCGCACAGCAACAGGACACCAACAAAGGGAGCAAAATCGGGTCTATGCATGGGGGACTACTCAACGCCACGAATGGGACAGGTGTGCACGGCGCAAATTGGAATGCCAGCACGGGGAGGGCGAATCTGACCACTTTGCATGGGGTGGGGAATCGGACGGTGGGGTGGAGGGTGTTGGCGAGGAGGAATTGGAAGAAGAGGTTGTTGCATTATTATTATTAAAAGAGAGATGGATGGGTTGGGAAGTTGAGTTGAGTGGATGGATGGCAGAAGGTTATGTCTTATGAGTATGAGTTCTGGATGATGCTTATGGGTTGATGTCTTGGTTTATGTTGATTTACAAAAGTGGGTTTTACTGGCTTTACATCATTATAGATTAGGTTTGAAGAATGGATGATACACTTAAAGTTGGGTGCTGGGTATGTGACTGGAATCCATACGGCATAGAAATATTATACAGGAAGGTGGAAAGAACATTCGATATGGCTGTAACTACAGCAAATCAACTAAGCCAGCCAGACATATGCACTGTTAACCATACAGTCATGCCACTGAAACAGGCTAGAACCCAAAACTATCAAGTAAAGAATTGGCATCCGGCTCTTGGAACGTCGTCGGCGGTGGTTTCGGCTTCGGTTTCGGCGCCACAGCCGCCTGGATACTCTGCCGCAGACCATCCTTGATCGGCAGATCCGCAACCACCAGACTACTACGTCGTCGCAGCATCTTGCGATAATCAACGCCGTCGTCCTGCAGCTCGAGCGGTGTGTCTTTAGCTGGTTGAGGCGAGGGAGGTCCGCCCAGGAACTCCCAGTGACGTACTAAATCGAGAGCAAGTAGATCACAGCCCATGCGGTCATATAGACGGGCGTTGCGGATGACGAAACTCCACTCTGCTTGCGCGGACACTTTCGATGCACCTTTCAATGTTTGTAGCGTCTTTTCGCGCAGTTGTTTGTATAGAACGACTAATGCGGGGTCGTTGGATAAATATGACTTGGCTTGTAGGGGGATTATTCCGGGGCTGCCTGGAGATGCAGGAGTCTCGGGGATAAGTGACTCGACGGGGGACTGGTGATAGTTAGTTTCTATGCTTTTGTAATGTCATTTAGACTTACAATCAGCGACCGAACTGCCGGTCCTCGACGTCCCAGCATCCAAAAAGCCCACGAAGCCATCCACCGGTTGCCGTCAGAAGCAGCCTCAGGCAGGACCTTCTCTTCCAGGATTTCCTTCAGAACCGGACCGTCATCTCCCTCGTACGCACGCGTAATGGCAATGGCCAGCTGAAGGTCGCCGACTTGGTTTATGCAGACTAGAGCAGCATCACGCAAATGGTCGGCAAGAAGGAAGAACGTGGCAGCATATTCTGTGCCACGTTAGCCACACAGCACCGGGAATCAGCTTGCAGACGTACCAAATCTTCGCTTTCCAAGCAAGGCATATGCGTTCTTCAAAGCCGCCGTCTTCCATCGCTGTTCCTGAAAGTTGTTGGAAAGCAGTCGTTGCGTTGCACCTTGCTCGCGATGTCCATGCGCCATTCGCCACAGACCCTGAAGAACGTTCTTCTTCTTCAAGGCGAGGTAGTACAGTGAGCAGTCGATCGGGTTCTTGTCTTCGCTTTTGGTATACTCATTCCGGGCAACGACCTCCAGTTGCGTTCGCTGTCACCCGTTAGTACAATTTGATGAACCACGAAGACTTCTCTTACCACGGCAGCAGCGTTAGACAGCCACATGAACATCCCGCTCTCTCTAGCCGCCTTCCACGTCAGCTTTCCGCTGAACTGTCGAGACACAAGGTCGACTAAGATGTCCTGGCTGCCGCTATAGAAAGCCCAGACTATTTCTCGCCAGGAAACCGTGTCCTTGTTCGCCACGCCTTGGCTCCTGCGCAGCATATGCTGCCGGAAGAAGAGAAGATATCGAGCAGCGTTGTCATCCATTGAGCGCCGATGCTTCTCAACAGTCGCAACGCACTCGATCGTGTCCACAAGACGAAATTGCTCTTGACTAGAAAGCTGGGGCAGAGCGAAACGTGCCAGGTTCTCGTTGAGCATTACAGCTGTATTTTCATCCACTACTGTTGACTCATCCTCCAGAGAAAGGTCCGCATATGAGGAATTCATCTCTTTGGATGTGGCTCTTTGCGGGGTCTAGAAAGTTAGCTACGTAGCTGAGGGACAGTCCAGGACTTACATCATGTTCCGCGTAGAAATCCTCCAAAGGCATGTCCAAGAAGCCATCGACGTCATCACCTTCCGTGTGGAACTTGAGTTTGCGATGGAGATTCATGAGGACAGCGTGCACCAGATTGTTCTTGCCGCTCAGGATGCACTGAGCCAGGAATTGCGGGTGGAAAACAGGCAGCGGCCCATTCAGCCGGCTGACAATCTCAAAGAGGTCAACCGTAGGTGACCCGCGAGCTGGAATGCGCAGCTGAGTGACCAGGTGATCCGCAGAGTCTATATCATTTCCATAGACGAAGAGTTGGTTCCCAGCTCCGATGGCAAGGCAGCCATTGCTAAGCCAGCATGAATCGCCGATCGGATGAGGGGTGAGATCGCGAATCCAGATCTCGCGGATCTGCGTCCACGACGGACGCGAGTCAAGGTAGTCATAACGAAGTTGGGATAGTAAAATGACTTTATGAGGAAAGCCAACGGCTAGGATTGACTGCATGTCGGGAGTCGATGTCCAGTCAAGGTCACGGATGATTTCGCCTTGCGAGAAATGGTCCTCGAATTCGAGCTGCGCATCGTTCATATCCCAGATCGTCAGATGCGTACGGTCTTCATCCACCAGAGCAGCTTTCCTGATGGAGCTTCCGCTGGCAAGGGTCGGATTCGTAATGCCCGTCTCGACCGTCGAAGTCAAAAGCCATTCAACGCGACTCTTTTCCCTTTCGATCTTGGCCGTCCATGTTCGGACAATACCAGTCTTGGTATATGATAGCGCTATATCGGGCGAGAAGAGATCAAAGAATCCAGACATTTCCGCTTTGCGGCCGGCTGGATCGACAGGCAAGATGTAAGCCATGTCTTCATCCAGGCCCAGATGGAAAGTACAGAATTTCCGGAGCTGACAGGGAGCACCATCGGCCTTCCCATTGGTTTGCTCGGCAGTTGGCAGTCGAAACTCCCAGGCGATTCCATCCATGCTCGCCCCGATCGTTGCTACATATACTACCCCGTTCTTTTCGGCAGTAGGAATCGGCAAGACACATAGCGGTTTGCTTGATAGTTGAAAGGTCGTAGCGGCCAGCTTTTTGGCATGGAATGGGCGAATATCCCAAAAGGAAATCGCATTGTGATGGAGGTTGACGAGAAAGTCTCCATCTTCGAGCACACAGCTGCGATGGATATGTTCCTTGGAGAACAACGAGCTCTGGCGAAGAAGCACCGTGCCATTGTCTCGTTGCTTTTGTCTCCAGATCAACGCCTTGTTATCATCCGTGCGCGAGGCAAGCGTATGACCAATAGCATTACGAACGATCTTCTTAATAGGCCCGTTGTGTCCGGTCCAAGACGCCTTCATGGCGACCCGGTTTTGGCGCGGCGCGGGATCGAAGAGCACATCAACTGGCGAGTCAAACCACTCAATTCGGCCGTCGAAATGATGGACCAAGACACTGATCGAGTCGCCCGGCTCTGCACCTTGAAATGCATACAGCTGCGCATAGTCTTCTTCCTGGGAGATACCAGGCATCAAAGCGAAATTCAACCCTTCCACATGCAAGATATTGAACATGTTCAGTTCGGATTTGGCCTTGGACCCAACATCTTCCAAGGCCCAGGCCGACATATGCCCTTGTCCATCTATCACCACGCAAACTTCCGGGCTCTTGTTCGCAACTTCAATGATATGCTCCAGCGTGTGATTATCCTTATTCCCCGTACTCCTCTGCACAGCTCGCTCCGTGGCCATGCAAAAGTCCCGGCTGTCAACGATAAACCCATACCGGCGGGTTGTGTCGCTTTTGTCTGTTGCATGCCTTGGCTGAACCGAGGTAGCCATGTCGATTTGCGCCCATAGTTGTAGGGCAGCCGGAGCATGGTGATCGATGGTCGCCCACACCCGAATCTTATTGTCCGCGCACAAGGTATAGAACACGTTGTCCATAGATTGCTCCCGATGGTAGGGTCTCCGCCAATGTATCCCGGTGATGACGGTCGGGTGGGGAAGATACGAGACCTCGAACCGAATATCAGTACCGAACGCGAGCCGTCGCCATACTTTCAACATGCGATCGTAATGCCCCGTGGTGACTAACAAAGTCGCGTCGGGCGAGAATCGCGCAAACTTGACCGGGTTCGCCAGCTTCTGCTTCCACACTTGACGCGGGTTATCGTTCAAAAACCAAAGGGTGAGGTGTGAGTTGCCCAGAAGCAGCTCGTCGGAAGAGCCCCATGACAGGGTACGGATCGTCTCATTGTCGTCGTCGCTGCGAAATGTTTGCACTAGAGACCACTATCCCAAGTTCCATCAGCATACCCCTCAATGCCTTCCTGGGCGTCCCAACCGGTACATCATACCATCCATTTCAGGGACAACGGACCTTCAATGTTTCATGCTGAATTCCATATGGTTGATATATAAACACGTCCGGTCCACCACACACGGCAATCTTTCCAGAGACTTCATCTATAGTGACCGCCTCCAGGGCGTCGGTATCGTCGACATAGATGGTTTGTAGAAGCTGGTGCGGACCGCCGAGGATCACCAGTGCATGGCCAGAGATGTACACCTATAGTGAACGGAACGGAACGGAAAGCGATTAGCCACACTGCCTCAAGAATCCCGGTCAAGCTAAACAAAAGACCCAAGAGCTCTTACAACGATGCGAAGACCATCCCACAGCGCCGTGCTGAAAGACTGGAGCTTCGTTTGGGGCCTCCCCGGCAGTACCGCTCGCATCGAGGCGGTTGGAGGTCAAACGGTTGATGCGCCTAGATGCGCTCGCGGTGGCGCTACACCATTGCCAGGTGGACGGCAAGAGAAGTCGAGCTTGGAAATCAGGGAACGAGCGAGAGGGGATTGCAATGAACGAAGGATTGCGGATTGTTGGATCCGGGGACACGGGGCCAGCTCAGTCCCAATCGCAAAGGGCGATCGCCACGGGCCCCGTGATCCACACCGCCCAACCATCGCTGCCGTACCCCGGACTCATTCATGCTGCATTTGCTTTCTCTTCCAGTTGGCGTGGGAAGCATTTGCTTATGGACCCCTCCTGCTATGCAAGGACAGCCATGTCATCCAAATGGGGATCAACCTAGCTACCAATATCTAATCCGGCCTGATAAGACCCGGCAGGGATTATCATGAGATCATCATCGAGCGTCTAGCCAGCGCATAAATTAATATGGAAGATGAGCTCCCTACGTCATGGCCATCGGTTAAAGGTCCAACCCAATCGGAGAAAGATTCTAGAAGACCTACCTATCATAATGCCTGGTTAGGAAGTGCCAAAGGCCTCAACTTTTCCTTACCCGACCGAGGTACATAAATAATTGCCGTCCATATTTACTCTTTCATCTACCTGGCAATGATGCTTGATCTCTGACTGAGCATGTGTTTGACTTTTTTGCCCATTCTGAGTTGAACGGAGAATCAAGTGAAAGAACCGGAGCAGATGGTAAAGTTAAGACATGATCATAAGTTTGATTCCAATGATATACCATGTGATTCGTCATTAAACCGTCCTGGCGGTCCCAAACAACCGACGCGGAGTGTATATCCAATCAACAGAAAGTAATCTACACAATGTCCTACGATGCAAAAGGGTATCAAGTCCTTCGGCCAAAATTGCCCATCCAAAAACAAAAGAAAACAAAAGAAACCAAATGTACATGCCAAATCATATACAACCATCACGGTCGTCGGCTGGCCGATTTCCGACCATCTGTCGGCGACTCGGGTGGTTCTTCATCCACAAACCGGACACTTGTACCTAGCGTGCTCGCTCGTCCAGCACGGCGTCTGGCCGACGTGGTCCGGGGTAATATGGCTCCTGCGCGCAAAAGTCGACTGGCAAATGGTGTGTATAAGGGTGTCGCCGGGGTGGTCGAAGCCTGCGCCATGGCTTGCGCTCGTGCAGCTCGCTTGGATGGAGAGGTGAGGTAGTTGGGCGTTGCCAGCGGGGTGGTCGAAATGGGTTGGGTGTCTACAACCAAGCCATTGGGTTTGAAAGGCGTGGTGGTCTGGTACCAAGGGTCGAAAATCCGTTGGTTCGTATCGGTTCGATATGGAGACGCTCCGTCGTAATTTTTCGTCGGACTGACTAGAGGCCCCGGTGCATCTCGAGACTCGGACCGAATTCGTGCTTTTTCCAACCAACTGCGGAACATCCCCCGACAATGCTTCCTCAGGTTCCGCTCTTTCATGGCATCCGCGGTCTCAGAGCTGCTCTTGACCTGGAAAACACGGAAGCTGAGCTTACGCAGCTGGATATTGGCCTGGGCTAGGACATGCACCCGGTTCATGTTGTTTGCCTGTTCCTCCTGACGTTGACCCACAAGAAAGGCCTCAGTCCAGCGCGTCAATTGCTCGCTCACAATTTGATGTGCATAGTGATTATCGGCATCCTCACAGTCCTGAATCCGGTTTATCGTCTTTTCTTGCCATCGAATCAGAATCTCAGATACCAGAGACAAGGAGTTCTGTCGCGAGACCTGTATGGCCTGCTGTTCCATATCCGTGACATGTTGGGACTTGGAGTGCCAATGAGATAAAGCTTTGGATGCAAGCGTGATCTTGATCCTCCTCCTGGTCTGGATATAGGCATCCTGGCGGCGCTTTCTTGCGGATTCGATTGTCGCCACACGCCATTTCTTGGTGAACTTTGTGGCCAAGAAGTAGAATCTAGCGTTCTGAGCCCAACCCTCTATCTTTATCAAATGCTGAAACTTCGAACGCCACGCCACGAGCGATTCCTGCGCCAGGCGTGGGGCATAAAATTCCGAGGCAACAACTTCTCTGTCACGTTGCAATGCTAGCTGATCCCGCCAGCGTTCCAGCTTTGATCGGAGTAGATCTTCGTTCCGTTGATCTTCAAATACCTCTGCACGATCGAGCAATTGAGCATAAGTCCCCCGGACACTTGTCACGAAAATGGAGAAGACCTCGCGTTTGATCCGCTGTTCCCTAATGCGCTGCATAAGACGGTATCTTTCTGTCAGGATCCATTTGTACATTGCTTCCAACTTAAGCCGTTCCTCAATTCTTGCATAAAGCGCCTGGCAGCGAAGCAAATCATTCCACGTCGTCCACGAATTGCGCAAGACCCTTTGTCGGTCCATCTCCCTCGCTTGCTTCAACATCTGGGCACGGTGTACCCATTGCGAATAAGCCGCTTGAAGGATGTGTGTATCGACCATTTTGGTAACGCGAGAGGCCACCGGGGCTAAATGAGCTTGAGCCTTCCATTCTCCGAATGATTCCTCCAGAAGCTGCCGGCGCTCTGTTAATACCGCTTGTTGTTCAGTAGCAACCACACCTCGGGTTCTTTGGAGCCATGCTTGCAATATTGAACCCATCGCATGCTGTTTATTTCTGACTTCGATCTCATGCATGGTTTCTCTGTTTGTTCGAAACTTGCGCAGCCAATACAGTAGGGAGCGTCTCTTTAGGCAATAGTCGTGCCATTGAGGAGCGCGGTGTTCGCAAAAGCTCCAGAACCATTGCCAGTAGAAGGTGTGTTTGGATTTCTCGCTACTGATCGTAACAGCTTTTGCCTCGTCCTCCTTGATTTGCTTGGTTCTTTTCAGCCAGGTATTGAAAGGTCTTCGCATAGCAAAGCGCTGGGATTTCAATTCGTTGACTGCGGTGATCTCTCGCCATGCGTGAAAGTATTTGACGCCAAGGAGATGGCGCCGGGCTGCAGACGTCCTGGCGACCTCTTCTGATGTAAGTTGCGCCCAGTGAGAGAAAGCCTTGGTCAGGAGAAAGAGATCCCGAGCACGTCCAGCGCGCTCTTCAAGATGTTTGAAAAATCTTTCCGTTCGTTCTGTCTGGCGTCTTTCCTGAATGATCGTATGCCACGTTTCAAAGGCTTGGCGAATCAAGGTATACCGGTCTCGATTGACAGCGACAATTTCCATGTTATGATGGCTCTGCCTGGCTTGGATAGCCCTCTTGAGCCACTGAGTAAGCACTCGACGGTTGATTGCTCGTTGACGGTACATATTAAACGTCGACGCGTCCCGCAGCAAATCCGAAAGTGATGGTCGATAAAGCATTTCTGGGGGCATCTCCGGTCGTTCAATGTGATTGATACCCTCTTCCTCGGAAGATACCGATGATCGTTCTCCCTCTTCATCCGAGCCATTAGACGAATCTTTCGAACGCCGTGCACGTGCGCTTTCAGCTATTCTTTCTGACCGGTCGCGGTCGACGGCAGACCGGGCATATAGGCCGTTGGGAAGAGGGTTTTCGTCGGGCGGTTTCGATTGCGCAGCCAGAAGGTCCATACGACTCATAAGTCGGCGACCTACTTCTATAAACTGCGCCATCAACTGGGTTCTGTCAGGCGAGTCAGCTTCTTGAGAAACTACCGCACGCTTCGGGGACGGCGACGGTTTCGAAAACGGATACTCGGGCTTTCCGACTTCCAGTCGCGACATGGACGATCGTGAGCTCGGGCGATTGATCAAGCTCCTTTGCGTAGGATCGTCACCGACATCGTACATAGAGTTGAAGGATGCTCGTCTCCGTAGAGGTGTCTGTAAATGGGGCTGGGGCTGTGTCGAGTCTTCTCGAGTATCACGAACCCTCCGCCTGGGCCTACTCTCGATCGATGGCACACTGTCCGCAAATGTTTCATCGTAGCCATCATCCTCGCCGAATTCGATGACGATGCCCATCCGTTCTAGCAAGTTCTCAAACTTCTCGAAGAGCGAGGTCCCTATGGCATCTTTGCTTCCCATTTTGAGCAAGAAGCGCATGCAGGCATAGCCTGGGTCTGCGTCCACGCCATGTTCCGCAATAACCTCATCGTAGGCATTGAACAACACTCGGTAGGGGAGGCGCTCGACTTCTGGGTCCCGCTCGGCGCGGGTGATGACTTGGTAGAGAAGGCCGACATCTACGTGGACACGGAGAACTATTAGTACAACTGGGACCCGTCGGCGGGTAATCGTAGGAAATCCGACGGCATACCTTCATCTGTAAGCGAGGGGTCTTCGTAGGACAAAGGTCTTCGCTGAAGGGGAACGGGAGGCATCGAACTGTCCGCGGCCTAAGGCGCGTTTTTCGCATCTGGGTCATGGAGGCGGAACAGGAAATCAACCATTGCGAGGCACACGGTTGAGGTGGGAGGCAGAGGCCCACAGTGGTCGAGGCTGAGAGTCAAGCAGACCGCAGGAGAGATCCCAGATGGACCTATGGACCCAATGGCACGGCCAGCGACGAGTCATTGGCTTTTGGGCCCCCAAGTTGTTTTTTGGTCGTGTCGCGCCGGCGATGGAATGTGCCTGGTCAGCTGATCTCTTACATAACCCCGGTATTTTCCCTGCATCCCCCGTCACAGTCCGTGACATCTGCTGTTGCTATGCAAGTTGGGCTGTTGCTATAGCATCCATCCACCATGGCCTCGACCAAGACCCGGCCCATCGAAAAGTTTGCAAAGGCCACCTCCAAGTGCTCGTTAGAGGTAGGCTTCTCTCTGGCCCGGCCATCTCCGAGTATACACTGACGGAAGGCGTCCAGGCGGCTGCGTACGGCAAATGCGTGGTGGCTGATTACAATGCCGTGCAGAAAGACATGTGCGCCAAGGAGTTCATGAAACTTAAGGACTGCTTCTTGGTGAGGTCGAGCATCGTTGGCCAGCATACACTGCTAACTCAAACTCAACAGGCAGCGTCAAAGAAAGTTTAATGGTGGCTGGGTTGCAGAAGAGCTACGTTGGTTAGGCACTTGGGCTGGTTTTGGCGGTGTCTAAGGAAAAACTTCATTATTGTAGAAATCATCATCATAAACATGTGTAATTTTATTCAGCAAAACTCGTAAAAAACAAACATCGTACTCTGTGGGAATTGTATGGTCTAAGCTACCAACATCGCGGGTTTAGATCGTCCGAAAGTCTACAACTTAAGCAAACGCAACAAGAAGGTTGCCTTCTGGACTTCTTGCTCCTCCTGGATGATCATTTCCGGCTCGTCACCGCTGGGCAGCTTGCCGTGCACGAGCTCGTACCGGTCGAGAGGTCTGCGCACAACCTTCTCGATGGCCTGGGCCTGCGTTTCGAAAGCCTTGTCGATGCCGACATCTTCGGGGTCAGACAGGACGGCATACTCCATCTTCACGTCGTCGGTGGGGACAAGACCCGCCTTCTTACGAAGACGCTGCAGACGGTTGATGATCTCTCGGCCCAATCCCTGCTCGGCCAACTCGGGGTACAGATTGGCGTCCAGGATAGTCAGCGCATCATTATCCGTGTTCGGCTCCATGTTCGCCGACGAGGAGTCCTCCTTGAGGCCACGCTTAACGACCAGGTCGCCTTCAACAAGCTCGATGCCGTCAACAAGCATCTTCTTCTCTGCAACAAACTTCTTCACATCTTCACTGGTAAGGGATGGCAAGGCCTTCTTGACCTTCTGAACTTCCTTCTTGAGCTTCTTGCCCAGCGTCGGCCAGTCGGCACTCACACTGTACTGGACATTGTATTTGGCCTCGTCAGAGGTCAGGACAAGGTCAAGGATGTTTAGTTCCTCGAGGATGTAGCTCTGCAGAGACTTGACATCGTCCAGGTACTGCTGGTCCTGGTGGATCACGACGAGGGTCTTCAAAGGCGTCTTCAGCCCAATGTTCCGGCGCTCACGGGAGATACGGGCCAACTCAATGACCTTCTGCATCCGCGACACCCGCCTCTCAACAACCTCATCGAAGAGTTCCTCACGAACTTCGGGGAAAGGAAGGAAGTGAACACTGCGGCTGTCCTCACTACGGAGCGCCTCAGGGATGTGGGGAAGGAGTTTCAGGTAGATGGTGTCGGTGAGGAAAGGCGTGAACGGAGCCAGACCCCGGACCAGAGTGTAGATAACCTCGAAGAGGGTGTTCAGGGCATGCAAGGTGTCATCAACACCATTCTCACCCTTAAGACGTCTCCGGTTGAACCGAATGTACCAGTTGGTCGTGTTGTCAATCAACTCAAGCAGACGAGGAACGACCGTGTACAGGCGGTATCCAGCCATCTCCTCGTTCACGAACTTGAGAAGACTCTGGCAACTGGCCAGGATCCAGCGGTCCATGACGTTGGTGTTGGTGGCCTCGGCCTTCGGGTCCCAGGTGTAATCAAAGCCCTGAGTCTTCTTGAACAGCGCCGCCTGGCCCTCAAAGAATTTGTAGCTGTTCCAGAGGGGAAGGAGGACCTTGGCAACAATCTCCTTGACACCGGACTCCTTGAACCGAAGGGGCTCTGCGCGCACAACAGGGGAATTAATCAAGTAGAGACGAAGAGCATCGGAACCGTAACGGTCCATAACCAGGGAGGGATCGGGGTAGTTCTTCAATCTCTTCGACATCTTCTTTCCATCTTCCGCAAGGACAATGCCATTGACGACACAGTTCTTGAAGGGAAGTTTACCGAAGAGATGGGTACCCAACACGGTCAGGGTGTAAAACCAACCACGGGTCTGATCGAGACCTTCCGCGATGAAGTCACCGGGGAAGCTCTGCTCGAACTGTTCCTTGTTCTCGAATGGGTAGTGCTGGGATGCGTAGGGCATGCTTCCAGACTCGAACCAGCAGTCGAAAACCTCGCTCACACGGCGGAGAACGCCCTTGCCCTGCTTGCTCGGGATGGTGATGTTGTCTACCTTGTCGCGGTGGAGGTCCGTGAGTTCTCCCTCGTAGCCACTGAGCTGCTTGAGCTCTTCTGCGCTACCAACAGCCACGACCTCCTTGAAGTCATCGCTCACCCACAAAGGCAGCGGGGTACCCCAGAATCGGTTTCTCGAGATGTTCCAGTCACGAGCATTCTGGATCCAGCTGGAGAATCGTCTTTCCTTAACGAAGCTAGGCACCCAGTGGGAGTCGTCGATACCCTGGAGCATCTGGGGGATGATAGGTCCGATCTTGACGAACCACGCCGGTACAGCACGGTAGATCAAGGGAGTGTCAGAGCGCCAGCAGAATGGGTAACTGTGAGTAATCTGGCTGTCGACAACCAAGCGACCAGCAGCCTTAAGGTGCTTAATGATACCTCTGTCGGCCGCCTTGACGTGTTGGCCTTCGAAATCCTTCACTTCGGCCGTGTAGCAACCCTTTTCGTCGACGGGGTTAGGGGGAAGTCGAGATTCGCTAATAACACCTCCCTCCATACCAACTCTGTAATCGTCCTCACCGAAAGCGGGAGCCTGGTGGACAATACCGGTACCATCCTCGGCAGTGACGTACTCGGCGTTCAAAACCCGGAAACCGTAATCCTTGAACTCTTCGTAGAAGTAATCGAAGAGGGGCTTGTACTTCCAGTCTTTCATGGTAGCACCCTTGAAGCGGTCGACAATCTTGAACTTGGCCTTCTTGGGGTCCTTGTACAGGGTCCGGAGCAGAGACTCGAGAAGAATGTAGTGCTTTCCAGAAGCCTCGTCAAGAATCTTGATATATTCAAAGGTGGGGTTGACCGCAAGAGCGATGTTGGAAGGCAGGGTCCATGGCGTGGTCGTCCATGCAAGAAGGGAAGTCTCGGGATCCTCCACCAGGGGGAATGTGACGACGACTGCAGGGTCTTGCACATCCTTGTAGTTTTGCTGCGCCTCGAAGTTACTGAGAGGGGTGTTGAGGGCGGTCGAGTAGGGCATCACACGGTAGCCTCTGTACACGAGGTCCTTGTCGAAGAGCTGCTTGAATACCCACCATACTGATTCCATGAAGCTCACATTCATGGTCTAAATTGAAGTCAGCATGCCACTGCAGGTTAAACAGATACAAGAATATGGAAAGACAGCAGCAGGGCACGATCTCAAATGCCTAATGAAGCCTCCGAGGAAATATAAGGAAGAAGGAAGACCGAGGGTAATGGACACACCTTGTAGTCATTGTCGAAGTCAATCCAACGACCAAGTCTCTCGATAGTCTGGCGCCATTCCGAAGCGAATCTCATGACAATGGCTCTGCACTCCTCGTTGTATTTTTCAATTCCAATCTTCTGGACAGCCTCCAGGCCCGACATGCCCAGTTTCTTGTCGATCTCGTACTCGATGGGCACACCATGGGTATCCCAGCCAAAGCGACGCTCGACATAGTGGCCCTTCATCGACCAGTAGCGCGGGATGATATCCTTGATAGTGGAGGCCAACAAGTGACCATAGTGAGGAAGACCAGTCGCGAACGGGGGCCATCGTAGAAGGTGTAAGGTTTACGACCTTCGGAGAGCTCGACCTGCCTCCGGAAGGCGTCGATCTCCCTCCACCGCTGGAGGATGACCTCCTCCTCGTGGGGAAAATCAATGGACATGACGGGCGGGAAGAAAGTGCAGGAGGAAAGGAGTTGATGCGATCTTCCAGGGAGGGATCCGCGGGGTAGATTTAAGCCCAAGGTGCGCACAGCGGCAGAATCGTTTTGAGTCACCCCGCGCACCGATTTTTTGTTCCCGGTAGCCAATCAGCGCCGGCCCCGCCTACCGCCGGAAGAGGGTTCGGTTTGCCCCGTCGCAGATCGAGACTAGTAACTACTCCTATGACTATGTACAAAGAAAGGACTATCATCGGCTTACATTCCATGGACCATGGCTCTGACTCACGAACCATGCCAGTGCCTTCATTGTGTATCTGAAGGTGATGGGGAGATCCCTATCCAAGGTTATGACTCACGACGTCTACGCCTCGAGCAGTGGTACAGTTCTGCCCCCCTCATTAAGCTGTTTCATCCGCCTCATCCTCGTCCTCGTCCTCCTCATCCTCATCCTCATCTTCATCCTCATCATCGTCTTCAGCCTCGGATACTTCTTGTCCAAGATCCTTCAAACGTTGCTATGGAACACTATGAGTCATATGCGTGACTGTAACAGGGTCAATTGGCTTACCTTATCTTGGTTTCTCTTGGCCTCCAGATCTCCGAAAACAATCAGCAGATCCTCAAGCTCAGACTGTGCGGCTTGACGGGCTTCTTCTTTCTCAACGGCTTCGGCCTTGGCCTTCTCGAGCGCTTCCCGGGCCTCAGCAAGGGCCTCAGCAGCCTTACGTGCAGCCGCCTCTGCCTTTTCGACATCGCTTTCGGCCTTATCAGCTCGCTTCTCCAATGCAGTGCACTTGGAGGATGATTCATCGCGCGCGGCCTGTAGGTCTTGCGTGGACTTCTCTCTAGCGGTGTCCATTTCTGATTGTAGAGCCTGTGTCGCAGATTTGAGATCAGCAACCTCAGTCTCATGCTGCTTCTTGACAGCCATCATGTCAGACTGAAGAGCCTTGATGGTTTCCTTGAGACTGGAGACTTCAATCACATGTTTTCCCTTGCCATTCTCGATTTCAGATTGAAGGTCTTGGATCGTCTTGTTCAGATCGGAGACTTCAGTCGCATTTTGCCCGTTGCTTGCGTCAATCTCTGACTGCAATCTTTGGATTGTCTTGTTTAGATCTGAGATCTTGGACTCATGTTGTCCATTGCTTGCATCGATCTCAGACTGTAGTTGCTCTATAGTCTTGTTTAGATCTGAGATCTCGGACTCATGTTGTCCTCTGCCTGCACCGATCTCAGACTGTAGTTGCTCGATTGTCTTGTTCAGACCCGAGATCTCGGACGCATGCTGTCCTCTTTCTGCGTGAAGTTCCGACTGTAGCTTCTCAATTGTAGTGTTCAACTCAGAGAGCTCGGCGGCATGTTGTCCTTTGCTTGCATCAAGTTCCGACTGGAGATTCTGGAGTGTGCTGTTCAGGTCCAAAACCTCCGCTACATGCTGTCCCTTCAACTTTTCTGTCTCTGACTTTAGGGCCTGAATTGTCGTAGTCAAACCAGCGACGTCACCCAAGTGTTGGTCCTTGGCGCGAGTCAGATCAGATTCGAGTGCTCGAATCTTCTTCTGCAAATCGGCAACCTCAGCTTCGTGATGCTCCTTTACCCGGAGACTTTTCCTCTCATGATCTGCGGATGTCTCCTTCAGCTGCCGGTCAATAGCTCGAAGCTGCTCGCCGTGTTGCTTCAACAGCACATTTTGAGCGTGTTTTTGCTGTTCCTTCAAAACAGCCAATTCCTGTTCGTGACTTTTTTTCAACGAATCACAGATGTGCTGTAGCTTGGAAGACTCTACTGTAGTGGCATCTCTTGTCTTTCGGTGCTCGGCCTGTTCCTGCTCGAGCTTGGAATGCAGGGCCAGCAGATCCGACTCCAGCTTTTGGGCCGCATTGCCTTTTTCTTCAAGTTCTGCCCGAAGAGAGTCCACTAAGTCGCGGGATACCCCCCTTTCAACTCCGTTGGTAATCACTGAGATCTCCATCTCGGGCTCCCGGTCGATTGCGCGTATCAAACGGCTGAAGTGATCTTTCAGGAATTCAACGAATGTTCTGTCGAAATAGATCTCAGGCAGGCCACCATCATACTGTGCCCCCACCGTCTGCGGCAAGACCTCAAAATCACGTACCAGAGGATTTTCTCTGAACCTAGTAATCCGATCAATGTACTGTTCTCGTCCCAGTTGTTCGATCAACAACTTGTGCAATGTCTTCCGGGGTATAGGCGAGTCTTTGGAGGAAAACTCATATATGACTCCCAGTAGAATTGTGCAAAGACCGGGTACGAGCACATTGGTAGCGCCACGATGCTTGATTTCCTGCAATAAAGTTTGTATACTGCTGCCCTCGCCCAGAAAGTCATTTACAGCGTCCGGTTCTTCGAATAGCCACCCGCAAAGCAACATCAGGTAACCAAGAGTAATTCTTTCATCATCCCCTCGCTGTATACCAGTGATGAGGTTGCCTACTATCGTCTGGATGCAAGTGATAACTTCTTCGCCTTGTTCGGCATCTCCTTCGGTCACCCCCATTGCTATCGCTTTCGCTTCGGCGTTCTCGAACAGCAATTGGTACATCAAGACAGATGCCATCCAGGTCTGATATGGGTCCGCATTACCTCGAGCCTCCGGTGGCGTCAACAGGACAGACAGAATATTCGGGATCTGGTCCTCGCCGCTAACATGACCCTGGATCGCTCTTCCTAGAACATGGACTCGGATCCCTGAGTGGTTTGCGAAGAAAGCCTTGATACATTCGCAAGCGGCAAGTCGCGCATCCAGGAGCGAAATCGGGGCGGGCTCCAGGGTGAGCTTCAGCATGGCTTCGATGACATTTATCCGTTGGAGTTCCTTGGGCGTCGTGTCACCGTTGGCAGCATTCTGGGCAGGATTTGAGCCCCAAATGACGTCGACATCACCGAACCTTTCCTGTAGTGGTTTGTTTCCGCGGATCAAGTCGGCACAGGTTGCCAGTGCCTGCAATAGTCAGTTGTACATTCACGGTGACGATTAATGCCACCTACTTTGGATGTTACATTGACATTAAATCTTTGGCCAAAAGCTGTGTTCAAAACTTGCTCCATGACACCATTGTTCCAAAATGCCATCTGATTGGCAGGGGTGTTGATTCCACCTTTGATAAGGAAAAGCTGGACGATAACTAATAGACCCCAGAGATTCTTGTCGCGATGTGCGAGAGCCCACTGTGGAGTGGGCTCCTCGGACTCCTGTTCTTGATTGGCATCTGTAAGAAGCTTGGCTAGCCTCTTAACGCAACCCGTCTCCCGGAAATATGATTGGTTGGATATGTTAAGCCTCAGAAGGTTTGCGAGCAGGGAGAGGCAGTCTTCGACCACCTCCGACCCGTGTGTCAGGGCGCCTTCTGCATCTATCAAGGAGAAGATAAGATCAAATGCATTTTCAAAGGCGACAAGCTTTTGGAATTCCTCCGAGGCTGGGGTCAGAGCGATAAGGAGGATCAATGCTTCTACTCAGTGCACACTCATGATTAGCAAAGAACCACACCCATCACTTAGGGGTTCAGGGGAAGCGGTAAACGTACCATTGCGCACCGGCTCTCGAGCATCTCCCAGAGCACTTACCAACCTTGGTATGCCCAGCGGAGCAGTCAAAATACATTCTTGCGTTCTTTCCGGTCGTGCACTCGAGATCTGGAACATCAACTGTAAAGAATACAAGCGAGAATAGAAGTCTCGGTTGTCTAAGAGGTCGAGGAGCGCAGTGATATTGTCTTGTCGCTTTATTCCGTCAGCAAATGTAGGCTGCTGACAGTAGCATATACGAACCTGCGTAAACTCATCGGAAAGCCAGAGAGCTATTTCGTCTGATGCTTCGGGCTAGACAGCGCACATCAGCATGTGTTGCAGACCGACCCAGCTAAGGAGACCACCAACACTATTCTCATCCGGAGTAAATAACATCAACAAGGTCTCCAAGACCACTTTCAGGGTATCCACATCTTCGCGGTCGTTTCTGAGGCTGCTGATCAACGGGCGGAGTGCGCCCGATGCAACTGAGGCGGGAAAGGTCTTTGCAAAGCTTCTCAATCCTTGTATCGCTGCCCGCCGGTCTTCTAGGAGAGTTGCACTCTGCAGTCGACTACTCAGAGTGTTAATTGTGTCTGTGGCCGTTTGTTTGGCCGGCGCCTGCGACTCGAGGATTCGGAACATCGCAAGTGGTAGCTCGTAATTTCATGGTCACCGCCGGCCGGGGGCGTAGCAACTTATAGGCATTGGACGACGGGGGGGAGAGGCGTGGGTGATTCAGCCAGCTGAGTTGTTCTCTCCGAAGCTGCAACGGCAGCAATGGTGTTGGTGGTGGAAGTAGTCCGCGTAGTCCGCGTAGTGGATAGGTAGGTAGGTAAGTGTAGTGGGAGTAGACAAATAAGCCGCAATTATGATTGATGTGTCCCCATAGTATTGAGTAGTGGCCGGGTTAGCCACGCCAGGGGCCCGCTAGTCTGCCGGAACCGCGACAAGAGAAGCGCCGAGATCTCGGATTTCCATTGTCTGGCAAGTCAGGCCGGCTTGCGATCGCAGAGACTTCCAAGCCTCCGTCATCGCTCTGTACCTCTTTACTGGGCCGATTCTTTTCGCCAGTTTTTGCGCACCGTGCGGGATCGCGTTAAAGGAGTGTTACATTCACCTTTTCCCCACTCGGATTCTGTCACTGGTCATTGCTGCAAGCAACTCGGAGTTTGCCATAGCGGATGCAGGGCATCAGCGATACACCTTAAACTGCTAGATTCACATCCGTATATTTGTACAGGCAGCTTTCCCAGTCTTTGTCGAGTCATTCACCATCATGGGTGTCCCCGCGCTATTCAGATGGCTCTCCAACAAGTACCCCAAGATTATCTCCCCCGTCATTGAGGAGCTTCCTTCCGAAGTCAACGGCGAAGAGGTCCCCGTGGACACCACGCGTCCTAACCCCAATGGAGATGAAATGGACAATCTGTACCTGGATATGAACGGTATCGTTCATCCATGTACTCACCCGGAAGGAAAGCCTCCGCCGGCGAACGAACAGGAGATGATGCTCGAGATCTTCAGGTACACCGACCGGGTGGTGAACATGGTCCGCCCAAGGAAGCTTTTGATGATTGCTGTTGGTACGTTGCAACACCGTTGCGCCGGATGCTTTGATGAAGATTAGACTAATGTGTATATTCTATGATCTAGATGGTGTCGCTCCACGCGCAAAGATGAATCAGCAACGAGCCCGTCGTTTCCGCTCAGCTCAGGAAGCCAGAGAGGCGGATGAGAAGAAAGAAGAATTCCGGAAGATGCTCGCAAAGCAAAACGGCAAGAAAGCTGACGAGGATATCCAGGAGCAGGTCATTCAGAAGACGTGGGATAGCAACGTCATTACGCCGGGAACGCCCTTCATGGATATTCTTGCTGCGTCATTACGCTACTGGATCGCTTACAAGCTTAACACCGACCCCGCTTGGGAGAAGGTTAGTCTGAGTTCTGCTGTGTTGTCTGTAATACTAACTTGTATAGCTCAAAATTATCATCTCTGATGCGACTGTCCCGGGTGAAGGAGAACATAAAATCATGGAGTTTGTCCGGTCGCAGCGAGCGTCGCCAGAACATGACCCCAACACTCGCCATGTCATTTATGGATTGGATGCCGATCTGATCATGTTGGGTCTTGCTACTCATGAGCCATACTTCCGGGTGCTACGTGAGGACGTGTTTTTCCAGGAGTCAAGAGCTCGGACATGCCGGCTATGTGGTCAACCTGGCCACAAGGCGGAGGAATGCAGAGGACAGGCAAAGGAGAAAAATGGCGAGTTCGATGAGAAGGGCAAGGGTTCCTCACTCAAGCCATTCATTTGGCTCAATGTCTCCGTTCTTAGGGAATATCTTGCTGTGGAACTGTTTGTTCCGCAACAACCCTTTCCTTTCGATCTGGAACGTGCTCTGGATGACTGGGTCTTTATGTGCTTTTTCGTAGGAAATGACTTCCTTCCACACTTACCGTCATTAGATATCCGTGAGAATGGTATCGACACACTGATAGCTATCTGGCGCGATAACATTCCCGTCATGGGCGGATATCTGACCGAGGATGGGCATGTCGACCTCAAGAGGGCCCAACTCATCCTGCAAGGGCTTGCCAAACAAGAAGATGCTATTTTCCGTCGTCGTAGACAGGCAGAGGAGAGGAAGGCTGCCAACGAGAAGAGGCGCAAGCAAGAAGCACAAGCGCGAAGTGATGAACATGCCAGGAAGCGGCGGAGAAGCTCTCCCAATTATGAAACTCAGGATACTCCCATGGCCAACCCAACGGCCAAACCTCGCGGCGCCTCCGATGCGGCGCCTCCCAGTGCAGTGGAACTCATCACTCCGGGACGGGGAGAGCTGACACGCGAGGCGAGGCAATTGACTCACAGCATGGTCACTAACCGCGGTGCTGTGTATAAGGCCAATATGGCCAACAAAAGTGCCGCTGCCATCCTCAAGAGCAAGCTCATGAAAGGCCCACAGGGTGACGAGCCCTCCGATAACACGGGAGAGTCCGGTTCCGAAGCTACTGAACCTGCTGAGCCTACCGACGAGAAAGCTGAAGAGCAGACATCTCCTTCAGTCCTGGGGAAGAGAAAGGCCGATCCGGTGGAAGAGGAGGCCGCTACGACGCCGACCAAGAAGCCAGCGGCGGCCCCTGGTAACACTCAAAACGACGAGCTGCCTCCTGACACTGTTCGCCTATGGGAAGAGGGATACGCGGACCGATACTACGAGCAAAAGTTTGGTGTCGATCCTCAGGACACGGCGTTCCGCCACAAGGTCGCACGGGCGTATGCGGAAGGCCTGGCCTGGGTTCTGAGATACTATTTCCAAGGGTGCCCTTCGTGGACCTGGTATTATCCCTACCACTATGCCCCGTTCGCCGCCGATTTTGTGGACATTGGCGACATGGAGTTGACCTTCGAAAAAGGAACACCATTCAAACCCTTTGAGCAGCTGATGGGAGTCCTTCCAGCGTCGTCCAACCATGCTATCCCTGAAGTCTTCCACGACCTCATGAGCAATCCCGACAGTGAAATCATCGACTTCTACCCGGAAGACTTCCCCGTGGACTTGAACGGCAAGAAGTTTGCTTGGCAGGGTGTCGTTTTGCTTCCTTTCATCGATGAGAAGCGACTGCTAGATGCTATGAACAAGAAATATCCTCTTCTTTCTGATGACGAAAAGCTCCGGAACACTGTGGGTCGAGATGTGTTGTTGATTTCGGAAAGCCACCCGCTGTACCAGGATTTGGTAGCCAACTTCTATTCCAAGAAGCAGGGGGCTCCGAAGTACAACATCAACCAGCGGATCAGTGAAGGATTGGCCGGCAAGGTCGAGCGCAACGATTCGTACATCCCCCACAGCTCCCTCGTATCCTCTCTTGAGGAATTCGGCATGCCAACTCTGGAGGACGACCGTTCTCTCACGTAAGTCACTCCGCATATGCAACGATCCCGTGTACAATTAGCTAACGATTCAATTCGTGGAACAGGGTCAATTACGAAATCCCCAAGTCATCGCACATCCACAAGTCCATGCTGCTTCGGGGCGCCAAACTGCCGCCCCCGGCCCTTGACAATGGAGATATCCAGGCAACGAAGTCTAAGGCGCAACACTCGGGCCGATCCTATGGCGGAGCCCCGTTCCGCAATGGACACCGAGGTGGCCGCATCAACTATAGCAGTGAGCGGCCCAACAACGAGCGGCCCAACAACGAGCGGCCTAACCCTTTCGCGGCGCACCTCGACCCCAAGTTCATGCCCCCCGGGAATTCCGGGGCCCCGATGGGCATGCCCTCAGGATGGACGCCTCCGGGAGGGTCGGGCGGAGGTTATTCCCGCGGGCCACCGCCTCCCCCGCGCGGAGGCATGTCCAATGCTTACCATCAGCGATCTTCCTACGGCGGTGATTCGTACAATCAATCAAACCAACCTACGGGCAACTACGACTACTATGGTCGAAGCCAGCAAGGATACTATCAGCAGGGATCCTACGGGAGTGGCAACCACAACAATCACGGCAACCAATATCGCGGACGGTCGTCCAACTATGACCAGCGCGGTGGATATGGCCGCGGGGGATATCAAGGTCGGGACCACTATTCCTCCCGAAACTCTGGCGGTGGAGGTGGAGGTGGAGGTGGATATGGACGCTATTAGTAGTTTCAAGAACATTTTAGATTAGGTTGACGGGTTGCTGCCCGGGCCGTCATCATACGCGACCCGGGGTTTTGCGCATTGCTACGTTGATTTCTTGTCAATTGTATGTTCTCTACGACTATGTGAAGGAGGCCCAAGAAAAGGCCCGGGGGGTGGCGTTTTAATTGGATATCGCTGGAATTTATTTGTATAACAATGAAAAGACTGCGATGCGAACGAAGAAATCCCAACAATGTAGCTGGCTAGCTGTGGGTTTTCACCATCCCGATCGCAATGATGCCCCAGGTTGATCGGATCCGGGGGGCTTATTCGCGGATCCGGAGGGAGTCTGGTCAGCTTGACGTAGGCCACAAGGATCTTGTGCTACCTAGTAGAATCAATGGTAACACGAGGGATTATCTCATCGTCAGATTGGGTGGGTTACTCCGGTGGAGGACGGACGGAGTTGACAAACAACCCAAGCCAGCCATGAATTCCAGGCCGCGACGACATCGGAGCGGGAAAGGTGGAAATAATAATACGAACGGCGGAAAAAAAAACGAGTGAGTCAACGACTCAATTGCGACCCCGGTGGATCTTGGCCGGCCTGCCAACCCAATAAAATTCCCCCTCCCCATTCTTTCTCTTCCTCTCGAGCCTTTCTAGTCCCTATCGACGTCCCTCTTTCTTGACTTCTTCGTCAATCTAAAGTGGTTTCGGCCCCCAGTCAGCCTGAACCCGTCCGTCCATTCGCCAATCCCGGGCAGTTTGCAGTCCTCGCGACGCTCTCTCGCTGCTGTCTTCGCCGGCCAAGCGGACTGAACCCCGCTGTCAAACAAGGTCTTTTCCCCGTTCCCTCAGGTATGCATGCCCTTCTCTCTGCGTGTCTCACTCGGTGCATTGCTCGCAATCAACCCGCATTGAGACCTCCCCGCCAGGTGCTTACCAGTCGAATCCACAGCATGAATTAGATAGAGACAAGGAATCATCCCCCAAGTTGACCACGTCTCCGTCCGTTGCGAGCCCTCCGAACGATGACCGAACCCACAAAGATCAGCATCCTGGGTCGGGAGAGCATCGTCGCTGATTTCGGACTCTGGCGCAATTATGTCGCCAAGGACCTGATCAGCGGCCTGTCCTCCACGACCTACGTCCTCATCACCGACACCAACATCGGTTCCCTATACACCCCCAACTTTCAAAAAGCCTTCGAAGAGGCCGCTGCCGCCATCT